GTCTCGTTTCTCTTGCTCATTGTTGCGTCTTCTTCCCACCACTCAGAATTGGAAGATTGGTTTCGCACACACTATTACTGCACTTCTCTCGTCAACGGCATGCAATAGCTGGGCTGCTAGTTCTCTCAACTAGGTAATAGGCGAATAGCTGCCCCAGAATCACACATCCTCCATCAGTCGGACAAAGCCATGTATGAGCATGAGTCAGGATTCAGGGCAGCTCGTCTCCAATTGACCAGCACGATTACCTGAGCTGATTGCAATCTCGCTCCTGCTGCTATTCTATCTTCTGGCGGAGACAGTGGGTTATTTGATCCCACACAGACCCCCGGGGTAGAGGCTGCAGCTTTGTTCCCGCCGAACTTGGAGGATGTAGACGCGTTCACCACCGCCGTTCCGCAGTTCGCAGTCCTCGTGCTCCGTCCTCTTTCAAAGCATCAAAACACCACATGAGTTCGAAGAAGACTTTGCGGGTTTCGTACATCCCGCAGAGGGTGACTTTCGCGGGGGAACGGCGGTGGTGCAGCCCAGTTACTCGTATTCCTCCTCGGGGCTAAACGACTCGTCCTGGGCAGTGAGGACAATACCCTACAACTACTACAAATCATTGTCTATTTGGAGCATCTTCAGGCACACATCACCCAGATTTGTAGGAGAGTGCGCGGCTGTCTCACTTTTCATAGCCACCAGTGTTTAGGCATCACGGCCCTCGCCGCCTACTACTTGGGATCCTCAGTCCTGGGAGTTTTATTTTTTGTTCTTTGCTCTTGACTGTGGTCCATGCGTCTCGACTTCACGCAGCTGCGTTGATCTTCGAATTTGCCGGACGCTTCGGCAGCGCCAGCGAGGGTAGTCGGGGATGATGGCATCTTGCAGTCAAGGTTCGCCATCTAGCATATCGCAAGCCATCGACGATGCTGCAACTGCATGGGCAAGAATCCTTCCGGCCTTCCTGAGGGGTGACTTAGTGACTGGAAAGGGCCGTGATTGTGGCTTGCCCCCAAACTTGGTCCGGTGTCACCATTGTCGCTTACCATCTCAAACAGCCCGTCTCTCCCAGGTGCCGGTCTCTCCCCCTCGCCGGGCGCAAGCTCGAAGAAGCATGCCTCAGTCCGGAAATATGGCCTGGCCCAATGGGCCCCGGTGGCCCACGCTGACCTCATTATGTCGCATCCTCTCTGTTGGTCGTCACAACTCACCGGCCCAGTAGGAAGCTGCGGCATTGGCCGGCAGCAGCATGGAGGGTCCGCCTCCCAATCTAGCTCGCAACGGCTAAGAGTGCATCGATCTCACTGTCGTGGTCATTTGAAGGCTTTGTCGCCGTTCCCACGGTACCGCCGTGTAACGCCAATTTGCCATTACGGTCAAACGACGATGCAAAACCCATTGAACGTTTTTTGGAGGGCAAACAAACATCGGCCCCAGCTCGATGGCTTTCTCCGACATGGGCACCCCCAGCTGGCGGCAGAACTTATTGACCCATGACGACTCGATCACACTCTCTTGCCTCACAAGGGCCGTTCGGCGCTTTGTGTGGCATGCCACGCAGGCCTTTGCATTGGGGGTTTCCGCTTTCCGTCATCGAAAATCTGCTCCTCGTGCTTCCTGCCGTCCCAAAGCAGCAGCCATGCCATCCATTCCACAGATATCCGGCCGTGCCTAACTCGGCGATTATTCATCGCTCTCGCAGCAGTATTGGTCTCCTGTATTGGTCTTCATGTCGCGCCTTATTTGTGCAAGCGTGGAGACTTCGCTCAACAAGATCCAGATCCAGAATAAGCCTGTTCGTTCTGCCCTGGGATGCCCTGACTCCCGCGAGATGCGCTTCCTTCTTTTGCGAGATTCAAAACAAAGTGCAGGCCCACAGTTTGATTGACAGCTTGAGGTAATGAATTTCCACTGCTGGCGCCAGGCGAGGGACAAGCGCTGGCTGCAGAGCGAGTTTTGGCCTAGTCTGTCCCCTAGATTGGATGCCGAGCTCCTCCTATCACGGGCCATCAGGCTCTTCCCATGCGAATGGGCATCACTGCTGGCCAATCCACTGGGGCCCAAAAAATTATCATCAAAATGTTTGGGGAGAATTGTAAACAACAGCAAATGACCGCAGAAATTGCGCCGACTAGGATCCTGCGAGTCGTAACCCTCAAATCCCCAAATACTGGATGCTTCCACATGCTCAGCCCGACCCTCTTCCGGCCCTGTTGCAATAAACCGCCTTGACTTTCGCGATGGTTAGTGGCTGATCACAGTAATTGATAAATACAACCTCTGGCTTCGTTTCCTCTCTGCAGGACGCGCCTGTTGGGTTGTCCCTGTCGGAGCCTCGGGGCGCGTGTTTCACTGGCACAGTGGATACAAAGACTACCAAGATTGTCTGCATCGAAATTTCCCTCACGCTTCTGCGGAATATTACCTTCACCTGGAGCCCACTAAAGCTACCCATCAATAGCGCCATGAGAGACAGAGGCTGATCGCACTCGTACAGAAGAGCTCGGTGACCATTTTTCCCCGACGCGAGCGACAACATGGAGTTCCATTTGAGGCATTTTCAGTCTCTTCCACGCTGGCAAAAAGTCGGCAGTCCCATGCAATACAACAACGAACGATTAATTGTGGCTCTCAAACCCACTGGGAAAAATTGGGTGTTGTGGAAGCTGCGTTTCAGAATTTGTTTATGGGTGCGACGTTCGGCAAACGCTTCCGACCGCCACACGCCGGGTCCCCCGGTGTCCCAAGCTACCATGCCAGCACCGACATTTTGAGGCATTTTCACAATCCGATGCAAGGCTTGGATTGAATGAAAGGGTAGGATTCGCAACACGCTGCAACTTTGTCAAGTGCCTCAAATCCGGGCGCAATGCTAGGTATTTGTCTGCGCGTCGGTTTCGTCGGTTCAGTCGTGAGACCTGAGACGGGCGCAGGCTTCGACAGGTCTCGAGGGCTCCTCAACTTGCGCTGGGCGCGAGCACTTTTCAGCACTTTAGCAGCAAATATCACGATGGCCGACCTCCGGTATGCCAAATGCTGGCGGCTACTCAACCCCGTCCCTGCAATGCGCAACTTCGTCTCCAAACCCCCTTTCGTCGCAGTTCTCAAGGCTTTTGCCATTGGGTGTCCCCGGACATGCCCGCACCCCCAAAGAAAAAAAGGAATTTTATTCTTGCATCCTCTCCGTGGGTTTGGATCGCATTACAGCGCCAATTTACAAACATAATGGTACTTTGGGCACCGGTACTACGAGAAATGCGCAGGAAAGGTAGCGTTATCGGGCGAGTCAAAACCGACATCTCCATCCAGCAAATGCACCGCGCACCGCAGTGATTGCCGCACACGACGCAATCCCAGGACACAACATGCATCTGCCTCTGGCTATCGATTAATGGTGTCACTGGCGCCAGAACTGATGCGCAATTGTCTTTCAGCTACGGGACACTTGAAATATTGAAAATCCCTTCTCGCATGACAGGATCAGCGCAGTTGATGATGCTGACGTTGTCGCCCACAGTTGTTAGCTCGAATGACGTTGTAAACGTCGGCAAGGGAGCAGGGGTAGCTTCCGCGGAAGGTTTGACTCTCTACACCATCCCTGTGAGTTAGTAGCATCAATGCTCGCCACCCTGTTGCTGGGAAGCATTGAATGTGGTAAGATTTTCCACCCCGCACCTCAATAGGCTGTGCTAGACAGCTCTAGCGGAGAAGGCCCGAAAGGATGATGATGATGCCGCCACCATTGACAGCACAGGGAAGCAAGTTGAACGGCGAGGACTGCCATTGATCTTTGTGATTAGCACTTACGGTTGCATTCGCGTGATGCATGGATGCAGGATAAGAGAGGCACGGTGGGAAAGCTCCAACGGACTGCAGGAAGCAGCTGGTGACCGAGAGTTTGGGATTTGCATCACCATGTGTCCACAGGGTACCAACGAAGAGCTGTGTCAGGGAGCGACGAGCGCGGGGCTGGTCCATCGAATCGAATGATAGTCGGGTAGAATTGCCGACAGAATCTCAACGTCGACTGATGCATTTTTGGTCAAATGCGACTATCGTTGGTGTCGGCTAAGTTGGACGATAAACGGTCCCAGTCCCAGTCCCAGTCCCTGTCGCCGAGTCCAAAGAGGAAGGCCGTCACGTGCTAGCCCGTGATTTCCGGGGGCGTCCACTTGGTATCTTGGGGCGGGCGTCCAGAGGGAAGGGAAAGGGGAATCTGACCGTAGAGACCAGCATTCATTTAATGGACTCTACTGACAGAGCCTGGGCTCTGGCTACAATATTGGCGCGGACTGCTGAAGAGGAACAAATGAGCACTGAGTGCCGCTGTCGCTGCGTGGCACAGTGTTGAATTGAGATGGTCTTGGACTGGGCACGATCAGATGCATACTGGCTGAAGACGGCTTGAGTCGCCACAGGCCATATGAGCGGGCATGAGCTACAAGGAGCGGCTGCAAATGCAGCGAACGGGAATGAGGATTTGATTATGTGGCTCTGGCCATGGTTCCATGGGGATATATCTCTTGGGCTTAACATGGCGAATGACCACCTGCTCTTCTCCTGCGAGCCAGAAGTGAGAAGACGAATGGAGCAATGGATCAGGCTGAGGCAGGGGCCGCACACAACCAAGTCCAACTCGAAGCACTGCACGTTGAGAACAGATGCCCAGATGGTATCAGACCCAATCTCCAGATCCAGTGCGTGCCTTCCTCAGATGCATTTGTTGAGCCTCGACAACGCGGTCCTTCTCCCTCAACAACTGGCGAGCGTGACGTGTCTGCCTGCTCGCTCCTTCTTCGCAACCAGACTGCTGCTCAACCTCTTCAACACCTCTTTTCTCTCACTTTTCACCTCGTTTCTTTCTTCTAACACGAGCTTCGCCTTCACTCCTCCGCTTCTTCATTTCTCCTCTCCAGACTCGCCAGCAGCAAACATCTCGCTTCTTGCTTCATCTATTCCAATCCCCAGTCCTTTCACCTCCGTGCTCTGTCTATCCAATCCTGCGTCTCACGATGTTGCTGTACGCCGTCGTCCTCCTGCTCATGGCTCTTCCCGGTCTCTCGAACCTGATTGCTCTGTCATCTTCACCCTCAATGAGCCAGTCTTCCAATTGCACTCTCACTTACATTGCTTCCCAACCTCCCCAAATGGGTCCCACCAGCACAGTCTACCAAGCAATCATGACGACCTTCCTATATGTGAGTCAGCTCTCTGTCCCTGAAGCCACGAAAGGAAAACTGACAAGAGCAGGCTGTGGATTGCAATCAGTGCACTGTCACCAATATCCCAAACGTTGATGTTCAAGTGAGACTCGGCTCATTACCCATGTTGATCTATGCTAATTTTTCCAGGGTCCCTTCACTACCAGATCAACCAGCTCAATGCTTACGGTCACTGAGATCCAATGCATCCCTGAAGGCACAGCCAGCACCAGAATGCACCATGCTGCCTCTCCTCAAACCACTAGCTGGAAACAAATGGAAGACCTCAAGAAGGCACATCTCCACCGTCGTTCTGATCAAGCCACGGAAGCGGCCATTGCGGACCTGGCAAGTACTTTCGCCAACGCTCTTCCTCCTGATGTCTCCCTGCTCTCCGGTGGTCTTCAAACCGAGTTTACCGACATTGCATCCGCCATGTTTGCATTGAACATTTGTGACTCTGGCATCGACCTTAACTCAGCGTGTGAACAATTGAACACTGATGCAGTCGCATTGCAACTGTACCAGTCATGGTATGCTCCCAACAATGTCAAGTCGATCGTCTGCTTCTGCGCTTCGTACGGCTACGACTTTGACACCACCCGTCAACAGTTGTATGCTAGTCTTTACGCTGCTCTCATTGGCATTCTGGCTGCTGCTGATATCAGCACTGATCGGGGTCAAATTTGTGACAACCTCAGTCTCTTCAATCGGACTGGTCCTTCTTTGGGTATCGACATTCAACAGTATCATGACCTGGTCTGCAGCAGCATCCCGTCACCCACGCCAACTGCACCCCCGTATTACGGACCAACTTCCATCCCTCCCTATGTGACCAACGACGTGACCACCTGGGGCACTCCAACTTCCTGGGCTCCAAATACGACTATCTCAGGAACCGGCGGCCCCAGCTGGACCGGCATCAACAACCGCACTACTTGGGGACCGCCCGTCTCCTATACCGGTACCATTGGTAGTGATTGGTCTATCACCATCAACACTCAGACCAACTGGACTGAAACGCAACCCACAGGAACTGGTGCAGCATCTGACACCGCTACAGCAGGAACCAATGACACCTTGCTTGCTGTGCGTGTGCCGCGAGGGCCTAACGCCGTGCCATTCTATCCCGCTGTCACTACCTCCACATCACATGCTGGACTTTTCAAGCGATACTAGCTACAAGGTTCTGGGCGTTGTGTTCGTATCCAAAGAGGCGTTGGCGGAACGTATTCCACAAGCGCACTAGTCAAAGAGATGAAGAAACAAATGATGGATTGAAGATGGAGTACTAGCCAAGATGGGGTTGTCACTGAGAACAACGGACACACTGAAACATTGTATGATAGAGCTTTCCCAGGGAAAATGCGCTGCACAGATCATAGCACTCAGTATGCTAGTGTTGATAATGTAACAATACAGATCTTGTTGTCAATGTCTCCTTTCCTGAAGTTTTACGTGGTCGTTGTCATCAAACTTGAAGTGGGAACGGCTATCATTTGACGACACTCTGCGTGAGATGGACGTTATTGACTGCCGAGTAATGAGAGATTCTTGCAGGGCCTCGGCTTCAACTGAGAAGCGGACTGCTTAGTGATGGTGTTGGATTACATGGCCGCAAGAAACAAGCATCTGCACGGACGCAGCGGTACAGCAATGTAGCGGCGATGGGAGTTGCTGGGCCCGTAGCAGAATGCAAAAAGAACAACAAGCCGAGAGCCAAGCAGATGGGTTTGGGGTGGTTGTTGGGTCATGAAATGGATTCTTTTCAACCTTTTCCGTAGGGTCCTGTATCTAGCTAGTTTTGACCCAGAATTCTGCCTTTGATATCTTTCGAATTGATACATATTCCATTTCCATTTCCATTCCAGTCATGTGTCTTGCGTGCAGATCTCATTCCTTCATAACCATAACCCATGTGCCTTATGCACAGGCACCGTCTCGCAAACGGAAGAAATAACAAGGGAGGTTGGAGCTGGCTATCATCAACCGCGCCGACCCTGAAGAAAAATGAAAGATGATTCATGAACAATGACTCCAGCGAAGCGACACCCAAGACACCGACGCTAGAACGCTGACAGCAACAACGATATGCTGGAGTATTGATTGGTACGTGTGACACGGAGGTGAGCTGAGGTGACCATATAGATACCAGGACTGTGATATCGATCGACGTAGAGCCTCGTGGCGACCAGGATTTGCACATGTGCTGATAAGGTGGCTCACGAATTCCAAGTCGGTCAACAGGGTTTCATGAACGGGCGAGTGGTATCCGGGTCCACGAGTACTTGTAGGTATAGATGACCCCGTGTCGCTGCCCAGATCGATGAGATGCCATGCACGACATCTTTTCGGGACTGGGCACTGCCATGCGTATCCGAGCATCCGAAAGAAAAGGCTGACCACCCAAACTGGCCACGAGGCTCGGAAAACGCAAAAGAGGGGCCACCTGCCCATTTTTTTTTCTCTCTCATCTCACCTCGGCTCTTAGAATAGAGCGAGAAGCCGCTGTCAATCGCCACAATGGGCTGATTCGTATATAGATCCTTCCTGCAGGATCGGTCCCAAGTCAGATTACATCGGCAGAACGACACTCCTCCTAGGCTGTCTCTGGATGATTGGATCGTCGGGATGAAGCGAGCTCATCGAACTGAAAGGACCGACTCCATCTCTGTCTTGGAAGACTCGGTTCAAATTCACTGCAGCCTTCGTGTACAGGACATCAATGGCCCGCTGGTCGCGGAACGGGTTTGGTGACTTGTCCCACGCATGGGGCACGCGAGGAATCGTCTTGTGGTCGATCCGCTTGCCCAGATGGTCAAGCCGTTCGGCGAACAATTGACCTTCACGCAGGAGCATGTCCCACTCACACAGCCACATCTGAATATCGCGTGGCAGGCCGTCACGGATCATTTCGTCGGGCGCCAGAGCGGGAGAGGCGTAGGGGCTACAGTGGTCACCGTGCATATCCGGCGCAGGCAGGTATGAAAAGTCGAACAAGTCGGTGAAGGTCTTGGAGAGGCATTTCTTGGGATTGAGAGACTCCCTGATCTTGCGTGACCGGGACATGGTCCAATCCAACAGCGGATACCAAGCGACGATAGAGCGGATCTGGAGCGGGGTTCCTGTCTTTGGCCGCACTAGGTTCGAAGTAGACAGGACAGAGCCTGAGGGTACAGGTGTGAGGAAATTGTGGAATTCGTGGTGATGATCGTCGTGGTCGGTCATATATGAGCCATATGTGTCGGTAGTGTCGGCGCTGTGTCCGGTCATGGGTCTGGAACGGAACTTCTCCAGCCCGTTCATCTTTCGATGATATGCCAGGCGCAAAGGAGCCGAGAAGGCCAGGTTCGCGCCCGCAGAAAACCCGGAGAGCGCAATGTTGGTTTGGTCGATATGCAGTTCCTCCGCGTTTTCGGCAATGAAGACAAGTGCTTCAACACAGTCGTCGACCGGCGTGGGGAAAGGATGCTCGGGAGCTCGTCGATAGTTGACACTGACGAAAATACAGTTTGTATGTTGAAGAACAACTCGAGCCCAGTACTGGTCATCTTGTGCATCACCCAAGCAGAAACCACCGCCGTGGAAGTTGACGACAACGGGAAAACGGTGCGAGGGATCCCTTTGCAAGATCTCGTCGTATATTGGAGGGAGATAGAAATAGAGCTCGATCGGCTCGGTATCGGTCTCAATGCCCCATTTGAAGGCAGGTTTTGCAGGACGAGGCCAGGCCCAGCTATGAAAGTACATGCCTAGCATTTCCAGGCCTCTCCACCACTTTGCCTTGATTGTCAACCATTTCCTAGATGGGATATCCTTCGCAGACAGATGGTGGGACATGGACCGAGGTCTCATAGAGAACTGACGCTCCTCCTCTTCATTGGAAAAAGTATTAGAGAACACTTCACTGAGCATGTGCCCGGGAGGCTCGAGGGTATGGCCATTCTGGGCCTCGCTGGCGTCGGTGAAAGTGATTGTGTGACTCTTTGGCGAAGCAAAGTCCTGGGCCTCAATGTCGGCTGCTGGACGTTCGGTTTCTGGTTCTGGCTCGGCTTGAGGTTTGGTTTCGGTCATTGGGATCTCTTCGCCTTGTGGCGTCATATTGGAGTGGGAAGGCGAGGGAGTTCGAGGCATGATGGCGAGGTGGGCGCGAAACAGGCTTATCGTAGAATACGAGCATCGAAGAGCGAGAGGGGACGCGGGTATGATGTAGAGGACAGACGTGTCGAGTTTGAAGTTCCAGATCCTGCACTTATCAAATATCGAGCCGGAAATTTCAAAAAGGGCTCATCAATAATGGAAGCGTAATATGGAAGGACAGGGTCTCGCAGGTACAAGAAACTCGATGGCGACGCAGTAACGTTAGCCCGGTAGATGCAATGGCATGTGATTCACGACTAAGTTGCGAGGTGTGCTTGTAAATGGCTGATTGTGGAAGTCTTTGCGATATGGTGGCAGGGCGGGTGCAAGGGAGGCTTGCAGCGTAATAGGTAGACGAATGATGAAATAATGCACCAGGTCAAGCGTAAGGCGAGTTGTTTGCGAAATCTAGAAGGTTTCATTGCTGGTCCCTGGTGGACGGTGGTGGTGCTGGGCCAATCTGCTTATCGGGGTCTATCATGCCAGCAGTGACGCGTGGTGACAGTGTGGCTGTGGGCTCAGCTTGTTGCGGAAGTCTGGCATCCTAAAACGTCTGGGGCTGGTTAGGGCCCGTGAGAGAGCCCTTGGGCATTGGGTGATCCCAGACAGGAGACAGTGGGCACCCAGTGGGCATCAGGTGTCGAATCATGGGCCGGAAGCAACCACTTAGAGGGTATCCCCCGGGACAATTCCAGGCGAATGATAGGGAGACCCTGAGCCCCAGAGCAGCCGTTTAGGCGATCTGAGGGAGTAACCTTCCCTCAACTAAAAAATTGCCTCACAACAACTCCTTGAATTCCCCGGAGACCATACACCTAGCCAGATACCGAGTAGTATAAGTACGTATTTGAGGTACGCAGCGTACCCTTACTACAGGATCGTACTCGCGACTAGACGAGGTATACAACAAGGTTTCACTCAGTCTCACATGGCTATCTGTCTCGATACTCAATACTCGATACTCACACCACTCGGGAGTCACTGGTCCCGCAAAGCTGTAGTTACAGATCCCCCTGCCACTCCGTCAGCCTCGGACTCCAGATGTTATGGATGCGTCGTATCATGTTACTTGTTTTCGTCCTGTGTGTATGGACATAATGGGCTGCCCCTTTTCCTCAAATGGGTCCTCAACAGCGGTTCCTGGCGATTGACTGACCCAGCCGCCCGTCTGCACCCCTTCGTGGTTCGGGCCACCTCACTCGGGGGCTTGTGCCTCTTGGGACCGAGTAAGCAGGGTCCTCTTATTCAATGTGATGACTCGCGAGAAGATCAGTCAACAAACGCCACATATGGGTTGCAAGGCCAACAGACCAGAGGGGACAGGGTTTGCGTACTCGCAACAGCTTTCTTGTCCCGTCTGGTAAAGTCTCGTCCCGTATGTGGTGCGATTTGCGAGGTGGCAGATTTCTGGGTAAGACACATATATCGAACGTCTCCTGCAGGCTTCGGTCCTCTTCCTCTCCCTCTCTCGCTGCTGCACCTTTTCCTAAAGCTAGGCCATCTCAGGCTCAGATGAGGACCCAACCTCCACAAGCAAGGTTTTAGGCGCCTCAGTAATCACAAAGGGGAGAGATGAGAAGGCTCGCACAATACGGTCACGTGATTGTGGCCTGGAGAGGAAGTGTCTTCGCTGTGAGGCTCGCCGTGTCTCCCACAGTCACCCAAGAGTTGTTGCTTGAGATCTCACTCGGCCCCTGTTTGCGCCGTCCAAAACAGCAGCGCCCAGAAAGCAGCGGCTCAGAGGACGCCTCTCAGTCATTGGGACTCGGGAGGCCAAGAAGGGTTGACAGTCTGGAGGGGAACTTACCTCAGCAACATCCAAATGGAGAAAATAGCTGGCCGACAGGGAAACGATGTCGCTGCAACAATTGGGTGTTTGACAACCCCGCCTTACTCATCATTGCTACAGCTGATACACGTTAAACCCGCAGGTCTCACGGTGCGAGAGAAGCAGCGAAAGGGCGACCCAATGTGACCCAGAGGTAAGAAAGAAGAAACCCCTCCGCTGGCCTCTGCTGGCCTCTGACGGCCTCTGACGCATTATTGGCACCCATGGGCCCCTCTCTTCCGGCCAACGCTTGGATTCCCGTCCAACAAGGTTCCGGTACTGCCGCTCATATTCTTGCCTACCTCTTCCTGGTGCCAGTGTTCCTGCCTCTCTCGATCTCTTGCCCGTCCCTGCTCCTGCAAGCTGCTGGCCGCTGCTAAAGGTTGAGTGCTTGCAAGATTTCCTATTCTGTGCTTATCACTGCGGCATAGCAAGCTGCTTCCAAGCAACTCCAGCAATTGGCGACGGAACTCCTGCCAATCTTATCGGCGTCCATACCCTTCACTTTTCCCCTCCTCCCTTCCTCTCTCCCGCTGCCCCTCCCGCTGCACGCCAACCTCTCCCTCTGGCGGGAAACGACAAATCGGTGAACCCCCATCAGACTGAGCATTGACATTGAAATACACATCTCGGCACACGAATCATATATCGCCGCACTCCTTCCGTCACTCAGTTGATTGTGCTGTGCCCGCAGCGTCGAGTGGTCTGCGCTGAGCGGCAAAGCCATTCGCCGGGCGCAGTTGCAGGACTGCTCACTCAAGGTCAACGTAATCAGGGCTCCATATCAAGAGCCTTGTCTCCAAACCCCGCCTGGGCCAGTCCGTCCGAATATCTCAAGACCAAATTCAGCTCGACTTTTACAGACGTCTGGACTTCATCTGCCGGGCACTCGTGTTGTAGGCAGAAAGACGTCTCCTACCCCTCGCCGCCATCATGTCGGTCCTTCGCAAAATCTCCAAACACGTCCACCCAAATGGAAGCGAGACTCCCAAAGACAAGACTGAGGGGCACATCTCCCCCATTTCCTCCCAGAGCCCTGGGCCTCACCGTCGCTCCCTTGCGCAGTTCCTTCATCTGGGCGAGAGGTCGGACTACACCTCCAGCGACAATGAATCCGAGATGAGCGATTTTGACAGCGATGGCTTGAGCAAGAACGCGCAAAAGAGAGCCCTTGCAAAACAAAGAAAACATGAACACCGTTCGAAACTGAGTCTGGACCATCGTGACGACTCTGAGGAGCGCATCAAGAAAAGACTGGAGGAGGCCGCCAAAACCGAGACGGAAGAGATGAAAGCTCGGTATGGCGAACTTCCATTGATGCAATCCACGACTAGTCACACTCAGAACCGCCTCGACCTAAGTACAATCACGGAGGAGATGGCTGGCCAAGAAGTCATCTTCCGCTGCAGATTGCACCATGTCCGGAACATGGGTGCTAAGCTCGTTTTCCTGATCTTTCGACAACAAATCTCCACCATTCAAGGCGTCCTTGTCGAGGAACCTGGTAAGGTCTCGGCTATCATGATTCACTGGGCCGAGCATCTGCGCACTGGCAACATCATGCTCGTGAAAGGAGTACTCCAAAAGCCACAGATTCCTGTCAAGTCTGCTTCTATTCACAACGTAGAGGTCAAGGTGACCGACTTGCACATCATCGTAAAACGGGCAGAGCCTGGTATGTTGCTATGTGAACCAGGTCAAATGATACTCTACTAATTGTGCTCCTAGTCCCTTTCTCTGTTCAGGAGGCAGAGTTGACCATTCTCGACGACGACCAAAAAGTCGACGGCCGTCAGAGTCAAATCCCTGACCGTGTAAGATTGGCGAACCGGATCATGGATTTGCGAACTGCCACTTCCCAGTCCATCTTCCGTATCCAGGCCGCGGTGGGAAACCTTTTCAGGTCTGCTCTGGACGAGCAACGCTTTGTGGAAATCCACACGCCCAAACTCCAGGGTGCGGCAACGGAATCCGGTGCCTCGGTGTTCAAGGTCAATTATTTCGGCCGTCCCGCCTTCCTTGCCCAGTCTCCTCAATTGGCTAAACAGATGGCTATCGCATCTGATTTTGAGCGAGTCTACGAAATTGGCGCTGTCTTCAGGGCAGAAAACTCCAACACCCACCGTCATTTGACCGAGTATACGGGGCTCGATCTGGAGATGTCCATCGAGGAAAACTATCATGAGATGATGGACATCATCGATCACACCCTCAAGGGGATTTTCAAGGGTATCTACACAAAGTACCGCACAGAAGTCGAACTCATCAAAGAACAATTCCCCAGCGAGGATCTTGTCTGGTTGGATGAAACGCCTAGAATCCCGTTTAAAGATGCCGTCCAGCTTCTCACCGACTCGGGTTGGTTGAATGAAGACGGTGAACCAGTCTCGCCTCTTGAAGATCTCGCCACTAGGGACGAGATCCGTCTTGGCGAGCTTATGAAGGAGAAGTTCAAGACCGACTATTATATCTTGGACAAGTTCCCTCGATCTGCTCGTCCTTTCTATACCATGCCTGATCCAAATGACGACCGCTATACCAACTCTTTTGATGTGTTCGTCCGCGGGCAAGAGATCATTTCTGGTGGTCAACGCATCCACGAGTCTAAGATGCTCGAAGACAATATGCGTATGGTCGGCATCGATCCTGACGATATGGCAGAGTACATGGAAGGCTTCAAATGGGGTGCTCCTCCTCACGCTGGTTGTGGTGTCGGTCTCGAGCGTATTGTCATGCTTATTCTCAAGCTTGGCAACATTCGCCTGGCCTCATTATTCCACAGAGATCCCAAGTCATTCCCTGCCAAGCCGGCTGTCGAGAAACTTCGACATCCCGAAGCAGACACTTTGAACCCTGTCTGGAAACAAGAACGTGGCCGGGAAGTGGCAGTTCAAGACCGGAAGATGCCCGACCTTTACGACCTTATTGCAAATTACGGCGATGCAACTTCTACTTCTTGGGGCGACGAGCGTTACCAGATCTGGCGTCATGCGGATACTGGTGCTGCAGTGTGCTATGTGCCCGAGGGCCATTACGCCATTCTCCCCGGTGATCCTCTGTGCCATCCAAGCCAATACTACCGCGTTGTCGTCTCTTTCCTCCAGTGGCTGAAGCGGGAGACACGTTTGAAACCCTTGTGGTTGTTGCTCAGCCCGGAGTTGGAGGAAGTCCTGGGTGAGAGGCTAGGCTGGAAAACTCTATCCTGTGTCGCTGAAGAGCGTGTTGATCCACACAAGAAAACCGCAGAATCTGATCCGGAGGTTGCAAGGAAGATTCGCAGGGCTCAGAACGACGGAGTCAAAATCATTGACCTTGATCCCAAAGAGCCAGTTCCTGAGAGCATTAAAGAACGTGCCAATGCCCGGGTCAAGGACTGGTTGTCCAACCGGAAGGGTACCCAGATTCATCTGTCGAACATCGATCTGTTCCGAGACGAAAAGCACAGGCGCTACTTCATCGCCGAAGACAAAGAGGGCGTCCTTTGCGGTATCGCCGTCATGTGTGAGATTGCCCCACGGAAAGGCTGGCAGGCCAAGTATACCTTGGACTTCCCAGGAGCACCTTCCGGAACAATTGAATACCTTACAACACATGCGCTCAGCGCTGCTGCCAACGCTGGTGTGCACAGCGTCACATTTGGTGGCGGTGCTGCGAGTCACTTGACGCCGGGCCATCATATGAGTGGTGCTAAGGTGAAGATGTTGCAGGCCACGTACGATGCCATTGTCAAACAGTTCAATCTCGCTAGAAAGTCCGAATTCCGAGAGAAGATGGGGGCTGTGGCGGATCCCCTTTGGATTGCCTATCCTCCACATGGTCTTGGTTCTAGAGGCATCAAAGCCATTATGCGGTAAGTACTCCAACCAGAAAGAAGCTACATGGTCATACAAACAAAGCTAATCAATCATGACAAACAGATTCTTCCAGGATGATCCTTAGAAAGGTGCAGGTCGTCCACGTCTAAAGTCATATCGCACGGTCCGGTTAGCTCGAGCAAAGAAATCAATAATGACACGAGTCAAATATGTTCTCTTAGGCATTCCATGCAGCTGGTACATTGGTTGACGCAGGACAGACGCAAGGACCTTTGCTACGTTTCCTTGGGACTTTGGACTTGGATACGCAGCACAAAGATGGTCGGGTGACTACAGCAAAAGAGAGGCAGGCCAGTCTTAGGAGCTGATCTGTGGACGAAATTTCGGCAGCAGTTGGGAACTAGTGATGGGTTTCAAGTGTGATGGCTGTCAGCTTTTGTTTCCCCCTTAATGTTCGTTGGATGATGCTTTCAGATACCACATAGCACAGCAAAGCAAGAACCTGGCATACAACTCCCCAACACGACCCCTTTTGGCGAAGTGGAATAGATCGACACATCTCTGGCCTTCTGAAGACTTATGCTGGCGTTGACTCGCCTATGGTTTATATTCGAATTTCCCTCCTCAGTCCACCTTGCTGTTGTTCATGTACATCAGCCATAGCCATGCACGCCATGCTCGAAAGGAAAATCCCACTCAGCGTAACTTTGCGCTCAAACAAGAAGATCGTCATCGTCATCGTAAGCTCTATGCATCTCAGCTGTACATAAGTTCATTTGTGTCGTGTCTTATCCAATCCTGTCGCGCCTCCCTTCCGTTCATCCCTGCAATGCTCCACGGATCAAGTCACACAAGTGTATATCCCCCCTTTACTCTCGCGTTGGAGATCTTTTCGGACCTCGGTGTGGGTCATGAAGTGTCCTTCATCCGGCCGCACACACTACAGGTCCACCACTGATCTTCCATCCACGTCCCGCACTGTCCACAGGTCCATCCCAGGGGTTTTGTCTGGGCTTTTTCCTTGGCGGCGGCTTCGAAGCGCGCGATGTTATCGGCCGCGCCAAGGCGGGGACCGCCAAGCGCGGAGGTGGAAGGATGGGTAGGATGAGCAGCATTGTATGCGCGGGAGCGAGGCAGGGATGTGTTGGCTTGAGAAGGTTTGGGTCGGGAGTTTGACCTCGAGGAGCTGCTGTTGGAGGGAAAGGTGGGATTGGCAGGCTGCGAGTAGATTGCCGGTCGCTCGGTTTCGCAGGCTCCGCAGAGCAGGTAGTTGATCGGGTTGATGAGGGTGCAGACTTCGCAGGTCCAGGTTTCTTCGTCTTGTGGCAACAGTGGTGGTGGGTGGTTGAGGGGTGGTGTGTTCGGTTTTGTCGCTTTCGGTTTTGTCGCTTTCGGTTTTGTCTCGGGTTCATACTCTTTACCGCCCGTCTGTGCCTGCTGTTGCTGTAGTTGCCGCTCGATCTGGAGTTGTTGTTCACGTAGAGATCTCGTGTCCACGGGTGGGAAGATGCTGTTGCCCTTCTGGATACCACCGGTGGGATTTTGTTGACTGGGAGGGACGTATCCTGGCCCAACCATCTGCGCCTCTTCTTCTTGAATCATGTCGATGTATGCCTGCATCAACGCCGCCTCGTCTTCATCCGCTTGCTCGGCCTTGGTGGTGGTGACTTTCTCCTTTTTGACAGCCTCTTCCTGCATGATCTTCCTGCCCATGTCGGGCGTGGCACTGGCACAACCGCGGCTGATGCGGTTGCGTTTCTCGGCGGCAGCGGCGATGATCTCCCGAACATTCTGACCTCGCAAGATCCCCTGCCCGCCGACTTTCCCTCCGCTGCCTTGCGAGAGGACGGATACCTGCCGACGTCTCTCCGCCGCCGCACGAGCTTGTCGTTGGAGCTCAGGCCTGGGTATGCCCCGACCACCAAGCCGGTTTCCCTTGCCGAGAAACCCTTCGCCAGTATAGCCCTTGCGGAGAAGCGTTTCGTGCTCGTCGCGAAGTTTGTCCCACAGGGCATTGAAGGCCTGATCATGCGGTCCGTGGACAATGTGACATAACTCATGCAACATGGTATCGACAACGTTCTCGAACGGCAGAAATTGCGTCTCATCTCCCGGGTAGCGCAAGCGGAGGTAGATCTTTTCGCCGCGGTTCTCGTTCAGACCCAGCAGATAGGGGTCGTCGGGGATGAATTCGCATAGCATCCCGACACGCCAGTTGCGGATCCGCATGATGGGTTTTACTATAGAGGCGGTCTTCTGAAGGATGTGTAGGGCTTCATTTGCGCGAGATTTCGTAGACAAATGTCGAAAGTGGTCGACCAGGGGGTCGAGTTCTGTTCCGCGTGTGTAGGCCATCTCTTGGGTTGGATATTGATGACTGCAAAATGAACGAGGAAACGGAACAAAAACCGGGAATTTGAAGATCGGGGTAGATTCAAAACGAGTCACTCTTCAACCCCGGCTAGGGTAATGCTTGCAACTCCGCAGTGAGAGTGTTACCCAACTTGAAGACCGCCTCTGCGCAAATTGTTCGTGACAGTGGTCTAGTGATCGCGGAAGTGGAACAGTGAAAAAAAAAGGAGACAAACAAGATAAAACTACCTGAATGTAGCACGCTGCCAGATGCTGCTCAAGACGCCGCCGGAATATGCTAGAAGGAAACCGTTTGCTGCTCAATTTTGTGAGGGAGACAAAGAAGGGATTCGTGAGGGACTCGTAATGTATCTCAGCCTGATGGCGAGAGCCCTGTCCACGTGATCTTTCATTGCATGTGTCGTCCCTCGTCTGCGATTGGGCGTCGCCAGTCTCCCATTCTTCCCCGCGCCGCCAGCGTGTCCCTCATACTCGGTACTTGTACCTGAAGGCCAACACCTACACTCGACCGTCAAGCTGTTCCCTAGCCAAAGCACCAGAAATTTCATTGACAGCTTGACGACAGAGTACCATCATCAGCTCATCATACAATGACGAGTGACGACCAGCAATTCCTGGACCTGGTAAGGCTTCCCCATCACCCAGCATCACTTTTGCGACAAGATCCCGGACTGACCACCCCTCTCCTCAGCTTGCATCCATCCCACAGGACGTGGCCCACTACGGCAGTCGCATAGCAGACTACGTCGACAAGCACGCAAATGCCATTGCCAGGGATATCCGCGACGCCATCGACCGAGCAAGCTGGATTCCCGACTCCCTCCGCCCTCCGCGCCAGCCGGGCGGCGGAGGCCACGGTCCATTTTTCGCTCGTCCACCTCCCCCACCTCAGGGTCTCCTCCAGAAGACCACCGCCTGGGTTTCCAGGAACCGGACTGTGATCGCAATAGTCGTGGCGTTCACCGGCACAACCCTGTACCTGATCCACCGCAGGAAGAAGGCACACGCGAGAAAGAGACGAGCGAAGAAACTACCCAATGGTGCCAAAAAGGAGATTGTCATCCTGGCGGGCTCGACCTTCCACGACGCATTGACCCGTTCGTTGGCTCTTGACCTTGAACGCAGAGGCTATGTCGTCTACATCACCGTCTCCTCGACCGAAGAAGATTCCCTTGTCCAACAAGAAGCAAAAGCCGATCTGCGCCCGCTCTGGATTGATTTGACTTCTACGGTCCCTAACCCAGCAGTCGACGTGCATCCGAACCTGGAATCCATCCGTGACCTCCTTACGAAGTCGTCTCGATCCTCATCGCCCAGCAGGAGCTCGCACCGCTCAGGTTCCTCCATGGGGAATATGACGTTGGCCGGCCTCATTGTCTTCCCCGGCTGCTCAGGATACAGTGAAGGACCACTGGCTTTGCTTCCACCTTCCGACATCGTAGATACAATCAACACTCGCCTTGTCTCCCCTCTTTTGACAGTTCAACAATTCCTGCCGCTCCTGGCAAACCACAGTCCCGATCCGAAATCCCCTTCATCAATTATTATTGCATACCCGTCGATTCCGCACAGTCTTTCTCCACCACGTCAAATTCCAGAATGTCTGGTCACATCATCCCTCTCAGCACTTGCAGCCTCACTGAGACGAGAGATCACGGCAGCAAACGCCCATATCACTGTCTCGGAACTGAAGTTGGGGAACTTCGACATGGGCTCCGTCTCTTCCTGGTCACGAACGACGCCGACTCAATCGACGCTCCAACCCGGTCCGTCGTCAGCGCTTACGCACAGTACCTCTCACTGGCACTCGTCGCAACGTGCCGCTCACCAACGCAAGTCACTCGGCCAAAGGAGTTTCATCCGTGGCTCCTCGGCGAGGGAGTTTCACAACGCCGTCTTCGATGCACTTGCGCCGCCGCAGACATATAGACCATTTGGATTCACTTCTCTGGAGTTCACTTCGAACACAAGACCAAACGTCATCTTTGTCGGCAGTGGTGCCAGGCTTTATGACTGTGTGGGAAAGTTGATGCCCGGTGGACTGGTGGGGTTGATGATGGGATGGAACCGAAAGAAGACAGCTTCAGCTTCACGGTCTTCTGAGGACGAAATGTACAAGTCCACGAGGGACGATGCAAGCGGCAGCAGTCCGAGCGCAAGTGGAGTGGGCACTCCTCCCCCCGGCGCTGGCAGCTCGTCGTCCACGGCAGGACATCATCCACTTTCAGCTTCTGCTTCGGCGTCTGGATGGGGCTTCCAGTCGCTAGGCAGTGAGAGCGGTATTTGGGAAAAGGTATGAACCATGCATTATGATGATGATGGTTGCTGTTTCAGTTGTGCTAGAGAGTCTAGCTGGCTGTTTGGTTGACGTTGTTTTCATATCTTCGGATTTTGGGCATTCGGTACTTACCTACCTATACTCTTGTCTATCGCCTGGGCGCGTACGAGCCACCCTCACGATGAGTCTATCTATCTATCTATCTGCCATACCCCTTGGGAAGTGCTATCGAGAATCAAGGTGGAAGAAGGAAGAAATGGCGAGACTTGACGTCTTCACTCATTCATTAGCTCGTTTCCATACCTACCTGCCTACTTATGTAGGTACTTAGGTGCTCTGGCTCTAGCACTGGCAGTCATCAAATTCCCTTCTCAGTTTTAGAATGTTAGAATTCAACTCGCTTCAAATTTTAGTCTTATTGGATGATTAGACTGAATGACTAGGAAGGATGAAGGAGAGAAAATGTCATAATCGAGAAATCACAACAGGCTATCCAAAAGGCAATACAATGACTCCCACGACCGTGACTCCTGGCCCTTTCCTTTCATAAACCCTTCAACTCCCCATTCAAGTTCCTGGCTCAACAATCTGCCACGGCACGTCATTGTCTGCTTTTAGTTGTCAATGGCACAGCCAATATCAGTATACCGTAGACTTTGTGCATCGTTATCATCGTCATCAGCGTCCGCGCCAATTGCAAAGCATTCGTAGTTATCGTCCCGTGTCCGAACCCTCTCTCTTCCCTCAAATTTCCCCCCTTTTCCTCATTCCGTCGTTGAGAAGCTCTTCGAAAAAAAATCGACCTATTGTACGCGCTCTCCTTTGCGGTAGATGGGAGACGACGACGTTCAATGGATACCCTCTTGAGGGGAGGCTCGCTGCGAGAGGATCCCCCATTCCATGTCTCTGTCCGTCGGTTTCACGGATTCCCAACCTGCGCTCCGCTTTCCTGGCACATGTGCCGCCTCGCTTGTATCAGAGTGATTTGGACGTGAAAACCCCGTCTCCCAAGAGGTATTCCACAAGAAGCTGCATGAATGGACAATCATCCAAGACCGCTGAGTTAATTTGTCCCCGCTGGAAGATCACGATCGAGTCTCCACTCGTCCAATTCCGCCCAGATGTGTTGGTGCTCAATTCGAAGCTGAGCGCGCTCTTCTGTTTTCCCGAATTGCTCAAGAACAAACTCGACTTCAAATAAAATTCCATGAACGACTGACTTGGTGAAGTAGCCCTCGTTTTGCAGAGTAGCCTCGAGTGCCAGCCGAAGGAACTTCTCGCTTTCTGCTGGCTTCTTCATACAATAATACACCCAACCCAGTAGCCTCCATTCATGGATTCTGTAGATGTCGTCAATCCGCTTGCCAGTAGGGACAGAACTTTCGCTGATTCTCTGCATGAGGAATTGCTCGGCTGCCAAGTAATCTCTCCTTTGTATTGACAAATTGACCCATGTATTCATGACTGTAGTCCACACTGGGGGTGGAACAGAAGAATCGCGTTGAACAGCTTCCCACAGAGGCCAACACAAGTTAGATGCCTTATCAAGTTGCCCGGCCTCTTCGAAAAGCGCAATTATGGATAGTTGAATTCTGGCGGAGTCCGTGGCGTCGTGGATTGTTTTCGTTTGGTCAGACAGGAGTTCTGCATACGATGTCAAGCATGAAGCAAGGTGCTCTTGGTTCATCTTAAGAAGAAGCGTTGCAATATTGGGTATAGGATGCGACATCTCCCAGCTTGTTCTCGCTAACGAAGCAAAGAATTTCAGGACTAAGTTCCGCATCTCCCAATACTCTTGGGGAATATATCGGCGGGTTGCGAAGACTTGAATCAGTAGTGTCATCAACTGGAATGGTTGGGTCTGCAGGACAGCACGAAAGTGAGAACAGCTTTGATTTATGAGGCAATACCCCGTGGAATCGCCTTTGCGAAGAAGATGAAAAGCATCTGTCAGCCCACCGAAAACTCGCCCAAGCCCCCGAGTGTACCCATATTGAACCTTGGTCCGGTCCTGTCCTAGATACCACGAATGATATCGGTCGGCGTATTTTAGTAAGGCCTCGATAGTCTGGGTTTCTTGACCTAGTTTGAGCTGAAGTCGCTGCGGAGCGGGTGTGCGGCTGAGTTGCTGGCGCCCATTTCGCCCATTTTTTCTCGAGTCTGGAGAAGGCCGAGGAGCAAGAATGACACGGTTCCTGTTTTGCATGACAGGGCGCCATAATCGACGTTCCTTGATGGGCAGGCCGTTCAGCTGCAACAGCAAGGTGTCACGGGTCTCTGTTGGCGCTTCACGCAATTGTCTGATGGCATCGAGTTTCTGCGGTTGTGTGTAGTATTTCCGTACTCCCCACTCCCGTAGACGTTTCTTGTACATTTGCTCACTATGGTTGTCAGCTATGTTCCCAACTCAGCGGGCGTTCTCTGACGTACGTGGCATCAAAATCATGCTGCTCCTTCATCCTCTTTTGCACTTCATCTAGGTGGAGCTGCTGACGAATATAGAGATCTAGGATGACTTGTTTCCTTTCCTCCCAGATGATAGATGATACAGGCTTCCTCCTCAAGCGCAGAGGGGGTGGAGATCGCCACTGCGGTTGGTTTGGCCCTGGAGCGACATTTTCCAGGCGAGTTTGCTCGTCGACGCCGGAGTCCAGTGGTTCGATGGACGAAAATGTGGGATACGCATCGGTAGCACCAAGGTCATGTTCAAAGGCTCCAAAGTCGTCGCACATGTAGACGTCGGGCTGAGAGATCAAAGCCATGTTCTCAGCCTGATGGGCCCACCCAGTCTCCGCGGAGGGTTGTAGCAGTGGGGAGATGTCCATTGTCAGGAAGATTGACAGGGAAGCGGGAAACCACAAACACCCGGAGAGTGATCGACATTAAATACATCGAATGGGCACCTGAAACGGTGTCCATTGTGTCGCTAGAGTAGAACTTTTGCTAGGGTCGTGAACGAGGTCGCCTGAGCAATGATTGAGCAATGAGCTGGAAGCTGGCAGCTGGCAGCTGCATGCACGCCACAAGAACTTTTGAAACCCGCCGAACTTGAAGCTTGCAACCAATCACGATGTTACATATGCATGCTTTGCTCCAACCTCTCCTATCTACACCGCGGGGACGGACACTGCCAGGCTCCTGCACAAGAAACATTCAGAACAAGTGCTGCCGGCGCCCATGATCCTTTCTCCTTGCTATCCTGTGTGGTTCTGGATGCAGGAACCGCCCTCCACCTCGCCACCTCTAGCAGAGGATCAACTGCCGCAGCTTCGTCCAGCCTCACCATGAAGCACAAGGCACACCATATCTTCCAGCCCGTATCAAAGAAGTCAGAATCTCCTTAATGGAAGCCATCCATGATCGCTTATCCACCGCTCAAAGCCCTCCTGCCATGACCTCTTCCTCTGTTTCCGCCGCTGTTCTTCCGATGTTCTTCCTCGTCCAGGGACACTCGGCCCGCGGCTCCTTAACTGTGGCCCATGCTGATAGTCATTGACCAAGATTCCCGTGGCTGTCATGCGTTGAAGCAAAGAGTCCACTAGGCCATGCAGTACATTGCAACAGCGATGACTGGCGTCCTTCACTGCAAGCCACTTGCAGTTCAATTGCGCTGTCTCAGGCCTCTCGATTCGGGTTAGGGATGGAGCTGCTCTTGAAGTTGCTGAGTTCTGCCGGCGCCAGTCTGTCCTCTTTTGGGAGACTTTCCGGACCAGTGATGCATGCTCGAACGAGGTTGTGACTGGTTATCTCGGCGAAGCCCAAGAAGTCGTTTGCAAGCATACACTGTGGTGAAAACCACGGCAATTACAAGCCTACAGCCCTTCATATCCTGCGCTTTCCGACCGCTCTGTGTGACTATGCGCCAGTGCAATTCTTTTCAGCATCCGGACTTTTATTCTCTTTTGTAATATGTCACCATGTTGGAGGGAGAGGGGACGGTATAAATACTGCTCTACAACTCATGCATCATCAGCCATTTGTTTGCTCCTTTTTAGCAGAGACATTCCATCAGCCATCAGCTCCCAACGCGGCTCAAGCATCTGCTAACACTTGGTGTTGTGTGGCCCTAGGCAGCGAATCATGGCGTCGAGCCATATGATGTCGCTTGTGCCCTGTGGCCCAGGTTTGTCTGTAGGAGACAAACAATGGAAAACTCCGGCCATGCAGGAGCAGCAGCCACAAACGGCCGCTTTCTTCATTCGCAGTTTAGACCACCCCCAAGGCCAGCTATTTTACATGGCCAAACCAGAGGATGTCTCGTCCGCGCCTCCCGTGGTGATTAGACGGCCTCCCTTGCCCGAAGTGCGGCAGATCTCTCTGCAGATGCTGGTTCCGTGTGTCTTCTTTGTCCAATACCCCTGCCGACAGAAATGCCGCAGTCTTGGGATCTGCGTGCACTACCAGTTCGTGATCGGGTGTCGAAAGTGTCCCGATGGCCTGAGGTGTCCGGATTGTGTACAGAGCAAAGTCGAAGAGGTATGAGATTCTCCCATGTTTGTCACTTGAACTCGGACCGGGCTGACCACCTGGGAATCTGGCACAGGCGATCCAAGCAAACCGCAAGTGCCCAATCCATCAAGACCCCGCGCAGGCGAATCCCATCAACAACCGACCCGAAGACTTTCTGGCCAACGACAGCCAGAAAGAAGTGTGCGACCAAGTATTGCAGCGATCTTTGGCCTGCCAGTGGGACGACATCCCAACGATCCCGACCACGAGGACTACCGAGGAAGATCAGTGGGAGATCCACCGTGGTGACTTTGATCGCGAAAGCACGCCCAAGGATATGCAGGATGTCAGGATGTTGGAGACACTGGATGGAGATGATGCGACGGCCGAGCAGAATCCATTCCAGATGGCCATGACCACCGACCTGTCTACATTCTTTGGTGGTCCGAACGGAGTGCAAGTCGATATGTCGCAGGTATTTCAATAGCGCCAACGTGGTGTGTACTGGAGGTCGCGGCCACGCGCTGCTATCAGTGACAAGTCCTTTCCATCATATTATCTAGGGTCCAGGTGGTTGGGTGGATGAATGGATGGATGAGACCATTTCAGGCAGAGGCATCGGTCACAAGGAAATTATGCTACTATGCAGCAGTGGTCTCTGCACTTGAATCTCCTGTACATGTAACAATCTAAGGGAATCTGCACTCTGAGCTGTGCCCCATGTTCATCGCGAAGGGCCAAAGAATAGACCATTCGCTTCTTAAACCACCACAACGTCCTCGTCCCGGAGACTGACTGCTCTTGACCACCTGCACTCTTGTGACTGATCCAAGTTCAACCGATCAACGGAACCACCGACTAACTCACCTGAGATATCAAGGCATTGACTGAAATGACGGATTGGGACTGCCAGAAGCGGGTATCCAGAAGTTGTCCAGGTCTATCACCCGTGTGCAGGACATGTCATAATCCCCATCCCCATCCGCATCCCAGTCATCTCACCTACATAGAAACGCGGTCAGGGGTGTTCTGTGAGACGAAACCACCCACCAAGGGTACGCATGTATGTCCTTGCCGCCGAACGTGACTGCGCTCGCCGCTCGTCGCTGGATCCTCCATCCTCCAAGGCCCCGATCGATACCTTTTGCATGCCCTGTTACATCCACTCGAGTCTTGTCGCAGAGACATGTCGCTTTCACCCTCGGACCCGAGAGTCCCTCAGGCGCGCTTGCCCGGCCGCCCAAATGGGTTGTGATACGGTGATTTAAAGATGGTTCGCTACGCTACGCGGGGTATTCATTCAGGACGGGGGAGGGAAGACCCCGAAGGAGAAAGAGAGGAGAGGAGAGAGAGCGGACTCAAGAGAAAGAGGAGAAGGAGGAAGAAGAGGAGATGTGTCTCTGTGTTATCCATGACAAATGTATGGATGTGTAAACAGTGAACGATCCCGGCGAGTGAACAATGCCTGATCTAGCGGGGGTGACTTGATGTTCCTGAGTCGACGGCTACCGAGGAAAGGGAGATTTCGGGGATGCTGTGTGGTCCTTTACTCTAGACCAGCAGGAATATACCTAGAAAGAGAGGGCAGTCCGTCGAAGGGATGAGTTGATCTGTATTCGGTACGAGGTACACAGGCAACAGAGATGGCTCCCCCCTGAGAAAATCCACTGTCCACCACCGACAGCAAAAGGCTTCTTGATAGACAAAACCATCCCCAGGTATCGCGCACTGTGGCATCCATCGACGACGACACTTCTCCTGACTCCCATTACCCGTGAGCCTACTCCCAGCAAAATGCCTACTGCGTCCTGGGTACTACGGCGCAATCAACACGGAGCTCACGAACGGATTATCCTCAACTCCTAGATCAGGAGCCGAGGCAATCAATTCCCTATTTTGTGTCGGATCGTCCTCTACGAATCAGTATTGCAGACAACGGCGCGTCTCGAGTGCAAAGGTTAAATGGTCGTCATGGAGTCTCTCTCGTTTCACTACTATGGCTCTATCAAGACGTGTCTGTCATACTCGTCACTCGTACCTGATGAGACTGCCACGTTCGCTGCAAGTCGTCAGGGGAATGATGTCGTCGGTGTCGGCGTACTCGCGAGCAGCTCCACGTCAATAATGCGATCTTCAAATTCGCACGTTGTGCTTTGCCCCATTCTGGGGGCGCTTCGGGTTCGGCCTGTAATACATCGGAAAGGCTATGTCATTGCACTGTTGAATTGGAGGGGATGTTGTGGAGCTTTCGCTTTGCTCGCTCCCCAATCCTCGGGACTGAACAACAAGCTGGATTCACACTCTTTGTGGTGCGGCCAGGAGCCTGTAGGACGGGGCACTGGTAGCTTTGGGGGGGGGACAGATGGACCCTGGGAGCGGTAGACTGCGATTTTTAGAGGTTCTGCTCAGATTTAGTGCATGCTGTAGGCGTAGGCCCGTTCAGCATCATGATGGCATGGTGCATCATCGGTCCACGGGTCGCAGGTGAGATTACATCGTTGCCAAGGGGGGAAGGAGTACGTAGTATGGGCTGATGCCCAATTGTGTGCGATGCAATGCCCTCTGGCGGCGTTGGACGCCAACAGGGTCAGCCTAGTCGAAAAGCCGAATGCCATCAAGGAGGACATTGTCAAGCACCAGATGCGGGAGTGGGATTGCAGCACCGAGGTGGGCAGCGGTGGGCAGCGGTGGGCAGCGGCGGACAGCTCGTCACTGGTCAGTGGTTGCCAGCGAGGTGTACCCGGTGGTCTGTGCTTTCGGAAAAGGATGAGATGGAGGGTGAGTGGAGGCGGCTGGGAGGTCAGATGTCAGGCAATCAGAGATGCCCGAGAGCGCCACTGACGCCAATGGCTGGAGCTAAATAATCCACTTGGAGGTTTGCGACCGATGCCAGTGATACCGCGGGGTTCGGGCGGTTTTCGTTGAGCCAGCAGGCGTTGTGGAATGGCACCAGCACGAGACATGATCGCGTCACAAGTCAGAGGTGAGACTGCCCAGTGTTGCGAAAACGATGGTGTGGGCTTCCTGGCGTGAGGACAGCAAACTCTGAAGAAAGATGATGTCGAGAACGAACATGACGGTCAATTGACGTCGAAACAGACTTGGGCTGCAATGATGTCATAGGCTTCCCTTGGGCGGTTCAACAGGCCCTGAAGCCCACGGCAGGCGACACGTGACACAGGGGTGCATGCCGCACAATCCAAGGATTCAGCTCCAGCATCTGGTGAGATTGTCAAAACTGTCAAAACGGCAAGAATCCGGCAAGATAATTCACGGTCAGGGGGTTGCATTCACTCAGAAGCACCTTACGTGAAAAGAAAGAGGCCGGCTTGTAATTGATAGCGTCGTCTGTATTGAATACCTAACTTCCTAATGCTCTTGCCTTGCTTCTGTCTCACTAGCCCCAACTCTTTCTGAATAGTCTGCATGCCCGCATATGCACAGAGATACGCCGACAGCCTAAGGTCCGCAATGCACACCGCTGGCGCACCCCTCCAGCAGCTCACACCACCGCGCCCCTCCAGGTAGAAGTATTCGAGCTCGTCCTTCATTCCAGAAGAGCAATCTCAAGGACGTCGCACAGACAATCTTAGTCGATTCTGACCGAGAAGAGATCCTGTTTCTCCATCAAGACCAACAACCCCCACAGATTGGTCCTTGAGCATCGAGGCGCGCTTGTAGACAACAAAAACATGAACCTTTCATGGAAAAAGCCATCATCTCTGGGTATCAGGTCATCATAATAAAAGGTGTAAGTCTCCAGTAAACGAAAGTCGTGAATCGAAAAGTCATGGCATGGTCTAGATGCCAGTTGCCACGTAGTCGCCTGCACCGGGCTTTTGAAATCCTGTCCCCTCTATCATCCGTTCCTTTTGATTGTTGTACACTGGCGTCGCACGGCTCCAACGCGTAACGCTCGATAGTAATGTACATGGAGCAAGGGAAAAAGCAATCAATGAGCATGGCCAGGCGTGCCAAGGTCATCATCGGCAAGGGGTTGCCGAATATGGCGCTTTTTGGATTTTGCTTTAGGGTCTCACATGCCGGACCTTCACCATTCACTCCTCAATGTCCGAATGGCTAGCACTCGAGAGGGAGTCACCCTTGTGCACTTTCTTGTGTCGGCGCAGATTGGAGACAACAGAGAAGTGACGCCCACATCCCTCCACGTCGCAAGCGAAGGGCTTTTCACCTGTGTGGCTGTACATGTGTGTCTGCAAGGAGCTGGGACGGGTGAACCGCTTGTCGCAAACCTTGCACTTGTGCTTCTTCTGAGTGTTGGCGGCCATCTTGGATGAAAACTGACCCATCATTGACTGCGGGGCAGGAGGTCCCATGGGAGGGCCTAACAGCTGATTCGGTCGAGGGAGTGTCCGGGAAGCCGCCATGGATTCATAGCCCCCGTCGGACGCTGCAGAGCTGTAGTCTGTGGCAGAATCGGTCACAGAGCCTACTGAACTAGGCGCGTAGTAGGCATAGCCTCGTCCTGATTCGTTCGAAATAGACGAATGCGCCGAAGATGCTTGCGGAAAGCCATAGGAATCTGTCGACGCCCTCTGGGCTCGAGCCTCATAGATGTTCCGGGGCGTCAGATCTTGTAGATTCTGGTGGCTTAGCGCCAACATGCCCCGGGAGGCGTCAAGTTCACCAAAACTGGCATTTGCAGCACGAGAACTCTCGACCCTGCTTCATACACTTAGCATCATGACGAGAAACAGAAGTATCCAGGGTAAACTTACGTATCGGAGAGTTTCCTGTGTTGCTGCTGCTGCTGTTGCTGCTGCTGCTGGTGCAGGGACTGGGCGTAGCTGAGAGAGGAATATGACGGGGCGTACGACGCCGAGGTTGCCGCTGGCGAAGAATAGGCTTGTTCTCCGTAGTTGGGGCGCGGCATGTCTTGAGCGTAACTTAGTAAATCCGTGCCAGAAAATCCAGTGCTGGAGTAGGCGCTACCTTGTGCCATTGAGCCAGTAACTGGTGGCATGTGGGAGTAGGGCATTGAGATTCCCGATCTCGCACCGTCGGTCTTGGACAGCGCCGGAAAGGAAGAACTGGAGGTGCTTGTTTGATGAGACCAAGGATCGCTAAATTGCGGCGTTGTGTGCATGTTGGGATACATATGATCGTATGTTATGCCGCCGCCGTAGTGTCGACCTTGGTTGTCAATGACCATCGTCATGGAGTCGGTATTCGCAAGAGCGAGTTGCACAAATGCAAAGCCTGTTGATTTAAGACCCAAGAGTGTCTCTGCTGTCGGTTGCTGTCGCAACAATAAATGCCTAAGTCACCAAGACAGGCCCAGTTTTGAATCTGGTTCCTGAGAGAGAAGAGGTAGAAGACGACCCAACTTTCTCAGAGGGGATCGGCGACTGTTATGTAGCTCCTTGTGTGGAGAACCTGGAGGTGGCCCGACTACCAATGGTAAGGCCCCAGTCGATCGATGTTGATCTTTTGCTGCAGTGGTCGATAGTGGCAGGGAGCAGTGCCTCCTTGATAGCGATAGCAGTCCTTACAATCGAGCAGTTCTCCAACTAATTCGGCGAGCGGCAGATCGACAGGATTGGCTGAGGTAAAAATGGTTGTGATGTCGAAAGGTAGCGACTGAGGGCCTTTCAACCACACAATTAGGTCCCGGGTTGGAAAACTGGGTATTGATAAATCTTCCTTTTCGGCGAAACAAAAGTATCGCGGTTGGTAGATTGGATATCTCCTTTTCCTTTGATGCCGACGCGGTTGTTAAGTATTTGGGAGTGCGGATGTCGTCTTGTCTCAGGTTGCGGAATGTTAAGAGTAGATGAGATCTTTTGAAGTTTCAGAGAACAAGGTTGTCTCGCGCAAAGGGTGGGGAAAAGTCAGGGTAGATAAGTTGTTTTGGAAGCACCGAAGTTGACCGTGGGTTGTGTTGAGGAAAGAGGTTACGTCGGTGGAGGTGAACCCTTCTCTTTTCCCACCGCTGGCTAGCAGTTCTAGGGCAACTGGCATCATCACAATTGTCGGTTTTGCCCTTGACCCTGTGGCCCTTCGCCCTCGCTCTCACCCTTGTGTGCTTGGGCTCGTTTCTTGAGTAATGCAGGGTTTCTTAGCTCGAAGGCTTGCTGGATGGCGTTTCCTGTGGAGAATCCGAAAGCCAGTTCGACTGGCGGAGGGAACCCTGGCAAACCAGCCCGGAGGTTGGATGAAATCAGTGGGGTGGATTGAAGGGATGGGGATGGGGGGGCACCTTGCTTGGCTACAAGGAAAGTTGAAGATGAGAAGCAAGACACTTGGAGCGGACAGGGATCCAGGGTACCGGACCAGGGTGTGGCCTAAAAGGGTGGGAATGAGGGCAATCGGCCTTTGGCTTGATCAATTGCGTGTGTCGGTCATGTTTGATTGGATCAAGTCGGCTGTCTCGAATAGGATGGATTGTGCAGGCTAGCAACCCTGGTGCTAGTGGAGGCAAAGACCCTGCCCTTGCCCTAGAGATGAGGCTTAGGACGACAACAGAGACCGGGATAATGACGATCGATGCAGGTGTGTGGGTAGCTAAGCCCAAGAAGACGAGTGGATCTCTGCTTTCATGCCAGATTGGAAGATGGTGGCTTGCTTTTTGCCAGCCCAAAATTCCTGTCGTGGAGGAAGAGACAGGGATGGGGAGTTGATGATAGGAATGCCCGTGGTGTCATCGAAGCAAGACAAAAACAAAAAAAAGCTTACAGCATGTCAGAGTTGAAAAGGAGAGGAGTCGGGCAAGACGAAGAAATTACCTGCAAAGGCTAATGGTTACCATGGTTGACGGAGATCTTTACCTCTTACCAGTATATACTCCGTACAAAGAAAACAAAACAAAACTGCAGCGTGTTGAATGCGACTGCAGTTCCTCTTTGTCTCCTGCAACGAAATGGCAGCAGTTGCTGTGGGCAGGATCCCCCTCCTCCTCCACCGGTGCATCCTCCTCCTACTCCAACCACCAGTGGAAGTCACACTCGTCAAGCCCTTACTCCAAGTGTGCGAATCGGTAGAGTGCCTGTGGTGCCAATGGTGGATATCCGGTAGGCGGCGCTACCTACCTAGAGAGGGCCTTGGAGCTTGGGAGTCAAGAGCCGGGTGGCGTCTGTGCTGCAGCCATCCCGTTGCTCTTAGTGCTCCTAGGCGGGCCCTCCCCCCTTTAGTGCTTGGGTTCTAGGGCTTGATGCCCGGAGGCAAGCCTGGGAGGCGAAAAAGATGCTGTCAATGCCAACACCCTTGTTGATTGACGGAAAGTGACCGGACTGGAGATGGCACAAAAACAGTCTAGCCGGCTGCCACTACTGCACTCCGTTGGCTCCGGAGTATTCCTTGATGCGTCGGTAGACTACTAGGGCGTGAGCAGCTGGCTGTAGCTACCGATGGTGAGGAGAGGAGAAAGGCGAGGGTAGCTCTGGGCCTGATGCTACTTGTAAGCCGAGCAGGAGCAAAAGACATGGCTGCATAGAGGTCGAGGGACGCAGCACAGGCACGAGGAGGCCGAGGACCGAGGAGTAGGACAAGAGAGAACTTCACACGGAGTAATGCGCACCGCCGATGTACTTGCAGATACTTTGCTTTTTTGCTCGTCTAGTAGTAGTTTCATGGAAATGCGGTGTGCCCAGTTCTGCCAGTCCAAAGGTGAAAAATGGATAAAAGCATCTTTCGTCAAGCCAAACCAACACAAGCTAGTACTCTAGAGGTTGTTCAGTTGTTCGAGCCTACCGTATGCGCCCTCCACTCCCCTTTCCCCCTCCTTCTCTTGCTCTTAGGCTGTCCTGCTAGGTGCCCCCCGTTCATGCAAGATGCAGCAACCCTCGCAGGGCAGCGGGAGGGCGGAACCTCATCACAGTTCTTCATCTCTAGCCGGGTGGCTTGCTCTTTGAACCAATGCCTATTCATGAAGCCAGTACTCAGAACAGATTGATAACGATAGGGAACCTCTGGGTCACCGTCAGAACTGAGAACCGCAATGGCCCCTCGAGCCCATTCCCTTCAAGCGTTAGTTAGTTCCAGGTCGCATTGGTTTTTTTGGCCAACCCCCAACAAACAGATCCCCGTTGCCAACCGTTGGTCATTCCTTTGGCCCCGTTGACAAGAGTCTAATTGACTTGACAAGTTGAGAGTGATGCGACTTCTTTGTGATGGCATTTTTCAGTCGAGTTGCCCAGCTCCATCGCCCCTCTTCCCCCCTCCTCCCCTCCCCAAAACCTTGAGTCCACCAACCCCTTTAACCGTCCAATGGACACGGTGCCCTCCAATCTTGACGCCTGCAGGGATCTGATCGCGCTGTGTCCCCTGTGCCCGTGCTCCCTCCTTTACGAGCGCCACTGACGCCATCTGTGATGCAGTTCCCTCTCTAGAGTTGACCCCCATTCCCTCGTACACCCCCTCTGTCTACTCCGTATGCTGCTAAGTGTTCGTGCAGGAGCTTGTCTAGGCACACTAAGAACCAATGAAATTGCCTGCTCACTCTTGCAGTGCGTCCCTGTAGTTCACCCAAATCCAGTTTGACGCCTGCGTTCCCCCATATTCAACACTGATATCATGTCCATTGGCAAGAAGCGCCCGTTTATCCACACCTGTCGACACCTCGAGCAAACCTGTGTGCCGATTTCCGGGTACTATTTGGAGTAATTATGTACCTCCATACTCCAAGGACACTTCGTTTGTACCGATACAATCCCAGAGGTAAGGCAGTACTCACAAGGACTGTGCATATTCAAAAATGAGGGGGGCAATTCCATATCACTAGCCTCAACTCGCCGCGGATGGATAGCCAATGCATTGCAATTCTCGGAGAATAGTCTGAACTCCAGCGTGCTGATCTGTCTCTCTGCCGAAGGGTTTCGGCGTCAAATGGACTTCACGTGAAGGGAAGTTGGGTACCTGTCCACGCTCATGCTGATCCCGGCCGCCAGCTTCACTCCTGGGTACCTAGCGAGCAGGTAGTTTTCTATAAGCAACCCTGGAACGCGTCAGTGACCCTAGCAGGCATTCTGTGTGACACTCCCGGGCGTGACTTCGTTGTCACCTCTCCAAAATTCCGCTGCGGAGTCAGAATACCCAGTTAGTGTCGCCCCAAGTGTCGCCTCAAGGCCCAAATGCTTCATTTCAAGGTATTGCGAGGGGACGCATCCCTGTATCCGAAAGGATCAAAATATTGATACGTTGCTATTTTGTAGCCAACTGGCGCGTCCAGTCGGATTTGTCGCCACCTGCTGGACCCCAGATCTGAGGTGTTGCTCAGCCTCCTCATTCTGGAATAACTGCCAAATCGCTGGCCAAGTTTCATAGATGCTGGTCCTCGTCGTAGCAGTCCCTGCAGACACGTCGACACCCTACCACCTGTCCATACGTACGACATTGGGTGAGTGCCGGCGCAGGGTCCACGCAACTGGCCTCGCGGTGGACATTCGCGAACCAAAGATGACGTCTTCCAGGGCGGTTTTCGAGTATTGCGTCCCAGTCCCTTGATTTAGCTCTTTGTTTTGGCCCAATTTCTTATGGCTCTTGCTTCGGCCAGATGCAGGTAAGGCCTCTGTAAACCCAGGCCTAGTGCTCGCTCCCTTTGCCAAAGATTGCGCTTATCCTTCGGTCTTTCCAGTGTTCACGCTCCGCAATAATGGTAGGCGCTAGAGTCTGCCCTCTCCGCTGCCGTCGCCGGAAATTTCCTGGATTCTTTTGATGAGGCGTCGGCAAGGACCAGTGGGACCAGAACCTGAAACGAAGCCATTGCATCCTAGATGGCTAGGCTGTCAGGACGCTCAGTCCACTTGCGGCAATCACGACAGCCGGACAGCGGGTGGCGCTCGTCTCTGGCCGAGTCAGTAGCCCTGCGTCCTCGACCTAGCAACTTCTTTCTCTCAACGTCATGCCGCCTATTCTGATGGTGGGCAGGAGGAGACGTGTCATTGGCTCAGGGCGGGACGAATGCCCTAGGTATCGTAAGGCATTCAGGCTTTAGTCAAGTCCCTGTAGCAGGCGAGGAAGGGTCTTTGAGATCAGTGTCATGATCAGACAGCACCAATAGCCACACTGATCTCAGGGACCATGATGCAATAAATAATACGGTCCTGCTCAGAACCTGTTTTTGACGGTCTCCCATCACGAGTACCTAGAGTACTCGTAGAAGTTATTCGGCGACAACAAACTCGACAAGCGCATGAGCCCAAGCGAGTGGTGGGGTCAAAAGTCCTCAGCAGTAGTCGGTTTAGTGGCTTGCAGTCCGACCTCCGGATGCTGAGGATTCCCGGGTTGGAAGCGGTTCAAAATGTGACTGGAATTGACATGCGGTGATGGAACCCGCAGTTGTCAGCGCCAAAAAGCCACAGTTGTTCATTTTCGGTCATAGGTTCAGAGGACGCCCCGTGTTCTGATGGCGATGTCGGGCTGCTGGCGTGATTTACAGAGTTCATCCTCGGTTTTCCTTTAGGGCTCGGATTTCTCAATTTGCACGGAATGGGGACTGCCAGAGGTCACCAACAGTAAGCCCCCCAAAGAGTCTAGAGACTTTCCAAAGGTGCAGGAACGACGCCCCTAGAGCAAGAGAGAACCCCGCCCAGTCCTTCTCCGCCCAGGAACTCGTCAAGTGGCCCCAGTTTTGATGGCCTTCCTCTCAGCACTCTGTTCCAAGCCCTCAAACTTTGAGGCTCGGGGAGGCTAGCAGACGCACCAGCTCCCCAAGGAGGCATAGCATGAGCCCGAAAGCGACTTGTTTTGAAGAGGTGCAGATGCAGCGGTCAGATGTCACCCCCTTGCGTCCTTTGCTATCTCTTCTAGGATCCGAGCTCCAAAAGCATAGCGAGATTATTTGTTGACCTCGCTGCCGCCAGTGCTCCTTTCCGCTTCCGAGTCGAGTCCTTTTGCGCCTCCAACTGGCCGGCAAGCCTTGATCTCTTCTGGATGGGCCTGGCATTTTAGAGTTGAACAATCGAGCAACCATTGCAGATCCAGCAGGCGCCACATCTAGTCTGAATTGCGCGTCCGTCAAAACCGAGCGAGTTTCAACTACAACTCGGTGCTCGTACCATCACGGGTGTTTCCTGCAGCATCAAATTTCAGTAGCACATCCTCCTTCAAATTTTACGTACTCTGCAGAGTTCATCTCGCCAACTAGCTCGATGCATTGAGCAATTGGCTTCGCATTGGCACCCTTGCTTGCAGGCTGGGGAGTTCGAGGAGGAAACAACCGAGCGTCGATGCGCTATGCTCTCGCTTTCTCTAGTGTCCCAAGCGCTTACCAGATTTATTTTCCGTGCTGTATTAGTTCTTCTGGACGTCGGAATGAATCAGAGAATCCCATTTGACCGGGGTGCCAAATTGAGCCACCCTTTTCGATCGCGTCGTGTATGGGGCATGGCTAGAGCCTTGCGGCATGTCTCATGAAGCGAGCCTGACTCGGGCATCGGCAATTGAGCGAAGAACGTCCGATGGGAGGAGATCAAGAGTAGCCCAAAGAATTCAGGTAGACGAGTTCGCCGAACACCTTCGGTCCCCTACGCAGAACTGGGTTCGGCAGAGGACCAACTTGACGGTGTGCGTCGGAAAAAGGCTTGCCACAAAGCAGGTACATACAAGGGCTGCCAGCCAGTCTGAACTTCTGCGAACACCGGCTATTCTATCCGTCAGTAGTCCACTATGACTGAACCGGCTCCTGCGTTTCCAGGCTTTCCAGTGTACCTAGGTAGGTTTGGGAGTGGCACGAGAAGTGGAAGCTGCACACGACCAAATACTCAGCAAAGAGATATCCAATCCTCCCTTTTTGGTGAGACGTCGATAGAAACAACTGATCTTCAAAGATAGGCAATCGCAACACGTGCCGTATCCTCCCATCTCTACGGGAGATAGACACTGAGCATCAATTGCAAGACTTTTGCGGACCGAGGCTGATCTGACGATCGCGATCGACGAGGCTCTAACCCATCGGCCCACAAGTATGACAAGGCTGAACGCATCAAAAGACGTCCACAAGGAGGGTACATTCGACAACGCTGGAAGAAAATCTCTACTCAATGTGATAATAAGAAAATTCCAAAAAACTCCGCATTCTAACGTATCCTCTTGAGCTTTTCGGTCTGGAAATGAAGTCGATCGTCGAAACGGTCGCTCTGCGGCAAGGTCAGCTAAGTCGCTCCAACACGTGGAATAATGGGACAAACGCACCTTCTCTGCAATGTTTGTGATTAGTGTATTCTGGGCCTCAACTTCTTCTCCTGTGGCACGAGCGAGGAGATTAAGACGTTTGGCTGCCCCAGTGAGCTCGTCGAGGTTGCGGTCAATTTCATTCTCCATGGCCTCATCCTCACTGTCGGCCTCGAACTGGTACTTGGCCCTTTCGGCCAGACTTGTTTTTGTCGCGCCACCACCTGAAGCATCGTCCAAACCCTTGAAATTTTGATTCATCCGTTGGGTGCTCTTGAAAGCTGCCTCTCGCGTAGCCTCACGCGCCTCTCTTTCGGCATGATGGCGGTCCATGATTTGTTCATCTCGGCGCGCACGTCTGTCCTTGGCAGTGAAAGGATTGTTGACGTGGACTGCGAACATGCTCCGGTTCAACGTCTTGAGCTCTTTCGTCTTGTCCTCAGCGATGTTGATGTAATTGTTTCCAAGGTCAAGATTCCGATCCGTGTTGTGCATTCTCTCTCCTTGTGCACCGAGTCTGGCTAGGGTATTCCGGCCCATCTCTTCAGCTTGAGCAGCGATTCGAAGGGCGTTTCTAGTTGATGCCACATCTTGCTGCTTCATGAACCTGATGTCTTGTTTCAGAGCGTTGATATCTTCTTCCTCCTCTTCCTCTGCAGTCAATTGACGATCGCCATATGCTCCGTAGCTCTGGTCACCAGCGTCGCCACCGGGGTTGTATTCATAATCGGGGGGCCCGCTTGTTTGATTTTGTTGATTTTGTTCAAGCCGTTCTCGTGCTCCGCCAAACAACTCGTCGCGATTGCTGTCATTCTCGTAGAGATTAGACGAACCTAATCCTCCATACCCTCCCTGCCGTGAAGTACCACTGGGCTGTTGAACGCTTGCATATGGGTTGCCGCCAGGTGCACCGCCTCCATAGCCATTCTGATTCCCGAATTTGTCTGAGCCATAACCACTACCTCCTCCAAAATTGGCTGATGATGCACTGCCGTATGCGTTGTCCCTTCCGTACGGCGGCCGCTGTTGACCCGGACCAGGCAAGCCATTAAAACTGCCGGGGCCTGGAGGGCCGCCTTGACCTTGAGGGGTTACAATTCCAGCGCTCATCTTAGCTTTTGTGTACGGGTCCGGCGGAATCGCTGGCTGTGCATAAGGGTTTGTGGATGCATAAGGATTCTGTGAAGGAGGAGCAGGAGATTTGCTTTTGTTCCTAGAGCCAAACAGAGCCAGTCTGCTGGAATCGTCGTCGTCGTCCCCTCTTCGAAGGCTGAATTTACCCATCTTTGTGGGTGAGTAGAGAGTACTCTTGCAGTGACGGCAAATGGGTGGTAAGGATATGTAGAGCTGAAATAGGGGATGAAGAAGTTTTGGTCAAAGATAAATGCGTTCAGCCTGTTTGAAGCTGATATAGGCACCCAGGTAGGATCTCGAGCTGAAACAGGTGGACGTGGCAGGATGGGCAGTGCGCCCTCACTTTGACCGCAGTCTCGACTCCCGAATCACCAGCCTGCGGTCTAGTTAGGGACTGGAATCTCACTCCGCCTCAAGAGCGTCTCGACCAATGGGATTGCGGTTTTGGGCTCCCAGTCTTGGCGTGTTTGTCCGCAGCTCAAACACCGTGACATTTGCGAGCAAAGCGAGTTTCGTGGAACTCGTTCGGTTTGATTTGAGTCTAAGGGAGCAGATTGCAACAGCTCGTAATCAACCATGAGATAAAGCCGAAATCTGAACCGAGGCCTAATGGCCCCCAACATAGACAAAGAAGCGGAGCATCTCCGAAACAAAGCGAGAAAAGAGCTCCTCGGATTGCTTGAAGGCGTGAGTAAGGAGGGGGCCGCCCAACGTTGCCTTGTCCATACTAACTCAACCTCAGGTTCGCGGCAAAAAGAACTTGGTTATTGGGAAGGATCTGACTGGACTACTCAGCCTTTTTGTCCAATTCCCGACGCTGAAGGAATATGGCGTGGACAAAGTCTTCGAACTTGAAAACAACAACACCGACTCATCACAAAGAAATGTGGTGTACCTTGTCCATGGAGAAAAGGCTAGCTTGGTCCAGGCCGTAGCAGGTGCGTCTTCAAGATGTTTTCAATTCTTCATACGGGACTTACAAGGAGACTGCGCGGATCATTTCCTCTGTGCCTTGCTGTCAGTCTAGCTCCCAATATCGACAGGATTCACACCATAATAGCGGCGTCTCCATTGAAAGACTCTCTGCATTTGATTAAGTGACGGAGGAGGAGAGCACCTGCTGACATAACATAATACAGAGCAGATCAAGAAACTGCAGAGAAATGGCTCGGTCGAGCACGAAATCTCTGTATGTTGGGTGCCCAGGAGAACTCTAGTGTCCAACAGAGTCCTGGAGGATGAGGGTATTCTGGGAGATGTCAATGTCTCCGAGCTCCCAATATATTTCCTACCTTTGGAAGACGACGTGCTCTCACTGGAGCTGGAGGAGTCATTTAATGACTTGTATCTAGTATGTTTGCCTGATCCGAGAAGAGAAGCGTTCGTTTTCCTGACAACGTCGCAGCGACGCGATCCTTCTCCGCTATTCCTTGCTTCGAAAGCCCTGATGCAGATTCAACAGCGACATGGTCTGTTTCCGCGGATATTGGGCAAGGGGGACAACGCCAGACAACTTGCAAACCTTCTACTCCGGGGAAGAAAGGAGCTCGACGCCGACGAGGCTGCGACGCAATATACCAGCATGCCGAGTACCTCGATTGAGCAAGTGATCATAATCGATCGGGACGTCGATTTTGCCACCGTCTTGTTGACCCAGTTGACATACGAGGGCCTGATTGATGAAATGGTCGGTATCAAGCACAACCGTGCCGAAGTTGATTCGGCCATCGTCGGCGCGGCTCCCCAGCAGCGATCGCAGACCAGTTCTTCCTCGACATCTCCGCCTCCAGCCGTTCGCCAAGGTCTCAAGCGCAGGATCCAGCTAGACTCATCCGACTCGCTGTATGAACAGTTGCGTTCCTCCAACTTTGCCTTGATCGGGCCACATCTGAACAAAATAGCGAGACGTCTGGAATCAGAGTACGAAGGTCGCCACACTGCTCGCGGCATCAACGAGCTACGAGATTTTGTCAATAAACTGCCAGGCTTTCAACAGGAGCACCAGTCCCTGGCCATTCACACTAATCTTGCAGACGACATGAGCAAGCACACTCGCTCTGAGACTTTTAACCGCGAACTGGAGGTACAGCAGAATATTGCAGCTGGAACAGATCCGATATACCAACACGACACTATTGAAGAGCTGATCGCCCGAGATACTCCCCTGTCTACCATCCTCCGACTCCTCTGTCTCGAATCGACAATAGCTGGGGGTCTGCGCCCCAAGGACTTGGAGTCGTTCCGGCGCCAAATCCTACACGCCTACGGCTTCCAACATCTCCTGACCCTTGATAAGTTACAGGTCATGGAATTACTCCAGCCCCGCTCATCCAGTTCAGCTTTACTCCTCCCAGTCGGCGGCGCCGGGGCTTCGCCAGAAAAGGGCACGAAAACCAACTACGGCTATCTTCGCAAAGAACTGAGGTTGATTGTAGATGAGTATAATGAACAGGACCCCGAGGACATCGCATACGTGTATTCGGGCTACGCGCCCCTAAGCATACGCATTGTGCAGTGCATTCTGCAGAAACAATATCTTCAAACCCTGCACAAGTCACCTTTGCCCCTTACGCCCTCTAGTACAGGATGGACGGGCTTCGAAGACATCCTGAAGTCTGCCAGGGGGCCAACCTTTAATATCGCACAGAAACCAGCGGATGAGAAGGCAGCCAGGGCGAAAGCCGCACTTGCGGGCAAGGGAAATTGGAAGACTCTCTTTGTCATGTTCGTGGGCGGTATTACCTTCACGGAAATTGCAGCATTGAGATTTATCGGACGGAGGTTGATTGAATCAGGACAGAGAAAGAAGATTGTCATTTGCACCACTGGCATCATTAGCGGGAGGAGCATTATGGAAGGTGTTATTGAGAAATCCAATCTGGGGTCAGGAATTGTTGCAGCCTGAATCACGCTCTTGGGCAGCGTCAAATTTTCGGAGTTGCGGCTTGGTCGACACTGAATTCGGCTTTCACGCCCAAATGGTCCGTGACCCAGCCTGCCTCCAGTCCTTCTTCCTTGATCAAGGTCTGCCTGACGTTTTCTTCTTCGGCTTCGATCCCCATGCCGAAACGCTCGAATTTCTCGCATTTCAGCTGTCCACAAAAGAACAATTTGTCCATTCGACTGCACCCGAACATGTTTCTGAGCCTGGTTGGAGCCATTTGACCCCAGGTGTATCCTTGGTCAGTGTCTTCCTTCCCGCCAAGCGACAGATAGGCGTCTTGGAGATTGTTGTCCGAATGGAGTGTCTTATCGAAGTCTTGGATGGCATTCAGATCTCCACCGAGAACACTGCCGCTTGCCTCTGGGTCATGCATCCATTTGGCGGCCGTTGCTAGTTGATGGGGCCGCTTTGGAGGATCCGCGACCAACGACTCCAGGTGCGTATTGCAGATACGGATGATCTGGCCGTTGCCAAAATGTACGTCGACGAACAGCCCGTCTCTCTCCATGACCGTCTGCTCGTAGTGGACACGGAAGACGGAAGTGATGGGCAAGGCCTTCGGGACAAGCGTACAGGTACCATAGTGCCCAGACTCCCAGTACTTGTTGTCTATGTCGGTCATGTTGTAGTTGGCTCGAATCCACGGTTGGGTTTGCAATAGTGCCAGGTCGGTTTCAAGCATTTCCTGCAGCATAATAACGCTAGGGAGTGAAGTGCCGTCCACATGAGATTGCAGGTGCTTGATGGCAGCTCGCATGCGTTCATCCGTGAAAGGCAGCATGAAGTCGATGTTCCATGACAGGAGCATAAATTTAGCCGTCCCAGGCACATCTGGAGCGCTCTTGGATGGAACAACCTGCTGCCATGGGGAGGTCTCGGGCGAGAAGGAGAAGTAGGGCTGATCGAATCTCTCCTGTCGATTCCAAGGATGCGATGATTTCTTCTTTGACTCGATGAGTTCGATGATCTTCTTCAATTTAGGGTCCATGCTTGCAGTTCGCGTGGTAGCCCGACGTCTGATATCGCGGAGCCTGGTGTAGATGCACGGTCTAGGTTGAACGATGATGACCGGGATGGTGTGCCCAGCCGCCTGTATACTCCTGTAGAAGTTTCGAAACTCGGGGAAGATGATCATCAACCCAAGGTAGAACTTACTCACCGGCAATATATAATCTTAGCAGAGCTCAGGCAATCAACACAGGATAAACTGACCAGTGTCGAGGTCAGCCATGGTCGAACCGAGGTTTGGCACGAACATGTCAGATGAATTGCTGCTCATTGGACGAATCTCCTCTGGCAGCCAGTTCAACATCTCCATCATCCATCTCCCTCCAAGGTCCAGTCCATCACCAGTTTCGCGCAGACGGAGGGAATTGACGAAGGTCGCGTCAATGACTCATCGTCAACATCAGCTCAGACCTCGTGGGACATATCCATCGTCGAGCATGACTGCCAGCAGCTTCATTCCACCTCTCGGCCATCTTAGAAAATGTCAGAGCCCAGTCCTGCTAATCCAGCCTCAGCAAAGCGACCAAGACCGGTGATCTCCTGCCTGGAGTGCCGACGGAAAAAGCTGCGTTGTTCTCGTTCGCATCCCTGCCAGCAATGTGTCAAGATCGGACGGCCCGGCAGATGCGTATACCAGGCCGGTCAAGAACCCGAGCCAAATACTGAGTACTCAGCGATTTTAAGAGTACCGAGCAAGCGGCAGCGCTTGAATCCGCCTGCTGTCATTGATGGAGGTGAAAACGCCCTGGCGCCAAACGGTGCGTCCTACCAAGGGCCACCTCTGGCGCGCCATGGTATCATTGAGGATCTCCAGGACAGGGTGTCCAGGCTAGAGCAGGCATTGCTGGCTCAAAACGCCGGTCGCAATGGCGAGCCCCTTGTTACTCGAAGTCCGCCAATCCATCCTTCTACAGACGATGTTGTTTACTCTGAAACGTTCTCGAACACGCCCGCACAGATGAGTTCGCAGGTGAGCCCTTGTACAAGACTCCGGCAAATGTCCCTCTCACTTTCCTCTGTACTGACCTGGATAGTTCAGCGATGCGTGTGCATTCATGGTCAAGCTGCGGGATGATTTAAATACTCCTGAGATGATTGCACTGCGAAGAAGGTTGAAAGACTTGCACTATTCTGTCGAGAAGAATCATATTGCACAAGATACCCAGCTGCCGTCGGCTTCCTCGATCAGTCAGACTCCTCTACAGCTGCCGCCATTGGATGTGTGCGAAAAGCTAGCGATCCTCTATTTCGACAACATGGAACACTGTTTTCGAATCTTGCATTTCCCCGAGTTCAGACATCAACTGCGCATCTACTTTTCAGAGGGCGAGCACGCTTGCAGGTTCGGTTTTGTTCAGCAGCTGGTCGGTGTCCTGGCCGTCGCCGTCATGCTCGGTACCCATGGAGAATGCGAAGCAGCTCGGTCATGCTTGGCCATCAAGCCGGACGACGCCATGCACTTCATGAAGAACTTCCTCCGAGACCTGCGGCACACCGAGAGATACCGCTTACCAGCTCTGCAAGTCAAGATGCTTCTGCTCATTTGCAGCTGGCTGAACTTGGATCCGATGGACGATCTGTTCCGACTGAATGGCGAGCTCCTTCGCGATGCCTTGTTCATGAAGATGGACCAAGACCCTGCGACCCTGCCGGGGATCAGCGTGTTCGAAGGAGAACTGCGGCGGCGCAACTGGATGACTATTGTTGAATGCGACCTCATGCTGTCAATTCTGTGCAAGATGCCATGCCTGGTTCCCGGGTACACTTCCAAGCCGCCCCGAAACGTCAATGACGACGAAATATTCGATGGCATAGAGACCCTGCCTCAATCGCGACCCACGAGTGATTGGACTGACGGCCTGTGCCAATACCTCCTCGCCCAGTCCTTTCCCCGCCGGGTCGCAGCCTGCAAGCAAATCGACGATGCGGCGGCCCATATCAAGACCGACGACGTCCTCCAGCACACGCGGTACCTGGAAAAAGTGCTCCAAGACCTCCCTCCGCCACTCCGCTTCAACTATACCGGTGACGCCGCGAGCAAGACTCCGCCCCGATTGATGGCCCGGATGGAGCTCGACATCAGCATCCGACGACCCCTGGTCCATCTGTATTCGCGTTGCATTCTTTCACCGCCCGACACGCGGGAGGGGGAGGAGCTCGAACGGGAAGTGAGGGCGGGTTACCTACAGAGCTGTCTCATGCTCGCCAACTACCAAGATCTCTTCGACCCGCAATACTCGGAGCTCAATGTGCCCCGACCGCAAGGGTACTGGGACTTCTTCTACACTTGCTACCGACAGGAACTGGGCCACGCCATCTTGGGGCTCTGTCTCGAGATCAAGAAGCTCAGCCCCGCCGCGGCCGCCGCTCGGGCCAGTACTGACGCGTCCTGCTCCCAGCCAACAATGTCGCCGCCGGGTGGGCCTAACGACGGCATCGTCAGAACACCCACATATACCCAAAGCAGTCTGATATATGCAGCCAAGGATACGTTGGAGCCAATGACCCGTCGTCTGCCATACCGCGGGTCCAAGGTCAAGGACATAATCTACTACAACATCATCCTAACATCTCTGCTCCCACCACAACGTCCGGAACAGAGCAAGGAAGGGCTGATCTTGCAAAGACTCCACGAGCTAGTGCGTGAATGCGAAGCAGCGCTGGAGCGAGCGAACGTCGAGTTGATTGCCGCTCCTCCGGCAGACGAGCGGTCGACCGCTGAGCAGCCTCTGGCCGACTACTCCACGTCCTACCAGATTGGTACCAGTTTCGATCCCGTGTGGGAGAGTTTCCCAAGGATCGATGTTTTTGAATACTTTGATTTGCATCAGTGGTTTGACAGTGCAAGTACCTGAATATAATTCCCCGTCGCCAGAGGGCGCTTGCTCTACACGCACACTCGGCCAAATGCACAATTTATGAACAGACGCCTTCAACAAGGTTATAGACAAGCAGAGGAACTTTTTTTGGATTTCGCAATCCCGAGGTATCAATGAAGGTCATGTATTGAACACCCTGCAATGCATAGAAACGCCGAGAGAGATGCAGTCATGGAACATTTATCAAATCTCAAGTGTACAGTGTACTGGACTTCGGTCACTTCTAAAACGTTGGTCTCATTTCCCAATTTCATCCAACGCCTTGAGTAATCTCTTTGCCTTCTTCTTCAAGACATCGACGCTTTTCAAGAACAGCACATCACTGGGAAACTGGCCCGTGCTCTCAATGTTGAAGATGAAATGGTCCTGTACTCTTCCCAGCTTGACTTTGCCCTTGAACTCTTCGTGCCGTAGGCATTCTCTCGACACGGTGTCGCGCATGGGGTCCTTGACGACCGCCTTCTCGTCGCCCTCGCGGTTGTGGTAGGCCGGTTCGTCCGATGCCGCATCTGAGGGAGTCACTCGTTCGAGGTCGATCACACCTGGCGGGAAGCACTTTTGGAACTTCCGGGCGTCCGCGCCGAGGATCGGCTTTGTGATGGTTATGGTCGGCAGGAGGCGGTATGTGGCTGTGGCGACGGGGGAGAATTTGGCGTGATCACCACCCGTCGACATGTGTGCGTGCATGACCAGGTCAATTTCTTGACCCGGACGTAGTTTGGCGATCAATATATCTGGACTGACTGCTTGGATCGGCTCTTTTGCATAAAGCACCGCCTGTTCGCCCGTGGGCGTGAATTCGATATGGCGCGAATATACGCTGCTATTGATGTATTTTTCTTCTGGCTCGGTGGCATTTCTATCGGCATTTGGGTTTCGCTCGCATTTGACCTTCAGGCTGAGCACGGCCGTGTTCCTGTCCGACAGACCCGTGCCTTTGGTGCCACTGTCAGGATGCTCCCCGACAAAGATTCTAAATCTTTCAAGGCCTTGCAGGCTTCCCTTCAACGGGACCAGTCCTAGCCGATGGGCGAGGACTTCATCTGCTATCACTGAAGTGTTATTCTGAATATAGACTTTCTCGATGGCTAGGGTGGGCACTTCGGCGAGGAGGATGCGGCGGAAAGCGTTGGCCACGGAGGCGTCAACCCCGACAAGAGAGAAGGTGGCTTCATGTTTTTGGTTCTGGTGGAAGAGGATTTTCAAGTTGTTCTCGAATCTGTCGAGGGACCAAGAGTTGTCTTCGCCCGCATGGTGACCGGGGAAGTCGGTTGATGTGATATTGGTGACAGTCTCGGCATTGACCCCGACGGTCTGCACGAGGAGACAGTCAGTATTGCGGTTTCATCTGTAAGGGAAAAACACAACCTACCTTTCGCCTATCAAGGCTGTCCTGTGAGGGTTGTATGGGAGCCATGAAGAGTTGGATGGTCGACTGCGCAGGGTGGCATGGTCTTCAAAGTGACAAAAAGAGAAACAAAAAGTTTCTCCAAAAATCGGCATTACATAAGCCGGTGGAGATAGCCACCCTCCACCAATCATAGACCCCGGAAAGCTCGACGTATTGTCCAAGCAGCGAAGCTACCAAGTCGCTGTCATTGACTTCTGACTTCTGTGGCCAAGGGCGCACTGCAAAGCCGACTCTACTTCGATTGATGCCGCCAACCTCAAAGCATCGTCTCGACGACAATTGCGCCTTCTTTTCTCTTGGCGTCGTGCCATAAAGGACAAGCATGACGATGGCGGCCTCGTTTGTGCGAGCTGCGAGCCGGCACGCACACACTTCCAAACGGCTTCGTCTCACACCCAGTCTTCAACTCCCCTCGAGGCAGAGACAGTCGCTCTTTTTCTCCCGTTCGATCTCGTCGACGGCTCCTCGAAATGCAGAGCCTGGTACCACCGGGCCTGTCTCCCCTGCCAACCCCGAACTTCCTGGCGGTCCCTTAGCCACCACGATCTCTCCCACCGATTCTACCTTTACCAAGCACGTCCAGCAGGACTCCAACTTGGTCAATAAAACCCCCGACATGAATTTGGGTGATGAATATGAGACGAGGAAGATCCGTCATTATACCGTCAACTTTGGCCCACAGCATCCCGCCGCACACGGTGTGCTACGTCTGATTCTCGAGCTCAATGGCGAAGAAATTGTCCGGGCAGATCCTCACGTCGGACTGCTGCACCGAGGCACGGAGAAGTTGATCGAGTACAAGACATATCTCCAGGCTCTGCCGTATTTCGACCGGTTCGACTATGTTTCAATGATGACGAACGAGCAATGCTTCTCCCTTGCCGTTGAGAAGTTGCTCAATATCGATATCCCGGAACGAGCCAAATACATTCGGACCTTGTTTGGGGAGATTACCAGGATCCTGAACCACCTGATGTCGATTCTGTCACACGCTATGGATGTTGGTGCTCTGACTCCTTTCCTGTGGGGTTTCGAGGAGCGAGAGAAGCTCATGGTATGCTAGGACGCCGCCTGTCTTGCCAGCCGCTAATTGATGATAGGAATTCTACGAGCGTGTCTCCGGTGCACGATTGCATGCTGCATATGTTCGTCCTGGTGGTGTCAAGGCTGATCTTCCGCTCGGATTACTGGACGATATCTATGCCTGGGCTACCCAGTTTGGCGATCGCATTGATGAGACTGAGGAACTCCTGACAGACAACCGTATCTGGATCGGCAGAACAAAGGGCATTGGGGTCGTTTCCGCCGCTGATGCTCTCAACTACTCGTTCTCTGGTGTCATGTTGCGAGGCTCCGGCGTCCCCTGGGACATTCGGAAAAGCCAGCCGTATGATGCCTACGATAAAGTCGAATTCGATGTGCCAGTGGGTCAGAACGGTGACTGCTATGATCGATACCTGTGCCGAATGGAAGAGTTCCGACAGTCTTTGCGCATCATTCATCAATGCTTGAATCAAATGCCTCCTGGTCCTGTTAAAGTGGAAGATTACAAGATCGCGCCACCTCCGCGAGCGGCCATGAAGGAGAACATGGAAGCTCTTATTCACCACTTTTTGCTCTTCACCAAGGGCTACACTGTTCCTCCAGGAGATACCTACAGCGCAATTGAAGCTCCCAAGGGCGAAATGGGTGTCTACCTCGTCAGCGACGGAAGTGAACGACCATACCGATGCAAAGTTCGAGCTCCTGGGTTCGCCCACCTGAGCTGTTTCGATCAGATCAGCCGTGGCCATCTACTTGCGGACGCAGTGGCTATCATTGGAACAATGGACCTTGTATTCGGTGAGGTGGACAGATAGGAGGGTCTGGAATTGAAGGATTTGAAGGATTTGGGAGGCGGAGGAAGGATTTTGAAAGCACTGGTGCGGCCAGGGGTTTGATGGTGAGACCCGAGGCTGAAAGTCCTGTCCTGAAGAGCAAAACAGGCCTTTCCACGGGGTCTGAGCAATGCATTCTGTGTATATACTGTGCTAGCCCTCACCATTCCATTTGTGTCAAGATTCTGCCATCATTGAGTGTGGCCATCGCAACAAGTATACCTGTGATATACAGTGGGCGCACAGGCTCGTATAGACCGAAAAGGGACTTTTCAGCCCTGGTTACCGGATTGGGTTAGTAGCTTGGGCCACAACCCTGCAGCGGCCGCCATAGCTTGCCTCGTAAGTGCCTAGTGAACCTCAGCTGGGAGCCTGGGAGCTTGAATCCTCCCTTCCTGCGCTTGTGTTGTGGGCTTGTGGCCCCTCGTGCAGCTCCTCCCTCTGGTGCTCCGCCACGAAATCGCCCCCAAAAGGTCCCAGCAAAGAGGAAAGAGGTGACTCCTGCCAGCGAACCTACAACTTCCACTCCTTTCCGCTACCTATTTCCTTCTGATTCTGATCAAGTGTCTGCACGAATCTTCCGTTCAGCCCTGATCATTCCTATACTTCTGTCCTACCTCTCTCGTGGTGCTGTGTTCGACCAGCCTCAATCGCTGTCAGCCCCGACAGCCCTACCCCGCAGCACTCGAAGACTTCTACGTGCGGCTGTATTCGCGTTGTGAGATAGGATTAAAGGCTGGAGGAACACCATTTTCTCTGTCCTTCAGCGCCCACTGCAATACCATACCCTCTTTCCCCGTCGCTCAAATCTTGGAGAATTTTAAGAGTGTCTGCGCAGGCCTTGGCCTGAACTATTGCAGCCATGAGTGCATGTGAGTCCCTCCAATGCCGCTGAGTTGCACTTCAACACCTTTGTTTCCAACAATTGTTGGTGATTTTGCATGGTCTGTTCTCTGTACTGTTCGCGGACTCTTGGGGCCGTCCACCTCTCCTAAAGCGCTTTCCATCACTCAAAGTGCGTCGAGGCTGATCCCGCACTGAATAGTCTCCGGTATGATGAACAAGCTGCAAGGCCAGCCCGACAGCTACGATAAGAAAGCCAAGTACCGTTTTGGAAAGACGCTGGGAGCGGGCACATATGGGATCGTTCGGGAGGCTGAAGTCGGTGGAGACAAGGTCGCAATCAAGATTATCCTCAAAAAGAGTGTCAAGGGCAACGAGCAGATGGTATACGACGAGTTGCAGATGCTGCAGACCCTCAGCCACCCTCACATCGTTCGGTTCGTGGATTGGTTTGAATCAAGAGTGAGACTTGCTTTGTCGTGGAAAAATGTGTCCAGAGACTAACAAGAGATAGGACAAATTCTACATTGTGACCCAACTAGCTACTGGCGGAGAGCTGTTTGATCGCATTTGTGACAAGGGCAAGTTTACGGAGAAGGACGCCTCGCAGACCATTAGGCAGGTCCTTGAGGCGGTCGACTATCTTCACGAACGAAACATTGTCCACCGAGGTAGGGAGAAACCACTCTTGCTTGGAATGCCGTCTGTTCTGACTTCTGCAGATCTCAAGCCAGAAAACCTTCTGTACCTCACCAAAGATCCAAACTCTCAGCTTGTTCTTGCCGACTTTGGCATCGCCAAAACATTGGAAGGCCCAGGCGCTGTCCTGACCTCAATGGCGGGATCTTTCGGCTACGCGGCCCCTGAAGTTATGCTCAAGCAAGGTCATGGCAAGGCTGTTGACATGTGGTCACTGGGAGTGATCACTTATACTTTGCTTTGCGGCTATTCACCTTTCCGTTCCGAGAACCTGGCAGATCTCGTGGATGAATGCAAGAGCGGTCGAATCATCTTCCACGAGCGCTACTGGAAGGATGTCAGCAAGGATGCCAAAGAATTCATCTTATCGCTATTGCAGCCAGAACCCAAGCGACGGGCGACGAGTAAAGAAGCACTCAAACATATCTGGTTGACTGGTGAAACGGCTTCAGATCATGATCTCTTGCCAGAAATCAGATCCTACTTGGCAAAGATGAAGTTGAAGCGCGGTATCGAGCTTGTCAAACTGGCCAACCGAATCGACGCCCTCAAGATGCAGGACGAAGAAGAACCCGGCTCGCCCGACGCAAACGATATACCTGCCAACGCACAAAATGCTGCTGGGTTGGCGGTCAAGAATCAAGCCAGGGGAGTTTCTCCTGGACGGGGTCTTGCCACGAATGAAACAGGAGAGAGGAGACCACTGAGCAATGCTGCAAAGAGTGCAATCTTCCGAGAAGTGGTTCTGGCGAAAGTCAGAGAGATGAAGGACAAGGAAAAGACGGATAAGCTGGTTGCAGATATCACCAAGGAGCATGAGAGGAGAAAGAGTTTCTCCGGTACAAGGTAGGTCTTCATGAAGACAGAGATATTGCCAGGAGATTCATGAGCCGGATGATCAGACACTTTGGCCGCAACCAGATTGGTGCTGTATCGACCGATTGGAACGACATTGTTATTCAGGGTGGCGCCACAATACCCTATTGTTTAAGGGCATGATGATGATCGCTGTCGGGATGTTATTCATGTGCAACGAGAAGTCAGCTATGTTTTCCGGTGGCCTAAGGCCGCGTTTCGAGCTGCGTGCTGAACAATCCAGAATGACTGCAGGCGCGTATGGTCAAAAATTCATAATGTGTTCACAAGGCCTAACGTCGACATCTCGTATTCGGACCGCTGGCTGTAAAAAGTATCATATCCCTCCACCTATTGAAACTAGCGACGATCTTCATCGGCCTGAGATGAACCGAAGTCTGGACAAGACATTTATTGCAACATTCTCCTCACCGCAACTCACATATGTACCTAACCTTGTACCCGTACCGGAGGTTAGAGACACAGGCTCTCTGCAGGAAACTTCCATTCTAACACTACACTTGGTGTTTCATATCAACTTCTCCGGATTTTCCGTCGTTGATACGTCCCTTGACGATCAGCAGTCCCGTTGCTGGCGTGATTGTCACTTCGCCAAATCATATTGGGCTTCGAATATTCACGGCGAGGGGCAGTTCTCGCTCTGAGATCCGTTCCTCTCATGACCCCATAATCCCCCTTTTCTCATCTGTGGCGGCTCTAATGGCAATGGAGTCATTCTTCAAAGACCGGGTTTATGCCATTTCGGGCGGTGCCAGTGGAATAGGTTTGGCGACTTCGAAACTTTTACTGAAGTACGGCGCCAAAGTCTCTGTGGGGGACATCAACATTCCTGGCAATCTCCTTGCAGACCTGACGAGAGAAATCCCTTACGCGGGGCCTAACGACCACCAGGCAGCAGAAATAGTCGCGAAGGAAACTATCCTTCTGAGAAAGGTCGACGTACGGTCTCGGAGTGACGTCGAGTCGTGGATCAACGAGACTGTCGAGAAGTTTGGGAAGCTGGACGGGGCGGCGAACCTCGCGGGAACGATTCCCAAGGATCACAACATTGGCGGCATCGAAGATGTCGACGACGAGCAGTGGCATTTTGTCTTTGATGTCAACGTGCATGGCATGATGAACTGTATGCGGGCGCAATTGAAATTTATCGGGAAAGACGCGTCAGACGGGCGAAGAGAAGGGGGAGCTGTCGTCAACGCCGGAAGTGGACTCAGTCTTCAGGGTAGGGAGTATACGACCGCATACACGGCGAGTAAACACGCTGTGTTGGGCATGACGAGGTGTGTGGCCAAGGAGGTTGGTAAAAGGGGTGTACGGGTTAATTGTGTTGCGCCGTGAGTTATGCATTCCCCCATTCCTTTGCCCCTTCTTTCACTCGATGCTACACACACACACACACACACACACACACACACGGAGGCATTACAATTACCGTTGCGTATGACCGAGGGAAGAAAGAAAGCGAGACTATGCTGACTCCGTTCACGATTTTGAACATGTGCCACAGGGGCTTCACAGATACCCCGCTAATGAAACAATCCATGGCGATATCCGAGGGTTCAGAGTCGGCGGAGGATTTCTCGTCTACCGCCCTAGGGAGAATGGCACAGCCGGTGGAGGTCGCAGACACGATCATTTATCTGTTGAGTGACAAGGCGAGTTTCGTGACGGGAGCCTGTGTTTCAGTCGACGGAGGTTGGTTTTGTTGATCCGACGAGAGTATTGAGTCGTCGAAGATATTTTTCCGTTTCCCGCCTCTGTACTTCTGCGTCGGAGGAAGTGTCGTGATTGCCATTGTAATTACAGCAGCCCCAGAGCTATCAGAGCTCTTGGATGTTCAAGGCTGTACGGAATGATAATGACAAGTGGAAGCTCTTCCAGTGGAAAAATAGGAGATCGGAATGAATCTCAGCCTTGTCCATTGTCATTGGCGGACGGTCAAGTCGCCGAGGTTGTTCGGAGGGCACAATGTCGTTCTCAGCATGAACCTCACAATAAGCTTGCTTCCCCTTCCACTCCTGTCCGGGCTACATTGTCGAATGATGCGCTGCTAACATGTCGGCACAGCGCGCGATCTGGCGTGCCTCTCGTGCCCTTGTCTCCTCCAGTCCCCCTACCTTCGCGGCCCCTAGATACTACTCCTCCTCTGCTGCGCCTCGAGCCGCGACCGCAACCGAGGAATCCAAGAATGCGATCCCTCCGCGCTGGCTCTCGGACACCAAATCCCGCATCGGACGATGCATCACCTTCGGCCTCTCTCCAAGCTTGGTCGACGAAGCCGCGCAAGTCCTGCGGATCCTGGCGCAAGACTGGCGGGAGCTCATCGCGGGGAGCGAGGGCTATCTGACGTCGAAAGCAAGAGCGGGTCTACACCGGCAGAACATCGTCTGGGGCGAGCAGGATTCCATGGGCCACGTGAATAATGTGATGTACGTCCGGTACGCGGAGAGCGGGAGGTGCAATTGGATCCGCAACTACAGCGGGCACATTGACCCGGCGCACAAGAGACAGTGGGAAGAACTATTGACCTCGAGGGGTATCGGGTTGATCCTGAAGAGCATCACGGTCGATTTCAAGTTCCCCATGACCTGGCCGGACCGGATCTCTGTCTACCACAAGCTGCGGTCCCGGCCGGACGAGTCGACAGAGTCCCTGATCCTGGACGTCTTGATCATGTCCGAAGTCCGCCAGCGTCCCGCGGCCAGATGTCTGGAAGATGTCGTCGTGTATGACTACCGCGCGGCAAAGAAGAGTACCCTCGAGCCATTCATGCTCGAACAACTAAAAAAGACGTTTGACTTGCAAGAGGCCGCAAAGAGAGAGAATCACGCAAAGATCCAATGGATTGAGGAACGTGTAAGGACCCTCGAGACCGGGTCCTGGGATAGACATGATGCGAAGGAGGACTTTGGCAGCAGCGCGGAGACCTCCAGACAATGATTATCGTGGACGACCCTCGTCCGCAAGAAGAAATAAACCACAAGCCTAAAGAGTGTACTACACAACAATGCTGAGTGCGAGCCGGTCGCCGTTCCATCGAACTCGACATTAGCACGACTTCTGTGAAAGTGGGCGGTGCAGTCAGACCCATCTCCTCCGGCGACATCACTGACACTAGATTTTGCCCCCCATCTCTCGAAGTTGATTTCTGAGCGGACTCGTTTGGGCTGATGTCGAGGGCACTCTGGGTTTCCGTTTCCTACCAGCTCAGGCCTGGGGTACGCGCCCGCTGGGTCATTTACTCCTTCCGACAACTCGCCCCCCCCCAGCCTGATACAGAGATTCAATCTGAGCCGTGTCGCTTTAATCACCCCAGACATGAAACCCACGCCCTCAGTCGTGACGCAAGGTCCCAAGGTCTCCAAGGCACCAAACCTGAAAGCGACACCGCGCTTATATGACAGAACAAAAAGAAAGACTCGTCGTGGGGAGACAAGTCCCGAAAGGGACGATCGATGCCTGCGAACTTTCGTCTTCTCTATCTAGGCGTGGATGCACCCGACTTCAACCTAGCATGGGAAGGCAGGGGCAAAGCTTTCGCTGGTTGCCATCTTGTATGGTCGCCCAACGGCCCGTGGAGGCTGTGGGTGGCCAACATTATCAGAAGGCAGATCTTATTTCCCGTGGATGAAGCTGACAGCCTTTGGGACACACGGGACATGATGTGGACATTCATTACAATCAAAGTCAGCCCTGAAATAGAATAGGTATGGGTGGAGGTAATATATGCGGTAGATATGTGACATTTCCAGCGTTATAGATGGCCAAAAGGAAGCTACGCAGTCATGACATATTGCTATTTATTTTCTGTCCAGCAATCCGCGGCCTGAGTCGTGTCCGTAATCCAACTTGATGGCTTCTGTCTACTCATTCCAAGACCGTGTGCGCCCCAAAGCAATTCGTTACCGAAACCCAGACGGTGAACATAGCAAACCCTCACCAGCATTAATCGTCGCGGTGGTGACTTCTCTTTATACTTCCGAATCTTTTCTTCAATCCTCCACTAAGCCTCTTGCCGATACTTCCACTTCTTCCGAGCCCCTCGCCGTCCCACCCCGATCGATCTACAGTGGGCGGAACGGGACCACTAGAGCTCCGGTTGCGATTCTTCATTTCGATGCCATTGCCGCCGTTGGCCTTCTGCTCCTCTTCAGAGATCTTGTGCTCTTTCAGAGCCTTCTCCAAACTGTAACTTGGTTCGCCCTTGCCTTTGACATCACGGGGGTCATATTGAACACCCGGCCATCGTTTATAGGCTCCACCTTCCGGCCCGCCTTCAATCATCATATTGTCGCCCTCTTCGTAGTTGTAGACGTTTCCGTTGCGATCCATGTTTCCTGGAGCGTACGCGGCGACGCCGTCGAGTGGTCTGTGGCCCCTGACGGAGTCAATGATTTTCTCCTTGGGCGTTGCTTTCAAAGCTTCCTGGTTGGAATCGGCTACGGCGGCCAACGGACTGTTCACTGAATTGTTACGTGCGAATAAAGTAGCGTCGTATGGGCCGCCGTGGTGATAGGCCCCGCCGCCGGTCATGTCAAGGTTGTCAATGATGTCCGGTTGAATGTGGTGTTTTCTGGTCGCGTGACGCGCCTTATCTGCCACGGCTTTCTCCTTTGTCAGAGTATCGAGAGGGCGGTGCGACATGTCTCCTGGATAGCGCTCAGACAGGGAGCTCCCTCGTCGGCGACGACCACTACCACCGTGGGGGCTGGAAGGGTTTTCACTCCCGAAGGCCTCTTGTCTATGGTTGGGGGACCGAGGCGTCTGGGGAGACCGTGGAGATTGAGGAGACTGTGAATGCTGCTTTGCGGCGGGTGGCGAGGTCGCTGAGGGCGGGGGTGAAGGATACGACTGCGGCGGGTATGGGCCCTTGTTGCTCGAAATCGGAGAATAGCCATTGCTGTTCAGTGAGGCAGACCGCTTGATCTCGGTTGTGGAAGTGTTGGAAATGGAGTTCTTGCGGTATGGGTTTGTCTTTGAGAGGCGCCTTCCAACCAGTTGCTTCGATTGAGGGGAAGGCTTGACTGGAGCGACCGTCGCACCAGGTCGGAAGGTGTTTCCTGGACCATCTTCTTGAGAAGGATCTGGGGCGTTCAATGGGTCAAGCAAGTACTTGGTAGCCTGAAGCGGAATGAGGGTCAGCCTTACGCTCTATTGATGCATTGAGGCGTATACCTGGATAGGTACCTACCCAGTTTTTGTCGCCGGTATCCATGGTCTAAGCTCATACGTGCGCAGATTCGCGGGCTGGAAAGAAGTTTCGTCGGGTAGTCGTGAGGTGAGGTAGGAAAGAATAAAGAAGTCAAGAAACAGCGATCTCAGCTTACACAAAGGTAAAAGGATAAGAGGGTTTCTTTCCACGTATGCACATGAATTAACAGCAGGTATAATTGGAGCTTTGAAGGATGCAGAACGGAGCGGGCGGGCGACCAACCCTGTTGCCGATGTCATGGTGGAGAGCACGCCTGAACAAGCCTGAGCAAGCCTGAGCAAGCCCGAAAGGAGGGCCACCCAAGGGCCACCTCCCAGCAGGGCAAGCGGGGCGAGCAGCCAACAGTTCTCGACTCCAGGCATCAAAAGCCACCCGGTCATTGGGCTTGTGCTTCAACGTCATCCACTAAATTGAGACTCCACGGGTGGTTGGTGCCTGGCATGATGTGGCATCCACCTGGGGATTGACGACTTCACTAGGTACCTACCTAAAGGCTAGTTCGGGACAGAGCAGTACTCGGCGCTCGTCGGTAGAGAACGCGGAACCAGCAAACACCATTCCACCATCACTGTATCACTACAACGTCAAATCATTGTCTGTATAGTCATATGCAGGTCCTCTGTACGAAAGCTCTGGAATAGACATCTTTATGCATGAAAGCCCGTTCCTCCGGTCATCCCGTTCCCGCCGCCCCTCGGATTCACCATTCTGAATTTGCACCTGCGATGCACTCCCCTACGGAAACGACTAGCGGACAATACGTATGCACAGCTGAGACATTGTCTTCGTCACCACCTTATCATTTCCACCTGCTTTTCAGTTACCACGCGTCAACACTGTTCGTTGGGCTGGCGCTCCTCGGCGGACCCTTTATCGTTGATCATCACTGTTTCCAAGGATCTCAACCTGCTCGAGCCCCTGCTGGACGCCAACTCTATCCACACCTGGCACCCAGGGTACATCTCATCCTCCTATCATCAAGCTTTGATGCCCGGCTTGGCAGGCACATTTACGCTCCAGCCATGTGTCTTTCTCACGGCGAGCTCTGTTGCTGAAACTTGATCATGGTCCTTGTCGACTACCCAGATTCCAGCTCTGAGAGCGAAGATCAAGACACGACGAAAAAGTCTATCAAGCAAGGAGGTGTGAAACGGAAGGCTGAGCACGTGGAAGCAGAAGGATGGGAGTCCAGCAGGCCCAAACCGCCTCCTCCACCCTTACCAACCTCGTTTCATTCGCTTTATGCAACGAACGCAAGAAGTTCGACTACCGATGACCCTTCCTTACACGCCGGTCGAACGCGTCAAGTACCCCATGCGGTAGGTAACTGGCCCACCCATATCTACCTCGAGTGGTATCCATCAAGGTGCTACCTCGCCATACTCGATACAGTGATACAGAGAGCAGGTTTGGCATTGGAACCAGCACCAAAAGACTCGAAACCCAATGTACACAGCTTTCTCCACTCTGAGTTGGGCGTCCAATTACCGCTTCACATCAGCCTATCTGCTCCTCTCGTGTTGAAGACGGAGCAAAGAGAACAGTTCCAGTCCTGCCTCGAATCAAAATTGAAGCAGGGCCGCATCAAGCCATTCACGGTCCAGGTGTCAGGCCTCGACTGGGTAGCGAACCACGATAAAACAAGGTTTTTCTTGGTTTTGAAGCTCATGAAGCCCGGCGACGATGAATTAAACAGGTTGCTATCGATATGTAATGCAGCTGCTCGGCAATTTGACCTGCCTCGACTCTACGAAGAGCGGTGCGACACTCCCACACGCAATCGGTCCCAGTCGTCGAGAAAGATAATGCGCGAAATGACTGATAAGTCGGATGCCTTTCATATCAGTATAGCATGGACTCTTGATGAGCCTGACAATCAAACCAGGCAAGAGCTCATTCGCCTTGTAGATGACAAGCTGCGAGCTTCGAAGGTGGGCTTCCCACTTCTAAAGCTCAAAATTGGGAATTCTGTGATGGATCATCCTTTCGCAACCGGCTGTGATGGAGACAAGTGATGACAACCATGTTGGTTTGACATGGGGAACGGGAGACTTCTAGCGTTTCTTTTGTCTTAACGCAAGACTTGTCCAGAACTGTCCCGCTCCATGCTCGACTTCGAACACATGCTTCCCACTCTTTCGGCTCCGAGACTTGCGGTGAGTTTGTCACTGGGTCTCTCGAGTCTGCAATTCCCTCAAACCAGCAAATCGACTGGTACGGGTGCTCGACGACACAGCATCTTGCTGGAAATCGAGCGGTCCGCTGCACGACGCCAACAAGCCGTAAGGGCGGTCCTGACTATGATGGGGATGTTTCGCCGCCCTTCCATCCACGACTTGGGAGGAGCTAGATGATAAGTAACCCCATTAACCTGGATAGATATCCATGACTGAATTGTCGATTGTAACTCCAGCTCGGAAAGAGTCCCTCAACTTTTCAGCAGCTTATTCCTCTTTTCTCTTCGCTTCCTCCTCTCGACCGATTTCTTGTGCATTTTCTCCGCCATCTTCTCATAGCGCTCCTTCTCCTCTTTGGCTTTCCGCCTGTCCTTGATTGCCTGGACACGTCGGTTTCGCTCGGCCTCTTTTTCTTCTTTCATTTCTTGTTCGCGAGCCTTGGTGGCTTGTTTGAGGATCTCTCGTTCTTTTCGTTTGGCATAGCTCGTCTGGCCGGCCGTCGGGCGGAAAGGCTTTTTGGGAGCGTGCCAGTTCTTGCCTGTTCATCTAGTGAGTTTCAGAAAATAGATTCAAACAGATGCCCCATACCATTGACTCTCATTCCAAGCTTTTGGACAGGTTCAGTCGCGGCTTTCGCTGTATGGGGTTCCGCCGCGGGCATTGTAGCCGCAGCTGGTGATAACTTGATGACTGACATATTTCCAGTCTTGTTTCTTCTGACAGCGACCACGAGCTAGTATAACTGGACTCTTTGAAGGTTGAGACTCAGAGGGTATCCCTCCCAAGGAAGGCAACACCAGAGGGGACTTAGTATGGAGTACTCCGTACAGTTGCGGCGGTGGCTGCGAAAATTGTTAATCTTATCTTATCGGGATAGGTCGGCCTTGAATCATATGTGTCTGACACAATCGATTTCCCTCATAAATCCCAGGGCTCGCGGCAATAACCTGCCTCGAATCTTGTTTTGATTCTGTCAGACATTCCTGCTTAGCATGAGGCTTTTCCCGCAAAATCTTTTTTTTCCCGGCCTTTCTCCACCTCTCAAGACAGAACTGTTGGACCCCTCGATGGTGAGGTTACAAAGATGAATGCAACACTTCATGGACCCTTTTGAACTGTTGCGGCTTCCTCCTGCTATAAATTGGCAGTGTTATGCTTGGCCCTCATGATAAAATTTCCTCGAGTCATTTCCACAGCCAGTTCATTTGTTGGTGTGTCACTTGGCTCTACACTCCGCTCCGGTTTTCGCACACGACGACACCGCTCTTCCCTCGCTTCAGCGAGCCCCTCTCTCTCACACAGCGCAATATGTTACTACGATAGCCTTTCTTGACTCCTTTCCTCACACTCACCCTCTGCATGGCAGCCTTTAAAGATGAGCTGCAGTCAGTCTCTGGCCTCGACCAGAGCAACGGTCAAACTCCTCGCACCTCCACCCCCCAACAGTCGGAGCTCCTGCTCACCCCTCCAAGCCAGAGCCTGGAAGCCCTGAAGGATATAGTCTATGGATCAACAGCTGGAATACTGGGGAAGTTCGTTGAATACCCGTTCGACACAGTGAAAGTCCGACTTCAATCCCAATCCCACGAGCCTGGCACAGTACCCCGGTTGCAAGGGCCCCTCGACGCCTTCTCCGCCGCATTTCGGTCGCCCGAGGGGCCTCTCGTGTCTCTGTATAGAGGTATCAGTGCCCCTTTACTCGGTGCCGCAATCGAAACATCCTCCTTGTTCTTCAGCTATCGAGTCGCGCAAGACATTGTTGTGGGAGCAACCCCTTCCCTGCGTGCCCAGCGAGACCGAAATCCTCAGGACAAGATTGAACTCCCCTTCTCCTACCTCATTGGCTGCGGTGCGGCCTCGGGAGCGTTCACGTCCCTCCTCCTCACACCTATCGAACTCATCAAATGCAAGATGCAAGTCCCCCTGCCCCCGTCCAACCTCGGCTCCAAGTTGGGTTACACAACGACTCGCCCGCCCGGGCCTATGCAACTCATCACCACAGTCTTCCGCACCCAAGGGCTTCTCGGTTTCTGGCATGGCCAGCTGGGCACACTCATTCGCGAAACAGGTGGTTCAGCCGCATGGTTCGGCTCTTACGAAGGTGTTAAAATGTTGTTCCTCCGCTCGGATCCCAGTCTGAACCACGTATCAGACGTCAAGGTGTGGCAGCAGATGGTTGCAGGAGCAGCGGCGGGCATGTCGTACAACTTTGTTTTTTATCCGGCTGATACGATCAAATCACGCATGCAGACGTCCAGTCCCGATGTCACCTCTGGACAAAAAAGACTGACGTTCCTTTCGACGAGCCGAGATTTGTGGCGAGAACAAGGACTCAAGGGATTCTATCGAGGCTGTGGGATCACAGTTTTCCGTGCGGCGCCAAGTTCAGCGATCATTTTCAGCATCTATGAGGCGTTGCGGAGGTACTTTGGCTGATGAAGTGGAAGTGAGCGACAGAGACCTCTGGTATCACTTCCTCTTCCACAGCGGCACATCAGCAAGGCTTAAGGAGGCGGGCAGTGAACAGGCGGCAGAAGCCTCCAGCAACGTGGGGATAGACCACCCCTTTCCATCCCGGGGCTAGGCGAAAAACTTTATGCGACCCGATATGTAATGGGTTCGTTGTCGACCTGATTCAGGTCAGTGGGGCGGTCAACACGAAGGCGTGAAATTAAACGGCCCAACAGTCATTTCTGTGTGCTGAAGCCGAGGGAGACGATTTTACATTGAAGAGACACATTGGGACTCGCCAAAGGGCGAGCTTTGGGGCCAAGGAAGCTCGACAGCACGATCAAACCCTTGCAGCATACATATTCAAAAGGTCTAAGCATGCATGAAAATGGTGGTGGCGTCGGATATCTCAATAGACATAGAACGAGCTTTGGGTTTTTGTCTCCAGAGCATATTTCCAGCATTGCATGAAGGCGGCCTTGGGGCATCTTCTGAACTAGATCCATTATCAAAGGCCTTGAATGTCCGAAGCCGTTGTCCGCTTCTAACTTGCTCCTTCAAGTATTCCGCAATCAGCCTTGGAACTCCGGGGGTTTCGTTCTGGCACTCATTGTTTCACTTCTTGAACACCAGCCGAAACTTGAAACTGATCATAAACGCCGCATCGCTGACGCCGACTTCCTCGCCGTCAGTCACCAACTCCCTCATCCGCTTGGAGAGATTGGGCCTCGTCTGCTCCTCCAAGCTCTTGGGCGCCTGGACGTACAGCGTCTTGGCCTCGGTCCGGATGCTCGGTTTCTTCAGCTGCGCTTCGGCCCTCTCGGCCAGACTGGCGAGGAAGTCTTCCAGCGTCCACTCGGGATCAATGGTCAGCGTCTGGGCCAGGTTCCCGCAAACGGGGCAATCGTCCTTCTTTTCTGCCGCGAATGTGTAGGTGTAGAGGCCCCCTTCGTTGGAGTCGCCCGTGTACATCATGTAGTTCTCCAGAAAGGGCGCACAGGACGTCGCGATCTTTAGTGCTTCGTTGCAACAACTCGCAGCGATGATGGCGTTCGTAGACGCGATTGCGGGGATGATGTTTTTCACCACGCCCTGAGTCATCGAGTACGTCACACCGGAGATATTGAACTCGTTGGCACGTTTCAGCGCGGTCGTATACAGCCAGGAGATGTGTTCCGGGTCGTCCGTGTCGAGGGTCTCGCCCTTGCGCTGTTCTTCCCACGCGATGATGTGCGCCCACTCTATGCAATGTTGAGGTTGGCGCGGGATGGTTGCCAGCGTGCACAGGGGCACCGCGGCACGGGGTGCATGCATGGATAGTTGGCACTCGATGCACGAAGTGAGGCTGGGCAGGATGACTCGCGCTTGGCCCTTGAAGCCTTCGGTGCCGCCGTCGATCAGTGGCTTGAGGGACTCCGGGTTTTCCATGTCGACCATGTCGACGAGCGTGGCGTTGATCCAGCGACGGGCTTCAATGCTGTCAAGCCCACAGATGACCAGCTTGAACTGCATGTAGTATTCTTCGTCCTTGTCCTGAATCTTACCGTTGTAAGGGGTGATTTTGACGCCCGGGACACGTTTCTCCACGAACCTTGCGGCGACTTCGGCTTTGGATTTGCCCACGTCGGAGTGGCGGAAGAGAAATTGACGGTTCAGGTTGGAGACGTCGATGGTGTCCATGTCGATGACGTGGATGTCCTTGAAGCCGGACAAGGCCAGATTCTTGAGAATCTCGCATCCTAGGCCGCCGGCGCCGATGACGAGGACTCGTGACGATTCAAGAGCGTTGATTGTCTCTTCTCCAGGCACGAATTCCTCTCCTGCGTACGGTGACGTGGTTGATAAGATGCGGTCAAGGTAGGTCCTTGGTTATTGCTGTTAGACGGGGGCACTGTGCACGGCGCACTGGCTTTGAGGAGACTTACCATCGATCGCGTGGAGGCGTGGGGGTGCCATTTGTGAGCAGGGAAGAGATGGGTATCGACATGGTGAAACTATACAAGCGTCTCTTGACAGGGATACCTCGGTGTCGAAGAAATCCTTGATCCCGTTGAAGTAGGATTTCAACGAATGACGGAGTTGCAATCTGATATGCAGTCGTCCAAATGGAGAAGCCTTCACTGCAGTCGCTCGCGTGGCTTGTTACAACGAAGAGATCGGCTGGCTACACAGAGATTGGCTGGCAGGCAACCGCATCTCAAGCCTCAACCGCCAGCCTTTATTTTCATGTATCGCATCAAGCCTTGTGGAATGGCGTCTAGGAATTTATACCTTGGGGTCTAGAGATGAGTTTCCAACTGGAGAAACTTACGAAGCTTCAACTTTTCGTGCCTTGCATCTTGGCGGTCAGATGCTGCTTTGCCTGGCTGCCCTTACAGTAATATGTAACCAAAAACCGACATCCTTTCTCACAGCGCTCTCTATCCCAACTGTTCTTGTTCCTACTGCTATGCCAACATAAAGCGAACCATCGTGTCACCCAGGGATGACCTGCTTATAAATCGCCGCTTCCTCAGACTGATCGCCTGCCAAGGGCCAATGCAGAGCTTCTTTCAGAACAAATGATCAACTGCGAGAATTCCGGTACAGCGTAACAAATCGTCTCGCGGACACTGTCAACGTCGCCCTTTTGATACCGGAGCTTTTTGACCTGTCGCACCGTCCTACCGGAGAAACAACCCTTTCCACCAAGGCATTGGTCGTGATATTTGAGTCTGGATTTCACGATGCCGCTCTAGAGACACGTGGGGGACAACTTGGGGAAGATACAAGCTTTTACGGACTTTTTCGCCACCACAGAGGAGCAAGCTGTAGCTCCACTTCTTGAGCCTGGCCTCAGTTGGACGCCGCTCGCGCGAATGTGTGCAGCTTGGGACTCTGTTTGGGGAACTAGACAATTGATGGCAAAGGTTAGTAACCCTGTGCATCCCTAGTGCAAGAAGAACTGGCCGAGGCTGGCGAGCATGCTTCGGTTGCATTTTCGCTCCTGCCATACTTGGTCCGGCAGAGACGGAACATGCTGAAATAATGAGCAAGATAGTATTCTTGAGATGGACTTTTGGGAAGAGTCAAACCAGGATGTTGAGGGTCCAGAACCACAATGGATGGCCGCGGGCTGCGCTCTACCGGTTGTGGACAAAGCTACAAAGGTACCTAGGTACGGGCATCGCTTAACGCAGGGCAGCTGGCAGGCTCGATCTTGGGATTCTTTTCGACCTCCAAGATTCAGCTGGCGCCACGAACGCCTCTGCATCCACATTCACGACACGGATGATCGAGACACGCGGTCTCTTTTTGGAGCTAGTTTGCTTTGGCCAGCGCAATGTCTTCCGGCCCAATCTTCATGTACCTGCATACCGCCCTGAATGACAGGTAGGTTTAGCACCGGCCGATCTCAGGCCTTTCGCAACCTCTCAAACACCCTCATTCTTCCCCATTCTGTCTCAAACACGCAGATCCGGTCGTCCAGATGGACGGCAAACGCATACGCGAGCAAAGACTTGCCCCAAACACGGCAGGTCGTCATTTAGACTCTGCCCTGGCGTGCAGCCAGCTCGAGGCGACCCCACGGTTCCTTCAGCTCAGCACTGTTCCTCTTGACACCGCAAGGTACTCGGTACTTCAATCATCTGTCAGGGTCTCTTGTGCAGGCCAGAACATGAAGGCGTCAAAAGGTCGAGCTGAAAGTAATGGCCTCGTCGCCTAGACTCTGTCTGGATGCAAAGGGCTTCCTTCTGAGCAGTCATGACGATCTCTCCCCTGCAATTGCCTTGTCGTCTCCAGATCTTCCGTCTCCTACAATCCAGAAGCTGGATGGTCTAGATTGTCATAGAACGGTGTTCAACATGAGGTTTGAATATAAAGCACCAGACTTTCACGACTGATTTCAGATCACAACATTCCTGTTCGACCACCACTCCAAACCACATATCCTTTGTGACCACCATCACCATGAAGTTCATCATCCTTCTTTGTGTGGCTATAGCCTCTATCTGCGGCGCCACCAGCAATGTCTGCAATTCAGGGATTTACGAGCTGTTATCACCTCTCAGCGCGTACCCTCCAGCGCAAAGCTATTGCTCAGCGCACTATCCACCAACGACAGGTAATGCTCTTTGAAGACTTCTCCGGCTGGTGAGGGAACTCATGGTAGTCTAGTGACTGTCTCAACCACCATCCTTAGCAAGAAGAGATTCAGGTTTGCGCGAGCCACGCCCGCTGCCGAATACAAAGGAGTGGTTCCCAAGAAACGCCATGCGACCACGACCACTCCTTCTCACACAACCACAACGACCGTGGACGCAAAGGCGGCCCAGTGGTCGAGCTTCCTGAAGACAGCTGGAGCCATCGTCTCCACCTTCTGCCAGTGCATTGAGAGTCATCCTACGGTATGCAGCTTTCTCTCTCGCTTCCACTGATTCCTCCTTCTTTCTGGCGCTCCATCTGCATCTCGCTCATTAGTTCGCAGGTTGGTGCCCCTCCTTCTACAACTACATCAACAATCATTCAAAGCACCTCCTCGGCTTCTTAGTCCGGGGGAATAATCTCGGTTCGGATGTCCTCAACAGCCTGAAGAACCTATGCCACCACCACGGACTAAGCATCTCGCTAATCGGCTCCCAGGTTGGTCCTCCTCCTTCTACGACAACTTCATCATCGACGACGACCACCACAGTGGGCTAAGCATCTCGCTAACCACACGCTGGTGATCCTAGGTTGGTCCTCCTCCTTCGACGACTTTCAACAACCACCACCTCGGCGGCTATCTCCACCACAACTCCTCCTTAAGACCGTGTCTCGGCTCAGATGTCCTCAACAGTCTGAAGGACCTACGTGAATAATGGGGCCCCCAGTATCCCTCTGACACTTAGTCCGCAACACATAACGATATGGATCTCGGCGGGAGGGCCTGTGCTGACCCTCGGCGGCGGAATGCTTTTGCAATGCAGGAAAATCAGGTCGCTTCTGATTTAGAAATCCCCAAGCCTAGCAAAATAGTGAATCAATTCTGTAATACTGAATGGCATCCCACTGCGATCATGTTGACAGACCTCCTCAAGGTCTGCTCATACTAATCGTTCCTTCCAAAATGCCGTAATGGAGCCGTGGTCAACGACATGGTGTTGTAGGACATCGCCTTTGAACTTCGTCCACACACTTGACAAAACACATTGTGATCGTCGTTGAGCTTGGGATTGAATGTCGGGCTCCACTACTAGGAAAATGGAAGTCAGATGGGTGGGCCAGTGTACCTGGATTCCCCAGCACTCGTGATGTTACACAAAATATCTTGGCGTATGCAAGCCTCCAGCGGACTCAGATAACTTGACTTACTCCTTCAACCCTGAGGGGTACTGCACCATTTCACCAAAATCACCACATCACTATGCGACCGCGGACATGGACGGCCTATTGGAGCCCATCAAGACCACCCGCAAAGTGCAGAGGAATATTGACAAGTTCGAGACCCTGTCATTGAAAGATCCTGCGCCAGTATCACGCCAAGTCAGTACCCAACCTAAGATATCTGTTCTCGACATCACAACAGAGGCCAGTGACAGCGCAGACGACACACTTAGTCTTCGTCCCTCGGTTGGCACGTCTACAAGTCGGATATCTACAGAGGTGCAACAGACGAAGCATAAGCGTCAAGACTCTACGGCGTTCCTCCAGAAGACTTATCTAGACAAATCGCCACCTGCATCGCTACTCGATGATGCGCTTGAGATTTTGAAGAATCAACCAAACAGCGAGGACCTGGCAGCCGTCTTACAGTATCTTCAATACGGCATTGAAGGAAGACACGACTTCAACATTCACGTGCCGGCGCCCAAGGCCTCCCAGATCATTAACATACTCGTCACTGTCACCATTCCCGACCAATGGCTTCATTTGCGACAACCCACGCTTTCGAGAGCAGATATGCAGCTCAGAACAGCCCTGCTATCCTCTCTCACTAGTGTCGCCGGACTCGGTGCACTATTGATGCAAATCAGACGCCTTTCTTCTATGAACGCCGGCCAAGATAGTTCGCTGTTGGAAGATACCGTCTTTGTTCTATCGACGATCCTTGCCGGCAACACGATCATTTCCAAATTCTTATCCCATGCTGTGAAGACTATTCCCGCAGATACGCAGCGACGTGTCTTCTGGCAAGAAGCGACTGCTCTGCTTGCAGGCAGCAAGATCCTCACAACCATGTCGCAAGTCTTTGCCACGTTTCGGGACGTGAAAGGAGCAGGAGAGAATGGCAAATGGCTTGGGGACGGAAATGAGTACTCGAGATGGCTTGCACGCAATATTTCGTCCGCCGCAGCAAGCTTCAACACGATGCCGCACTCCAATTCCCAGCAGATGAGCCTTCTCTGCCAGGTGCTGAAACGCGGGCTTAATCTTGGGTATCGCGGTATGACTCGTTCAAACATTTTGGCGTACACACCTACTAACAAAATCATAGATACGTTAGTCAGCGAGCTCTACAACTCGCTTCTTCTCGGGAAGCGAGCGTTGTGGACCATAATGCATATTTTAATCCAGGGTCTTCCAACGTATGATCAAAAAGTCCTCTTTGATACCATCCTACGAGACCTTGCACGGAGATATTTCGCCAACGGAGCAGATATCGTGGGACCGAAGGAGCTGCTGGAGATGAATACCTCCACGGTCGGTGGAGTGGCAGCCATGATCAACGGGGTCGTCCAGAACAGCCCCCTCTTGGAAGCACATGTTATTCATTGGTTGACGAGCACAAACGGAGAATACGCTGGTCTAGGTCTGAATACTCGTAGGGCTGTTATTGCAACCCTGGCGACGAATCAAGGTTCAACAACTGTCTCACATTCCTTTTGCAACCGGCTAACTTCTGCCAGACAAGCTTGAGCAAATCCTCGAGAGAAGTCTGGAGAACTTCGGGAACAAACTACAAATTCAGCGTGATGCTATTCTCCAGCAGGAGTGTAAGTGAACTCTGCAGAACGCGTCCACCCTCTCTATTCGACACTCCTACCAGATGGTAGAACCTGTGCTTACATGTGCCTGGGCTCTTATAGCGACCGCTCAAACTATCCTGCTTGCCTTCGGCTACCTAAACCGTTTGGATCACAGCTTAGTCAAAAAGTTTTCGGGTTCGAGTGCTTTCGTTCGGGCGGTCTCCAATCGACTTTCTGCATCGGTTCCTCGCGCCCGGCTTTTGGGGATGATAGTCGCGGTCGCAGTCTCGAGGCTAGTAGATCAGCCGGACAAGGTCATGAACTTCGGCGTCGAGGAGATGGAAGGTGAGGAGGCGGAGCGACTGATGGAGCTAGTCAACATACAAGACGCAGTTGGAGGTTTGGAACAGCTGCAGAAGAAAACAGTCGAGCCCTTGAAGAAGCGTCCTTTCCACAAGACCCCAAAACCTGCGAGCCGCAAACGGCGATCAACAGAGCCACGACCTCAGGGTTCTAAGATTGTGGCCATTGAGGAAGTTTTCGACTCGGACGGAGCACCCTCGGTTGAGGAGGAAGAGGAGGATCTCCATCCTTATCCACTACCAGATAGCGATCCTTCCGACTCAGACGAAGACCCTACACTGGTCAACCGAAGCAAACCAGCTCCTCCAGTCTACATCACATCCCTCATAAAGCAGCTCAACGCAAACGACGACCCCTCCGTGGTCGGGCTGGCAATCAAGACGGCACCATCTTTGATACGTCGGAAGGCAAACTTTGGCGATGAATTATCCACCAATATCTTCCAGTTGGCTTCATCTCTTGTGAATGTGCAGGAAGGCATGTCAACGGAAGACATGCAGCGATCAAGACTGGAGGCCATGATCGCATGTCTGGTTTCAATACCTAGGGTAATGGGACCCTGGATCATAAGCACGTATTTCGAAGGGGATTTCTCTCTGTCAACACGTGCGGCCCTGTTGACAGCAGTTTCTCTGGGAGCTAGAGAGCTGGCAGGAATCGACGATGGTATCGACAAACCGTCTAGGACCGAACGCCCGAACGAGCCAGCATTTCCCTCAAATCGACTACCACCGCGTCTTGAGCCATTCTATTCCTCCTCGACACCGGTTGACACCATTTCAACAACACTGTCCTATCGCACGCTTCAGCCAATGGCGCTGCAAGCGGCCGATAAGCTCACAGGGCCGGACATCCTCAAGGTCCGTACATTTTCTTCGCGGATGGAAGTCGCCGCCAAAACAGCCGCGAAGCTCGAAGCCCGCTCAAAACGCATCCCGAAGGACCTGCACAAGCTGCTTGCAGAAGCAATTTACCTACCACTTTGTTCGCGACTGACTCTTCTCCTCACTTCGCTAGCCACGTCGCCTTACCTGGCACATTCCACCCTCCTACACCCCTCCTTGGTGAAACTGAGCCTGCAGACACTCATAATCCTCCTCTCCACCATAGGTCCGAACGCTTTACAGCTCTCCACACTAACCCACGAATCCCTTTTAATGCTGACGACGCTCCATACTCTGCCTAACCTAGCACACGATGCAATCGTTCTCCCTCCCATTCTTCACTTGATCCTGACACTTCTGGACCTGAACATCGAAGCCGGGAAAACAGCCGAAGAACGCCTGGTCACAGACTTTGGGCCCATGTTTGCAGAGCTAGTCTCCTGGGCCAGCAGCCTGGGAGATGGCGTTTCAATACCCGAGGTGGATGGCGATCCCGAGTTGGGAATGGCAATGCCATGGCCTGTTCTTGTTGCAGGAATACAGGTCAAGTGGCAGGATGTTGGACGGAAGTTCCAGGGCAGGATGTTGGGTTTGATGGCAGGCACCGATTTCGACTCTTTTTGAGTGCCATGTCAGATATTAGCTCCTCGTTGGATTCTGATGGGACTGGAATTTTGGCAAAAAGGGCAACCCGCGAGGCTGCAGTGGCTCTCGACACGGAGGTGCGGAGGATGCCAAGAGACTAAACCAAATTCAACTTTTTCTCGCCAATGGTCGTAATAGCAGATGCTGCAGAAGACTTTGTATCTCTCTGCTCCCTTAGATACCATTCCCGCATAGCTGGTTTTAATTCTTTGCGTCTTTGTTATCTTGCTGGCCTTCTTCTGTCAATATGTAAGTATTTGCTACCAGTCAATGTGAAAATGGTGTGCTGATGATTGCCCAGGTATGCACTACGCCGATGCGCATCGCGCTTTCTCACCTCTCGACCTTCCATTGTCTCCTCATCGCGGACATACACTTCCATCAGCGCTCCCACGTCGCGGTTAATCGGGAGAACCACCGCATGCTATCCTCAGCAACGGCGATGGGCCACAAATGGAGCCCAAGAAAAGGAGAGCAAGCCTCCCGTCACTGAAGTAGAGCCCACGAAATCAGAAGCAGCCGAGAATGCAGCTCAAACCCAGGCTGCCAGCACAAGAGCTGCTCCCCAAGCTTCAGAGTCTGCGAACATCACCGAGGCTGCAGAAGAATCTCTTCCGGCTGCAGTGATCAATGAAAAGCTCACTGCCGAGACTGGGCCTGCGCCGACCGGCCCTGCGCCAGCAGTTGCAGAAACCGCCAATGCGACCGAAGCAACAGAGGAGGCATTACCTGCTGCTGAGACGGGCGAAAGATTGACAGCCGATTCACAAACTGCACGTTCGCAGTATCCAACCCAGGGTAATGCTGGCATGTTTGACAAAAAGCCTACACTTTACATTGGCAATTTGTTCTTCGATGTCACTGAAACCGACCTTGTCAAAGAATTCGCCCGCTTCGGCACCGTGACCACGTGCAGGATCGTTCGGGACCCCCGTGGCTTAAGCAAAGGGTCAGTATCTTCTGACCTCCAGCCCATCAAGCCCTGCTAAAATTGCTTTAGATTTGGATATGTCCACTTCTCCACGCAGGAGGCCGCAGATGCGGCTATGGAGAATCTTAACATGTCCCTCTTTGAAGGTCGTCGCATCACAGTTCAGTACGCTGCACGCCACTCCGGCATCCTCGACAAGCAGGATGCCGAGCGCAAGCCCATCAATCCTCCCTCCAAGACTCTTTTCATTGGCAACATGTCCTTCGAGATGACCGATCGCGATCTTACGAATTTGTTCCGTGGCATAAGAAATGTCATCGATGTCCGTGTCGCCATTGATCGACGCACCGGGCAACCGAGAGGGTTCGCGCATGCAGACTTCATTGACGTCAAGAGTGCCATGGAAGCGATGAAGCTGCTGCAACAGAAGGAGATCTACGGTCGAAAACTGAGAGTTGATTTCTCGTACTCCTCCGCAAATAGGGCTCCCAGGAACGACCCGCCCGTTGAAAATAACTAGGCTGGCTTCTGGAGGAAGCCTTCGGCGCTCCGTAATCCAGGTCAGCCCTTCCTCGTCGTCCTTGCCGCAGTGCATCCGCTTGTGGCAGGTAACAACAACGCTTCCTACAGGTGATCTTATGCTCCTGAAGCTCGAAACTGGAGCGAAGCTAAACCGAGACTCGATGAGTCGATGACTTCCCGGTGGAGCTGCGCTCGGCGAGTCTGGCCCCGGGGATAACATCACCGTGGCTGCGCAGGGAAGTCACTAGGCAGGCTGACTACTAAGGAGAGATGGTCAACGGTGCACATGGAACGTCCACTGGCAAGCGAGTGTACGGTTTGTGCTGGGCAGCAAATCTGAAAACGCTGTGCCTCAGTTCAACTTGCCATTGTAACAATCTAGCAAGAGCGCGGAGGGTCATGACTATTGGGCTTGGGTGTATATGTTTGAGTACGACCTGCTAAATTTTCTAGTTCTCATGACGCTGGTAGCCGGCTTTGCGGGCAAAGGCTGACAGCGTTCTGGCCACAGGCGGGAGACAGCTACAGAGGAAACGGAGATCGAGGGTGCAAACTAGGGAGTCTATCGGTCAGTGTGAGGCACTTTAATTTCTCGAAGCCTGACGCCGTGTCTCAAGATAGTCTCAATGCGCCGTGTACTACGATTGTAACATACCTAGGTAGAAAGATGAATCTCTATTCCTGAGGAACTGTCCCACCCTGAAAAGACTATGTATACAAAATACCCGGCATATATATGATGTTTGAAATAATCGAGAGGGAGCAGATGGCACGCGGGACTGTATGACATATCATTCAAGCTATTGAATTGTACAGCTGATTGCCCGTACCGCACCGATTAAGACGTAGGCGCGTACAACGCTGGTAGAAGGTGTGGGATGGGTACCTAGCTCGCTAGGTACCGAGTACTGTAGGTAGTGTTAGGCATTGAGAGTGGGTCATGCTATCGCTCCCGCTCGGCCACAACTTCTTTTGACCTGCCAATGTATGTTATTTCAACCTGATTCTCAAAACATTCGTCAAACATAACGCTGTCTTTGTGTGTCTGTGCCGGATCGCTGAAGTTATCAAAGGATGGGCTCTATCCGTATTTCCCACATTACAATGTCCAAGACAGGGCGACTCAAGCCAAGGCTGCCACGCCGTTGTAGCACACAATGCAATCCTCTGCTCTCATTTTGCATTGGCTTCTGTTACCCGCCGTCCTCTTTCGCCCACATGTGCTACCACGGCCACGTTGCGGGCTCGACTTCACATTGTCAGCACGGGATGCAAGATTGTTGATTTACGTCTGACAGCCGCTCAAACTCCTGGAGAGAGTCCAGTCAAGACATTGTCATGCTCGAAACCCCTTGCGGCCCGACTCGTGGGTTCATGCTTCCGCAGCGGAAATGAGTCTGGCGCCATGTTCGGTGCTGGGAGAAATGTCCAAGTAGTCCTTTCCGCGCGAAATCAAATCCTGGAGAAGATTGTACTCCATAACCCACTTCATCCGATCGCGAATGACTGTCGGATTGAATGTAGGAGTGACCTTGGCAACATCGTCGGCGCTTCCCAGCTTACCTGCATCATAGCTCGTCGTAGTGATTTTGTCAGTCCTAGGCTTTCGCAGCGTCTGATAGAATTTTAGGGCGCTTTGTAGGTCGTTGTCTTTCCAGGTCCTGAGAATCGTCGCCAGCGCGGCACCGGATTCAATGGCCATACAAGTCCCCTGGGCTGAGCAATGACCAGTGTCAGCATATCCAGGATCAATTCACCTCCCCCAAGAAAAGGTAGCAGGGAAAAAGTCGTACCTTGATGAGGAAGAGTAGAATGCACGGAATCGCCGACTAAAACGATCCCAGAATCCGGTCGGGTCGGCGACACCTTGAACCATGTGTCGACGGGCTTTCGCACGTACAAGGCTTGCTTCAACATTTTGCCGTCGGGAGACGCGGCCTTAAGAGCGGAAATGATGTCTTGGGCCTCGCTTGTCCAGTCTGTTATATGGGCAGCGAAGTGGTCAATTTCGTCCCGGATAACCCATTGCTGGGCTGTCCACTGCGCGAGTGGCTCCGGCATAAATGCAACCACGCAGATCCGCGCCGAACCGGACGCTTCGTTCCCGTTTGGGAGAGTGAGGATATGCTTGTGCTTGCCCCGGAAAATAACTACCCGCCTTAGCATTTCTGCGGTGGCTGGTGGGAGGTCCTTGTAGTCGATATAGGTGCGATAAACAACTTGCCCAGAGTAGACCAGCTCATCGTCCAGTCCCAGGTGTTTGCGCACCTGAGACCGAATCCCATCACATCCGACGATGATATCGGCTACGGCGACGGTTCCATCTTCGAAGATCACTCGGTATGCCGGCCCGTGTTCCTGGGGCTCGATGGCAGAGAGCTTCTTGGAAAGGTGCAGCCGGTCCGCCGGAATCCGATCCTTCAGCACGTCCAGAAGATCGGCACGGTGGAGTTGACGCGAGGCCGGCTCACCCCATTCATCGATCTGGCCCAAGTATTCGGCCGTCTTCCAATCGCGGTACTCCTGTTGTCTCAATCAGCAGTGGTTCCACGAGTGAACGCCCCCGGTCCAAGTGGGCGGGCAGACCATAAAATGAGGAGGATCACTATTGGATTTCCAGAGCATCTTCTCTTTCAACCCATACGAATCGAGGATGCGACAAGCGTTTCGCGTGATGTCGACTCCCGCACCGACTTCAGTGAACTCCGGTGCTTGCTCGTATAGATGCACGTCGGTCAATCCGGCGAACAAGGCTGCATTCATGAACGCCATGCCTCCCAGGCCCCCGCCGATTACCACGATCTTTGTGTCTGCAAAACCCATTGTGGACCCGAATTTATTCTGCGCCGGTGGGTTTACAAGTTGTTTCAATTGTCGATGGATGTCAAGTTTTTGTTATGAGGAGGCTGGCTAGCTTGACGCCCCTTACTTCGAGTATGATTTAACTTACCCCCATCCTTTCACCCAAGTGCCCCCGTGCCCCCCGCCCCTTGGACCTCCACTTGTGGCAGCAATTGGGACAGACAAGATCTGTCGTTTCACACCTTTGGCATTCGCCAACGTCCTGATAATTAACCACTGCTCTTACCGCACCTGATGAGCAGACTCCTGGACGCTACGGCTGGCTGTATGCAGGTTTGTTATCGTTCGAGATCGTTATCAGTGGTCCCAAATTTTCCTGCTACTATTCACTTATGGCAATGGGACATGACACGTACCGAGAGGAGTTCCGTATCGGTTATCGACTTTCCTCGGATCTGACCTTGTCCTCGTCAGCTAGCACTACGACTCGGCTCCGCCAAACCTGCGCTGTGACAGATTGACCGACCAGGGATATTAAGAAATGCCACCACAGGATTCTTTGGCATTGCATCAACGCACGTGATGTAGGCTTTGGGCAAGTCCTGCGTACTCTATTCTCTATAGTGGGCACAGATCTATGAGAGACTAGAGTCACGGGCATGTGTTTGTGCTAGGTCTTGCTTCGCCCTCATTGGCCTTGGTAAGTTCATTAGAAGAGATCGGCACGCGTTTCTGTCATCTCCCTACACAGTCTAGCTAACCTACACTCTTACGCTTTGGTCAAAAGTCGGCTGGAGGGATGCGTAGAGAAGGATGATGGTGGAAAACCAAGATTGAGTATCGAGATTTGGAGCAAGTACTTACCACAGGCAGTTCTACAATGAAGCCAGGGTGTCGGGTCTGTCAAGGTCCGGGATGGCGTTTCTTATCGCGCCTCTCTCGTGATAGTTCACCCCCACTCCTGGGTGAGAAACCATTCATTAACTGTCTGCTTGGCCATCACAATCCAGAGCGTAGAGCGCTATTCAAAGAGTTCCGAAGTTCCCTCGCGGAGTACAACCTCTCTCTGTGAGAGCCCACTGTTCATCCTGCATTGTTTTACAATTGTGGCACATAGTGAAACTTCGGCATTGAGAAGAAGCCAGATGGAGGACCAACCCGAGAAAGCTTGTCAGTCTGTTCCTGCCAAGGACGCAAGATTGTCTACGACCGAGCAAGGAGTCTGTATCGACTACAATGTCACGTCTGTCCTGGCGACCAATCGTCTACAACGGTTTGCTAATCGACTGGACGCCGCCGTCGGTGTGGAGGCCAGGGGTATCGAGCGTGTCGACCCGGAGGCTCGCAACCAGAAATGCACCCTCTCCGACTACCTTGCGGTCGGAGTCATGTGGTTCAGTATCAAGTACGAATGACAGAAAATTGGGCATATCTTTTGCCAGACTTGAATCGGATCGCACTGACATCTGGGGTGTCCACAGCTGCACGGCGAATCAGTTGACCTTGGGAGTCCTTGGTCCAGTTGCATTCGGTTTGGGTTTCGTGGACAGCGTACTGTAAGTGGGCTCGATTCCCTTTTCCAGGCCGGCTAGAAATGGTCTGCTTATCACCTCAGACTATGTATGTTTGGCACTATTTTCGGCTCATTGTGTCCGGGATATATCGCAGGGTTTGGACCGCTCTCAGGCAACCGGACGTTGGTTATTGCTGTAAGTTCTCTACACATGGTTCGATGCTGACAGCTTTTGGAGAATGCGCTGGCTTATGATCACAGCGCTACTCGATGGGCTGGTGGCCCTCTAGGATATGTGTCCTCTTGAATTTGGTCATCGAGGTCGGTTACGGTTTGGTCAACTGCGTGGTGGCCGGCCTGATTCTCTCTGCTGTCCATGGAGGAGGCATGTCCGTCATTGTCGGTATTGTCATCTCGGCCTTGATAACCGTGAGAAACTCTTCCTGCGGGCTTCCCCAAACCAGAGCTGACGTGCCCGGCATAGTGGGTCATCACTATCTTTGGTATCCGGTGGTTTCACATCGTTGAGAGGTAAGTAGATAACCCCTCGTTCATGGCTCCTTTACACTGACCCGATGCCATCTGAAGGTGGATTGCGATCCCAGCTGTCCTTGTACTGTTTGTCTTGATCGGATGCGCATCTCCCCATTTCAATACTGGCTCCACCTCCAAAGGGTCAGGTGCAACGTTGGCGGGCAACCGGCTCAGCTACTTTTTCTTGACCGCGAGCGGTCCTTTGGGCTGGACTCCAGCGGCGGCCGACTTCTTTGTTTACTACCCTGTCTCGACGTCGCGGCCCATGATGTGCCTGATGACTACATCGGGCATGACTTTGGGGAAGCTTCTGATCGAGTTTCTGGGCATCGGGCTCGGTACAGGGATGACGACAAATCCTCAATGGGCTGCGGCCTTTTCCAACTCCGGATTGGGTGCTCTTGTTGTGTCGGCGTACTCTCCGTTACAAGGGTTTGGTAAATTCTGTGCGGTGATCCTTGCACTCGGGATCGCAGCCAACACCATTCCAGCGACTTATGCTGCGGTAAGGCGGTTTACTTGCAGTTCGCCATTTTTCTAAACTTTACTGATTGAATCTCTCAGGGTTTAAATTTCCAGCAGTTCGGTGGCCCATTCGTGAAGGTCCCTCGGTCAATCTGGGTGACCGTTGCTTCAGCGATCTATACCGTGTGCGCAATTGCTGGTCGTCAGCACCTGCTGTCGATCTTCTTGGATTTTCTCAGCCTGATCGGATACTGGGTGATTATCTGGATCGCGATTGTCCTAGAAGATGAGTTTATATTCCGGCGCAAGACAGGGTTCAACTGGGAACACTGGGAGGACAAGAGCAAGTTACCTGTGGGTGTCGCCGCTTTCATCAGCTTCTTGATTGGCTGGGCTGGTGCTGTCCTCTGTATGAATCAGACCTACTTCCAAGGGCCGATCGCCGGTCTGGTAGGAGAGTACGGTGCAGATGTGAGTTCGTTGTGTTGGGGGTTTTAAACCCATTTGACTTGGCTAACACTTCGCTACAGCTTGGTCTTCCGGTAGCTTTTGCGTGGACGGCGATTTGCTATCCGCCTCTGAGATTACTTGAGGATAGGATCCTCGGTCAGAGAAATGAATAGGATGGAGACTTGAGTCGCATGGTAAACGAGAAAGACAGTGTGCGGCTTAGCTAGCTCCTCAGAGCAAAGTGAACTACAGAAACCCATTAAACCAGAAGACTGCAAACGTGATATTTGCAGCCTTCGGTTTGGGGTCCCTGCTAAGATTGCGTTCAAATGACGCCGCATCGTACCGCCGAGTGAGGACATACAGTATTATGCCTACATAGGCTCGCGGTCCCTAGGTATTCTTCACAGGACAGCGTCCCACCGCGATACAGCCCATTGGGGCAGCCCTAATCGGCCCAATAGGCTAGACTTCCGGCCAGTGGAGCGTTCCAAAGAGGGATCCGCAGCTACGCCCGAAAATGGGGTTAGTACAGTACATGTAAAGTGGGTCGGTCAGCCCTTCGGCATCGAGGTCCCATCCTTTCCCCCACTCTTGGTCGGCCCGGGGTCTTTCGATGCTTTGTCACAGCGTCGTCCAATTTCCGCGACGACCGGACTGACCTGTCAAACCCTGCTTGATATTCAGTACGCTCTCACACATCCTTGCCAAGGACCAACCTGGCGACTGGGGATGGGGTGTTGAACGAGACATAGAGATTAGAGTCCACAATGTCTTCCATGCCGTGGCAAGAAGTGGTCCGACAAAAGTGTGAAACGAGAAAAGATCTGGTCGAGGCCCATCTCAAGACCATCAACGGCGAACACGATAGTTCTGTTGGCATCTGTGATATTGACAACATCGAGACCTTGACTAGACTTCTGGCCAGTGGAGAGATCACGGCCCGTGATGTTGTGCAAGGTTATGTCCGAATGTGGGAGAAAATCAGTCTCGCCAAGTTTTCTCTGCTGACAGTGCGAAAAGGGCCGCAGAGACACATCAAAAGGTTGGGGTTTCTGATCTCGTATCTGGCAATAACTGATGTCTTAGACAAACTGTCTGACTGAGGTGTTTTTCGACGATGCTCTGGTCGAGGCTGATCGATTGGACGACTACTTTCGACAACACAAGAAGTTGATTGGACCCCTACACGGCGTGCCGATCACTCTCAAAGATCAATTTGACGTCCAAGGCGCCGACTCGACCATCGGGTACGTGTCGAGGGCGTACAAGCCGGCGAAAAAGGATGCCGTTGTCGTACAGGTTCTCAAACAAATGGGTGCCGTCATCCTGGCCAAGACCAATCTTCCCCAGAGTATAATGGTAGGACTGAGAACAAACACCGGTTGGTCAACTTACTTACTAATTGCCCAGTGGTGTGAAACGGAAAATCCTCTTTGGGGATTGACGACGAATCCCAAAAATCGCGACTTCACCCCCGGCGGTTCGACGGGTGGTGAAGGTGTGCTTCTCTCAACCAAGGCGTCCATGGTCGGATGGGGTACCGACATCGGCGGGTCGATACGCATTCCCAGTCACATCAACGGACTTTGGGGGTTGAAACCCACGAGTCCAAGGTTACCATATCGCCGAGTTGCGGTGTCGACAGAGGGTCAAGAACACGTTCCTTCTTCGGTCGGGCCGATGACGAGGAGCTTGTCATCGTTGTGCACGGTGATGAAGTGTGTACTCGAATCAAAACCGTGGACATTGGACCCAAAGGTCGTCCCCATTCCTTGGAGACAAGACGTTTGCGACGAGGTTCAATCTCGACCGCTGACCATAGGTGTCTTGGTCGACGATGGAGTGGTTAAGGTGCACCCACCGATAGAGAGACTACTAGGTGAACTTGTGGACAAGATTCGAGGTGCAGGACATGAAATTGTCAAATGGGATCCAACTGGCCATCGAGAATGTATTGAAATTATGGTGAGCAGCCCTGTCTCTTTGTCCACACAATTCTGACCTCGCTTAGGACCAATTCTATACGGCCGACGGTGGTGAAGATGTGCGACGTGAGGTGGAAGCCGGAGGAGAGCCTTTCATTCCACATGTCCAAGCACTCGTCAATCGCGGCAAAGCTATTTCTGTGTACGCGTATTGGCAACTGAACAAACAAAAACTGGCCGCCCAAAACGCATACAACGACAAATGGAGTTCCGTCAGAGGACCGTCGGGTCGCTCGGTCGACGTGGTGTTGATGCCGACCATGCCTCACACGGCCGTACCCCATCGAACTTGTCGATGGGTGGGATATACCAAAGTTTGGAATTTTCTGGATTATCCGGCGTTGTCATTTCCCGTGGGAAGCGTTGATGCGGCGATCGATGTCTCTCGGGAGCATCAACCCAGAAACCCGTATGACGAGTGGAATTGGAAACTGTACAACCCCAAAACGATGCACGGTCATCCGGTTGGGTTGCAAATTGTCGGACGTAGATTCGAAGAGGAAAAGGTGCTGGGGGTTGCCTCGGTGATCGAACGACTTTTGTTAGACCGTGTCACTTCTCCCATTCATGATTCCAGCTTTCCAAAAGGTGGGGGAAACTGACGATCAGCACTCTAAGACAATGTGTAAAGGATTTCCCATTTTCACTGGTGCAGTCAACCGCAGAAAGGGCGGGACAAATTTCCCGGACAGTCCCACGATGTGCACTCCTCGTCTCATATTACTTCGTATGGCCATGTAATTGGCGATACTACCTAGCCACCAAGACAAATACTTCCACACCCGGCCCCTTTTCATTTGTTAATTTGGCCGTCGATTGAGCCTCATTCACAATCTGTATTTCTGATGCATTTGGAAAGAAGATTCGAAGAATCCCCAACAATGCTTCGAAAGGTCTACTTGCGCGTCTCGTGCCTTCCAAGAATTATGTAGCGGTCAAGATCTGCCAACCGTATGTTGCCAGGTAAAGAAACTTCCTAGGCACCCCCATTTCTGAGAAGGTACTATACTTCATCCGCGTGCGCAGCCGCTCGGAAACGATCCAACTTTCGAAGAATTCATAAGGGCGAGAGGTTTGACCGTATGCCGGCTGTTGCCTGCTGAGATCCGACGGCCATTGGGATCAACGTGATTATTTTGACTCAAGCAAGGTTTGATAACCGTCACTTTTATTATCGGGGGTTTTGGAGTTGCCAAACTTTGGCCACTTCTGTACTTATGCTATTATCGTTGTGGTGTTTGTAGATTCAATAACTCGAGGTACAATCGAGGCGGTGATCACTTCAAACCACAACCACCATGGGAAAGAAACGAGTTCTCGTCAGTTATGGCGTGGACATTGATGCCGTGGCAGGATGGTTAGGGAGTTATGGGGGAGAAGATTCCACCAGCGACATCAGCCGAGGTGAGACGTCGAACTGCTCAAGGGCAGAGGTACTTACACAATCAGGTCTCTTTGCCGGTACCCATGGAACTCGAAGACTGTTGAAACTGTTTGACAAGTACAACATCAAGGCGACCTGGTTCATTCCGGGCCATTCGCTGGAGACGTTTCCTGAAGAATGTGCTATGGTCCGGGACTCCGGGCATGAAATCGGTCTTCACGGGTATTCTCATGAGAATCCATCCGAAATGACGTTTGAACAACAAAAGCACGTTCTCGATCACACGTTTCGCTTACTTACCAAATTCTGTGGTAAACCTCCACGAGGAAGTGTAGCTCCTTGGTGGGAAGTGAGTGAAGCCGGCACCGAGCTCCTACTTAGTTACGGCATCGAATACGACCATAGTATGGGACACGAAGATTGTCAACTTTACTGGTTACGAACCGGCGATCAGTGGACCAAGATCGATTACAAGAAAAAGGCCGCCGAATGGATGAAACCGTTAGTTCCTGGGAAAATGACCGGCCTGGTCGAAATTCCTGGCTCGTGGTACATCGACGACCTGCCCCCAATGATGTTTATGAAGAATTCCGCCAACAGTCATGGCTGGGTCAATCCTAGAGATATCGAAGACATATGGAAGGTGAGTCCTTTTGATTTACAATATTCCTGGTCTGACTGTCCAGGACCATTTCGATTACTACTACCGAGAGTACGACGAATTCGTTTTCCCAATGACCATTCATCCCGACGTTTCTGGAAGGCCTCATGTTCTTCTCATGCATGAAAGGTGAGTCATTATTCCTGTAAGTAACCGGAACTGATGTTGGCAGAATCATCGAATATATCAACAAACATGAAGGTGTCGAATGGGTCACCATGGAACAAATGTGTGATGATTTCAAGAGCAAATCCATCCCAGCAGAAGGTGCAATTATGCCGGCCCCGCCAGGAGAAATCCTCAAGAAACCGGCCTTGATGGACTGAGTTCTAGAGGAAAGTAACCTTTACAAGAGGTCAAGACTATGAATACACACACATGTCAATCAACCGCTGATATGTCGCCACTTGCATCTGCTTGTCTAACTTGACCAATTGTATTATCCCCTACAAACTTAACAACGTTTTGTCACAAGGCACTATTCTCATACGTAGCCCCTAAAGAGCTTTTCGACGAGGCTTCTCTTGGGCGGCCCCATCCGTCTCTTCCCATCCCATTTTTGGTATTTGGCAACGACGTCCTGGACAACCGCTGTGCCAGCTATGAAACACTAGTCAGTCGGTTCAATGTGAGAATCTGCCAGGCACAAAATCCAACGCCTGAACATCCTCAACGTCAGTATCCAGGCTATCCGCGAATGCCATATGCACCGGGTCGCTTTCTAGATAGTAGTGTTTGTCTCCCTCGTTCTCGAACTCCATGACGAACGCATGTGTATACTTTCCCTATCAAACGACCGTCAGCTTGTGACGAGATGCAAAGATGTGCTGGCCAATTTACGATGTGGGGCCCCCCAGCTGTGATGTCTCGTCCTCCGACAACTTTTTTGATATATGTCCGCTTCGTGACAGGATGAATGCACTTTCCTTTCAGCGCAAGCATGCGGCCACATATATCAAGGACTGTCTCTTCACTCGAGGTGGCTCTGAAGGCGAATAGAACCTATATCACCCCCCGTCAACTTTAGCCGGACTTTCCGTTTTGCTTGAGCTCACCAAGTGAATGACCGCCATCACGGAATGATCTTCTTCGATAACCTGGACGACTGAATTATTCACGCCTTGTCAACTACCCACGAAGGAGCATGATGTTTGTTAGAAGACGCACGCCACGCTATGACCCGTCACCAGGGCTCCCAATGAATGATTTTAACCAGTACCAACCGCTGAAACCCAGATTCAAGCGCTACGGATCTAATTACGTTATATAATCTGAGTAGCCAATGTTGGGGGCTAGGCCGCTCAATCCAAATCTAGTAAAGGTTGCTTCCACCCCTATTGTATATTCTGTCAAGGGCGACGCCAAGCTCAAGCATCTGCCTCGACGCCAGAATCTACTGCAATGACCTTTTCTGGTATCAATCTGTGATGATTGACCCGCTCGCTTTCACTGCTAAGTTATGAACATTATGTTGGTTCCTTGGAAAGGCAGCAGGAGTGATATCTTCCATATCCTGGCACTTGAGTTCCGGTTGGCACGTTGAGTCCACTCGGCGTCGGACTGGGTTTCTTTGACCAGACACCTCAATGTGGCAATATGGATCTGGCTTCACTGCGCGAGACCGCGAACGTAAGCATTTGACAGAGCCGAATCTTCGTATTGTATTAGATAAGACCGTCCGCAGATGAATTCAGATTGCAATGAACTTGAGTGATTGCCACCCTTGAATCCTTGAGACCGAACACCTCCCAGCCCACGATTGTGATGTAATTGGGTTACATCCAATTACATGGAAACAGAGGCTGTTTGATGTCTAAAGGAGTGGTCATGGTCCTACAGACTCAGAATCTGGTTCTGGGCAAACAACAGGAGTGGGGGTGACGCCGTAGAGGTCGACCAATGCAGCTGTGGGTCTGCCCAAGTAAATCCATCCGAGGTATTTCGACTGTTGCATCTCACCCCTGGAAGGAGGCTTTATGTATTATCATAAATGTATTTTCTTCCGTTGGGATGACGCCGTATTGAAAGCCGACTCTCATTTGTCCACAACACCCAAGGGAGTTCTCAAGTCTACGGCTTTCACGCCAGCGGTGCAACCATGACAATTTTCATTACTGGAGCCACAGGTCAGCTCATGGACTTCGGCAGACTATGGCATGCTTGAGAAAACCAACTGACGTCTATGACAGGCTATATCGGTGGCGATGCTCTCAAGGCGATAGCTGATAACTTCCCGGAGGTAGTCTCAACAATTACGGCCCTTGTGCGAAACGAAACGCGAGGAGCCGCTTTGCAATCCGCCTACCCAAACATTGGCATTATCTACGGCTCATTAGACAACACCTCGTTGATTGAGATGGAAGCGGCTAAAGCTGACATCGTCGTCAACCTAGCAGATGCGGATCACGTTCCCGCCACCAATGCCATTGTGGCTGGCCTCAAACGACGTGCAGCTCAGGGCAAGCAGTCATACTTGATCCACAACAGCGGGACCGGTATCTTGATGTTCAAGGACGTGGAAACAGACAGGTATGGCGAACACTCGGACAAGATTTTCGACGACTGGGAGGGCATCCAGGAGGTTACTTCTTTGCCGGATGCAGCTTTCCACCGCGAGGTCGACAAGATCGTGCTAGCTGCTGGAGAGAACACGCTTATCAAAACAGCCATTGTATGTCCACCAACCATCTACGGCATCGGAAGGGGCACCGGAAACCAGCGCAGCGCTCAGATTCCTATGCTCGCTGAGGCGATCCTGAAGAGAGGCGCAGGGTTCCAAGTAGGCGAGGGCAAAGCCAATTGGACCAATGTGCATGTTTTCGACCTGAGCAACCTATTTGCGAAGCTGGTCGGGGAAGCCTTGTCAGGCCAGAACAAGGCTACCTGGGGCGCTGAGGGTTACTATTTCGCACAAGGCGGAGAACATGCAAGTGCAAAATCCTGGCTTATTTCCATGTACACAGGGACTAATTTGAATGAGACAGGTCTGGGGTGATATTTGCCGGAGAATCACAAAGATTGCGGCGGACAAGGGCTTGATTCAGAACAATCATGTCGCCAAGCTATCTCCGGAAGAAGTCGAGAAGATCACGGCATTTGGGTCGAGGATTTGGGGCCAAAACAGCCGATGCAAGGCAATCCGGGCTCGGCACCTCCTTGGGTGGTCAAACTCACAGCACAGCCTGGTCGACGAGCTCCCGACGGCCGTTGACTACGAGGCAAAAAGACTTGTCTCGACCAAGGCCTGAATCACCAGAACGCGCTGCAGCACTACTATGGTGATAGCACGAAATCACCCCAGTCGTCAGGCGATGTAGTGTTTCCCCATAGGGGAAAGGGTTCTGATCCCAGATGAAAAAGAAAAAGAGCATTTTATGTAGCTATCCCAATCCAAGAGATATGGACCCTGTAAACTTTGGTCCTGCTCCAGGCGTTCCAGGCTTTATGCGGTATCTCGACGTGTAAAATGTGATGACTGGCTTATCTCGTTAAATTTGGTTTAGAGGTCCATAAAGCATCGACAATGGCGATATTCCTAGCTTGGTGGTCATGTTTGGATTCAAGGAAACTCGGTTCGGGCGCGCAGAGTGGTACAAAATGACCTCGCGTGGCCAAAAGTGGGTGATGTGGGTCGTAGATTTCTTTTCGAGCTCCACCCTTGCACAATCGATAAGCTTGCAGTGAGATTGGGCGCAGGTAAGGTCTGGCGTCGTATGTTATCGCTGCCGCGTCAATCAGATTATTCCTCTTCAGTAAGCGTTCTGCACATCGCCGTCGGTTTTTAATGGCCCCAAATTTGGATATTCTCTTCTTCCACCATCCTCGATTTCCAGGAACCCAATTCAAATATGCCGATGGAATCTGTCAAGCTCAGAGACGAGAACAAAATCCCAGTTGTGAGAGGGTCTTTAGTTAGTGCAAGTTTATGAAATGTAATACTTACCAATTCTTCCAGTTAGCTTTCGGAGTCGGAACAGCCCATCAAAAGAACGAAAGCGGCGAGGTCGATCGACAGCTTGTCGAGAAGATAAAAACAGCCATTTCACTAGGGTATTATCATCTCGATGGAGCCGAATGTAAGAGTTCGTGGTGTCGTGAAAGGTTTGAGTGTTAACAATCTTGCCAATCCCCAGTTTACGAAAATGAAAGAGAACTAGGCCTCGCGATCAAAGAGTGCGGAGTCTCTCGTGAGAATCTCTACATCACCACCAAAGCCTCGGTCAAAGATAACGTCGGCCCGGACGTGGTAAAGGCGATCGAAGGGTCTCTTGAGAGACTTGGTCTGACCTACGTAGACCAGTATCTGATCCATGCTCCTTTCTGGGCGAAATCGGATGAAGAATTGCAAACAAAGTGGAAGGACATGGAGACCGTGTACCGGAGCGGAAAGGCGAAGTCGATAGGTATTTCCAATTATTTGCTCAAGCATTTGAAGGCTGTTTTGGAGACGGCGACAGTTATTCCAGCGGTGCATCAGATCGAGTTCCATCCGTACTTGCAACACCAGGAGTTGGTTCAATACTGCAGGCAGAAGCAGATTGTCCTCTCAGCCTATGCGCCCTTATCAGCTGTGGTTAAGGCCAAACCAGGACCGCTGGATGATCTCTACTCGCAACTGGCTCAAAAATATAACGTGACGGAGGTCGAGATTGCGTTGCGATGGGTGATGGATCTCGGCATGGTCGCCATAACGACTAGTTCTCGGGAAACGCGCTTGAAGCAGGCTCTGAAGAGCCTTGGTTTCCGCTTGACTCCAGGCGAGGTGGAAGAGATCTCACGGCGAGGTCTTCAAAAACACTACCGCGGATTTTGGCTCGAGGAGCTTGGTCCAGACGACCCGTCATGAGTGAATAATGGTTATGTGTTGGCAGGTAGCCCCGAAGCATATGGAATGAGTCAATGGGTTGTCCAACAATAAAAAGCACATATGTGGCACAAAAGTGACTAGTGAATACTGAACAGAGTAGCCACCACATTTTGCCTTCCTATCATAGCTGTAAAGCAGCACAATTTGGGGGTTCATGCGCGACTTTCCACATGCCTCTTAACATTTTCTCACATTCTTCATTTCTTTGAAGCGGACTCGAGAACATTTTCTTCCGGCAAGTTCAGGAGCCACTCCGGATCCCTTGCAATCATGAGACAATCGTAGCTGCGAGGTACATTGACCAAGCCATAATAGTCTGAGAAATCCCGCATGTCCAGAGGTGGTTTTCTACCTCCGGGACCGGCATCTTGAATCCTAAATGCAAGGACAGTCCGAATCAACAGTCCATACATCATCCGGTTTGAGATGTTCATCTAAATGGTTTCAATCAGTATGCTTACTTTCCCATTCAACAGCAAGAATACTCACGGCAGGACATTGTCGAGCTCCAGCACCAAAGGCCAAATGTGGCAAGGCGGAGTTGTCTCCCAGGAATCTTTCCGGTTTGAACACACCAGCGTCCGGGCCAAAGGCAGCAGGGTCCAAATTGGCTTGTTGTCCGTTCATGATAATGGTGATCCCCTTGGGGATGACAAAGTCTCTGTATGGAATGTCTTTGGACACTGCACGTCCCTGGGCAAATGGAGTGGGAGCGTAGCATCTCAAAGTCTCCTTGTACATCGAAGTAACCAAGGGCACAGCTTCCTCTCGAAAAGCATTATTCCAAGCTGCTTCCTTGTCGCCACCGTAGACTTTGAGAATAGCATCGAGCAATTTGGGCTGAAACTTTTGACCTTCAGGCGTGCTGAGCCATGCGCACGCCATATACATGCCCGAGGCGACTGTTTCGGGAGCTGCCTGGAGTAATGAAACACATGTGCCCCGAATTTCCTCGAGACTCAGCTTATCTTTACCCAGCTGGGAGACAATGCAGTGGATCTCCTCACCTTTGGCCACCTTATCGAGATATTGTTGATAAAGAAAGTCCAACTGGACCCGACGACGCTTCTCGGTCTTGACCACCTTCGTCTCACCCCGTGGAATGGCTCGGAGGAGTGGCACGTAGTGAGAGAAGTCGGCGGTGGAGGACCGAATTTCGGTCAAGGCCTGAACGGATTCCAGCAACTCGGTGGCAAAGGAGTCGTCAATGTCTCCCATACGGGCGCCATAGGTCAAATGCAGAATGAGGTCGTACACCACTTGCTGGAAATACAAATAGAGATCGATCGTTTTCTGGCCATTTTCGCCTCGCTCATAGACCCGTCTCATCATCGCAACAGACGAGGGTTCCAGAAGAGAATAGTAGTCGGGCCACAAAGGTTTGCCCAAAGCTTTCATAGCTGAAATGCGGCAGCGTTTGATTTGGGGAGTCAAGGGAGAGCTGGAGATGTCGACGCCTAGTTTGTCAATGAACCCTGGGGCAATGTCAACCAATGTCATGAGTGCGCTCTTGTTGGATAAGGCCTTACCGGGCTGCCATGGTCGGTCACTCAACGACGTTGATTGACCAAGCCAAAGATCCTTGATCGGTTCCCAGCCATGCACGATAATAGCTCTTTGACTGCCCAGCCGAATCTGATAGATGTCGGTCTTGAGCTGCTCAGCCCAGCGAGAGAAGATCACTGTGTCGTTGCGTTTCTCCCTCCCTCCCAATGGGCCCAGGTGACCAATGAAGGGTTTAGCACCGGGCACTTCTGGAATTCCTTTGACTTTGGGGATATCGGTTCGATAGGCTTCCCTCTGCGGCCAAAGTCAGGTTTCCTCATTGTTTCATGAATCCAATGCCGTTCTTACCAGAAGTGCGAAGAACCCGAGGAGCAGACAGCAGGCGATGCTTAGCACAAAGGTGTCTTGTACTTGAAGTCTCTCCTGGATGGCATCGGTCTTCAAAAAATCCATGGTCAACTGTAGGGTTGGACAGTGGCTCGGGAGACGTTCTGATGGTTTCACAATCGAAATATAGGATCCATGACTGTTTCATTCCCTCGCCCTCGTGTCTGAGCCTCCGATAACAGCTCTAGCATGCGCCAGACGGATGACGGCTGATCCGCTCCAAAAGTGGGGGCAGGAGAGGGCGTGAAAGTCGTACAACACTTATGGCCCCGTCCCGCCCGCCACCGAGACAATACCGTACGTCGTCGATGGTGCAGAGACACCAGAAACCGTGGCCAACAGCCGTCTGCACCAGAAGGGATACCATGTCTAACATCTATGGTGCTTGAACAGCCTGACCGCTTGTAGAGTGATTCAGAATATGTCTGTTATCGGGGATTTCGGATACAGAACAGTCTTATTAACGCCACTCTCCTCCCATATCATAGTTATAGCTCGATATCCTGACGTCCAAATCGCCCAATTCTTGTTACCACACTCCCGCCAACCAGATCAATGTCTACGAACAACCCTCGTCGACACAGCTAGGGCGAGCCGCTTTGAATTCGCGATGGATATCGTTCTTCAAGTTGCAGATACTCTCTTGCTTGATCGTATCTACGCGGCTCTGCTTCCGATCAGCCCATCCTCATTTCCCGAGCCGAAAGTTAACGAGTCGAATTCCCTGCCTTTTGGCTCTCAAGAGGCTGCTTCGCTGTTGCCGCAGTTCAAATACACTTACGAGCCGGCGTCCAAATACCTTCATTTGGACCCAACCGAGTGGGCCTACAAAAGCTCATGGCCTCGGGATACCGTATACAGACAGTTCGTTAGCCTGTTCATGATAACGTGGTGAGTTCCTACGTTCGTGTCTCTCGTAATACTTTCACTGAACGATTCTCGAGGCTATTTGGGTCTGTCCTCTATTTCGGTTTCGCCACGCTCTCCTATTTCTTTGTCTTCGACAAGGAGACGATGAAGCATCCGAAATTCCTCAACAATCAAGTGCGCAAGGAGATTGCCCAAGCGTGCCAGGCTATGCCTGGTATGGCTTTCCTAACTGCGCTATGCATGCTGGCGGAAGTGCGTGGCTATTCTAAACTCTTCGACCAGCCTTCCGAAGCCCCATTTCCTTGGTACAACTTTCTCCAATTCCCTCTCTTTATCCTCTTTACCGATTGTGGTATATACTGGATACATCGGGGCTTGCACCACCCTCTAGTGTACAAGACCTTACACAAACCACACCACAGATGGATTATGCCAACTCCATTTGCGTCATATGCATTTCACCCCGTCGACGGCTTCTGTCAGTCTATACCATACCACCTCTTTACCTTTGTTTTACCCCTCCAAAAGGTTGCCTTTATTGCACTCTTCACCTTCATTAACTTTTGGACGATTCTGATTCACGATGGTGAATTTTACGCCAACAACCCTGTAATCAACGGCGCAGCGTGCCACAGTGCTCACCATGCATACTTCAACTACAATTACGGTCAGTTCACCACACTGTGGGATCGACTTGGCGGTAGCTATAGGAGGCCCAACATGGACTTGTTCCACAAGGAGACGAAGATGGGGAAGCGAGAGTTAGATCGCCAGACCGAGGAGACGGAGGAAATTCTCAAAGAGGTCGAGGGTCAAGATGACCGTGACTATCTCGTTGAAGAGACAGAAGAGAGCAAACCACGATGGAGGCGAACTGGACGAAGCGGGCGTTAGGCTCAAGGAGAACTGACTCAGGTGAAGAAGGGTCTCGATGTGGACGAAAAGGTACTTTTGTGTCGTGGTAATATCTGCAAGGAACGGATCGTCTTGTGGACTCACAGTCGCTCTGACGGGTCTTCACGAGGCTTTTAGAGCAATGTCGCTGCATTCTCTCCATAGCCAGCCTGATAGATTCAGGTACGATTACTCGTACAACAAGGGTTTTAGGTTAGTCCCCCATCTTCGGCCTTGACTTGCAAGGATTGGCGCAAAGTTTCCTACCCGAGCTCCAGCTCTGGCAAGTGGCAAAACGCCAGGGAATCTGTCTGAGACTCGCACCTTTTAAGCACTTCTATGTACTGCGCTGTTGTCCTTGAGCTTCCTTGGCCACGAATCTTTCCCCACATAAGTTGTATCGCGCAGGCAGTGGTGCACCTTTTAGTTCTCCAATGCATTGACCACGCCCGAGACGTTTCGAAAATCCAAAACACCAACTCTTCTGTCACTGTTGCACAATGCCTGGACTATTTCCAGGTGTAGCTCTTGTAGTCGGTGCTGCTTCTGGTAAGTCGATCAGTCTGCTCGATTTCTGCTTATTGATTGTTGTTCTAGGCATCGGCAGGGAGATTGCACTGTCCTTCGCACGGGAAGGCTGTCCGTCCATCACGTTGGCAGACCGAGATTCGCACGGCCTAGCTGAGTCGGTCAGATTGATTGAAGAGCTCGGACTTGACCATAACCCTTCGATTCTGAGTGTGATGGTTGATGTCTTAAAAGAGGAGGACATTGACCGACTGATAGCTCTCACCGTCGAGAAATCGCATAGAATTGACTATGCAGTGAATGCGGCAGGTAGGTATTGCATGCATCTCCCTGAAGACACCATCTTCTGGGTGAAAAATATTCTCATTTGCAATATCTTTAGCTCTGAACTATATTGACTTGCGTGATCCGACAGGAATTCTCGGCAATTCCAGGACCTCGACTCTGACTTCGGTTCATGATTTTGATCTCATCAGCAACGTCAATTTTCGGGGTTGCTGGCTGTGCTCGAGAGCCGAGATCTCACAAATGATGAAACAGGAAGAGCTCGAAACGCATGACGGTCGACCTGGGAATAGAGGTTCGATTGTTAACATTTCCAGTCAGCTTGGGCTGGTTGGCAGGGAGAACTCTGGTCAGCGACACGCCCTGATCCAACTCCGTCGTAGACTGTACTGACAATAAAGCTTCGCAGCGGTATATTGTGCGACCAAATCCGCTGTTATTAGTATGACGCGGGCAGATGCCGTCGATTGTTCTAAATTCAACATTCGGATCAACACCGTCTGCCCTGGGCTTGTAGCTACGCCCATGTTGAACGGTTTCGACGATAAAACTTTGCAGAGAGATATATCCGTTGCACCTCTGAAGCGAGCAGGAACTCCGCAGGAGATCGCAGATGTCGTGCTCTTCTTGGTAAGTACCAAGGCTACGTTTGTCCAAGGGGCAGCCTTTGTGGTAGACGGTGGCTATACTATTACCTGAATCAAATGTGCTTCCTGATGCAACCTCCGTCGAATGGACTATCGCACAAGATATGTGACTGTTCCGCACAATTAGAGACATGGCCTGGACGAGTAGGAACAAGTTTCCGAAGAGAGTTGTGTGATTTCTGTGCTTTCCGATTCCATACATTGTTCACAATTGGCCAGATGGTATGCTGAGAATCCCATGAGGTTATGAGATCGCCGAAAAGTGCGAGAAAATAGTGGAAGTCATACGCCGCTACGTGTCTTGACTTCTTGCTCCGTTGTGACGAGTGATCATGCAAATAGGTATTCACTTACCTAGTTTGATGTCCGACGATGGCCTAACCGTTAATAAGCCGCGACGATCCAGCCCTGCAAGGGCTCAGTCGCTGGATAATGCAAGGCATGAGCCCTAGAGATGATAGATTTGGCTTTATCGTCACCACGGTTATCAAGGGGTCGGTTTATCGGTTCTAGCTCTTCTATAAAGGTGTAGACTGCCAACGGGTTACCAGGTTTGGGCAGGATAAACACTGGGTCGTACATTCCATAATCATGTGGGTAAATCCCAATTGGTTGTCAACAGGACCGAGCCTAGATAAAGCCAAACTCGGTTTGGCCGGCTTGGTTAGACTAGCTGGGGCAGGGTTCCTTATCAGTGAATCTGGCCATGGTCAAATAGATCCGTCGCCCCCATTCTTGGTTCTTCCCCATCGATTTTTCAATCTACCAGAGGGCCAACCACTGTGACAGACAATCTAGCCAGGAACGTCCTCAACTGGACGTTGGACTCTCGCTACCATGGTTGGTGTCGGCTCTACTGCACCGTCATCGTCCGCGACACCTCAGGGGAAAAGGTTCACCTGCAGTTTTTCAGGTTGTGGAAGAAGGTGAGATCATGTCCAGCATATCGTCCACTACATTGCAGCTGCAGTTTAACTCTGCCCTTCAGCTTCACCCGAGGCGAGCATCTTCGAAGACACGCTCTCAACCACGAAAAGGACCGAGATACGTGTCCAAGGTGTGCGGTAATCTTCACCAGGCCCGACCTTCTCGCCAGACACATGTCACGTCACGCTCAGAAAGATGAAGAAGCTGGCGGGCCTGGGTTGGGGGTTCTAGAGACACGAAAGAGATCTTTTCGTGACGCAGGTGGTATCATTGTGACCCGACCACGAAAGAAGTCGCAGAAACGCGAAAGCGCGCCGGAATACCCCAGTAAGACGCGAACCCTCCAACTGGGCCAGGATGCATTTTCAGTCAGCGAGAGCGAGCCACAGCAGACTATGTCTCCGCCACCATCAGAGATTCTTGAAATCTCGCCCCAAGCTGCCTCGGTTTCGGAGGCGCATTCTGGGAACAAGCATTCAGACCAGCTCCCGGATTATGACGGATCATGGCTTCTTGACAAAGAGCATACTGAGCTGGTATTCTCTCAAGATACTGCCCAGTCGTCGCAACAAGAAAAGGTCCAGGATCCAATTTCTTTGGATGGCCTCTTTTACGAGGGCACAGGCAAGAGCTACTTTTGACCTCCTTGACGCGGACGAGTGCTGATGTCTTTAATAGCAAATTCGTTCAATCTGATGCCTTTCAGCACTAGCGTAGACTGGCTCTTGGATGAGACGATACCCGGTGCATTCGATGAGTGGATGCAGAACTCTATGCCTATGCCTGATGGCGAAGGGCACACGATTCCAGTCCAAGCCCCAAGCATGACTGACGACAGTTCTTCCACAACATATCCTCAGTTCAACAATGATCCCATCATCTCGTATGCGAGCACGTTGTCGAAGCCCGGCGCTTCGTCTCTGCAGTCTGTGAATGCAGAGATCGCAAGACCGCTCCTCAACGATTATGATCCCGCCTTGCTCAAAGACTATTTCTTTCCAGGTCAATGCACCAATGGCACTCTTCCCCTCTCATTCCATGGTGATGATAGGGACAGCATACTCAGACAGGGTGAAGTGCCGGTCGGCGCCAGGCCCAAGTCTGTTCCACCGCGCAAAAAGCTTCCCGAACTGGACGAAGGTTCAAGATCGCGTATCTTGAAGCTGATTGACGAAACTCAACCGACGACGGTTGACAACATGGTGATCACCACTTCGTCTAACCTACTCTCGGCAGCTTCTCTACAACGTTATAGCAATCTTTTCTTTACTAAATTCAACGTGTCGTACCCTCTGATCCATCTACCAACATTTGATCCCTCGCTGACCGATGCTCTACTACTCATCGCTATCCTCTCAATTGGCGCCACCTACGATGGAAAAGACTCGCACCAAATGGCAATCGATATTCATAACGTACTGCGCCCGCGAATTATCCAGCACCCCTCATTCAACGAACAACCTGAGCTCTGGCTCTTACAGACAATCTTGCTGGTAGATTGTCTCGGAACCTCGAGGGCGGATCATAAACAACATGCGATGTCCAATATGTTCCACGGCCTCCTGATCAACCTCCTCCGAAGGGCTGATTGCCAAAATATCCGTACCCCACCAATTAGCTCGAGCTGCAGCGGTAATCAGCTTGAGCATCAATGGAAACAAGCCATGCATTTGGAACAAAGAAAGCGGTTGGCACTATTGTGCTTTTGTTGGGATACTCAACACGCCGTTCTCTTTTCACAGGCTTCTTGTCTGTCTGCGATCGAACTGCGACTTTCATTACCCTGCGACTTGGAAACATGGGAGGCAGAGACTGCCGAGACGTGGCTCAACAGTGCTCGGAAGAGTTCAACGAACTTGCTATTCTTGCCTGTTTTGAGAGCATATCTTCATCCAGACACCCATGCGCGGCCCCGACAGTTGGACACATTTGCGAGATACGTGCTGCTACATGGGCTAATGTCAATATCTTCCGATTTGAAGAGACGAGCTCAGACGTCACTTGGTAGGTCCTCCATGACTCTTTTCACTGGCTGGGAGCTCACGTCATTGTGTTCAGGTATCGACAATCAAGATGGCTCACCTCAAGGCCGCATTAGACGAGCATACGACAAATGGAAGGCTGATTTCGAAATGTATTGCCTCGATCTCAAACTCTCCAATCGGTACGATGCCAAGGCCTTCACGCCACTCAAAACTGCCATCCTGGCGCTATATCGAGCCGCCCACATCGCATTGAATGTCGAAGTTCTTGACCTACAGATCTTGGCCGGAGCAGAGAATATTCTGGGTAAACCGGTCAAGCCACATGATTATGAATCGAGTCGCAAAATCATCCACGGCTGGCTGGCATCCCCGCGGACTCGGATCACGGTCAGTCGCACGGCGGAGAATGCTTGTCGTATCGTTCGAGATGCGATCAGCGACCTTGAAGAGAACGATCTCACAGACCTATTCCACTATCCATGGTGCCTCTACTTGGCCTGTTTGTCCATCTGGGTACTCCACTCGGGTGGGGGAGTCGATGCTCGGCCTCAAGTCAAGGAACCCGCTGGGCAACCCAAAGATATCGACCACAAGAACGAAATGATCGCTCTGATCGGTGGCATGTTGTCGTGTGAGAGTATGGAGGATTGGAACCACACAGCGGGAGCTTACAGGACGCAAGGGCTGATGTGTTTTATGGCCAAAAAATTAGGTACTGTCAGGTGGGCTGCCATGCGGGAAGGAACCAAGGTCCTGGAGCGACTAGGGCGTCACCCGTCCTAGAATATTCCGAATCTGCTGTACGGTCCGGTGCAGTATGAAAGAAAGTCGACGGAAGATCCGTTGACTTTCCGATCCTTTTTTTGACGTGCAAAAGTGGCTCTGGTGCATCTCGCATATGCCTTGGTTGATGAACGAAGCCAAAACAGCGCGCACAAATAGCTTACCCTAGTCATAACATGTGCTGTGCTTTGGGCCTGGATCCGAGACAAGCGCTCCCACGTACTCAGTGGTCAGCCAGGCTTCCTCGATGCTCCGTCGTGTGCCAGGTCAAAGCAGCCTCACTCCCTTTCCTGAACGAAAATGGTAAAGAATATTAAAGTATAGTTCGGGGTATTGTATAGTACATATATACCTCGTATATATATACTGATTCGCTGGCAATCTATGCAAGTCTCTCCTTTGTTGAGAATCCTCCCTGGGTAGCGCGTCTCATATGAAGCGAATGAATGACAATGTTTTTTTCCCCTCCTTTTGGTACTGTTTCCCTAAGCTGTGTCTCGGCGCAGAGAGCCATTGGTGACGATGACGAGGATGATTGGTGACGCGATTATCCTCGCGGTGTCAGCCTGACCATGAGCTCGTCCATGAAGAAAACCATCGACCGAACCACCTCGGGTTCTTTCTCGGGGTTGACCAGCTCGATGTCAAACCTATTCAACAGCTCGGGAAGGAACTTCTTCATCTCGATCCACGCAATGTGCTGCCCGATGCAGACCCTCCTGCCGGCGGAGAAGAACAGATTGGCGCGCTCCATTTTGGAGAGTTGTGCCTCGTCAGCCTCGATCCAACGCTCGGGTCTGAACTCGTCGACTCGGTCACCCCAGATGGACGGGTCGCGATTCAATGCGTGTATGTTGACAGCCACCACGGTCCCAGGGGGGACGTAGGTGCCGGAAATCTCAATGCCGGGTCCATTGGGGGGAACCTCGCGCTCGATCGGGTCGAGGATCAGCGGACGCATGCGCCCGGCTTCCTTGATGCAGGCTTCCAGATACCGGAGTTTCGAGACCGATTGCCACGAGGGCGGAGAGGAGAGCTTTGCGTCCTCGATCTCGGCTCGTAACCGCGCCATCGTGTGTGGGTTGGTCAGAAGGTGGTAGAGGGTCAGGTTGACGGCCCCCGCGGTGGTCTCGGCGCCCGCGTGGATCGTCGAGATGAGCAGGCCGATAATGGTGGATCTATCGAATGTGGCGGGATCCCGCTCGCTCGCCTGTAGGTACCGGTCGAGAAGGTCGGAATGCGTGCCCAATCCGCCCTTTTCAAGCCGAGTTTGGAGGCGTTCTACGGCGAGTCTACCAAGAAGGGACGTTCCGCTCGTGCCTCTAGCCGCAAAGCGGTTCTTGTATATGAGCTTCTCCAATTTGGGCAGGGCTTGCCAATTGTGCCAATGCTCAAAACGCTGACGGGTGCCCTCCAAGGTGTTTCCTAGATCAGACTGTTTCTCCATGAAGCCTTGGTCGTCGCTGAAGGCGATGTTGCAGATGGTGTCGAAGGCGAAGAAGATGTTCCACCTAGCAATGTTCAATTCCGAATCCGTGTTGGCGAGTAGTCGGCTGATCAGATTCTTGATATTGCGGTCGACGTGGCATTCGTAGTCGAGGATGGCCGTGGTCGTGAAGGCCCCAACAATCTGCCTTTTCATCGCCGTGACGCGGGCTTCGTTTCGCTCAGTGGCGAAGGAGCTTATCAGCTTCCCATTGACCGGCTGGAAGGCCACCTCGTATGATTCTGCCTGTGGGGATAGAAAAATGTCCTTCAGCCCAGCTCCGAACTTGTGGAATCATCGAGCCGAGACATACCTTGAGAAGTACGTTCTTGGTATTGAAGACAACGCCCACAGCCGAGAGGTCGCTGAACAAGACTTTGTTCGGCCCGTAGCTCACGACTGGGCCGTACTGCCTGTCTAGCGCCAGAGCGATGTCATCAAAGTACTCTTTGTTCCAGAACTTCCTGGCCAACCAAAACCCGGAGAATTTGGCCGCAAGGGGACCGGGGATATGTCTCAACCTCCAGTATTGTAGGATGGATTTGAGGAAGAGGGACGCAACAGCGAGTCCCACCAGGACCAGAGGAATTGTGAAGGGAAATACGACAGAATACATCATGGTGACGACGAGGGCGGTGGATGGAGATTCTTTTTGGCTGTGCCGCGATTAACAGATCGAAGTTCTGACCAGCGCACGACAACATAAGTCTCTTTTATATAGCGGACCGTGGCAACTCGTTTATCTGACCATTCCAGCTTACCTTAGTACATTTGGTTGTTGGGCTGCCTTACCTTGAGCGACCGATTAGGTTCGCACCCTTGGGAGGCCTAACACATCGTCGAGTTGGGGAGTGAGTAATAGGATAGCCATTGGGTTTTCGTTCCACACTCTCTCGCCCCGGTACGGACGTATGCGACCCATGAACTGGTGGGCGGCATAGGACCAATCATACAAAAAGCCAGATTGTTACAACCGGTTGCCCTTCCCTCATGTAGAAAATGCGTTCTGCCCTCTTGGGTAAAGCCATCGTAGTCAGCGAATGGCGCACAGCCAGCAAATAGCAGCTCCTGTTCAGCTTAAGAGGGTAGTCTCATGGAATCTGAGGCAGCACATTTTGATAGGCCTTGAGAAGTTTCTTGGAAGATGAGCTGAGATGGAGTGAGTTGATATCTGAGGGGCAAGATGTCTGGCCTTGAACATTGAACACGCTGCGTATAGGGGATATTCATGTCAGCCCAGCAAGCACAACACGGGGATGGTCACATTATTTTGTATGTATCACGGCCATTCTCTGACTGTCATTGTTGGCAAACGCATATTGGATTCAGAATATAGGAGGTCTCAACGGCGTTGGGTGAGCAGGCGTGGGAAGAGCAGGGCCACCACAGGTTCAAGTATTACTACGAGTTAGTTCCGTGCTTCGTCCGGATCTCGGCGAGTCGGCTAAGCCGTCACGTGACTGGGTGGCGGCTCGGCGTGTTCTGCCCCGGAAAATCTCTTTTATCCGCTGTGGTTCCAGACTTGCTGGCGGTGCAATGCCACGAATGCCTCGGTTGCCGCCCGCAGCAAACAAGGGACCATCCAGTGCCTCCGCCTCCGCCAAACCACCTGCATGTACATACTCGGTATTCCGTCCAGTATTATTAAACCTGTTCGTCACCATCACTGCCGTCCTTACAAAAACGTGACCTGACCTGCCTCCCAAGAAAGCAACACGCTTCCTCATTCTGTCTTTCTTTCTCAGCCTCTTTCCCTCTCATCTAGCGTCGACCATGTCTTTTCTTGGGGGTGCCGAGTGTTCGACAGCGGGCAACCCGCTTACCCAATTCAAAAACCATGTTCAGAGCGACAACACCCTCCAACGGGACCGGCTTGTCGGCCGGGCCCAACCTGGGCTGGAAGAGAGCATGCGTTCTCGAATGACGCCGAATGGCTCTGATCAGGTATTCATCTCCAGACCACGCCGGAGAAAGACGCTGCTAACTGCGGAACAGATGATGAACGACTTCATGCAACAATCCGGCATGCCCCAGCCCTTCGCCATGGAGCAACTAAGACACGACCTTCCCAATCTTCAAGGCATAACGCGGCGGTCACCTTCCCCCGGCTGGGCCGCAGAGTTTGACCCCGGTGAACAAGCAAGAATGGAGGCTGCTTTTGCAAACCCAAGACTCAATGGTCAGAGCCAACCAACCTTTTCGCCACAGGAATTTGCTCGCTTCCAACAAGCCCAAGCACAACGAACCGCAAGCCCCATCATGCAAACGCCCTCTATGATGAATAGCTATCAGAGCCCGATGGGCATGGGATATATGGGTGGCATGAACCTCGGGATGAATTTTGGATCCCTACATATGCAACAACAACCTGAACAAACCACGGACAAAGGGAAAGGTCGGATGGTGGAACTTGATGATGCAAACTGGGAGGCCCAGTTTAAAGAACTCGAGTCGCAGCACGATAACATTTCAGAACAGGCCAATGAGGCAATACAGAGAGAACTCGAGGAAATTGACAGGTCAGTGGAATCTCCCGCCGACGGATTTGAAGATTTCGAGAAAGTATGGCAATGGCATGGAGCGAAAACTGAACACGAGTGCAGAGACATGTACGAAGAAGTTGCCAAAGACGACCCTTTTACTGCAGAGGACCTTGCTGCTTGGGAAAACTTCGACTCCACAATGGGACTGAATACGCATCATCCTTTCGAACGAGAGCCAATGCTCGGAGATTACATGTTTGAATCACAAAATCCCTACCTAGAAAACAACGCGACGTCCAGGTCAGCATTCGAACAAGGGAAAGAGATCCTTGAGTCACACGGCAACCTGTCACTTGCAGCATTGGCATTTGAGGCTGCCGTGCAACAAGAACCCAACCATGTAGAAGCATGGGTCTTACTTGGCGCTGCTCAGGCCCAAAACGAAAAAGAGTCACCGGCCATCCGGGCTCTGGAGAAGGCGTTAGAGCTTGACCCCAACAATCTCGACGCTCTGATGGCCTTGGCTGTTTCATACACTAACGAGGGCTATGACAGCACGGCCTACCGGACACTTGAACGCTGGCTCAGCGTCAAATACCCTCAAATCCACCCTCCTGAGAATTTGTCGAGTCCTGCTGAGCACGGCTTCACCGACAGAGCGATTTTGCATGAGAGAGTTGTCGACCTTTTTATCAAGGCTGCTCAGTTGTCGCCTTCTGGAGAGCAAATGGATCCCGACGTGCAGGTTGGACTCGGTGTTCTCTTCTACGGCAATGAAGATTTTGAAAAGGCTGTGGACTGCTTCAAGGCTGCTCTTGCATCTACAGAGAGCGGGATGGTCAACCAAGAACGCGAAGTGCATTTGCTGTGGAATCGACTAGGCGCGACGCTGGCCAATTCTGGTCGGTCCGAGGATGCGATCACTGCATACTGCAAAGCGTTGGAGGTCAACCCCAATTTTGTTCGAGCACGATATAATCTGGGCGTTTCATGCATTAATATTGGCTGTTACCCTGAGGCAGCTGGGCATTTATTGGGGGCTTTGAATCTACATCGAGCTGTGAGTGAACAGGGTCTAGACAAAGCCAGAGAAATAGTCGGAGACGGCAGTGGCGGAATCTCAGATGCCGAGCTGGAGAGGATGATACATCAAAACGAGAGCACAAATCTCTATGACACTTTGAGAAGAGCATTTACGGGCATGGGAAGACGGGATTTGACAGAGAGGGTTGGGGTTGGCATGAACCTGGACCAGTTCAGAGGCGAGTTTGAATTCTGAGGCTGGAAAAAAGGGCTCCTATAGAATGAAGAAATGAATCCTTTCAGGCCTCTTTTCCTCCACCATGCATCGGCTTTGACGCCTTGTCCCGCTCGTCTCGGCAGCTTTGTCCGCCCTGTCAGCCTTGTCAGCCTCAGGGGCCTAGGCCTGTTCACAACACTCCGACATTCACTCGAGAAGGGCTTTGGTGCTTCCAATTTCGCATCCCGGGATGGAAACTGTCCTTCCTGTCACATTAAATATTCCAAGCTCAATGGTCGTCGTTATCCAGCCTCGTTCCCGGTTAGATGGGTGGTCCGTGAGTCGCCGCATGTATGTACTATGCCGAAACCAGCACTGTGCAGGCAGCGACGACTTCTTTCGACAGCCTCAGCCGGTCGACGCCTGATGGCCAATCCTCAAAAGCTCAGTTGCCATATGCACACGAATGAAATCATGTTTGCAGCACAGCGCCAGTCGCTCCTCCCCCTTCTCAAGTGGAAACCCGAGCATCGTGGGGGCCTCTACTTCATCGAAACAAGTGATGAACAATCAGGCCGGCTCCGACATGGAGTTCTGGAGGACGACGAAGTCCATAACTGGGTCCTAGCAAATGTGAGTCCCTCGACGGTCCCATCAAGCAGTCCGGTTGAAATCTGACTGCAGCGACAAGTCGTGTCTACCAGAGTCTCCTCCACCAAAGTCGATGTTGGGCGGCTTTCGGCTCCTACTGTGCGAGAGGTCGAGTCTGCGAGACGAAGGTTTACAGTGGCGAGAGCTGCACATGAGCAGAGACTCGTTTACCCTCGTGGAAGAAGCGTTCCTCCTTCCCAGCGCGACGGTCCCGGCATTTTTTGACATGGTCGGTGTATATTCCCGGTTCACAGAGTGCGACGCTGCCACGAGCAAGATCAAGTATCTCAAGATTCTCGTCCAGGGACGCCGGAAACTTGGGGTGGCGGATTGCGTGCTGTCTCTTTGCTACTGTCGTGACACCGGCTGGACCTACGGATTCCTCTGCGGCGAGGGGCTCATGGAGGCAGCCGAGATCATGAACACTGAACCTCTCATGCCTGTTCTACTGGGTTTGCTGAACCCATGCCTTCATCTCAAATCCGATCCCATACTTATTCCTGCCATGCTACTCAAGATCTACACTGAACGTATCCACCTCTTCTTGAGGAAGCAGATCGTTAGATTGGACGAGCTGGAGGAGGAGATTGGGGTGAGTCGTCCTGGCCGAGTCACGAAGGCGCGATCGCTTGAGAACTGGCCTAGCGACATCGATATTAAGAAGGTGACAATTGGCCTACACTCAATAGCCACGGAACTATACTATCTGAACCGAACCTGTCTCTGGACCCACGAGTGCCTTGAATTCCTCCATACGTTGGCAGTAGAGTGCCTGGACTACACCAACAGATGTCCTACCAGACATGTCGAAATGCGGCAGGGAATTGAATATGAGACCACGAGGATGAAATGGATAGCTGGCACTCTCGACACGAGCAAAGAGAGAGTGGAGACGCAGCTGAGCGTGTTGTACTCTGCAACAAGCCAGAGGGAGAACGCCATTGCCCTCAACTACAGTCGAATGGCGCAAGAGCAGAACGAAATCTCCCTTCGCGACGTTCAGATGAACACGCGCATTGCCACGTCGACCAAACAGGACAGCATCGCCATGACAACCTTCACCTTCATCGCAGCCCTCTTCCTGCCGGGGACATACGTCGCATCACTGTTCAGTATGAGCATGTTCGATTGGCTACCCTCAGACGGGAATGGTAGCGGTGGCGCACCGAGGGTATCAGCCAACTTCTACATCTACTGGTGCATCACGGTCCCGTTGACGCTGCTGGTCATGGCAGGATGGTACGTGTGGTACAGGAGGGCCGATCAAGCATGGCAGAAAGACACAGGGTACAGCCTGAATGATAACACTGGTGCAAACAGGACTGTAGAAGTAGGGGTAAAATCTGATGGGTAAATGCTGCGTCGAGACAGCCACCTAGGTAGTTGGAAGATCCGTCACAGGCGTTAAAGCTGTATACAACCACCGAAGAGGCTCTCCTGTCTCGAAGAGCAACTGATTTACGATCAACGAACGCCTTTGCCAGCATTAGTCCTAAGTACTCTTGACTTCCCTCGGGCATTGAAGTCTGAAGCATAAGAAGGTGACAAAGAGATCCTTTGAAATGAACGTATCTCTGTCTTTAAGACCAAGATGAGCGTGAGACGAAGATGAAGGTGAAGATGAAGGTGGGAGTGTGAGCAGGAGAGAGAGTCGAGAGGAGGGTTAAAAGCGGCGAGGGGTTAAGCATCCGCCTCACCTCGCCGCGTCTGCTGATCCGCCAGTGGTCGGGGATTGAACTTGGAAACAACAGCAACCCACCTCTGCATGGCCAACTGACGAAACAATCTACTAGATCAGAACCCAGTTTTATCGACGTCTACTCCGACCGCTTGTCGCGCGCGAGGCTCGAATTGTCCTCCAGATCGCTGATCGGGCGCAGTCCAAGGAACCTCAGGTGCCTGCGCTGCGGGGGATCGAACTGAGCTCAACATGGACGATCATGGCGAGTTCGACAGCGTCTCATGGCAACGAGAAGATACACCAGAGGGGGAATCATCAGCTCCGTTTCACGGCAGCCTGCCAGATAGATCCGCCACCGGGCCGCGGAGCGACAGCATATCCAGTGAACCTCAGGCAGGTGAACATGCGGACAACGTCGACTTGGGTGGCATAGGCCGCGACGGTATCTTGGAAGTGACTGTTGATACTCCACTCAAAGAGAACGACGGTACCAAAGATGCTTATGTTTCGTACTTGGTCACCACTCATGTAGGGTCGTCACTTGCTTGTCAACACGACCTTCGAGCTGACATTGTTTCCACAGACAGACTTCAAGTCCTTTCAAAAGACCGACTTTGCTGTCCGGCGACGTTTCACAGACTTTGTCTTCCTCCGACAGACATTGCACCGAGATTATCAAGCCTGCGCGATCCCTCCTTTACCTGAGAAGAACAACATGGCCTATGTTCGAGGAGACCGGTTTAGCACAGAATTCACCCAGCGCCGGGCGTGGTCGTTACATCGCTTCCTCAAAAGGTGCACTCTGCACCCGGTATTACGGAGAGCTCCCATACTTCTGTTGTTCCTAGAGACCGGAGATTGGAATGCACAGATGCGAATGAGACCATCACGCAGCAATACGCTGGGCGAAAGCGGGGCGAGCAACACATCGGCTCCGTCAGGATTCTTCGATAACGTCGCGGATACCATGTTGAACGCCTTCTCCAAAGTCCACAAACCCGACAAACGGTTTATTGAAGTGACAGAACGCGCCAACAAACTCGACGAAGACTTGTCGCATGTTGAGAAAATCATTGCCCGCGTCGCTCGAAGAGAAGGGGATCTTGAAACTGACTACGCCGACCTTGCCAACAACATGCGCAGACTGACTCCCTTAGAACCAGCAATCGAAGCTCAGCTGCAAACTTTCGCCGGGTGCGTGGAAGAGACGTCGAGAGGGTGGAAACAACTGAAGGACCACACGGATCAAAACTACCTGGGGAGTCTCCGAGATATGGAGGCATACATCAATTCCGTCAAATCGCTCCTGAAGACACGCGAGCAAAAGCAGCTCGATTTCGAAGGACTCACGGACTACCTGCAAAAGGCCACCTCAGAACGCGACCTGTTAGCTTCGAATAACCCTTACTCACATGGCAGCAATCTGAATCCGGCGACCTTCATCCGCAACAAAGTCGAAGACATGCGCGGGGTTGACCATGAGACCTCCCGCCGCGAACGCGCGCGCAAACTAGAACTCAAAATTGCAGAGCTCAACCGAGAGGTTGACAGCGCCAAATCCACCAGCGAAATGTTCGATGAGCAGGTGGTCCGCGAGGTTGCCGACTTTGAACGGATCAAGGGAGTGGAGTTTCGCGATAGCCTGGGCGCTTTGGCAACCCAACATATGGAGTTTTACCAGAATGTCATCTCGACGTGGGAAAGGTTCCTGGTTGATATGGATGCTGACAAGCACATACACAAAGATAAGGGGAGGGCAGCTGCATAGTGCCGGGAAGTGAACTGTAGGCGGGAAAGGCCTGGATCAGGTATTTTGACATGCTGAGGCGTCAATGCGCTCGCGAGCAGGTGGTAATTCTTCGATCATGAATGATAACGAAAGCGTCCCCGGTAGTGCCACCGCTCACCTCCACAAGGAACACAGTTGAGCCAGGTTCTGAGGAAGTGGTGCTTTTCCAAACAAGTCTGTCCTGTTTTCCCGTGTTCGACCTGTCTCTATAACAGCATTGGAACCCGCGTTTTTCTTTTGTCACTTGATACATTCTATGTGCGAGGTAAAAGCAGGTCATCCAACTTCCCAGAAGAGCGTTTCATCAAACACTTGGAATAAGGCGAGTCCAACGCATTGATAGATGTGCTCGACGTGCTCCCTTCGCGACGGCTCGCGGATAAACCCCGGATAAACTTCGCGTCTTCTGTACACCCAAAAGTTGCATCTCTACGAATGTAACTATTTGTTCAATGCGAAGCTCAAGGACTCCTCCAAGAACGAGTACAATGGCTGTCAGCAAGAAGTATGCTGGTTTGCCAGATCTGGTAAGATCTCTTCGATCCCCTCCCACCGACTGCCCTCTGACACCTGCTGACCGTCAAACGCTTGCAGGACGCTGCGCCCGAGGTATATGAAACGCCAGAACTAGCAGACGACGTCTCCACGGTACCGACAGGAACAGTGCGCACAATTTCCCCCTCTCCTTCCGATGATGACGAAGCCCGCCCTGGTCTCGATCGTCAACCACTCGACCGTGACGGTGCACGGCGGAGGTTTGAACCCTCCGTAGTCGACGCCCGGGATGTCGACTTTTCAGACTCGGTCGGCGGCACCAGACGCGCATATCGGACGTGCAGTTCTCGACGGAGAAGACGATGGCTTCAAGGGAGCGGGATCGATGAAGGAGGTGGCGATCCGAGTGACAGCGAGGAGGAGACGCTGGCCACAAAATTGGCGCGATTGAGGAGAGAGGCCGAGGAAGTCAGGTTGGAGCTGGAGAGGAGGGAGAGAGAAAAAGAGCAAGAGAAGGACGAGGATGGGGAGTTCAAGGACAGTCTGGAGGAACAGCAGCAACACAACCAAGGAGCTGGTGGAGCGGGTGGCGAGGACGAAGACATGGACGTGGATGGTGTGCGGGAACTCAGTCGAGTATTGGATGGTTTGAGCATGAAGGCCAAATTGAAGGCCGGCACCTCCGCGGAGGACGAATTCATGTCGAGATTAAACTCGAGTTCACTCCGACAAGGCCGGCGGCATCAGCAGCGAGAAATCGGGGCGGTCTCGTCGAAAGAAGAAGCAGCACAAGCCGCGCCGGCCACTCTCTCTGCCGTGGCAGCCTTCTCCGATCGTCTCACCGCCCTGGAATCCGCCCTGGGCGTCTCCTCTACAAGTGCAGCTTCTCAGACGGGAGCCATCCTGCCTACTCTGGCAAGCTTATCCACACAGGTCACCACGTTATCCGCCACCCTCGCACCACAATCAATCGGTGCATCAGGAGAGACTCTCCCATCCACGTCTGCGTCACAGACCAACACCGCGCTCCTGGAGACGATTTCTGCCAAACTCAAGACTCTGATCGCCGAGTCCGACCGACTGGCCGCATCCCGCAAACAAGCTCTCGCCTCGCTCGCCGACCTGCACGACAAGCGGATGCAACAACTCGTCTCCGCGACGGTGCATTCAAACACCACCCGCCCGCGCCTTCGAGGACTGTCGACCACAAGCAGTTCCGCTGCCGCCATCAATGCGCACGCCAACGACAACAAGCAGGGAGAGCTCACTGACGTCGGTCCGGGCGAGGAATCTCTCCAGATCCAGAGCCGGCTGTTCTTGGACGAGCAATCGGCCAAGATCACGGCCCTGTACAACGTCCTCCCCACGATCCAAAACCTGCAACCCTTATTACCTGTCGTGCTGGAGCGGCTCAGGACATTGAGCGTGATCCACGACGGCGCGGCACAGGCGAAAGGACTCGTTGACGAGTTGGAAAGCAGGCAGGGGGAGACGAGGGAGGAGATTGCACGGTGGAGGGAGGCGGTCGAGACGGTGGAGAAGGGCATGGAAGAGCTGGAGGGGGTGATGAAGGAGAATGTCGAGGTGATAGGTGGTAGAGTTGGCGAGATGGAGGGCCGGATTGGAAGGTTGGAGGGTGCCAGGTGAACGAGGGATGCGTGGAATGGATTTAAAAAGCCCTCAATTGAGAAGTGACCAGACTCTCGCTGTCTTTCATGGCATAATCATACCACCCTGCGCCCTCTTCAGAACATATAACCTAGTCTCCAACCCCCAATGCACCCACCACCCCCTCGTCCAACTCCCTCGCTGCCGTCCCAGCAGCCACTGCACTCCATACCCTTCCCTGAGCAAATCATGCACGACTCCGTACAAGAATTTCATCTTGTCCCCATACAAGGCCCCCACGAGCCTGGAAAGTCCATCGTCTTCCCTCCTCTCGTCCTTGGGTCCCAGCACCAACATGCCCCGACCGACTTCGGGGTTCAGGATCTGCACCCGCCCCAAAGAGGGAACCTTGTCGACGACGTCCCACAGCCCAATGACGCGGCCGGGGTCCTCGACGACGGCGTAGTCAAACTTTGCCCAGAACATGGGCGAGAGGAAGGCGGTCGCGTTGTCGGATTTGTCGTAGATCCATTTTGTGCGCGTGGTGGATACGAGCGGGGGGATGTCGCCCGAGGGTGAGCCGGGGAGGTAGAACACCGGCCTGCCGTGGCCGGAGGCGTTGGTGAATGAGGGTGTCGAGAGGAAATGCGTCACTCCGGTCTGGAGTGCGAGGTTGGTGAGGTGCACGTTCACGCTGGGTTGGGCTGGGTAGTTAAGCGAGATGGAGTGCAGGGACATCAGTGCGTGGGCGCCTGGGTACGTCTGCGCGGATAGCGGCAGGAGGACCAGGTGAGAGACAAGCGCGGCAAAGACTGTAGTCAGAGCTATGCCGCTTGTGACCATGTAGTAGATGGCAGAGCGCTCGCCCAGAACGGAGAAGTGAGCGGTGACTCTGGCAAACGCTGCCGTCAGGGGCGGGATGACCGGGAACAGAAAGCGTGTTTCTTTATGCGCGAGGAAGGAATATAAACAGACATAGCCCATAGAGGGGACTGTCAGGTCCCAATTCGAGGCTGAGGTGCTGTAAAAGAGGAAGCCGGCGGGGATCAGGCCCGCCGCCGCGAAGGGATTCATCAGAAGCCGTGGCAAGGCGCTGGTGAAGTACCAATGCCAGGGGCTCACTCCCCAGGCAGAGGCACCCAGGCTGTCCTTGTCAGGGAACACGTTAGACAAGAAGGCCGCGAGTTCGGGCCAGAGCGGTTTTGGGGTTTGCCAGAAGAAGGTGTCGAGAGAGACGGTCAATAAAAGACCCGCGAGGCTCGCGGTCAGGATGGAAGGGATCAAGACTCTGCGGGTCAGAGAGACAGCCTTGGCCACAGAGATGTCGGGCCCCGCGGCCTGGACAAGCATGTAAAGGCACTGACAGCCTAAGAGAAGGGCGATCTCGGAGCGGAAGACGACGGTCGCCAGAGTGAGAAGGTAGAGTGCCATCTTGCTGCGTGTGATAAGGGATTTGGTCGTTGACGGCGTGACGGGCAGGAGGAGGGAGAGCGCAAACGTGCCTGTAGATGTCAGCAACTTATATTTTCAGCCCAGTGTTTCCAGCTGCTGGTAACCGAGCAGAGCAGCTAGGTGCGGGCAACACGTACTCATCCCAAACGCGAACATGTTGGGTAGAGTCCGCGACGAGTAATACCAGACATGGAACTGGCTCGCTTGGTGGAAGGTGTACCTCGCCGCGGCAACTTTGCCATATGCTCGTCTCACGCCTGACGCGTAGTAGATGAGGGCAGCAGCATTGAAGAGGCCGAGGATAGAGCGGACTATCACAGTGTTACATGTCCAGAAATCAGCCCATGAAAAGGTAGCGCTTCTAAAATCCAGGAATGGATCCGTGTGTCTGTCTCACCAAGGAACTGTTGCTGAACTCCGTCAAGATTTCCAACCCACGCAATGGGCTTCGCAACGGCGGCCAGGACCACGGCGCCCACGAATGTCCGAGGCACGGCGCCGGGGAAGGTCATGTGGTCATAGAAGGTCTTGAACTTGTGATTCGCGTCGTGGGTAGGCACGCCATATTCCAAGATGTCGTGGACTGCTTGGATGTTGAAGGATTCCTCGACTTTGGTATATGGGGAGATGTACAGGTGGTACAGGACCAGAAGGGGGAATAACAGGTAGCATGAATGCCAGAGCTCGAGGCGAGTCATTTCTCTGTTCAGCACTCAGTGTGTTCAATAGTAGCAGCTACGGTGCTTGAAGGACAAAGGGGAATTTGCGTTGGGACGAAGGATATGGCTAATATTAGTTTCAGCCTTGTCCCCACAGCCTTGTGATATACAAGTATCTCAACCACACCCTTTCACAGCGTCGCACACACACAATAATACTCTGAGCAAGGTCCAAAAAAAGAGAAGAGATCCTGAACAACATTGGGAATCGAACATCATCTCAAATGGCAAAAAGTTTAGTGGACCCGATCAAGTCTGATATTACCTTTCCCAATCGAACCCGAAGTGGGTGCTGCAGCTCCTGTCCTCACCCCGGTGGTGAGCGTTTTCGAGCAATTACATCAACCAGTTCATCAGTTCTATGACCTGCTATGCAGGATTTTGACGTGGCGAGACCATACTGCTTAGCAGCGGCCACGTCTGGAAAGGCCCCTCCCACCAAACCCACTAAACTTTGGCCATTGAAGGCTCAAACTATATCCCGTGACGTTCGAAGTTCGCAGTTCTTCATAGGTCTCTTTACCGCGCTGTTGAACTTCTTTCGATTTGGGATATGTTGCACAAATTTCTGGACTTTTAATTGATATGCGAATGATTTTCTGATTGGTTTGTGGTCGCCTGGAGAGCAGTGAATCTGTGGCAGTGAGTGGAGACAGGTGAGGCAGAAACATTGATCGAGAGTGAAATGTGAAGGTTCATTTGATTGATGGGGTCATTCCCTGTTCCTCGTCACCCTGCAGGAACTCACAACTTCTCTTGTGGCTCCCGCGGAAGATGGACCTCCTCCAGCTGTTTGCCGGCAATGTCGAATGGCAGACAAGAGACAGTCGTGGCTATAAATCTCGCTGGCTCAGTCTTGGAGGCGTTGTGCCATCGATGCATGGTGCCTCGTTGGACGATATGATCTCCCGGCTTCAACAAGACCTTCTCTCCACCATCCAGCTCATGCTCAATTTCCCCGATGATACAGACCGAAAAGTCAATGGACACGGTCCGGTGCATGACGCTCGTTCCTCCAGGCGCCAGATCCACGATGAGGAGATTCACACCGCTTGGTGTGACAATGCTTGGATTCGTCCAGCTGGTTGGTCCTTCTTTGCCGAGATATGCTTTCACGTCCTCGTCGTTCTCCAGTTTGGCCGGAACCGACGACACGGAAAAGGAACGGGCAAGTCCACCCACGCCGGGAACAGGGAAGTATTGCTGTGGAGGTGAGTCAAGATAGACGCTCTTGCCGTTGGCATCGTGGGTCGCGATGTATCGCTTGACAGGGGGCAAAGTGGTGACAGATTGTTCCATTTTTGGCTAACGTTGGCTTGATATGCCGGGTGTTGTGAGGAGATCGGTTCAATGGCGCTCTGGCAAGTTTGATACCTTGGAAGATTGGAAGAGTGCGAATTGTGACATGCACACCTACGACGCCTTTTATAGACGAACCGACCACGTTGTGGTCCTTCCTGTCTGAGTCAGTTGGTAGATGTGGCAGTTCCAACCCCGCCTCTGCCCGCTATCTAGTATCGACTGGTTAATAATGGTCCGGCAATCTACCTCCCTACATGAAGATACCCTCGGTATCCCAAATAGGATATCGACCCGGAATACTGGTAGGAATATTAGTATGGAACCCATCATGCAAGAAGTTGATCACATAGGTTTTCCTATAGCAAAATCATGGACTTGAGATCACGACGGCCCCCGAGGCTGAGGTGGACCACTGCACACAGCGACATTATGAGAAGCGGGTTACCGAAAACGGTTTCCTGACAAGGCTGGGCAAAACGCTGATATGTCCTGATCAAGTCATCCCACCTCTTGAAACGCTGGCAGAAGGGCGGGCCCAGCTCCGGCGGGTCGCCTCTTGTCTCTGCTTGATCTCGTCGAGGCTTCTGGTTTGTTCTGAATACCCAGTAGATAGGCGCAAATGTACCTAGTAATGCTCGGTATGGATTTTTCTCCGTCCTCGGAACCAGACACGGGACAGCGAGTCCTGTGTTCCGAGCCTCTGGATTGGATGCCCGGCGGGATGTTATTCCGCGCCGATCTGGGCTTGGTGGCTTCAACACCAAAACACCCAGGCTTGCCAGATATCGACTTCGTCCTCGACCTTTGGTTGACGCAGGGCCCATGTTCAACCTGTGACTTTGAAGAACTTCACCTGGAGTCACTTTCTTCTTCTTCTACCTAGGGCGTCCACGCGTACCCTTTTGCGACAAAATGCTTAGTCTATTCGGCTTCGGCCCGTTCATCTATGGTGAGTGCTCCAGCAGAACCCGTGGGATATGCACTACCGATATCACACCCGTTCCTTTACAATGATGGCTGCGAGACTAACAACCCCATTTTTACATCCAGCGAGTTGCCTTCTCCTCAACGCCATTGCCATCCTCTCTGAAGACCGTTTCCTCGCTCGAAGTATGTCCTACCCAGGTCCCACCACACGTCCTGCATTCTTGTTACGTTCCACCGTTGGTTTTTGTCCCGTGCCACAAATCCTTTCCGGGATATCAAGATGAAAGGAAATCAAGTTGGGCTAACACATGACGCGGGCGGCGCGAACAGTTGGCTGGGGCAAAACCTCTCTAAATGACCCTTCTACTGGCGCTGCGTTCGGTGCTCCCACTCAGGACCCGGAAAGCTTTCGCAGCAAAGGCATCAACCTGATTTCGAGTGTCCGCACGCTATGTCGAGGTCAGTACTCCCCTCCAAATACGGCCTGTCTGGCAACGCCGTATAAGTTTGACAAGCAAAACACTTCGTGCTGGTTGTAAACAAGAAGTATGTGCTGACGGATTTTTCGACGTTGGGGGAGAAAACAGTGCCGTTGATCCTTGTGAATTCCTTGATCATTATTTATGAACTTATGCTCGGATGATATATCAACTTGCCACCACGGAATCGACGAGCACGGGTTATGATCGGATATATCCACCGCCATCAACGAACCGCAAATACGCCAGAACAGCGATGCCTTGACACTTACAAGCCGGTCGGCAATACTTGGTGATTTAAGACTCCCTTTTCCAGCGCCATGTCTGCAAACCGCTCTCCAATGACCCACGTCAAGATATCTGCACAGCCATGCACGTATCAGTCGCCAGTGAAACCGGAACTCCGGATTTCAAGAGATGGGAAGCGTTCGCATATTGTCCACTCACAGCCGATTGATGCCGGGCCCTCTTATGGCGACTTGTGGCGGCAGAGCAATTGGTGCACCATGAGCTGTTGGTGGGTTTTCTTGAATCCCCAGGACATCAATCCAATCCCTCGCGGGGTACCACGGATCAGACTCGACCCGGGCGGACTTGGTTGGTTGCAGATCGAATACGTCGTGGGACGCCCCAAAGCTCGGCGCTATACTACCGTTGTCCTCACAAGTCTCAACAGCTCTGGACAACGCCATATTGGGTCATTCTCACTCAATCCGTCTGGGCAGCAGAACGCGAACATGCCAATCAGTGGCGCAACAGGGAGGATCCTTGTCTGGAGAGGAAAGGGGAGGCGAGGCGCGTCTCCAGGACGGAGGGCAATATCAGCTTGACAGTCTCTGTAATCTCCTTGTGGGAGTTCAGGGGAATGCCACCTGCAATCGAATGTCATCCCGACCATGGCTGCCCAGCAGACATACCCTCCAGGCCAGGAAAGATGGACATGAGAGATATTCCATTGAAGCAGCCAGCCCGCAGTGCTCGAATGATCCAGAGAGCCATTAATTAGTTCTTGCAACAATGTTATATTCATGGATTGTCTTTTGTTCTCTCCTTTCACCTATGTGCGACTTTTGATATAGCTCCTCCTTCCTCTACAGGCTTGCTTGTAAATGTGTGTCATCTTCCATTACACCAGACCACTGTGCACTGTCGCTTCGCCACCAGCCGGCGAAAAATGGCAAAGAGAAATATCGCCATGGGAGGTCGGGAGGATTCCCACCTCCCAACTCGAGGCCGACCGTGCCCTTGGTCCCTCCAACATGAGTGAGGGCGGACCGTAGCATAGTCTACACAAGCCACACAAAAGCCACGCGCCCATGAGTAGTCCAGCCCAACTCGCTCTCGAATTCGAATTAGGCCCTCAGCGACCGCCGCCTCTCGATCTCTTCCATTGCACCCAATTTGCTTGGGCATCATTGAGGCCAGGACCGGCGGTTTCCAACGCGCTCATTGCGCCGTCAATGACTGTATCTGTGTCGCAGGCGACATAGACCGATGCCTCGCACGTGTCGAGGCCAACCTCCGCTCCTCTGTCGTAAGTATGTTCATGACCTGACCGTCTTGTTTGACAACTCGGCTTCCCCAGAGAGGAATGGTGAAACATGGGTGGAAGGAAGTCATGCAGGCAATAAAAGCGCCATGTAAATGCCGTCATCATCTTGTGAAGTTTCATAACACATTCGTAAAATTCGAGAGCGTGCGAATAACACGCGAAGATCGTCCGGCTGACAACGGACACATATATCGACGATTTTGTGCTGCCTCGAGTATTACTCCCATTAGACCAACCATGACAAGACTCCCAAATATCCATTTCGCTTCGTCGGCTTCCAATGATCCGTTGAACGATATATGTGCAATGCAAACTCAGGTCGAAGATAGTTCACTCGCAGATGTGCTAACGCTCGCGTCTTTGTCAAGATAACACACCGAACGACTTCTTTCGAATGCTGAAACGATTTTTCTTCTCTTTCTCCTTATCCTTTTCTGGAGGTTCCGCAGTCTCTGCTGTCACTGTTGGAACCATATTCTCCTCGGATGGATTCGACGGCGGCTTGTCCCTTTTGGTTAGAGATCCAAATCGTAGACTCTTCGATCGTTTGAATCGATCTAGTCCGGAATGGCTACTGCCGTTTGCCTGCACGGTGTGCGCTCTTTCGAGGGCGTTTCGCTTATCCTCCTCGGCCTTCGTAGCCTTACTTGCTTCCATTGCCGCCTTAAGCTCCGCTTCTTGCCTCTTGTGCGCTTCCGTGATTTTGTTGGCCAAATCTTTGCGGCGTTGTCGCTCGGATTCTTGTCTCTCTTTCTCCGCCTGTTTCTCTGCCGCTTTCCTTGCCTTCTCTTCTTTGGCCTTTTCTTTCTTGCTTTGCACGACTGGACTTGTCGGTCTGGCGGCACCGAGTGTGGGAGATTGAGGCGCTTCAACATGGCCATTGGCCTTGAATTGAGCTGGCGCAGTTACAGCATGATCGAGCACAGTGTATTGTGCGGATTCTGCGGGCGACATCGGAGAACCCATTGGACTGAAGGTTTCAACACGATGCAACTCTGCTGAGCGTTTGGCATCAGCGCCCAAAGGATTGGTCAGGTCCTGCGAAGCTCGTCTTTTTCCTTCCATCCTTTGTTCCTTTTGGACGGCCTCCAGTGTTGTCTCTTGATAAAACAGCACGTAGGCACACGCAAGCCCCGGCTTATCTCCGAAGAAGTTGCGGACGAAGTTCTTGTCGACAGGTTCAACCATCTCGTCGTCGAAAAGTAGCCAGCCCCGGTCCTGGGTCTTGATGACGGCGACGTAGTGACCATGGTAGGGGCCTCCTCCAATATGAACAACCACTGCATATAGCTCGTAAAGTCGGTCAGGATCCTCTGCATCGTCTGTGGTGTTGAAGAGTCTTAAATGGTAAGGGTACACAACCTTGTGGAACAATTTCTGCAGTCGTCCGAAATCTTCAGTATACTTGAAACGCTTTAGGTGTAAAGCCAATATTCGTGGAAGTCGCTTAATCTTCATTCGCTTCTCTGCTTCCTGAAGGCCGCCGCAATTGTCGCAATGGAACTTGTTTCGCTCGCACAACATCTCCTCCTCGGAAAACCTTCGTAAACATGCAGTGACCGAGGAATGCTGCTCCAAATCGACCGAAAGATCTAGAAAGGGTTCGTCACGCTGAGAAACGTTTTCGCAAGTCAAACATCTGGTTTCAGAAGTGAGGGTGCCTTCGAAGAGGCCATGAAGCCATTTTGTCGGTGAGTTCGCTGTCGGCATTGGTAGTATGGAAGGGAATGATACAGTCGCTGATTCTGTTCGTGACATGTCGGCTGGTTCTTCTATCGCCGGAAGCTCCTGCACTTTTTTCTGTGCAGTCAGTTTTCTGTCGTGATCTTCGATATTCTCCACCACGGTGTTGAGGAGAAGGTTGAGAAACTCGTGTGCATCCTGATGCATGGCAGACCTGAACATCTCATTCTCCTTGCGAAGAACCTCCAGGAATCTGTGCCCACTCACGACTCCCATCCTTGACTGATGCAAGACAATACCCTCAAAAATGTCCTTTAGCGATGTGAAAAGGCTCTCTGGCATGTCGTAGTCCTGCGAGTTTTCGTAAGTCACGTTCAGAATGGGCCCGTTGATTATCGCCTGTTTCTTTTTGTACTCCGGCGAGTCTTTATCCTCTGGCTTCTGTTGTTGAGGGGGGGTACCGGCGTTTCGCGCCGATGCAGGTCCAGGCGGCGGCTTCTTCGCTGCCCCATTCTGTTGATTCGGCGGTACCCGAGGAGGAGCGTGCAATTGAGCGTGGGCGACAGCGTCAGGGTTTGACCGGCGCGGATACGAAAGGACGTGTTCTCGGAAAGGGACAGAATAATAGAGACACTGCAGGATCGAGTTGCAATAGCTGCGAAAATCAGACCAAGAACCCTCGATATTGATGGTGTTTCAGCACTGACCAGCTGTTTCCGAACTGCAAGAGATCTTTTGTTAATAACGGAGTCCAAGGGGTTTCCAGGCAAGACCAAAACCTACGTTTTCCATGCCAAAGAACTTATCACTGCCATCGGTGCGAAGCGGGCCAGCATTCGCAAGCATGCGCTCGAGAGGGGTAGGTAGAGGCGCATTTGCGTCCTTTCTGGCGGGGGATGCGCCTACTGCCGGGGCAGACGCATTCTGAGGAGAGACCAGGCCGTTAGTTACCATTCCAAAGCAGTCGGACAAATAAAGACGACCAGAGATCTTGCGCGAGCCTTCACCAGGGGTCCTGGGAGATGATGGAGACTCAATCCGTCTGGTTTCTTGACTCACCTGGCTCTTGAGCTTTCCAAAGAAGGAAGTCATGGTCGACGCGCCTCATCTGCAGACACCCGAATACATGGGCAGGTTAAACTAGAGTGCAATCAGGCTGGAGAGGATGGCATCGGGAGGAGAGCAACAACAAAGCAGGCAGGAGGAGGCGAGGATGGTAGGGAGGAGACAGGACGGTGCAGGAGATAGCAGAGCGGTATTTCTCAACATCAGCTTTGAAATCGGTAGGCTTCGAGATGGTAGCAGTGGAAGTAATATGGTAGCAGTACGAGGAGTACTCCTGCTTGGTAGGCAGTAGGCAGCGAGCTAGCAACGATCAACCAGGAGTAACAGATGGGTGGGATCCTATCCCGTCTTCTGGTGACTAGGCGCAGACAGGGTCCCGACTCGTGGTTTGTGGCGGGGTGGGCATGGGTGGCATGGGCAAGCGCAGCAGCCAAAAGCGACGAAGTTCTGGCTCCTTGGGCGGTCGGCCATAGCGAGCGCGTTGGATCCTGGCTGCATGCATGGCTTCACGCCGAGGCGCCTTCAATGGTCGCCGCCTGGAATAGTGGCAATTGGTGACAACTCGGCTGCGCACCAGCAGCTAAGAACTTAGAAGAACCCGCCCCTCCACCACCGTAGCCCGTCAAAATCACCCCTCCTGGGGGCCAGTGGGTGCCAGTCACCCACAGACTCGACCCAAAGTGGTCACTCAACGAAGATCGCCATTATGAACAATGATCGCCTGCTGTGTTTCAAAGAGCCCTGCGATCCTTATTGTCGCAGCCAGGACCCTCTCTTCCCCAGCATTACTGTAAACAATGTGAACAGGATATACGCCCAGGTCAAGAGATCACGGGTCAGAGCGTACACCCTGGTCTCCACGAAGTGCTTGACTTGAGCCTTTCCTGCAACCGTGGGAAGTCTCCGTATCGCCCAAACGGAGTGCGTCTCGCTAGGCCACTTCTAGGGTCTCCAATTCAACTGCCGCATGTGCCTGGTGTCTGCAGGAGCAAACGTTCTAGCGCCCACCGTTGTCCACCTGCAGCTATTCTCCATTCTCCATTCTCCATCGACGATAGCTAACGGGGTTACAGATCGCTTGGGAGCGGAGGAGTTATGGAAAAGGTCGAACACGCGATGCCATCCACGGAAGCACCAAATGCGGTGACTTTGACCTGCCAATGTCACCTTCGTCGCCCCTCACAGCCGGGAATTTGGTATCGAGCTTTCCTCCCTCATTGACCTGTTGCGTCACTTGGGATCGCCGGCGGTTAATGTGGAAATCGGCAAAGTCGGACCACCCCATTAGCTATGTATGCTTTCAAACTTCCCACTTCCTTCTTAGAGGCTGAGCACGGGAGCCCTTGCTAGAATTTGCCTGATATCCAAAAGCGCCGATTCCTATGCGGCCCAGTCCCCTTGTCATGTTACCCCTACAATATTGTCGATAAATGCTGATCCACAAGAAGGGAGAAATGAGAAGCCTGAGTAGGTAGGTGAATTGAAAGCCTCCGCAGTGAATATTCGAAGGCTTCGCTACAGAACTCCACGTGGCGGGGCAGAGTTTATTAGGTTCAAGCCCAGGTGGACTCTGCCCCCTCGTGCCCCTTTGACCGCCGGATCTCAGATTTATTTCACCAGCACCAGCCAGGCACTCCGACGTCCAAGTCCGCCATTCTCGTAAGCTGGGATCGGCACCTTTGGCGACACTGCCCGCACGGACGCCCTCTCTGATTGGGGTCAATGTCAACTCGGCACTGCCATTCGCAGTGAGACCTCGAGGGCTGGGTCTCCTGACGGTGCTTGGGGTCGGGAACCCTTGTCGACCATTTTGCCGGCCAAACGAACTTGCATACCTAGCGAGCTAGGTAGACATCTCCGCTCAATACGAGGAGAAGCTCGTTCCCTTCCTTTGTACCTCATTCCTAGCCTTATTGGGCAATCCTCTGGGGTAATGTATATTCGCTACATGATTGATGTTCTGAAATGAGTCTGGGTCATTGCAATTGTGGCGTCGGGAAGGGAAGAAATCTGCGGCGACTTGCATACGGAAAGGCAGACTCCGGTACAAAGTACGGAGTTGTGATCGTGAACAGATCCCAATGCTTTCAAAATGACTCTTTATCCAAGGCGAATTTCCACCCCGGAAGGACAAGATGAATCAAATGCATCGCAAGACTTGATTCACTCGCAGATTAGTCCCGCAATCGCAGAATCTCGGTTAGGAACTCCTCGAAGCTCATCGTCACATAACCGTCTCGGTCATCGTCATATTTCTTGAAGACGTCGGTCATCCTTTTCAGACTGATGCACGACTGTACGAACAGATCAAAGCTCATGCCTTGATTCTGGATGGGACTCCGATCGTTGAAGGTGTTGTAGAGGATGTTTATGAAAGGCGCGGACAACCGATATCCAAACGCCGTCAGGGCCTTGGAGAACTCTGCCAGTGATATTCGGCCACTCCTATCCTCATCAAATTTCTCGAAAAGTGTGCGCCAGGCGGCAAGGAAGCGCCAGAGATTTTCAAACTCTTGGTAGGTGATGGTTGGGCCTTGCGGCTGGTTGGGAGGAGAGTTTGTGAACATGCGCATCAACGAAGAGATGGTTCGGCTGTCAAATGGGGTGAAGTCAGCATTCACCAAGGCTGATCCCAGCTCAGTGGTCGTGAGTGATCCAGTCCCCGATGCATTTGCAGCACGGAAAAGAGGCTGCAAGTCAACTGTGTCTGGGTCTTGAGGTGCCGGCGTCCTGGCTGGATATTGGTTTGTCTCCTGCGAAGTCCGTCGCGCACTGGCAGGATCAACTGGGGGCCGAGGCGCGTAGCCGTAGCTCGTTGGAGGGGGTGATTGTAAGCGGGAATAGTGGTTGTCACCGTAAGGTTGATTGTGTATAGGACGTTGCTGTGGGTTTATTTGCACAGGAGGTGGTCGATAGGAATTTTGAGGGATACCCGCAGAGGGAGGACGACGGCCAGCAGCTGACGGAGGCTGCTGAGAGATTGGATTCAAAGGAGCTTGATTTGGGCTTTGACGGAGTGGTTTACGATTTGCTTCAAGTTGACTGAGGGCTTGCGCAGCCTGCTCGGGCTCTGCGTGACTGTCATGAACAAGTGGTCAGTGAGTAGGTCCCCGTCTTCCATTTGTAAGTGAAGCGGGGGAGGGGTGTGAGGCCATACGCAGGCAAGGCATCGGGATTGAACGCTTTGTTGTATGCCATGAGAGACGTTTACGAGAAGAAGAACAGTTTCATCTCAATTTAGAAGAGGGCGAGGTTCACAATCTTTAGATAAAGGCAACAATCCATGTCTGATCATTGTGAGGCTGACCGTCGAAGAGTCGATGCCGGTAAATTGATTGTTTGTATGATGACGATTCCCGAGGGCTTAGGTGGAAAGCTGAAACAGGCGCAGGCAAACAAGGGCTTTTTCGGGGGCTGGCTTCTGGGCGCAGTTCCCTCCCCGCGAGTCTGTGTGCGAGCGCCTAGTATGTAGCCTCACCTCGGCAGCCAAAAGTAAAAACTCGGCCGGGCGGCTTATCGCAAGGCTACGGGTTTGGGCTCAGCCCGACAACATGTCTGACTTCCGAACGAACCCATTGACAAAAGTTTAGGGAATTTCACTTGTCATATCAATATGAAACGATAGACCGCCGTAGACAATTACGAGAGCTCCTTCGCTTGCCCTGCCATTAAGCCCATGACTAACTCATGACTAACATCTTCAATTGAGATAGGCGTTGTCCCGTCCTCCCGCTATCTTGCCTGGTCTTTCCGCGTCCACTCGGAATTATGACGCCTCTTCGTAGGTAGCGAGGTAGTTGGTCGGCAGCTTTCCCGTCTACTTTGTCCGAGTACAGTCACCGTTCTGATGGCACAAAGCAGGACGTAGTACGAGTAACTTAAGCTCGGGCTTTTCCATCTGCCAGGTCATTCTGCTGAGTCGAGTCTCAGCAAGCCTGAATTAGTGTGCATGAGATCTGCCTGCCGGCTTCAGGCGGCGGGAGAGATCCGTAGCCCTCTTTGCTCCTCCCAACAAATGGCCTGAAGTTTAGCCTTCTCAGGCTGTTCTTTTGTAGGCACCCAGTAGGGGGGGCTTAAGGTGCTTAACTAATTAGTGGCCGCGCTGGTGACCCGGAGCCACCTCGGGGGCGCGTGGCTCTGCGTCTTCCTCCTCGCCTGTCCCACTAAGACGGCCTCGTTAAGCAGCGGAAGCCGCCTGTGATCCTCCCGAAAGCGACCAATGCTGCAAATGAAATTCATCATCCATGGCTCTCTTTTCCATCTGCAGACGGCCTTCTCCTTAGTCGAGTTAGTCGATATATCTGCGCACCTCCTTTCTGCTGTGCTTACATATACTCCTGTTGACTACTTTATACCAACTGTCACTGTTCTTGGATCACTCTTGATCTCAAGTTTTCCGATCTTCTTTCGACCGACGCCGCGGTCATATCTCCTCCGACGCCCAATTCCAAGACGTTTCACGAGCCGCATAAGCTAGCCTTCCAGCATGAGTCCAGTTAACACGCAAGACTTCTGGCTCTTTGGCTATGGGTGAGCTAGACTGTCTTTCACCAGGTGCATCATCATGACCTTGACCACTGACTCAATGCTCTAAAACGGCAGGAGTCTGATATGGAAGCCTCCCCCACACTTTGGTAGGAGTCGAGTGCCCTCTCATCGTCAGGGAAGATCAGAACTCATGGTGAAATAGACCAGCGGATTCCAGGGTATATCAAAGGTTACGTTCGGCGCTTCTGGCAGGTAGGGGGCATGGCGGCGGCTAGGACAAGTCAACCACCAGCTAACAAACTTTGTCACCTAGGCAAGGTAGGTGTCTCTGGCAGACGCGTCAACTCACTTTGTTGAGCAAACATACCAGCGAGGACCATCGTGGGACCTCTGACGCCCCGGGAAGAGTGGTCACGTTGATTGAGAGATCCTTTTGGGAAACGCTTGACGATCCTGTACGACATTCGCCCCAAATCTCGTGTTGACGCCTGCTTTGTGTGTGACTGACACCCATCAGCAACGCCATACAGAAGGAGACGTGGTGTGGGGTGTTGCCTATCATATCATACCCTCGAAAGTGAAAGAAGTCCAAGAATACCTGGATATTCGCGAAATGTATGCAGTCTTGACCGCTTCAGAATTGCTTTGTTGACCTCGAGCAGAAATGGGTACAGCATCCAATACACTCCTTTCCACCCAGCAGACACTTCGCTTGCAGATCTTCATTGCCTGGTCTACATTGGTATGCCTGACAATCCTCAATTCTTGGGTGCTCTATCGCCGGATGAAGTTGCAGAAACGATCAACACCAGCATCGGTCCCAGTGGGGAGAACAGAGAATACCTTCTCCATCTCGAGCAGGCCCTGGAAGAATTGAGTCCAAACAGCCACGATGAACATGTCACAGACCTTGCCCGACGAGTCCGAGCTCTCACTCCACCTCTTAGAGTTTCGCGCCGCCCGTTTGCACCTGACAACGCCTTGCGAAAAGTCAACAGTACTGAGGAGCAGGAGGAGATAGAGAAGGAAGTATGATTGCTTGTGGTATGGACATTCTTGGATATCTCTGATGGTGCGGTCTCAATGCGCTCGCGTGGAAGTCAACGATGCGGTCCCAACCGACAGCTTCGTTGAATCAATGGTCGGGCTTGGTGGATATCTTTGCGCAATCAGGTCAATCTCCCCGGCCTTCTCGGTCTATTGTCGATGTGGCCCCTGCTGGCCATAGGGATTGTTGGCCCCTTGTTGTTGGCCTCCACCATACGGGCCTCCTGGTTGTTGGTATTGCGGATTGTACTGCCCATATTGAGCAGGATACGCTGCACCACGGCCGAAGCCTTGCGGGTTGGGGTTTCGCGGCTGGGTCCCGGGCTGCGGATAACCACCTGGCGCCATGGGCATTGTGTATCCACCTCTTCCAGCGAAGCCACCACCGCGACTCGGGCCCCCTGACCTGTTGTCCTGGGCATGATCTACTCGAATCAGACGACCGTCGAATCTGCTCAAGAGGTCAGCTTCTGAAGGTTTATGGATGCTGCCCTGTCGCCTCACTCGGTGTTGTTCATTCTCTGAAGGGCTTCGTCGGCTTCCTCTTTCGTCGCAAACCGCACAAACCCAAACCCTCTGCTGCGATTCGTGTCGCGGTCTTTGACGACAACCTGGACGACATCAGCCAGCCATTCACAAGTCGTCGACGCATCGATTACCGCCTCCTCCACCTTGCCGAATTTCTGGAAGCCTTCGTGTAATGTTTCGTCGGTAGTGTGCCAGGCAAGACCTCTGTTGGAAAGATCATGTCAATTTTCACCTGGAGAGCTGCATTTGTAAGACTTCAGGCACATACCCAATGAAGAGCTTCGCCATAGTGCAGTCGATTGGCCACAGCCAGAACTGATACTGTCGCAAAAGACTTCTTTCGGCCCCCTTCAGAGTAAGCCCCGGGAGCGGTCTGAGATACTCAGAACTCACCGCACAATGTCACGGATATTGAAGAAGAAACAATAGTCAGGTTTGGGTTGTCATGAAGATTTCATTGGTCGAGAATATGCAGCGGTTCATGCAATCTATCAATTAGAGCGTCTGCAGTGCGGCCCCAATCAACAACAGACTAGCATCGATATCACGATTTCCTGTGCCTTTGGACGCCGAGTGAAACGGTGACAAAAGGAAGATGAGTGGGTTCCGCAGAGTGGGCAAGATGCCCTCACTTAAGATCGGCGGGCTTCTGAGGTTCCACGTGGGAAAGGAAAGCGCTTCTCACATATGTGGTCAACAGCTGAGGAGTATAGCGGAACCCAATCTCACAAGAAGTCAGAACTTGATTCCGCGCAGACGGGATGTTGGTACCGATTCTCTGTGACGAATACAAACCGCGTACGGGCGCCTTTGACGCGGAAGTGACTTCTTGAAAGTTCGATGTACAGACCACTTCCGGATCCAAAGCAAAGACTAGAGTGGAGTGCACAAACATTCCCTCTGGTGCCCTGCAAACTCATCGTGATAGGGTGATGTCAAAAGGCGCTTGAAAGATCGTTCAATACTGTGGTGGTGTCGAGGCACCGCTGATACGATGGGCTCGACAGGTAGTGGAAGGACGGCTAAGAGTGGGCCTATCCAACAGGAGATCTCCCAGAGCCAGGGCAGCAGAAGCCCTTCGGTAAGAAAAGTCGTTGGCGCAGGATACTTTTTATTCCCTGGGACTACGATATAGCAGGTCTCTATCACTCGTCAGAGTTGCATATCAGCCCTATAGGCAGAAAGCCTATTTGCTCGGACGCTACAGTGAGAACTTCTCCAGGCCCTCCATCGACAAAGAGATCGGTGCTGGAGGTCGAAATACAATACGACAAGATCGTCCTGGGAGCCTTCATTTTCGGCTCTGGCAGAATGCAGCAGGTCCTGAAGCATGACTCGCTAGGCGGCGTTGGACTTTGGGCAACAGTCAGCAGCGATGGTGTAATGTGGGCAGCCATCTCAGAGAGGGCCAGGTGATGTTTGGGCGCCCCGAGCTTGACCGCTGATTGAACCCGGGCAAGGTAGGGCTGCAACAGGATTGATCGAGCTCGATCGATGGGAAAGCCAAGGGGGCCATGGCCCTCGTTGCACTATTGGACGCATTTTACTGGGGGACTTGGACCTCATGTCCTTATCAGAGACTCCTACTGGCAAATGCGAGCAACGAAATACCCCGCCTCCGGAATAGGTCTTCGGGCGAGGTGGCCGAGGAGAGGAAACTCGAGAACAATTTGGGTTCCGTTGTGCGACGAGCATTTGCTGGATGGGGTCGGTATGGGTCGACTCTGAGCATTTGGCGGAAGAGGTAATGGTCTAAATGTAAGTGGATGCGCCAGAGATCACAGATTGGACCGACTCAGGATGAAGAGATGAAGGTTGGTGCAAGCCTGCGAAGCTAAGGACCCAAAGTTTATAGAGGCCATCCCTCTGGGTCTGGTTGGGGAGCCAGGAGCCATGAAAAGAGATGGAGAGGCGGGCGTGCCGATTGAGGGCGGATGGATGGTTGTGTGTGGATGGGGAGTTGAATCCTCATCAGTGCCACCAGCGCCTTCATCCCGGGCGGGGTGAGAGGTTGTGTGGTGGGAGCTCGACTCGACGAAAGGCCGCCGCATGAGACTAACAGCCAACATGCTCTAGCGACCCTCGCAACGCTCCAGCAGCCTGCAGCCAAAGTCAAAAATGAGCACATCGCCGACACTAGATTACCTGAATTCAGCAAGACGAAACTCTCAAAAAGGGGAGCAGCACCTTGGCTGCCTTCTTGACACTCTGCCACCGCTGCCAGACTCCAAGTCTTCTCCGAGGCCTCGACGTGGGACAGCTCCACCATGGCGACAGGGTCACTAAGCCTAGCAAAAAGCACGAAATCCTCCGATACTGTATGGACTAACCCGCTCCCTGGAACAAACCTCTATCAACCCTCCCTAGGTACAAAGGCTCCACTAGACTCGACGCCCAGGTTTGGAGCATGAACAAACGCCCTCCAAATGCGACCGCAGACAGGAGCAGGCATGAAATCCTTCCTCACCGACTTCTCTCCTACCGTGCCGCTGTCCGATGACCTAGAATTGATTACCTGACCAAATTACTATTTTGGAGCGCATCACATTTACGCTGACCATGGCAGAGGCAGAGGCTTGGATAACAGTGCTTGCAGAAATACCAAGGAGCGATCTACCCGAGAACAAGGTGCCCGCAACCGCCCGGCTGTTCTCGGCGTCATTGCGCTGGAAACTCCATTCTTCATGACTGGCAGCGGTACCTTGGTACATTTCTTTGCGCATCAAGAACTGCAAGATGAGAAGGTTATCGCATGTAAGCTCGACTGGGGTCTTGCAGAAATGATCTGCAGTCAGCCCTATGAGTGCCTGTGATCCACATTTGGCCTCCTTTTCGCCCCAGCCTTAACTGTCGGTATGTCGCCGATCAGGTGAAAGGAACAGAATATCGACTGGGCCGTGGAGGTCTCGAAGTGAATCGCGAGCCTTTCACACCCTCAAAAGCATCCGGTGCCTTCCTCACAATTTCATTCAGAATGTAGTGGCCGTGCTTTCCTCGGACGGCCAACGTCCGCAGCGGCAACACCCTTTGCGCATTTCCATCCCTGAAGTCCAGGTTCGCATTTTCTTCTTGGGTAAATGGCGTCTATGGATGCCTCTGTTAACGGGCAAAGATGAAGGAGATTCGTCATTCTAAAAACAGATGGCTTCATTTCGACACCCAGCACTTTCAATCTCCGAACAGGTGCATCGATGGCTCTCAACTGTGGAGCGAAGCTCGGATACCTGCGACCAGGAAGAGACATATCCCAATGCAACATGTCACAGAGTGAAGCGCAAAGGCAAGGTTGAATGGAGTGAGCTGAGGTGCAACGTCGCTGACGTGGAGTGCAACAGAAACCCGATGGACTCGAGAACCAGTTTCGGAATTGTTGAATTTGAAGCAATCTGGAGCCAGTCACCAAGGTCAGCACAGAAGTCCAGGAAAGGAGGCCCAATTTAAGAGTAGGGCGAGTATTCAGGCCCAGCTCGGCCCGGCATCTGACACCCCAAGCGTCGCATGGCCGAAAGACGGGACGAACAGGCTTGAAGATACCAATGTCCTGGATGCGAGCCAAAAGTATGCCAGGAAGCAGAGGCACAAAACCAAACCAGACAGATACGAGTACAAGGATGCAAACGAAAAGACTTCGAAGAAGCGGGAGTCTAAGACAAGGGCAAAGAAAAAGTCAGCAGCTCCACTAAATCACGATTTTCAGGCCCCAAACGTGGCCAGCGAAAGACTAATCCTCCATCCCAACTCTGGACCAGGGTTTCTTGCCAAAGCAAAATCTTCGGCCAACGCAGGGAAGAGGGAATTACCAGATCTGACTTTTTCGGAAATGGCATTTCTCAAAAGAAAGAGACAGGAGGACGATACGCACCTTCTAAAATCAAAAGAACATAGTCTCAGAAGGAAATGTGACAAGTCACTAAGCCATGAGATAGCACAGTTCTTTTCTCGACCAGCAGGGATGAGACGTGAAGGACAATGTTTGCGCAAGCCGCCTTCGTCCGAATCCCGCGTCTCATGGTCAGTCTCCCCATTACAGGATCGAGCACCAACACTGCACCAACGATTGAGTTCACTTGCACAGCCATCCAAATCAGGGCGCATACATCTTCATGAAGCCCACGGTCCAGCTACTCCTTCAATGGTTCGTCCAACGAGCTCCAATGGGGATGAATTTCTGGAGAAGTTCACGACTGACGCACTCTTGCATGGAGTCGAAGAATTTTCCAAGGGAGAAAAGAGACGGTTCTCATTGAATGATTTGAAGCGGCTAGCTGCACATGCAGCCTCGGACCTGACTGGCGACGAGGGGCCTCGGCATGATGATGCTACGGCGAGCGATGTCAACGCCCTGAACAATCAATTGCACTTGTCTATGCCGCCTTTGTCGATCAAAATCCCAGACTCGCCTCAACCAATCAAGGACCAGCTACAGCAGATTCTGTATCAGACTGCAGAGGATTGCAACGATCTGAAAACTGAGTGTCCAAGCGTGCAGCCTTCGAACCAAAACCGAGGGCAACCGCACGCGGACAGTGAAAAGCAGGATGTGAATCGAACCCTTCTCCCAGCGTCTGCGGCCTCGAGACAGCTTGTTAGCCCTACCTGCCGCCCTGGCTTGTTTTGGAATGGCTTTTCGGAAATGCGAGGGCGATCCCCTCATGTCTGCCACTCAGAAAATCGACTTGGGGACGGCGAGCTCTCCCTGTGTGCAGACAGTAACCTCGAGTTCCAAGGCTGTGCCGCTGATTCTGTGCATCCCACTCGTCCGCTACCCGCAAACCCAGTTGTTGTCGGAATTTTGATGAATAGAACCGAGGCACTTGATGCTGTTGTTGGGTCACCAAGCGAGTTGGATGAGTTTGACAGAAAACTATTGGGACTAGAGACTGAGCTGGCGCTGTCGGCATCGGGAGCCATGGTCGACCGAGAGTCTCCTCTGTACGGAACCGACGTCGAAAGGTCTTTGCGAGACTCGGGTGGCTACTGGTGCGGATCGCTGCAGGACGGTGTTGCAGATGGACACCAGGCTCATGATCCCTTCGGAGGCCGCGGTTTACGCAACGTATCAATGGACAATTCCCTGTCCCATGGTCGCCAGGAATTGTCTCAACCGCACCGTCATGTGTCTCAGGGTCCCTCAGAGGGATTCTCGGGATTCTCTCGGCGACATGTTCTATATTGACCGGGGATATACAGCACGAGACTGCAGTAGGGCCAGATGAGGATGATGTAGCTGATGCTACCCCAGACGCTGCGCCCTTCCCCGGCTGACCTCGGCCTAAGTCTTCAGCGATTCGCCTTCGTGTCAGATGCTTGCCCCGTGGGTAGAGCAGGCTTGCCTCGTCGGCCTGAAGGAGTGCGGATCTTCAAGGCATAGTACCTTTGGACGTCATGGGATCGTTTTGTCGATTGCGTATTTGATAAGCCGGGGTAATTCCTGCTCGCAGATTTCTAATTGAACGTCGTACATGAGAATGCCCGCGGAACTAGGATATCCTATTCGAGAGCCATGGGTAATGGCAATGGTGGCTCGGAGTCGATGTGAGTAATCACGTCGTGGTCAGCTTGCCTCCCGCTTCGTCTGTATGTAAATGTGGGGTTTGTGGTGCACTGTGAGAGTCAAGCCTCTCGTGCCTCTCCACGTTCCCGACACATTACCGCACGATCAGATCTTCTCCCTTCCTTGTCTTTACCCCCAAGTCCTTGAAACTCCCGTGCCTTCAAATCAAACGGCCGATCTACACTTATCGTGTCCGAGCTCCGCGAGAAGATATCATTTAGCTTGAGCAGAACGACAGGCACCTGGCTGGATATTTCCGGTGAAAGCGAAGCAGCACAAAAGGACCACCCTTGGGAGAGATCCTTTGATACGACAACTTGGACAGAGACGGTTTCTGGTGGGGAGTGTATCTGTCTCATACAAATTATAACAGTGGCTGGCAGATAGCCGTGTACAGGCTCCTCTACCTGGCATCAGGAAGCGGCAGGGATAACAAAATGAAGAAAGTCATCCGCTATCTCCAAGACCAAGGTATGTCACATCGACGTGTGTATGCTTTTCTTCCGTCAAAACATCCAATGGTCCACCGTCTGGGGTCACCTTTCTGAAGACGAGTTATTAGCCCTCGAAGCTTCACAGCAGAAGTACTCTGGGGCAGCCTATCTCTCCCCCGCCACCAAAGAACCTCAACAGCGGGTCAGACACCACAGCCCGTCGTACTACAAGGAGCAGCACAATTCGCACCATCAATCGCGCTCGGCACACCCCAGCTTAGCGGCGCACAGCTTTCCGGCTCACACGACAGCCGGGACTGAAATTCCTAGATCCAGCGGACAGGAGGGACGGGCATCACCACATATTTCGGAGAGGATCCACCGCGATATCACACGGCACCAATATGCCCCGGACAACATCCTTCAATCCTACGAATTGTATGTTCCCGAACTGAATCACTCGCACCTTGCCGACCCCAGCGGGAATAAGTACTGGATTGTTTTCATCCATGGTGGTTACTTTCGTGATCCGACAGTCACATCTTCGTCCTTCTACCCAGCTCTCGACCAATTGGTCTCTGGAAAGGGGAATGACCACCACCACCACCATAATCCCTTCAAACATGACGAGAATGTACCAGCGGTTGCACCTTACATTGCAGGATACGCGTCCTTGAACTACCGTCTCTCGCCTCATCCAGAAAAAGCGCCTCAAGATCCATCCAAAACACCGACGTACGAGCTCCGGAATGCCAAATGGCCGGATCATATCCATGACATACTCACCGCCATAGCACATCTACAAAACAGATACGGCTTTGGGGAGCGGTACTTGCTCGCGGGCCACAGTGTGGGCGCCACAATGGCGGTGCTGAGCACCATTGCGGCACACCGATCGTTCTCGAAAGGAAATCCATCTGAGTTGCCAAAGATCCAGCCGCCCATGGCTGTGCTCGGTGTCTCGGGTATCTATGATTTCCCACTCCTCCATGAATCGTTCGCCGACTATATCGGGATGACGAGAAATGCCATCCCAGACGCGGCCGACGATGTGCTCGCCAGCCCTGCGAGGTATGATGTAAGGGACTATGTGGAGGCCCGGGCAGCTACTGGGGAAAAGAAGAGGGCTTTGGTTATTGCTCACTCAAAGGACGACGGGTGGGTGGATTGGAAACAGGTGGAGGCGATGGAGAAGGTCTTTGCTGCGAGTGGATCGGTCATTAAGTGCAAAGTCTGTGAATTGAAAGGCCAACATAATGATATTTGGGAGAAGGGGACAGAGTTGGCAAGGGCCATTGCTCAGACGGTGGATATAATGAGGGGCCTAGATGGAGATGGGCAGTGAAGGGCCCGAGAACGCCCCCAATTGAAACGGAAGCCATGTGTAGTGTGATACCCCTTTTGCGACGACTACGGGATTCCAGATTGAACATGCCGGAATGGACCATATGTAGTATCATAGGTAGTTAGGTAGTGAAAAGCAGCTCCTGTTAATACCAGTTGCAGATGAAAGAGAATGCCTCGTAATTACAGGGGCGGAGGTGGTGGAGGGCGTTGAGGGCGTGGCCCCCAAGGCAGCGAGGGCGTCCGGGTGGAATGACGTCTTGGTCTTGGCATGTTTACATCCAACCCGATCTGCTTGAAGTCGGCACGAAAATCAATTGGCCTTCCCTTTGACCAGGGACCTAGGCCTGGTGTTGGTTCTCCGTGTTGAGATACAATGCTGCTGAACAGTCCTCACTAGGGTCACATATCGCCGAAAGTCAACGATAAGCAAGCAAAAGCCCTCACATCTACCAGCATGGCTCTACGAGCGTCGGCCTCACCCTCGCCCGCGCCAGAAGCGCCCGTTGCAGGTGCACCAGGACCTCGCGCAGCAGCCCTCCAGAAGGTCTTTGCTGGCGCCCTGGCATCGTCTCTCAAAGCAAACTCGTACGCGAACTTCAGTTCGTGTTTCCCGACACCCGCGAAATACTGTCCGACTGCGCTCGAAGGAGTCTGGAGACAACTGAACACGCGGTTAGAGGAAGAGTGCATGCGCGATTTCGAGAAGATACTGGAAGAAAGACAGGTCATCGCGGGTCTGAACCAGTGGGATAGCATGATCGACGAGGCCAAAAGGAGGAAGCATCGCGCCGTGGAAGGCGAAATGCCACCGAGACCGTAAGCGGCCCTTTGCGCATTGGCAGTTGTCTGCAGGATACGGACTGACCAGGTTTAGATTGCACACTTTATCCGCAGACGAATTGTACACGGCTCACTTCACGCCCTACCTGCAACAAGCGACGGAGGAGCTGAATACGAGGTTACAAGCGTCGCAGCAAGAGAATGCGGCCATGAGGCAATCAATCTGTGAGCAACGTGGTGAAATTGAACAGCTGCTGACCAGCCTCGAACACGCCGTAAGTGACATTGAGGGAAGTGTCGAGGCAATGTGCACAGACGAACAGAGTGGCATCAATGACTTGAGAGAGGATTCGTGGCAAATGGAACAGGAAGTCGCTGCAACAAGATAGTATTGTATCTCGATCATGATTGGGAAGTCGGGATGGGTTTGGGACGGGGCTGATTTCTGGTCCTGGCATTTGTTGGCGTTGGAGGAGTGATCACACGCGAGCCAAGAGTACCCGGACAAACATGAAAGTCCCCCTTTGAGACTCGAGGGTTTCATGATGCGACGATTTGGGGCCTTGATAGGAGTACGGGGAATGCTGGTCATTTGGGCAGGGGAATCTCAGATTGAAGCCAGGAGTATGGAGTCCGAGTATTGAGATCTGCTTTGAAATCCCGAAACGGCTTCAATAGCCTGAGACATTGCTCAACCACCATGATCCGGACAGAGATTTGAGAGCCGATGAGTGGCCAACGTTCCAACGGGTTGTAATAGTGTCAATATCGGACAATCCCTTTTGGGCCCTTCGCCAATCGAGAGGCGCCGACCAATCACAGGCCGTGGTGGCGCCAAGACCGGCTGTGTGGTGCGGAAATCAACTTGAACTCTTCCACTGTCCTTCGATTTCACATCTGATTTGAACTCCCAAACCAAGATTCCTCTGTCCAGATTCAAAAAGCGTCGATGAGCAGGTAGGTACTCGTGGGCCAATTGGTGGAGCAGACAGCCTTTCTTGCCCCAATTTCGAAGCAAACAGGCCAGGTCAGCCCAGCTGGGCCGGCATCCCGCACCAGGTCTTCCCCTGTCGCCACGTTCGTCTCTTGCGTACGGCGAGCTCCGGTAGGCAGAGATCTGCGACTGCCCCAGGATGATTTGCAGGGCCATTCCCGTTCGCGTCTGTTTGTTTGTGGTCAGAAATTGATGCGTGGGAGGGGCCGGGCAAATTGGCCCTTCTGCCCGACCTCCAAATAAGGTTTGATACCGAGATTGCATGGCCGCCACCAACAAACCACAACAACATCGCCTACAGGCCCATCCTGGCGTCCTGCTATACTCTCGCTTCTGCGCGTCCGGAACCAATCCTTTGGTGCCCTCGCTCGCACTTGCCGCAGCTTCCGCTACGCTCTCAGGCGAGCATTTCCTGCGGATTCATTCTCCGCCCGAACCCTGGTTGCCGCATAGCCAGATACCCCCGGACTTTCCACGAACATGACGCGCCAAACGCCTTCCCGGCACAAGGCTTGGGTGCTAGTTGACACTGTGCTTTGGCGAATCGCTAGGACGCGTGCACAGAAAAATATACCGGCACACGGAACACGGTGTATCGCTGGTTTGCTGCTGCGCTGTGTCCGTTATGGCTGTTGCAGAATCGTTCTCCGTTTTTTTGTGTTTTGCCTCAGCTTACCTCCATGTTCTGTTGACGCCTTTCTCGCTCAAACCCGCATGTCTCTGCATATGATAATTTCGGATACTCCACCAAGTCTGCCATCTGCCCCGCCTTCATTGGCCTTTTCGAGAGCGTGTGTGTCGCCTCGAACCCCTCTTCTGGCTTGTTCAGCCATTTGCTCTTGTCTCACCAGCCCGGAAAAAGCTGAATGTGAACAAGGAAGATCCCAATCGCAGCTGGCTCCCCCCCGGATTGGTGTGCTGAACGAAAGGACAACAACCTCAGCTCGTCATTGTTCGCTCTCCATGTTCCTCTCAGACAACTGAAACGCGTGTCCAACCCATCTTTCTTGTCAATCACGTCTATCTGTACATTTGTTTACTCTGGCGATCTGGATGTCAGCCTCAGATTCTGCATTTGAAGAGTCTCGGGCTACAGTATTTCACTGCCAACGCCCACATCACAGTTGACACGTCAAGGTTGCTTCACTCGCAGCGTCGCGTTACACCGTCCTATGGAGAGACGGGGCAGGTTATCGGTGGTCGCGGGCCTGGCCGGGATCGTGGGCATTGCGAGCAGCGTGCTGAATATCATTTTTGCAACAAATATCACCAATGTTACGGTGGTGTCAGGCCTTCGAGATCTACTTTACATCTCCTTCGCCCTGAGCCTGGTCGACCTCGCGGCTCTGGCTTATTTTGGCACGCTGTTTCTAAGGAAACTCTGGAGTAAAGTGCAGCACTCGAAACCAAGTTCATGGGGACTCCTTTACGGCGGAGTGGTTTTGGCGGCAGTCAGTGTCATCGTTTCCGGAGTCGCCTTGGTGTGGGTGGCTGTTAAACGAAATGACCTCCCAACAGAGATATTGAACACCTCACTCGCCACATTGCTGGGGATATGGTTCGCTGTGTGGGCGATTTTTGCTCTTTTGCAACTCGCCCTATATATTCTTCTCGCTTCCTGGACCAAGACTGCCTCAATGACAACAAGAGTCAGCGAACTCGACCTGGACTTTGGCGTCAGAGGTCGGTCCATGAGCGCTGTCACGAGGCCGGGCACTCAACAGACTAACCAATCCTTCGGCTCGCAAGACTTGACTCTTCACTCACCGCCACGCACTCCTGTCTCAAGGGGAGAGCCTTCGACACGCAGATCGTCGTCGACAAAGGTGGGAACCGGATCATCGAAAACGAAACGGATGCGGCGTTCCAGTCGATCTTCGCTTGAAAGCTCGCCGTTCCCAGCGGGCGAGGCTATGTCTATAGACAGTGCCTTCGACAGCTGGGACACGTCGTCCGTCCATCATGAGATGCGGGTTGTCATCCATTCATCTCCCCCAGTCGCCCACGGAGCTCTGGCGACAATACCGGGCAGTCGACCTGACTCACCTGCCCATGCGCTAGATGGTCCATTCCTGCCTGAGCCACACTCTCCTACCTCAAGTTCGCCACCGCATGCCGCAACCTCGGACACTGCGACTGCCTACGGCTGGAGCTCGTCGCCACGGCAGCCCAAATCATCACCACCGTCCAGTCCAATCAATTTCTCCCGGCCAACATCACGACCGTCGTCGTCACATATCAGCAAGCCACTACCACAGCCACCTAAAATTGGCAAGTTAGAGTCCCCTCTGCAGGAAGAACTAATACACCCATTGTTCCGAGCGAGCAGCCCTCGACCACCTCCGATTGCTATCGCTGGCACCATGGTCACAGCGTCGCCCATGGCCAACACTACCATCACGCCTCGGACGCTCGCCAGTCTACGGAGCAATTCTCACCTCGCGCTTGAAAATGTGAAGCCTACGGCCAAAAGCGCGGACGGATCCGAGACAGAGGACGAGGAACAGTTTCTGCCGGATAGCCCTACGCTGGGCAGTCCATCGCTTGGTAGCCCCGGCCCGTCGATTGTGGATGAAGCGGACCTCCCCCCGATCCTCCCGGGATTCGTGCTGTCTGCGGGATCGCGGACCAGCTTGGTGGGGTATGGAAAGCGCAAGAGCGTCAAGAAGGATCGACCCAACTCCCAAGTGTCGACGCGCAGTCGGATGAGTCAGGTCATGGTCTGAAGCATGGCTGGGCAGTTCGATTTTGGTTCTCTTTGTGATTTTTGTCGCGGCTACTGGCACCGCGCTCTGATTGTTTTGAATGTGATGAAAGCACAGGATCTTTAGCGCGGAGTTGGCGGGATTTTGAATTGTTGATTTGGAGGACTAATGGCAAGTAGGGTTTACAGATACCATTTGCTTGACAGGGAGACATGCTCAAGGGATTGACTGATATGGGACTCACGCTCAAAATGGATGCTATTTGATGTCATTGGATGGACGGCGGGCAGAAGCAACATAATTACCTAGGTACTTAGTATTGTGTCCCCAGGTGCCCAGGTGCTTAGGTGCCCAGGTAGCCATTTGAGGCGGAATTTGGCGGCACGAACCGGCGAGCCACGGGCGGCGAATCGGGGTGCTTGGTGGGCAGAGTTTTAAGCCCCGGGTCTGACACAGCGTCCCTTCTTGCTTGTAGGCCGCGAGACAGCGCTTGAGCAGAATATATTATTGTGTCAGACATTCCGTGTCTCTTTTCGGCCAGTGGCTCGCCGGGAAAGGGAGACCAGTGCGGCTAACTATAAGAAGCTTAGTGTCAGATGCTAGTCCCACTGCGGCTAGCGCGCTGGCTGCACCTTTGAACACAGCAAAATGCTTCTCACTTCCATCTGCCAAACTCTGGTCGCTGTGTCAGGCTCACAGAACAGCAACAATACCCAGCCCTTCACTTTTCCCTCATTCACTCTCCCTATTCACCACCACCATTCACTCTCTGGCCCGACCGAGACTATGGATGTTGAATCCGGCCCTTCTATTCATTCCCTGGGCCGCAATGCCATTGTCGCCCTTTCACCTTTGTCGTGTTTTACTTCATCCCTGTCGGTGGCCACTAATACCTCACCTCCCGAATGCTTCCAGCTCCTCTCCTCTTCCATCGCGACCACCGCTTCTCAATCTCAGATCTCTGCAAAGACTACCAAACTCTACTTGCATCGCCTCTTCCAGATCCTGTCTCATCCCCCAAAGCGAGTGCCGTCCTCCCAGCAGCAGCAGCGCTCCAGTCGGAAAACTCGCCGCTCTTCTCATCCCCCTGCGATAGCAGCTGAAAAGCGCCTCTACTCTTCGACTGTCAGATCCTCTCTGCAAGCAGCTGCGTCAAGGCGATTATCTCTTCGGAACCATAGCAAGTGAGTCTCAATTCGTCAGATTCTTTTCCAGTCGCGGTGTGCTTTCCCTGTCATCCGACCAAACTTCGTCCGCTTGTGGCATACTGATAATCCACCTTTTTCTCCGTCTTCTTCATTCGTGGTGCTTCCCTCATTCTCTCGTTCCCATTAGCTTGTTCTCCAAAAGCCATTTGACAATGTAAATTGACTTCATCCTACAGCGAAATGGTTACCAAATCGCCCGCGCGTCGGCCGTCAGTCGACTTCCATATGGAGACCAGGAGTCGCAGAGCAAAAATCACCCCGGAACCAACCAAAGCTTCTACAGAACAATCATCACCATCATCTTCGTCATCTCTGTCAACCCCACCGTCCAGTCCGCCAAAGAAGACAAATTCTCGAAAGCGAAAGTTGTCCGGTTCGGGCTCAGATGACACCGAGAGTTCACCAAAGACTAAGCGCCGTGCACGGCAGGTCTCCACAGCATCATCGCTGTCGAATCCTGCCACTCCACGGAAGCGAACGTCTCGAACGCCAGCTTTGGACAGTGTTCCAGCTGTTACGAACGCCGAGAGTGCTCCTCCGGAAACCTCATCGTCAGCCACTCCGCCGGAATGCACCAAGGGCTTGAGGCGAAGCTCGCGTATAACACGATCGGACACACTCGAGGTCGTCGATGATGCTGGCCACGATGCAACGCAAACTTTGTCGCCACCTAATCAAGCAGGTTCAGGGAACGACTCATCTGGGAAATCTTCAGAAATATGTCCAAAAGACCCTGCGACGCCGCCTAAGCCTGTTCGTGCCTCCCAATTGGCCAAGGAAAGAACAACAACCAAGGCCAACATCAGCTTCTATGAGTACAAAGACAAGGAGCTCTGGCCAGAGTACGATGCGCAGAATCCGACATACTACGGCAATGATGCAACCACTCGCTACCGTCCTGCAGAGAATGGCGATACGCCAGAGTCCCGCTCTCCCAAGAAGCCGGCACGAGGAGGCGGCCGGGGTGGTCGTGGAGGTGCTCATGCAAACGGTGGCGGACGTGGTAAGGGCAAATCCAGAGGTAGAGGAGGTCGCGGCGGTGGAGAAAGCCCCGAACCACCAAACCGACGACGACCACTCACACAAGAGGAAAAACTCGAAATTTCCATCATCAAGGCGAGGCAGCTGGAACTGAAACGATTCTTCAATACTGTGGGCGCCCAACAAGTTGACATCCTTGAGCAACTCTCGGGGCGAGACATGGCCAGAATCGCCAGAAAGCCAAAGGCACACAGGCATGTTCCCGAGTACGACGGCGTTGTGGAAGAACTTGAGGCTACCATGAGGGATCTGCAGGACCTCGTCCAAACACGATTCAATCTCCAGGTCGAACATGAAAAGCAGCGCCTGCAACAAGAGAAGGAAGTAATCGAGGCGCAATTCCAGGTAATGACATGTGGAGAGTCTGTTTATCGCACCATATCTGACACGAAACAGAACCGCGTAACCGAAGCCCGCAAAGAACATCTCGCCGGCGCAGAAGGAGACATTATCCTTTTCGAACGGGCTTACCGCGCCGCTCACGACGACACCCACACCGAATCTGGCTCCGATGTGGATTATTTCCCGCATTATCACGAGCTGCCGGAGCCAGATACTCAACCCCGTGGCTACTCGTCGCGCAGAATCATGGACGAAAAGCCCTTCAAGCAACAGCTGGAGTCCTACGACGAACAAGCCCGCCAACAGGTGCTCAACGAGGACGTTATTGGCCCCTTGTTGAAGCAGATGGAACAACGAAACAATGAATGGCGCATCGAGAAGCTCCGAAAGAAATCGCAGACTCTGGATGCTCTCTCTGCGGAAGCAAGCAAGGAACTCGAGAATATCAATGGCTATCTTATCCCGCGACCGTTCAATATGGCAGAGGGCAATTCGTACGCGTTGTCAGCGCTGGCAGATGTTTCTGACTGGGTTGCCCAACAGCATCCTGAACGTCAGTACATCTACATGCCTCTTGCCCAAGGCGATGTCTACCCAAGGCAAGCTTTGGACTTCTCTCCATTGCCTGGCCAGGCGTCGTCTTCCCTGCCACCACCGCCGCCTCCGCCACCACCACCACCGGGACCATCATATCAAGTCATTCGACCAGACTCAAGGAGCCGTGGCCGACGATCAAAATTCCCGCCCCCAACCAACGCGTCGGCAGCCACCCCACCACCTGCACCATCGCAACCATTACCACCGGCTCCTCCGGGTCCTTTAGCCCCTCCCATCGGACCTTCTTCTTTCCTCCCGCCACGCTTGATTTCCAGCGGACCGGGTCAAGTGATTGCTCCTGCGCCGCCAAAACCCGCCCCTCCGCATCGCTCGTCCACCAGCGTCAATGTCTTCCGGCACAGTCCTCGACCACCTGCCGGGGTTCATCAACAACATTCCATGCCGCCTCGCCACAACTCTCTGCCCTCTCCACACCTGAATGGTCCGCAGCAATATATCTTCCAACCGCCCCAACAGCCCTACCAGCATCAATCCGCGCCTGCACCAGCACCGACTCCGCATTATGGTCCTCATCCAGCCAGTCCGCGCCCACTCGGTTCCGGAACCGGTGCTAACAGTGCCGTTACCAGTGCCGCCGCTGGTGCAGCCGCGAGTGTCACCGCAGGCGCCGGAGCCGGTGTCGGTAGTGTCGCTGCTCCCGGCAGTGCTCCTAGTGATGGTAGGGGTGGTCCAACTATGCAAGTCATCGGCCAACAGACAAAGATTCCCATGACGTTTGTGAACCAGACGATTGCGAGCCGCAACGCCGCGGCCGCGGCGGCAGCAGGAGCAGGAGGTGCAGGCGGGAGCGGGAATGGGACACCGACCGGTAACAACGGCCAGAGCCAGGGGAACGGGAAGAGGGTGTTGTTGCCAAAAGTGTAGGCAAAGATCGAGATTTTGCCGGGGGTTGTGGTGCGTGTGCGTGTGTGTTTTTGGGAACGCGTGACTGGCAAGAACGAAAAGATGCAAAACTTCCCCCATTTTTGTTTAGAAAAGGACCCCAGATCTTGGGAATGACCCAAGGTCCTTGGATGCGCAATGCAGGAGGAATGCACGACTTGATGCGAACAGAGCGGCTTTTGAGGAGGGTATGGGAGGATTGCCCGTGACTTTGCCAGAAACAGACTCTCCAGCGCTGCCCTGGCAGGGGCTATAACACACGCACACGCACACTGTATGAGAACGATACTAGAAAGGACACCATTTTTCTTTCTTCTTCATCCCTCCCTGTCTTGCGCCTACCATACCATACCATACCATTGCGACCGATCGATCGATCGCCATCCAAGCGGGAAGGGGGAAAACATGAAACACGCAAGAAAAAGAAAAACCAGAGACGAACCGGAAACGAAAATCAAAACAAAGGAATAGACAAGGGTACCTAGGTACGCAGAGATACGAATTTATTTTTTCCTTTTAAAAAAAGGTAACAAAAGAATACAAATACAAATACAAATACAAAAAGGGTTTCCCGGAAGTCTTCTCGGGTGTGAAAAGTGTGTCCCCCTTCCTCTTTGCGTTGAAAAAAACTGCCCTTTTCTCCTTTCCACTCGTTTCCTCTTCGTTAATTCGTTATCTTATAAGATTCTTGGTGTCTTTATTCCCCCCCCTCCCCCCCCTCTCTCCTCTTCTCTTCGTCAATTTCTTCCGCCCTCCTTCTGCGCGGGCTGGTTTAAAATCGAAAATAATGTGTCCCGCTCGTTCCAGTCGTTTCAGTCGTTGATTCGTTCCATTCAATTACTGATGGATAGATAGATCGAGAGATCTTTCAGGAGATAGGATGGGAAATACATAGAGATAGATGGTCGACGGAGAATAACAGCAGCAACATCAGACTTGTTCGACGTGCCTTGCCCTCTCGCCTCGCGCGCCGCCCTTCAAGTTGGGCATGGTACTCCGACGCCTCTCAACAGCGCCCTGCCGGCCGAGATTGAGCTCCTTGGCGAACTTGCTGCGGTCGCGGAACCACTCGCCCTTCCAGTAGAAGAGGTAGATCGGGGCGATGACCACCACTGACAAACAGGCCAGGATGGTCGAGGGGTATTCGAGGGCGTATTTCTTGCCGATGTTTTCGTAGACTGTTTTTTTTTAAGTTAGGGTCAAAGCATTGGAGAATCAGACGGGGAAGAAGCCGATGAATGAATGGGTGGAGTGAGGGTGCAAGGAAGGGGGAAATAAAATGCGACTTACATGGTGTACTATACAAGGCTGCTATGCCCGCAAGGAAGTCTCTGGCGAGGTCGTTGCCGCCAGTGGCAGAAGCGGCATAAGGTCCGTAGGCAGCAATCATGTAGTCGATTGAGCTCTGCAAGTGTATGCAATTAGCATTGACATTCACACCCGTGCATGTCCGCAAGTTGAACCAATAGATCAGGGGCCTAGAATTTGTGGACAGGAGCCATACCTTGTATATTGCGTAATTCGCCATGGCAATTAGGACCGTGAAGATCATGGGCGCGATCCACGGGATGCCATAGTCGGGTCCGAGAGACGTCCACGCGAAGCCAAAAAGCCCAATTGTCTCGAGAGGTGCCACTGCAAAGAAAAGAAGAGAATCGTGTCAGTGAAAGCACCAATTTGCAGTGAATAGAACTGGACATGGCAGGAAAAGAGTAGGCTGAGGAACGCAGTGAGACTTACGGAAAAGTAACCACCATAGACGAGATTCCGGAGACAACTTGTTCGGGTCGTCGGCGCGGATCTTGTTATGATGTCGAATGACGGGGAGATATGTGAGGTATGCAAGTACATATCCAACCAGTGACCTGAAATCATTTTATGGTCAGTCACTTCCTCTCCGAATTGAAACTTTAAAAGCCATTTTTCGGCCAGATAAGAAGGGAGATACTCACGAAATAAAAGCCAACCCAACCTGATATGGTTTAAATCCCCATTGCTTAAGCACGGGCGTGAACGCCTCCAAAAAGGTAAACAACAATGCATCACTAAACCCGCTGAGCAGGCTGAGGGCGAGCACGATCGGTTCCGTGACAAACATCTGGAAAGGTCTCATCCAAATGCGTGCGAATTCCTTCATCGGGAACCGTGGCTTCTTCAATTCGTCCGGTCCATAGATATTTGTTTCGCCATTCTTGCGCCGCTTCTTGGCCTCGCGGTCCAGAAGGATGGTTGCGCGTGTCTCGGGGACAAGGAAAAAGTGGATGAGTTGCACGGCGCCGCCAATGCAGAGTTGCATCCAAAAGATCCAGGGCAGAGAAAGGTATTGCCCCACGAAGCCGCCGATGACTGCGCCTACTGGGGCACCGCCCACGGACGACAGCACGACGAAGGCAACCGCATACTGGAATCCGGAATCTTCAGGTTGGTACATGTCGGCGATGACTCCCAACGTGACAGAGCCTCCTGCTGTCGAGAGGCCAGCGAGTGCTCGAGCGACAACGATAGACCCGAAGTTGGGGGCGAGCGCCGCGGGTAACTGCCAGATATTGACGAGAAACAAGGACAGCTGCTGTGTCGGCCAGCGACCTAATTCCTCAGACCATGGCGCCCACAGTTCGCAGCCCAAGGAATAGCAGACAAGGAAGATCATCTGGCCGACTCGGGCCTTTTGCTTTGAGATGTCGTATTTTTTTGCAAGGCCATCGACGCCATTAGAGTAGATACTGGCGTTGAGGTTCATCGAGGTCTGAATCAAAAGAATAATGACCAAGATCATCCATTTCTTCCATGCTGGAAAGGAGTACCCCAGTTTGTCGTAGCAGTCTTCTTCGGTCAGTTCAATCTTGCCGTCTGCACGCTTGGGACGGCCTCCTTCGAGGTTCTCTCCCGCTAACTCTGGGCCGGAGACACCCAATTGCTTTTCTGTTGGTCCTGGGGGTTGAATTTGATTGTTCTCCTTCTCGTTTTGCCCCTCCATGGCTATTGTGGATTGGTCAGACACGGACATCTTCGTCGGGCGGCAGCCTCACACGAGGAGGACAATAGGCGAGAGGTAGATGTTGCAATTCCGCAGAGGACGCTCAGAGGACAGAATTCACGAAGTTTCTTGATCACCTGCAGAATGAAGACGAAAGGATGAAGAAGGGCGAAAGTGCGTAAACAAACCTGAATGTCGTATGCCACGCCCCAAACCGTACTGTCAGTTATTATCCCTTTTGCATTTTGGGCATGGCATTCAAGGATCGACATCGGAAAGCAGGTCGCTAAACATACTCCTGGCTATGATTTCATCTTGCGTCAACCCTGGGCGCGCGGGCACCACTCAGGAAAGCTAGCAACCTAATACGACAGTCGCCTAAACCTGGGGGCGGGTCGATGTTAGGGATGTCCAGGGCCTCTGGCCGGGTGCCAGTGCGCCTCTGGACGCCTTGCAACGCGCTTGGGGCCAGAATCACTGGCAAGGAGCCGGCTCGACTGTTTGGCTGCTCTGATGTTCAGCACCAAGTCACCAGATCTGCGGTCGGCGACATCTATGAGGAATGGCGTGCTTTGATAATGATGTGCTGGATGGATGGTTCAACTCTCCGCAGCCTCTGGAGGGAGGGGACTTTGTGTGCGAAAGGGTTGCATGCCCTTGATCAGGCTTCTTGGATTCAGATCTCGATGATGTCTGTGGCTGCAACAAACCTCTTGGCCTAAGCGAATGGTATGCATGGGGGACAGCTCTTTGGCGCTTTGAGGGCCTTCCCGCTTTCTTGGCTAGAGGACGATCGTACGAAGGGCAGGACAAGGAGAGACTCATATCGCAAGACCAGGTATCTAAGCTTTTGTGCTGTTCTCGATAAGATTCTCCGGTGTCCGAGCTTCCATCGAGATCACTCGCTGGTTAGGCCAAGTGATTGACGTGAAGCTACCCAAGCAAGCGAGGGAGATGTATTTTTTCGGTTGATGGCAGATGCCAAACCTCGTAAGTGGTAGGCTGTGGAGGAGATTGAGCTTCTTCCTGCGGATAAAGGCCTAGTGAGGCCTCGCTGCCGGGGGTGTGGGTGGTACTGTACGGAGTAGGACTGCTTGACTGGCTGACTGGCTAATATGTACCTCGTACATATGTAATCAGCCTTGTGCCTGCGGTGTCTCTGAGCGGAACATATTCGGTGCCGGAGAATTTCAGATTTTGGAGACATACTCGTAATACATTTTCTATTCCATCTTCTCATGTTCTTTCCCTAGCCATGACCCTCGCATGTCCAGACCGCTTATGCGAATCCCGTACACGGGGCCTCTGCCACCACCCCTGATCATTCCCCCCTCGGCGGCCAGCAAACAAGGTGCCGTCGCCGCCCTCGCGCATTTCCTGACCTCCCCTGCGCCGTCCGCGATCCCCATCACTTCCCCAGGTCAAGATGAGCAACGTGAGCGAAACAAGACAGTCCTTCTTACAGGCGCAGGCATAAGCGTCGCCTCAGGCCTGGCCGACTATCGTGGCGTCAACGGCACCTACACCCAGAATAAGAACTACCGTCCCATCTACTACCATGAATTCATCTCGAGCCACGAATCCCGCAAGCGATACTGGGCCCGCTCCTTCTTGGGCTGGAGAGGTCTTCACCGCTCCAAACCCAACGCCGGGCACTATGCCATTCGTGATCTGGGAAAATTGGGACTGGTCGACCGTGTGGTTACGCAAAATGTCGATTCGTTCCATGGTCTTGCGCATCCGCAACTGAAGACGGTGGAACTACATGGGTTTCTCAGGGCCCTCGTCTGTCTGAGCTGTCGGAGGCTCATCGATCGCGATGTCTTCCAGAAGCAATTGGCCGAGTTGAATCCCGCCTGGGCAGAATTTTTGCAACAGCTACTTGCATCGGGGGCGTTGGATACCGAGAATCCCGTCGAAAGGAGGAGGCTCGGGTTTAGGACAAATCCCGACGGTGATGCCGATGTTCCTGGTGCCCCGTACTACACCTTTAGATACCCGGCTTGTCCGCATTGCCTGAAGCGACCACCCATCCTCAAAGATGGGAGTAAGGGCCACGTGGATGTCGATGCGGACGGTGCCTGGATACCATCAACCTCAACCACGGAGTCGTCCGTGGCGCCCAACGGCGTCGGTGTGCTCAAACCCAATGTGATCATGTTCGGTGAATCCATCTCAGCCGATGTGAAAACCGCAGCGGAGGAAGCTATTGATTCCGCGGCCAAGATCTTGGTCGTCGGCAGCTCTCTCGCGACATACTCGGCCTGGAGGCTGGTGAAGAGAGCGCATGAGCGGGGCATGGGCATCGGAATCTTGAATATGGGTGGTGTCAGGAAGGAGGAGGTATTCTTTGGGGATCTCCTCCCGCACCATCTTCCTCGTCATCAAGGGCAGGAAGATCGACATGCTGGGTGGACGGCCTTGAGGCGGGAACTCGTGCGTGCCAGTTTGCCTGCCGAAGAGATTTTGCCTGCAGTGGTCGATGCCATTCGCGCCAATGTGTCTGAACAAGAACAGTCCCCTGTGACCAGCCTTCAGACTCACGCCTGAAGCGGCCATGTACAAATAACGATCAATGATGAAAGCTGTAATGGATATTCGACGGTCTTGGGCCGACATGCGTACACGTGGATCTAGTTTCCAGGTTGACCCTATAGTACATCTATCCAACTGATGATTATGCTGGCCACCAATACCATAATGTATAAACTCACAGCAGAGAACATGGACAAACCCCCAATACAGATCTGCCCCTGAACGAGTGCTTTTTGCTGGCGAAAGAAGCGATAGGCACCGACGACCACACAGAGGATGGCGAGAATAAAACTGATGCACGCCATTGCTTTTCCCAAACGCGTGGCGTGCGGCGAGTCAATAAGTCGCCCGTTCAGAATGCCAAACTGCAGCACGACCAAGCCGAAGCTTGCCATTCCAAGTCCCAAGTCGAACCAACCGATGAATGTCTCCTCATTCGTGACATGGTCCCGAACATTGTACCCGAACTCCATTTCCACTGCCACATATTCGTCCCAAAACTTTCGGAGAGACCAGCTCTCTCCCAATTGGCCCATTTTGCCAGTTTCACTCGAGGTTTGCTCGAGGCCGTCCCAGAATTGCCTGGCCATCTCGACGTAATCGGAAGTTGTGCCAAGCGTGGAAGGGGCGGAGGAAGTCAGTCCCGGAGACACAGGATAGGACTGATGGATGCTCGTAGTGTATCTCTCGCCGTTCATTTCCAGAACTGTAGAGGAGGAGCGAAAGCGGCGTCTAATAGCCATTGCCATGCTTTTGAAATAAAGGACCTTCAAAGTTTCGTGATAAATCGAGCCGAAGGAGAAGGTAGGGTTCCTAAGAGACGCGTAAAGTATGTCGACCAGTGCTGAACCCCTCTCAAATCCCTATGCAAGTGCTGAAAGAGTATTGATCAAGTTTACGACTGAGAGAATTTGTGAACCATTGAAAACCCGCTCTTTCGGTTTGTGAGGTGCTCTGAGCAAAGACTCTCCTTCCCCAGGTGTACAACGTATATAGCAGGTCCATCCTCAATCAGGGTAACTGCCATTCCAAGAGTTGTTACTGCGTCGTTCCAGAGTATCGCAAAATGCAGTTTTCCAGATGCTTTCCGCAGAGCTCTTTCAGCTACTGGCCGCCTTAGAGATATGGGCTTCGCATTGTAGCGTGCTGGCACTGAAAAAGTTGCCAATCTTTAGTAGTGACAACTCGAAGCATGGGCATGCGAACTGGAAAGGTCAGATACTTCAAGAGGCACTGGGGGACTGAGGAGGCGACGTCCTGGTGAATTGCACACCCTTGATGATCAAATGTAGCAAGTATTGGTTCTGGGAAAATCACACCAGAGGAGATAGGAGGACCTCGAGCTTGGAATAGGCTTGTCTTCCCTAGCTGAATGGTGTCAATCTTTGCAATGACCCTGTATCGGGTTGGATCTAGCAATCTTTAACACAGAGGCAGCAGTCCCATTCGGAAATTAGTGGCAGTGGTTCACGACAAACGCACCGGCTTTGAACACCCAAATCCACTGACGCTATCCATGGGATGCTCTCGCTTGCGTACGTCGAATGGATAGACGGAAACAACTTTGCCAAAATCTCACCGACAGAGCTCAGGCATAACAGAGGAGCAAAATCATTACCTGTGTGTTCTGTCCCCCACTCCATCCGGTTGTCTCTTGCTCGCTCACAGCTCGGTTGACAAATGGAACCGCGGAGGAGTGACCCGAGATCAATAGCTTGCTACCCAATGTTCTGTGCAAGGTCACATTATGGCCAGAGCAAACTGTGTCGCATCGTCCTTTGATGCAACGAGCCTCCGCGGTCGGGAGGGAGCAGGATTTGGGAGGGCATGACCATTGATGAAGTGTGACCTGAGTGTTGCGGGTATGCAGAGAGTTGGCAATTCAAATAAGAAGACAAAGCGAGCCGATGACTTGAATCTTTACAGACACATCATTTCGAGATGGCAGAAGACAAAGAACCTGGAGAGACCAGCAGTATGGAGCTGAAACGGATTGAGCAGTCACATGACATGGCCATTATTCAGCAGCAAGAGCCACAGCCGGCGCCACAGCCGCAGCCACTGTCGCTCACCCTCTCGCTCTCGCCCTCGCCCCCGCCCTCGCCATCAGAGGTTAACTTACGGCCTCTTCCAGGTCATCCTCCGCCCGTACCGAGTCCTGCCACCCCTGCATCGTCTTGCCATTTCCTTTTTCATGACGCCTGCGGTTGCCACAAGGAGAAATCCGCGCCTGTGTCGTGGCCCCTGCCCTCGCCTAGGGCTCTTATTATCTCATCCCCTCCCCCCTCTGGTGTCTCCTCATTTTCAGCACCCACGGTCCATTCCTATCTCAATCATCCCACCGATCCTGTCCAGAAGCCTCAACAGGCATACTTTAGCCCGCATCGAGTCCCTTCGTCGTCCCGGTCCTGGGCCTCTGACCGATTCTCTCCTGCCACCGCTTCGACTGAGACAGTCAACGAGTGCTGCGTGCCACCTTGCGCGCAGCCTCCCGATACGCAAAAGAAGATGGGGTTCTCAAAGACGCAGAGGATCTGTATTCTTCTGGGCATAGATTCTGTCTTTTTCGTTGTTGAATTGGTCGTTGGTTAGTATGATCCTACATTAACTCGGTGTCGAACTGAGCAACTCACGCACCCTCCAGGTTATGCGGTGCATTCTTTGGCCCTGGTGGCCGATTCATTTCATATGTTAAACGATGTCATCTCTCTTTGCGTCGGACTGTGGGCAGTCCGTGTCGCCAATACTGGAAGCTCCAAGATGTACACTTATGGCTGGCAACGCGCCGAAACATTGGGTGCCCTTGTCAATGGAGTCTTTCTGGTCGCCCTTTGCATGTCCATCTTCCTCGAAGCAATCCAGCGATTTGTCGAACCACAGCCCGTCTCCAACCCGAAACTCGTCCTCATTGTCGGTTGTCTGGGACTTGCCTCCAACGTCCTCGGGCTTCTCCTTTTCCACGAACACAGCCATGGTCCTGGCGGCGAGGAACATTCACACGAGGAGGATCCCGTGAAGTCTGCCGAAGAAGGCCATAGCCATGCCTATGAGGACGAATCGGAGACACAGAAAGTCGTGGACGAGCATGGGAACATCGAAGATGTACTTCCCCAATTCCGAGTGGGCACTTTCAGAAGCGCCGACCGCCGTGCTTTCACAAGGTCTGATGAAGAGAACACAACCATCTCAGCTAGATCTTCGAACACGCCGACTCGTAAGTCGATCGTTAATGGCGAGATCCATCCTCGGCACCGCCGTCGCACATCCGGTTCTTTTGGTCGAGGTTTCGGCTCGGTCGACAACATCCACATCCATCCAGCCTCATTCCGCCAGGATATTATCCAAGCCGCACGGTTGGAAGAGCACTCTGAATCTGAAGCGTCAGAAGAAGACGCCCTGTTGATAGAACCGGATTCCCCAGAGCAACGTCAGGCAACCTCCGCTAACGGTGTGCAATCGTCTTCAAAGGATGACAAGCGATTTGCTGGCTATGGCAGTATAAGCAAACGAAAGAGTGTTGACTACAACCATGCAGCACACAACCACAATCATCAACATGATGGCGCCAAATCCGGCCATGGGCACGGTGGACATGGCCACTCTCATGGCGATCTGAACATGCGCGGAGTTTTCCTCCACGTCATGGGCGACGCCCTCGGGAACATTGGTGTAATAGTGACTGCCTTGATCATCTGGCTGACTACATTCCCCGGACGCTACTACTTCGATCCAGCAATATCCCTTGTCATTACCATCATCATTCTGGCCAGTGCCATCCCACTCTGTAGAGCAGCAGGGCGAATTCTTCTACAGGCAGTTCCTATGGGCATGTCCATCGACGAGATCACAGCAGACATTGAGTCACTTCCACGAGTTATTGAGGCTCACCACCTCCACGTTTGGCAGCTCAGTGATACCAAGCTCGTGGCAAGCTTGCATGTAAAGGTCGACTGCGATATCAACGGGACGGGATCTGCCAGCTACATGCATCTAGCGCGGGAAATTCGAGGCTGTCTACACGGCTACGGCATCCACAGCTCGACCATCCAGCCTGAGTTCGTGAATGAAGGGGATCCACATTCTTTCGAACCTGGATCTGATCCGAATGAGGGCGCTGGTAGTGGCCATCTGACTCCAAAGAACAACGCGAACGCCAGTAAGACTGCAAGTCTTAGGAGTGAAGGCAACCAAGCATGTTTACTCGATTGCGGTGACATGTGCGCTGGGAGCAAGATGTGCTGTCCAAACGATGGCAAGAACGCAAAGAAATGAAGGGTTTCCGCAATTGTAGCATCTGTTTGGGTCTTATTGTTGGGTGTATTATGGGTGGGCTTGCACGGACCGCAAGTGCCGGTCTGTCGTAACGAGGACGAATTGACTGAATTGATTCAGTGCAAGTCCGGAAAGGTGAATGGAAGACTTTAAGTCTAAAAGCATTGCAGGTAGAACCAGCCTTGAACTTTTTTGTCACGTTACATGAAGGCGTCATTGCCCTTGTTGGTACATCCCGTGGCTTTCTCACCGTGGTCTCTGTATCGGCCCAAGAGAGCTGGAAAGGAAATCCAATCCAACAAGCTCAACTGTTGAAGGGTCGCACCAAACGTGCGAGTAATACACACGCATCTTTTCTCCCATGGACTTTAATTTTCATCCCTATCTCGATATGGGGCCGTCAGCCGTTCCAAATCAGCCACCCGTAAATCAACAAGACGGGCCACGCGGTTCGCCACAACGAGCGACCAAAGAAGGCGAATCTCGATCGCGGCGGATGGTTCTGGCTCTTTCCCCATTGGCGCTGACGCGCTCTGGTTTTGGTCTTGGTAGATTTCGGCATGCCCCAGTCGTCACTACCGTCAAGCTCGCCTGTGTGTGGGCCACCAGGAGAAGGAGAACTGTTTCGGGCGTAGTCGATGTAGGGGTAAGGAGGTTTTGAGGGAGAAGAGTTTCGGAGCTGTCCGTACCCGTACCCGCCCATTTTGCGCGTAGACAGTTGATGATGCCCCTCCGCTTGACCGTGACCGTTTTGAATGCAGGAGCTCTTTGAGGTGTCGGGGCTGTGTGTTTCGGTGGTGGGCAGTAATGGTTCGGATTTGTCGCGGTCGCGCGATGCTTCCCCAATTGCGGCTGAAGGGTTGTACCGAATAGCACCTACCAGGAGGATGCAGATCGTCAAGCCCAGCACCTGGCCGTAGCGAATGAAGATGTTCAACTGGTCCGGGAGCAGACAAAGATGGTTTTGTACCGTGTCCCGCGGCGTGGTCAGCGGTGAATCTTGGTTGCCAGAAGTCATTGCCTTGTTGACGTCGACCGGATTCCAGAGACTGACGAGCTGCACTCCCGGTTTACGGATGCCCATGGCCCAACTCATGCTCTTCACCGTGATTTCTCGGATGCGGCCCGTGAACTCGTTGTGCTCGATCTCGCAGTAGTCATGGTCGTCGCCGGAGTAGATCATCGTGATCTCCTCTGCGGTCAGATGTTTGACTATGTCTTGTGAGATCAGCGGGGTGAGGACATTTTGGTACTGATAGCCTGCCTGCAGGGGTATCACAGTGCCTCGTTCCCGCATCGGTCCGCAACTCGTCTCGCTGGATCGGTAGAGGGGGACGTGAGAGAGGACGATTGTCGGGAATTGGGACGAGCTCACGGGATAGTGGGTTTTCTGTGTTGAATCCGAGTCTCCCACGTCGGCAGCTCGCTGTATCGAGGGAGACTGCAACTGCGGGAGCGGGCGTTTCCAGTCGAACCTGGTCTCGCATGTATGCTGTATGGCTTTGGCTCTGATGGATTTGGCTTCCACGAGGAAGTCCTCGACGGGTTTCCAGATTCTGCTGGACGAAGTCGCGGCGGCACTCCCGTCCCCTGCTCCCGAACTCCCTGTTTTGGGGTCAACCTGATCCATGGCACTCAACGAGACCGTGTCCAAATGAACAAATGAGTGATTGCCAATGATATCGATTCGGTTGAGCGGGCCGAAGTATGCGTCGAACCTCTCCTTCACGGGCAATTGGATACCTGCGGCAAACCCCAAATCATGGTTCCCCGGTAGAGATGCCAGAAGACGCCGGCCTGTCGGCTCAGCGGCACTCGCATAAGGGCCTTTGGCCCACGACCGCAAGAAGAGGTTGGAGAAGCGAATGTATTCTTTCAGCCAGAAACGCGACCCGTACTTTCTGTACCGCTTCTCGGGGGATGTCGACTCGGTAGTGCCCCATTCCCGGCCACCGTCAAACAAGTCACCGAGGAACAAGGTCGCGTCTGGTCGGAGGTACTCTTGCAGGTATTGATAGGAGCGGCGGAGGTAGCGATCGGTGTAGAGGATGGTTAAGCTGGACAGAGGCCAGGGTCTGTCAGGGTAGGTATGTGGATCGACGAGCTGGGGGTCGGCGACAAGGAGGACATGATGAGGCTGAGCATGACCTGGCTATGACAGAGTCAGCATTGTATGTCTCAGTGTAGTTAAGTGTTGGATGTGCTCAGATACCCATGATTCCCACTGTCGCCACAGACAATGAGCGACACTCTGTTGAAAGGTGTAGCGCTCACCCCAGAAGAGAAGACATATCCAAAGAAGCACCAAGGCCGATGGAAGGCTGAGGAGACGGTGTCTTATCCTGGACAAGGCATTGACTTGCATCTCTCTCAGGTTGACGGTGGTACGTTGGCGGTCACTGTCGCCAACGACCCTCCTTGGAGGTGCCTCGGTGGGAAACTACTTAGGCAGGTATGGCGTGGGCCGCAAGTCAGTGAGACTGCACCCACAAGTCACCCACAAGTCAGGGGTATACAAGGTAATAGAGAGGGTGTCAGATATGCCAGGGGTAAGGATGTTGACTAATAATATGTCAAAGCTTTTTTCTTGCGGGCAATGATGAGCAGTCCATACCTGGTACCTCACACTTCTGATGCTACCTATTATCCAGATTTCGGTGTAACTGCGCTCACTGGGCACTTCCACCATGGCCTTCCTCGACCTGGTTCAGTCGCTCATCCCGCCACCACTCTCGCCATTATGCCCTCCTTATAAATCGCCTACAGCTGCCCGCATATCACAAGTAATGCTCCTGGCTCGAGTCATGCCCTCGTCCACAATCAACCCGTCTTCATCTCCCCATGGACGGCGTCTCCGCTGCCAGCAGTATTGCTGGTCTTGTCACCCTGGCACTGCAGATCAGCGCCACAATATCAATCTACGTCAATTCTATCAAGGAACGCTCCACTACGATCAGGGAATTCCATGATGAACTACTTCTGTTGGGTGAAGTTCTTAGTGGACTGCGAGATTTTCTGGAGAGCGAAAAGGTCAAGGGTCGGGCTCTCGACACTCAGTCGGTTCTGTCAAACGCTATCAGAGACTGCCGGCAACGGATGGAGCGCATTGGCGACAGACTGAAACCCTCGGATGGTGGAAAAATCGCCCGTGCTATTGACCATTTGAGGTGGCCTTTTGAGCAGAGGGAGGTCATGCAGATGGTGGAAAACCTCCGACGATATACCCAGACCTTTCAGTTCGCTTTCACCATCGAAGGATTCAACTTGTTGTCCAAGACGTCCGAGGATGCTACAAAAGGACTGCAAGAAATGCTCCTAATATCGAAGAAGATGAGCGAACTGTCGGCTCAGATGGGTCGGTCTGCGGATGAGTCTTCCAAACTTGCAGTTCAACTCGAAGGAATCATTGCCCTTGTTCCACTCCTCGCGAGAACAGCCACCGATGTCAATGAAATATCTCAAGCCACGCGACTGGCTGAATTGAGGGAGCAAGAGAGGCGAACCACCGATATCTTGGACTGGCTGGCTCCTCTTTCCTCGCTTCACAAACATCGGGATCTGCAAGTGCGACGAGCCGCAGGCACGGGCCGATGGTTTCTTGAACATCCAGACTTCTCTCACTGGGTTGACCACAATTCCAACCACGACCTCCTCTGCGTTGGCGGCCCTGGTGCTGGCAAGTCTGTCCTATGCTCTCATGTTGTCGACTATCTGCGTGCCAAATTCAAAGATCACGACGTCGCCATAGCTTTCTACTACTACGACTACTCAGACCAACAGTCACAGAGTCCTTCCAGCTTTGCACGGTCGCTTTTGCGCCAGCTCAGTTCCCACAGCGAAATTGTCCCTTCCGCTGTTGCCGAATTTTATCAACGCACTAGGAATGCTGTCAAAGACCAAACCTGGTTCCATGACTTACTGACCATTCTCCGTCGCGTGGTGGCAACGTTTCGCCATTGTTTTATCATAGTCGATGCTCTTGACGAGGCCGATGTCCAAACCCAGCGTACAGGCTTTTTCGAGGTCATTGATGCCATAAGAAATTCTCCTGGCGGCACAGTCAAAGTGCTAGCCACTTTGAGGCCCCATGTTCTTGATCTCGTGTCCAAATTTCACGAGCCTTCAATGATCGATATCCTAGCAAACCCTGGGGACATTCGGCAGTTTCTTGTGCAGACGATAAAGGAGCAGCCAGAGTCGGAATATTTGATGGATGACAAACTCAAGGAACATGTCCTGAATACCTTATGCACCAACGCAAATGGCATGTTCTTGCTGCCCGCTCTCCAGATAAAGACAATTCTAGATCAGATCACCAGGGCAGATGTCAAGCGAGCATTACTCCATCTCTCCACTGACTTGACTCATGCCTTCCAATCAACCATCCAGCGAATCGCCACCCTGCCCGATGCAAGACGCGACCTAGCCTTCAGAACGCTAATGTGGGTATCTCACGCCAGGAGGCCGATGACTGTACAGGAGTTGCAGCATGCCATGGCACTGCGACCTGAGGATTGTGATCTCGACAGTGACAATTTCCCCTCTGTGAAGACGCTTATAGATTGCTGTTGCGGGCTGGTCGAAGTGGACTATGAAAGTTCGATTATACGTTTGGTCCATCACTCGCTCGAGGAGTATCTCCGTGACCACAACCACGGTCTTTTCACCGATGCCAACCTCGTCATCACCAAGACGTGCCTTCAATACATGATGCTGGATTCGATGAGAAACTTACCATACAAGAACCGAGAAGATTTCGGGACGGCACTGGAGGATTTCGCGTTTCTGCGGTACGCGGTGCTCGAATGGGGCCACCATGCACACAGTGTGCCCGCCGAAGAGATTAAAGACTTGGCCCTTCCACTGCTTTCCGACAGTGACTGCTTGATTACCATCGCTCGAGTCCGGGATTTTCAGTCTCCGGAGATTCGGAAGTGGGACAACAAGGCCTGGACGTGGGCTTCTTCTGGTGGTGCTGGGATCTCATTAGCAGCAGGATTCGGACTCGCCGAGCTTCTGAGAATCCTGATTGCAGAAAATCAATACAACCTGCGTCTTGACGCGCGTAACCTGTACGGAAGCACAGCACTGCACGAGGCAGCTTTGCACGGCCATCAGGAGGTAGCGGAGATTCTGATTGAGAACGGCGCCAATCTGCTGGACACGCTCTACGGTCAGAGCACTCCATTATACCTTGCGGTTTCCTACGGTCAGCTTGAGATGGTCAAACTACTGCTCCGGTACGGACGTGACCAGCTCGACTGCGCCGGCCCGAAGGGTTTTACAGCTTTGCACAAGGCTGTGGAGCAAGGAGACGAAGGAATGGTCACCACACTTCTCCAAGCAGGCGCATTGGTGGGCACCACTGACAACCAAGGGGCAACTGCTCTACACGTTGCTGCTCTTCGTGGCTTGCTCTCTATCGCCGAGTTGCTGGTGCGTTCCGGCGCAGTCGTCCATATTCGGGACAAGGAACGCCTCTGTCCTCTGGACTATGCCGCCACAGGGGGCTTCACTGACATGGTTGCTTTTCTCCTCGAGAACGGGGGAAGCATGTTCCACAAGGGCCGGGAACTATGGACTCCTCTCCACCGCGCCGCTCGAGGCGGGCACACCGAGACTGTTGCATTCTTTCTGCAGCGAGATGCGGACGTATTGGCTACCGATTTCAAGGGCAACATCCCTTTACATCTTGCAGTCCGGTCGGGCAACATCGAAACCGTAACGACGCTCCTGGAGGGGCAAAATACCACCAATAATTCAGACCTCAAACGGGCACAACTCTTCGCCCAAGACCGCAAAGGCTCAACCCCTCGAGTCGTCGCCTTCTTTACCGCCCACTTCGATATCCACAAGTTCCTCCGAGCAGCAGAGTGGCAAGTTCAGGGGGTTACTTCGCCCAGTGGCAGTGCCGCAAATCAACTCACCACTGCGATCGAGAAGGGCGATCTAGCCACAGTCCGCGCCCATTTGGACAAGAACCCGGACTCTTTGACAAGCCTCGACGAGGAGGGCCAACCACCCTTTCACGTCGCTTTGCAAGAGAATCAGAAAGAGATCGTCGAGTTCCTCCTTTCGCGCGGGGCGTCCGTGGAGGCGGAGGGCTACCACGGCTGGCGCGCGCTACACATTGCCGCCTCGCTGGGCAACCTGGAGCTGGTCAATCTGTGCCTCACACACGGCGCACTGGTCAACACTGTCACAAACACGAGACAAACACCACTGCACAAAGCCGCCAGTTCGGGATCTGTGGCCGTGGTCCGCCGCTTGTTATCCGCGGGAGCGGACCCAGTGGCCACAAATGAAAGGGGCATGACGGCTTTGCATATTGCCGCGCATCAGAACGACATAAGCATCGTGCGCTTGCTCGTTGGCTACCACAACGTGGATGTCCTGGCCCGCGATCGCCAGGGCATGACGGCGGCAATGTGGGCTGAGAGGTCGGCGCACCTCGATGTCTGGGCCTTTTTAAGGGCTGAAGAGCGTAAGTTCAAGAACCTGAAGAGCTCGGCCTCAAGGAAACGGACCTCGAGCAGCGCCGTGGCCATCGAGAACTTTGAGGATAGCGAGGCCGCGCCGCTGCCGACAACAAGACCATCGAATGAGAATGCAGAGAGTCTCGGACTCGACCTCAAGGAGGTCCGGGGCGGTCCGGCCGATGCTGATGGACTTACTCCCTACGGCGACTTAGGAGATGAAACCCATCTCGACGAAGACGGGCGCATTCCAGCAGGATCTCGAAGGAAATCTATCAGCAGGTCTCCTGCGATGTAAATAAAACGAACAAAGTGAGCACTGAAAAAGGATGAACCTTTAGGATAGTCACGGAATGAAAGCAGCTAATGCTACTCGGTACAGTTTTCTCATCCAATCTATGCGGTGGACCTGCATCTAACTTAGACCTTGTCCCCCAGTGTCCCTCTATCTCTACCTCTGACGCTCTTTCTCCGCTGTCCCACTGTTGTACAAACGTAGATCCATACAGTCGTGAAGAGAAACGTGCCTCCCAGTGTTTTGATGTTGTCGTTGATATCGAGTATCACTGTCATTTTTCATGCTCATCCAGCCCCATTGTCCCAATTCAGCCCGCCTCTCGGATGCTGCGCTCCAGTTCAACGCCTTCGCATGTGTTTTCTGGCAACCTTCCATCTGCCGGCCGCGCGAACCCATGCGGTGATTGCTCAAACACCAGTCGTAATCAAATTGCAGTGACTGTTCTGCTTTCAGGTCGAACATTTTTGTCTCGTCCAAGCCAAGAAACGAGCAAGTCTCCCCCTTCAAATGATACTCGTACAAAAAGAAAGGAAAACAAGATCATACAACACCGTACCCAGCATGTCGCTCACCATTGGGTATCTTTGGAAGTCTCTCACATTCCGCACCGAGATTCTTTTCACCAAAACCCCGCTTGTCGGTCGGTTTGCTTATACCCTATCGGCGCAGACCGCAGATGTGCCCTCGCTCCACCGGCTTGACTTGCGCTGTCATCCGGTATGACCGACTCCCCGGAGCCGGACCGTTGCGTTTCGTCGTCTTCAACAAGAGGGATCCTCGCTCCACCCAGGCCCAGCCGGTAACGATGACCTGACTCGTCAATCACCACCTGCGCCTCTGTGTTCATGCGTACCCCAGGAACGTACTGTTGCACGACCGATGCTCCGCCGGCAGCCGTGCTGTTGTTCTTAGCTACCGGAGATCGACTTGCCGCTTGAGAAGGTCCTCGAGCCACACTGGGAAGCTGCAGGATAGTTTGTGCTTTCCCGCCAAGCATTGCTTGGAGTTGCTCGACCTTTTTTTGTTTCTGATCTGCTAGACGTTGCTGTGTGCCGTAATTTCGCATACCGACGAAATCCATCTTTGAGACTATTTGGACAGCAATGTCGAGCATGGAACGGATGATGGTGGGATCAAGGAGGGATTTTCCGGTAGTTTCTGTGTCTGTAAGCTCCCCGATCTCTAGAGCCTCATTCTTTGCAAGCACATCATTGATCCCATTATGAACAAGCGACATTTCATAGTGGATGTGACCGCCGTCTGCAAAGTCTTTGTAAGCTTTTTCAGGGGCTTCGTAACCCTGCCAGAGCCTCTTATCCTCTGGGTGAACCCGGAATTGAAGATTCTTTGCCTCTGTCATCTTGAGCAGGATCTCCTGACCATCCGGACGATTGCTGCTGTGGTAACTGTCCCGTTTTACGACGAGGTTGCGAACTTCGATTTCAAGGTCATTGGGCTGTCGAAACACCAGTAAGAGCTTGTTACGTCCGGGCAAGACATATAGGGACCCGACAAAAGCGCTGACACTTTGAGCGACAGTCTCCGGGGGATCCCGCCACTTCAAAGGTCCTGTCAGCGTGGCAGAGAGGTCCCAGACCTGAGCTGGCACATGTATGTTGATATCACCGACGGTGACCAGACCTTTTCGCAGCTCGTATCTTCCATGTTGGTCTACCACAATCTGAAAGTCCTCATTGAATCGACTTTGGCAATGGAACTCGTAGCTGACAGACTGCGGACCTGGAGTAGGATTCCAAAGCTTGCCAGCGCCTTTTCCAGTGTCTCCCTTCATTTCCAGAATACGGTCGATGTCTGCACCGTTGGATGTCAAGATTCTGGTGAAATTCGAAAGCGTGTCGGTTGATGCAGGACGACAATCAAAGTATGATTTCCAGTCATCAACGCTATGATAAGTCCGGTCGCGCAGTTGCTGCCCTGGTGTGATGAGCACTTGGCCGAATCGCAGCTCAAACGTCAACTTGCCGCTGAAAGCTCTGCCATTTTCAAACACTGGCTCCAGGAGAGAGATGAGCTTTTTCGTCTGCATAGCTCGATAATCGCTTGCGACAAGGTCTGGATGTGCTTCAGCCAAGGCCGACTTTTTCTTAATCTGCTGTCTCTTCCATTTGCTCATCTCTTCTGGCTTGGGGGAGGCTGCCCGTGATCTTGGTGGGGTATTTGTCGGAGTTGGATATGCTTCTGCCAATGCCGCGGCTCTGCGCGCTTTCTTCGCCGCTTCTGTTTCCTGCTTTCCAGATGTCTTTCCAGGATTTTTGCCTTGTTGGCGCATTGTAGAATGGAGTTTGGGCGACGGATCCTCCGCTTTTTTGTTCATTGCGGCTATCGCCTCTTGAACCTGTTGTATAGCCTTTTCTCTTATAGCAGATTGATCGACTCTCGGAACGAACGTTGTAACGTAGTCAGATCCCTCTTCGCTGAACCTTAGCCGTGTCAGTCCCGAAGCCGAAGATCCAGATGCTATGCTGGAGCGAGTTTCTAGCTCAGAGGGTGCAGCACTCCGGGGAAGCGGCTCTCCGAGATCGCTTGATTGATTGAGATTGCCACGACTCGGTTTTGCAGCCAGGAGCGGTACGTTGCATTCCAAGCCTGGTGGCACAGTTGATGGATGGGCACTATTCGCAGGAGTTCCCAGGTCGACGAGAGTGTGGTGAGTGGATCCTGGTCGTTGACCTCGAAAGCCACGGGCCCTCGTTGCTCTCTCCCCGGAGTAGCCAGGACGTAGCCTCCCATTTCCTCTCTGGTGAAACTCTCCTGCAGGCCCTCGTGGGCGAAATCCGTCCGGCTGCGTCGGACGTGGGCTTTCACTGTGGTCGTAGGATTGACCAGTCCCAAGTCGACCGTCCCCACGATAACGGGCGTTTGTCCGTCCACGGTAGCCACGCTGACCTCTCTGCCCTCGGAACGGCCGGGTGTTCGAGACAATCCCGTACTCACGTTGGTGGAAAGAAGGTCTTTCAAAAGGGGGAACACTCGCGGCCTCTGGAGTTATAGACGCGATGTCTGTCGCCGAGGACGAAAGTTCGTGGACCTCTGCTGATTTTTCTGCTTGAGAATAGGACGTGGCTCCGCTACTGGGACAAGCATCGGATTGAGATGGAGATTTGTTGGCCGTTTCATTCGATCTGCCTCCATTGTCGTGATCTTCTTGGTGTCCAGACGTAGCTTCTTGATACGATGCTGTAATTATGTCAACTTCATGTCCTTCGTGCAGAAGAGCTGAATGAGATGCGGATTGTGCTTGCAGTCCTCCCTCAGCTTGGTCCAAGCTAACTTCTTCTGAAAGATCGATCAAGGCGCTCTCGTTGCCGGCCAGGAGGGGTGACACTGGAGATTCAGAGTTCTGAGTGGCTGGGCCCTCGGCTTCCATCAAATCTTCGTCCTCTGGCAGCAAAACTAACCGGGTTTCTGTACTATCTTCGGTAGTTGAGGGGACGGGTTTCGGCACCGGGGTAGATGGCTCTTCATCCTCGCTATCCGATTCTATTGCGACTCTGCGACGCGTCGGTGCTACAGGTTCTCTCGGTGTTTCTGGGGCGATTTCCGGGTTTGCTGAATGCACAACATTGTTCGTCCATGCGGCAATTCTAGCATCAGGGCGTTCTTGGGTAGGAACGGAGCCACCATTATTTGCTGAGGTGGAATTGGATGTGATGATTGGATCCATATTTCTTGGATCTCCAAAGCTTTCATAGAGCTCTGTGTCCCAGATTTTCGAGGCTTGCAACGTGACTGTGGGCTGATTCCCTACCTTTTGGAGATTTCGAGGTATGAAGAACTCCCGTGTCTTCGAGTCCCACGGACGAAGCTCCGCAATAACTTTTCTGCAGAGGGTTTGTTCCATGCTGTTGACGATGACGCGTTGGAAGCCCGGGTGATCATCGTTCATTTTCACAAACTGCATCCTGGAATCTTTTTGATTTGGAGGCCAGATGAGGAGATTGCCAGTGGCTGGGAACGATTTATTGCCGGATTGTTTCTCAAAGATTTCCTGGGAACAATGTTAGTGACCAATATAACAATTAATGAAGCGGCATACGAGTAATGGTTCGAGCTTCAAGAGCTTTTCACGGGCCAGGTTGAAGTTTCCTTGGAAGATTCGGTAGCGCTTTTCAGCTTCTTCGGCGAAGAGAGAAGAGCCTGTCAATCGTGTGATGTCTTTTGCGTACATAGGTGGAAGAATGCCGATGTTCCCGTTTGCCGGTTGCCAATACGTCGTCAGATGAAGCAGTCCGTCCGGTGCGTCCTGGTCGTCAGAATCTTCATCTGACTGGTACTGTAGTAGAACGTTTTTCTCGGCGCTCTCTTCGTCGTATTCCTCTGGGATGATGTCCGCCATCACCGTACCTTCCACGGGACGAATCCGTGGCTCATCGTCAAAACCGGGTGGGTTCAATTCGTGGTACTCGATGTACCCCCCCATACGAGTAAGAAATTGTGGCATGGTGTGCTGATCACCTTGGTCGACGTCTGCACAAAAAACCTGTGTAAGTTTCGCTGTCAGCTGCGTTTCAGTCCTACTGCAACCCCGAAAGCCAATTACCTGGTTGGCAGCATCGAAGTAGAAGAATGCGGGCGCCTCCGGGCCATCATGAGCGTCGCTATTCAGACACTCAGTTTGTTTACGACTTGAATTGTGGTCAGTTTTGGGGGCTAGGAAGGCGTACTTGTCATTCTGGATCAGCTCCGTGGACTGGAGGAAAATGTCAGTAGATCAACGAGTGTAAGTTTCCATAGAGCCAGACTCACTGCAAGCTCGCTAAAATCGTAGAGCGACCTCAGAATGACCGTCTTCTTCGTCGCCATTTCCGCAAGAGCGCCCTTGCACCGCTCCACGCACAGGGTGCTTCCGCAGCCCTGCGGGCAGGAAAGGGCGCCTCAGAAGAACAGGACGAGGGGACAAGTGACCGATAGTAAGGTAGTACTGGCCCGGAGAGGTGCAATAAGTAATTATGCTGGCAAGGGTAATGAGACCCTCTTCAGAAATGGAGATGATTTGACAATGGGTTGAAGAAGGGATCGGTAAGAGGGGAGGAGTCTCTGCGGAAAAAGCTTTCGCCGAGTTCTCCGCGAGGGGTATCTCAGCCTCGCGGTGAAGTCGTTCGTAGTGAGAATTTGTTGTCACTGGCTATTCAAGAGAAGGGCGATGAAGAGAAATATTTGGCTGGATGTGTGAAGCAGGACACTTATGACGGACGGACGCCAGCCGCCTTTGACATAGCGGGTAGCTAATATTCTTTGGTTGTTGCTGTGTGATGCATGCAGTGTCCCTTCGGACCAAGTCTCCCCTCTGTGTTTGCCTCTCAGAGGCGGTGGTTTGATAGTCCCCAAGGCAAATAAAACTGGGTTCCGTTGTCAGAAAAGGGTCCTCTAAGCACATCGCTACGATCACAGCTAAAGTTCAGAGCACGTCCTTGACTAAGGTGAGCAAACTCCTCACGGTTTTGACCGCTGGGTGGTGGGAGCATAGGCTTTCTATTAACGACCTGCTTGTATGTATGTTGCAGTCATCACTTCGTATAGTCATGTCAAATTCTGTGCAACACTTTAATCGCAGAAGAATCTTCATCTAGAGGCCTTTGCTGAATCTTTCCGCCTGTGTTTTGTGAGCACATTCTTCGTGGGGCTGCGGCTTCTCTTTGAAAGTTCTTCGTGAGCCGAAGGCGGTCTCGAGACGTGATCTCGTCGAGAGTGCTGCGGCTGTCCTTGCACAGGATCGTGATGGTTGTGATTCACAATATCATCAACTTTGATGACCCATCGCATTCTTCCAGTCACTTCAGTCATCTCGTCCAGCTTCTGAGTCAATGCTTGGTCGTTGTGGCTCGCGGCCTGGCGAAGATCGGAGATGGCGGCGTCGACTTCATATCTGTAGGCCTTGAAATTCGTCGTCAATCTCTTTGTCAACTCTTCGAGCTGGGCAATGGTCTGGCGTTGCTGCTCGGCAATGATCTCCAGTTTCTTTTGCTTTTCCAAATCATCTTGTTGGCGCCGTAACAGACCGTCAAGGCTGCCCTTGATCTTGTCCAATCCACTTTGATGTCGATCGTAATCGACCTTCCGGCAGGCCACCACGGTTTCGTATTCTACTTCTTTCTGAACGGCGAGGGCCTTGGCCTGACTGGCTTGGTCCCTCCAAATCTCCTCATTTGAAGCTGCGGCTGCGGCCTGGGCTTCCGCAGCTGCAGTCTTCAATTTCTCTTTCCTCAGCTCTTCTCGGAGCTCTTCGACTTGTCTCTCCCTCCGTGTCAGTTGCCGAATATTTGCTTCATGTGACTGTTCGTAGTTGCTCGTCCGGTCCTGCAGCGACTGGTTTCGTGTCTTCAGGGTCTCATTCTCTTTCTCTGCTTCTTCAAGCCGCGTCTTGAGTAGTTGTTTCTCGCGTCGCAGGCGGTCAATATCTCCCTGAAGTCGCTCAATTACTCTGCCTGATTTCCCAGTGCCGGCGTGACCAATGGCTGAGGACCAGGGCACGGATTCAGAGGAGGGCGAGGACTCGGAAGACGATAAAACTATTTCTTGGTCAGTGGAAAGGGCGGTAGAAATCACAGTGACTGAGTGTACCTGAACGCATCATGGAAGCACTGGATACTCGACCGGAGGCAGGGCGTACCCCATCTGGCTGACTCTGCTCCTTGAGCACTCCATTCACTTCAGGCATAGTCAATGTTGCATTCACATCAGAATATGTGGGTGACGACGCCCCTAATGGAAAAGTTGAGTCAGCTTAATTGAGGAACTGTCGAGTAGGTGTAGCTGAGACCGAGTTTGGCCAGGGTGATTCTGATGCAGGTAGCCACGTACCCAGAGCACTATCCAGCCCTGTGCTGATCGGAGTCGCGGAACTTCTCGAAAGACGTGACTTCCTCCTCATGACACGCCCTGATCGGTCAACTGCGATCTCACGACTGGCAGAAGGGCGTCCCTCGAAGATCCAAAGCGATTGCGGTGGCTGCTTCCGGACGCGGTGGACAGATGCAAGTGACTGTGGCGTTGAACTGACGCGACCACGAAACGGCAGAAGTTCTCTCAAAAATCAGCGAAAAGGTACAGATCAAGAGAGACTCCTTTCCCAGATTTGAGATGATGGCATTATTTGTTTGAGATCAGCCGTTTGGGTCGGTGGAGATGGCCGGGTAAGCAATGCCCGGGAAGTTCGGGCAGCCTAGCACTTAGCAGCCGGGGGACGTGTCGACAGGCAAACCCGGCCCGCCCACGCGTTGGAGATCGCGTCGGAGTGGCGCCTAACAAATTAGAGATGGCGCCCAGCAACTGTCCTTTCGGGGCCTGTCTCCCGACTAATTAAGCCCCTTCAGGGACTAGCATCCTTTGGAGATCCACGCTAATGCCAGGGGTAAGATGGACAGGTCCAAAAACCAAGTGACATACTATCAAAAATTTCGGAGAGCGATAGATGAAGACAGGTATCATGTACTCGATACTCTGTATTTCCTGCCAGGACGCCTTGGCCTAGTGGCTTTGCAAATTCCTTCAGCCCAAGAAGCTACACGAGGGTCTTTCTGATCAACTCAAGAACATGATAGCCGCAAACACGCCCTGCACCAATGCAGCCGAGCTGCCAGTTGTCCAGCTGCTCCCGTGGGCGCCGCCGTGGGCGCCGCCGTAGGCGCAGCCGACATCGAGCTCGGTTGGCTCTCACCGCTAAAGGAAGCGGAAGAGGAGGACATGTGTTGGTTCACGGAGGGAGTCAGATTCGTAATGGTGGTGGACGACAGAGCTGCAGAGCTAATTGTGAGGTATAACTCAGTCTCCCTTGGTAGCGGATTCACATGAAAGTCAAGTTACTTGAGAGTATAGTGCTTCTTCCCAACGATGCGATTGCAGTGCTCGTGGGGGCTGATCATACAGGCGGTGACATTGGTCGCCCTCCTTGTTGTGCTTGAACCCGAATATGAGATCGTGGACGTGCCACTTCCGCCCGCGCTCGAGAACAAGCCGCTGTGGTCGATCAAGTCTTGACCCTATGTGATCTGGAGTGTGTATTCCCTGCAAATGGGACCCCTCAGAAGATTGAACTTGTGCGACACGGCTGACCTTGTGGAGAAACCACATACGACGCAGTCGCCAGACGCTGCGAGACATCCCAGAAAAAGAAACCCTTGGTCACGCCATCTGCGAGCGTTCCACTCGTCTTGAGATCATTCGGGTCTCTTTCTCGGAGCGTTATTGTGACAGATTCAACTATCTCCGCCCTCCCAAGAAATACTAATAAGCAGCTCGGATTTCAGCAACGCTACGCGTCCCATCCTCTCTTTGCGGAACTGTATTGTACGTACTTATGGGATTGCCCAGCAAATACCAAGGCAGGAACAGAAGTGGATGTGGTCCTCGCTTGTGCAAGGGCGCAGGTAAAGAGCGACGCCCTCAGCAAGAGGAGCTTTCCTGACAGCCTCATTCTCGCAGAGATCGACGACGGGATGAAGAGCTGAGCTTGTACGGTAAAGAGCTGCACTCGCAGCTTTGATCAGCAGGATAAATGGCGGAAGAATAGTCAAAGACAAATGTCAAGCAATCGAACCGAAAGAATCCAAAAGAGCGGATGGCAGTCTCAAACACGGCTTTCGCAAAGGAGTATCTCCAAAGAACAACAGTGGAGCAAAGAATCATGAGAAGAATGCGCAATAAGCAGCAAATCAGCCCCGTTGATCCGCTAGAAATATCTTTGCTTCTGCGGAGAAAAAGTCGAGATCACAAAAGATAGCCCAGATCCTCGTCTATTTGAAAAGTGACGCGTAGAGCCAATAGCCGACAGTGCCACCAGACCGTGCTAGCACGTTTTAAATCGGGGTCAATTATGATGGTCCAACATGCCATTTCAAGCGACTCCGCTTCCCCACACGAAAGACTGAAACACAATGCCAATAATGAGACCAAAGTCGAGAGAACTGCAACAGAGCACATAAGCCGACCGTCCACCCTGTCAACGCGCGAAGAAATGGTTTGTGCAGTAGGTGAGTGGTAGACATGAATCGAAACAGTCATCGACATGTAGGCTGCAGCAAGTGGGATGAACACGGCTGTAGCATGGCAACCTACAGCCGATTTCAGAACATGTCCTGTACATGTGGCCTCGGTACGCCGCATGGTTTCCCTTCTGTAACGCCAGGAAGCCATTGCACTGCTCCGTACACCGGAAAAGCATCTTCCGTGTTACGAGGAACCACAGGCCGCGTGGAGACTGATATGGAAAGTCCAGAAAGCGCAGAAATCGGTACTTCCTCACCAGCCGGAGTTCGAGCTCTCCAACTCAAAGCTTGTCGAAGCAAGGGCGCAACCGACCGTGGTGAAAGGTCTCGAAGAACACCTCTCGACACGCCTGCGGCCAAGGTGTGGGTCACTGAGATCTCGCCACGCACTTGTCCTTCAGGGAATCCATTGGGATGGAGCATCGTGACGTTGGCGGGATTGAACTGGGCATAGGTGCCGACGAGATTTGGTGCTGCAGGCCAAGCAGACACCTCATCCGGCGGATCGCCCATGAAGAAGTCAATGCAGAAGCTCGTATTAAGCGGGAACCGATCAATAAGTACAGTGATTGACCACTGCCTGTTGAGGTTATTAACACGGAGCTGCCTGGCCAAATCAAGCGAAACATGGCCAAAACTCTCGGCTATGCTCGGTGATCTTCGCCTGGTCCTTCTTGTCGCGGTGCTGATTGTGCTGTTTGATGACGGGTTGTAGAGCGAATTGACTGCAGTCCGTACGTTGTTAGCTAGCTCATCTGGACTCATCTCCCAGTCTGGGAGTTCCGGATAACTGTAGCCAAACGTCTTGGTACTGCGGACGTCATCAGAGGTAAACAACGCGCTGCCAGCATCAGAATGAAAGGGCGCCAAAGCTATTATGCGTTAGTTTACACATCTGCTGCCATTGGGGTGACACCAACCGGTTGTTCCCGAATCGACAAACCCAACAGTCTCGTAGTACGATCCATATGCATTCACGGTCGGCTCGATGTAGCTGTCCGGATACAGCGCTTGCCACATGGCAAACAGACGATCAACGTTGGCGTGATGCAACCAGAAGACAGGATCGAAGCCTGCAACTTCTGGAAATTGCATGTGACCAAATCCTCCTATGCTGTTGTGGATGCTGTTGTGAATCGACTCAATATTGTTCGCGGTAAGCCATTGGCCCCCAGGCCAGGTGCATGAGAACGTTGTGTAATTTGCGACAGACGTGAACATCTGATACGTCAACGATTGAATGCTGGAACACCGTGCGTCAGCGATTGCTAGCTTGGGGGAGGGAATAGACTCACGCAGGAGCGTTGGCCAGCAACGCCGCCGTAGCTGCGCTTTGATTGCTAGATTGTGTGTCTGGACTCCACCACCGAACAGTTTCGGAAAAGTTGGCCATCTACACGTACGTTACGGTCAGTGGATCGTCAGAAGTCCAGAGAGGTTGTGTAAATCTTACCGGGTCGGAAAGAGGAAATCCATTGCCTGCAGCATTAGACTGAAAGACATAGGTGTAGAGAGGATTGTTCACTGTTTGTCGCCCGTTCGGAGTGTTGATGGAGATTTGAGGCTCCGCAACCACGTCAGGCAATGCTGGATAAACAGCCCAGTCCCAATAAGGAGCCCGCAAAGTGAGAGCGGCACTCGAATATTCATCACGTTGGTCATCGGGATAGTCGCTAGCAATGTCTTGGGCATGCTGCCAGATCAGTTGCTGTAGAGGGTGGGTCAGCAAAGTCGCAAAGAAGCTGACATGGAGGGTGAGAGTTACCTCGAACAATGCCACATACGGTCGATGCCAGGTGGGAAATGGAGTTGCAGCGTGCGTGCAAAATCCTGGATAGCTACCATTGCCTGAGACACCGTCCCACGGGATTCGAGGGAAGCCATGAATTCCTATGACTGGTAAGCATTGGTGCAAACACTAGCTGGCAAACAATGACCTGCGACTTGAAAGTAAGACAGCTCTTCTGACTGGTCAACTTCTTGGAGCTCGATCAAAGCGAGTATGAACAAATCGAAAGCAGGGCCTGAGTTTGCAAAATCATGGATCTCGTATCTCAGAGGTCGTGCTCCCGTGGTCGAATTGACGCCTCCCAGGGCGCCAGTGATCTGGAAAGCAATCAAGCAGTCGCTGAGGGACAGGAAGAACAGTAGAAAGGGGGCGAAGTGATGTTTGCAGAGGAAGAAGAGGGAAACCATGGTCAGGAGTAGTCGAGACGAGGGCATCTGACGAAGACAAAAGTCCCGGGTCACTTTGCTGGGCGAGCATTCTCTCATAAAGCCACTCATGTACTGGCGTCTGACCCAACAACACAGTGGGAGAGGGACTCGTTCGCAAGGATTGTTTGTTGGAAATGTTAGACATGCAGATTACCATTCTCTGGGACTGCACACCGATGCGCCGGGACCAGTGGCTCGGGCAGATGCATCCGCTTCCAGTCGGATTGTAACAGTGATGCGGACACTGTGGGCAGAGTCCATGCTCGAATGGGTCCTATCCACGATGCGCAACATACCTAGGCAGTCAGTGCAATTCCATCTGAGACCGCCTGCGTAATGGGTTCTACACGCCATTTGGATCTTTGCTGACAACAAGGAAGACACGCAGACAGAAGGCACGGTTTTCATAGCAAACGTCCACTCTTCTTGGTCCAAACCCCCCTTCCTCAACAGCGTTCCACAGTGCTCTTCCGACATAGTGAACCCCCAGCGGAGTCGGTGCAACGGGTGTCCTGCTGGTGATACCGACCACGGCAGCTGCTGGAGGCAAACATGGGGCCCTTCTCTTAAAAAGGGTGCGTTGCAAACCACCTCCTGCAGGATCTACCTGTCTACCTGTCTGATTCTGGGATTCTGCACACATTTCAGGTATGACAGAGCATTTCCATCTAGACGTGAGACGGTGCAAGGGGGTGCCACATAACACAGCGAGAGAAGAAAAATCGAAGCGTGGATGCAGAGGAAGCGAGGAAGAAGGGAAGCTGAAGCCTGCGGTGACAAGCGGCTTGGCCCGAGCCCGAGTCTGCGCCTGAGCTTGAGCCTGAGCCCCTGCAGTGGGTGTGCAGTGAGAGCCACAGCGTCATTGCCGTTCCGCAGGTTCCTAGGCTCCTGTTCTTCGGCTGGCGCGGAGCCACCAAAGTCCTCACAAAGTATCTCGTACCCAAGAAAATACCGCGTGTTGTCGATAAAGAATTGCTTTCCACATTTTTCGTCTCCTGCCTACCTTTGCTCTTCTCTGTTTGACACGTCTCCTCCAACTGTGCAGAGCCCGCACCTCACTATCGCAGAAACATTCGACGCTGCGTTTGTCTGACCCCTTCGCCATGGTCAAATACACTCCTCCCCCAGAGGACCTGTCGCGTCTCAACCCTATTCAGCGGTACATGCAGAAAGGTCAACTCGACAAGCAGGATTATGTGTACCTATGTCTCTTCGTCCTCGTTTATTTCATCTTCAGACCTAAAATCGAAGAATTCTTCAAGTGGTGGATGAGCCCCAAGGGGCTGCAAGAAGGCGAAGAGGCCCTGGCCGCGTACAAGCAGAAGGCAAAAGTTGGACCCAATGTGATACGCGGAACCGAGTCCAGGAGTCTGGAGACCATTCCTGAAATCTCTGCCGACACTGCCACGGGCACCAATATGGACAAGAAGGGCAAGGTGGTAAACCGGAAGACAAAGGAGAAGTCGGGTGAAGAAAAGCTGTTAGACTGGGAAGACGAGCCGGAGAGAAAGCCTACGGAGGGAGACAAGTCAGACATTGTTGCATGGCTCGACAAATGGTCCAACGAAGAATGATCACGACTCTGAAGCTATCGTCCTTGCATCTACTCAACGTCGAGGCTTTCCATTTCGCAGCAAGACGTCGACAGACTTGAGATTTCAGATACACAGCATATGTCAGGACATGTCAATAGAGACATCCACCTGAAGGCAGGCACCAACCAGTGTCACTCGCTCTGAGCGCAGGTGTCGGGGTGTCAGGCTGAACGACAGATGGATGATGGTTGACAGTTGGAAGCCAGAGATTGGAGGTCATCTTTGCGTTACTTGAGTACCTGCCAGGAGGACTGGATGCTACTTGATCCTCAAGAGCTCAGAACATCTAGTGCCTTCTTGATCGGCCAATCTGCCTCGTTATCATTTGTGGAGGTGCTTTGGACATAGAAGGATATATCGCTGCGGAATTTTCACGGTCAAACCCGTTGTTCCGTCCCAGCCTCATTATCGTTCAAACCCTTCCCAGTCCCTATGGACATCGAACCTCTTGCCGCCAGAGCGACTTGGCTTTTCTCGGCCACGACATATGTTCATGTATAGGGTCCATGCACGCCTATTGATGATGGCGATTTGGACGACAACTCCAGTCCCCGAGCGTGAAGCGTGAACCTCCTTGACACCAAATTCCAACCCGAGATACACCAGACAAGTCATCCCAAAAAGGATTGAACACTGGGGACTGGTTATTATGTGCGTAGTCCTCGAGTTACTCACCATTCCATGGGGTCTGCACGAAAGACGATATCTGTGACTTGGCATAGGCTTGATTGATGGGCACTCAGGCGGTACACATGTCGCAGACATTGACCCTGCACGCGAGACTGACCTGGATGTCAGGCCAAGTAATGTTTATACCTACCTAGGTATTGATTTAGCGGCACCCTGCTTCCTCTTCGTCAGCGAAGATCCAAATGGCATGTAGGACCAAGGACGCAAGCGGTCTCAGATGGGATTACGTTGACTATCTTGATAAGATAATCGTTGAAGCATGATAAGATGATCAATCCCCTCGACCGCTTTTGAATTTGAACATCTCCCCAACTGACCGTAACAGCACAGTACGGGCGGAGAGTTGGGGGAAGTGGATACTGTGCCATGCTTTGGACAACGAACAGTCCAAGGAATCTTCTCTCAACAGAGACATCTGGAGAAGAGAAATACCAGAAACAAGGGAATGTGGGAGCGAGGCGCAAATACTATCGAGTACCTCGTAATCGGTGCTCGTCCGCCAGGTTGTCGCCAAGGCGAGGCTGTTGCCCCTGAAGCCGTGGGTGGAAAACTCCATCGTCAACTCGGTTTCCTCGTTCTTTTTTTACTGCATATTGCCTGATCTCGTCTGACCCGTCTTCTCTTATATTGTAGATGCACCCCAGAACGCAATGTCCCGTGCCGCTAAGTCTGCGTGAAGCTGAAGAAAAAGGGCAACCTCGAATACACGGGCGTTTCATGATAAGATGACCCGTTGAATCATGATAAGATGATCGATGTTTGGCATGATAAGATAAATTGAAGAGACACGAGGAAAGGATAAGCAATGAGAATGGACCAGGAAACCCGGCGTTCCCTTCATTCTGCACATTTCTCTTTTCGAGGTTGCATTTTTCTTGCAGCTTTTCATGCAGGCTTTGATGGGACGACTAGATGGGACGGGGTGGGAAAAAAATACCCCGTTGGTGCTTATGACCGTGATACCCCGACCGTGGAGTGTCGAGAGCCTACAGGGAGACTCGCTCCACTCTGTCACTCTGTCCCGGTTTTCTTCCAGCGTCATAGAAGAAGGAGTCTCCTCTGACATTCGCTCTTTTCGAGGTGACATGGTTCTGCATATGTCGGGTTCAAGCCCGATTGTCCAAGAACACCGGCCGGGGCATTATCGACAACATCAGCGTAGAGTCGATGGATAACCAAAAGGGGTAATGTACAAAAGAGCCAAGTAGGACCGCTCAAGGCTCCCTCTCGTCCAATAGCAGAGGCTCCGTTTCCGGATCATGCTCCTGACTGCCTCCCGCCACGGCGGCACCCAAGCGAGCTCGGAGGCCAGACAGCTTGGGAGGCCGCGGTAGCTCCGGGAATTTCCCGTATAAGAATATCAAGCCCGCTAAGCCCGATCACAAGACGGTGCAGCCGAAGACGAGGAAGAATATTGACCAGTGCGCGAGCTACAGGGTGGAGTTACCAATATGAGAGGCAGGTATTGGGATGGAAGGGAGGCCCGGGTTTGCTTACAGAAGGCGATGGCGTCTTGACCACTGCCGAGTATGCCATGACTTCATTCGCGTGCGTCCAGCGCTGCAATCCTCACATACTTCTCGTTCTTGTAAAGCGCAAAGCTCGTCTCGAACCCGTCACGCTTCAATGCTTGAGTCGTCGCGAACTCGTGGTCCTTGGCCTCCAGCGCCCTAGTCGTCTCTAATCTCCACCCTGTGACCTCGGTCGCTCCATTCCAACTCACGTACACTTTCCTTCCCTTCACCTTCACATCCGGTATTGTCTTTGGCCTGCCCACCCACGGCTTCTTGAACACGCGGTACGATTTGACGAATCCAAATTCGATGATCTCATATAAGAGGTGGGGCGCAAAGTGTGCTTTGCAGAGAACCTTGCCATCCGCTGAATACTCGACGAAGGTGGGTGAGTTGCCGAATCCAACCAGCACGTTGCCGCTTTCTGGAATCATTTGCACAGAGCCTTGGGACACGTTGAGGATCTTGTCTGGATGGACAAAGGCCTGGAAGAGTGGCAGTCATCTTCTCCATGTCGAGTCGGATAATCATACCCTTGCTGTGTTTGGACGGGCTGTGAAAGACGTTGTTGGCGTGGTTGTCAAAGAGGGATATCGTGTTGTTGCCCTGCCACGTCACATGGTGTTGCCAGGCGAAATCGGTTGCTCCGTTGACATCTTCAAAGTTGTTGTTCTTGCCGCCGAGTTGCCACAGGATGTCGCCCGTCTTCGAACTGATGCACACTATGGCGTGCATGTAACGCGCCGAGATGATGTAGTCGCCGGTGTCAGTCTTGTCGACACTATTGACGTGGAAGAAGTCAAAGGCGTCTTTTTTGGATTTGCCGTGTCCATCCTTGCGCGAAGGACTGCTGAATACATCGCTCATCCGGATACGGTCAGTGGCGCGCCATTCGAACATCAGATTCATCGCCTGCTCGAATTTATCGTTTTCCATCCAAACCAAGTTGCCTTTCGCATCTAGGATGACTGGACCGCGTGCTGGGCCGCTTACCAAGGGCCCCTTTGAGTGAGGAAGAGATTTCCAGAGTCGAACCGAGAGTTCCATTGTGTAATCCTGGGCGCAGGCGGCTCAAAGTCGACGGAGTGGAAATGCTGGGGGGGATAGGTGCCATGGAATCCCAAATCATAGGCATTAAAGGAGAATGCAGTGACCCAAGGCAGGGGGAGAGCTGCGAACAATACAAACGAGCGCATGATAAGATTATCGCTGAAGCATGATAAGATGATGGATCAGGCATGATAAGATAATGTAGACGTTCGAGGTACCGAGTATAAGAATGAGAACGAACAGCAAACCAGCCAACAGATCGTCAGCGACAGACAAATTGGTTTCTGAGTTGTCCGGAACACTCGGAACCACATAAGCTTCGCTTGTGTGCATGCCGTCGGCCATCGTGGCATAGCTTCAGGCGAGATAGAGCCTTGTCTTGTCCACGATGTAGATCCACAGGACGTCCATCTAGCTGGATTGACCGTACCTCAGACTTACCATGATATTGCGAGTCTTCGTCAACATCGCAGCTCCCAGAAAACAGTTAAAGGCTCGCCGTGGCTCGAAAATTCTTGGTGCTTTTTCCGGGGATCGATCCCAGCACCCACTCAGATTGGATGATGGGGTGGGCCTCATTCTCGTCGCACAGTAAGGCAAGTGGCTTACTCGAAATTGTATCTCGCGGAAATACCACGTACCGACATCCGTGAAACCTTATGATATGCCAAATGCCACAGAGGGGCACGTGCCCAGGGTTCGCCTGCGCCGCTCAGTGCAAAGCTCAGCTAAGCAAGACAAGCAAAACGAAGCAAAGTCTAGAGACCCAGAGCCATGCCCTTCATAAACAAGGAACTTTAAAGCGCCTTAGTTCCGCTTCGATGGAGTAGGGATTGTAAAGCTCAAACTCGCAGCCGTACAGGACGAGCGCAATGACAGTGAGCGGCGCCGTTGTCGACCGCTAGGGAGCCACAGGGTCAGCCTGGGTGACTGAAACGAGGTCTTTTGGGGCCCGAAACCCGAGAGGCCCAGGTGATTGGTACCTGGGTAAGTTTCGATGCCTTGACACTGGGCTCAGCTGGGCAATAGAGCCACTAGAGCAGGAATTATGCAACAGTACGCAGCGTATTTGCGCGAGGTTGATCGGCCTGCGCAGATCTGTGCTAGAAGGGCGGTATGGTTTGAGGCAAATACTGACGCGCTAAAGACTTACTTGTACCACTTGTAGCAACGCCTGGGACCTTCATTCTTGGCACGCTCGTTTGTCGGGGTGTTCGGGTTCATTTGGTGCCTGGAGACTCGAGAGAGCAAAGGATTAGAGGAGAGATTTGAGAACTCCACCATATGCGGTCGATAACGGCAGCCGGACCAAGCCTGCGATCCTGCTTGAAGTCGGACGGGCGCCCACAAAAGCACATAAGCATATCCCGACCACTTTGCTGGCACGAGAGGAGTAACAGACTGATGGTCCGTAGTTCTTGTACGAGGTGCCTGATAGAGACTGGGAAGTGCTTCAGCATGAAGTCCTCTTCCCGGAAAATTGAAACTCCATTTCCGAACCCTCGGTCTACAACAGCCCGACAACGTTCGCCAGCGCCCTAGGGCGGCAACACAATGATCCGAAAAGGGCTTTTGGAGACGTATGCGCAATTGACAATCCGCAACCTCGAAGGACACTTCGTTCTGCAGCGAGAACACCTTCACAAGCACGCCTCTTTCTGTATTCATCTTGCTTTCCTTTCACCGTGGCCGTCATGGCCTCCTCCACGCCTCTCGACCCTTTTCTCCGTGGAAGCACCAGCAAAAACACCCGTGGACTCCTTCGAGTTATAATTCTACTGACCATTGCGGCCGCCGCAGTGTCCGCCCGTTTGTTCAGTGTAATTCGTACGTGCGATGCTTAGACTCTGAAGGTCACACTCCTTCGGAAGACAGCTGACTGACTACGTTGATTAGGGTTTGAAAGCATTATCCATGAGTGTCAGTAGGCCCCTGTCCGCTTCCTCAAGCATCTGCATATCCTTCCCGCCGAAGAATACAGAACGGTTTCCCCTGAGCTTGCTCCTGACACTCTTCAACAGTCGATCCCTGGTTCAATTTTCGCGCTACGAAGTACCTTGTGAAGAATGGCTTCTACAGCTTTTGGGACTGGTTCGATGACCGTGCGGCTACCACCATCTAAGAGAAGAGATTGGAGACACTAACATGTTGTAAGGAACATGGCACCCCCTCGGTCGAGTTACTGGTGGAACGCTCTATCCAGGCCTGATGGTCACATCTGGCGTCATATACCACATCCTTCGGCTTTTGTCCCTTCCTGTCGACATACGGAACATCTGCGTTCTCCTCGCCCCGGGCTTCTCTGGCCTCACAGCCCTCGCGATGTACCTCTTGACGTCCGAAATGTCTTCCTCGCCGTCTGCAGGTCTTTTGGCTGCCGCTTTCATGGGAATCAGCCCAGGCTACATTTCGAGATCAGTTGCAGGGAGTTATGACAATGAGGCAATTGCCATTTTCCTCCTTGTCTTCACATTCTTCCTCTGGATCAAGGCTGTCAAAAATGGCTCTATTATGTGGGGAGCTTTGGCTGCCTTGTTCTACGGATACATGGTGTCTGCATGGGGTGGATATGTCTTCATCACTAACCTGATCCCTCTTCATGCTTTCGTCCTCATCTTGATGGGTCGATACAGCTCCAGACTTTACATCAGCTACACCACCTGGTATGCTCTCGGAACATTGGCAAGCATGCAGGTTCCGTTTGTGGGATTCCTCCCAGTCAGGAGCAGTGATCACATGGCTGCATTGGGTATCTTTGGTTTGTTGCAATTGGTCGGGTTCTTCAATTTCCTCCGGGAGCAACTCCCTGGCAAGCAGTTTCAGACTCTGCTGGTTGCCCTGGGCGGAACAATCTTTGCTGTCATGTTCTCCGCTCTTGTCATTCTCACAGTCTCGGGGGTCATTGCCCCGTGGAGTGGCCGATTCTATTCTCTCTGGGACACGGGCTATGCGAAGATACATATTCCCATTATCGCGTCCGTCTCGGAGCATCAGCCCACCGCCTGGCCTGCATTCTTTTTCGACCTCAACATGCTCATCTGGCTATTCCCAGCGGGCGTCTACATGTGCTTCCGCAATCTCAAAGACGAGCATGTCTTTGTCGTCATCTACGCCGTTCTTGCCAGCTATTTCGCAGGAGTTATGGTTCGACTCATGCTTACACTGACACCGGTGGTGTGCTGCGCTGCTGCACTCGCCCTGTCACATATATTCGATACCTACCTCTACCTCCCAACACCCACTGAAGAGTCAACCGACGGGAGCAACGGGTCTGTCAAGGCCAGCAAAATCGCGGCAAACCCGTCGCTACGGTCAATCAGAAATCCCCTAATTGGCATCTACTCCATCGTGTCGAAGTCAATGATTACCTCAATGGCAACTGGTTTCTTGCTTCTCTTTGTCGCTCACTGTACGTGGGTTACCTCGAACGCGTATTCGTCCCCTTCAGTCGTTTTGGCTTCAAGGCTACCGGACGGATCTCAGCACATCATCGATGATTACCGAGAAGCCTACTACTGGTTAAGGCAGAACACGCCTCAAGACGCAAAGATCATGTCATGGTGGGATTATGGCTATCAGATTGGAGGTATGGCTGATCGGCCAACGTTGGTGGACAATAATACTTGGAACAACACGCATATTGCAACCGTTGGAAAGGCCATGAGCTCGCGAGAGGAAGTCAGCTACCCGATCCTTCGTCAGCATGATGTCGATTATGTCCTGATTGTATTTGGAGGCTTGTTGGGATATAGCGGTGACGATATCAACAAGTTCTTGTGGATGGTGAGGATCGCCGAGGGTATCTGGCCAGAAGAGGTGAAAGAGCGAGACTATTTCACCGCTCGCGGCGAATACAGGGTCGACGAGGAAGCTACACCGACGATGAAGAATTCTCTGATGTACGTGTCCTTCTTTGTCCTGTCAAAAATGAAACTAACTGACCCGCGTCACAGGTACAAAATGTCGTACTACAACTACAACAACCTGTTCCCAGCCGGCCAGGCACAGGACCGCGTCCGTGGCTCTTCTCTTCCCGCTCAGGGTCCGGAATTGAGCACGCTTGAGGAAGCTTTCACCAGCGAGAACTGGATCATCCGAATTTACAAGGTCAAGCCTCTTGATAATGTGGGACGAGATCACCAAAGTGCGATGGCCTTTGACAAGGGCCACAAGAAGAAGCGCAAGACTGGAGCCAGAAAGGGGGCGAGAGTCCTAAGGGTGGACTAAACTTGCAAATCTACGACCTTCCGTGGCACCCGGGGCAATGGCATTTGAGTGACAACAGGCGAATCATGTTGTGATGAATAGACACAAAATTTTCAGGAGGGAATAAAAGCGCTTGCCATGGTACTGGTTTTGTATAAACAGAGAACTAAGATCATCATTTTGTGTCTTTCCGATCGTGTACAGCCCCGAACGGCGTGGGGCACGGTTTCAAGATTGAAGTAGCGAGAACAGCTCTGGTAGAACTAGGAATTCCAGTGACAACAGAACGAATTCGCGTTCCATGTGCCATGCGCCATGCTCCCTGTGCCCGTCCTTGGGATGGATTTAAAGCGGCGCAATTTGCAACCTCTTCCCGTCAAACCTTTCGCCCTTAAAGCAGCTGCATTCTTCATTCTTTCACAATTCTTTTATTTTGCTGCCTCTCAGTTTTACCTTTAACAAGCGTGAGTGTCGTATTTGTGTGTTGCGCTCAAAAGTGAAATGACGGATGGTGGCAAACGAAAGGCCGCAGGGGCTGGCTTTTCACACGCCGATTCTGAGACCCCCAAAGCATCAAATACGCCTCATGCCTACAGCGCAGCATCTGACAATATGAACGGCGAAGGCTCAAAACCCTTGGTCTCGCAAAACTGGAACGTGGCTGAATCCAAATCGTCTCGGAAGAAAAGACGCAAAATTGAGCGAGATCCAGATGGCGATCCCAGCATCAGCTTCTACAAGTCAAGACCCGAACGTGTTGAGCTCACGGCGTTACAAGGCCTTGTCCTCTATATTCTGGCGGATGGCGTCGCACCAACTTGGCTGGCTGTGAAGAACGTTAAGCAGATCAAGAAGGTGGTAGTCTTGATGGTTCCCGCCCTCGATCAGACGATGCTGGAGGACTCTGGCCTATGGAACGACATATCAGAAGACGGCGAGACAACTGATAGAACCAAACCCGACAAGTCATCCTCGGGTCACGATTCTGCTTCTCAAGATCAAAACTCACGCTCAACCGACACTTCATCCATCCAATCACTACCAGAAGCTGCCCCCAAGCTTTCATCAGACCATCAGTCTCCAGGAGGCATGAGAGATAGTCTCCTACAACACATTGTCGAAGTGCGTGCCCCTGGAGATTCACGCATGAGCAGAGTCCACTCGCCGCTTCAGGGCATGCTCATCGCGCCCTTCTCGGAAGCTTCGAAGCAGAAAGCTCAGAACAGCAAGGACGACAAGTCTTTCTATGGGGGCCGCACTCCCATTGTGGACTTCATCCATACACTCAATCAACTTCAAGAAGCAGAATATCCGATTCACCCTGCGGTATTTACGGATCCGAAAGATGCGCAACTGGAGAAGGAGCGAAGAGAGAGGACGGGCCAATCTGCCTCGTCAGGCTGGGTCGACACCGATGTCTCTGTCTTTCGGCCCCGCGTCCTGCCTTCTTCTAATCCCCCCTTGGACTTCGACTTCTTGACGTCAAATCTGAAAATCTACGCACTGGATTGCGAGATGGTTCTTACAAGCGATGGGAAACATTCCCTTGCGCGCGTCTCTCTCCTTGATTGGACCGGCAAAACTGTGATGGACAGCTACGTCAAGCCAACGCTTGCTATCAAGGACTACTTCACAGAATTCTCTGGCATAACCGAGAAAATCCTTGAAAATGTCACGACGACGTTGGAAGACATTCAGAAAAAGTTGCTCGACATCTTAAAACGGGATACGATCCTCCTTGGCCACAGTCTCGAATCTGATCTCAACGCGCTAAAAATGACGCATCCTTTTGTGATTGACACATCGATCATCTACCCACACCCGCGTGGTCTCCCCTTACGCTCATCCTTGAAATTCCTAGCAAAACGCTATCTCAAACGGGAGATTCAAAAGGGTGGAATGAACGGGCATGACAGCGTGGAAGACGCCAGAGCCGTATTGGATCTGGTAAGGCTGAAGTGTGAGAAGGGGGCTCTGTGGGGGACTTTAGATGCCAACGGCGAGAGCATCTTCCGCAAGATTGGAGGGACGCTGAAGATGGATGCCGACGAAGAGATTGTGTTGAAGACAACAGCCATGGTGGAGTATGGGACACCGGAGAGGGGACTGGGACGAGATGCAACGTACAAGATTGGTTGTTCGAATGATGAGGAGATTGTGCAGGGCGTTTTCAGGGCTGCTTATGGAGATTCGCTTGAGGAGGCGACAGTTGCAGAAGGTGGTAGTGAAAATGGTGCTGAACTGAAGCACGCAGGCCATGATGGAGAATCAGCGCCTCAAGGACCCGATCAGGCCATTCCGGTGGGCGGCGCTGATTTCATTTGGGCTCGACTTCGCGACCTCGAAGCCGCACGAGGCTGGAATACCCTCCCCAGCGACAACCCCAGCGCACCTACGTCTTCGTCTGCTCTCGGCCCGCCCTTACCGAGCGACCAAGCAGACCATATCCGAAGCGCTATGCGGCAAACCCTCCAACGCATCCATCAAATCTATGCCAACCTCCCAAGTCGGACACTGCTCATGGTCTACAGTGGTACTGGTGACATGCGTCCCCTTTTACGGCTGCAAAATCTTCAGGCTCAATACAAACGGGAGTTCAAGGTCAAGAACTGGGATGATCTCTCGGTGAAATGGACGGATGTCGAGGAGCAGCAGATGAAGAAGGCTTGTGAGAAAGCGAGACGGGGGGTCGGGATCCTGGCACTTCGAAAATGATGCGGAGAAAAGACAGAAGGGCTGGATTTTCGACCTGGTCCTCAATGAGGATGTGCCGGCATAAGACTATCTGCTTGACTTGCTTCATTGGACTGCGCTGATCGCGTCACACGAGAAGGGGATTGAGTCTGTGGCTGGTGAATGTTCAGCTCCGCGCACCGCCGGTCGTGCTTGTACGGTTCCAGGTGCCATCGTTGTGGCCCTTCTTGACAGTTCTTGTGCACCGCCATCGCAGCAAGAATTTCCTTGGGAGAACGCATGCAAGGGTTCTCGGATCCGGCATCTCTCGCTGCACAGAAACGCCTCAGCTCGGTCTACCAATACTACGGTAACTTTTTTCAGTTCTCAAGGATGGGATGGGATTCCAAATCCATCCGCTTCAGTGGCACCCGGTTAGCTACATCACACATCGCACGCTCTCTGATCAGAGGATCTACACCCCTCGTCAATGTGCACAGATGGGGGTCAATGTCTCTTGTGCGAGAATGCTCGCGAGATGGTGGCGGTTTTGGGGGCTTGTACAATTGCGACGGGAGGCGAAGGGCTGAACTATTGCATGGGTGTGCATATTGCGGACCGGCAGAGAGCTTGCGAGCAGGCAGAGAACAAATTGTTTTGGCCGACGAGGGGCAAACGAAGCAGGCAAAAGATCTGGGAGGAAATGGATTCAACTTGACATAGTGCTCCTCCTGCTGCTGTTGCTGCCGCCGCCGCCTACCAGGTCTATGGATAGGTGGCACAATGCTCGAAAGACCCTTAGCTACCTAGGTAGTTAGAACACTGTGTAGCTGGAAGCAGAGATTGTCGAGGTCCATGCTCGTTCTTTATCGTTGGCGGATCCCTTCTTGCCCACAGGAATCTGGTAGAAGAGCCAGCCCTAGCATAATTCTCTAGCATGAAGATGGGGGAGAGGTATTGAGCACGGGTTCCAATCAAGTCTTGAATTGGGCCCCGTTTAGGGTAGTCCATAGTATCTTCATGACCGAAATATTCACTTTCCCCCCATTCATCACGAAAAAGCTGGTCCGTAACATACGTAGGTATTATGGCAGTCTCCATTCTAATTTTTGTTTCCTCGCCTTCGCCGCCCTATATTGGGCACTTCTCTGCGCAGCCTTTGAGTTTGGTGCTTTCCTCTTCCGATCGCGGTTCTTCTTTGAACTGCCGCCGCCCAACTCGCCCCCTGTAGCACGGTGGCCTTCGAAAATCAATGGCTGTTGCTGCCTCTGATCCCTCCTATCGCCAGCAGGTTTCCCTCTTGCGGAGATGGTATGAGGCTTGATCTTCATCTTCCTGGCGCGCATGACACGAAGTTTTCTGGGAAGCATGGGCGGGAACTTCTTGTCGTTCATGAGCAGGGCGGCCTCGACGCTGTTCTCGTCCTTGAATTGGACGTAGGCGAATCCCTTGCCCACGCGCGTCTCTTGGTCTCGCACCACACGCACGCTTTCGACCTCCCCGACTTTGCTGAACGTCCGCCACAGGCCTTCCTCTGCGTCTGCGGGCTCCTTGGCTCTCGGCCGCCGGTTACCTTCCTCGCCATCTGCGCCATCACCGGAAGGTGGCGCCTCTTCGTTGACGAAACTCAAGTTCCCGATGAAGACGCAACGTTTGTGGTCAATCGGCGAGGGTTTGGCGAGGTAATCGACTCTCATGTGGCGATCAAGGACAACAGTGCCATTGAGTTTCTCTGCCACGAGCTCTGCGGCAACAGCGGTAGAGAAGACTGCGTAGGCGTTTGTGCTGACCGTGGTTGCGTCCATGAGTTCCTTTTTGGCGTATGTGGCTTTCTTCGGGCCCTGGCCTGACGCATAGGCCGTAGAGCGGAAACGCACTGACAGGAGCTTCCCTGGTCTCTTTCCACTAAGGGGGTCCCTCTTCAGTACGGAGCGTAGGTATTTGAACAATGCTCTCTTTGCGGCCTTGGTCTTGATAGCTTGGGTGGATACATTCCCCAGGAATACGGTTCTGTTCAATTTGTCTTGATCCTTCAGCTTGTTGTCAAAGGTCTCGTGTTTGTGGAGAATCTCGACCGAGGAGGGTTCGCTGAGTGAACTGCCATCGTCAGAGTCGGAAGCGTATGCATCGTCTTCGCTCGAGGTTCCTTCGCCGTTGTCGTCAACCTTCTCCTTCGGTTCTCTCTTGCGGTTTTCCCTGTCCTCTTCTAACTCCAGCCGCTTGAAATATGCTTGCTCCAGATCGTCCCCATCGGCGGCACGTTTGCGCTTGCGAGGCTTCTCGGCCGCAGTCTTGGCTTCCTGCTCAGGTGTCGAAGTCTCTTCTTCAGTGGGCTCGTCTGGAACTTCCAGGTCATTCTCATCGTCATTTTCTTCGGAGGAATCAGAGCCAGAAGAGGATGTTTCGTCGTCGTCGAGTTTAGGCTGTACCTGTGAAGGAGCAGTTTTCGCTGATTTCAAAGCCCTTGGCTGTACCTTAACTGGCCCGGACTAGAATGAATGTGTTAGCCTCGATTCAAGGCACATGATCAGGCATCTTACGCTTGAAGCAAATAGAGACGCCAGCGCAGGATCGACGGCTTCATCTTTGGCTGCCAATTTGCTGGTAGCTGTAGTTGATGGCGTGGGTTGCGCTGCAACCTTGTGTTCCTTTGATTTTGGCATGTCTGTAGATTTCGTCATGCAACTCAGTTGTTCGCTCTGTGCGTTTCACTCCAGGACGCCAACTGTCGCATTTCCTGGCCGTCAGATCGAGGCCACAAAAATTTGGGCGAGGCAAGCACAATCGAGAAAAAATGGGGATAAGGAGAGGTGCAGGCTAGTTTAACTCCGACGCTAGCCTGCAGCCCTGGGCCCCAGGTTGGCCCTGATTCGTGCCTATGACATCGCGCACCCAAAGTTGAAAGCCCCATGATTCAAGGGCTGGAGAGGCACGAGCAAAGCCCAAGCCGCCCGCAGCCAGTCTTTGCTCCCTGGTGTCCCTTGCACCCACTTGCAACCCTGCCCTGCTTGTATGTAACTTTTGGGGGCTTCGCTGCGTTTCTCCACCGACGCCAACACGCCTGCTGCTCCTGCATTTTGTAACCTGCGACTTTGAGAACTTGCTCTCACAACTGTCTTCAGCAAACCAACCCTTTTGGATTTTATGACGATAGTTGCCCTCTGGATTCTCCTCCAATTGTGTTTCTACTCTGCAGGTTCACCCTACAGTCTACAGAAAAAACCCCTGCCCCGCGGGCAATCTCCTCTGACAGTTACTCACACCATCCCACCTTCACCCGCCTCGAGTGTTCGATTGTCCCTCGAAGTCATACAAGCTAGACAATCCTCTCGCAATCTTGATCTCCTGCAAAAGAGTGAGATTTGCCAAAGTCATTGCCGGACGACGAAGCCCTCAGGCCCTGCTGCTGTTGCGCCCATGATACTACCAGAACCAAGCGCAAGAGAGAAGATAAACACCATGCTATAGTGACTGCGATTCATTCACCGTTTTATCGTATGTGAACTCATCTGTCAACATGTGCTATTTTCGCATTCTTTGTACTCGCGGAAATTTACGTTTCGTGCTGACCATCGATGCTCGTTGCAGGCGACACGAGTCTACGAGTTCTCCAGCTCTAGAAAACCTCATCTACCTTTATCAAGTGCCTCTCAGTCCCTTTGTACGATCTATATCCTGCCGAAGACTTGGTTGCAACAGACATGGACTCAGCGGCAGACTCCCTCCTGGCTCTTTCCAATACCGCCGTAGCTTACGCTGCCAAAGACGGACCCCTCTCAGACGACGATCGTTCCAGCAGTCTTAGCGAGTTGGAGGATGACCTTGAAGATGGTGAAGAAGAAGACATCGAAGCTGCCCTTCCAGCTGAGGTGGATTCTGAGGCCGAGACTGAACGCCTACAGGTCACCCCAGATAACCTGGCCAGGAAAAAACCCCTTGAAATCAGCCCAAGCAAACTATCCCAGAGACAAGACATTGACATGCGACCGGAGATAGAGAGTTTCACAGAAAGTCCTGTTTCGTCCCCAATTTCCTCCCACCACGAGTCAGATCATGAAGAAGGCATAAGTGACGGGCAAGACGCAGATGAAGAGGCTCAGGATGCCGCGATCGTGAATCCTGCAGCCTCCCCGAACAAGCGCAAAAGGGAAGAAAGCGAATCTGATGTCGAAGAGGCCCCCAGATCACAGAGACGACGGACAGGCTCTGTTGAGACCGAGGATGAAAAGTCTGAACCAGAGACCGACGGCGAGGAAAACGAGAGCCACCATTCACGGGAAAATACTATCGAACCCGAAATCGAGGCGCCGGAGCATGATGAAGAGGAAGTAGCGGAGCCTCAAGAAGAGCAGAAAGAGGCCGAAAAGGTCGACAGCAGTGAGGACTCCAAAGGCAAAAGCAAAAGCAGACCCCGCAGGAGAGCAAAAGACCCGGTCATCCAGGAACTACAACATGAAGATGAGGAGGACGCTGCGCACGCGGAAGATTCCGAGGTCGTCGATGACAACGATCTCGAGGCCGCACTCAAGAGTGAAGAAGAGCAAGCAAAACGACTGGCAGCCATGGAAGCCCTGACTGCACTCGAGAGGCACTTTGCGACATTGAGAGACCGGCTCTATGATGAGCGAATCGCAGCCATAAACCATGAACTGCAGCTATTGTCAGAACCAAAGCCAGCTCACCCTGAACTTATTCGCCAGGTCGAAGTGGTGCAGAAATACAGGGATGAAAAGTATGAGATCGAGCAAAAGCTGCTAGTCTACAAGATCGGGGCTCTAAAGAACAAGGCTGTCGCTGAACGGAGTCAGATCCACAGTCAATATTTTCAAACGGTCCGAGACATTCGAGAGAGACATCTTGAACGCCTTAGCGAGCACTTTTACAGGATTCAACGAGACAGATTCAAAGCCGACTCGTCCATACCAAGTTTCAGCATACCTTTCCCAGAACGCAGGTCGCAGCAGATCTTGCAGCAAACAGCCTACAATAAAGAGGTTTCGATCCTAGCGGGTGTCGCCAAATACGTCGGCTTCCCCGCTGCACCAGAGTTGGCTGCATCAAAGCAGAAGGACATAGAGGATGACATCCAGAAGATGGGAGTACGTATACTTGGCGCCATCTCCCAGCTCGAGCAGACTAACATTGCATAGATTTCGCAGAGTCAGATTCGGGCTGGCAGACCTAGTCAACGCCCAGCAGCTCAGGCACAGATATCAGGACCCCAAGCAGAAGAGCAGTTCCTTGAACAAACACCGTGGGCTAATCCTCAACATCCCATCCATCGCCTAAGTCGGCAAAATTCCAATCGCTCTCCGATGAACGAATTCCTAACACCAGCGAATCAACAACGTAATATGACCGATGGACTTCAACCTCCAGGAGGTTCAGCATCTACCATCGTTGACCCTTCTGCTTCGGCACCGGTGTCTTCCGCAGTCAACACACCTCATGACGGACAAAGCAGCGCGACAAAAGCCGAGGCGCAAGCTGGTGGAGGGTCCTCAGGCCTGCAGAATTATCGCATGCACTCAGCAAGTCCCCTTGACATGCGGCGTCAACCCGATGTGCAGCGTCAGCAAGGGAGGGAGAAGGATATAATTGGTAATGGGCGAGATATGGCTTCCTCGCCCCTAAATTCCCGGGCCTATCTCAACACGTCGGGGCCCCGAGCTCCTGCCATTACGGCGGGAAGTGGGAGGTTCAATCATTCCAGGCTCTGATCGCTATATACTCTTGCACAGCTTAGCTTGAGAAACCATCGCGAATTTCCAAGAACCTCTGGTATCGGTTCCTTGTCCAGCGGCGAGACGTCTTGCCCCAGATCATCATTGGCAGAGTTGTCATAATGAAGACAAATGCCAAAACTCCAATTGCAATAAAGGTGTTTCGAACGCCACTCGCATCGATCCAGTCGGAAGCTGTGAAGGTGAAGATGAGGGCGATCGAGTTATTGATCGTTGCCACGCCCACCATGCCTTCTAAGACCATGTCTGGGTAGGCGTCCATCAGATAGGCCATGCTCAAGTCGCCACAGCAGCCCCATCCAAAGCCGATGAAACCCAGACCAACATACGGTGCTGGCCAACGCCATCCGTAGCTGGTTCCAATTCCAAACAGCCAGAGACCAGTAGGAAAAATGGCAGCACAGGGATACATCAGCCACAGTCGATGTTCGGCTTCGCTCACGCCCCCGTTTCTCCTGGCCATCCATAACATGAACTTGTCGCTGAGATAACCACCATAGGTGGCTCCAATGACAGCACCGATCAGACAGGGTATGTTCATCAGCTGTGCGAAGTTAGCAAAACGTGATATGTTCCTCTGAACACAAGAAGACTCACCCCATCGGCGGCATCGCTGTAATTCCAGGGCGGGCCATACCAGTTATCCTCCTCGACCGTCAGATAAAAAGTAAGCCAAGCGTCTTGGGCTCCCCACTGCAATCCAGAGTATAGGACGGCAGGGAAAGTAAAGATCCGCAGAGTGTGGAAGAGGCGCTGAAAATATTGCTTGAAGCCAAGTCCACGCAGATTCGGCGCGGGAGTGATGAGGGCAATGCGTCGCCAATATGACTTGGGCCGGTCCTCGGCCGCAAGTCGCTCTTCTGCAACAGACGGTTGACGAGGGTGCACAGCTTGTGGCTCAGTTTGGCCAGCAACCTTCTCCTTTTCCTGTTGCGCGGCATCCAGGCCTGCAGAATTGTCGCTACCAGCTCTGTTCACACCGTCGATCAGATATCTATCTCCGTCGTTGACCAAGTACCGATCGCGGTGGAATGCCGTCTCCTCCAGACCGAAAAGGAGCACCAAAAAGGTCCCGCCTGAGATGATGGCCCCAAAATATCCAATCCATCTCCAATCCAGGCTACTGTCGGCGATGTAGCTCGCAATCAGAGGTCCCAGATATGTACCAATACTGGTGGCCAGCACGTAAACACCGAGCACTGACCCGCGCTGGTGTTGAAACCACAGATCCATCAGCGACAACTGAACCGTCGCTTCAGCCACGGACTCGGACGCGCCGACAAAGAGCTGATTCCAGACAGCGTCACCGGTTGTCTGGCCCCTGGCGAACCAGATACCTCCAATGAGACCCAATATCATGCCAACCAAGTACAAAATGCGGCGACCATAAAGGTAGACGGCTGGAGAAGAAAGTAATGTCCAGTAACCGATTCCGCAGAACAGGACACCGGCGCCAGTGTTGAACGATCCATAGCTGATACCCAATTCCAGATTCTCATTGTATTCAGCGGCGCCAGCATCGTTGGAAGTGGCTGCCGTCAAAGCCGTGACAAAGCAAACGAGAAAGCTGTGCCATATTTTCCGGGTCAATGACCAGTGGAGAGGATCATTGACAGAGTCAGTTGGCTGAGGAACCAGGACAATGTCCCCGTGTCTCTTCAGACTTGCGTCGCCAGGATAGAGTGGTTTTCCTTCAGCGTCAAAAATGCGGCGCGTGCCCGGAAGTTCCTCAGTGTAATCCATACGGCCGCACTCTTGGAACGAAGCCAATGAAACTGGGGTCGCAAAATATTCTACGAAGGGGAAAAGCACTGCAGAATTGGCTGGGGAAGTAGATGTTTATGAGCTAGGCGAGAGGCGTCGCCATATCGTTACAGCGACGAGCAAAGATCAGATCCCTTATCGTGATGGTGTGTGCCCTAAGAGTCGCCATCCCTGTTCTCCATCAAGGCTCGCCTGGTCCACATAAGAACGAGGCCACAACCCCCGCAAAGAGGCGGGAGGGCCAGTCGCCGGCTTGTCGAAAGCTTATCAGTGGCAAGAGGGCCAGTAAGCGAATTGCGTGGGATCTCATCAGCATGGAGGGCAAATGACATATGCTCTGCCGGCCTCTGGGGACGAACATGGATCTATCAGGGAGCTTCTCATCTCACCTTGCTGTAGCAAATTGCCGGAGTGAAAGGAAGAGGTGGATGGCTGGGGACGGTGCCGGATAGAGCCTGAACAAATCTTGATGTTTACCAGGTAGTGACGCTGTGGGTGACGCTCCTACCCAAGGCCCATGAGAGGTCCACTACTAGGCACCTAGGTATGTGCCAGTAGTTAAAGGCTCCGGGGCCCACCAGCCCTAACCATAGGCGAGAGCCATGAGCTCGTGCGCTTCTCCGATAAGCAGGTTCTCACCATCGTCACCTAGTGACACCTACAGGGGCGATCCCACGGGTGACCCCCTAAGCCTGCAGTATCATTGGCGGGCTCCTCCCATGCCACGGCTGCACTTCCCTAAACGTGTCTAGCTCTCTGGGCCAATTTCTCATCTCCACCATCCTTCGTCCCTCTTGTTCCATCCCTTGCTTGCTCTCTCCCCAACTCCGTACATCATCATATCGCCTTTCGACCTCTCTTCCTTTCGTTCCTTCTTCCTCTCGCTTCACCATCACCTGCTCACTTCTCCGTATCGGCCCCAACGCAGCCTCGTTGCCCAGAGCACCACCCACCCCGTCGGTATCGCTAAGCTTATCAGGTAGCTGAATGTCAACTTGCCAACTCAGAATGGCTCAACATTTCCACATCGCTCAGATTACTACTACCGCCCATAAACCCAAGGAGTCCAGTAGTCCTTCGACCATCCTGCAACTCGCTCAGCGGCTTCTCCCTTCACCGGCCGCTATCAAAGAGTTGGAGGATGGTCTAAACCCGAAAGGACCTGAACGTGCAGTTCAGGATGTTGTGAGTCAAGAGAAACAAGGAACATGTGCACCAGATGGAGCACCTGTCCCAAAGAAAGTGATCGTAGTCGGTGCCGGCATCGCCGGTCTTCGTGCTGCCTCTGTCTTGCGAACCCATGGTGTCCAAGTCGTGGTCCTCGAAGCCCGTCCTGATCGGATCGGCGGACGCATTTACACGAGTAGGAAGGCTGGGCACGCTCCGAGAGACATTGGTAAATATTACCAAAAGGCAATACTGACAATCGCCGTAGGCGTTTGACATGATGTCGTTAAAAGCGCTCATTGTTCGGCCACGACCATTGTGGGGTTGTTTCCCCTGTCATCCACTTTATACTCACATTTGTTTCTAGGTGCCGCGTGGATGCACGAAACTGCCAACAACAAACTCGTCCGTCTCATCGGCCAGCTCAATATCGAGCACTATTACGATGACGGCACCCCCCTCTACTACACCAGGGATGGTCGTCTCGGCTCCCAATTCAAAGCGAAAAAGGTCGCCGATGAATTCGCCGACTTCTGTGCCTGGTACTACGAGGAAAATCCCGACGCCGAGGACAAACCTGCCTTGACCTTCATCAGGGAATGGCTTAGCAACCATCCCTTGGTCAGCGAGGATGAACGCCTCTGGGCTCCTCAAGCCGCTCGTGAGGTTGAAGCTTGGATCGGTACCAGCCTCGAACAAGCCTCTTCCAAACATCTTGCCTACTTCGCAACCGAACGCAATCTGTACATGAAAGGGGGATACGATACGATTATCGATTGGGCAGCCTCGAACCTTCGTGATCCTGGAACCATCCGACTTGGACACAAGGTCACGAAGATTGACTGGAATGATGACGACACACGCAACCCATGCGTGGTTCATACCATCACTCCTGATGGCAACCTCACTCCTTTCGTCGCCGATGCAGTCGTTTGCACCCTTCCCCTCGGTGTCTTGAAACACAAACTTGTAGACTTCAGCCCAGCTCTACCAAGGGAACTGTCACTGGGCGTCGAAAAACTCGGCTATGGAGCGCTCGGCAAGATTTTTGTCGAGTTCGAATCAGTGTTTTGGCCCAAAGACAATGACCAGTTCATCTACTATCCTGAGCCAACTACCGATGCTTTCGACGAGGACTCCATATTCTCCTACATGACCGTTACGAGCAACAACTGGATCATGAGCGGCACCAAAGAGCTGTCCGTCCAGATTGTTGAGCCACTCACTCAGCGAATCGAGGCCATGACTTCAGACGCAGAAATTTTTGCCTTTTTCGAACCACTCTTCAAGCTTTTCCGAACCGAGCCTTACAAAAAGCTTCCTCCAGTTGTGAATCTGGAAACGACACACTGGACTCAGGATCCCCTTGCTGGCTTCGGTACATATACTGCCGACAAAACCGGAGATGACCCGGACATTTGGTTCAGTGCAGTCGAGAACAACAAGGAAAGCAAGCTGCAGTTTGCCGGAGAGCACTGCACGCGGACTGGAAATGGATGTGTGCATGGTGCTTTTGCCACCGGCGAAACTGCCGCCGTCAACATTCTGACGTCGCTGGGAATTCCATACAATGGTGGGGATCTGTACAGCAGACGTCCATCGAGGAGGAAGTCACCACCCAGATACTGATCGGGCGGATATCTGCATCCACCGTGAAGGGGATCTGGGGCGGTCGTTGTTCTCCTAGTTGGTTGACGGACGGGATGGAGCGCCGAACTGAGACATGTCGGCATTAGTTGTGGTTTTCTTTTTCGTTACACAGATTGTTTTTCTTTGATTTTCTGTTACCTGGTGAATGGTTGATCTAGTCACTCTTTGCTGCGCTTCTTTCGATCTTTACTGAATTGACGGGTTGTCTTGGGAGGCTGTTGAAGAGAAGAGATGCAAGGCTAGTTGGCGTGTCCAGAATTGAGAATGTCCAAGAATGAAGAAGGCTGGGTTTTCATAATAGTCAACAGTGGTAAATTTCCATCAAAGATATCAATTACTCCACTCTTTTATATCCAGATTCCCCTTGTTGTCCGCGCTAAAGTCCCTGACGTCCGCCAACGGCATCAGCTGAAAGACACTACCACCCCGACATCTCTGCGCGACGATGCTTTCGGCCAGAGCGATGTTTTGGGGCGGAAACCCTTCGTCCCTTAGAGATTGGTAGTATGCGGCGACGAGGGCCTTTCCGAGCCTTGTCAAGTCGTAGTCCTGGCCCGGCGTGGAGGTTGGGGACGGACGGATGATCCACACGAGTGTCAGGGGCGGGTCGGAGGGCTCTAGGCCCGGCTGGACGTGGGCGCTGAGGATTTCATCATCATCATCTTCAGAATCGGGAACGTTCTGTTGGGGTCGTCGCGGGCGTCGCAGCACGAGCGCCATGCCGCCCGTCGAGGTGTGGATCTTGGACCGTTCCAAGGCGTACGCCCGGCTGGCGTGGTCGTCGCCGTGGTCGGGCGGTTCGGTCTCGAAGAGCGTAAAGGGCACGGTCCTTGCTCTTCGTCGCATGGCTGGATCCGAATCAGCGGCGGAAGAGGAAGAAGAAGAAGCAGTAGTAGGGTCAGGGTCGGGTTCGGGGCCTCGGTCGAGGTCTTCTGCTCGATCCTCGGCGTCCATCAGCGCGGCATCCGCCGCGGCAACGGCGAGCACCATCGTGTGCAGCACTTCGGACATGTCTTGCCGGCGGTTCTGCGCGCGGACGTAGATGTATTGCAGATACGGGACGGCGTATTTCGCCCCTAGCCGGGTGCCGTCGTCGCTGTCGCCATCGCCATCGCCATCGCCATCGCCATCGCCTCCATTGTCGTCGGCGGCGGCACTGCCAGTAATATCAGTCGTGCTCATCCGCGGAGGGACCGGCAGGACGCTGAACTGAGCCGCCCCAATCGCCTGCCCCTGGTGGTCCCGGATCCCCACGATCCGATAGGGCGCCAGACCTTTCCTCTGGCCCCGTGCCTGGGCCGCAAGACGCTCGACGATCAAATCGGACCGTTCCCTCTCGGCGGCGCGCGGGAAACTGTGCACGTACAGCGGGTCGTACAGCGCTTGGAAGTCGTCCGCGGAGACGAGTTCGATGAGCCCGATGTTGGGCAGCGCGGTGCGCTCGAGGCGGGCGGGCGGTGTCCGGCTCAAAGTGTCCACGGGGATGGAGGCCGGTAGGTACTCGGCTAGCAAGGCCGATAGGGAGGGGGAGAGGTAGGGTTGGAAAATGGACGTCGCGGTGGACGACATCTTTGGCAGCTGTTTTTTCCCCCCAAAAACGGTAGAGACTGGCCTGCCTGTCTATATTAATTACTTGCGAAAGGAGCCAACTCCAAAGCTGAGGGAGACTGTCTAGCCTCTGAAACTTTGGGGGTTAGTTCTTTCAAGATTGCTGTCCCTGCTTATCCTCGCAACTCCCCCCGCGACTTTGTTGGAAAAGATTGAAAAGGGGGGGAGAAAAGAGATGATATATAAAATAAGTTAGACTGGCCTTTGCAATCGGCTTTTCGTCTTCATTCTGTCCCTTTTTTATTTCCCCCTTGGACCAGATTGGTGTATAAGTCTGCATGCAGAGCCCCCAACTCCTGGGGATTTGGACACGAGGCAAGTGCACAAGCGGGAGTCCAGGAAACGCACCGTTGGGTGAAGAGGAAAGGCAGGTTAGGAATCGTCTAATGTATGTAGCAGCAGAAGCAATACAAAGTCGATGGCAATCGAGGTCAGCTTCGCAACCGTGCAATCTGTGCCGCCGTACTGAATTGCTACGGGGAGGTACATAACACAGGGATGCAGATAGAATGGAAATCACCAGGCACGATGTACACATATCTCTCCGTGCGCGACTTTGTACGATGCGGAAAAGAACTGTCCAGGAGAAATGCTCGCGGAAGGCTACATACCTGAGATCTCCCCTTGCCAGACCATGAGGCTGCAATTCTCAAGGCCAAGAAACGCCTTTGGGGAGTGTTATGACCGGTATCGGCGCGGGCGAAGTTGAGTTCTTGGAGACGGACAATGGCAAAGCTTCACTTTGACGCCTATTCTCTGCCAGGAGTATTCTCCTTACGAGAACAAATGGCTTGAGGTTGACTGACTTGTCCTCAAGAGCCTTTAGAGTTGCGTCAATACCGAGGCCCGTGTTTGCGTCAATCAACAGAACTTCTCCGCACAATGTCCTCGAAACCCCCGCCTCACCTGCAATCCAGCTCGCCAGTTGGACAGAGCCGACCCCTTGTTGCCATTGTGGCCTGGCGCAGCTCGATACGACACCTCCTGGATGAAGGCTGGACAAACGGCTCACCCCCTCACTGGGGCCTAGCGGATCCGAGGTTGCTCTATGACAGCTCTGCTTTCTTGGAAGGTTGGCTGTTGGAGCGTCGAGCATAAAGAGACGTGGATCGAAACCATCTCAACCAGCACGGCGAGCTTTTACATCCAGCTAATAAACTAAACATCCCACAAAGACTGTCTTTACACCAGGAAAATGGCTGAAGGCTTTGCATTCGGTAAGTCGTCACCTCTGTCTCCAAACATCAGTCTGTCAAATGTGTAGAGACGCTGTTGGAATTCGTACACTCTCCATACAGGCTGACACATATGGCTCGGGGGAAAACAGTGACGGGCGGAGCGAGTGGAATTGGTAAAGGGGTGGCGCAGATGCTGGTGAAGCACAAGTATGTCGGTTCCTTGTGCAGGGTCGGACACCATGGGAGAAATCTCTGACAATGTTACCCAGCATCAAAGTGTTCATTGTGGACAGAGACCTCGAAGGCGCCCAGAAAGTTGTGAATGAGCTGGGCCCCCAGATGGCAAAATGTGCCCAGGTCGACGTCGCCAGCTGGAATTCGCAAGCGAAGGCTTTTAGTCAAGCCGTGGCGGACTTTGGTCGGATCGATTACGTCTATCCCATCGCAGGCGTCGGCGAACGCCCTTGGATTCCGAATGACCCGTCCATGACTGGCTTCGAGCAGCCTGACCTGACCGTCCTCGACATTGACCTGACAGGTGTCTTTTACACCGTGGCGTTAGCAGTGCAGCAATTCAGGAAGCAGCAACCCGGCAAGGACGGGTTCCGGGGCAAGAGTGAGTAATGATGTGACCACTGTTGAGCAGGGACGTCTGTGAAGCTGATTTCTGCATCAAGTTGGATGTGTGGCAAGCGTCTGTGGGTTCTACTGCAGTCCCACCCTCCCCGTGTATACCGCGGCGAAGCACGGTGTCGTGGGCCTGGTCAGGAGCTACGGAAAGTACTTGCCCGAGGAGAAGATCACAATGAACGCCGTCTGCCCGAACGTGATCCGGACCAACATCTCCTCGAGCACCTTTTACGACCAGGTGGAGAAGGCAGGATTGTTGGTGCCCATCGAGGGGGTCATTGACACGTTTGAGAAGCTACTTGGGAGTGACGCGACGTCCGGGGAGATATTCGAGATTGGGCCCAACTACAAGGACCAAGGCGCGGTGCAGCGGAAGGGCACCGAGTTTCTGGACAAGGAGAGCGAGAAGACCTTTGAGTTGCTGTACCACAGGTCGAAACCGCTGCATCAGCCTCGTTGAGCGCGGCACATGGGCTCATTCATAGCTGATGCGGGCTTGCTGGCTTTCAGCCGGACGAACACTAGTTCATGCAATATGGCATTCTTACCACTGAGTATGATAATGAGTCGCTCTGACATAATAGCATAAATATGGGCTCGCCTTAGTCGAAGCCCGCAAGCCACGAAACCCACTGCTTCCCCGCAAAAGGCTTGCACGGGGCTATCAAGCAAGGCTGCATACCTAGGTAATACCAAAGGTGTACAGTACAAACCTGGTTAGCGTCTGCTGGAGACTGCGGCGAGCAATCCGTTCGCTGACGTCGCCGTCTTCCGTCTTCCGTCTCCTCCGCCAAACATGCCAGCGACTACCGCCATCGAGGATTTGCATTCTCGAGACTTGCGTGCCGGAAGCTCGTGTCATTCGATGTCTCCCCAGGTGGACTTTTAAGGGAAGTAAGCCTCGGCCGCTGTGACCCCCAACTACTTGTTGAGCAAAGCTGAGATCTGAACATCCCAGCAGCCTCACTTCCTCCTTGTGCTTTGAGAATCCCGTTTCCCCTCGAACTGACGTAGGTCCGTCTCTACTCGGTACTACCACTCACAACAATCCTCTCTACCTTTGTGGGTGGCCCTTTTCATCCCAGCTTCCTGCGTCCTCGCTCTCTGGTATTACATCAGAATTGCACCAAAAACCCCCCTCCTCTCTCTTCCACGGTCGAAAACGCCCTTTTACCTATTGCCCCCCACCTAATCACCTACTCTGGTTCCCTTCCTCAAATACGGTAGCCGGTAGCAATGGCCGCAATCCACCGCCCGGCGCACCTCACGCACCACGCCGCCAAACTCGCCTCGGCCGCGTGCATCCAAAAGGCCCAAGACATCGGCGTGCCCATGAACATCGCCATCGTCGACGCCTCGCTGTACCTGCTGCACTTTGAGCGCATGCCCGGCGCCAAACTCACCAGCGTCGACATCTCCATGAACAAGGCCTTCACGGCCGCGGGCCATCGCGCCCCGACCTCCGTCTACAAGGAGGCCGTGTGGCCCGGCGGTGCGGCCTTCGGGTTGAATTCCAGCAACAATGGCCGCTTCATGTACGTCGCCGGTGGCATACCCATTGTCGTCGAGGGAGAGACCGTCGGTGCGATCGGGTGCAGTACGGGGACGCCGAGCCAGGATACCAAAGTCGCGCAGGCGGGCGTGGATGCCGTCATGGAGTATGTGAGGAAAAATGAGAAGCCAAAGGCAAAGTTATGAACATACCTATCTACCTACCTATTGAAATTAATGTTGGGATGGGGAAGACGTTGGTGGGAAAGCCATATGGCACAAACTTGAAGGAGAAGGGGGGCTTTCTTTTTTGGATTGGCGTCTGCTGTTCTTGTCCCAGCAGCAGCCATGCTCAATTGTTGTAAAGATATGAATGAGACGAACCTACAACGCATGGCGATACCGACTTAGAAATGAACGTATTGAGTACGGCAACAGCCTACATACGATATTGCGAGCACGACACAGTTCAGCTCCAGGGACTCGTTTCAACTGTCCCGCACGTTGGTAGACTCTGGCCGCAATGCACAGCTTCGAACCCAGGCTATTCACTCCTAAGTAACTCTCTCCAGCTGATGGAACGCGAGTGTATCTCTCGGGCACTGAGAGTCTGAGCCATAAAGTCTAAAGTCTCTCGAACCATGGGCGTGTCCAACGCGTCCAGGTCTCTCCCCGACGGTCACTCCACAGCGGGTTCGACAGTTTTTGGCTTACACGGCAAGTGGATGAGGCGCAGGAGGATATGAAATGCTGAACCGTGGTGCCGGTGATTTCGAGGTCAGTGGTGGCCTGTGTGATTGGTTGGCCGCTCACAGCCTTGCGTGACCCAGAACATGGTGAATTCTCTTTTGTTCCCTTCCTCTCTGACTCTGAAACGCATATAGGATGAGCCAGTGGGTGAATGAAGATCAGTCGGCGTAATTGGCTGCCTGTCCTGGCTGATTCCCTATACCATCAAGGTCCGTGTTGATTCTCGCCAGTGAAAAGAGTGTCTTATTGCCCGCCAAACCCAGGCCCAGGACCAGGTGCTCAGACAGGGTCTGATTCGTAGAAAGGAGTCCTGTCCGCCATCTGAAAAACCTTGTAAGGATTAGTATAAAAGGGCAAATGTGCCTGCGTTAGTCTCTTCAAAGTGACAACTCACCACAAGTCAAGAAATTGACCCGGCTGAATAACGACAATAGCGACAACAACAAAGGAAAACAGTCACACACGAACGGAAATTCACTATCAGAGCGACAGAAACCACACCATATTCACAAATTTCACGAAGGAAAACAGTCACACACATACCAGAATTCTCCATCGATAGACAACCACACCAGGTCCACAAACATCACCATTCCTTTCGTCGACTCACCGCCACAGTTTTGGTCATCACATATCACAACATCACACAAGTCACAAATTTGCAGACCAACACACCACCATGACAGTCATAGTGGACGAATATTACAAAGGGTATTCGCGGAAAATGTCGTCTTCTGGGAAGTCGGCAGGCAAGAAGCAGGCATCTCACGAGTACGCTGACGGCACGATCCATACCCTCGTGGACCAATCTGGGCAGCCATTCGAGATCAGACTGAAGAGAAGCCTTGGAGGCGACAATGGCGAGGGCTTCTCATCAGCTTGCGTCTTTCTCGCCGAGTGCGTGTCGAGAGGGCAAGATTCGCCGCCACCTCGCTATGACGGGGCCTTTGTTGTCAAGATCTTCGATCCGCGTTATTCAACCGGGCTGCGTCAAGAGTTTGGCGTCTCCGACTTCGACCCAGACATCCTCGAGTACATCGCAGAATCCGCCCGCAGAGGCGACCAGGCTGCATTCGAACGCGACTTGACTGATCCCTATTCCCCTCCCCGCGGCCTGTCTGAGACAACCCAGGAGATCCTCAGCGAGCTCTTGCCCTCTTTGCGATTCGGCGACATTTACGGCCAGGCCCTTGCGGACGACTACGTGTTGCAGGCCCTTCTTGCAGATGGGATCCTCGCCACACCTCCCGATGATGTCGAGCGGGAGTTGTTCGTCTGGCTCATGTCACAGCATATGTTTCGACATGAGGAAAACATGTACCGTTATCTGAGTCAATTCCCTAGCGCGCCCGTTGTGCGCGCGAAGGAGATTGTCAAGATCCAGCCTAAGCTGCCAACCCACTCCCTGAATGACGACAAGTTAGCCGCTCTCTCGAATGCCATGGGCTTCGGAGCCATCCTCATGGAGTTCGTGAGTGGCCATACGATGTCGGAGCTCAGAAAACTTTGCCTCTTGTCCCCGGAGGAATTCAAAGAGAAGCCAGCCGAAGTCCGGGCATTGGTTCCGACTTGCAGGGAGTCGGCGAGGCAGTTCTTCGAAGACGTCAACAACCTGCTTCGATTCCCCCTGAGCGTTGGCATCCAAAGTCGAGACGCCAATCTGGGTAACATTATGTGCAGCGCACGGCCTGATGGCAAAGGCACGCAGCTTATCTGGATTGATGCTGGCCAATTTCAGCCTGTGCTCGACGTAGACGTCCGTGCACCGGTTACGAGATATGAGTCTCTTGCCACGTTCCAAACCAAGATCGACGAGCAACAAGAACAGGAAATCTACGGCAACTTGTCCTTCATTTTCCGCAAGGTCGGATATTCCAACAGCTTGGTGCACGACCTCAAACTCGAGCGATTTCGCCAGTGGGGACGCAAGGTTTCGATGACGTTCGCATGGCGAGCTATTATGGAGGATATTTGCTTCGAGGACTGGGAGGGTGGAAGGCCAATTGATACCCAATTGTCGATCTGCATCATTCGCATGGCCAAATCGATAATGGATCAGGAGAAGGCTTTGGCAGGAGTCGTGACAGGAATCCCACCAAGAGCAGCCCCAGAGCGACAAGACTTTTTCCACCGTGCTGTGCTCAAACTGCACTATCTGCTTTGTGCCGAGTCGGCCGACGAGCCCTATGTTACTCCGCTCAGAAGAGAAGCTGCCGCCAGATTCGACACTCTCATGGCGTCAGCTGGGTACCCCGATGGTCAAGTGGTGGTTTTCGGCGGCTCCCATGCCGAACTGATGTCAAGGGATGGAAAATGCACATATCCTTCTGTGGAGGAAGTCGCCCAGCACCTGGAAGCGACACGAATCTTCCCCACCCGGTTCTGGTCCGCGGATCAGCCCGTCGACTCAGTCATTTCTGAGCTCAAGGAACGTTATGAGAAGGTACTGAAGAGGAGGGTGATTGATCCATGCGGATTGTATCAGTGAGGTGCTCGGAATGCAGGCAAAAGGTACAAGCCAGGTTGAGAGCCTCTATTGTTATAGCGGGATGCAAGGTTGTTGCGGACAATTGGTGTTGCCGCTGGGTTGAAAGGATATGGTATCCCAAGCTTGGATTGATTTGGAGGAGATTCACAGTTATGAGAGGATATGGAGCTACCTGTGGGAATTGCGGGCAGGTATCAGGCCAGTATGCCTCGCAAGAGCCATCGGCGCAGGTATTGGAGGAGTTAACAGCTTGGTCATGGAGTGCGGGTTAATCTGAATCACGGAGTGGACAGTGTCAACTTGGACAGGGATGGAGGTGAAGCGCAATAGAGGGAGAACAAGAGAGCGACTGCGGAGGTCATGAGAGCTTGGCGCCAAGCATCCCAATCTAGCCTCGCCAGCCTGCCAGCCTCCTCGAGAGCGAGTATTAACGGACATATGAAGTACAATACTCGGTACATAGTTTTGATGGACAAATATATGGACATCTACAAACCAGTAAAATCTACCAACACCACGACAGGTCATATCGGCAAGCGCAACAGGCTTGCTAGGGATCTCGAACGTCATCAGTCGCACAGTGTTGCTGGCGAGGCCTGGCAGATGGTGCGCTTGTAGTACAAAGTCACATATAGATGGGGGAGAGTGGCGGCGGCTTTATGGCTGGCTGCGTTGTAGAGGCCCCAAGGTGCGGGAGGACTTTGGAGATGTCCATAATCTGCGCCGATGAGGTAGTGAGAATCAAAATGACCATCCACGCGCGTTGCCATCTGAGGGGGAAGTTTGGTTGATGGGATATTGTCGTTGTTATAGTGTAGGCTCGCAAAATGGGTCCCAAAACTGGGCATTTGTTGTATTCCTGGTTCCTGCCGCATATCTAATTGTATCGATGGTCGAGTCGTTCACGACAACAGCAAAGGTCGCTCCGAGATAGAGAGGCGATACAGGATTGCGTCTGCCTCGTTACCGTGAACACCCATGCCAAAGCGCAACTAGTCCACTGAGCCAGTGGCATTTGCCACGCCTCGTGAATCGAGAAATTGATCGAGTAGAGCCGAACTCGAAACGCTTGCAGTTTCTCGCAGATAAGCCTCGTCAAGGGCAGTAAGATAGTAGCCATAGAGACCAATCAGAAGCACAAACAAGGTGAACATCATGTGGCAATCTGTTTTATACAGAGGGAGATCCGCGACACGTCGTACTTCCAACATTCTCTGAGACATTGCCGGAACGATGCAAAAATTGTCGTACGCCTGAATATAAATCGGTGAACGTGGAAGCCGAACAAGTGTGTTCATGCCTCACCAAAACCAAGTACCTTGCCTTTCTCCTCAGATGTGGGAGGGCGAATTCTTGGATTCGAGTGGAAAGTTTGTGAACTTGATCAGAAAGCTCTAGACGTCCACAGGGACTTTGGAGGTTGCCGTCGGAAGTGGAGAGACCGGAACGCACTCGATGCCAGTGTTGGCAAATCAACGTAACTGGGAATTGGAGCAGCCGTAGGTCATTCGAGCTGAATTTTCTCGCACTAGTAGTTCAACTCTGGAAATCACCGATCGGCATCGGCGCCATGAAGTGGGACTTCGCCACGGCTGAATGAAGGAGGTCCACAATCGCATGCTGCAAAGATTCGAGAGAATTGTCATGACTAGCCTCCGTCTTGTGGCCCTGGTTCTGGTTGCGTCGCACGTTCCTTGCTGCTCAAAAGACTCGAGATCAAACACGCCAGCATCAGTGTTGCATTGAAAATCGCCATGATATAGAACGGGCCGGCCAAAGAGACTTTGTCAAACAGCAGACCCCCGACCTTGGTTAGAATCAGGATTGCAGCCCCTCCGTAAAGCGAATATACACCGGCAACGGAGCCTTTCAAGGCCGACAAAGGCGTTTCTGCATTCCCTTGTTGGATGGCTGTCAGAAGAGGGCTCTCCTCATCGAGACGGGCGTCAGTTCCTTGACCGTTGTGCTCGGAGGTGTTGGGCGGACGTCTTGCTTCTCTGCGAAGTACTCCTTTACTCAGTGTACCGAGGCTACAGACGATTGCGCCGATCTGGCTGATTCCGATGAGGCAAACAGCGAAGAATGCTGCGGCCCGTTGCGATGTGTTTCGATCATCAGGATCAAATTCGTTTGCGAACAAAGGGTAACCGATAATTCCTGCCATCGAAGCCACAAGGAGTGGAATTTCTTTTCTCGTCGCTCTCGCAGCCCAGTAGCCGAACACAGGGGCAAAGACAAGAGCCACCAATTCCGTAACGCCAGTGAGTTCTGCGGCAACCACATAAGCTCGAGGGCACCTTCTCTTAATATCCGGGAGACCAGTTGGATCATCGCTGGAGGATGGATCCACACAGAGACCCGATGAGAGAAATGTTGCGTTGACAAGCAGGGGAATGAAAAGAGAAATGCCGACGGAAGAAGCTCGGGCCACGAAACCTCCAAGATACCCAATGGCTATTTCGGAGCGTTGAAATCCTGCCATGATAGCGGTTTGAAAGTTGTTCAACATTTGAGTGAGTGCGTCGGTGAGGCGTGAGATTGCTCCGTTGCGGCGAGGGACGGCAGATCTTGAGGGATAGTCTTCGGCATCACTGTGTAGACGTCGAAGACCAAAGAAGCACCAGATGGCCAGCAAAAAAGCCACCGCAGCAACGATGTAAAAACTGTCTTTCAGCGCAGCCTTCTCTCCAATACCTGCATACTGAAATTTAGCCGGAAGGGGCAGGAAAAGAGTCAAGGCGATCAGGGCACCAAAACCGGTGAACATGCCCACGAATCCGGCAACTCGACTTGTCGAGCCAGCGATCTCTGAGTCGGCTGCTGTCAGATCAACTTTGCTTTTGCGTTGCGAGGATCTCGACACGAATCTTGCTGGTGTGATCGTCACCTCTGACTCAATTGACGGACTGGTAGCATGGCCATTCCCGGCAGCAGCGACGCCGGCACGTTGATTCTCGGCTGGATAATTGGTTGACGGTGTCGCGACAGCAGGTAGAATTGCCGTAACCATGGTGGAAGCCGCAGCACCTCCAAGGCTGAAGAATAACCTTGCCAGCAGCAGCTGGGGATAGACATTTTTGGCTTGGACGAACAAGACCAGGGCCAGGCAAATGATCAGGTAGCCTGCAACACAGACCTGTAATGAATCAGTTTTGCAGCTCGTGACAGTACCAAAGAGGGTCTTACCGGACGTAGGCCCATTCGATCAGAGAGTAAGCCCCATAGCGGACACGCTACCAATGCCACCAGCTCATCAGCAAACCCCAGAGTCCCAACGGCATCACCCACGGCATCCTCCTTGCCAATAAGGTCCGTAATAACAAACGAGACTGAGGAATTGAGAAAGACAAGAAACGCGATGGAAAAGGGGCAGACCCCAAGCAGGTACGTGGCAACTTGGAGCTTGGTGGCCGTGAACATTGTTGCAGCAGGTGGCAAAAGCACAAGTGATGACTTCCGAAACAACGACTGAATCAAAGACAGATCTCCAAACCCTCACGCATATTTAGCAGCCTGTATAGCAGCTGGAAATGATGTATATGAGCGACTCTGTAGAAGGGAGCAGGGAGATGTTGTGGTCATCGATCAGCGGGCCGGGTGTCCCTCTACCGGGCTTGGCACCACCTCGGCGAAGCCGGAATCTGCGATAGGCACTAGTGCAAAGTATGTTGCTTCCACGCGCAGATCTTCCTCCGCATTTTGCTGGGCGAATTTGTTTGCTTTCACCGCGTGTCAAACAGAACAAACATCTTGCAGCGGCCTGCCCACTACAATTGGACTCGCCGCATGATACCCTTTGTTCAATCTCGAACTCATACGTACCGACCTGCAGCAGGCCGGCAGGCCCCGGCTGAGCAGCCAGGAGCTGCTTTGGAACTCCAGCTCATGGCAGACGCATCAGACTATCCCGACGACATTCAATTCGCCGGTCTCGTACAAGCGGCAACTGCAGCGGCCGACGAACAGACGCGCGACCCGTCGTCGCTCGGGAAGCGCAAACGAGATGACCATGTCATCGAACACATTCCTACACTAGACGAAGACGGCGTTGGTGATGCTTCTGATCCCGCAACCGCGTCGAGTCCTCCGCACCTCCAGAGTTCTGCATCTGTCTTGTTCCGAGAACCTTCGTCGAAGAGTAGGAAACACAGCAGGCCGCCGCTTGGAAAGGTCTTTGCATCTTTGGAGCTGGCTCCAGAGAACTTCTTGCGGCTCCAAACCGCTGCCAAGGCATTCATGCTGGACGAGGCGCACCCTGAGCGGAAAGAGGTTGTGGGACCCAAGAAAAATGCAGGTGGCTCAGATTTGGCCAAGTTAAACTTGTGGAATTGCGTTGAAGAGTTCCTCTCCGTCCACGGCTATGGGGAGAGGTATTTCGCGCCAGGAGCAGGAGAGGGTATCCCTGGGGCACCTCAAAGAACCATATTCTGGCCTCAGGACAGCCAGACCATCATCAAGCTAATGATGCCGCTGATGAGGAAAATGGTCACCAATGAGCGCCAGCGGATGTACGCCGCTGCGACCAGGAAACAAGGTTCGGCTAAAGAATCGGGCGAGGAGCAGTCGCCAGCACCTGTGGACCAGTCTATCATGCCTGACCGCAAGGCTCCTGAGACAAGTTTTCCGGACCAAGAGATTGAGGTTCATCCACCTATACCGGTGCAACAAGACATCCCAAGCTTGTCGCCACATGTGTCACAGCCGAGCACAACTTTCAAGCAATCAGTCGTCCTTCATGTCAACGTGGTGTCAAATACTGGCGGAGCCCTGAGACGAGTGATACCAAGGTTTAGCTTGACACCAGAAGCAGCGCCTAGTCTGTCAGCTTTGCTTGCCGAGGTGGAGAAAAGGTACACATTGTCGGCGAGGTCGGGAGGTGCTCCTGGCGTGCAAAGCCGTCCCATCGTCAAGGTGTGGCTCACCGATGGCCTGGTCACAGTGGTTGAAGACGGAGAGTGGATGGTTGCGCTGTTGAGCGCTGGGGTCGTTGACTGGATGGACGGTGAGGTTCGAGTGCTCGTCGAAATCTGATACCGCACTGCAATCATAAGTCCCCTGGGGCTCTCGGCCGTCCGTTTCGAGAGCATCGGGTTGCCGACTTTGGCAGCCTCACAGCCTCCCTTTTAGGCGAGCTTCCCGAATCTAGACAAAAGATTCTAGGGCTGAATTCATTCCTCGGGGTTTAAAGACGGCGCCACTTGAATCCCGAAGACAGGGACAGCGAACAAGTGTCGCAGCCTAATGCAAGCCTCGTTCCTGGCGCTCATGCTTCTAGCAACTCGGCATCTTCCATGGGCTCCCAAAACGTAAAACTGCAGGTGGCCCATCACTCGACTTGTCTACAGACCATGGCCGATCGACATTCTTCTTCCCTCTTTCTGCTGTACCTCAGAGCACGAGCTGCAGCTTGTTTTGACAGAAAACGCTCCGGCAGAGGTGGCGAACACTGACCGCCGTGTCGACGGCAGGGGTCAAGCATGCCCTCCCGAGTCCCCAGCGTGAGCTCCCCCTTTCGACGACAGGGGACTCCCGTTTATCTGAGCCCGTTTACAAAGCATGTCGTGCTAAGACGGCATTTAAGCGCAATCGTCCTTGATATTAAACATGCTAATCTTTCCTTTCACTCCCAGCCAGTCAAGGCGACCAGGCACGGTCCCAGAGTCGAAGATCCAGCCATAGTCGTATCTCAGTATCCTCCTTGTCTTACGTACTGTGTCGCTCCGACAACAACTAAACCCGACAGCTCATCCACTTCAATCCTGCCGAGCACGTTTGACATAACATGATGGACACTACTCGTGTCGCTCGTACGAGTGCTCGTGGGACGTGGCACGCAACGTGTATTCCAAAACTATGTGGCTAGCACTGCAAGCAATTCCGTGGTCCGAAGCAGTGGGACCCAATTGATAAGTTCCGGGACATGGGGATAGGCTTTGGCGCTTCTGGCGGCCCTGAAATTGTAGGACTTCTCTGGGAGAGGCCCAGCAACTTCGCCTACTCGTCCGAGTATGTCGCACCACACCCCCGTCCTGGTCACCCGCAAGGATCATGTAGCGAGCAGCCATCGGAGAAAGCACGAACTGGTGGCAGACCAGAAGCAGCCATAGGGGGGAAACCCGATTTCCTGCTTCTTTACGAGGGACCGAGTACTCGTAATGCATTATTCCGGTGTCATGCTGTTCTGCAACATCCCCAAGTAGTATCAAATGCTCCTTGGCCTACCGCACGCGGATTTGGGTTACCGTTTGATTGGGGGGCAATGATTAATTACTATAATTATGCTTTTTGTGACGTTTGGCTCGCCTTTGTAATTCCTACCCAGCCGTCCGATCGGGCCCCAACACGCGAGAGACGGTGCGCGTGTCCTCTGAGTGCCGGGTTTCGGAACTTTAGGACGAGCACGAGGAAAGAGGGGAGTCAGAAGGAGTAGGACAAGAAGGGTGAGCGCTGATCGTTGTCGGAGGCGGGAGGGATGACCAGTGGCCAGGTGAGGTGGCAATTGTCGTGCTCGTCGAGGTTGAGGAGGGCTTAAAAAGGAAGTGATGCGCTGGTTGCTTGAGACCAAGCGAGAGAGCTAATCTGGATTTTGTCAAAGGTCGGCGCACCGGCCTCTCTGCAAAGAAATTGAGGCCTTTTCGAGCGTCTTGTCGTCTCGCTGGGCATCCAAGATAGGAAGCAAGGAGACTAAAAAGACAAGATAATGATGGCGGTAAAAGGACTGTCAGCAAGGGCCATGCAGTTTGCTGCAGAAGTGTTGGTAAAAGGATACCTGGGTACCTGGGGACCCTTGCTGCAAGTTGCAGTGGCAGTGGAACACCAACCTTGGGCTTCAGGGTGCATTAGGGAGGGGCACCCAAGGGGGATGGCACCCAGATGGCGCCGGGGGCGTCATGGAACCCAGTCCTTGAATTTGAGCTTGGGAAGCTGCCTGTTGGTCGGACTCTGTTAGCGAGACGCACGACGCCAACGTCAGGCAGGTGTCGCTGTGGTTGGCCAGCTGGGGGCGTTAGCAGGGAGATAGCCTAGCACACCCCCGGGCCTTCAACTAAAACCACAGGCACCCACAGGTCGGATCTACACTGAACGGACTTTGAGCTCGGGACGATCGCGACCCCCGATCCAACAGTGGAGGCTTCTTCACGTCAGAACAGCCCCCACCAAGACGCCCCCAGCGTTCCCAGTTCCCACCTGGGCATAGCACCTCCCTGAGCTCCGACAGGCACTGGCCCCTCAGTGGCTGGCCCAAGCGACAAGCCGGACAAGGCCCAAAACTCCACCTTTCACATCATGGCTGCCAGCTGCGAGTGCCTCGTAGGTAAGGGTTCAACGCCCAAAAATCAACCACCACTACGTCCTCGACTTTCCTCCCCTCCAGAAACAGGCTGGGGAGCTTGAGCATGGTCTTGTTGAAGCTCTCCAACGTCTACGGCAAGCTTATTGGGAGCTTGTGGCCCAAACAAAAAGACTTTTGGAGCTTGCTCAATGCTCATCCCGTCTCCTCCTTGCTCATCGTTGGCCGCCCTGTCGCTGTCCCACCCCACCCCGTCGCTCATTGCCCTTTACTGTCAAACTCCCAGCTCCTGCAACTCAAGCCTCATGCGCAATTGAACATCACATCCCCTCTCCATGCCAGAGGCGGGCATTGAGTCGAGACTCGTCCTCACCGCCAAGCAGCATTTTACGTGTTACTCTGGAGCAACACTATCAACTCTGCACTGCCCTCACAGCGTTGAAACATATCTCTCATCCCTACCTACCCTTTTCTCCTCGCTCCCCTTGTACATACTGCCCCTTTCATCCCTATGCTGTCGGCAGGGATGAGACATACATACGATTGCACAGTGGCCTTATAGCTCTATTCTCTTTTCATTTGTATCTGTCCACTTCCCAACCATGAGACGCATTCAGGGTCGCGTGACGCGCGACGACATTCGCTCAGCAGGGCTGAGGCGGTGGGATGGCCGAGCTCGAGTCACGACGGACTGGGTCAATCTTTTTCATGTATGTGCTCACTCACTCCAAAGCCCGCCCCTGTCGCGTTCCCTCGCGAGACACTCATGGGTCAACCTCTTTTAGGAGCCAGAGCTGTGCTGGCCGACAGGCGATTGTCTTGTCTACTTGCGTGAACCGGGCCAGTCCAGTCGTGGACCTGCCTTTCGAGTTCATACCGCCTTCCTCAAGGTCAGAGGCTTCGAGTCTTTGGTGGACCGCTGCGTGGTGCGAAACTCGATTCATGCGGCAGTGCAGTGTGTCCTCCCCAATTGCTCGGGATGTGACCCTCAGGAGTCAGTACAAGAACTGTACGTCCCAGCTCCTCATGGGGCAAGCCTTGAGGATATCTTCAACCATCACATTACCACACGGAACTTCTTTGCATGGCTCTACAACCGACCACTGGCTGGCCGGACATTGGGGTCGGCGTTGGCGGCGCTGAAGAAAAGGGTCGACGTCTATCGGCCTGATGACAGCTCCCAGAACAAGGTGGAAGTACTGTCGTTTGCGGAGAACCAGAGATATCTGGACTTTAGAGAGTGTGTTGATCATGCTTTAGCAGCTCTCTCCTTGGCCGAGGCTCTTCAGGTCGAAGATCTTTGGGTGGACGCATTTGCCCATTGCGTGGGAATGAGTCACCGTGGCCTTCGATCAAGCATCGAATATGCAGTGAGTCCATATTCCTCCTTACCGCGACTCCTTTCCACCGGCGGCCAGGACTAACCAACGATTAGGGTTTGAGCGCGAAGTCCAAGTCGCTCATCAATCGCGCCAGGTTGGAGATGGATATTCGACTGGACAGGGTCAACAAGTCCGTTGTGACCTTCTTTGAAAATGACGTGTCAGGAAGCTTTCTCGGCTTGCCTCAGCCAGCGAGAGACCATCTCAACAAATTCCGCTCCTTCCTCAAATCGTTTTACCATGATCGTTATGGTACCTGGCCCCCTAATGATTTCGAAGAAGAGGTCGTTCAACAAACCATATACACGACAATGTTCTCGGATTTCCGGAACCTCTATCAGCACCTGGTCGATCCTGAGTCCACGGTGGATATGGTGGAAAACGACATCACCAAAACTGGCGGCGTGTGTACTCTTCAGAACATCCAAGCTTTTGACAAGAAGCACTCTTATGAGCCTCTCGCTCAACCGCTACCTCTATTACCGGAGCCGGTGGAAGCTAACTCAGGCCCACGGCCCAAGCTTCAACGAAGGATGTCTTGGAATCCAATCCAAAAACGCAAGGCGCTTAGAGAATCACGCAAGGCGCATGACAAACGCGCTCTTATTGGTGCCTCCAATCGAGATTTATTGGTCATGGACTGTCCCTTGGTTCGGAAGTACTCTGAGTTCGAGGAGATGACCGTTGACGACGACCTCGAGGGACTCTCCGCCATAGAAGGTCGCAAAGTGAGATGGATCCTGGTTTATGCCGTCCTCCAAACCTTCCATTCAATTGCCCAGCCCCCAAAGGAAGTCCGAAACACTTCCAACTTGACATATTCCCTTTGTTGTCAGCCTCCGAAACAAAAGCCGTGGCAAGAAACGCCTCTACCTCAGGTCCGCACCCTGTCTAAAAAGCCGTCTCAGCTGGCTCCCGACAATCGCTATTCACATACCAATGTGTCGTCTTCCTCGCTGGGGGAGACACTGACGAGAGGGAGATCGGCGAAGATGCGTCGGCGTACCCTTCCCGCGAATCTACCCGGGACTGTGATGGCCTCTTTGTCTACCAAAACACCGCCAGCCTCCCGCTCTACCTCGCTCCGAAGATTGATCTCTCGTGGAGGCCAGACCAGCAGGGATGAGATGCCTTCCAAACGCCCTTCATTCTGTGAGATCTACGTTGAAGGCTATGGGAATGGGTTGAATGAAGTTGCCCGCGGTGTGTCTGACTCTCCTCCGGCGGAGCTTACTGCCGAACCTGAGGCAGTAATCAAAGAGGACCAGCAAGAACCCCAAGAGCTTCAGGGTGACATTGTCCATGAAATGGCCGCCAACGACAGCGAGGAGTTACCTCCACTCCCGGTATCGGAGACCTCAGCTACAACAACACCACCTAGCATGTCTCGCGAATCTTCCAATTCTTCAGTCAGCAGTGCCTCCTCCAATGGCAACGAGGACAGTGACGACGTTTCTCCAATAACACCGGCGGGCAACGTGGCATGCACACTAGAAGAGATTCTGAAGTCTACCAGCACCATCAAACGACGGAGGGATATCACATCCGCCACACTCAAGCAGCGGCCTCGGTCGCTCGTTCTCCGAGGCGCAGTTCCTCACATCAAAATCATCAACAGTGACCGGTACAATGATCCTGACCTGGAAATGCCGTACGTGCACTTCAATACACAAACCTGGGACATGATTTTGGAGCAAAGACCAATGACTGCGCCCAGCCCGGCCGCGATCACTGCCTAAGACTTGCAGAAGAGCAAGATCACCCGATCACCCATAGGGGGGAAGCTGACGATTTTCCTTACATCCTCCATCTTACAATACGTATAGACAACCTCCACACCTCCACACCACCACACTCACCAACTCTTACCTGTGGTGGTGTCACCTTAATGATACCACAAGCAAGCAAGAGCAAGGGGAAGCATTGCATGCGGGATTAATTTGCTTTTGGGAAGAGAAGGGGGTTAATCAATAATGACACGAATCTCATTCGCATACAAAGACCATGACCGTACTGGCGCCTGCAGGCGATGGGGGTGGGAATCCAACTAAATCATACCGGCGTTCTTTTTTTGCGTGTTCGATATACCCTTGGGCGAGAGCGGTTAATCGTGAGGTAGAGCGGCCATTCTGGAGAGCTTTAGTTAGCAGGGCAGATGCGTGAGCGCGGCACCATAGCGGAATGTCTTTGCCTCATGAAGTCGAGTGTGTCAATAAAGAAAAAGTTCAATGGCCCCATCTTCTCACATGTTTATTTGCCCTGGGGCGAATAGACAGGTATGCTTTGCAGGGTGGTTTTGTGCAGCCTTTTCCACTGATTTGGGTCCTAGACAGGTGTAGTTCAACTGGATACTACTGATTCATCCAGCTCCTCTCCTCTCTCGCCACGCATCGTCCAAGTCCTCCTGCGTGACCTGATACCCCCACTGCAGACAAGTCTGGTGCATGACCGGGCTGACTTTCCTGTCACCATCACCGTCGTCATCATCGTTATCGTTATCATCGTCCTCGTCATCAAAGACACTCCTAACCCCCATATCGACATATTTCTTCAACAACATCCTCTTCCACCTCCCCTTGGGCCCCACGCACCTCACCCACCTCCCGACTTGTCTCTCGTCCTCGCCATCGTCCAACCGCCTGCCCAGCCAGAAGCGGATGTACCACTCGAACCAGCCGCGGGCATCGTGCCGGAAATCGATCCAGCCCGCGTCTTCCCACTGCGCGAGCGTCTGGCCCGCAGCCACGCCGTGTCGGTTCAGCGAGGCGTCGTAGCGTGCGGATGTGATGTACTTCTCCGGCGGGGAGAGCTGCGCGAGCCACGTTGCGGGGAGTGTTGAGAGGTGGTCGTCGACAAGGGTGAGAGGCGACAGCGTGCGGCTCCGCCAGGGGGAGAAGAAACTGGCCCCAAAAGCGCCCTCCTGCAGGATTGAGAGCGGGGATTTGTTGGGCACGAAGAGAGGGTGTGATGCGAAGTGGTACCGCTGGGTTAGAGCGTCCTGGGTCGGTAGGGGCGCTGACGCGGTCCAGGAGTTGTAGTGCTGGAGGAGGGAGGGGAGGGAGGTCGGGAGTGATGATAACATGGGTTTCGAGACACGGGAGTTGGATTGGGTACCTTCTCTCCGAGGACGGTCATCATCAGAGGTTCGGGCCTTGCGGTTGCTGTTGTTGTTGCTTCTGTTCCTTGACTTTCGCGACGAGCCGCCGTCCATGGCCGATTCCACGTCGCCAACAGGCCCCTTTGTGTCCTCGGTGTACGTGTAGATTCCATGGCCTCCTCCCCTGGCAGCGATTCGGGCAGATGTCCTCGTGGACGGCGTCTTCAGGTCTGCTGGGCTGGGACTACTACTACTTGTAATTCCTCTCCGGCGCCTCTTCGCGGACGGCTTCCTTGGCTCCCCTGGCCCTGCACGACGCTTGTCTCCCGTCCTTGCATTCGAGGTGCCAAGCAGGTTGAGGGACTCGAGCAGTTTTTGTTTCTCTCGCATGTTCGCGAGGCGCGCGGCCTCTAAGTCAATGCCGGGAGCCATTCCATCCAGCTGGCGGAGCGTGGAATTTCTGTCTGACTGGTAAAAGTTATATCTGCGAGGGCAGTACTGTATGGAGGAAATACTGGTGTATTGTCGCGTCTCATCGCAAGACGCGTTGACATTGACCATGACGTCACCCGCTAGAATTCATTGCTTACATCCTTACATCCATTATTCTATTGCCATGCCGCTGGTTGTGTTGTATTGCATGGTATATAAGCCCCCTGGTATGTCTTGTCTCAAGCTCTAGGTATTTGCATACCACCCTCGTTTGAAAGCCATCTATCGAAACATCTGATTCCAAGCTTCCCAGTGGGTTTTGGCAGCCGGTTGCCGAGCAAGCCCCCATCTCTGCAGTTCTTTTGTATCGTCACTCACCGACGTATCCGTTTCACGCCAGAGTTCAAAGTCGATAATGCTGCATTTCTTCGTCTCTCGCTCCCATAGAATGTTTCGTAGCCCGCAATCCACGGGTTCTATGCCTTGAGCGTAGATCCACCTGGTCGACTGTCAGCAAGGCAGGGACAAATCTGGACGGAAGGCTCGTTGACTTGCTTGAGTGTGGCGAGGAACTTCTGTGAGATGTCGGTTCTCTCCTCGGCCGGCATCCCCCAATAGTACATGTTAAACAGTGAATCGCCTGGCATCTTTGTCATAACGAGGAATGTGAGGTAACCCCCCGGCAACGGTCCCTCGGCAGGCTGGACTGCTTTTTTGAAATTTACCAGAACCGGCGTGCATGGGCTATTAGCGTCTCTGAACTTTCCAAGAGCTTTGAGTTCATGTGCTGTCGTGGTGCTAGGGCCGATCTCCGGGCTGTTACTAGGTCGTCGCTCTCCTCCCGGTATTCTCGGTGCCTGAAGTCAGCCTGAATCCAGCCTGAATTCGTCGGCAGGACTTCAGACATACTGGATCTTGATCTTGATCACATACTCGTCCTCTGACGAAGAATTTCCGTGGCGGCGCCGGCAAGTCAGGACGATCCGTGCTTCGGCGGGAGTTCCATCGTGACATGACCGATAAGTAGCCAAAGGTTTCAATAGCTCATAGGCATTTCCATCGGCAAATTCAACAACTTTGTCGAGGTATGATGGTAATATTGGAGCAGCTTCTTCCATATTTAGCAGTATAAAATGCACCCAAGACCGGCTTCGCTGACGGACCAAAGAATAAGCAGCGGGAAAGATTTATTACTGATGAGATCGTGTTGGAACATAGATCTAGTCGGACAGACGTCCAGAGAAACGGAGGTAACGGAGGTGACTGAATTACCCTGTAGACCCTCACACAGCTCCTTCTCGTGGTGAAAGAGAAGTTCCTGGAGTTGTTTGAAGTCGAGGATGGTGGTGGAGGATCGTGGATACTCGTATCTCGATTGTGGCCCGATCAACCGACCACTTCTCCTTGGCAGAGCTTATTGATCCCGTCATCCGGGTAATTGGGGATTCACAGTAACGCTCATACGATGAACTCGGGGACCTTTACGGTGGTAAAATCCAAGTTGGACAGAGGATACGAGATCTGTGGAGATGAACGATATGAACATTGCCTGCGCAGAATGGGAGAAGGGCGTGGACTCAGTACCTAATTACTACCAGGTAGCTGGCTCGCTGTTGCATACCAGGTTACTCAAGAACCCTAGCTACCGAGTACCCTCGTACTCTCGTACTTGGCAGGCATTCATAGCGGGTTTGAGACGGGGAAGGAACTGAAGGCGTGAAACACCAGAAAACCATGTTCCCCATAAATTGGACAGTTTCTGAGTTTTGCTCGTTTCTGGAGCTCCGGGCGAGGCGGGCAGCTGCTCGATTCATGTTTCAGGCCCGCCCTCGCCGCTTGGGGGATTTCAGTGGTGCCAGTACTAGCTACCTACCTAGGTACCTAGGTAAGTACCTAGTAGTAGTGGGTGAGTGGGTGAGTGGTGCCAATGCTGCCAGTGGCTCAGTGGCCCAGTGGCCCGGTGGAAGATCATCGCGCCGGTACCTGCATGAAATATCCCAATTGAGCCCAACTGAGCCAAAAGGCCATCCACTCCATCCTCGATCCGTTCTTCCTCCACTACCGACTAATACATCTTGACGTCTGTGGTTTCGCTCTCTGGTGTCTCCTCTTCGCACAGTGGCTTGGCCGGTGAAGGCGCTACCCCAGAGAACAGAGACCAGACGAGCATGATCTCCCCTCTCGATCTTTGTCACATCTAATTCACCGCAATCTGTCTCCCTTCTACCAAGCGTTTGTACCCTTTCCAGCCGATGCCATTCAAATACAGGCCAAACCCGCGGTCGCCCCCTGCTCCATCGATCAAACCCTCCTGCCATCTCAGAAAGGCCCAGTGAAGTCGACCTAGCTGATCTCATTGGCACCGATTGGATATGATTGCCACCTCCTCCCTCAGCGCAGAAGGACCCGCTTCTGCTTCTCTCCCTCTCGTCGCTCACGATGCCACCGATCGTCCAGCCTCGAGGGCGCAGACAGCCGTTTCCGAGGCCAAAGAACTGCCCGTAACCTACTCCACCGATGCCCTTTTACGCGAACCCCTTGAAGAAAAAGAACTACGTCAAGTCAATGGTGGTCGCCGCGCCGAACAAGAGCTGCCTCGCCTACAAGCAAATGCGCAGATAACGCACGGCGACAGCTTGGAGCCCATCCTTGAAGATGATCCCGCGTCCTTCAACCTCATCGCTCCTCCTCCCCCGAACCAAGGCGATATCTTCTCATTAGAGACCCAGACACAAGCGCTCTTCTCGAGGGGACATCTACAGGTCATCTTCGCCGATCCCAGCTACCTCTTCAAGTTCACCTCTTTCCTTGGAATGTACAGACCCCAGTCGGTGCCCATGCTCGTGCACTATCTCGATTCCCTCAAATCACTGCGGGCCATCAATTATGCCGACGCCATCTGCGAGGGCCTAGACCCCATAGAAGGATATGAGTTTACACAAAGGCCAGTCAAGCCGACCATCAACACGGCATTGGAAGAGAGGGCGCACAAGGCTTTCGAGATCTTGGCCATGGAGGAACTGCCTGCTTTCATCACACATCAGTACATACAAGTCGTGAGCAATAGTATCACCGCCAGAATCACCGGCTCGCTCTCACCCCAACTCCGGGAAGCCTCGGACGGGTTGGCAGAGGTGTTTTGTTTGACGGACCCCTCCAGGCACGACAACCCAGTCGTCTTCGCCTCCGAAGGTACGCCCCCCCAAGGACGTGGAGTGACGCGTCGTGCGTTGCTAACGGGATGCAGAATTCAACCGGACCACCCAGTACGGCATGTCATATGTTCTGGGTCGGAATTGCAGGTTCTTGCAAGGGCCTATGACGAACCCGCACAGCCTGCGGAGGATCCGAGAAGCTCTCAAAGCAGGCAGGCAACATCAAGAAGTCCTTCTAAACTAGTAAGTGCAAGCGTCGCGCAATTTTGACATGTCTGACAAGAGCCAGTCGACGAGACGGCTCTCCCTTTGTGAATTTGTTTATGATGGCTCCTCTTTCCGACAGTAGAGGCGTTGTCCGATATCACATTGGGGCGCAAGTTGATGTGAGTGGCCTTGTCAAAGACTGTTCAGAAATGGAGTCCCTGCGAAAGTTGTTGGACCTGCGTGCTCGAGGCGAAGATCCACCACAGCCTGAGAAGCCTAACCCGGAGAAAAACGACGAGCTGCGGGAATTGAGCGAGATGCTCAACCAGGGCGAGTTGAATACCATCAAGCGCCATGGCGGTAAGATGCACCGCGAAATCGTCGAGGATGACATCGAGAGTGTCTCGTCCCACCATCAGCCTCGACTGTTGCTCAAGGACCCGGACACCATGGTGCCATCGATTGCCAGCATCAATGGTAGATTGAGTGGCATATATCAACATGTAGGTTGGCTGTGGAGCCTGCAGATGTGCTCGTATGACTGACCGGTTGTGCAGTATCTCCTCGTACGACCATATCCTTCTCTGCGCATTCTCTTTGCAAGCCCGTCACAACGATTGCCTGGAATCTTACAATCACCCTTCTTGAACAAAATCGGCGGCTCCAATCGAGTACGTGAGGAATTGACGACGGCGTTTGCCGAAGGACGAGGCGTGACTGCCAAAGTCCGCTGGGTGACTAAAGGCGACGATCAAGGCAAGAACAAGTGGATTCATTGCACGCCGCTACTGGGCCAGTCAGGCCAGATTGGCGTATGGATGGTGGTGGTTGTTGATGACGAAAAGAACAACGAAAGGTGGCCTCCTGCGTCGGGACGACTCCCACCCCAAGTGGCCGGCCCAGAGAGAAGCTGGACTCCGGCTCCCAGCAGCGGATACCAGATGGTCGGATCGAACCACAACGCTGTTGGCGACATCAACGGTGGATTCTCGGATCGGAATGGCGGTGGCAGCCTCGGCAGTGCCAGCGGCAGCGCAACCAGCCTGAGGATTGGATGATTGGAAGCATTTGGCCTTCTTGGATGTTGTTAATCTTGCCTTTCTTGAAGCATCTGCCGGTATATGAACTATGTAAGATGGCGAAGAGGAGAGATTTGCATTTGGGGATCTGGTGGCCCAACGGGCGGTGTTCCGGGGGCCTTTACTGACAGCTCGTAGTAATATTTGGTGAGCATCTCACACCGCCGACCCCAGATAACATTAATGACGTCAATGTCTGTCCTGTATTCATGCTTGACTACTAAGATGCTGAGCTTCTGGGAGTCTGCTTGTAGGCGCTGAAGTCGCTGGGGGTTGTCAATGGTGCTGATGAACATGGGGGCCGGCTGCGCCAGGCTGCGTTGGGGGCATAACGAGTCCTTAATTGTAGAAAGGGGGGACCGTGGCCGCCTTAATTGTGGAGTTGAACTGCAAAGGTGCCACGATTACCTCGTACTACGGTATACCGAGTAGTTACCTAGGTATGTCCATCTGATGGGTCGCAAGGAGCGGGCGGGACCTGGGGCCGCTGTCTGACCGCTGCTTCAGTGGAGGAGAAATGGTCTTCCCTTCTCCCTTCTATCCAGCCTGTCCGTTAGCATGCCTCTTCTCTAACTGCCCCACGCTTGCGTCGAGAATGTCCCCTTGTACTCGGTACACAGGCCCCCAAGTTTGTTGCAGGGGCAGTCCTGGTCGAGATCAGAATGCGCCGTCCCCAGGCAGCGGCGCATCTCGAAGCACGCTGTAATTCACCTCTGGTGCCTAGCAGGTAAGTACCTACAACCCGAAAAGTGGGCGGAATTGGGCCCTTGCAAGCATTCACAACATCACCAGCTGCAAGACTGTCCAGTGCGATTGCACTCAAAACCTACCTCCTAGGGCGGAAAGTAGGCAGTCTTGACTGAGTGCTCGTAGGTTGCGGCGCCATTCTCTGGCTTCAATCGTGGCTGTGGGCATGCTCAAGGCCGTCGTTTCAAAATGCTCGCGTCTCTGAGAAGCCATCTGCTACCTAAAAGAACTCAAATTCCTCGAAGTCGCAGTGCTCGTAAGTCAATGCTTTGGCTTTCTGTTGGGATCTAACAAGATGCATTGTGCTAGCGACATACCGTGTACCTGTCGTTCCCTCCATGAGGATTGCAATCCCGAAACCTGCCCTCAAAGGCAGCACTCAGACAAGCTCGGCAGCAATTTCAAACTGTCCGAGTTTTTCAAAAATGCGGAACGGGGATGTTCCATCTGCTCTGCCATCTGCAGCGCACTCTCCGTGGAGCCAGTGAAGAGAGTGTGGCTGGACACCATATCTCGCGAGAATGGTGTGCGGATGGCGGAGCAGGACATCCCCATCGAGTTGATGCGCACGGGGGAAAGACCTGGCCGGGTGGTCATCAGAACAGGAGCTTCTCACGGCTCCAGCTCCCAGGTGTGGAGACATTTCAACTTGTTCGTCCGGCCAGGAGGACCTGAGCCAAAGCAATGTATCGCCCTGCGGAAGCTGAAATGTGCACCCCTCGACAAGACGGATTCTGCTGAGAGCCATCGTTTTCTGAAGCAATGGTTGGACGACTGCAACAATCTTCATCAATGCGCCGCGCCTGAGCCCCCAGACTTGCCGAAACGCGTTCTCAGGCTTCACCAAGACCGAGTCCACCTGTATCTGAGCCAAGAGAACGAAAGGGCTCGTTATGCGACCTTGTCCCACCGCTGGGGAAACTCTGATGAGAGCTTCATCTTGGAGTTGACAAACCTTGAATCCCTCACGAAAGACATTGCTTGGTCTCAACTGCCCAAAACTGCCCAGGATGCTATCGAAATCTGTCGGAAACTCGACATCGAATACCTGTGGATCGACTCATTGTGCATCATTCAGCACTACCAGCCGGATTGGGCCGACCAGTCGGAGAAAATGTCCACCATCTACGGCCAGTCCTATCTCAACATTGCAGCAATGGACTCGAACGACTCCCGTGGTGGCTGTTTCCGGTCAACAGGGTCGGACAAGCGGTACCCTCCTCATACTGTGCCTGGCCACCCAACCCTCCAAATCCAGCAGCAGCCTCACTTCACTCACCTTGACTTCGGCGCAAACTACTTCACTTCTGGTGCCTCGCCCCCACTTCTCCGTCGCGGATGGGTCCTCCAAGAACGGCTCCTGTCCCCGCGCTGCGTCTACTATGGCAGGGACGAACTCCTCTGGGAATGCAAGGCGTGTGCGGACTGCTTCTGCGGCGGTACCAATGTCATTGCCCGCTTTAAGGATGTCCATCATCGCTCGCTGACCCCGAACGGCGATCCTCTGCCATTCGCTTGGATGAGAGTCACCGAGCGCTATTCTTGCTTGGATCTGACGCACGATTCCGACCGAGCAATTGCACTGTCCGGCATCGCCCAGGAGGCGGTGCAGTCCGGCCGAGGAGGGAAATACCTCGCCGGACTGTGGTGGGACAAGCTGGCATATCAGCTTGTCTGGAAGCTGTCCAGCACGTATCGCAGACCCGAGGAGTACATTGCACCCAGCTGGTCGTGGTTATCGGTGTTCGGCAGGGTCGATTACGGTACAAATCGCATGGACTACAGAGCTGCTTGGTCGACCATTGATGTCGTGATCACCGATGCTGCAGTGGTGGCATCAAGACCGGACGGTACAGGCAAGATAAGATCGGGCTATCTCTTACTTAACGGCAAGGCTTTGGGCATGGAAGTCGAGGTGACCGAGGTGCGGAAAGGAGACAGGCCAAAGATGAAGCTGACGCATTCCGAACCTCAGTTCGAGTATCCGGATTTCCTACCGGACTATGTGATGACGCCAAAGCAAGCTGTGGCGATTGAGAAGGTTGTTGTGCTCTATTGGGGCAAAGTCGTTCACCAAGAGACCTTTATGGTTCTGCGCGAAGTTCCCTACGACGGCGGTCTGGCGTTCGAACGGTTGGGACTGCTCGAGGCGGATGGCCGCTGGACTCGACATTTTCACGGTGTAGCGGAACCCAGAACGGACTTACGGATAGTTTAGAGGGGTGGTCCTACTTGAAGACTATGGCACTGTTGAACATGGCTGACTGGGTCGCGGGAACTTCCAGCAGGAATTCCTGCAGGATCCCTGGCGAAGATGAGTCCTCCGGCCTCTCTGCTCAAATGGTTCGTTTATATCACACGCCAGCAGCTTTCCAGGTCACATTAGCGTTGGCCATCTGCCAACAACCGCCACGAGACATCTTCATATCCTTTGCGTCTCTTAATGCTCACTTTCACGTCGCCCTTGGGCTTGATGACGCTCAAGGGGATCTTCTCGTTGTCCCGTGGAGGCAGCTTGATGGGTGTTGTTCCGTCTGGAGCAGAGATATCGAACGCCATCAATAGGTACGCGACGAAAGCGAGGATTTCACTCTGCGCGAAGTGGCGTCCGGGGCAGACCACGCTGCCACCGCCAAAGAGACGGAATGCAGCTGATGGGACACCTGGTGGCAGTTGTGTTGCCGCCGGCTCCCTGAGATCCAGGCCCGACGACGGCTCTGAATCAGCATCGTCGGCTACAGATGCTTGTTGACCCTTGATAAACCGTCGAGGATTGAACTGGTCGCTGTCTTGACCCCAGGTCTGGGGATCGTGATGTATGATGATTCCGGCCACTTGTATGATGGAGTCTTTTCTTAAGTAGTGTTGCCCGATCACCGTATCCCGTAACACATATCGAAGTGAGGCAAGGTTGCCGATCATGCGCAGCGACTCCCTATACGTCGACACAAATAATGGGCAGGACGACTCTATGGTCGAGAGGTTGATGTTTTTGCTTCCGTCTTCGTTGTCATCGACGGCCGACTGGATCTCTTTCCGTATCTGGGCCAGCAAATCCGGGCGGCTGATAATATTCGCGAGAATCCAGAATGTCGATGGCACAGCATTTCCGAGGATTGCAAAGTGCAAGATGATTTCCGATCGCCCGGCCTCGGCTTCGGTAAAGCCGTGACTGAGGTTTATGCTGATGCGGTTCTGGATGAGAAGAGACGCCTTGTGCCACCGCTTCTCTTTTACATAGTCAACGAGGGCTTTGGCAACCGCCTCTCGGCCCAGATATGCTTTCCTTGCCGTGACGGAAGGGAAGATGTCGATGATGAGGGCCAGCATACCAGCCTCGAAATCCCAAAAGGCGTCAACCAAACTGGGATCAAGGGCGAAGATGTTTTCGGGCCCGTAGATGGACTTTGCGTTTGCAAAGGCAAATATGGACTTGATCCACTGGAACAGATTGATGTCCAGGCATTCACCCCCGACGGCGACGTCGTTCAGCATCTCCGAGAAGATCGACATCTGCGAACGAGTGAGGTCTTTCAGGGACTCTCCTCGACCGAGCACGGTGTTGAACATGTCGTGCATGGTCGGCATCAGGCCCCAGTCGCCTTGCTCGGCGTTGACGTTGTTCATGACGATCTTCATGGTGCTTGGCTTGAGGCTGGTCAACCTGCGAGTCACTTCCAGGATGACATTGTAGAACGCAAGGTCCTTGTGCTGTCGCTGGAGCTGGGCGGCAATCTGTGGAGACGTGACGATGTACTGTCTCGTAGATAGTGTGGGTAACGTGTAGATCGGGTAGCGGGTGTTGCGGCTGAAGCGACATTAGATTGTGAGTGAGTATAATCGGAGGCAATTATAATATAGCACTCACTTGACTATCTCGAAGTATTTGGTGCCGTGTCTGATGATCCCGATTATGTGGCCGATATATGGGATCCGCGGCTTGATGATCGGAGGCTCTCCAGGACTGTGGTCAATGGCGAGCCCACGGTGGATGGTGACTGCTAACAGAGTTATGACTGTTAGGAGAAGGACAATGACGCTGGCGGGCAGTCCTGTTGGAGCAGCCATGGTTGAATCCATGCTTTGATAGCTTGCGCCCGCCATCTCAGGTACAGCCGCGTGCTCATCCATACAACATGTCGGACTGTATATGCAGGAACAGCGGTGGTGTTGGGAGCTGGAGGGCTGCTGTCCAAATCTGCCTGTGCTGCCACTCGGGCGCAATCTAATCTAATCTCACCTTGCCTCGATTATAAGGAGTATGAAGCGGTGAATGAAAGCGGATCCTTGTATGCACCATCTCTCCCGCATCCTGCATCCTGCATCCAGCATCCCTCATCGCCTCCTTCCCCATATCTTCCCAAAGCAGAGGGACACGGAACGAAAGATGGACTGGACTCTCGACGGCAGCCTGTCGCCACACAAGTCCACCACACAGCTCGTCGCCAGTCCCTTTCCTACAAACCAACCTTCCCGTCCATTGACGCACACCCTAGCTCAGCTCTCCACATCCTCTCCAACCTCAAAGGGCAAATGGCGCTCCATCTGCCGTGATACACCCACAATTTGCTGCTCGGCTCCAGGATGGACCACACGACGCCCCTCCACATTCAGCCAGCCTGCCCGCAAGGTCTTTTGGATCGTGCAGGACCAACTTGTGTCTATATAATGGAGGAGACACTGGGACTGCCCCCAGCCACGCATGTATACCTCCAAGTGGTTGCCTCACCCAGACTTACAGGATGCATTTCCCTCTGTTTCGCATCCTCGCCGCCCTCGCAGCTGTGCGTGCTGCCTCCCTGAATGACGTCTGTTCCGTCTCCTACGTCAAAGCACATCTCCCACCGCCTGGTTTCTACCAGGGTGTCACGATCAGTCCCTCCTCGGTGACGGCAAACCCGGTGACCAATGTGCAGGTGGTAGACTACGATTTCTATCCCGATGCCATCTTCGACTATTGCAACGTCAGCTTCACCTATTCCCACGATGGCCTGGACGACCAAGTCCTCTTGACCTACTGGCTTCCCGCGCCAGCCAAGTTCCAGAATCGCTTTCTGGCCACGGGCGGCGGTGGCTATGCCATCAACTCAGGCAATCAGTCCCTGCCGGGTGGGATCATCTACGGGGCTGTCGCTGGCATGACCGACGCAGGCTTTGGCGCTGCTCAGAGCAACACCATCACTCAGTGGCTCTCGGCGAACGGGACCCTGAACTGGCACAACATCTACATGTTTGGCTACCAGGGGATTCGCGAGATGACCCAGCTAGGCAAGGAGTTCACCAGGAGCTTCTTCAACCTGACCCAGTCCAACGCCACCTTGTACACATACTGGCAGGGCTGTTCCGAAGGCGGTCGCGAAGGGTGGAGTCAGGTCCAACGCTACGCAGACTCCTTCGACGGAGCTGTAATTGGCGCCCCGGCCTTTCGCTGGTCCTTCCAGCAGACCCAGCTCCTGTACCCGGATGTGGTCGAGCAGACGATGGGCTACTACCCGTCTCCATGCGAGCTGCAGAAGATCGTCAACGAGACCATAATCGCCTGCGACCCGCTCGATGGAAAAACCGATGGCGTCGTTGCACGGACCGATTTGTGCTATATGAACTACAACATATCCGCCATCGAAGGGATGCCTTACCACTGTCCGGCAACACCAGCAGTTCCCGGCGTCCCCGCGACACCTGCCCAACAAGGCAACGTCACGAAACAGGCCATCGCCGTGGTCCAGAAAATGCTCGAAGGCATCCACGACACCCAGGGGCGGCGGGTATATTTCGCGCCGACGCCGAGCGCGCAGTTCACCGAGGCGCAGACGGGCTGGAACGCGACGTCCAACCAGTGGGGACTGTCTGTCATCGCGCTGGGCGGCGTCTTCGTCGAGGTGGAAATCGACATGCTCAACGGCACCAACATCCCAAACCTGAACGGCGTCACGTATGACACGCTCAAGGACTGGATCGTCGAGGGCATGCAGCGCTTCCAGGGCGTGCTCGAGACCACGTGGCCGGATCTGACCCCTTACAAGAACGCGGGAGGGAAAGTGCTCATGTTCCACGGCGAGTCGGACTGGGGCATCCCGACGGCGTCGTCGGTCCGGTACTGGGAGTCTGTACGACGAATCATGAGCCCATCCGGCCAGGGGTACAACGCCTCGGTGGCGGCGCAGAATGACTTCTTCCGACTCTTCCTGGTCCCCGGCGCCACGCACTGCGCCGCCAACCCGGCCGAGCCCAACGGTCCCTTCCCGCAGACCAACCTCGCCGTCATGATCGACTGGGTCGAGAAGGGCGTCGTCCCCACCACCCTGAACGCCACCGTCCTCCAAGGCCCCAATAAGGGTCAGAACCAGCAGATCTGCGCCTGGCCCTTGAGGCCCGTGTGGTCTTCCTCCGCCAACGCGACTAGCCCGCAATGCCGCTATGACCAGAAGAGCGTGGATTACTGGAACTATGATCTTGATGCCTTCAACGTGCCTATATACTGAGCTCCCGGGAAGAGAGCGAGGGGGGAAAGTACTGAATGAGTCGAAAAAGGAGGGAAAGGGCGAGGGAATAGTGGAAATGGCCGGCCCCGTATATACTGGTTGAGGGTTTAAGTCCCTCGTGTGGAAGGATGTGTCGAGCTCTGGGGTTTGTCAGGAATGAAAAGGAGACACAAATGACAAAGAACACCTATACGAGTCAAATGTGCATATCCTTGGAAAGCACTTTCTGATCCCGAGCACTAATATAGGATAAGCCCCATGTGAGGATCTGAGGTTAGAGCTACAGGACTACTACTGTAGCTATCTGGAATCTCAAGCACGGTGTGAACTCTCAGGAACCCCTCTTGAGTGCTTGTATATTCGTGGCAGAGGCTAGTTTATGTTACCCTAGTGTCTTCCAACCTCCTCCCTCCGTACGTCTAGAATATAGCAACAGCATTGGGATGGCTTCCGACACCGCCTAGACGCACGCACCAGTCAGCAAGGATCCCGTTCTCTATCCATAGAAGAAGCGGATCATGGACCTCCCACAAGAGGGAAACAGGGGGAGGGAGTGGGGAGGAGTTATGATCGGGATATCAGGATATTATCCAAAAGGAACTCACCAGGCACATTCGCGGGAACACTCGAGAGGAAGAAAGCGTACTGGCCCTTCTTCTTGCACACGTCGGCGAGCCGGTCGAGATCCCACATCTCGCCGATGGGCACGCCCCAGCGCGGGAGGAGGTACTGGTGCAGCGAGAAGGTCGGGGGCATGGGCCAGGCCTCGAAGGCCGGGGCGTCGCCGACGACGGCGGCGAAATAGTTGTCGTGCAGGAAATCCAGCATCCCCTCGGTGGCCTCGACGCCCGCGAACGCGTGCTCGGCGAAACTCTGCGTGCCGAGCTTGGCCCGTTCGGAGTCGGAGAGGCTGTTGTACTTGGTCACGAAGCCCGAGCGCACGAGCAGGATGTCGCCCGGTTGGAAGGTGACGTTTTGAGACGCCGCGCAGGCTTGCAGCTCCGTGAGCGGGATTCGGTGAGTGGAGAGGGGGTCGTAGGTCGCGCCGCAGTAGCCGTAGTAGTCGAGCAGGACGCCGCGGCCGGCTGGTTTTGGGACGGAACGAGCAAGTCAGATGGGGTGGGACAAAAGAGATAGAAAAGCATAGGTGTATAGTAATGGATTCCGGGGCTTGGTGTGTATCGTTGTCAAACATTACCTATTCCGTGTTGTGCCCACGCCTGTATCCCGCACCGGGCGGTCTTGTATATTTCGTCCTTGGTGAGCTGTCGGGCGACACCTACTGTTTTAGCCCAGGCCGAAAACCTTCAAAGTGAGCTCATGAGACACACACAAACGTACCCCGTTATAAAAGACCACACCGTCATTGTGCTTGAGTCCGACCTTAAAAACCAAACGAGAGGTCAGAGTGGCGTGCGCTTCAAACATATCCCGGCTATAATCGAGCCAGGGGCAAGCCTTACATGTCGGAACCCGTCCCACTGCGGAAAAAAAAAAAGGTCAATCAGAAAAACGAACACGGATGTGACATCCCATCGGGGGATTGGGTTTCAAAACTGACTTGCGATCCACTCTGCGTGTTCATGTCGTACAGGTCGTCGAACCCGGTGTCGCCCAAGGGCGAAATGGTGTGCTTGAACTTCTGTCTTCCAAAGGCAGGAGGGCTGGGATAGTCGACTCGCCAACTTTTTGCACGGCGCGACATTGTTAGCATTTCGTCCCTCAACTCACTCACTCCCTCCAGGGGCATTATGTATTTACTTGAGATTGACAACCTCGCCACTTTTGATCAGCCCTGCAGCTTTGGAGACGCGCTCGGGCGTCAGGAGATTGAGTCGTCCGAGCTAATTTTCGTGTGAGAAATCGGCTTTCCATTCTGGAAAACAGGGAGGATCGCTTGTGTAGAGTTTGTCTTCGTACCTCGTCATCTTTTCCCCAGAACCAGGCTGCTCCGTCAGGGGCGCCGGGGATCGAGGGCAGTTCCGAGCGCTTGGGCAGCGCCGTCGAGGAAGGGTCGAAATGCATGATATGATATTTGTTTCTTACACAACCGCTATTCTTTGTGAATTGCGAGGGAGTACTGGCTTTTGTTGCGAGTGATAACTGGAATAGATGATCCCGGTATACTGGACAGTGTATTCTAGGGCACTGAAGATACCTTTTTGGGGGAGGAGGTGACCGTCCCGCTTCGGACCTCGGGTCTATCATCGGTTGTACTGTCACATCTGCCGGGCTGATATTGGACGTCTCCAAACGAACGCGGTCACTCAGCAAATCCCAAATGGCTAGCGATATTGGGAAACGTCGCCCTCGGTTCTGCTGCGTGAAGAATACGTCTAAGCCCGATTGGGTTCCCAAACCACGACACTACTGATATACCCGGCAATGGCCCCCTCCCAGTATAGGACAGATCGGGGGGGATCAGAAGAGCTGTGGGTTGGCTCTGTCGAGATCTGGCAAGCTCATCACGGTCACTCGACAAGCCCACGCACAACCACTGCCAAATCTTGTCTTATGCATTGTACCTCGACACGCCTCAGCCTGGAGTATCGTCTTGGATGGAATTTCCGCAAGAGATCAGGGCATTGCCGTGTCGTGGCTGGTTTGAAATCAAGACCCAAAGTGTTAACAAGAGACTGAGAGGCGGCCGCCGTAGTCAAGAGATATGTCTCGATTGCATATTTTTCGGGATGAGACACTAAGGAGTTGTGGTGAAAGCCAGTTGCCAGAGAAGCGAAATCGAGGTTGCCAAAGCAGTTCATTGACTTGAGACGAGACGGACAAAACAATATCAAAAGCAACCTCCCCAAGTCTCTTGGATATCCGGACCCGCACTCTTTCACTGTCTGAAGGTCCACAGAAGAGCCTTTTACCATGGCAGTTTGAGGCACATCAACCAGCAGTCTCGTAATCAAGCTCTTTGTTGGGCTAAGTGCGCCGGGCCAGCGGCTGGCCATAAAGGATGGTCGAAGAGCCTCATCACTAGCTTTCCGAGTTCCGTGTTGGAGCAAGTGTGTCATCCGTGCGCAGAGCAAATCCCGGAACATGCCCCTTTGTCGACGTCCCCATGAGACAAGTGGGAAAGTTCAGGTGCATAACACAAGTCATCACTTGTAGCAGTCCTGCACAACGCCTTTTATTTATACACACTCGAAGCATGTCCCAAGCTTTCTCTTCAATGAGTCGTTGTACGGCCGTTCCACGCCTCCTTCGACCTTATCGTACGGTCACAAGTGGCATGCTCCACGATGGAGGGAGTGTGGCGTAGTTACGAGCGGATCCCGTTCGCCTGCGCAGTGGGTGTCTTCGGCGGCTGAGTTGAAATCTGCTGTAATTGTGCAGTTTCTGCGGAGGAGGAGTTGGGCGCAGCGACTTGCGGGTCCGACGGAACAATCACGTCGTCAAAGGTCTCTTGGCCTACAGCTTTGAGAGTAAAAGCAACTGTTCATAGCAAGAAAAGCAAACAGTGTCAGTCAAGGAGTTCTTTGGAAGTGACTGGAGGCTTCGTCCTACTCGTCCGAGTCAAGAGATCGCTGAGCCAGGAAGGGCTGGGCTTGAAGAGACAGCTCAAGAGAGTAGGGAAGTGCACATACAAACGCCAATGGCAAAACCGAAGATCGCTAGGCCTGTGATGGTATTCTTGACCAGGTACGGTCGGCGGGCCCGAAGCAGGGCAGCCCCGCTGCGGTAGTCGGAGTCGTAGTAGGAGGAGCGCTTGAGACTAATCCCATAAGCATCTTCACAGAGTAGAAATCGACGAAGGGCAACGGGAGAAGGGGTAGGAGGAGGGCCGTGGGATGGTTGATTCAGAGTGTGAGGACCAGCGCACTTGGGGAGCAGGAGACGATGCTGAGGATGCGATGCTGCAAGAATGAGGCCAGGACTTACATGCCAGCTCGCAAGGGTAACGAAGAGCGCATCTTCGCTATCCGAGTCTGAGATGTCGCTGAGATAATAGACGAGGATAATGTACAGCAGTGCAAGGTTCGTCTTGGGGGGAGGCAAGCTGCACATTGGAAGTGCGAAAGCATTCTCGAGTGGAATGACTATCTGCGCTTGGAGGAATTATGATTCGCCATAAAAGATTCGGCGGGTCATATCGTAGTGTGATGAATTCACAGCCTTGCACAGCCTCGCCAACAGGCATCACGAGCACCACGGAGGTCTTCGGAAAAAGGTCTCTGTCCTCACGGTCGCCTCTCTCAGAGTTAGGAAGTGTCCTACTGCCTTCAGCGCGAGAAGCAAAGTATCGTCCCGGGACCGTGATGATACCCAAGCAAGCCTACATCAACTTCCTTCGTCCCTCCCCATACTATTGAACCCGTCCTTCGACTCCATGTGGCTTGTGAACACTGCCAACAGCTGTGGATCATGGAGATAGAGCTGACCGAATGCCGAATACCGATTACACCAGAGCACTACATAGTACATGTCTTCCAGCCTTGTGATAGCCGGACTGCAAGGCTGCAGTGGTTCCGGGCATTTCCCTCGGAAGAATATTTCTCCATCCGACAACAAGTGGAGCAGCGACACGTTGCTTCCCCCTTTCGTTCCGTCAACACCTACAAAATCTCAGCGGCATACGACTCCTGCCCGATCTTGTGAGTCTGTCCAAGGGCCATGGCGATTCTGGGCAAGTTTTCAGGCAAATGCAGAGCCTGCCCGTGAGTGATAAAGGAGTTATTCGCAAAGAGTCGGTCGAACAGAAAATCTGGGGATGAACGCGCTACATCCACACCCTGACTGAGAGCTGCTTGTTTTTCTATTTCCAATCGTTTGGCCTTCTCTAGTCCGCTTCTTCAATGATCACACGGGTCCACGTTGTCCTTACCAGCATTAAAAAGGGGAATCGGCGTTTAAACAATCGACTTTCTGCATAGCGAACGGCGGCTGCCATAATACCACATATTCTTCACAACCGAGACACGCGCGTTCTCTTCTTAGACAAGTTGTCGATCAAGTCCTCCTCCCTGTGGCTGACGCGATATGCTCCGGAGAAGACATGCCGTGATCTGTCTGGTTTTCGCAACGGTTTTGAGTTTGGTCCTCTACTATCGATCGGCGAGTGGCTCCATCACCATCAGAGCTTTACAGTCCAAGGTGCCGCAGATTGTTGGACTTGGAGACTATTTCGACCCGGAGGACCAGGATGCTCAGAACCAAATCCGACCGCTTTCTCCCCCCGAAGGAGACTCTCGTGCCTCGAATTCTGCAATAGAATCGGTGGCGACAGGGACTCCAATAGGTGGTCCGCCAGGATCGAGATATACGCGAGGTCTAGTCATGCCTCGGCTGAAGGAGGAAAATGTTACGTGGCTTGACAGGGTCGACCTTGGCCCCGAGATTAAAAAGTTCATCTATGTCGCTGACGACCCTAATGCGCCTTTACACCCACCCAAAAACAAGGGTCATGAAGCCATGACCTATCTCACATACGTTGTTGATTTCTATGACGACCTACCCGACGTCAGCATCTTTATGCATTACCATCAAGACGCATGGCACAATGATGAACTTCTGAATTGGGACGCCGCCGAAATGATCAAACGACTGAGCAGTGAGAGAGTCCTGCGTAAAGGCTACATGAATATGAGATGTCATTGGAACCCTGGATGCCCAGATTGGATCCACCCAGGTCAGATAGAGAGAGACAAGGACAAACTCGAACAGTCATACATGGCGTCGACCTGGGCAGAGTTGTTCGTGGACAAACCCATCCCAGCCGTTCTAGCTCAGCCATGTTGCTCCCAGTTCGCGGTGAGCCGCGACCAGATAAGGTTGACCCCAAGGGAGACATACAGGCACTACCGGGACTGGCTCCTACGGTCGGGCATATCGGATGTCACCAGCGGTAGGATTTTTGAGTATCTCTGGCAAGTCATCTTCGCAGACGAGAGCGTATTCTGCCCGAGTCAACGGGCTTGCTACTGTGATGGATTCGGTGTCTGCTTCGAGACCGACAAAACGTTTGACAAGTGGTTCGAACTGAGATACCAACGGCAGATGGCCGAGAAGGAGTTGCGAGAGTGGAATGAGAAGGCTGAGGCAATCGAACAATTCCGGGACGAAGACGGAAGATTGCCCGATATTGAAGCAGGAGAGCTTCAGGTGCCAGAGATTGGGAGGAAAGAACAGCTCGAAGCCTCGATTGAGGAAAAGAAGGCGGAGCTAGAACGGAGGAGACTGGAAGCTCTGGAGAGAGGCAGAGACCCGCGGAACAGAGCAGAGAGCGACGGGCGACCCTGGAAAGAAGGAGACGGATTCTGAACGACTAAACGACCTACTGTATACCTAGGTATCTCGTGGCTGGTTGGTGGGAGGGTACATATTTTCTGGCTAGATAATAGAACAACATGCGCATAGCGGAGTCGGTTATTTTCATGCTTGATGCAGAAGGAGCCTTGGAGGCCTTTTCTAACGAACAATCCCTTGTCATCCTCAATTATTGAGTAGGAGGGTGTTGACAAGTTGCAACTTGGATGATCCGCCACTTTTGGGCTTGACAGGCACGCCAGGGCATGGGCTTGCGCAATCGGGGCGCGGAGGAACTTCAGACACAGCAATCAGGAAACTGAACACCTTTCGTCTTCTTCAACCAAACCCTCGCGCCACGGCCTCTCTTCCTACCTTCCTTCCCATGTGCTGTTTCCTATCGATGACTGTCTCCTCACCGCATCGCTTGTGAGGTTTGCTTCTGTAAACCTCCGCGTTTCCCACGGTGGCTCGGATCGGCGATCGAACGAATGATGGCATCAACGAGACTGCGACCAAGTCACACTTGAAGAAGACAGTGTCTACTGGATAGCTTATCAAAGATGCCGGTGAGAATGAGAATGAGATGGACGGCGTATGCTGGGGTATGCACTACCACCCTCTACCTACCTAGGTACTCGTCTCGCAGTCGCTGACCCTTCGTCTCTCTCGCGCAGGTGTCTACCGCCCTCGCTACGGGTGTCATCCTCAAAGCCCTGGCGCAGCGACCCAACTTCTACTCCGCCGCCGTCTATCTCTCTCAGTCCTCCGCAAACTTGATGATCCTGACAAACCTCCTATTCGTCATCGCCTGCACCTTTCTGCTGGGACTCCAGAAACTCCTCTACGGGAACCTGCGACCGATCGAGATCGAACAGCTCTACGAAAAGGCATGGTTTGCCGTTACCGAGACGTGCTTGGCCATGACGGTCTTCCGCGGAGAGATCGGACTCTCCTTCCTCGCCATGTTCTTCTCTCTGCTCACGGGAAAAGTCTGGGGATGGATTGGTGAAGGCCGCGTGGAGGTGCTGGAGCAACAACCACCCCGAAACCCAAGATTGTTCCACACACGCCTGGCACTGAGCCTCGGGTTGAGTGTTGCTTTCGACTTGACCATGCTGGAGTACGTTGTCAAACAAGTCATGAGGATGGCACGGCCGGACATGATGGTCATGTTTGGCTTCGAATTCGCCGTGCTGTCCGTCATGAGCATCAGTACCGCGATGAGATATGCCATTGATCTGGTCGAGATCGGTATCGTCCGCGGGCAGAAGAGACTTCGAATAGAAGAGATCAAAAGGGAAAGAATGCAAGCAGCAGTGGCAGAATTCCAGGAGTCTCAGGGCGGACAAGCTGCTGGTGCGCCTACATCGGAAGCTTCGAGGGACACACCGACACCGACCCAGCGCACCCTCGACCAAGTATCCCAAGAAGCCTTTAACCAACCAGTCGATGAGAATGAGGTTGAAGTTGAGGGCTGGGAGGACAAAGGCCGCTACATGTTCTACCTCAACCTGGCCACGGATTTCTTCAAACTTGTGATTTACCTTGCTTTCTTCTTTATCCTTCTTGTATTCTACGGACTACCCATCCACATCTTGCGGGATGTGTTCTTGACGATGCGATCATTTTTGAAACGAATTTCGGACTTTATCAAATACCGAACGGCGACGAGGGATATGAATGCCCGCTACCCGGACGCCACGGCGGAGGATATTGGACGTGAGGATGTCTGCATAATCTGCAGAGAGGAGATGCACCCATATCAGCCAGCCGTTGTGCAGCCAGGTCAACCACAGCCCAGACCGAATCCTGTGGCGGAGAGGATGCGGCCCAAGAAGCTCCCTTGTGGACATGTCCTACACTTTTCTTGCCTGAGAAGTTGGCTGGAGAGACAGCAGATATGTCCGACATGCAGAGCAAATGTCGTCCGGACAGGTGGGACAGGGGGTGCAAACGATGGTGGCCAAGGCGAAGGTGGGCAGGGAAATGGCGGACAGCATCCACCGGGTGCGAGGCCAGGTCCACGCGTATATCACTTCGGCCCATTGAGAATCGGTGTTGGGGCAGCCCGCGGCAATAACATGTTCGAGGAACTTCAACAGCAGCTTGGAGATGGGGCAGCTCCAGCGCCAGAAGGGCAACCTGCGAACCCCGACCCCAACGCACCACGACAGATTGGAGTGGGATTGCGGTGGTCTGGGAGGAGACGTCGCCGAGCAGATCAGAACCTGACGACTCAACAACAGATTGATGCCTTGGCAGCACGTATTCGACAAGACACCGATGAGTTGGCCCGGTCGTCTGTCGAGTTGGGCGTGTTGCGGTCAATGCAAGCTGAACTCGAAAGATTGAGAACCCTTAGGCCCGGGGAAAGGCAGGCACAGACAGATGCTACGACTCAAAATCCAGCAGAAGCGGCAAGGCCCGCGCTTCCTACTTATCACCCCGTGTCCACGCTGGTTCCAGACCAGCAGCAAAACATGCTACAAGCAGGTAGTGACAGACTTCCTGCTGGCTTGACGTTGCCAGAAGGCTGGACGATGATGCCTTTACGACCGGTGCACCTTTTCCAGCAAAATCAGCATCGCGACCACAATCCAGATCCTCTGACAAATATAGGTCATCCGTGGCCACAACCGCAGGGAATGCCGGCTCCTTTCGGTATGCTTTCTCCTCTGCAGCAATTCGCTCAGCTCCAGAGGCGGCCCACACCCACTGCAACAAGCAGTGGTCAAACAGGCTCTACTGAGGCGAATGGGGTGCTGTCTCCAGCGCCTGCTCCAGGCCAACAACCATCAGCTCCGTCCGGAAGTGAGCCGATAGATGACCTGCGAACTCCGGCACCATCTCGAGGACCTTTTCAACCTCCGGAAAACTTCCACCAGCATCGGAACCCGTGGAACTTGGCGAGTATGAGGAACCAAGTCAACCAGCCACGCGCTTCAAACAGTTCGGATCCAATGGCCGGTGGTGCAAATGGCACTATGTCCCATGCCGCGCCGACCGATGCGTCCGGAGCAAGTACAGCAGCGGCGGCCAACACGAATCAAGATGTGGGGCAAGCTGCTAATTCTTTACCTTCTTGGGGATCCATGTCTTCCGAACCTACAAACAATGTTGTGAGTGACAACAACGGCAGTGCTGGAGCCTCCGCGCCGCGAGTCAACGGCAGTCATGATCACGCGGCAGAGAATGGCGAAGCAAATGGATCACCTCCAGCCACATCGCAACCAAAGGACAGGCACGCGACAGTGGAAGATGCCGTAGGAGATCTAGACCGGGATTGAAGCTTTGGATATTGTGTCTCTGACGGAAATGGAGAAAAAGCACTTGTATCTTAGTTGAATAGTTCACTGAGCCCTGCGTACCGAGAAAGGGGTTTTCAGCATAGCGATGGAGTACTTGCCTGGAAGCCTGAACTTTCAGTGAATCCTTCTCACCACAATGAACCATGTTGCAAGCTGGGACTGTTTTCTTCTTGAAACAAGATGAGGGATACTGCTCGGATGCTAGTGGAGCGTGAGAAAAGCCGCGTTTACGTGAGGCTGCAAGGGGAAAAGGGGATCCTTCGCTTCGGAGGCTTCGATTGGCTGTCAAAGTTCAATTAACAGCCGCATCTGTGGCTTTTTTTTGTACTTGTTTCATGTGCTGAGACAACAACTACGGAGCAGGGCCAACAGGGCGTCCCTGATGAAGATCGTCGACTTCAAACGCGCGATTGTCGCCAGTGTGGCCAGTTGACCCGCTCGTGCCTATCGATAGTGGACTGCTGCGCCTCCCGTTGTGGACATGGACCCCCTGGGTGCCTGGTGTCCAGTATTTGTTGGCATGCAATGTTTCGGGCACTCGAACATGCCTTGATGCGTTGTAACGCTTCGACATCAAGGCACCGAACGTCCAATCGTTCAAGTTCTTGGACTTCACACTCTCTTTAATCCGCTATTTCTTTGGAGAAGCTACGACATCTCCAGTCCTCTCCTTCCTGAATACTTTTGGTTCGAGGTGACCGTCTGCGCCAAGTGACATTTTGGCCGTGACACCCACTCTCATTCAACACCTCACATCGATTGACCGTGGTGGCACGAACCCCTTTGCCTGCTCTGAATCCAGCTCCTTCCAGAGCCCTTTAAAACACACACTCCTTTGCCACTGTCTCGGTCTCTTGATCTTCTCTCTTTCCTTACTCTTTCCCTGCCAGTCACGACCCATATCCACCTCCCTTACGACGAAGTATCGACTACTAGAATACATGGTCCAAGAACTGCGGTGCAAAAAGGAACAAGAGCAGGTTGAGGAGCAGCTGCAAGAGTAGTGACTGGGGGAAACCAACTTGGTTCAAAGGACACTGCCAGCACGATGGCGGTATCAAGGATACTTGGTCGACAAATCAGTGACAATCCCGGCAGCGACGACACCGACAGCACCGACAACGGATACTGGTGGTACTCTCCTGTAGGTTCAACTTGCTGAGGAACCCTACTTGGATTGCTTTGGGATGGGAACTCATCTCTCCTTGGGCAAGCTTGAATGTCTTGAATTCAGAACTGACATTGTTTGCCAACAGACTGCCGATGCCATCAAGTGGGCTGTGATCGCAGCTATCCTCCTCGCCTTCTCCTTGTACTTCCTCGCAGGACACTTGCATGCCAGGCGGAGGATGCAGAAGGGCTTGCCGCCTCTGGCCTATCATCGGGTACGTTTAAAGACCCTCACGTGGCAATCTCGCGCCTCCAACAACTCGGCAGACATGTTCCAAGCCCTGTTCAATGGACTAATAGATTACAGTGGCTCATCTCACGCCGTCAAAAGGCTGCCTTCCTGCAACAACACCCACAGTATGCGAGTCAATTCGCGTTCTACCGGGCACAGCAAGAACGTGTAGGCCCATATGGCTATTCGTACACTGCCGGGTCTGGACAGGCTTATCAGATGGGTGGAATGTACGGACCGCCTCCACCTGCGTATCACGAACCAGAGTACGTCCCAGCATACACTCCTCCGCAGGAAAATGCTCCGAACAAAGTCAACCAGGACCAACGCTACGACCCTCCCAGCGGACCACCTCCAGCAACTGCCAACGCAGCCGCGGAACCAACGCAGCCTGAGCCGGCAAGGGTGGCACCTTGAAGGAGAGCAACCCGACTTGCTACAAGCCGGATGGCTTCGCACCACTCGCAATCACATTCTCCGTGTTGGCAATCGATCTAAATGGGGGTATCCTTTTGCGCGTTATCTCCATTTGCTTCCGGCATGACAGGGACTTAATGGCGCATTGCGAATAACATTGTGCATGATGATTGCAACACAGCTTGCAGAATACCGCACATCCATCATGACGCCGAGGGAAATCAGACACAAATGGGGTCAGCCAGGGTGCAGAGCTCACAATTAGTTCGCACTCTCAGAAAGTACCTGGTGAGGACTAATTTGTATCACACCGTTGTGCACAGCGCCAGGGTCACCTTCAGATTGCCCGTTGCTTTTCAGACTCTGTGTTGGGGAGGGGTCGCACAATACATTGTACTGCGACAGGAGGCCAGAATGCAATACAGATAGCGTTCCAGAGACAATATGCCGGAACAATCAGCATAGGGAGTTGTTTTCTTCCCTCGCCAACTCTATTCTATTTCCATTGCATCTACATCGTCATCCACCATTCCCCCTCCATGGAAGGAATTGTCTGTCATTGCATCGTCCCATTCCACGCTCTTTTGGTCAAGTTGTAGAGCCCTGGCTTGCGCTTCCCTCCTTTCCTTTTCTCTCTGTTCCTCGGCCGTCTTCTCTCTCGCCCTCCGTCTCGCCTCAATGATGGTCTTCCTGACCACGTCATCCTCCTCCGGCACGGATATGCTACTTGGATCTCGGTATAGTACCAACGCTGTATTTAGATTCTCGGGTGGCAGCCCCGCAGGTTGAGGAAGTCGATCGTGGTTCCGGGTTTCGAGCAGCTTCTGTGGCACACGCGACACCTGTTTGTCTATATCCGAGAGGAAGATTGTGGCGTTGTGGGCGGCTTCCTCGGCTTCGATTTGGGCAATTTCTGATTCTAGGTCGTGGATGATTATCCTGTGAGGGGTGTCGTCGACGGTCATGAAGTCCGCATCCGGGAGCGTTGGTGGCTTTATAGACATCTGAGGTACGGGTGTAGGATGCGGCGGAGGAGGCGGTCCATAATCGAGTTGAATGGACGTGGGAAGAGGGAGAGCGGGTCGAGCATCGGTGTTGGCGATGTGCGGGCGGAATGAGACTGTCGAAGGGCTGGTCGGCGGACTCAGTCGGATCTGTTGGACCTGAGAAGGCGACGAAGGCGCAACTGAAGGAGTGAACGCGGAGGGTTGTGAATATTGGTGTGAGAGTGCATTACTATGGCTGTTGTTGGCTTGGTTCAGCCGGAGTTTCTTGAAATGCGACGAGATGTTGGATTGAGACTCGAGTTCGTCTTCGGCCCTTCGCTTGCCATGACTGAGCAGATTGCTGCGATGTTGGTTCGCAAGCGAAGGATGCCATTCTGCTGTGACGGGAGCATAGTGAGCCATTGGTCGTGTGAGGTTTCGCTGGTGGTCGGTGGAAGGTGAGGCGGCGTAATACGAGTAGTTCGATGGTGAGGCTGTCTTAGTGTATCATCGACGAGCACCGCAGGCAGGAGGAGGGAGGGCCCTTTTTTCTCCGAAGATTGGCCTTTTCACTTTTGAATTATTTCCCTTTTCCCTTTCACTTGTTGCTCATTTCTCTCTGGCGCGGCGGACACGGCTCGCTTCGCGGTCTGGGTCGTAATTTGACATTGTTCGAAGGGTGAGGAACTCGACTTTGCGGGAGATCTATTTGGAGCAATAAAGAATCTTACCGCGTAGGGGACGAGAAGAGGGATAGTTCGGCGGCTGGAAGGTACGAGAACCAAGGAGCCTGGAGGTGATCAGTGCCCAGGTGCCCAGTGAGTTGTGAATGCGGAGCCCTACCGCGACTTGGAGAGCTGCCGCTGGAGCTGCCGCTGGAGCTGCCGCTGCGGGCTGCACGGGCTGCCACCGAGGAGCCCCCATCACCATCTCCATCACCGCCGGCACCACTGCGAATTGCGCTACGAACTGCGCTACGAACTGCACTGCGAACTGCACCCCTCGATCCTCCAAAATTGCCCGCTTGACTCACGACTCCAATACCCGGCTCACCAAGAATTTTTTCACGTTTCCCTCGCTACACGTTGTCAGCCGGCAGCGACGTGGTTCTACAGTCGGCATTCTATTAGCAAGTCGGTCATTGAATCAGACTTCTCCCTCCTGGTGCGCTTCGTCTGCCTTGCGGCCGTCCATTGTGCGGCGGCACACGACCTCGAGAATGGCGTCCACAACCACTCACGAGTGGTCCGCTCCCAAGGTTCGAGAGACCTTTCTGAAGTACTTTGAGGACCGGGGACATACATTCGGTGAGTCAAGCCTATTCTTCTGTCTTTATGATTGTCCATTACTGACTTTACAATCCAGTCAAATCCTCTCCCGTGGTTCCACTTTCCGATCCTACCCTTCTCTTCACAAATGCAGGCATGAACCAGTTCAAACCTATCTTCCTGGGTACGGTCGATCCCACGAGCAAAGAAGGCCAGTATAAGCGCGTGGTCAACTCGCAAAAGTGCATACGTGCTGGCGGAAAACACAATGACCTCGACGATGTCGGCAAGGACAGCTATCACCATACCTTTTTTGAGATGCTGGGCAACTGGTCGTTTGGCGACTACTTCAAGAAGGAGGCCATCTTATTCTCTTGGGAGCTGTTAACAGACGTGTTCGGGCTGGAACCGGATAGATTGTATGTCACCTACTTCGAAGGAAACGAAGCCGGCGGTCTGGAGCCGGATCTGGAGGCAAAGGAGATCTGGAAGAGCGTTGGGGTGCCTGAGGACCATATACTGCCTGGTAACATGAAGGACAACTTTTGGGAAATGGGCGATCAGGGACCTTGCGGCCCATGTTCCGAAATTCACTACGATCGCATCGGCGGTCGCAATGCGGCCAGTCTCGTCAACCAGGATGACCCCAACGTGTTGGAAATATGGAACAACGTCTTCATTCAATACAACCGAGAACCGGATAGGAGCTTACGACCGCTACCGAACAAGCACGTCGATACAGGTCTGGGATTTGAGCGACTGGTCAGTGTCCTCCAGGACAAGATGTCCAACTACGATACCGATGTCTTCACTCCACTATTCTCGCGCATTCAGGAAGTCACAGGCGCCAGACCCTACTCGGGAAAGTTCGGCGAAGAGGATGTCGATGGTATCGATACTGCATACAGGGTAGTGGCAGATCACGTGCGGACGCTCACTTTCGCCATCAGTGACGGTGGCATTCCCAACAATGAGGGAAGAGGCTATGTTGTTCGACGAGTGCTGAGACGTGGTGCGCGATATGCTCGGAAATACTTTAATGTCGAAATCGGCGATTTCTTCTCCAAGATTGTACCGACCCTGGTAGAACAGATGGGCGGAATGTTCAAAGAGATTGTTGCGAAAGCAGACGAGGTCAAGGAGATCCTCAACGAGGAAGAGCTCTCTTTCGCAAAGACCTTGGATCGCGGAGAGCGGCAATTCGAGGTGTACGCCCAGAAGAGCCAGGTCCAGGGGCTAAAGAAGCTGCATGGCGCTGATGTCTGGCGATTATACGACACTTTCGGGTTCCCTGTTGATTTGACCCGGCTCATGGCTGAAGAACGAAACCTTTCCATCGACGACAACGAGTTTGAGGCTGCGAGGTTGGCTGCCAAAGAAGCCAGCAAGGGTCAGAAGAAAGCCGCCAGCGATGTCCTCAAGCTGGATGTGCATGATCTGGGCCAACTGGAGAAAATGCCCGGTGTGACGAAAACAGATGACAGCGCCAAGTACGGCAGGGAAAATATCACCAGCACAATCCAGGCAATATATCATGCGAAGAAGTTCCATTCTGACACCAAAAATATTCCAGAGGATGATCAGGTTGGTATTATTCTCGATCGAACCTGTTTCTACGCGGAACAGGGTGGTCAGGAGTACGACACCGGCCGGATCGTCATTGATGGACAAGCTGAACTTGAAGTGGAGAATGTTCAACTTTACGCCGGCTATGTATTACATACAGGTTACATGAAGTACGGTCACTTCTCGGTAGGGGACAAGGCAATCTCCGAGTACGACGAACTAAGAAGATGGCCCATACGGAACAACCATACTGGCACACACATTCTCAATTTCGCGCTGAGGGAGGTTCTGGGTGATGGTGTTGAGCAGAAAGGCTCGTTGGTGGCCCAGGAAAAGTTGAGATTCGATTTCAGTCATAAATCAGGTGTGTCGGACGATGATCTGCAGAGGATCGAGGACATATCGACAGAGTATATTAGGCAGAATTGCCCAGTATATGCCAAGAATGTGCCTTTGTCCATTGCCCGTGAGATTGCAGGTGTCAGAGCCGTGTTTGGCGAGACCTACCCTGATCCAGTCCGGGTCGTCTCGGTGGGGGTTGAGGTTGATGATATCCTAAAGAATGTCAATGATGAGAGATGGAAAACGGTCAGCATCGAATTCTGTGGTGGCACCCACGTCAGAAGCACGGGCGATATCAAGGATCTTATCATACTCGAAGAAAGCGGCATTGCTAAAGGCATCCGGAGAATCATCGCGGTCACCGGCGAGGACGCCCATGGAGTCCAACGCGTGGCGGAAGAATTCTCTGTGAAACTCGACAAGCTTGAGAAGATGCCATTCGGGCTGCCGAAGGAACATGAGGCAAAGGCCATCCAACTTGAACTTAACAACCTGTCAATATCGGCGGTGAGAAAGTCGCAATTCCGAGACCGATTCGCCAAAATCAGCAAAGAAATTCTCGATCAGCAGAAAAAGCTGCAGAAGGAGGAGACGAAGAAGGCCATCGACACAATAACGGAGTATTTTGAGAAGAACCCCAAAGCTCAAGGGGCGGTCCTGAGGCTACCAATCGGAGGAAATCCCAAAATTGTGCCAGATGTGGTCAAGCATGTCCAGACCAAGATGAAGGACAAGAGTGTGTATATCGTCGTGGCTGACGAGAAGGATCCTGAGGGCAAGGTGTACCACGGATGTTTTGTCGGTCAAGTAAGTTTTGCTTCCAGAAAGAACACAGGGGCAGATCAGCTAACAACAACCTCCACAGAGCGGCACAAAGGCCGGTATGAAATCTCCCGAGTGGTCGTCAACGGTGTCGAAGCTAGTTGGCGGCAAGGCTGGCGGAAAGGAGCCAGTCGCCATCGGTACTGGGACGGAACAATCCAAGATCGACGAGGCGTTGAAGGCTGCAACGGATTATTTGGAGAAATTCAAGCTATGATTGCATACAGCAAAACTGCAACAAAACTGCAACCCACTGAAGCTGCCTGGCTAGAGGAATACCGCTCCGGGCCTACATGGGCGCGCTTTGTGGACACTGGCTGAGCGAGTATTGATTGAGACATGTCACTTGATGGAGCACATGTAGGCATCAGATAGATACCCCTGGATGCACTGGTGATGAATGCAAAATACCGGGATACCTCGTTGGAGCGGCGTTGTGTAGTTCTGGCCAATGAGGCTACAGGACGGGCAGTGCTGCCGTGTCCAATGAGCAGCCAGGACTATGGTCCCAATCGGGAAATATGACGAACGAGGGACGAAATGACGTTGGCGTGATGTCGACGTCGAATGTCGATAGAAATGAAGGTCATAGACGCTCTCACTACCTAATTCGTTTCCTTGGAAATTGACGAACTTGTCGCTTGTATCGTGCCATTGCTTCTTGCAGTGTACTAATACAAAGGTCGAGATCCGCCGCAGGGAAATGCAAAGTCTGCCACTACGCCTCATCCCGCGTCCTAGATTGACCATCGTTGACATCACGAACGTCCGCTTCACACTGGCAATTCCGTCTCCAACCCCAACTCCATCGTCTACTCTACGACGAGCACAAGCTTTCTCGACACAACTCCAGCACCGTAGTACCTCTTCTTCTTCCCCGCAAACACCCAGGACCAGGACCTTTTCAACCTCCGCCTCCCGCCCGCTCGAGAACCTCGACATACATCCGGACACCATTCGAAAACAATCGCCCACAAGGATATCCGCCGACAAAATGCCCCACACGCTCCCCGGCGGCTGCTACTGCGGCGCGATCCGCTACGAGGTCACGCTGGACGACCCGGAAAAGGACGCCCGTACGTCCATCTGCCACTGCGGCAACTGCAAAAAGTTCACGGGCGGTAACTTTGGGATTACCAGCAAGATCCCCCGCTCGAGCTTTAAAGTGACTCAAGGCCAGGACAAGGTCACGGTCCATGAGGCGGATAATGGTACGGGGACGATTTTGCATAGGGAGTTCTGTAGGGAGTGTGGGAGTGGGTTGTTGGAGTATGGCGTGAGTATTCACCTAAATACTAACCGTCTCATGACGGAGGAGTTTTGGTCCCTTTCTATTCCAGTGTACCATTCGTGCATGGCACCTTTTCCCTTGCAAGGACATATATTTCCCCCTATCCGCCACACAGCAGCCGGCAGCTGTCCCGCTTCCCATTTCTGAGCCTGTTCGTTGTAAGTGAGTAGCGCTGTTGAACTAATACTAACGAAATCAATGCCAGGCAAACGCGGGCGACTTCGTCTACATCTTCTACGGCACGCTCGACCACCCGACAGACCTGCCGCCCAAGGGCGAGTTCTTCACCAGCAGGCGGGATTCGTGGATGCCAGAGGTTCCGGGTACGTTTTCGTCTATCTTTTCTCTGCCAAATCCCAGACCCTCATGGTCATGTAACGTGTTTTGAGACTACAAATTGAGAGGGCTAGGGAAACAAATGCTAACATGCCATCCGCGCGTGCAGGGTTGTTCCAGAAGAAGAAAATCAAGGAGTAAAGAAGAGGGATCAGAGGTGTTGATGAGAGGGTGCGCAGGCGGTCGGGAGATGGGCATGAGAGGTGGTCTTAATGGGAGACGCCAATACTGGTGTGCGAGGCAGACAAAGTTGCCTGTGCAATCAGTAAGCGAAAAGCCCAGACCACGAAATGGAGACATTTTGCGTCAAAGAGGTCTCAATCGGCATGGTATGAGACGGTACATATCTAGCTAGATATTCGAAACAAACAGTACCGCTCCGCAACTTTCATGTCGACAATACACGTAAAGAACTAATATCCCTCGTCGCTATACATGTCACACCGTCTGTGCTCAACGCTTTTCAAGATGCCTTCCAAAAATGCCAGCCTATGTCGATACCCGACTTCTAGCCAGTCAGCGCAGGCGCGGTCATAAAGTCTTGTTGATTACTACTTGCTAGTACTACGTGGTCAGGCTGCAAATTGAGATGATCGTGTCCAGTGCATGTGATTTGAGTCTGCTGCTTCTGTCCATCCCAACAAGCATACTTGATATTCACCAAACGGCTCGAATCCCTTGCTTGCTGATGTGTGATCGTGTTGCATGCAACATCTTATCACCATGTCGTCGGCTGTGTCATTTCTTCCAAATGGATGTCTCCTTATATTTGTGTTATGTAGCTAGTAAGAACACTCATATTAGGATGCTAACTGTTTAGTACGGGTAGTAAAGCACCGTGGTGGTAGTATTAGGAGTAGTGTTCTTACCCATATACGCCGGGTCAGCTCCCTAGTACATACTAGTATTTGAATATCCATAGTAGTACAAAGTAGTACATCTGTTACAACCCCTGCGATCGACCCACAGTGGCGATCAACCCGGGCACTTTTAGTCCTCTGCTAGTCATTCCAGAGGAACCTCATCATCACTCCCCTCGTCCAGAGGCCGCAAGATCCCACGGTCCCATTGGTGCACTGGCGACCTCAACCTCAACCTCGGCCATCCGCGAGCAAATCGACGACCCATACAAGGCATGTCGTCGACACGGTCGTGGTGGAGACACGATACCCCATGCATGTGACCCGGCACTTGCCACAATTGACGGATCTGGTACTGTGGCTCCCATTCAACATGGTCCCAGTGCATATGGATGACAATAGAAGCGTGCGGCAGTCGGATGTGGTGTCTGGTGAAGGGTCTGTCCTGCTTGACTTCGAGGGACATGACGTACTGCTTTCGAGGCGCGGCTGGGTTGCTCCGGGGCTCGGGCTTCATGTCGGTAACGACGATGAGGCAGAGATATCGCGCGGCGGCTGTGTAGCTGCTTAGTGCGCGGGTGCTCTCGGTTTCGGTACTACCAGTAGACCCTTCGTCGGAGGGGTTCGAGTCAACGGACCCATCATCCGTCTCAGAGTGTTCCCCTTCTTCCCAGGAAATGGTACTGCCGTCTGATACATTGGATTGACATTCTATTTCGTCGCTGCCGACGAATCTCCAGGTGGGTGCTGGTGGGGCAGCAGCATGTTCTTGAACAGAATTTGACCCGTCGGAGAAATCGACTCCTCTGAGATGGGCATCCACCGTGATATCGCCATCTTCAGTATACGATATGCCCGAGGCGGCCAGGTACGCACCTGCGTTGGCCGGGGATATGACGTCGGCCACGGTGGAGTTTGACGAAGTCTGGGACGTGCTTTCAAATTCGTCAACGTCAGGAAATGAGTAGACGCTGCTGGCGGTAAGGTTGGTCGACATTGTTCTGGAGCTTTTTTCAACAGACTGAAACTGATTGCGGTGTTGATCGAGATGTGATAGAAGATGGGAAGTTGGGCTCGAAAGTGCATGCAGTCACATTTGGAGAGTCTTGCCTTGATATTTCTATAGTATCCCCTGGTATTGAAGAAGGTTCGGGTCCCAGTGGTTCGCGTTGAGGACCTACCTCGTGAGGACCTGTTGGGAAACCTGCTCGAACAACCATTCCAGGCCGTTCTTGGGACCTCCTGGGTACGGATTCGCAGTCTGCATCAGGAAGCAAGTAGTAATTTGCTACCTTAGTACGCTCTAAGTTTTACGTGTTTTGGCTGCAGAAATTCTGTCGACGATGTGAGCGCATCTCCAGGCAGATGTGGCGACGATCCACCTTGACAAAGAGTACTCCTGTGGACACAGTGATGTGGGCGTAAGGTTTAGGAAGGGAGTCCGCCATGTGCGCCCAGGTGCGACCACGTAGGATCAGCATACCTATGCAGCGGGCGCCATATAGACGCAGAGCGTTTAGTGACGAGCGAAGGAGATACGCTGATATCAAGCGATCAAGATGTGGATAAAGCTCTGCCCCTGCCAAGACTTCCATCCGTCTTGGCACTGTGAGGTAATCGAGACGCCCGGCCGAGGCTCATCAGGCTGCGCTCCTTGCCCGACAAAATGTCTGGGGAAAGGAGGTCGAATTAGTGATCTAGATGTTCCAACTCCCCGCTGCTGCCATGGCGTGCTCGTCTTCTGCTCTTCACATACGGCCATAAGTAATGATTTATATATATGTGCTTCTCTCAACTTGCTGAGGCTCAGAAGACTCACTTGTTTTGCTTGAACGAACAGAGGGTGGTGACAAAACCAGAGCTTTCGAGATGAATCCCGACAACAAGGAGGTCTGCCTTATTATCGGCGCGTCCAGGGGCATAGGTCGGCAGGTCGCCGTTGACCTCGCGAAACACGGCTACTTCAGTAAGTCATATGATATACCCATCTCTCCTTGATAACACCGAACAAAGCAACATCATCAATCACTTATCCCCCCCTCCACTCTCCTAACCCTGAGCACCACAGTTGTCGTCGCCGCCAAAACCACGTCCGACGCCAGCGCCATCCCGGCCTCTTCGTTCCCGCCCGACCCGAACTCGTCCGCGTCGACCATCAACACCGTCGCCCGCGAGATCATCGAAGCCGGCGGCTCCGCGCTCGCCCTGCCCGTCGACGTGCGGGACGTGGACAACGTCAAGGACCTGGTCGACGAAGTCGCCCGCCGCCTGGGCCGGCTGGACGTGCTGATCTACAACTCCGGCGCGATCTGGTGGTCCGCGGTGGAGACCACCCCCGTAAAGCGCTTCATGCTGCTCCAGCAGGTCAACCCGCAGGGGCTGTACGCGGCCGTGTTGGCGGCGCTGCCTCATTTCGGGAAACGGGGCTGGAAGGGCCGCATCATCGTGGTGTCGCCGCCCATCTACTCGCGGTTCTTCCGGGGCAAGACCGCGTACGCGATCGGCAAGGTGGGCATGAGCGTCTTGACCAAGGGCCTCGCCATGGATTTTGTGAGGCAGGGACGGAAGGAAATGGCCATCACGAGTATTTGGCCTGCCGCGGTATGTCACGCCCTTTGGTTTTGCTCTTGCACATCCGAGACTAAAAGACGCGCTTGACTAACTCGTGGGCCATGATTTTTCCAGTCTATCGAATCAGCAGCGACTCAAGACTCCGTGAAACGAGACCCAGAACTCGTCAAGGATCTCAGAAAGCCTGTAAGTTTTGTTTCCTCTTCCCGACTCGTCAGTGCATATCTTGTCAAAACAAACCATAATATTAACCGAACACCCTTCCCCGTGCAATAACAGACAATCTACTCCGACGCCATCTTGGCAATGCTGCGATCCCCCGCCGAAGAAGTCAACGGCTTGCTCGACTTGGACGAAGACTTCCTGCGCAAGAAAGGCGTGACCGATTTCTCGCAGTACAGCGTCGTCCCCGGCGCGACGCCGCGCCGCATCATGCCCGCTCAGTTTCCCATCTTGGAGGTTGCCGAGCAGGACGATGAGGGGAGGAGGGTCGACAGTGTGGTTCTCCGGCAGGGCAGGGAGGAGAAGGCGAGTAGTAAATTGTAATACTAGAGTCTCTCCAGCTAGTGAACGAATGCATGTGATGTTCCGCACGACGTCCTGACTGTCGTGCAATTACATGCGATTTGATTCCTGAAGCCGAGCCGGGACCGCATCAACTTGGGCTCCGATTGAGCCGTCAGTTGAACATCATTGAGCGCTGCCCAGCCGGTCGACCTCTTAGGACCAGGAAACTCCTTCTTGAGGACTAGCTAGTAACTAGTAATGGTTTCAACACAACACCACGCCTTCTCAGCAGTGGTTTTCACACCACTCTCAACCAGGACTTGGGGCGCCTTGTCACTCTCCTACCTCATCAGGTGATCCACCTTAAGCAATCTCCGACTAAGAGACACTGGCCTTGGGGGGATTGGGAGGGCCTCCGGTTGCACAGATGCGTCGCACTGGGGAAGAAGGAGACAGGGTACCATTTGCTCATTCTCGCCGGCCCGATCCCGACGTCGGTGGCTCCTTGCTCGAGCAGGAACCCATCAGCCCTGGACTGTGTCGATTTCATGAAGTGGCTGGTCCTTTGTATTGCAGGCTCGTGGCCGAGGGTTGGGCCGTCTCCAGGATACGTTTCGCGACGTCCCCCTTAGCGGGCACCTAACTCGACCAGTAACGAGATCATCGTTGGGTTGCCGACTTGAGCCGCCAGCGTCAAAGGCGTCTTGCCGTACCGGTTCTTTACCTCGCCTTTAGTTCTCTCCAATTTTAAAACTCAACCTTCACCTTCTTGGCATGATTGACTCAGGTCTAGGAACGGAACCTTTGGTGAGGTTAAAGTCTTCTCGTGAGTACCTTTGGCATTCTAGCACAGCAGACAGCCTTGTCACTGGCCACGAAGCTATCTGTCCAACGCACTGCTTTCGCAAATCGGGAAATCTGGGCTTCTGCCAGAGAGGGGACGAGATGGTCGGTGGTTTTAGACACTACGAGGTGCAATGACAACGATGTCCCCAACCTGTGCGTGAAAGATCAAGAAAGAGTTCCTGCAAGAAAGATTGCATGTTTCCAGGAAACGGAGGATTGGTTGCTGACCTTCTGAGCGGGTATTGGAAAGAGGACTGTTTGGTATCATGTTGAAGGAACTCAGACCTCAAAAAGTCACTTGAATATCCACGTTTTCTCCAGATACGTGTGCTCATATACCCTGGAGTACTTGACGACACTCACGAGAAGAGGACCGGCCACGTCGGGTGCACCGAGACTTGGTACGCTAAGATCAACCACCTATCTGCCCCTGCTAGCCATGCAGCTTGCCCCGGACAAACCCTAGATCCCCAAGTCTGTTTTCTACTTGGCGTCCACCAGCCTGCTTAAGTCGGTGTGATACATACTCAGCATCATATTCCTTGCCTTCTCGAGACTGAGTCCATCGATCCGGCCCTGGATCTCCCTCTGACTGCGCCTGACCTGTTCCGCTATCTCGCTCCACTCCATCATCCCCACTCCAGGCCTCGTCTCGCCGCCGTGGGGGCCGCCAACATGTGTAGCTACCAACTTCCCTGCTCTCTTCCGTACCACGCCGTCCACGATGACGTACTCGATATCCGCGGCCTCGCTGAACCTCACGATCGCCACGACGGGATCATACTCCGCCGCGCTCAACATGCCCACACTGCCTCGCGCATCGAAGACGAGCAGATCGGCCCTCTTGCCTCGCTCAATGCTTCCGATGTCCTTGTCAAGACCGAGACATCGCGCGCCTCGGATCGTTGACAGGTTGAACACGTCCTCCGACGTGCCGGTGACGTCTCGGGACGGGAACTTCCCTTCAGCGAGGATGCGGGCGTTCTTCTCGACCCGCGCAAGCTGAAGCAGCATGCGGGCTTGCAGCGGGATTGAAGACGGGTCGTTCGAGTGGCAGTCTACGCCAAGCGAGACGTTTGCACTGCCCGACTGCCTCAGCGCCGAGTCCAGTGCTACAGGGTAGGACATGCCCATTTGGGCCTCGGTGCCTGGCGTGCTTGAGATTGGTGTACCCGTTGAAGCGAGGAGGGAGAGGTGCTCTTGAGGGAGACCGTTGCAGTGCGAGAGAAGCAAGAAAGGCATGCTTGATGTCGTGTCCGACGGTGGATATGGCGCGCCGAGGAGTTTGTAGGATTCGAATTTGGGTATAGGTGATTGGAGACCTGGGGGTGTCACACGTTAGCTTAGAACAGTGTCGAACAGTTGTTCACGTCGAAAGTCTACAGCAGGACTCACCCATGAACGCACTGCTACCGACGTGGGTAGTAAGGACTCTTAGTCCACTTTTCCTCAATTTCCCGAACATGCTCAGCACCATCTCCTGGGGGAGGAACCAGAAATCAAAGCCCATGCCAATTTCGACCGTTGTAGCAGGTCGGTTATACTTCTGTGCCAGTTCCGCAATTTGCGTGAGTGCCCATTCTGGGAGGAGGTCTTGGTCTGGGATGCACTGAGACTGATCCCATTTGGACATGCGCGAGGGGATGCTGTATCCGAAGATACTGCGTATACCTGAGTCGAGAGTTGCGTCGAGGGCCGAAGTGGCTGTATTAGTCAGTTTACTCGCTATCCTTGCTTTCTGGATCGATGATCAGCGTGGATACAAGACTCACCGTGGGCAGGCGTGTAAGCGCAGTGGGCATGGTCCAAGACCGTCGTGGTACCGGCGTGGATTGCCTCGAGACAGCCTGACAACTGGCCCCAGTACATGTCCTCGGGGGTATATGCATAAGACATCATGTTGCCTGTAGTTTGTCGGGTCAACAGAACTCAAATGCCCGAGGAATAGTCCCTACCACTATACATGTATGCGACCAACCCTTGTTCCGCATGTCTTCCCTTCAATTGCGTCTGCCAGAGATGATGATGCGTATCCACGAAGCCAGGGGAGACGATTTTCCCCTCGCAGTCTATCACTTCGGTGTCGTTGGTGGGCGGGGAGATGTTCTTCCCGATGTCCGCGATGACACCGTCGCGAACCAGAATGTCGGTGTCCTGGAGGGGAACAACGTGGTCATTGTCGTCATGTGTGAGCACGGTGCCACCTCGTAGGAGGATCGACGATGAAGGGCGTGTCGCAGCCATTTCCGGCCTTGGGGTTCAGGTGTCAGATTGATGAAACGCTGTGAATCCAGAGTGAGCCCGCCGTCGAAGTCGAGGCAAAAATCCTTCCAGGAAGTCATGTCATCGTGTCGGATGTATCACGTCTGTTTATATACTATATATCAGTTCTCTCTGTGCTCGAAGTCCCTCGACTGTGACGGTTGGCAAGATGAATGGATTACAAGATGGAGGGTCGCCATGGTGTGGTCAAGAAGAAGTCTCCGCATCGTCGGATGAATTCTCCATGCCGAGATCAACTACGGCGACATGCTGTCTATGCTACGGATGAACTCTTACTCTCCGCCGCGGCGACTTTTGAGGACGTCGTCGTCTCCCTGGTTGAGATGCTCCGTCTTGGGTCTTTCAAACGACGGACCCTGGGCGCCTAGTGGGAAAGGATAGCTAAGATCATTGCTACAGCGAAATTGGGGTAACGACGTCCTGCCGGCTGTCCATGCTGGCTCCCTCGTCTCCAAGGCCATTCATCTTACCAGAGGAAGAGGTGGCCAGCGGAGGGACACAGAACAGATGGCGCCCGGCCGTGAATCTTGGGCAATAAGAAAAGATGAACATCCCTCCACGGACTTCTAGGGAGGAGATCGACCGAGATGCCCTCCCAGCTTGTTCTCCTTCCTCTACCTGGGTGCTAACAGCAGGCAATGTCGCAGCATTCATGGGACGACGACTCCACCCTCTCAGATATCGGCTCTCACCACGGCCTACAAAGGTATCCTTCCTATTACTCCCTATCTCTCATACCACGTCCCTCCGCGTACCCAAGTACACAGTATCCTGTCGAACGCTTTGTCCCCTTCGAGCCAGCGCATCTAGAATCCGAACGGGCTTTCCCACACGAGAGGATTCCTGTAGTGCTTACCCTTCCTCCTGCACCAGGTACATACTCCTGTCCTGTCCCATATGTGATATGTACCCTTGGAGGTATGGAGCTACAGTGTATTCCTGACTCCTCCCCTCATCCACCCCACATCTCATCCTCTCTCGAAGGCCCCCCTCTTCCCATTTTTCGAGGTGACCGTCCCGCAGTGAATCCCGCGTGCAAACTGCGGTGTGGATATCCTCGTACGTTGTGGTACGAATTTATGCCCTACAAATCCCACAGTGCCCCGTAGCATCTCCACCCACCGCCGGGATCTTCTCTTTCGACCTAAGCCCTATATCATATACCTACCTAAGTAAGTACCCACTGCATGTCCACACGTATTGTATTCATCGTTTATTACTTCAATACCTCGCCTGGTACCCAGGTAGATGGTGCTGCAACAACGTGAACGGGTTATCCCCTGTCCCTTGTGCCGCTGTTTAACCTAAGGATCGCATATTCCCCATGTGGCATGTGCGTTCGCCTTCACCGAACCATGACAGGGGGACCCCCTGGGTACCTAGCCCGCTAGGTAGGTGACCAAACAACAGCATATACCTCGTCCTCCGACCACTAGGGGTGTGCGAACGTCCCGCCCTGCTGGTAAGGGGACGACCATCCATCCCGCTCGATCAGGTCAACCACTCCGTCAACGCCCATTGGCAGGTTTCCTTCCCAAAGCCACATGCCGGTGCCGGCACTGCTGCAGCTACATGCGCAGCCTCGCGTAGCAGCATACAACATCCAAAACGAGCCATAGTCTCCGTGTGTTTGCAGGTTTATGTCCCGCTCTAACATCCAATCTCTACACAGTATCTACCTTCCTGCACAGTAATAGTGGAAGCGTGGTGACCAGTACCAGCACAAGGGATACTTTGCTGCATCCCGCCTTACCTAGCCGGACAAGGAAAGTGATTTCTCTCAACGCACGTTCTTCCCTTTCCCCCTCCCCCTGGTCCTGCTGTGCGTGCCATCCACCCCTCTTTCGGCTATACAACTCCGAGCCCGTGTCTGCACTTAGTCAACCACTTGTCTGTATGAATACTTGACGAGTCAAGGTGCACAGTTGAGGGATGATGAGTACGTGAGAGTTAGTGAGTGGGGGCCAGCTTTCTTGTGCCGGGCGGTGGATGCCTTGTCGATCACCTCGTGCGTCAACAGCTCTTTCTACTTTACATGATCCCTGCCTGTCCTGGGCCTGAAAGCCACGGGCAGATACGAGTACTGCGGTGTACCTTAGGTACCCTTGCCGATGGGAAGTAGGAATGCCGAGTCACGCCTCTCCGAGTTTTGCACTCCTTGGCCTGCTCGACCTTGTGCCCAAGATGGGATAAATGTCACATAAAACAAGCGTGAGAGGAGTAATGATCTGAGTGCTGACTACAACCTATCTCCGGGTATCCTCTAGGGCCTTGGGCTGCCCAGACCACAATCTCCCAGGTTCTTCGGTCTATGAATGTCCGCTCCGTCGCCCTATCACACCATGCAAGTCATCTCGTTCACTGGACCCAATCCATGGTACGTGATGACTGAGTCTTCTGATTTACTAAGCATGCCTGTGGAGTTATACGGCAGTCTGGATGAGGGCCAAAGAGGGCAGCTCCTCAGGTGCACACCTGACACTTTGGCTGTAGCATTCCATACACGCCCTTGGGAAGAACCTGGGTTGGTCGGCCACAACTTATGGGTGAACAGGTTATTCACTGGATGCCGGAGGCTCATCAAGATTGCGTGCGGACATGGGCACTGAGTGGCCATGGGAGAAAACCGAAGAACAGGCGAATCCCACGTCCGGTTTGTATTGCCTAGCTTTCGGGCTTCGCAAAATCTAAATCCCCAGTCGTGATATCGTCGTCGGCAAATAGATAATCTTGGATCCTGGACCTGGTATTGTTGACACTGGTGTCATTTCGTCACCCGTTCATGCATCTCCATCGTGCGGCTCCCATGTACCGTCTCAGGCCCTCCACCAGGACCACAAACAAAAGGTCCCTCGCGAAAGGCCCCCACTTTGAGCAACCCGCCGACCTGACGCGGGCCATCTCCGTAAAAGGAATCTGCGCCTTGCCGGTTGTTCTATGTTGCGCGATCCCGTGTGGTGATTTTGTCCTCGCCGAGGTCGTCTGGTGGTGTGTTGGAATGGGGGAAGCACGCCTCAAGATTGGTGCATTTCATTTCATTGCTCTCCCTCTTCCGCTTACGTGACTGATCCTATCCGCCTTTGCGTTGAGAGGAAGTCGCTCCTTCGAAGTCGTTTCCCATAATGTCTCTTCCTCCCGGCCCTAAGAAAGATGCATCGCCTTCGTCCCAGGCGCCGTCCCCTTGTTCCATACTCCATCCTTTCTTCTTGGGGGGTGGCTTGACCTCGAGCCCGGCATTGATGACTTGCAACCGGATCAGTTTCAGGCGGGCTTCACGAACAAAGGCGTCCACCATGTCTAGCGCAGCCTGCTGGGCCTCAGCGCGTGGATTGTGCTCGACAGTTTCCAGGACTCCATGCTCCATATCTATTCGGGCACCGAGCCGGCCGTCCTGGATCAAGGAAACAATCTCACTGAGGAAGTCTCCCCCTGATGCGGCTCCGTTCGACATCGAGGGCCTCCCAAACATCCGCTCCATACTTGCCAAGGTGACCTTGCTGAAAGGCTGCAAGTATTGAACGATGCTCTTGGTTCGGATCTTGGTGTATATGTCCGCAACGAGAGGCTGTAGATAGATGTCCAGGAGATAATCCGCCCGGTGGGATTCAAGGATTTCCAAACATTGGCTGTATTTGCTTGCACAGAAGAAACTGATGGCCCGACGGATGTGAGGCTCGAGTTCAAGAAAATTGCGAAAGCTGCTGTTTTCTAAAACCTTGGTCTGCAGGTCCGAACGAGACATGGACGCCAACGCACACAGACCTCCATAAACGGCAACGTCGTTGCTCGTCAGTACATCGCTGTAAATATCTCCCAAGCTAGGGTCAGTACTGAGGAAGCTGTTGGCAGCCTCCCGATACTCAAAACTCGACATTTGCTGAAGACCCGAGGCCGCTTGGATCTTCGGTTGGTTCCTTGACATGTCCTCTGGCTTGAGTTGAATATTCTTAACCTTCTGCACCTGAGACTGAACGGCCAACCAATTGCGCTGTTCGATCGCAACAGCAATGATTCGAAACGCAGTGGATGTGATATGAGCTGTCGTGGTACAGTAGTCTCGCATGCGGGAATAGGCTTTGACTGCGTTGTTCAGGTCCCCAATGGTATAGTAGTGAGTCCCCAAGTCTTCGTTTCCCATCTGGGTGAAAAGTCAGTCGATCTCTCCCGCTGCGCAACCACCGGTGCACCCAACTCACTCGTATGCTCTCCTTGATCAGATTGTTTTTGTATCCCTTCAATTCGCTTTCCAACCGGGCGGTTTCGGCAACATTCTTCTTTTCTTGCTGAGACGCCCATGCTGGGTCCAGCAAGTGGTCTAGGTTCTTGCCCTTTGATACCTTCTCCAGCAGTGCGACAGCCTCTAGATAGTTCCGCACATCGCTGCTTCTCTTCGCCTCGAGCACGGCCATTCGAGCGGCCTCCTCTGCCAGGACCGTAGAACATGATGCAATCAGGTGAAGTCGCCGGAACACTGTGCGACCTAGGGGACGGGAAGTTAGTACAAATCAAGGCCCCTCGCCAGAGTTTCATATGACAAACCTCTGTAGTTGGAGATGTATGCGGCAAGATCGAATTTTGGCGCTTCTATGAGGGAATCCGTTAGCTTGGGCTCAGGCACATGAAGAAAAGACGTTGGTGTACCATGTACCACGACACCATAATCGAGCGGATGCGGTTGAGGATCATTCGCCATGTTGTGGATGAGCGCCGCACCTGCGGCTGAGGACAAAGGGTTCGCTCAACTATCGCTTGGGCTCTTCCCTCGGTAAGTGTTCTGCTAACGAGAAGCAAGGGAACTGATCGATGTGCAGATTGGCATATGAGGATGCTTTGGTAGATATGGACCCGTTGAGTTTGGTTCATCTGAAGCCGACATGAGGTTGGGTGCGCCTTGCCTGCTCGTATGCCAACGGCACCTCAATGACGGAAAGCTTGGCGCGGCACGGCTCTTAACTGGCTCGCCAGTGTCTAGGCGAAGTTACCGCCTGAGGCAGCCTCATAGTCCCCCTACCTAGGTAAGCACCCAACCAAAACGTTGTGGAGGGCACCCCAGGAACGCCTCCAGCAAATGTTTCACCCCTTTGCAGCCCGGACAGTTCTTTAGACACGCCGCCGAAGAAAAGAGGAATCGGACAATAGTTGAAGGTCAATGAAATCTCCTTCATTGTAATACTGTAGCGCTCAGCGCTTCCTGGTTTGCCCTTCCAAGGTATCTATGGTACACAAGCTTTTCGTCAACCTCGGGGAGCCTCAAGCGACGGGTATCTCTTGTTGACGTCCAAGACTGTCTCCTCCACATAATATCCAAACCCATTCCCATATCCACAAGGTGGTTCCCAAATCCCATGGTGTTCATCAGAAGTATTGCCAACGTTTTTTCAGGGCTGCTTCAACCTGGCCAGAAATTTCATGTCCACATTTGCATCGCTGCGTGCTCCTTGGGAGCGTCCATGATCTCCAAAAGACATTAAAAGAGTAAACAACCAGAATAAGGATCTCTCCCTAGCAAAGGATTCTCGAGATCAAATTATCCATATCAAAATCGCTCAAAACAAGCCATTAATACAGGAAAAACGTCAGCCGTGGATGACTTTAGGCCATGAGAGCATTGAGGTCGAAACCTTGACTCTCATCCTCCGTGGTCGGAATCCAGGGGCCTTTCTCTTCAGCTGTGGCGTTGTGGAAGGCCTCGGCTCGCTTCAGGGTCTCGACGTCGAGGTCGGTGACATAGCTCTTGCCGTCCGGCAGAGTCATCCGAACCTCGAATTCGTTGTGAAGCATCATGTCATCTTTCCACAGACGTCGCTGACCATCATATACACAAAGCACGCGCTTCTTCATGCGCATCTTCTCGGCGGACATGCCCCAGGACGGCGGATAGTGCCTTCTCTTCTTGCGCCCTTTCCCGACAAGAGCCACTCCGCCTTTGGACCATGTCATGCCTTTCTTCGAAAACTTGCCAGGTTTGGAGATACCGCCACCGATGATTGCTCGCGATGATCCAGAGGACTTGTTGGACTTCAGTGCGCCTTTGCCGGATCGGCTGTTGAACGACGGATCATCATCCTCGTCATCTTCGTCGTCCTCATCATCGTCCTCATCATCTTCGTCATCGAAGCTGGTTGGGGCCTCCTCCGTCTTGATCATGTGACGGTCTAGGGTTTCTTGGACCTCCTTATCGGCGCTGATTTGTGAGAGATGCTGAACATTCACCGCCTCGGAAGGCTCCTCTTGTTGCACAACGCGCAGCACGCAATCGTCAAGATGCTCATAAAAGTCTTGGGCATTGTTGAAGGTCGCTGAGCAGGTGGAGCATTTGCCAGTAGCGTCTTGACAGTAGCTGGAGAGCTTTCGGTTGTTGGCCGATGGACTGCGCTTTCGGCTATTGGGTGGTGTCTGCTCGACGCCGTGAACAGAAGTCAGGTGACGCTTAAAGACATCGGCTCGGTTGAAGCTCTTTTCGGCTGGGGAGCCTGATCCCGGGCAGAATCCGCATACCATGGTACCTTTATAATGAGTCAAAGTGTGCCGATTCTTGTCGTATTTGCGGGCGAATCCTTTCTGATTATATTCGCAAGTCAGGATCGGGCACTTCTCTGGCCGTTCGGCTTGGTGGGTCAACATATGAGCCTTCAAATCCTTGAAAACCTTGCCGCACTCTGGATGTGGGCATCGGCCCTTGTCCCGACCGTCATCATCGATTTCTGAGGTTGGGCTTGGGTGTGAAACCCCCGATACATAGGAAGCTAGCGAAGGTCGTCGGCTCATGTAATGCGGCTGGTGATAGTAGTTGGTATTGGTAAGAGGTTCGGAAAATTGGGCTGGGGGATAAACGCTGTATGGCTGCGGTGATGGAGCTGGTGAGCCAGAAGGAGATGTGGCGGTGAAAGAGTGCAAGCTGGGTGCGAAAACCCCATGTTCAGCGAACATCGTGTCGCCATACGATCTAGAAGCATGGATCAAGGACGGATCTGTGGACGAGCCTCGTTAGTTTGATTTCTCGGACATCGAAGAAGGACGATATATGCAATCATGGTCTGAAAACCACCAAGAAATAGCAAAACCAGATGAAACAAGGACATGAGCTAAAAGGCAAGGAAAGACAGGCGGAAGAGACGAACAGGATGATTCCAGTGGGGGCATGAAGTTACCACTGCTTTGGGCAAAGAAATGAGATTGAAAACGGCTCGTGTGATGTTGCTGTTGCTGTGGTGCGGTTTGCGCGTCACGGGAGAGCATGTGAGGGTGGAAAACAGGAGCTGTTTGTGAGCGCGAGGTTGAAGGAAAGTTTCTCGCCTTGACAGGAGAAATAGCGGAAAATTGCCTGGAGCATGCTGAAGCAGGTGTGGTGGGAGATTTGAAAGTCGGTGTTGCCCGAGTCTGTTCGGATGAAGGGGACGGGGTAGCAGTGGAAACCCCGGATTGGGAAGCAACTGAAGGCACAGTGGACACGCCTTGATCAAAGAAAGTATGGATAGACAGCGACTCAGGCGAAGCAATAATAGATGATGAAAGTGGCTGCACGGATTGGGCTTTGAAAATGGCACCGGTCTCTGGTCGAGGATAAGAAGAGGAAAGATCTGCGCACTCACCCACAAAACTGTCGGGAAGCTTCTCATGGCTCCCCATCGACAGCTCGGCTTCCATGGAAGTTCCCAGGACATCTTGCGAAAAGGCCTCGTGATTGACGATAGCTGGCATGACACCCAGACCAAAGGAAGAAACCGTGCGATCAAAGCCATCTTGACTTGAGACGGTGTGTGAGGGACCTGAGTATGGAGAACCGACCGTGGAGGACGTAGCGCTGGGGATCGATGGTGCGGAGCCCGACGAAATCAGAGCTGGTGGCAGATCCTGGAATGGCGGCATCTCTTGCTTGAGGGATTGCATGGGAGCCGTCGCGAACATGGACGGGTTGTCAAAGAAGGAGTATGGGAGAGGGTGGAAGTTGATCATGGGGTCGGCCGAGTCGTAGGTATCCATGGTTAGGCTGGGGAAGGGTGCTTGAATGCTTTGCTCAAAATCGTACGCTGGGTCAAACTGTTGACGACGCGAATGCTCGAGAGCGAGCATTGTATATGATTGGGGGGAAGCACTCAAGTTCACTGCATGAGCTGGGAAAGATGAGAGTATATGGTGTTGGGTGACAACTGGAAGGCTTATGCAGTGGGCCGAAGATAGGACTTTTTGTTAGGATTGCGCGACCAAGGGCCGAGGAAGGCGCGTTCTAGGTCTTGAGGCTCCGGAAGCGATATCGATAAAGCGCCGACGAATACGGGTTCCCAAGGCCTAGATGCTCTTGGGGCCGGGCGGGCGTTTTTCCACTCTTTCTGACAAACAAAGAGCGAGCTGGTGAGGCTTGCTGAGGGAGTGCCGATCAATACTGGAAGGAGTAAAGACGGTGGTGGGCGCGGCAAGGGGAGGATGGACGATGCCGAGCGGGCGCGTTCGAGGTTGTCTCGGGATGGATGCTTTGTGTCGGATGTTGGGTGTTGCCTCAGGCAGGCTGGAGACTGGAGGCCGACGACGAGGTCAGACGGTCCAAGGCAGCGAAGAGTAGAAAAGGTGTCGAGAGGATTTCTGTCAGAGTTGATATTCAGGCTGGCAGATGGGGGGCGAAATCGTGAGATATAGTCGTTTGGAATATCTGGTAACAATCATGATGAACTAGCAAAGGGAACAAGAAGGGTCTTACCGAAAGCAGGGGCCCTGTCGCTTTCAGATGTGCCAAAGTCTCTCTCAGATCAGAGATGGACCCAGTGAACTACGCATTTGAACGGTTAGCCCTATGGCTTGGGCATGGACCGGGGCCTGAGCAGGGGTGCGTATTGTGGACCAGGGCCCTCACCGTGAGTCCGTGACCCCTCGGAGGCTAAAGAAGCAGGGGTGTCGCGGTGTGGCTGTAACAGCGCAATACACCAAGGAGAGAGATGTCACTGTGACAGACTAATGCACTCTAGTAAGCTAGCTTCGGGGAGGCCTAAGCAAGAAGAAGAAACAGGAAGCAGACCCAGCAGAAAGGTCCCCACGCATCCGTCACATCTTGCTCACGGGTTTGGGTTTTGGTACGGTAAGAGATATATCGGCCAAGACAGCAAGACCAGTCCTTTGGTGATTGGCAAGGGATCTGCGGAGTCGAAGTCAATGCATTCCCACTGGGCGTGTTCAGACAACGACAGGACGCTGGGAAGAGGGGGAAAATAATGTGCGACTTGTTTTTAGCAGCAAAGATGCAACCGAAGGCGGGTAGTGACGCTCAATCAAGGGCGGAACTTTGTGTTTTTCCGGTTCCCTGCTGTTCTTCTGCGTTGCTTCGTCACTTCGTACCACCATTTTGGGGGCTCAAGAGCAAAAGTACCCATGATGCCATTGGCCGGTTCTCTCTTCTTGGGGGGTGGGAAAAAGGGTGACAGCTTGGAGTAGCAATAGATTCCTCAGATTTGACCAGGAGGATTTGACCCTCTCGGACACTTGGTAGCAATCATTAGCACCAAAAAGTAGAGTTTCCCATGCGGGCAGGGACCAAATTCCCTGCCCTCGTGTGTTGCTTCGTAGAAGGCGGGAGTGAGTTCCCGTTGATCCCGTCAAATTGTCAGTTCGTGGTGACGGCACATCCCAGGACTGCGGCACCAGGATGGACAATTGACAAGTCTAAGGGGAGGCACCAATCGAGGCCGAGGATAGCCCAAGCGTGGCCGAGTGGGTGCCAAAGTGTAGGGATTAGGCTGGAGATGCTGGATTGGGAAGGAGTGGGTTTGGGACGAAACCCCGTGGCTCGTGTCTGGGGCAGGCACCTGATTGAGTGGATGGTGCTTGGCTCTGCCGCATTGAGTGAGGGGTCGGCCAAAAGAGAGGAAGACAGAGGGAAAGTGCAGACGCTGAGTGGGGAGGGCCTTTGGGCCATGGCATTTTAGGGCGCAGGCTCTGGGGGGTTCTCCATGGAAGTTGGAACGCTTTCTTTCCAAGTCATAGCGCCCTTGGCTGCTTGTGCTGTAGGCGAGGCCGATGCGATTGGCGCCATCGTGCAGATGCGGTCTGCTGGGCCCTTGCAAAAACGTGGCCTACAAGGGCTCCCCACCGGGTCCGCGCATTTGATTGGATCCAGGGGCTCGGAGTGCCCAGTCCGTGCTCTTTGGTAATGGCGCAGGGCCCTTCTAGTGGCGGTGATGTGCGGTATGATTGGCTGTCTGGTGCCTGAGCCACACCTGCTGCTATTTTTTCACCGCCCAAAGCCTCTTGTTGTGGTCCTGGGGGGCTGTGAGACTGTGGCGGGTTGATGCACAACATCCGCATCATCCATTTCATCCATTTGGTCACCGACTTCTGATGAGGCGTTGCTGTAACTCTCCTGAATCAACTTCCATCATTGGACGAAATGATGAAGTCATTGGTCAAACGGTGCTGTTGCAACTACTGCCTACTGCGTCCTCATGCTTGCTGCAGAGGGCACACCGTGGTCGGTCAACTCCCCTTCTGTGCGTTCGGGTAGTGGTTCAGGATGACGGAAGGATTGTACCTGAACTCTGCAAAACACCTGGTACACGAGGAAGACACCACCTGTCTCTCCGTTATTGCACGTGCGATTCGACATGGCCCTCATCCCTTGTCCTGCCACGTGAAGGAATCAGACAGAGAAACACACAAGTTACTACTCGGGACAAGATACTCCATCATCAAAGACTTGACTGACTCAAGGGGCCATCTGGGTCCCTTAGCCAGACATGTGAATATCACTCCAAGGGCCAGCCAGACTCGTACAAAGTACATGGCTCCGCAGTCTCTATCATGAATCCAACTATTATTTTCCTCAGACGGAGAAGCAAATCTCGGGTTTCCATATTCACGAGTGAAATTAATCAACTATGACCTGGCTGTCACTAAACTCTTGCATTGCTGGGGGGTTTGTGGGCTGGAGACCCGTGGGCTTGGGATTGGGGAATTGCAATGGGTTGGAATTGGTGTTTGGAGCCGCCTTGAAACCAAACCACCCCCCTAGTTCCCTTGTCCCCCTTCCACTCCCCGGGATCCCGAGCAGAATTGCTCTCGTAAACACCATCGGCGACTCGTCAAAAGGACAGTCCTCCCTTTGGGGCCTCGCTTGCAGTGTTCTGGCTCTCTTTCTGCTCTGTCCTTCCTGTTCTCCTTGTATTATTACCGCCCATTAGATATGGTCTGAATCAATGACTCGAGTACATGTGGTAATTGGCCAGCATCCACATGATCCTGCACAGATGGATGACTGAGCTATCGTTCTCCTTTTTCCTTTCCCTTGCTGACTGTTCGGTGATGCATGATTTGTTTACCACCCACAACTGCCTCGTTGCCATGACCGGGTCATCGCGTGGCAGTCACTGGCCCCCAAATCTCTGCCTCCTGAGTCTGAAGCCTCTACAATGAACCCCCCCCTGATAGGGCTGAAGGCTTTGTCGGCCCCCAACCTGCTTCATTTGGGTGACGAGGGTTTATGATTATCCGTAGTACAGTATCCCTAGTAGTAGTACAGAGGTTACGGAGCACTTGGATACTTTGATACCTGCCTACAAGTCCCCGTACGAATGATGATTCGGAGCTCCCTTGGTTCTCGTGATTTCTGGAAAGCGTGATTGATAGTTCCCAAGTCTCCGTTATTGGCACATGGCAGCCGCCCCAAAGAATCGCTATGGGCGCATCGTATTTCCCTTCCCAGCGGTACCGATGGCGAACCAAAACTTGACCATCTCCTCGTGCTTTCTGCTCTAACCACCCCTCCTGCTCCGATGCTGTTCTGTAACTTTCCTGGAGGCCTCAGCTTGCAGTCCATGGCGCTGCCCAATCCTCCCATAAGGGTTGACTCACTACTTGCGTGATCTGAAGGTTCTAGCCACGCAGCTCCCGTCCGCGAGCCAACAGCGCACCCGCCTGCTTGCCTACCTACAAACCGGCCGACCTGGCTAAGGACTCGCGGTCTGTCATGGCCCTCTTCCACCAACCAAGCAACTCGCCCCACTCTTATGCGACAATCTCTGCCTCTTCATTGCTCCCTGCCTGCCTATATCTCCCAGGCAGACCGCTTCCTGGCCCCCCCCGAAAGAGTCCAGAAAACTTTTCTAGTTTTCTGGCAGATAGCGCAAGCATGCCACGCGAAAAGCACCAGCTCGTTTGCGTGTTCACCTCTCGACCTGTTTCACCCACTCCCCAGCCTTGGAACGGGGGGTGTATGCAAGGATCCGCCGCAGTCCGAAAATCTTCAAACCCTCCAGAGCTATTATTGTTTTCATTTTTTTAGTTGTGGTGATGCCCTACCAAACAAAGGCCCCAAATGACAACCAGACCAGGTTGTCAAAAACCTTGGGAATTCCCTGCCTATCATACAGCCTAACCGCGCTTTATCGAAACCTTTTGCCCCGCCAAGAATTACTTTGTTGGGAAGCCCGTAGTTCTCGCACCTTTCTCAATCTGTGTCGCTGGACACCCTCGGGGCCACGAAAATCGTCCTTACCTCTTTTTCGTCGTTGCTCACTCTGCATTCCCCTCCTCCAATGCCCCTATCGGACCTGCCAACATACTGCGGCGTCCTTCGCTCCTATCAAATTCAGAATCGCCGGCAGGGTCTAGATCCTGAGAATGTCCTGCTATTCCACATCGGGTCGTCGGGAGATGAGTGAAAAGAGAACGGGAAAATCCTACACACATACACTAGAAGCACATTGTCTTGCTTCACTGCTTGCTTGCTTGCTTGCTTGGATAGCCGAACAGAAGTCAATCTCGAGGCTGGCTGGCGTCTGCAGATCCTCCCACACCAACTGCAGCAACGTGCAGCAGCGCCGCAGCCAAACAGAGCAGACACCACCAAGGTTATAATACCGAAAGCAGACGAGGCCCGAGCTTCAACGGCGCTACGTACATGCATATTATTGAGACGAAAACGAGATGCCACAGCGGGGTTGGCGCCGAGCTGGTGGTCTGGCTCGCCTTCCGCATGTTAACACCTCGTATTCACTCAAGAGAAATTGAGCCAGACCATCAGACCCTTTGGCAGCAAGAGAAATCAACCAGAAACCCCGCCTGGTGCCGGCGCGATCGAAAAGCCGTTTGGGCTCTTCTAAAATCTGCAGCCCTATGGACAAACCCCCAAGTCGCCCAAGTCCCAACCCCCTCTTGCCTTTTTCTTGCCTTTTGTCTTGTTCGTGTACTGGTTCTGGTCCCCTTCCCCTCCTCCCTCCATTCATCACTGTCACTATACCGAGTACGGCCGGATGGTCTGCTGCCCCACGCCTGACTACTGAATACCCTTGTCTCGGCTATTCGACAAACAACACGGACAGCTAGCTACTCTCAACCGGACAACCCAGGGCTTGGAAATCCGCTCAAGTAAAGTATCAAGCATGTTTGTGGCTTGCGCAACAAGCGAGAACTTCGGGGTCTGGACTGCCCATTACACCTTCACCTCGACCCTATCGCTTTGTAGATGCGGTCAGAAAAACTCTGAAAGTTTTTCATCGCTACACAGGCCCGTGCACTTGTTCGTGTCTGGTCAGTGCTCCGCCGTGTGCGGCTGCTCGACAGCACGTTATCGTCGCAGTGAAGGTGCAGGATGACTTTGCGGCTGTAGATCCCTCACGAATAGACGTGCGCGTTTTGGGACCCAGCCCAATGCTCACTTGATGGCCAGCCTCTGCCCTTCCCGTATCGCTCCCTTGTCATGGACAATGGCTCAGCATGAACGCAGTGGGCCAATGAATTTTGTAGTCACCAACTGTCCTGGTTGCGCAGCACTCTGACAAATTTGGCACTTTCTAGCGACACGAGGCTGGACAGATTAGTGTTTGAGTCCTCATATGCTGCTTCGTAAATCTCGCTGAGCTTGGCGCCATTCTAAACCCCTCAGCTTTCAGTTCTGAGATAGCATGGTTGTCCTGAAAAGGACCCCAACTTCACCTGAACTGTTCCGGCTTGGGATGGAAGAGCATGTCTCAATCTCTAACGTAGGGTGCTTCCTCACGGCAACAGGTAGCTTTGCTTATCGTAACCTCTCTGGGCCGGGGCAAAAGTGTCTTGATTTCGCATGTGCAGTTTGCTCCCCTTTCCGCGAAACATCGCCTTGGTGCTCTGGAGTCTGTGTTTGGGCTCAGCAAGTCCCTTTTTGGGCAGTGAATGTAAGATTATTATCGTTCAGCTGATGCTTTTCTGGAGTGGTGCCGTTCGGCCAATAAGAGAGATTGTTCTCGGTCCTTGTGCCATCGACTAAAGAAGAATCGCTCTGTCGCAGCTGCTGTGTTGTCGGTCGTTCTCGAAGAATGATACTGTATGGAAAGAGAATTGCCAGTGAGACAGAGCAACGAAGACTGAAACCTCTCAGGGTGACCCGTGCCCTTTCAAGCGCCAATGCTGTGCTAGACATCAGGGGGCAATTTGGCCTCGTGCGGCAAGTACGTCTGTGCGGCTTTCCTTATGCTTTTGCTGCGCGCATATGTTGTTTCCATGATGTCAAAGAAAAGCCAATAGAAGCCAGGATTTCGTCTATGAGCGAATGAGTTTGTCGAAGGACATCCCACTCTGTTTCGTCCTTGACCATGAGAGTACCCGCGAGTATTGTGCCATTGATGGCTACAGAACTCTCTGCGCCAGCTCCGGGAATGCAAGCAGCTTCTTGACTCCTGGGGCAGATTGCCATTCGATCCGTGGTCATGGCCAGGTTGTAAGAGATGAGAGTTTTGCCGTCTTGTTCGATTGCCAAGTTTTGGTCCAGCGGCTGGCCAGGGGACTGAGTGGCACCGAGTGCGGCTCTCATGAGTAGTATATATTTGCCGTGCAAGTCGGCTGCTGAAGCGCCAGGTTCAAGGGGAGTGGAGAAATGCAAGATTGGCAACGACGGGTCTTGGAACAGTGGTAGATCTGGATGAGCTGGCACATTCATGCGGTCGATCAGAAGCCTCCATTCTCGATTGTTCGAGCCTGCCATATCCTCCACGGGCAGGAACTGTAAGTGACGATGCACCTGGCTTGCTCCACTGTGCTCACCAGAATTAAAGAAGGCAAATAGACGTGGAGAGCTTCCATCATGCCGCTGGTCTTGCCAAGCGCGCAGACAAGCATGGGTTAGGCCAATATCATCTTCCTCCAGAAGGTCCGTTTGCGGTTTGTTGGCCTCGGTGGCAATAATGAAATGGTTGTGGATAACCGGGTATTTGTTCAACACCAAGGCGTGCGATGTGTTTTGGGCCGGGATTCGAGCCACTAGCAACTCTGCAGGCGGGTTCTCGAAAGGATCGAATTTAGACCCCGTCGTCTCCTTTTTGGGGCCAGAGGTATCCCCTTGGGGTTTCTTCTTCAATGCAGGGCAGTATCGCAGTTGAAACTTGATAGAAATGAGCACCCAAGCCTCCCCACTGATGATGGCAACGCACTCACCGAAGCTCCTCCCCTAGCTTGGAGATAGGCGAGGCTAGTCTCAGAGAACAGAATATCCTTGGCCTTGAAGGCTGTCATGAACTTCTGAGATACTCTCTGGTGAAGTGGTTCTGCGAGACCAAGCATCCTCACAGACTCTGTCATGATTCGTGTGCTTCGTGATTACTTCTGGCCGCAAATACTGCCAATTGCCCCTAAATTTTCTGTCCTCTTCGCCCTCTACCACGTTTCTTCGTAAGCCAGTCCAACAATGTCGCCAAGTCGAATGTAAAATGACCTTGGGAAGAAGTATCATCTGATCAGCCTGCAAGCTACTGCGGAGTCTGATGCGAGGACAGCCATCATCACGATACTGCCCGGCAAAACCTCGGAAGCTGCTGTCTTGGCTGTGCTTATTAATGGGGTTGACGTCGTCTCTACTTCGCCAACCTGAAGTCAACCACAAATCACCCTTCTTTCTTTATTTCATCCCTCGCTACAACGACCTGACTATTGCGACCTGACTATTCACTATCTCCAGGGCTGCTATCAACTCACAATCAATACATCTCTGCCGAATCTCCTCTTGCATTTGCGACAGTGTGCAATGCCGCGCTACGAGATTGGTTCATTGACACCAAAAATAGCCGAAGAAAATCACTGCGACACATCCGTGTTCCTGGAGAAGCCTACAGACCCAAAAGCAAGGCGCAGACTGTGTGGCAAACACGTTGTTGAAGGGTGACAGCGGAGAAAAATATTCCAGACACAGTGAATTGCGAAACACTGCCTCTTGCAACCAGCTTTCTCCTCTTCTCCTATGAACATATCCCAAGAACAAGATCAGGGGGAGCCAGTCGATGTTCCGGAAATCGGCCAACCAATATCAAATGACAGGCGGTCTGCTTCCCGCTGCAATGTCCCGATATGACAGCTCCACAATCCTGGTACATTCAATCGAGCGAACAGGTACGATTCAGGGGCTGCCATGCCCAACCATAACTTCCCCTTCATTCACCCGAGAGCAGCTCGCAAGCATCACGATTTCCCTCTGCGCCCAACTTGCGCAATCTATGCCGTCCCCAAAAGGAAGCGGACCCGCAAGCTAACGCCAGAGCTGCTGCCTGAAATTGACAAGCGGCCAAACAATGTAACACAGTGCCCCTGATGTTTGCTTGCCCTTTGCCATATCTCCCGCCTGGTGAACCCCTCGGCACATCGCCTGCCTTCGCTGATCATGAATGGGCGGAGTCTGATCATATCATCGAACTCAATCTGGAATGTGGCCATTGTCGGGCCCCAAGAAATCACCAAAGAAGCACCAGAACTAATGGCCCGAACTAGTCTATTACCTAAGGCTTACCATCCACAGAAAACACGCGTTGAAATAGAGCCTTTCTGTTTGCCGTTTTCACACCCCGTGGCAACTGGCATAGACTGGCCACCGGAACACTGCCACATCGCGACCTTCTTGTATTGAACGCATTCCGTTGCCCCAAATAGGAGATGTTTTCTTTTGTGCTTACTCCCTTCGAGCCATGGCAAGGTTCTGGTGGACAGCAGCGCAGAACATGACAAGGGAGATATGGTGACAAAATGCTGCTTTCTAGGCCAGTTTGTGCTCTGGGTGGGAGCAGAGTTGTTGAGCTCAATAAAATGATGGGCAACCAAGACAGTACGCAACCAGCAGAACAGCTATCAGTGAACTATTGTGCAACAATTCTATCCATTTGATGTTCCGCAGGCTAGCAGCACCTTCTACCAATGTATCAAAGGCTGGTCCCAGAGCTTGATACGCAGCATGCACGTGTGGATGAGCTCGGGAGGTAAGTCCGTCCCTCGATAGGCGTGCTCTCGTCTTCACATTTTCGAGATTTCCAATTTGGTCCCGATGCCGCGGATGGGGTTCTGTTTGCAGTACGAACAGACTCGATCCCGTTTCCATGGATGGCCGCGCAGGTGCTGATTGTACCGTGGCCAATGATTCAGCATGAAAACGCAATCGCTTGCTCAAACTATCACAGCACGGTGTCTCTGGCCCGTTCACCAGTTGTCGGCGCCAAATTTATCACTTGGCTCTGCATTGCGCAGCCTTGCAGCTCGCAGAAATGTCTCCGAGAACAGCTGATCCAAGATACTTTGGTACCTGCACCGATGGAAAGACAATCTGTCATGGACAGACTCATCTTCCCTGTCACGTACCAAGATGGACTTCGCCGAGCATCTTCACTCCGACTGCGACTCACCATTCCCAAGCGATGTCTTCTGACACACTCCATATCTGTCACCCAGCTGGAGCCCCGTGCCCTGCTTCTCATATGAGTTCCATCGGAATGACCTGCTTTGAAGAATCTCAAAATCTCACCTACGCACGATCATCCGCGACGCAACGTCCAGTACACCAAACGATGAACCCCACAGCGCCTTACGGCGCCAACGTGCACTTCTGTCCGTCCTCGCGAAATAACAATAGCACCACGTCAAGTGGTAATCATATCGCATACACGGATCGGAGTAGAGTCGGGAACAATTTGCGTTTTGAAGGGGCGGGAATTTCTAGGGCCATACACATCCCGCGACGGCCAGCAAATCCTCAGAACCAGCCCTTCGAGACTGACATTTTCAGTGCATCCTGGAATGATGGCAGCGCAGACCAAGCCGAGGCTTTTGCCCATTACCTCCCAGCGACTGAGATGGATATCGGCACGACCATGGACCCTTCGACGGCGTGCACAAGCTATTTTCTTCCGCAGGAGCCCTCACTCGAAGAGGACGATTTTAGTTCGCTCTTCCAAAATATTCCTCCGGACGGGTTTGACATTTTCATGCCAGACAGCAGTATGTTCGATGGTCAGCCCGTCAGTGGTGACGATCTGACCACGCCAAAGACTCTGTTGGAAGCCAAGACACCTGGTTCAAGTGAGCTTTGGCCTTCTGTTGTGACGAACTACGAGTCACACGTGCTTGATGGAACTACATCGCCGCAACATTGCGCTGCTCAGGGGCATCCGGATCCTGGACTCGGTTATTCTCAAATCCACCATACCTTTACGCCACCACAATTGCCTGGATTTGATTTGAGTTCCTTGAACTATCCGCCTTTACCCGAGCTTCCCTCGTCGGGTGACGATCAGTTTGACTTTCAGAGTGGCCCTTCAGCCTTCACCACGGATCAATATCTTCCGATCGTACATTATCAGGAACTGGAATCGGCATCAGCACCTGATCAGAGCGCCCAGTATCCAGATCTCTGGGCTTCCGAAACGGCCATTCAATCACCGACGGGCCCCACGAATATTTCAACACCCCAGGGCAGACATTTAGGGGTGAAGGGCGGGCAGCGTGACACCTCGAAAGACATGCTTCTAGTACAAATGAAAGACCAAGGACTGTCATATAAGGTGATCAAGGAGCGGTTAAAGTTTGAGGAGGCAGAATCAACATTGAGAGGAAGATATCGTGCTCTGACGAAACCAAGGGAGGCAAGATTGAGGAAACCAGAATGGGGCGATCAAGACGTGAGTCACCCTTTAAGAAAAGGAAACTCCAGATGCTGACGAGCCACGTGACAGATTCGGCTCCTCTTCGAAGCAGTTTCCCATTGTTCGAAGTCGACCTCTGTCAACCTGAACACTGCGAGAGACCTCGATGCTGTTTCCATTGGTCAATTCGTCAATAAAGTACCCTGGAAGCAAGTTGCTGAATATATGGCAAGCAAAGGTGCATATCGATACGGCAACGCGACAGTGAAGAAGAAATATCTTGAGGTCCTGAAGACTCGAGGTGCTCCGGTTTGAATGGCAAAAGGCGAACATTTGTGTGTTGTGACCAGGCTTTTTGTTGTAAATCGATGGCTCTTTTGTTGTCCCTCGAATGCGTTTGTCTGCCAATTGCTACTGCTGGCTTACACTTTCCAGCAAACAGATACCTGATCAGTCTTGACTATAGATTCAGGTTAATACTGGTTACAGAAGCAAGGCCATGAACGCCAGCCAGGTTTTACGTTCCATGAAGTGCATCGCACAAATTTCAACACTCTGGCGAGCCTCCTTGTCTTTGTCCATGCTACAGGAAAGATGCCCAAGACGCGATCTATCTCCGAATATCGATGATTCTGGTTCCACCAAGATCAACCCCGCTGGACTTCTGTTTCGCCGGTATTGCCCCCAGGCAGTTCTGGAGGACGAACTTCTACTCCACTCTGCAAACCTGGATCCTTCGCAACATCTTTGGTGCATTTTATGCACGAGCCCCTCAGTGTTCCATATGCTGAGCAAAGTAGTGCTCCGGCTCTCGAGTCAACAAGATCCGGCTTCGGTCTTCCTTCAGTTGGTCTCGAGCTTTCCAAACTCGAGATGAAACTTGTCGAGTCGTCTGTGGAGACTCATTCAGCATGGTTTTGGCCGACAACTCCTTGTTCCCGTGGGCTTTTCCCGGCGCCGCAGGCTAAACATTCACTCGCATACTTTCCTGACGTCGACTCGCCACATTTGGACTTTCATTCTGACTCTAAAATTCCTGAGTCAGGTCAGATCTGCCGAGGCCCGCGAATCTAGGACGACCACCACCTTCGCCAATCAACAGTTCTACCTTGGACTGACCAAAGCCTTACTCCTTGTTCATGACCTGCCGAATGTGGGGACTTGAGGGAGACTGGGGAAGGTGAGCTGTGGAGGAACAATCACGGGTCAGGGGGCCCTTTGGTCACTGGGCCACGAGCTCGCGGCTCTTGTATCGAGTCTCGGCCCTTATGAAACTCTATTGGAAAACCAATCTGAACAGTTCATATGCCTATAATATCCTCTTCTCTTGACCTTCTGTTCTGTTGTCCTCACATTGGAAATCTGTTAGTTGTTGTCCTTGAGACTCATCTTGCGAAATGCGTCGCAACTCGGCATCGGAAGGTCTCCTTCGCAGACAAAGGCTCAATGCCCATACCTGCGCCGTGCTTGCTGTGTTGGGCTTTGGCTCTTTGACATATGGCTACACGGCCAGTATTATTGGAACTACGTTGGGTACGTAGCTTGGGGGCCACTTGGGAGTATTCAAGCTCACGTCGTCTGCAGGTCAACCATCCTTCATTGAGTACTTCGATCTCGCAACCCGATCCAATGGGACCGATTTGATATCCACCATGAATGGACTTTTTCAGACTGGGGGCGTGATTGGAACATTATTGCTACCGACTGTTGCAGACAAATGGGGCCGTAAAATGGCCTGCGCGGTGGTAAGGCCTCCTCAAAGTCCTACTGGTTCTTTGGCGGTTCTGATTTGGTTTACAGTCTGCCATTCTTGCTATTGTGTCCGGTGCTATCATGGCAGGTAGCGTGAACGTGGGCATGTTCATCGCCTTTCGCTTTGTGGCTGGTGCTTCTGCCTTCATGATCCTGGCGGCCGTGCCCATTCTGATGAACGAGATTGTGCCGGTTCACATGCGCGGCGCCCTCGTGGATGTGCATGCGGTCATGCTTGTACTTGGTTATACTATTCAAGGCTGGGTTGGCTTTGGCTTCTACTTCTGGCAGAATGGCAGCTCAAACACTTGGAGGCCGCCCATCGCCATCCAGTGCTTCTGGCCATTGTGTCTGCTGGTCGGGCTATACTTCGTCCCGGTCAGTCCTTTGCCTCTTTGATGCAATGTAGCTCCCTGTGTTTCTACCTTTCGACCATTATAGCATGATGGTGAAATGACATTTCGAAACAAGGCACTGACATTGTTGGCCTGGCAGGAGTCGCCCCGATGGTTGGTGATGCAAGGACGCGACGCTGAAGCCGAGGCAGTCCTGTTCAAGTTCCACGCCGATCCTAGCGATCCCGAGAACAGCGCCGCAAAGGCCGAGTTCTACCAGATCCAAAAGCAGCTCGCGATCGACAGGACTCTAGGCAACTCGTGGTGGCACATCATCAAGAAGCCGTCATACCGAAAACGGGCGCTTCTAGCCATCGGCATCACTGGAATTATCCAGTGCTCTGGCGTGCTGGTCATCAACAACTACGGTCCTTCACTCTATAAATCCCTCGACTTCTCGCAGGTCAAACAGCTCCTCTACCCAGCGGCGTGGCTGACGTTCGCTCTGGGCATGAACGTCATGGGCATGCTGGTGGTCGACCGCTTCCCGCGAAACAAGTTCATCTCCTTTGGCGTTCTGGGCTGCATGGCTAGTTTGATCGTGGAAGCAGCCCTGGTCGCCAACTTTGTGCCCTCCAACAACAAGTCGGCGCTGTCGGCGGCGGTGGCCATGTTCTTCATCTTCCAGGTCTTTTACGGATTGGCCCTCGATGGCACGCAGTTTTCGTACCTCGGAGAAATCTTCCCGACGCACCTGCGCGCCAAGGGCGTCTGTCTTGGTGTTGCCATGATCTCGTTGATGAACATCATTTGGCTGCAAAGGTATGTATCCTCAGGGTATCCTGAGCAAGTGGTTTCCCATCCTTCATCTCGATCGCTCCTTTTTTTTTCTTCTCTTTAACATCCATACTAATCTCCATCATTGCGGCAGCGCCCCAACCGCCTTCGAGACCATCGGCTGGAAATTCTACCTCTGCTTCATCATCCCCGGCACGCTGGGCGCCATCGCCATGTGGATCTGGTTCCCGGACACCAACGGCCTTCCCCTGGAGGAGGTCGCCGCCATCTTTGGCGACGCCGACGAGGTCGCAATTTACCAGCGCGACCTCGAGGTCGACTTTGCAACTCACACGGTCGTGGATCACCACCACCACCACCACCATGACCATGATCCTGAAAAGGAAGGGGTTGTCAAAGGGACTGACGCGACGCACTATGAAGCGGATTCACTTCCTAGCAGTGAGAAAGTGTCAGGTTGAGCTGGGGGGGAGGGGGGGAAAGGAAAGGGTTCACCCAGAAGAATAGCAAGAGCGCTCTGAGCCGCGCCAGGGCGGGGTCAGCAGTGCAGGGAGTGCAGCTTGGTGCTAGATAAATAGATAGGTAAATAGATAGGTCTATGCTTGTGTCTTGGGTGTAGACTGGATAGATATACAGCCCTGTGTCACTCGCTTGAGCAAAGCTCTGGGGGGTGGAAGGTATAGCAAAAGGGGCCCTGACATCCGTCCGAAGCTAGTGCAATAGATTGTCGCATTGCCCAGGCCTCGGAACTACCTGAATCGTTACTATCGTCCGCGCCGCACTGTGTCCTTGGACACTCGGATGCTCTGATGCTCGGACATTGGCAATCCAAATAAAACCGACGGCGACAAAGGGGGTTGAATGCTCCACCTACAGACATTCAGACAAACAAACAGACATAATCAGCCAACTACTGAAAAACTGCAACTCTTTGAGTTCCCGAACCCGCATAAAACTCCCATTCTCATCAACTTCCTCTCCGCCAATCTCCGAGATACTGATAACACCGCTCGTTCTGTGTACTCCTGTGCTGTTTCAAAAGAACATGCACTCACTCTTCCGTTGGGTTGTTCAAACCGGGGCAGCGGTGCCATCTCAACCCTGGTCGATGCAACTCCAAGTCGTATCAGATGTATTGCTGATCGTCGGGGGAGCTTTGAGATTGAACATGTTATTTTGCCACTTTCTTCCCTTAGGGATGACAAGCTGGGGAGAGACAGTGAATTCTTGCGAGACATGGTCGCATTCAAGCGCACTGCCACTCCGGATTGAGGTGTTGGTCTTTTTCGCCTTGAGCAGTAATAGGGATGGATCAAGGTCGCCGACGTGGCTTTCCACTCCCTAGATTTGTACTTTCGGGGCCTTTACCAGCAGCACAAGGGCTTAGGGTGGTCGGTTCTGCCTTCTTTGGGTCTGCCTTCTTTGGGTCTGCCTTCGTTGGGTCTGCCTTCTTTGGGTCTGCCTTCTTTGAGTCTGCCTTCTTTGGGTCTACCTTCTTTGAGTCTGCCTTCTTTGGGTCTACCTTCTTTGGGTCTGCCTTCTTTGGGCCTGCGTTGTTTGGGTCTGCCACCAAGGATGACAGATCTTCCATTCGAGAACGATCCGAGTGCGGTCTCCGGCTCATCAAGCGTGTGACCATTGCAAGTTGGTGTCGCCAAACTTCCTTCGATATCCATCTCCAGGGGCGATTCGGGAATTGAATGCGACCGAGGTTCTGCAGATCCAACGGGTCCGCATGTTTGCTCCGGGTTGGACATATTGAGCGCAAGTCCCAGGCAAGAGAGTTCCCTCTCGGCCAAATGATCAGCCCCCGATTTGAGGATATTGTATTCATGGTTCCATTTGTCTGCATCGCCATGCCTACCCAGCCTGCGTGCTAGACGCGCGAGTTGATAGTACCTCCCGACGAGAGAGTCGTCGGGGAGATCGCTTCGGTAAGCCAGCACCGCAAAGTCATTCTCGACTCTCATGACCATGTTGTGATAAGCCTTCTCGTAGTTCTCTTTTGAAAGGTAAAGGTGTATGAGGGAGCTGTATGTAAATGAAATCGCACCTCCGACAACTCCGTCGTAGCGCATTTGGTGCAATTTTGTGAGGCTGTTCAAGGCAACGGATTCTGCCTCTGTGTATTTCTGAGCGGCCATCAAAAGCGCCAATAGGGCCCTTGTAGAGCGTATATCTGTGTATGCGACAATACCGTAAGCAGGAATGGGGTCGTTGCGCCAGTTCGCGCCGTATGCAATCTGTGGTGAGCCCGTGCTAGAGTCCGCGAGGAAGATTTCGGATTCCAGTAGAAAGAATGAATTGCCGGAAAAGTGGTTGCGGAAGGCGTTGAGACAACAGTCGTTGGATGCTCCCACAAGCGCAATCAAGTTTCCTGTTTCGAGCCGACTTAAGCTTTGGATCATTGCCAGGCGCGTGTCAGAGAAGCCCTGCTCCTTCTCGACGAGGTGGCGCAAGTAGCGCAGCAACAAGGCCGCAACATCACCCTCGTATTTAGCCAAGCGAGCAAGGAGCCCGAGGAGACAAACCAGTTGTGAAGGGTTCCTGGTGCGTACAATGCTGGGTAGGCTGGAACCTGCTAGCCGCCACTGACGATAGGCTTGTGTCGTTTGTTCCCAGCTATACCTTTGGATGCCTCTTTCAATGAATGAGAAGAAGCCATCCCGCGCGCTTGCAGGATAAGCAGGGCCTCGCAAGCATGCGAATCCTCCTATGTCGCTTTCTAAATTCCATGCACCTGATTGTAAAGACTCTTGCATAAAGGCATCCAAGGATTGCAGGAAGCGTTCCATGTTTTGCAGCGGGGCGGGAGCATCCAAGGGCGAAGGTGTTGGCGGCGGAGTCAAACACACAAGGTCCCGTATCTTGATAGATTCCACTGGTGCAGGCTCTCCCAAACTCACATCGAGTCCTTTCCGTTTTGCATATCGTTCAATATCAGCCATATCGACACGGCGACCCCGAAGAACAAAGATTGACTTCTTTCCAAGAGCCCTCCGCCTTTCCCGCCGTCGAAGAATCTCCTGCGCGTTGTTCAACTTATTATACTTGGAGAGACCCCAAGCACTAAGCCTGGACTTGTACATTTTCGTACTGCAGCCATTAGCTAAGTCTAAACATATTCGATTCCATAGAGAGTACGTTGCTTTGAAGCCATATTGAGTTTCCATGATCTGCATCACTTCTCGCAAGGGCCGCTTGTCGTCCATCCAAAGACGAGTGATGAGAGGCTGATAAGGCAGCCATCCTGAGCCGGGATCGGGGTATCTGGGCGCGCCTGCCATCTCAAGTCTAGGTACACATTCCAGGTATCTGGAGGCAAGTGAGAAAGAGGGCGGTCGTAGCGCCCAGAGCGATGTTTTCGAAGGAAGAACCAAGGTGGGCGCATGACCTCTCCTATATAGATCGTAAGCAGCACGCGTAAAGAATTGCAGTCGTCCTGAAGGCCTGGCCGTTCAGGTTTCTCACCGAAGATCCGTGCATTGCATTAGCCTGCTGAGGGCCTCTATTGCCCGCCATGCCTTAGTTCCCCGAGCGCATTCATATACGAGTCAGACCCGGCACTGGCATATTACCCCAAAGAATTGTAAGCTGTCATTGGTTCGCCTTGCAGCCCGACAAGGGGCTTGACTGGTCTGCAGCTGCGAGGAACCTTGGTAGCGTCCCTCCCAGGAGAACTGCTAGGCGTCGCCTTCAATCAGGCCAATGGTTGCAGCGGGTGTTGGCTAAAATCGTCCTTCTGTGCACCAACCATTCGGTGCTGCCTTTAGTCATTCGAGTATCTAGGGCACACCGAGCGATCTGAAGTCTTTAAACATCGACCCAGCGCATCGGAGAATCGGATATTGCTGACGTCTTTATTTGTCCGGTTCAATCCAAAAAGCGGTTGTGTTCGAAAACGTCGTTGTCGGCTTTGCTGAACCCGTGGTGCACATTTGCAATCCCCGTAAATTGCTCCGCCGTGCGCAGCAGCACAAAGTTGATATTGGAAATTCTGCTGTCCACCGGTGTTGTGCTGTGACTGCATATAGGAGGAAGTACACAAGACAATGTAGCCCAAGGAAAGATCCGGATATTTGGTCAAAAGAGGCCAAACAGACTAACTTGGGGAGAAGGAAGAACGGATGTGAGGGAAACGGGGTTTAGATAGATGGGACAAGACACAGCCACGACAGATGTGTAACTCAGCGTCATTGAATAGGCCTACTGCAGTTGCAGTGTTGGTTCTTGTAATTGTGTAAAGGGCTGTATTCGTGAACTGACCGGGGAATCATCAGGGGTTTTGTGCACCTCCAGTTCTCACAACTGACCGCTCTTCTTCCCGCTCCAACAAGGTTTTCCAAAAATGCAGACCGTGAACAAGCTCTCCGAAAGATGATGCCATCAGTGAAAGCCTTCAAGTTATCCAACAGGCCCATTTCTGACAGTATCTTATCCAGCTCAATCTTCGAATGTCTTTTCATCATTGCGGAGTCGTGAACGATCTGGCAATTCAACGCTCCCCTTTCGTCCAGGGCGGGCTGTCTGGTCGTCGTCAACATGGACAAGCACTTGTTCTGGGGCTGCGGAGTGCCGCTCCGACATTTGCTTGACGGGGCTAGCAACCTCAGCCTTGAGCTGCTCGAGAGGCTCGACATCGACCTTTTTAAAGAACATCTCCTCGACAATCATCCGGCCCTCGACCTCCTTTTCTGTTTCTTCATTATCCTTCCGTGCTGGCTGTTCTTCTCCGTCACCAGCAACTTGTTCATCAAGCTTCAACTTCGTAAGACCCATGGCATAGATCTGTTCGTCCACGGTGCCTCGAGAAATCAATCTAATGACTTCAACGTCTTTCTCTTGCCCAATGCGGTGTGCTCGGTTCTCGGCCTGGATATCATCTTGCGGGTTAAAGCCACTATCGAAGATGATGACTTTATTCGCTTTTGCGAGATTGATACCAGCTCCGCCTGCTTTGGTGCTGAGCATGAAGACAGGCGTATCATTGTCATCGGCAGAGAACTCATCGATCAGGTCTTGCCGTTCTGATACTTTGGTAGCACCATCAAGTCGGAAAGAGCTGATACCCTCACGTTCCAGAGCCAACTCGAGGATATCGAGGACCATGACAAACTGGCTGAATATTAACGTCCTGTGGCCTTGGGAAATGAACATGTGCAAAAGTTCCACCATTTTCTGGATTTTACCACTTGCGCGCCACTCGTCACCGTTGAGTGCAAACCGCCGAAGCTGCGTATGCTTATCGCACAATGTATGAATTTCCATATCGCTATACTCAAGAAGTTCGGTGACAATGAGGTCCGGATTTGACTCGCGCCATTGGTCCACCTTTAAGCATTGCTTTGCAATGACAGGCAGCTGCTTGTCAGGATAGAGGCGTCGGAAGAGAAAGGGGTGAATGGCGGCGTGCCTCAGTTTCATCAGGATGTTTGTAGATTCCTGGCTCACGTTCTCACCTCTTTCTCGCCTCGCACGGATCTCGTAGGCCTTATCAAGCCACATCTGATAGAGCTCGGATTGTTCAGGGCTCAAGTCGCAGAATTCCACTCTTCGTTCTTTCTTCGGCAAATCCTTAAGGACCTGATATTTCTTCCGTCTCAAAATGAACGGGGTGAGCATGCTCTTGGCACGTTGAATTCTTTGCGCAGATAGAAGCATTTCGTGGTTGTTGTCCAGCGCCTTGAAATTGTGCGTGAAGATGTTCTTCAGCGCTTCCGCCTTCTCTCGAAAGAGAGCTGGCATGAGAAACCCAAGCAGCGAGATGAGCTCCTTCAAGTTATTCTGTAACGGGGTTCCGGTGAGCAAAAGGCGGAAATTACACTGGATTTTCACAAGTTTGCTAGCAACTTGAGAGTCGGCATTTTTGAGCACGTGTCCTTCATCATAGATTGTACAGTCAAACCCGAAGCTTTTCAACCAAGGCGCATCGTCTTTGCCCTTGGCTATGGTATAGGTGGTGACAATGACGTTGACGTTTTCGCGGTTGTCCTCAAGGGATTCTCTTAGCTGCAGACGTTCGGTGGGATTTGTCGCGTAGTACGGTTCGACGTTCAGTGCTGGGCAAAACCGTCGGAATTCCTTGAGCCAGTTTTCCAAAGTCGCTGCAGGCACCACGACAAGGTGAGGTCCCATGTTTCCTTGCTCAAAAAGATGGGCCAAGAAAGCAATGACTTGACAAGTCTTTCCCAGCCCCATGTCATCAGCTAGAATGCCACTAAGCCGCTTCTTGTAGAGCAGACTCAGCCAGTTCAGGCCAACCACTTGATAGTCCTTCATTTGTATGTCGCTGGCCATGATGGAAGGTTGGCCAATGAAGTTCTTCTGCCCGGCACGCTTTATGTCCTCCTCGTCACTTACAGGTGTTCCAATACCAGAATCATGGCTTGGACGTGGGGCTTGCAGAGAGGCTATATCCAATTCTCCCTCTTGAGAGCCGGTAAGTTTGACTCCCCAACTCTTCATCTCGTCAGATAGTGGTTTGGCAAGATTTTGACACTTCTTGACAAGGTAGTCAACAGCCTCGTAGCTCTCAAGCATACCCTCAACCTTGTCGACGATTCTGTCACCAATTGGAGCGGTCTTTCGCTTCGTCTTGGTAGGCTTTAACTTCGGGTCTTCAATTTGCCCGACGTCATCGAGATCCTTGAAAGGTCGTTTGGACAAAATATGTTCGGCGAGGTCGCGGTTGATGGAAGAAATATCAGCCAAATCCGCTGCGGAGCAAGTATTGAACAGATCCAGGACACGACCTTGGAAGGTTGTTCTATTCTCGTCGTCCGATGTGACCGCTGAACCCCCTGCATCGGACTCATCGGACTGTATGGCGACTACACGTTTTGGTTTCTGTATAACCTCTTCCGGCACCGGCTGAGGTGAAGAAGAATGTTTCCTGCCCCGAACCAAGGTTCGTTTCTTCCGCGGAGGTGGGGTTTCGAAGACATCTATTGTCTTGGACGGCTTTCTGATATTCTGAGTAGAGCTCCACTTCTCTGTGATGCTCTTCTGAGGTACCTTGGCCTGCTGCCTTCCCATACTTGCACGTTGAGGTATGGGTCTGCTAGCTGCCGGAGTCGGCGCCAGCTCGTCGTCCGAGCCAGTCAAATCCACAGTACTATTCTTGTTTTGAGATTGTCGTTTCTCGCTCCTCAGAAGCAGTACATCAACGGCATGGTCGTAGTCCCCATTTTTCGAGAGCAGGACTTCGTAACATTCTCTGACTGTCACCGCACTGAGCATCGACATTAATCGGTTCACCTTTCGCCTCGTGCTATAGTCACTGATATCATCGAGCTCCATCTCTTCTTGCTGCGTGGCCGGTGGGGAGGACGCCACGGGTAGTGCACGTGCAGGTGCATTCTGTCGAGGTCTTTTTGAAACGCTGCCGTAAGCGTTCGCATTCACATCGGCGGAGCGTTTCACTCCGTTGGAACCAGCAGATGACGTTGAGTTCGGAGAACCTCTAAACATGGACCGTGCAGTTATTTCCTTGAAGCGACTCAACCCATTGTTCTGGGTCTGCGGAGACTCAGGAATCTTTCCTGGGGACTTATTCCTCCGCACAAATGTAGATGTTTTGATATCATTTGATCGCGTGCCCCGACCATCGCTATCTGAGGACCCTCCTCGATAAGTGGGCCCGTCGTCGTCGCTGTCAATGGTTATGGGAACAGGACGAGGCTGAGGGGCAACATATGGTTTCCGGAACATCGTGCCTGCTGGTGCCATAGCGCTTGCTAGTATCCCGGTGGGTTTTCGCTGCATATTAGGGGTAGTCATTGGAGAGGAAGCAGCGACCTGGACGACGCCGGGCTTAGGAGGAGAGGAGGACATGGCTGCAGCCGTTCGATCGATGATCTGAGTGGGTTGCGTCTGTCGGCTCGAGTTCATTTGTTGAGATTTTACACTCGGGCGATGGACAGGCAGGGTCGCCAAAGTCTCAATGTCAGAGTCGGCGTCACTCATGTTGGCTCTATAGAGTGGGAGTGTCTCGACCGTCTCGTGGGCAGGCTTGTATCTTGGATTGAACAATTCATCGTCCGACTGTGACAGACAGTCGTCGGAAGACATTGTGCAGTAAAGGGAGAGGGAGGATGCGGTATTTAGATTCACCGCAGGCGAGGCCAGTGGAACTAGAGATCGGAGCACACATTAAGCAGATACATAACTCATGTCTTCTGCCACCAAGAGTGTGTTTCGTCGTGAGCAACTTCTCGTCCCTCGAACGCAGGGAGGGATTCCACCGCCAAAGGACCAGGCGTGCAGAGGGTCTGTGGAGCAAAATACCTGTGAGCCTCGTCTTTCCATTCGATGCCCAAGTCGACGCGTGAGCGCGTCATGCCAAGCCCCTTTAATTATCAGATTCCAGATTTCACTCATCGAGCCGAGTGCAAAAATGAAATGCACTGTCTGACACAGAACAGCTGCCTGATGAAGCTGCACAGCGCCGAGCAACAGCAAGGTGACCTTCATATAAGACGCAAGCGATGATAGTCTAGATGCATGACTGACTAGGCATCGCTACTTCCACAGATTTCTGGATTGCCTGTCTACACGAGCATCCCCTTGTAGCGAGCATCACATTTTTTCTTTTTTGTCAGACGATACTCCGCTAGGTACTTTTGCATTTGGCTTGTGGCTCGCCATGTCCATGCCCGCTTTCATGTTGGATCTCTCACCTGTACTTCCATCCTGCGCCAGGGCGACGAAAGGAGGCCATTCAAGACAAGCCACACGTTGGCACTTCTCTTCCGACCACAGGTGACAATGACGACTCGACGCAATGTCAGCGAGAAGACCATCTCAGAGGTCCAAGGTGGCCCGCCACCCTCTGACCAAGTCTCTGATACGACGCCAGCAGTTCCAGCGTAAGTGATATGAGTTGGGGATCATTTGGAAAGGCTTGTTTCACGTTATCAATCTAATGCAAGTCTAGCTCTGTCATCTACAAGCTTCTTGGATTTACAGTGGCCATGATCTGTGCGCCGATCGGCTCCTATTTTCTTCTACTCAATACTCTCTTTGCAGGTAGGCTATGACTGTCGTGACGACGCTGATCTGTTTGCATGGTTCGAACTAAAGCGCCTCAGGAAATGCCACATATTCTGGCGCCTTTGCTGCTATAGTGGCCAATGTCGTCTTGATAGGCTACATTATCGTCGCATGGCGAGAAGATGACAGCGAGAAGGTCGAAGTAGAAGAGAAACGCAAAAAGGCTCAATAGTAGGCCCACGGCCAGGCAGAGATGCCTTCTAAGCCCTTTCTCATTCTTGAAAAGGAGCGGGATTGTGTATTGTTCAAATCTTCTTTCGGTACCGTGGAAAGTGTATGTGACCTGCACAATTTGATTTGGAAGATCATGCGCTTCCACAGCCGGCTCTGATTCTCCCTCAAGAGGCTTCAGGACCCCTTCACACGTTTGATACATATGCTCAAGCCACCCTTGCTCACGTTACGGCCACGTTGGCTCATTTCCAACCCATCATTCAAGAATTACATCAAACATTAGTCGTGAAAATGCGCTCTTAGAGAGCTGGCCCAGCTACACAAAGGCCCCCTTCTTATGCAATTAGAACGCCAGTGATGTCAGTGGAGGTGTTTCCCAAACGCCGAAATGGAAAGACACCAGGTCTAATTTTCTGCCGTCGGGTGTGCTATCAATTATCTCGTCTGCTGAACCTCCGTTTGATCCAGCTTTGCTTTTTCGGGGAGGTAGTGTTGGTCGGGGACGTCATCTCTGTCGGAGAGGAGTTAAGCGGGATTGGTCGTTGGGGATTGTTTGCAGCCGGAGGAGTAAATCCATTGGTTGGGCCTGCCGGAGAAGAGGCATCTTGACCGTAAGGGCCATCACTCATAACATACGATGTGAGTGGCTTTGGAGGAGGAGCCTGGTTGAATTTGATCTCGGTTGCGTATGGGTTCTCTGGAGAGAAGTCTTCGGGCTTGATGCGGAGTTGATGAAGCTGATCAAAGGAGCTGTTCTGGGAGCTGGGGTTGGTGGATTTGCCATACTCTTCTGAGCCGGAGGTCATGGTCTCGTAGGACTGGTGGTACGAGTGGAAAGACATGGGACTCTCTCCGTTCTGGTATCCATTTTGATGACCATTCGGGTACCCATTCGGAGCGCCAGGGTACGGGTAGGTTTGTTGACGCATAGGTGGTCTGGCAAACATTTGAGACGATCCTGGAGATTCTTCCACGGCACTCTGTGGACCAAACCCGTATGACGAATTGCGATAGTAACCACCACCGGGTGACATTCGTGGACGTTGTGGAGAATAGCCATTGTTTGAGTAGTAGCTTGTTCTGCGGCTCATGTCGCCATTCCAGCCAACCTGGGAACCTATAGAGGTCAGATTGTGATGTCATCTTCTATGTGAAGTCCAAGCATACCTGGCCTGCTATTCATGGACGCACGACGCGAGGTGGTTCCCTCCGCAGCAGCATTGAATGCACGAATGGTGTCAAGAGGGCGCTCCAGGCGGTGACGGGTAGGGTTGGAACGGTCAGGGTCAGCTGGAGAGCCGGATTAGCACGGACGTACGCCCAGGGACCAAAATCCAGGGTACCACTCACTGATGACATTGCCCTCGCTGTCCTTGTGCAACATCGTCCGCAAATCGTCGACTGTCGATGCTTCCTGTGCTTGTTCCACTGCGGTGCAAAGTCAATATTTGTTTGTCAACCACCACCAACGACAAACGCGCGCTCACCTGGAGTAGCCTCAGTTATGGCTCTTGAGGGATCAGCCTTCGTATTCAACCTCTTCTTGTCCCGCGAAGTCTCGGTCAAGTCAATCTTGCCGGTTGAAGAGTTACTGCGACGGGAACGCTGGGAAGAAAAGCTCATGGCTGTCCCAGCCCTCGGGCGGGTCTCGGAGGGTTGCGGGGAGATTGGAGGAGACATGGTTGTCATGGTGGCGGGCGGTAAACAAGTCGAGATAAGACGAGATTGATGATTCTAGGATAGATGGGGGAAGGATAAGTTATCCGGCGCGAACGAGGGTGGATAACGACGGCAGGACTGGCAAGTCTGGTGAGATTGTGGAAGCGGGTGGTTGGTATTTCGACCCAGGTTGAAAAACCGCGATTGAAGGAGTTGTCAAAGCGACAAAAGGTACGAGGTAAACGGATGACACTGGGAGCCAGCGACTGGGCGTGAAGGAGGTGATATTATTGCTTTGTGCAACACCCGGAGGAATCCAGGAATCCGAAAATGCCTCGACGGTCAGTAGCCAGCACGACGTGACTGTTTCGTTTCTTGTTGCTCGAGGTGGTAATGGGCTGCTGAGGTGGCTGGCGGAGGAATTACTGGTGACAGGGATGATGTCGCCGGCGCGGATTTGTTTCAGGACAGAGGGTCCCCCAAGAAACCACCACAGGGCAGAGACCAAGTGGTGAGACGTGCCCAGGGTCTTCCGATAGCGTAGCGATTGACGTCCAGGGTTGGAATTATTACTCCGTACCTCCTGGCCACTTGATTGTGTATAGGGCCCAGTAGTTCCTGTGTGCAGAAAGAGGGCTGGGGATGAGGGTGTGAATCCAAGTGAGAGAAAGAAAGAGAAAAACAGAGTTTGTAGTAGAACGAGGGGATGGTTTCTAGATCGGAGAGACGAACTCAGAACTCATGGGGGAACAGTAGCACAACGACAGGCTCCAGAGCAAAGACTCGGAAACATCAAGCTCAACAGGAAAGAAGAAAGCGTTTCGGAAGCAACAGCTCAGCATGTTTCTATATCAAATGTTATGCGGATATGCATCCCACAAAGCCCATGCCTAGAGCGGGAGTGAGAAGGTTCACTCATGGGCCACGGCTCGCACTGGTGGCACTGGGCCACTGACACGCATCACCGGTGCCACTGGTGCCACCGGGCCCAACACGACCCCAAGCGCCGATTGCGCGATACTGGGCAGGGTAAGGTGTCACTAGCCTCCTGTCACCTGTGCCTGGGTTTGTGGGCTGGTGCCCCTGCCGGGCTGGTACGTGGGCCAGTGCAGTGTGGCCTGTGGACTGTGGCCGGTACCCATGGGTAGCCCCCCTGGCTGCCATCCCCTTTATCGATAGGCCATGATGTGCCTGGAAGTCGCCCGCTGTGCCCACCAAAGCACCGGCCGTTGGCTGCCACACCACCCTCCCACTTTAGGTACTCCGTACGTCGTTCCCCTCCCTCCCTCAGCATTGAGAATTTCTGCTATCTCTTCTCGACAACTTCTCTTATGTACGAGATACTCCGCACCTACTCATTCGTTCTTTGGTACCTGACTGCTCCGTGGTGGGTGGACGAGCTTGTCTACTGACAAGTTCTTACAGTGTCTCTAGCACATAGGGACGGAGAAGGGACTCCGTGCCTGTGAGATACAATCACTGCAGAGCTTTATCATCATGATGCTCGCCTGGTTCTCAATCCCCCGACCAAGCCAGGCATCCAGCCAGCATATCTGTCCACTGCATCCGACACCTGGTCTGAAAATCATCGCCAATCATGCCCACGGCCATGGCCAGTCTCACGATCTTGCCGGGTTAGGGTTCCCAACTGGCGCAGAACATGCACCACGAACCGTTGACTCTGGTTCCACCACTGGCACAAATCCCCAATTTCTCTGACAAGATGCGCCTGGATGTGACGCCAGCACGTCTTTTGCTCACAAAGAAGACAAAAAAGCCCCGAGCCCCCGATCTCCGTCTAACTAGTACTGTGTCTAGTCCCTTCGTCAACGCCTGTATCTGTGCAGAAATCAAGAACTGGCACCGCTGGCGTCTGGTTGTGACTGACTGGCATCTTGTTACCTCAACCTCCGTCTCACTCTCTGTTTCGCATTCGGCCAAACTCTTTCCTGTCCCTGGATGGACGCGCGGCCCACTACTACTCTAGAAGCAGAAACAGAAGCTCCAGAGTCTCCAGCAGAAAAAGAAGATTCAACGCGCGATGGAGCCCCGTGTCCGTCAAGCCTCTTTCCACGACGGTCTTCGGTCTCCAAGTCCTACCCCATCAGAACTCTCTGCTCCTATCGTATACGTACATTACATTCCGTACTGACTTTTGCAGCTTATCATGGAGCCGACCCGCAGCTCCAAAGCAGCTTTGCATCATGACTTCTGAGACATGCTGCATCTCCCGTGGCTGATCCGTTCAACCTTAACCTTGTTTGACCGCAAGACAAAAAATCCATCATTCTTAACTATCGCCAAAAATCCTTCGTTCGGACTCAAGAACCGAAGGCCCAGCTGCTGCTGGTTCGGGCATAAAATCGTGGCTTCTGCCACCCGGGGCTTCCGAGTGAGTGCTTTGTCCTCACGAATGGCTTTCATTAATTTTTTCTGTGCTCGGTGCGTGGAGCTCCATATCAGCCCACCCGCGGAGCCAATGACTTATGCACCCACCCACCAAGGTACGATGCTTACCCTTCCGGCCAGTACTGTAGATACAAAATGTCCAGAGCTCTTCGAACAGAGGCAGAGAGGGGCTTGATGCCTGCTAGCTAGACCGAGGAACGTCGTATAACACCCATACGTCTCCCCAAGCCACCACGCCCCTCTTCCACTACCGCAGTATTTTAGCCATGTGGCTTGTGCTCGTTACTCGGTACCGATATCGATATCGATATCACATTATGAGCAGCCACTCTGACATCATCTCCCTAACCAAACGGCATGTGACGATAGTCGGTAAGCCCCTCTAGCATAAGACGCGTCTAGCAGACGATCGTGAGCGAGTATCAAAGGCTCGTTTGAGAATTGATCTTCTGAAACAACCTTCAGACCTCCTGAAGATCTACCTGTGTACGGGGCTGCCTGTGGGCGTGGCCTCATCCCACCCATTCACCCACAAACCATGGCCACTTATGCCGTACTCGTTTTCTTCGAAAAAGGCAGCACTTTAGTATGCACAGGACTTAAAAGTACGAGAGCCCGGAAATAGCTTCCCATGGCCGAACTTGGCATTGCACGACATCTCACAAGCTCATGTTCCCAACAGTCCCTTACTGTGTATATCATATCATGGCCCAGCGCTGCTTGAGCACTTCCTCACCGGGAACAACAACTGCCTCGGACAAAACAATTATCAGACAAGAGTTTTCCTTGGCAGCAGGATAACGTGGTGTGTTGTATGTTTCATGGTCGGTCTCCAAAGTCTGACAATTCTCCACTTCGGTCTACCTGTTTCTGGGAGACGACCACTATTCACTGAGTTCGGTTGATCTCTCTCTCTCTCTTGGAGGGCGACAATGCGCCACTCAAGCCGCCCCTTCCCCTTCGTGAGAGAGGAGAGCAACGGGCGCAGACGTTGATCAAGCTCTCCCGTGAACGATATCTGCGAGCCTATTCAAGGTATGAGGGCGTCGACGTTTCATTTCCAGAGGGATCTTCGACGGAGAAAGAGACGGGCCTCGACAAATACACGAGTCCATGACACCCAGGTAGGTCCTTGGATCAAGGTCAAAGTTATAGGGAAAGTTCCCGGAAGTTGAAGTCTGTTGGGACTCCGCCAGCGCCCACGCCGGTGCTATCTTCATCTCGACAGAGGTGGATTTCTGGTGCCCCCAGGCGTGGTGTGGCGTGGAAGGGGCACATAGGGATGCGTTGGGTCGCATCAGAATCTCGAGCAAGTCCGCTGTGCATGCCGTCTTTGCCTTTCATCTCATCTGAATGGGTGACACGAAGACATATGGTGGTCGTGATTCTATATTGCCAACACCGGCGTAGAGAGGTTAGAAACGACTACCACTTGGAAGTCCAGTTTTGCTCTTCAGAGTTCCTTACGATGCACGTCCTGGGTTCCTTCATCGAGGAGGCAAAAGAAGGGAACTCCCCGACTCCACAGGATTGTCCCCTGCTGGTCCATGCAGGAAAACGACTGTATGTGTAGCTTGTGTCTATCTATCGGGTACTGACCACGTGCATCACGGTGGTGCTAGATATTGATTGGGATTCTTCCTCGTGTCAATGCCAGCCTTGCCTTGCCCATGCCACTCGCAGACGCCAATACCGAATCATACACTGTGGCGCTCGGGCATCTCTTGCATTCTGCATCATTCTCCAGCGCATTGATCTTTGAGATCTCTCGCCAATATCACGAGCTGGGCCTGAACTCAAGCTTTCACGTGCTACCCAGAAGATCGCTCTCGAATTACGCAAGCTCGCCCGCTCATTCAACAGTCACACCGGGAGGAGTGTAGATAAGGACAAATGAGACTGCAGCTCCTTATGCGAGTCTACAACTTGTTTGGGGTGCTCTGAGTGTTCCACTGGTATCCAGCGGCGTCACTGAACTTGTAGCCATAGGCGGCGATGAACTCATCTAGAACAGCCGGGCCGCGAGAGCCTGTGTTACGAGATCATGTTAGTTGCAATTCAACGGTCTTGTCTTGGAGGCTTACCATAGGGATATTCCATGGGCACAATGTCCTTCTTCGAGTCCAGGTAGTGCAACAACGGGGTGAAGATCCGCCAACTGGCATCCAACTCATCGTCACGCACGAAGTTGGAATGGTCTCCTTTCATCGCATCGAGAATCAAGCTTTCGTACGCCTCAGGAATCTTCAAGTCCGAGAAGCGGCGACGGTAGGTGAGATCCAGCTCGGTGACAACCGTCTGCATTGACAAGCCGGGGAGCTTCGAGTTCATCTTCAGGTAGACTGATTCGTTGGGTTGGATACGGATGACGAGTTCGTTGCGAGGGATATCCTTGAAAATGCCCGAAGTGACATCCTTGAATTGCACCCGAATCTCAGTCTTCTGCTCGTTGAGGGCCTTTCCAGCCTTCAGGATGAAAGGCACACCGTCCCAGCGCTCATTCTTGATGAAAGTCACCAGCGCGCAAAACGTAGGACACCGCGAGTCCTTGGGGACTGTGTCATCTTCCTTGTATGCTGGTTTGGTGCCATCCAAAGACTTGGCATACTGGCCAATGATGGTGTTCTTGGGTTCGATCGCAGGAATAGCTCTCAAGACTCTGACTTTCTCGTCACGGATGTCTTCAGCGGAGAAAGAAATGGGTCTTTCCATTGCGAGGAGAGTCAAGACTTGGAGTAAATGGTTTTGCATGACATCACGAATGATGCCAAACTCGTCGAAATAACCACCCCGTCCTTCTGTACCAAAAGGTTCCTTGAACGTGATCTGGACGTTGTCGATGTGGTTGCGATTCCAGGTAGCTCCGAGGAACTCGTTGCCGAATCTGAGGATGAGCAAGTTCTTGACCATTTCCTTTCCGAGGTAATGGTCAATACGGAAGATCTCCTCTTCTTTCCAATCGGGCTCGAGGCTGTGCAAGGCCAATGTTAGTCTGGGTGCGGTTGCTGACTAGACAAGCTTGTCACTTACGCCTTCTGCAACTGCCGTGAACTCCCCAGGTCCTTGCCGAACGGCTTCTCAATGATGATTCTGGCAATGCCCTTCTGGGGATAGCAATTCCGCTTGAGATGTTCAGAGACTGTGATGAAGACACTGGGAGGTAGGGCCATGTAGAAGACTCTGTTGCCCTCCTTGCGATCCTTCTCAATCTCTTCGATGTGCTTGTTCAAGTTCTGGAAAGGCTCATCTTGGTCGTATTGACCGGCAATGTATGTGCAGACGGAGCAAAATTGGTCGAGTTGTTCCTCAATGTCTTTTGTAGGAGTCTTTATGTAGGATCGAACTCTTCGCAGGTATTCAGTATGGTCCATCTTGGTTCGGGCATATCCGATGATCTTGATGTCTTTGGGGAGGAATTTGTTGCGAAACTGTAGTGATCATTGGGTTAATCTCACTTTGCTCAACATAATAGGATTCGATGGGAGGACTAGGTGAAACTGACCAGCCCGAAAAGTGCAGGGAATGTCTTCTTCTTCGCCAGATCACCTGAAGCTCCGAGTACAACTATGATTGTGTTCTCCTTGAGTTCGATGGTGCTGTCAAGATGTCGCCCGCGTTAGTGAGATCCCATTCAACAATTTTTGAAGGGCATCGAGGGGGTGGGGGGAGCGCGGGATCCGATGCCGCTGCGGTGCGCACAGATTGCACTCACCCTGCATTTTCAGGCTCTTCGGCATGAATGATTGTGTCGGCCATGGTGACTGAAGCTGTTGGAAGAGCTGAGGAAGGATTGGGATAGAGAGAAGAGTGAGATCAACAGAAGAGGTCGACCCAAAAATTTATTTGAGATGGGGTTCTGTCAATATGCGGTGGGATGGGCGATTAGCGGCGCAATAATGACAAAGCTGTGCTGGTAGCCGGAAATAACGATACAGAATTGGGAGATGAAAGCGGGAGCCGGACTCTGATGCTGTCAGTAGTTCCGCCGCGGTTGATTGAAAAGTGCCACTTGAGCTGCTGGCCAGAAGTTGAGTAATGTTGATTGATGGCGGATGGTGGGGCAGAAAACAGCGCAGTAGCAGGACCCTCCGTGCCTGAGCAGTTGAAGGTTGAAGCAGCTCCTTTCCCTCTTCACACCTTAACTCGGTAATCTTTTTTGCCCTTTGGTGCCCCGCGAAGGCTTCCAGACCACGTTCCGGAGTTTGACTCGGTAATAACCCGATGCTGAGGCCTAGGTGAGTTTCGTCGACGTTTCGAGTTGTACTGAACCTACGAGGTACAGAAATTGATGCAACAGAAGACACCTCACACGCAGCCTACCTGTGCGAATGTTGTCGATGTCAATATATCTCCTTGTGCAGGACCCTATTCGTGCCATGTGCTCAACCCTTTCGTCACTAATCGGTCAGCGTGCCCCAACCGCGGTGCACATTGAAATCCATTACTGAAGCACCCTCCGCTTGGTGTCCTTTCCTAGCCTATCGAGAGCGCATCTGCCATCCTGACCGGACGGAATCATCGGCTACGCCTTGAGAGCCCATCTGGGCCCTTCCTCGCGTTTGCCTGTCTGAGCAGCTTGAGTTGCTTCGTCACTGTTGCACTCTTATGTAATCACTCTCGCGTTTCCTGCTTCCGATTGCTAAGTCTGGACAATTTCTGGAAGGCCTTTGAGCTCTCTGGATTGGTTTGCGTCCATGAGTGCCTGTCCCAAGTAGCTTACCATAATCTTTGCTCACCTCTCCCAATGGAGATGTGGCAGGTGTGCAGCTAAAAAATGGATTCCTGGAAGAGAAAGCGCGCCGCTGGGTTGCCGAGGAATGCCAGTATTAGCCTGTTATTGGAGGGCTCCGACCCCGGACGGTTTTTCCCTAGAAAGGGAAATGTCGCCGGCGCAATTATTCCGACCTTTGTCACGTGAAAGAAAATCTTGGCAGGCTAAACTTGGAATAGATTAGTGGCACACACATCCAATTTTCGCAGGTAGCGACCGCAGTTACATCCACCAACTTTTCGAAGTCGACGAGACATCTGAACACTCGATTACTTCCAACCGCTCTCACCTTTCTCGTCAATCAGCTCTCACGCCGTCAAGATGGTCTCCGCCGGCGGTCACAGATGTACGTGCAACCCCCGGCCCTCACTCTTCCTCAAATCCCCTGGTTTAAAGACAACTGGGATTGGGATTGGAATCTGAAATCGTCGCACCCGGGATGGCAGCAGCAAGAATGTATAAGAACAAAAGCTGACGATTCTGGGGCTATGTAGTATACGTGAAGGGCAAACACCTCTCCTACCAGCGCGGCAAGCGCAACACGAACCCCAACACATCGCTGCTCAAGATCGAAGGCGTTGACGACACCAATGCTGCAAAGTATGTTTCCACTGCCCTCTGTTCAACCGTGCTATCTCTATCATTTCTGCTTCACGAATTCATGGACAAGGTGAAGGAACAGGGTGAGAGTGAAAGGAGAGGGATGGGCTTTCAAGAGCTTGGGAATTCCCCTTGCGCACACGCCTCGAACACGCACATGTCTCATTCTAGAGCTACAGCCACGGGGCACCACCCTGTCGTCTTCATAGCTTTGTTTTCCCATCACACTGTTCATGGAGGACCTCCAGTTTGCGGAACACCGAATACCACCCGCAAGGCTTGGAAGTGATTTTTGTATACTGATTTACGATATTGCAGATTCTACCTCGGCAAACGTGTCGCATATGTCTATCGTGCTTCCACGGAACGGCAAGGCAGCAAGATCCGCGTGATCTGGGGAAAGGTCACCCGTCCTCACGGCAACAGCGGCATCGTGCGTGCTAAATTCCGACATAACCTCCCACCCAAGAGCTTCGGCGCGAGTGTACGGATCATGCTTTACCCCAGTTCGATATGAGTTGTTTCATCTTTCGTCGACGGTGGGAGAGTGGTGGTGGATTTCGGACGCAGACGATGTCCTCGCGGGCAAAACGCATGAGTGGTGACGGGCGTTCAGGGGTGGATTTTCTGGTGAGAGAGACCGAGTAAGAGCATGATTCGATGGTCATGAAAGAGAGGCAAGCATGGAAATGTCAGTCTCGGTGGCTGCGAGGTGTGAGAAGGAGAGGCGTTGCATTCCACCTCACGCTTGTATGTGGAAGTGGTGGAATTAGACAACGATGCCTGCCCCTGGAGGTCTCTCGGGACCTCTTCGAACACAGTGCCCCCCGGCACCAGAAAATCGAGGGGAAGGCGGAGATATCCAGAAGGAAGCAATTGCTGCTGCTTTTATGGCATACATCAAAAAAAAAACGCACAGTGAGGCGCAAAATGAATACTTTCGCTGCGAGCTTCCTAAGCGCAGCCAGTGTTTTCATTCCTGCTGGCGCACGAATCACGCAAAATAAGAGAATTTTCTGAACACCATGCTCTCCGGAGAAGAGTCGACTCGCTAAATTTCTTTCTACCCTGTCTTGATCGTCCTTTTTGTAAGACACGTCCGTGCAATTTTCAGCCCTGATGCCAGGTTTTTGAGAACTCGTTAGAGAAGATGCCTTGGTTTTTCTATGCGTCTTATACATTATGTTACGTATCTTTCCATCCACCCATCCATTAAAGAATCAAATCGATTATGTATGTATAGCAAAGATCCTTGCTTGCCCAGTCCCATACAGGATTGCCGTACCCGATTAAAATTGTTCATGACACTGACGGGGGGCCTCGACGGAATCATAGATCCTGCAGGCACTGCGTGTGGAAAAGGGAGGTAATGCACGCCGTGTGTTATAAGAAAAGAAAATGTAAAAAATGCTCGTTCATCACGAAGAATCAGGTCCGCCGATGATGGGTCGGACGAGCGCGTTGACCTAGAGGGCGACGCCCCAAGCGACGCCTTCGCCGATGACGCTGCCGGGACAGAAGTCGGTCTGTGCGTTGATGACGAACGCTGTCACGAACAAAAGAGTCAGTATATGCACGCTTGAACAGGGCCCTTCCATTCCAGAGTAGGGCATGGGTGAAGGGATGAAGAAGGGGCAAGGGAAAGAACTTACTGCTCCAAATGACCCAACTGGTCGCAAACGCGCCGACCATGTTGAGCCCGGCGACAGAAAAGACGAACCTCCAGAATTTTGACAGCGATGGTTCGAGTTTGTTGGATCCGACCGCGTTATACAAGACGTCTTCGTGGCCCCTCTTCATCTTATCTCTTGAACAGGCGTGGCCCAGCATCACCACCAGGAGGAAAGCGCTGATGGCGCCGCAACCAGCGATTGCATAGAAGGAATTCCAGGAGCGCAGGTAGAAGGTGTTACTTTGTTGCGGTTAATAAGGTTTTCTACCCTTTTCACCTTGCCTACAAGTTTAATAAGGAGTAGGCACATTAGCTCGCTTAGGGACAGCATTCGTCCAGCTCGTGACCCCTGCACTGAACGGGACCTACGACGATGTCGACATGATGTTCTTCAATCTCCATCACAACAGAGAGCCTACGCGGCTGAACCAAGGCTCTAGCAGTCTTCCGCAAACACCAGTGAGGCAGGTCTCTGAAGAGATGGGCAATACGATGCTATGACCCTTTCACCCAAAAATAGTTGCGCTCTGATTTGCGGTATCGGCAAACACCTTCCCGGCGGTACTTCAGCTTGGCCGTATAGCTCGTGTATCGCATTCCTTCGCCCGCTTATGGCGGGACAGGGGCGAGTGTTTGAGGTCTCGAAGCGGCGTAACGGAGCGGAAAATTGATGGAAAATAGTCCATGAACGTCACTTGGCATGGTGAGAGTGGAAACGACCCACCCTCCCTAGTTCCCAAAGGTGTCGGTGGATCCGATTATAGTACTCGACCGGGCCTCCAGATCATATGTGGCCAATGGACGGCAGCATTCTATCTATTTGTGTGTGCAACAGCCCTCAGCAATAGATGTGGCTACCTGTCGACTTTTTAGAAGAAAACCAGACCGATCGCAGTACCTTCTCCTGTCCAATTAGACACTACTTCTCTGCATCCGTTATTACTCCAGGGTGAAACACTTTCGCGTTGTATATTGGAAGCAATTGCCTTTGCAGTGTTCGTAACGTGCATAGCTCTTGCCAAGGAGAGGCTGAGAAGGACAGACAGGGGCAACGGAAGCCACAAAAGCCAGCAGTGAGCCAAACCCATGCCTCCTTCGGATCTGCAGCCGGCTCAGGTCTAACAATTTACTCTGAAGCCTCGAGGCGATACCAGCTACCTTCCCCCCCCGCTTGACCCGTTGGTGTGCAAGACGGCCGCCAGCATTTAGCATGTCACCCGCAAGAATGACCAAGGCTCGCGGGTCTAAACATACAGCCTCTTCTACGCCTGCCGACAGGCACGTCAAGCGAGTTCACACCTTGCTGGCTCCCAAGAGCAATGTCCAATGGAGTTCCGAAGCTGAAAGAGCTGCTCTTCAAAAATCACATTCGATGTCTCGGTCGCAAAACCTTGTCACTCCCTCTTCTATATCCTCTATATCCTCCCGTTCTATGTGGAGGAAAAGAGCAAAGGCCGTCAAACGTGGCGTCATCAGCGTGCCCTCGTCGATTTTCATGATCTTCCCCATGGACGCTCTCCTGGATCGACTCCTCACGACGGAGAACGAAAAAAGCCTTCTGCTGAATTTACTGGCCGGAAGCTCGGCAAGACCGAAAGAAAAGGTGTCTCGCCCGACTGCGAGGCATACTAGTCAATGGAGGATGTGTGATCTTGATGGGATGATTTACTTGGACATGAAAAGTTCTTTGACATAGAAAGAATGCTGCAAGCTTCGAAACATGTCACATCCCCCACCCGGCTGGATCGGCGTTGAGCTACTCTTCCGGACGAAGGGAATCACAGCAGGTGCTCCAGAGAGGCAATTCTGACCATGTATACAAAATCCCAACGAGACTTTGCCTGGCCTTATGCACACCACGACATAGTCACTGGGACCGACGGCCTCATATCCAAGTGTCAAACCCCAGCAGGTCGGGACCGTCGATCAGGGACCCAAACGTGCCATCATCTAAGGTCATATCAAAGAGATCCTGATACATCACACCTGCGTCGACCGGATGGTCGAACCCCGAGGTTTGAGGCTCGTCAGGGATGTAGGCTTCCAAGGCGTTGCCCCGCATCCTCTCGATGACCTGCTCCACGGCGGAAATGATCCTGTTCAGCCTGCGTAGCGCATTCCGGGCCATGGAGAGAGACAAGGCAATGTCTCGAAGGACAACGATGCCCTTCTCAAACACCTCCACCGTCTTCTGGCCAATCTCCGGTCGCCCTTTGCTTCTCAGTATGATACACGCAACTGGAATGACGGCGCCGAGTGTGTAGGTAACAGACGAATACCGTTCTAGCTCCTGGCGGGAATGTGAAAAGTGAGCTTGGCTGATCACCTCAACCGTGTCGTTGGCGATCGCTGTACATGTCTTGGCCGCGCTCTCGGAGAAGTTGAAGCTCATCATTGATTGTCGTCTCAGCAACAGTCTCAGATGATTTATTCGCTAAGATTTTCGGTCAGAGCGGAATGGGGGGGGATGTAGCAGAAGGGGGTGGCTCGCATTGCATACCAAATGTATATTTGAGGCTTGTCGACTTATATGTCGCGGTACCAGATCTGCGTCTGGAGTTCCCACTTTCTCCGGATCCCACTTCAAGTAATCCGGCAGGCTGTCCTGGAGCAGAAATAATTTGGCGTCGGTGATGGCGGTGAATTCCTCGGTGTTCAAGTCGTTCGAGCCCTTGCCGTACATTTCGTCCCAGACCTCCGCACTCAATTGGCACCACTTCACAATGCAGCGTATATATCTCATGTCGATCGCGTCGCTGCTCCACAATGGCCAGCTCCCGTCGGCATCTAGTGGCTGTCCATCCACGACGTCGGGAAGTTCGACGCCGACTTCTGAATCTCGCACCAGGTAGGGCATTCCACAGATTTGTGCGACTGACCGGTCGATGCAGAAGATGGTCCAGAATATGCGTTGCCGCATGTGCGTCTCGAAGGGGCCGCACTGGGTCCAGGTTGATTGGCGGTTCAGTTTGATTTGAAAGCATAAACAGACGGTCTCGGACAAGGCGCTGTACGCAAGATCATGCTCCTCGATGTACAACAAGGCGAGGACCTTCACGATGCAGCACTGGAGGGTCATGAGATCGCCTTTCCCCGACCACATGACACGGGACAGGAGCCGCGTTGCCATTGTCAACTCCTGCCACCCAGGCACGTTTGCAGGGTCGTATGATTGTTCCTCGAGAGCTTTCATCAGTGCAACGATCAAGGTGACCATGATGGTGATCTGCAGAGCCTTGAGCTTGTCAGCCTCTCTGACATCGCCGCTGGAAAATTCTCGAAGTCCACGAAAGAAACCGCTTTTGTCGAGGCAGGGGTCTTTGACGTTAGCTTTCCTCCCGAAAAAAAAGGGGGCTCGTGGGTAACTTTACAATGTGGGTTGACGGAGGTGAAATATCTTTCCAGCATACTTTGAAGCTGTGGGGTATCCGCTAAGATCCATCGGCTTTTGCTCAGCAGGACCTTCAGCTCGCTCGAAGCCAGAGCGCGTTTGCTAGTGAGGATGGGGTAGCAGAAGGATTCGGGAGAGCTGGAGCTGAATTCGCCCGTCACCACAAATTTGTCGAGTATCGCTATGGTGTCGAGAGAGCTCGTCCCGCTCTGACACGCCTCCGCGCTCGGACCGTTGGACTTTCTGGATCGCCCAGCACGTAGATTAGTCTGTGGAGAGCCAGAAGTCTCGTTCTCGACCAGGAAGGCTCCTGACTTGTAGACCACGTCTTCATCTTGGCCGAGTATCAAGTTCTCATGTGGTGGCTTTTCTGAAGCCCTCAGACGAGGCTGCTCCACGGCTTGATGATCACCGAGACCGTCCGAGGATAGCGGTTCACGGAAACCATTGCTCCTCCTAGGTGAACATCGAGTTAGCGAGTCTGGGAAGTGAGCGTCTTGTGGAACACGTGTTGTGCCCCTATCCATCAAGGTTGGAGGAACATGACTTGGGGAGCGAGCCACGGGTGGACGAACGCGTAATTCCCGACAACTCCGGGTTTTCGACCTCTTCTCCGAGGCTGGGGATGGAAGTCGCAGGTCAGATTCAGCGAGATGCATCTTTGACATGAAGCCCAAGGCTCGGCGGTGCACTGGTGACTCAAATGAGCGGCTTGCCAACGACACTCCGAGGTTTCTGATCTTGCCTTGACCTTGCGCCTTCGACATTCTAAGCTGCCGGGGGTGTGCGTGTCAGCAAAAACCACGGTCAAAGACGTGGGAATTGTACCAGGCTCTCGAAGTATACGTGCCACGTTTTGGAATCTGATTTTTGGGCCGCGCTGGACCACCCGCGGACAACGCCGGAGCGTCGTGGGAAGAAAAGTTCAGACTGTCGCCAATGCGACCGCCGGGAGCTACGGTTGCGGAACTCATGTTCAAGTTCGATGTCTTCTCGACGAGAGGCATAGATCTCGTTGCTCCCTTAACAAGGGTGTGAAGTTGACACTCTCAAACCCTGGGCACTGCTGTAGAAATCGCCAGACTTACCGAGGTCAGGACGAGCAGGGCGAGGTGCACGCCACTCCGCGGGGGTTTGCTGGGCCTTGCGGGGCTATAGATTAAACTCGGACTATATGTGGACGTCCAGACCGACACCAGCCTTCACCGGGACGAAGAAATCAAAGGGGGTGCCATTTCATGGAATGGTGGGCCCTTGGGCTCGGACTGCAAGTTAAAAACACAGATACCTGCAGGAATGGTACTCTTGATTTTTCTCCGGTATCTGCGTGGGCTCGCGTATCAGCCAGTTGGATCTTCACCCTTCTTCCAATCTGTATTTGTCGAATAGTCCCAATTAAGAATGTTCCTGTCACGAGGCCCAGAGATCAGCTAGTCCCAAGTCCTTTCCAGTGCGCACGGCTGCTCATGCATAAGAGCAAAATGTGCTACTTGTACATTCTAGGCCGAAGCTTCCTACTCCCTGAGTTGATACAGGCGTCGTTGCCACCTTAAGTTTACACTCTAGCTCTATCTGTGAAAACAAAGAGATTTCTTCCTGCCTGCTGCGGATCAGGCCGGACTGTACCCCTCCGTCCGATCTGCTCTTCGGTGGCGTATGCAAGCTTGTTCAGAGTTTGGGCATTGCCGTGATTAGCAATGAATCGATGCCCGCTCGGGCTGGTAAGGCCCACGATGTAGGCTGCGGATGGAGTACCGTCTCGTTTGTAGTCCACGGTGTATGTCTGCAGCATCATTTTGTCAGTATTCTGCAATTGGCCAGCAAGCTTGAACGTACCTCGATGGCTGCTTCACCGACGGGGGCAGGCTCAATTTGAGGAACGTCAACGCGATCCAGAACTGGAGGAAGAGGGTTTTCTCGAGGATACGCCGTCTTCCTCGGGCGCTTTGACAAACACACGGCGTGGTGATATGTCATACTGACGCCGCCATTGGCCAATACCAGTGCGTGTGTCCCCTTGCCTTTCCTTAGACATCGCACAACTTCCGTGACAGCATGGATGCACTTTAGTTTTCATTGCGGTAATCCCAGGGTTATCACATACATGCAGTGAGTAGTTATTTCCAGCTCCACCGAAGGATGTCAAGCCGCCCAAAACGGTGACAGGCTTTGAACCTCCCACGATTGGTAACCCTAGATGGTGGCAGGCCAGCTTGGGAACGATAGGAAAGCAACTGCATGGCCGTCAGTGAGTAATGGCGGAGAACCGGCTACACTTACGAGTAGACGTCAAATATGTCGATTTGCTCCCTTGACAGTCCGCAAACTTCGAGAGCAGCATCCAAGGTCCTTGACAGAGATGGGCACGAGTAGAAGTTCGATCGCTGCCAGACTGCGCAGTTGAGAAGTTTTTGTGAGTATACACCTTTCAAAATGATCGACATGGCACATCTTACAGTCATCCTCATCTCGTGTGCCTGCTCCGCCCAGTGGATAAATCCACTTCTCTTCTGATATTCCAAGCGCTTTTGCTACATCGCTGGACATGAGGATGGTTGCCCCTGCGAGGTTGACGGTGTTGAAAGCGTTCATCAAGAGAGGATCTCTCACGTCAGTAATGTGGCCGTGGCTTCGAGTAAGATTTCTTCTTACAGGGTTGGCACACCATCCGATTCTTCGGGGAGACGGTAGCTATCTCCTTGCTGGACAATGCTTTCTTTCCGTAGCTCCATGCAAACGGATTCTCCGCCGCCACTTTTGCAAACTCGGCGTACAAGTCTGCCGACTCTTGCATGTTGTCGGATATGGATTGGTGTCGGTGAGCACGAAACCCGTTCTCGAAGAGGGGATAGGTCTGAATGGGTCTGCCTATGTCATGGATGGCACCAAGACTGGGTTCGAGCTCTCGTGTCGTGGGCGAAAACACGCCTTCAACTTTTCTGGTCGGCTCTGTCCACCCTGGCGGTGGTAGTTTCTTCGCCTTGGTGCACGCAATCACTACTCAGGTCTCCTGATCAGCTTTTGGCATGAGAATCTGCAGATAACAGTGATGCTTACATGACGCCAGAGCTTCTCCGCCAGTCACTACAGCAATTCGGACTTTCCCCTGTGCGATTCGACGGGCAGCTTCGTCCAGCTGAACCGCCGGTTGATTACCCCCGGGATCGCTTACCACCTTGTGCGAGGGCCTCGCCCCGAGATGTTCAGCGATAAGTCCAGGAAGATCATTATACGGCCATGTCCACGATTGAACCACTGAGATACTTCCAATATTGGACAGAAGCCATTTCTCTTTGTATGTCGGTAAGTGAGCGTCCCTTGCTGCGGCTCTGATGGCCTCAAGCATCAAGCCCAATGGCTCAACTGCATCTTCAACTTTCAAAGAGCGGTTGACCACGTCACCGACGCCGACAATAACTGGTGTACATACGGTATCGTCCATTCTGGGTGAGGCAGACCATGTCCTGCGACGAAGTAGATGGATGGTCTTCGCGTGAACACTACTTGAGATCGGGGCCCCAGGCCCGGCTGGGGACCCACTTCTCTACCCACTTTTTTGACTTGTTCTAATTTTCCGCGACGGAATAAAGGAGATCTTTCAAGCTCGGGCAACCCCAGGCCGAAATTCGAAGCGGGCCGAGATGTGTGACTGCAGTAAAAGACCTCTCTGCCTCGGACTCTTCGTTTCCAAAAGAGGCTCGCCATCAGCAGCCACAGCCTGGCCTTCCCAGACTCAGACCTGGGCCTTAGCACGACGAGGGACATCTACCAGCTATGCGCGACTAAATGATCTCGTCCACAAGACCGCGCACGAATTCTCTTACAATTTAGGCTCAAGTATGTACATCATGATCTTGGAGGGCAAGCATGTCGGCTGTGTGACTGCCTCTGAAGATCCGAAAGCCATCAGATCTTGGACGGCAGCCATTGTGGTTGTCGTTTCTCCGCAAACGCCGCCAGCCCTTCCTTTGCATTCGGCCCCGACATAAGTGCCTCCTTGAATCTTTGATCGGTGAGTTGAAAAGCCCTCTCGACGCTTCCAGTTTCCCAGCTTTCTCTGAGGGCTGCCTTCGTGACGATGGTTGCGTCCGGAGATATTTTGGCGATGGATTCTGCCAACTGCACAGCTTCGTCGACCAAGGACTCGGATGTCTGCGAGATTTTGTTGATGAGATTCCATCTCACCGCCTCTTGTGCCGTGATCCGCCGTCCGGTCATGGCGATCTCGCTACTAATTTTCAAACCGCATTCTCGTATCAGTCGGGGCAGCCCTCCCGCTCCAGCGTAGATTCCGCGCAGTGTTTCGGGCAGACCGAACGTTGCGCCGGGCGAAGCCACCGCCAGATCGCTACGAGATCAAGAGTCAATAAATGCATGGTTGCACTATTTGGGCAAACGCCCGACCATGTACGATGAACTTACCAGTTCAGAACAATTTCGAATCCCCCTCCCAGAGCATACCCGTTGACTGCGGCAATGACAGGCTTCTTTCCCAGTCGTCGACTTAGACCGGCAAACCCAGATGGGGGAGGTATGTTCAGCCAGGGTGCATCCTTGGAGCGCTCGGCACGGTCCTTTGTTTCCAGGAGATCTTGACCGGCGCAGAAAGCTTTGCATGCAGTGGAACCTGTAATCACTGCGACATACAAGTCAGGTTCAGCATCGAACCATTGGAAGAGCTGATGCAGTTGCCAGTGCATTATGTAGTTGACTGAATTCATCTGTTTCGGTCGATTTATGGTTACCAAAAGGACTTTGGGAGCAGGAAATGAGATCAGACATCCCGGGACTGTTGGTGGCGTTGATTTGGGCGCTGCAGGCGACATGTTGGGCTGGACTCAATGACCTGTTAGACAGAATGGAAGGGATTCAAGGCGATGCTGTGAAAGCTGGTTGGATCCTATACTGGCTCGATATTATCTAAATAACACTGGAATAAGACGCGCAGACCTCTGCGGGAGTGAGGACATCAAAAAAAAGAACATGGCTGGCTTTCGCGCTCTGACCAATGCACACCAGCCTAAACACAAGGGGGAGGAGTTCGGTGGATAGATCAGATCTAATTTGTCACTCCAAAACCCGGCCGGAGACACCGAATGGGGCGGCCTGCAATAAAGGAATATAGATTGCGGAGTTCTCTGCGCATCATGTGCCGATAAATACAGCCTGTATCTAGTATAATTTGTAGGACTCCACCACCCCCGGTGAAGCCAACCACTTCTGCACGTCTCCTGACCATTTTCATCTCTAGCTCAACACCATATTCAGTCATGGCAGGGAGATTGCAGGGCAAAGTCGCCATTGTCACTGGCGCAGGCCAAGGCTTTGGTAAAGGGATTGCGGCCAAGTTTGTCGAAGAGGGTGCTCGAGTGGTCATTGCAGACTTGTCACAGAAGCTCGGAGCGGCAGCCGCGCAGGAATTGAAATGCGAGTTCGCTTTGATCGATGTCACGGACAAATCTCAGTGGGAAACGTTGCTGAAGAAGACCATCGACAGCTATGGACAGTTGGACATTGTCGTCAATAACGCTGGCACCACGTACAGGAACAAGGTGTGTATCGTCCATCTGAAATCTTGTCCTACCGTACTTCTGACACTCCGACTGCAGCCTACAAGCGAGGTGACGGACGCCGACTTCGACCTCTGCGTGAATGTCAACATGCGGTCTATATACTACTCGACCAATGTCATCGTGCCCTACTTTCAGCAGCGAGGTAGAGGAGGCTGCTTCGTCAACATCGCCTCGACAGCCGCCATTCGACCTCGTCCAGGACTCACTTGGTACAACGCGTCCAAAGCCGCCGTCATAACAGCCACCAAGACCCTGGCGGTAGAGTATGCGCGGGACCAGATCCGTTTCACTTGTGTTTGTCCCGTGGTGGGCCTAGGCACCGGCTTGTAAGTGATCCTTCCATCTCACGAGCAGATTCGTTGGCTGACAGAGAAGGCAGAACGGACTTGTTTCTCGGGAAGCCAGAGAATGAGGAGGCGTTCGTCTCAACGGTTCCTCTGGGTCGTGCCGCTACACCAAAAGACATCGGGAATACTTGTGCCTACCTTGTATCAGATGAGGCGGCGTTTATCACCGGGAATGCCATAGAGGTTGACGGCGGCCGTTGCGTGTAGAAACTTCAGTGGTTCGACCGAATTCATACAGTTGACTGCTCAAACCACTCACTGCTCAGTCCAAAAGCGTTCACGACTACGTCTATAGTTGTGCACTTGTTCCGGCAAAACTTACCAGGCAGTCACTGCTCCGCAATCCGAGGATAGTCATTATTTTCTAAAAGCATTTGTCCAACCGTCAAACGCCGAGATTAGAAACCCGCTTCCTCAGTAGATGTTGTGGGTACTCGTCACGAGCGGCATTTAGGAACAAAGTAAACCAAACACCACTTGGAGATATTGCTTGAGAACATAGTTTTAGTCATTCCGAGGCTCGTCACGCCAGGTACAGGGTGTGGCGTGTTTCATAGTCTTTGCAGCGCGGAATATTATGCCGTTGGACTTGTGTACTCGGGCGTCAATTCCGTGTCGAGCTTTCAAAGTCACGAGCCCTTGTGAGCGGAAAGAACTCACGAAACAAATAGGAGTGTATCGTTTCTGTCCTCTTTGATCGTCCCCGACAAGTTCCAAGATGGACAGCGGTGCAGTGCCTGCTGAGCCAACAAGTGGCACTACCCACGGCGATTCTAGCATCCCCTTGTTACAGAATTGCGGCAGCTCGGTCAAATCAGATCAGCCGTGGACGCCCCTCCTCAACAATCCCAGTGTCAACGACGTTCCGATCCCAGAACGCCCATTGGGAACAAGAAAGAAGATGCGAATCGGCATTCTCGGGGCAGGCGTCTCAGGACTATGTCTGATGAAAGTTGCCGAAGAGAGATTAAGCAATGTCGATGTCGTCTGTTACGAAAAGAACGCCGACATCGGGGGTACCTGGCTGGAGAATCGCTATCCGGGCTGTGCGTGCGACATCCCCAGTGTCGCATACCAATTTCCCTGGAGGCCGTGGCCTTGGAAAAACTACTACTCCTCCTCCAAGGACATCTGGGCGTATCTTAAGGCCGTGGAACAAGAAAATGATTTTATCAAAAAATATATCAAGCTGAGACACCACGTTAAAGGCCTCTCGTGGAAAGACGAGGACGCCAAATGGGTAGTTGAAGTGGAGAACCTACAGAACGGCGAGCTCCTCGTCGACCAGGTCGACGTGATCGTGAACGGCACCGGGATCTTGAACCGATGGAAGTGGCCTGAGATTGCCGGCATCCACGACTTCAAAGGCAAGTTGATCCACTCTGCTAACTGGGATCCGGAGGTCGACCTGAAAGACAAAAAGGTCGCCCTGATCGGGGCAGGCAGCAGCGCAGTGCAGATCCTCCCAAGCATCTATGACCAGGTTTCCCGTGTGTACCACTGGGTCCGCAGCAAGATTTGGGTCACGGCAGGCTTTGCCCAGGAATTCGCGGGCGAAAATGGGGGGAATTTTGCTTACAGCGACACACAAACGCAGCTGTTCAACCGAAAAGACGCCTATTTGACCTACTGCAAGATGATCGAGGGCGACTTGAATCGTCGGTTCAAGTTCGTCATCAATGGCTCCGAGGCACAGCGAGAAGCACGAAGATTTGCTGAGAAGGAGATGCGGATAAATTTGGCTAATCGACCTGATCTGATCGATCAGGTTATCCCTACGGACTTCTTTGTTGGCTGCCGACGACCAACGCCTGGTCTGAAATACCTCCAGGCGCTGGCAAGTGCCAAAACCACAGTGTACAACCAGCAGCTCAATCGAATCACCGCAAACGGCTGCATCGACCCAAGTGGAAAAGAGCAGGAGGTGGACGTTATCATATGTGCTACAGGCTTCGACACATCGTACAGGCCGCGCTTTCGACTTATGGTCAACGGCCAGAATGTTCCCGACTCGTGGATCGAGGAAGTGCCCTCTTACCTCAGTCTTGCTGTGGCAGGCGTACCAAACTACTTTACATCGGGAGGCGCCTATTTTCCCTCCGCTCACGGTTCCTTCTTCCCCCTCATTCAAGGCTCATGTGAATACATCGCTGAGGTCATCGACAAGATGCAGCTTGAGAACATTACATCTCTACGACCGAAGCCCGAGGTGACTCGGCAGTTCTCAAAGTTTGCCGATTCCTTCTTGAAACGTACCGCCTGGACGGGGCCATGTTCGAGCTGGTTCAAGGGCGGCAAGGTCGACGCAAAGCCTACCATCTGGCCAGGCAGTCGTCTCCATTTCTTGCGACTTATTGAGAAGCCTCGGTATGAGGACTTTGCGATCACGTATGAAAAGGAGAACATGTTTTCGTTTCTCGGCAACGGCTTCCACGTTTGTGAGAGCGATGGGTCCGACATAACCTGGTACTTGGGAGCTACTGAAACTCACATCGACGAGCAGGAGGTCAGAGAGGTTATGGACGGGCTGAAAGGCAAACGGATGGCTGGCTTCGAGCCATGATTTGTGTCAAGTGTCCTCCTCACGACAAATCATAAACTGCAAGATAGTTGAGGTAAATAAACTTGCTGGTATAGTCAAGTCAGATCTAATAACGCATGAAACCGTCCACTGACGAACTTTGGATGCACCGTTCCTAGCGCCAGGGAAGAATATTCAGTGTGGCAGAGCGAAATTCTTTGACTCATTCTGATCTGCCACAATGTCTGGTGCCCATTCAAAGACGGATCAACATGCCAATCGAGATGCATCCCAGGCCAAAGATATCGGCTCAAACAAACGAACTTGCCGGAATGTTTAGAAATCATCGCTTCGAAGCGTACAGCTTATGGCCTTTGCGGTCTAGTTCTCAGCGGAATAATGGAATTTTTTGGGAAAAACCCTAAAACGTGGCAGTACGGCCCACATCAATTTCTCACCCCGGATGTATGAGAGGCGCGGAGCCTGGTCCAGTTTGATCTTCTCCATGGGGTACTCCAGTCGGGACCCTGGCCTATACATAGGTAGGTGGCGAGCATCTCTGGATGTGTGCTCGACATCTCCCATCTTCATCTCTCGCGCCTCCCTCTCTCAATCCAATCATCTCTCCCAAGCCACGACGCAGCCCAGCCTTTGCGAAAACAATGGCCAAAGACTACAAGCCTGGTAAGCAATGGAACTGGTATAACTTTTGGATATGCCTTGCTGTTGGGTTCTTCGGCCAAATGGCCTTTGGCACCCCTTCAGCCATCATCGGAACCACGCTGGCGCAGCCCGCCTTCCTGATCTACATGGGCCTGCTCGATCCAGAAACGGAAGAACTCACAGCAAACGCAAACTCCCTGATCGGCGCCACGAGTGGAGTTTTCCAGGTAGTTCACCATCTCCAATAGATTCGAGAATGTGACTCATGGTTACATAGGCCGGCGCTTTCTTCGGCGTCCTGGTTGGTAGCTGGGTCATGGACAAGTATGGTCGCAAGGCCGGAGTCATGTACTGTGTCATCCTCTCCATCATAGGGAGCACCCTCCTGGCCGCTGCGCAGAACATCGCTATGTTTATTACATTCCGATTCTTCTCCGGGGCTGGGAGCTGGTCGATGAATGCGTTGAGTAAGACGGCACTTTTCCCCCCATCACCCGTGCACAGAAGAAAGCCTGGAAACACTGACAGAACATCTGAATTATAGTCCCTGTCTACTCTGCCGAACTTGCGCCACCGAAGCTCCGGGGGCTCTTTGTCGGCATGAACGGTATGGGCATCACGGTGGGCTACGCCATGGCCTCCTACATGGGTCTTGCATTCTATTATTCTCCGCACCCAGCGGTGCAATGGCGCGGCCCGTTGGGTCTGGCTCTGGTCTGGCCCATCTTCATGCTCGTGACACTCCTGTTCGTTCCCGAGTCTCCCCGCTGGTTGCTGATGGTCGGCCGTGTCGAAGAGGCGCGGAAGATCACTATGAAACTTCACCATATTAAGGGCGACCCCGATCAGGAATACGCCCGTGGTGAATTTTACCAGATGCAAAAGCAGACCGAGTTTGACATGAAGCTCGATTCCAGCTGGAAAGCTGTGTTCACAAAGCCCAACTATCGCAAACGAGCGGTTCTGGCGATCGGATTCGCCTTTATCGGCCAGAGCACGGCGGTGTTGATTATCAATAACTACGGCCCCACGGTGTATAAAGCCCTCGGCTACGACACGCTCAACCAGCTGATTTTGCAATGTGGATGGATCACCATGGGTATTCCGGCCAACCTGATCGGTGAGTGCCGACGGCCATTTCAATCGTTCCAGCCACACAGGCTCCCAGTAACTAATGATTTCATCAGGCGCAATCCTCATGGACCGTGTCGGTCGGAAGCCGCTCATGCTTACCGGTGTCATTGGATGCTGCGCATGCCTGATCGTCGAAGCAGCCATGATCGCCCAGTTCGCTTCTCCCGTCCCAGCCGTGGACCCGAACCGTGCAGGCCTTAGGGCCGGCGTGGCAGCGTTCTACGTGTTTTTGCTCTTCTACGGCTGCGGCATCGACGTGGCCGGCTTCGTCTACTACGGCGAAATCTGGCCGAATCATCTGAGAGCCAAAGGAGTCGCGCTCGCTGTTGGAACCATCGCAATTTCGGATTTGGTCTACCTGCAGGCTGCTAGCACCGCCTTTGCGAACATCGGATGGAAGTTTTTCTTGGTAAAACCACCCAAACTCCCCAGCGGCCAAAAGCGTTTTTGAGATCTGCTAACGCTGACAAACACAGCTCTTTATCATCCTCTCTGGGTTGGGGGCGGTCTGGGTCTGGGTTTTCCTGCCCGAGACCAAGGGCGTGCCCCTCGAAGAGATGGCGGTGCTGTTCGGCGATTCTGAGGAGGTTGTGGTCTTTTCCGAGAATATCCATGTCGATCACACAACCCATGAACTGGTCGTCGACCCGCGCGGTGAGAGTTCGATCTCCCAGGCTGGTGAACACGAGGGCACGAAGCACCGAGTCCCGCACGTCCCAGACAATGAGAAAGCGCAGGAGTCGGTTGTTGATCATGTATCAGCTTGACAGGCCTAGTGATGATGCCCGGGGGTGCGGAAATGGGTGGCTGCAGATCAGAAACCACGTCTTGCTATTCCTGTACGTGCTGCAAGCGACTCATTTAAGAGTGGCAGTCCTAGTAGATGATCATTTTGTCCTCTGCTATGGACCAAATCCCAAAAAAAAGAAGTCTCGATGGGATTTGCTATGATAGAATACCCGAAGATGACAAAGCCAGGACAGGCGTCTTACAGGCAAAGAGCAATCTTTGGCTCTGAATTCATTGTTGGTGCTCGGAGGATCTATTCAGACCAACGTCGGGCGCGGAAACCTCGACAGTCTTTAACACCTGTTGCTCGATGCTCCTCCCAGCGTCCATTGCCAAATGCCACGTGCAAGCAGCGTTGTCATCTAGTCAGTCAGTCACTAGTCAAATTTTACTATAGTCAAATTTTACTATAGTCAAAGTGGAGTCGACAACCCATACCTATTACAGACAACGCTAAGCCATCTCAGTACAGAGTTTATACCTATCTACGAGGTACGAATGTGGTTATTAATTACTACGTTACCGGATCGGATAAGTATATCTGCGGGCCAATGAGGGTGTATCGTAGGTTGCCAAGCCCTTGGTTAGTCAGACTATAGTGAATGACTAGTGACTAGATATAGTCACGCCCTCCAGATTGACTGATTAGTGACTAGTGACAGACTAGTTGGCAACGCTGCGTGCAAGATGTAAAGAAAATTACACTCTATACATTCCTCGCTATGCGACACAAGTCACGAACAAGACTCTGCATACATGTTTCCACTAGAGCTTTGCGCTGACAAAGTATTTGTTCGTACCTCGCAGCAAGCCGCTAGCGACCTCCATCATCTCCGTCACAATCTCAGCAGCTGTCTGGTCTGCCTTGTTCACAAGCCCACTGACATATCCCATAGGTCTGTTGGAGAAAACCCACTGTCAATGGCTGCACTGGTCAAGGGAGCAAAGAGAGCCATACCTTAGAGCGGCTTGATCCTCAATATCTTCCGACAGCTCACCGCGGTTGTGCAGCTTTTCCATTTCATGGGGCATGACGACAATACCTTTTCCCTCCAATGCCTTCATCTCTTCCTTGCGCCTCGTCTCCCAGTCAAGCACATAGGGGCTAGCGAGCGCACGCAACGGACGACCGGTCCAGAATGTACTCCGGATTGTTGAGTCGAAGCCGGCTTCGATGATACTGATGCACGGGAGTGAACTTTTGTCAGCCAAAACTTCCCCGCCGTCGAATCACAAGGGTATCTCACGCTCGTTTTGAAATCTGGGGAGAGCCGGATTCGCGGGCAGTCACGAAGCGAGTGCCAACCCAAACAGCATCCGCACCCAGCATGAGCGCCGAGGCGAGACCTCGACCGTCGCCTATGCCTCCTGCCGCGACAAGGAGCACTTGTCTTCCCGTGAACTGAGACCTTTGTTTCGTGCAGATATCGGAGCACGCAGGAATCAGAACACTGGCACAGTCAGCCATTGGGCTCCTTGTTTTGAGACATAAACAAGGCGGCCTGCTCTAACCTTGTCGGGATCTCGCCCGTGTGTCCGCCTGCTTCAGCTCCTTGTGCGCAAATCATGTCTGCACCAACGCTGCATGCCCTCGGAACGTGCTGGAAAAATATCAGAGGATTGCTCCAGCAAATGAAAAAGTCTACGTACCTTCGGATGGCCGACCATGTTCTTCACGTTTTGTTAGCGATAGGTTAATGATGGGTCGGTCGCTCAGGGGTTGCTAATTACCATGTACAAAACTCCTGCTGCGTGCAGCTTGTCGACCACCCTCTTTGGGGGAATTCCGACTGCGCACACAAATAATTTGGCCCCTCCCTCGATGATGACTTGGACGAGTTCATCGAGGTTCCCTTTTGTATAGTCGACCTATTGTGACGTCTCTTAGCTGAATACTCTCATCGTGTGTTACCATTGGGAGTCGTTACATTTGTCTTGCGTGCTGAGCCGCCGACCTTTGGAATCAGGAGATCCACGCCAAATGGCAGGGAGGGATCTCGCAGTAGACTCTAGGCCCGGTTATTCTCAAGATCGTGAACGGAGCACATTTGGTCTATTACCTTGAGCTCGTCTATCGCCTCCCGAAGCTGCGCCACTGTGAAGTGAATCCCTCCTATGACACCGAGTCCGCCTAAGGCATTGTTAATGATCTCTGATGGTATGTGGATAGAACCCATGTCTTGCCTGCATTGGACACAGCTGCTGCGAGAGCAGGGCCCGAAGCTCTCCCCATCCCGGCGAGCAGGATAGGGTGCTGAATGCCCAGCAGCTGTGTGACTGGAGTTGTCAGAGACATTTTTCCTTCCTGAGTTTACCGTTTACGGCCTCTAGAGATTGCTGGGTTTCAATGAGACAAGAGAATGGACTTCAGATCGAAAAGTCCGTTCACGTTCCAGAAGCGACAGAGGAGCCCTTGACATCGAACACTATCTAAGAACCCCGACATACACGTCGTATGCATTCGTGTACCTCGGTTCAGAGTGACTCTACTCTGCCGAACTCTGGTTTTAGATTACTGCGGACACCAGATACCTGCCGTGGAATATTGATCCCGCGACTTTCTCCATCGAGGCTCCATGGCGTAGTAGCGGGACGGCGGAATTTTGGTCCACACCTGAAATTCCGCTCAATTTTCCGGATTTGGACGGCCAATGAGCTTGATTGGTGGCTGAAGCCTGGCTGGAGAGTCCGACGCACGAAGCTTGTACCGTATCGTCTTTGTCGAGACCTCGGTGTTTTGTCTGATCTGGCACAAACTACCGATTGCAGGTACAACATAGCCGAAAAAATGTTTCTGTCCAGACTGTGTCTGGGGCTGTTGGTCCAGAGCTCAGGCACGCCATCAGAAGTCATTAGTGAACGGAGACGGCAGAAGAGCAGAAGAGCTTTCAGAATTGAGTACAAGATCAGCAGATTCGATCGATGCGGGAGTATTCGCTGAGGCTTTACCACGACCCGTTGCTGCACCGTACATAGAGCATGGCATGTAAGTCTCAAGGTCTCTTTTGAACTTTCCTACAAAGTCCTTTTCATCAGCATCCGCCAAGCACGATCGACGTTGACAAAGCTAATCAAATATGTGGTCGAGCAGTACCGGTTGCTGCGACAGTCGCTTTTGTCCTCGGAGGTGCTGCGTACCTCGACGCCAAGTATCAGGTCCGCCATGACTATGCAACCGGATCCCTTGTCGGAAACGCCCGACGTGCGAGGAACTTTGTAGAGCAGCGTGCGGCTGAGAACAAGTTGCTGATCTCGCAGATTCTTCAGTCACGGGCCGAGAATCCAAAAGAAGCGGATGAGGTCTTTCTTCTCTTCGAAGACCGGAGCTTCACATGGCGTACTTTCTGGGGGGCTACCAAAAGAATAGCCAACTGGCTGATAGAGGACTCGGCGACAGGTGGAGTCGGGGTTCAGAAAGGCGACATTGTTGCCATGGATGGTGGCAACAGCCCAGAGTATGTGATGCTGTGGTTTGCCATTGAAGCTGTTGGGGCGAGCCCTGCCTTCATCAACTGCAACTTGACAGGCACTCCATTAACCCACTGTGTCAAATTGTGCGACAGCAAGGTCTTGATCGCAGACGTTGCTATTCGAGGCCTAGTGGATCCTGTCCGACAGGGGCTCGAAGGAGACGGCGTGAGAGTTCTGTGGTATCATACAGACTTCTTTGACGAACTGAAGGTTGACAAACCGCTACCCAAAGACAGACAGTGCGGCCACAAGCCGGGCGGAATCGCGGGTCTGATCTACACCAGCGGGACCACTGGCTTGCCGAAAGCGACGGTGATGACCAAAGGTCGAGAAATAAACACGGCGAGAACCATTGCACTATATTTGCGTCTCAAACCGGGCGTTCGCATGTACACCGCCTTGCCACTATACCACGGGTCGGCGCATTCTCTATGCGTCATCCCGGCCATATATGCAGGCTCGACTGTAGTGTTGGGGAGGAAATTCAGCCACAAAACCTTCTGGCCCGAGGTGAGGAGCTCCGGCGCACACATCATCCAGTATGTGGGAGAAATGTGTCGATACCTGGTCAACGCGCCGCCACATCCCGACGACCGCAACCACAATGTCCGCCGGGCGCTGGGCAATGGAATGAGGCCTGGTGCGTACTTCTGGTCTCTGGATGGCACAGGACGAACTAACTCGCAATTCAGACGTATGGGAGGCATTCCGGCAACGCTTTGGCGTCGAGACAATCAATGAGTTCTACGGAGCCACAGAAGGGGTCGGAACTTGCTTCAATGAGAACCGAGGACCCTTTGGAAGGAACGCCGTGACACGGCGAGGGCTTCTCTGGCACTTGATGAATGGGCACCGGGAAGTACGAGTTCAGATCAACATAGAGACCGAGGAAGTTGTTAGAGGCCCGGATGGTTTTGCTGTCAGGTCCAAGATTGGCGAGGCTGGTGAGCTCTTAAGCAAGCTGGATCCGGCTGCCCCGAACACGACTTTCGCCGGGTACTACAAAAACAAGCCTGCAGGAGACAAAAGAATGATTTCAGACGTCTTCCAGAAAGGAGATCTCTGGTTTCGATCGGGGGATCTGACGAGAGAGGACGCCGATGGCTGTGTTTACTTTGTTGACAGATTGGGAGACACCTTTCGCTGGAAAAGTGAAAACGTGTCAACCAACGAAGTTGCAGAGTGTCTCGTACATTTTGAACAGGTGGCCGAGGTCAATGTTTACGGTGTCGAAGTACCGAATGCAGATGGCCGAGCTGGGTGTGCTGCGATCGTGCTGGCCGAGGGACTAAGTGAAGACACATTTGACTTCGGGGGATTTGCACGACACGCTCTGGAGACGCTTCCTCGATATGCTGTCCCAATCTTCATCAGAGTGGTGAAGGAAATACAGTATACAGGTACGATGAAGATGGAAAAGGCGAAGATGAGGAAGGAAGGCATCGATCCGGATAAGATCCATGCAGCGGCCCAAGCTGGCGGGACCCCGGATTCAGTGTATTGGTTGCCACCTGGCAAACAGGCGTATGTGCCGTTTACAGTGGCGGATTGGGTATCGGTCAAGAAGGGGGGTGTCAAGCTTTGATGTGTAGTCTGCGTAGATTTGAAGAACCGTGCGGAGATTCGGAGATTGTAAGGTTACCCTGTAGAGAGCTTCTGTCGTGCCGAAAGAATGCGTCCATGTCATCCTCGTCGACAGGTGAAGTGCGGCGGACCATAGTTCTCGAAACCTCTCTTCGGCGTCTCTCCCATCATGTAAGAGCTTTTCATGCCCTGTTAACGATCGCATTCAACACCTCTTGTAAACACCGCTTGTACATACGCCCAACCCGGCGGATCCTGCAACATGTTGAGTTCCCTTGCCATGCGGCTGACTTGCTTCAGCCGGCCCCTTCCTCACATTCGCCTCTGAGCCTCTGAGCATTTACTACGTAATTTGTTCTATTCTAAGCTCTATAGAGCTATACCGCTATGTACGTATAAAGCGGTGTATATATTATTATATCCTCGGTAAACTTACTGATTTTTTGGATTTTCGCTCGCGACTGTAAATCCATATTGGCACGAGAGATAGACCTTCCAAAGAATCAAAGATCAAGGCAGAGAATGTAGCCGATGTAGCCACAGTGAGTTTAGAACCAATGACAACGACTTTGGTCCAGAATTGGAGTGGAAATGCTGAACGGAACTGGAAACCATCTTCAGGGTCTGCTTGATGCATTGGGCTGACACCGGCTGAGCAATAGGGATCGTGTACCGAGTACTCGTCGTCCAATGGTCGAGCAGATGCAAAGTCAGCCACACCCGTAGCCTCGCGTAGGCAACGCCCATTTGGGGCGAAGCGTGTTGAGGCTCTACTCCAGAGAAGCCACCTGTTGCGAGCGAGACTTGTGAGGGTCTTATCCAAGGAGGATGTTGTCCCATGTAGACTGAGAGAATGAGGGAAATAGTCCTGACAGTCTTTTCACGCAACGAAAGGCTAGTGAAAAGGAATGGCTGCAATAAACTGGTATTCCCGTAGCACCAAAGAGGCTTGTATTCATCATCAAGCCAAGTGCTTCAGCCGTCTGGCAGCTTCTGCCGAGATCAAGGAGCACAACGCCCCGATAAACATACACACGGCGATTGCATTAGGCGCATTCTTCTTTAGATTGAGCCACCGATGATGGTCGGGATCTTCGTCAGCGACATCATCATGCTGGCTCGGCTCTAGGATCGAGAAGACAATCCAACTAACAAAAGTTCCGACGAATTGCGGTAGGGTCGTGTAGACATTCAACACGCCTAGGTAGACGCCTGCAAGCTCTCCTGTGGAAGAATGAGCGTCGCCTTCATCGGGATGATTGAGTCGCAGCACACCCTCAGAAAAGGCCCTGCGATGTTGTCGTAGATCTTCTATTTCGACACCGTAGTTCTCATCGAAGCTGCCACGGACTGCCGTGTAACCAGGTACAGTCGATCCGTTGACGTTGGCACGTGATCCAGAGGACATCCTGTTGATCTCGATACCTAGCAGCCCAAACGGTGCCCAGCACGATATGGCCCAGGGTACGCCACAAGCAGCCACCAGAGTGGTTGCAGAAGACAGCGTGCGGACCCAAGGGGCAAATATCGTGATGAGCGCGAACAGAAGATTCGATAAGCTCCACGCCGAGATGAGATCAGGCTGAATGTTGTAGGCCTTGCTCAAGATCACCTTCAAAGGTTTGGGTATCGAAGCAGGAGGTCTTGGGGTAAATTTCACCTTAGGTGCATCGGGTGATTTGATGAGGGATGGGAAAACGACCGACGCACAGAAGGTGGTCAAGGAGAAAAACACCAACGCAAGGCTTCCTAGTCGCCCTACATTTCCCAGAGCATCGTGCTCATCCTTCACACCTGGTTCTGGAGCAGGATGTTCGTAGCGATAGTAGATTTCTCCCACGAATGTGCTTGAGTAGAATAGGAAGGGAAACCTAGGATTGATACCTCTCAGTGTCTCTCCCTTTGCTGCCAATCCTTGAGGGGAATTTGACTCACCATCCAACCCAGTTCCAAAATTGCACCCAACAAATGGCTCGTATGCGTGAAGGGAGGTTGGTTGTCTTCCGCCAAAGACCAAAGAGCACCTCTTTCACCGAGGTATTGTCGTCCTCGCTAGGCAACCTCACTCTCTCTGTCACAGCCCAACACGTTATGCCCACCGTGAACCACAAAGCTAACGTTGCAATGACCGTCATTTTCTTGAACTGGGAGTCACCTCCTATCCAAGGTGGCAACATCGAGACCAGATCAAAGGTGCCAATAAAGTAGCTGGCCAGATGCCCCGCTGCAACAAGCCTCGATGCCCAAGCGGATCCAGCTTGTTGCTGCGAGATGGGTAATGTGTCGACAATCAAGCTGCGACAACACGCCTGGACTGCATTGATTGAAAAGTCCAAGGCATATATGCACATGACAGCAGCCAGGATTGTCGTGCTCTTCTTCGTATCGCCCTCGGGCAAGAAGTAGCCCACTACTTCAGATGTCCAGCCCAGCAACAGCAATCCGGCACCTGTGATAATCGCTCCATAGACCATATAAGGTCTTCGCCTGCCATATCTTGACGTTGATTTGTCCGCATAAGCCCCGACTATTGGTTGCATGATCAAGCCTGACAGCGGCCCTGCGATCCATACCAGAGATGTTTTCGACTTTGTGAGACCGAGTTGGAGAAGGTAGGGAGTGCCGTATGTCACTGCCAATCGCCGTCAGCGTGTTCCAATTGACCAAGCCCAGCGAGATTGTGAAGGTCGATGAGCTTACTCTCCAAGCCCCAGCAGAATCTATTTTCAAGCAGTTGTCAGTTTCACATATTCCCCATCGAAGCCGAAATGGAAGTGGCGCCACATACTGAATGCCGACCAGAGAGGCGGCGAGCAAGCACATACGGATAGCTTCAGTTGAGCCTCTGATGGAGGGTGTGCCACTCCATGCTGTGGCTTTCTCCATCTCATAGGGGAAACGCGGAAAAGAGAGGTTCGAGATCGTGTCGCGCTGGCCGCTGCGGGACCAGGGACACCAGCGTAATGAAGCGTACAGAGAGCAGGCTCTCTGCGGTCACTATCAGCGACCACAGGAATATATTAAATTCCATCACTTAGAAAAGGGGGATTTCCTTATCGCAGCGTGGATGCCATTATCTTGGGAGGTCGCGTGCCACAGACTCCTTGAAAATTAACGACCTCGGGAGACGCGTTTCTAGTTCCAGGTGATGACGCACTTCATCCCCTTCGCAATGAGGACACTAGGTACCTACCTAGGTAGGTACTTAGTAGTACGAGGTACCTAGGTATGAATAAGGAGACAGCCACCTTACGGGTCAGCAATACTAATGTTTACCTAGGTATGTCGAGGCTCGTAGACCCTCTTCACATCCGTAACTGCGCCTGATGAGGCTTGTGGAAGGCTTATCCTGGCGCAGTCAAGCATTGATCACGAAGCCATTTTCTTTTGCAACTCTTCTCCATTCTGGCTGGATCAGCTACATGCTTGACATTTGTAAAGTTTTAGTCTATGTGAATGGGTCTTGGACACGACTACGAGTTCCACTCTCTTTTCAGGCCCGAACCTCATTTCTTCACGTAATCTTCCGAAGTTGCACCAGCTCCTGGAGGAAATCAGCCAACAACCTAGGGCGGTGCAGATCAGACGGCCGCACCAGAGATGAAGAACCACTTGTCAACGCTTCCGTCGATTGGCGCAGGAGGAAGGTTCTGTCCCGGCGGGATCTTGGAGAGTTGCGATGGGTCGACACGATCAGGAGAGCTGGTATTTGTGACATTGGCCAGGTTGATATCGCCACGTTGTTGCTTGCCGGTGATCAGGCGTTCCCAAGCGTCACTGCATTCGCGGATGATCTCCTCGGCGTACTTCTTGTTCTTGCATTCACCACTGAAGGCGAACTGGTTCTCAGGCTTGCCATCTGGGATCTTGTAGATGCGGAACCATTCGTTCGTCGCGCGGAGCAGGCCAGGAAGATGACGCTCGACGTCTTCAATATCGTTCAGCTTGGGAGCAAGAGGATCGTTGACCTACAGCGATGTTAGGGATAGATGAGCCGGTATATAGCGATGACAACTCACATCGATGACGATAATCTTCCAGTCGGTCTCTTCTTCGTCGAGGAGGGCCATGACACCGAGGACCTTGACCTGCTTGATCTGACCAGTGTAGCCGACCAGCTCGCCAATTTCGCAGACGTCCAATGGATCGTTATCACCCTTTGCCTTGGTTTCGGGGTGAACGACATTGGGATCTTCCCAGGTCTGTCAACTGTTAATCAAGTGCCATCTCTTCGCCTTTCACCGCCACTCACTCTTGGGAAAGCACCATAGTTCCAGAGGTAGCCCTTGTGAGGAAAGCAGTTGCGAACAAATCGGAGCTTCCCTTTCTTGACGTCTTGCTTGATAGGATTCAGGAATTCGTCCTTGGAAATCTAGTTGGCGGTCAGCAACTGCGGTGGTTTTTACGTCTTTGCGTTTGAGATGTCCTACCTCGAGCTTTGCGTTGGACCATCTGGGAATCTCGACGACCATGTTCAGAATTGTTTGCTGCTCATTGGCGTATAGAGGAATGTCATGGAAGGGCGAGACTGGGGTGCCATCTTTCTCAATGTAGCATCGGAACTCATTCGTGTGAAGAGCACCGATTTTTCTGGGCTGGTATTCGGAAGGTTGCTTGCTGTACGACATTGTGGAATACGCTGGACGTGATGATGAGGCAGAAGCAGAAGCAGAGAGATGTCGAGCAATAGCTTCTGAGCGTTGGGAAGCTATGGTGGTAGAGGTGGAGTGACGGAGGGGAGGAGAGATAGAATTTTCTGTCGGCTTGGTGGAAGCCAGGGCGAAAGTGCCAGTGAGAGAACGATGAGCAAACTTGTTGGAGGCAGTGGCGGGCAGGGCGCGGGGCGGGAGGCACAGTGGGAGGCACCGTGTTGACAATTGGCGGTGAAATGACGATGGACTCTGAATGGACGAGAGATCGGAGCACGAGGAGAGGCTGCTGCAGGTTCGCAAAGGGTGAATTCTGAAAAATGTGCTAGACGCCCGAGACATGTGCATGTGAAGGATGAAATAGACCAGACTAGACTACTGTTCAAGACCTTTACTTTTCTAGTCTTGCAATCTGACTGTGCAACGGCTTTCCAGATTTCCACCTCGGTATGCGAGAATGACTTGAGCTTCCCATACCCCGAAATACCATGGAATTTTGGATATGATATCAATGGGGGGACAGCACCTCAATCAATTCCGAGTTTTTAGCTATCTTCACGTGATACGGGCATCTACCTCTATCTGCACGTGATGCTAATTCTCCAAATTTGCCCGATCGCAGACTGCGCAACTGCGCTCTCCATGAACAACGTGCGGACAAATCATTTGGCTCTTCCACAATCTTGATTCACCACTGCGCTCCATATGACTGTTGGCCATGCTGCTCGGCCGCAGTCTCTGTTACGACGCTCTCTATCCCTCCTAGACTTCCTTTTGCCCTCTCATGCTCCGAGGATGGCAACTCCTCTTCCTTTTCAGGATGTTCCCCATGTCGCAATTCCCGCGAGAGGCGTTGACTACAGGGGCAAGATAGTTCTCGCTCCCATGGTGCGGTCGGGAGAACTCCCATCACGCCTTCTGGCTCTCAAGTACGGCGCAGACCTGGTATGGGGTCCTGAGACGGTCGACCGATCCATGATTGGAACCACACAAAACACAAACCCTCGAACTGGCTGCATAGAGTGGACGCGCACCTCCAACAATAACTCAACCAGTGTGATATACCGCATCGACCCACAGAGAGAGTCGGACAAACTAATCTATCAAATCGGTACCGCTTCACCCGACTACGCCGTTCAAGCTGCAACACTTGTTGCTCCTTATGTTCGTGGAATCGATGTGAATGCCGGGTGCCCAAAGCCTTTCTCCACTTCAGGAGGCATGGGCGCAGCGCTGCTTCGAACTCCGGATCATCTTTGTAACATCCTGACCGCTTTGGTCACGAAAGTGGGAACACCTTATGAAATCGGTATCAGCGTCAAGATTCGGTTGCTCGAGACCCCTGACTTGACCTCGGAGCTTGTCAATAAACTGTGTAAAACTGGTATTACTGGCTTGACTATTCATTGCAGGACGACGCCAATGAGGCCGAGAGAACGCGCTATCAGGGAGCAACTCCGGATGATCGGCGATATATGCAGAAGCCATGGGGTTGCTTGCCTAATGAATGGAGATGTGAGATCTCGTGAAGAAGGTCTGGCTCTGGCGAAGGAGTATGGTGTCGACGGAGCAATGATTGCCACGGCCGCTGAAGCTAATTCGTCGGTGTTTCGCAGCAAGGAGCAGGGTGGGTTGGCAGCTTGGCCGGAGGTTGTCAAAGAGTACTTGCAGCTTGCAATGAGCGTCGAGAACAAATGGGGTAACACAAAATTCCTGCTATCTCAGCTCATGCCAGGGAAGAATCCCGCCTATCAACCCGTTCAAAAGTCACGAAGCTACACAGAAGTACTCTCGCTTTTGGAGATTTCTGATTCAGATCTTGTGGCGAAGGCAAAAGAGATTGATCACATCCTCCGTTTGGACATGCCACAAATAACCAAAGCAGATATTAAGCGACAGCACAAACAGGAGAACCGAGAGAACCACAACAAGAAACAAGAAAAGAAGAGGGTCCTGGAACAAAGAGGTGACCAGAACGAACATATCCACCAGGAGCGGAACAAGAAGCAAAAAGCCGAGATCGCAGCAGAGAACTCCGGATTTGATGGAGTGGGCCAAGGCGCGATGGCGGTAGCAGCGTGAATCCGCAGGACATTGCTTCTTGATCCGGTACCAGTTTTCAGTCGGCTCTGGTCCTCAAAAGTCTGATTGGCTTTTAACCGAAATCAGACGACTCTGCCTAACACACCACAGCTGAACCGGCGAGCGTGCGTCGATGTGCCTGGAGGATATTCTGACGTCTCTTGGACGTGCCGGAAGGCATCGAGCGCCGTTCTGTCGGGGTTAGGAGAGATCTGAGGTCGCTTGACGGCTCCCAAGGCAGAGATTTGGAGACCGGTTGTGATCCTCTGAAGTTGCTCGGTTTGACAGACTGAGCAGAGTTTGTTCCGGAGGCGGCACTTCTAGAACGTTTGATGGCAGAAAAAGGACCAGAAGGCATTCAGAGCCTTAGCCCGTTCTCAAACAACATTACCAGAGCTGCATTCACTCGGAATCAATGGGCAGAGACAGCCGCGAAGCCTGCCATCATAGTCTTCAGAAAACATGTTGACTGTTTCGAGGCTATCACGTTCTCTATCTTCCATCGTCGCAAATATAGAAGACACAATCCGTGTCTTGCTTTCCTGCTTTTGTACACAATTTACAGATATATCTTGTGGCCGACAATAGTATCTACAACAGCAAAGGCAGGGGCACGACTGTGATTGCCCAGCTCGCTATTAATACATGCTGATTCAGTCTCCGAATTAATATCGCCAGACCTGATCCATCGAGGCTGAGGGATTTCTCTGCTGTCGTTTCCATGCAAAAAGACCATGTCCCTACACCTCCAACCCTGCATAGACCCCAGAATCAAGTGTCCCTCCGGAGTCTTTGAACGCCTAGAGCTAGGCTTGTTGTATCGACGTTCGTCTTCGTAAGAAGCAGAGTTTGTAAGCACCTGCGAGCTTTAATGCGGCCCGCAGATCCCCATCGGCTTCGCCTGGTCTGACTCTCAGACATTTGTGGTGCTTGATCCATTTCCCTCGCAGTACGCTTAACAGAGCTTGTATATTCATCGAGATTCAGGAGCCTCCTCAACCAGCCAGCTCTTCCTTTCTTGCCAATACCCTTGCGTGCCTGTCCACTTCTTCCACAATGTCGTGTAATGTCACTCTCTCCCCAGATCCTTTCTTTCCCTTGTTCACGCTTGTCGTCGGATTTCCCTCGAGGTTCTTCTGTCGCGAAGCCTCAGCTCCCCATGAGTATTTTACCACTTTGCCATCTTTGAATCCGAGTTCCAAAGTGCTGGGTTCGGTGGAGGTTCGCGGGAGAGCAATGGAGGATATCTTGAGGTTCTTGTGGGCGTCTGCAGGGAGGAGGGTGAGGAACAGGCGCGGAATTTTGGATGATGCGCTGAAGGGGTTGAATCTCGCTGTTAGCGAGGTCAAGTATGTCGTTATCATGTTTCTGTTTCGACTGACGGTCTGTCGTGTATTACTTAGAAGAAATCCATGGTCGCATTGGTTTTGTTCTCGAAAAGGCCGCCGGGTCGAGGGCTTCGGCAGACCTGCCGAGCTGCCTACGCTCCATGTCGCGTTTGCACTGTTTGCACTGTTTGCACCTACGACTGTGAATACTCTGGACATATCAACTTCCAAACAGGCACGACCTCCTAGTCCACGTCGCGTGCAAAGATGTCTCTATCCCTGTCGCAACGCCTCCAAGCACTTGCAGACTCATACAAAGAGATACTCTCCCAAATTCAAGAACTCCGCAGGTTTTCGGCCAGCTCTTATCCCTCCGGCAATCCAGATGAACGACGTCTCGAGCTCGCTACTGAAATCCATGACAATCTCAAGGAACAAGAGGATAGACTAGAAATTCTACGACAGGAATTCGAAGACGATGCTATCCCGAATCACCGACGAGACCTCTCGAGTCGAGAAAGCGAGCGGGAGAGAAACGCGGACTTGCTAGCGCGACTCTCGGAGGACCTGAAGAGCGCGCGAGCCAATTTTCGAAAAGCACAACTTCAAGCGAAGAGGACCGCAGATGCAGAAAAGCGCAAGGAGAGAGAACAGTTGTTTGCAGATCGGAAACAAGATGGCGGCAAACAGCAAGCCCGAGGACGGGCTACACATGAGAAATTGACGCAGGATGAACTAGCCCTGCGCGCTGCGGAAGACGTTACGATCGCGCTACGGAGGGTCCATAATCAACTCGAAGGAGAGCTCTCGGTCTCACAGTTCGCTCAACAGACTTTGGAAGAGAGTCAACAGGCGCTGGACAGCTTGTCGTACAGTTACGCGGGGACCACGGATTTATTGAAAGCGAGCAGGGGATTCGTGGGTCAGTTGGTCCGCAGCAACAAGTCGGATACTTGGTTCTTGAAGTCGTCCTTCTACATACTTGCTGCGACGATATGCTGGCTCTTCTACAGAAGGATCCTCTACGGGCCGATGATGTTGTTTATTTGGTGGCCCCTGCGGATCATGTGGTGGGTCACTCTGAAAAGCTTTGGAGTCGTGGGACTGGGTGGCAGGTCCGAGGTTGTGACATCGCCTGCTCCTTCAGTGCCTTCTCTCACAGTCTCAATGCCTGGCATGAATGCAAGAGGCATGCCTACGCACAAATCCAACGTTTATTTCAAAAGCATGGAGCTGCCGGCGAAAGGTGGAGGTGCGAGAGGACCGCCGCCAGAGATTCCGCAACAGCAAACTTCGCCCGAAGAGGCTGCTGACAGCATGATTGAGAGAATCGGAAGGATGATGGAAGATCAGGGGACGAACGTGGATGATATTACGGATGAAGAACGAAGGGCGCAACAAGACCAGCCCAGAAATACGAAGAAGAGGATGATGGAGGTAGACGTCGAGCAAGCGAGGGATGAGTTATGACCTGACAAAATGACGAAATTGACGTTTGCTCCGACTCCTTTGGCTTTCCTTGTATGAGTGTACCCTTGCGTGGGCTTGACGATTGGCCTCCTGACTTTGTTCAGCCTTGTGTCATTATACACAACCTTTTCTCTTGTCACGCCGCTTCAACACGTCCTCAGGAGTACATCCTATGTATTCCTTCTAAATACCTCCTGGGAAGACTCCAGGAGCATCTTCTAGGAAATCTTCTAAGACGGTTCAACACCCTATTGACTTGGGCCTGTTTGTTGGACGAAGAGTCCATCACGTGCAACGATTTTCTTGCCAAGACTGGGAGCCACTTAACGCGTCCCAGGGATTAATCCCGGGGATCAATCCCAGGGACGCGTCCCCGCGACAACTTTTGGTGCTCTGGTGGCCGTCTTTGAGCAACCAGCCTACAGACAAATTCACCATTACAGCAAAACCCGAAGATGGCCAACTTTTTCGACCGCAACCGCGCAGCAGCTTCAAGCTCGAAAAACCCTACCAACAAGTCGATTATAGAAACAGCGCCTGCGGCGCAGCCCTGGACGGAGAAGTATCGGCCGCGGAGCCTCGAAGAAGTCAAGAGCCAGGAACATGCCACCGAGACACTTCGTCGAATGGTCAACGCCTCAAACTTGCCTCATTTGCTCTGCTACGGCCCACCGGGGAATGGCAAGACATCTACGATCCTGGCGCTGTGTCGAGAACTGTTTGGTCCGGAATTGATGAAGACGAGGGTGCTTGAACTCAACGCCTCGGACGAACGAGGTCTCTCGGTAATTAGAGAGAGAGTGAAGCAGTTCGCAAGCCTGCACCTGACGCACCCTTCCTCAGAGGAATACCGCAAAAAGTATCCCTGCCCAAATTTCAAGGTGGTCCTGTTGGACGAGGCGGACCAGCTCACGCAGGATGCGCAGGGTGCGTTGAGGCGAGTCATGGAGATCCACAGCGCGACCACCAGGTTTGCACTGTGCTGCAACTACATCTCGAGGATCATCGACCCCATAGCCTCGCGGTGTTCCAAATTCCGATTCAAGGCCCTGGAAGGATCCGAGGCAGTCGCGCGTATCGAGGCCATTCTCAAGGCGGAGAATGTGAAATACGAAGAGGGCGTCATTGAAAGGACTCTGAAAGTGTCGGACGGCGATCTTCGACGTGCCATCAATCTTCTCCAGAGCGCTGCTCGACTCGTTGGCGCTTCGTCTTCGTCCTCCACTTCCACATCGAACTCTACGAACGGCCACAAAAAGAGAGTGATCGCAGACGAATCGGATGAGGAAATGGAGGATGTCGACACCGCCGCCGCCGCATCAAAACCTGCTGCACAGTCAAACAATAACAATATGATCAAGATATCAGACATAAATGAAATCGCGGGGACGTTCCCGCCGAATCTCACAGACAACCTCATCTCCGTCCTCCAAAAGGGCAACACGCGAAACTACAACAACATCGCCTCGGAAATCACCAACATCGTAGCGAGCGGGTACGCCGCCAACGAGGTCCTCTCTGCGCTGTATTCAGCCGTGGTGCTTGGCGAGGAAGACGTAACCGTCGCCGTCAACGGCAAACAAGATGCAGCCATGAGGAAAAAGTACAAGTTGACGGCCATCTTCTCCGAGTTTGACAAGAAATTGGTCGACGGGGTTGATGAGCATCTCGCATTGCTGGATATGAGTTGTCAGGTTGCGGGGGTTCTGGCTGCTTGAATTGAACGTATTGAGGGCTGGGGTTGTGGTGGTCGTCACCTTATGTGGCCACCTGACTGTATGGTGTGCATTGAAATCATGTTATGGCCTGCATCAGCGATGGGCGTTTGGCGGTTCCCCTCAACAAGAGTGAGTGGGCATGTGTTCGCGGCAGGAATGGAAAATTCACACATCTGGGCGCGCACGGGAAAAGGGATTGGTGGGACATGTGAACTATGAAGTCTCACGACGACATTGATCATCCCACCTCGAGGGATCTACAGTAGGAGGCTTCCTCGCATAGTAAGGGGACAAAAAGAGAAATCCAGCTAGTCAGTAATAGCGCGCACCTCAGGTCTCAAAAATCCGAGGTCAATTCTCTCTCTGCTGTTTCGAGATTGTTCCTGCTCCGGCCAATGCAGTATCAAGCACGATGCTGGGAAATGCCCAAAAGCCTCTTCCAGATCTCAATGGTCCTCCAGACTCGTGCGCTGTCCACCATTGCCCTCTTCAGAGCGACATTGACACTGTATGCAAAGAAAATCTCGCAAGCAAGCAAAAGCAAAGCAAAATAGACGAACGAGGCCCTTTCATCCCATCCGCGCTGGGTCGAGGGAAGCACGAGGACAAGTCGCACCACAAATCATGTCATGTCATTTCATGTCCACCTCTCATCGCCCCCTCAGTGTCCTTTAGCATGCCATCGCCAGAACCCAAGACCATAATGCCCCGTTCGCATCACATTCACCAGCCGTCGGTATTGGACATGGCTTCCATCCCTCCCTACCACTTTCCTCTGCTGCACGGGAGAACTCATCGGGTTATTTGAACTCTCATGGAAAAAACAATGACGACGCAAAGTCCGAACTTGGTGACCGAATCCGAGTGTCTGAGCGGGCACGGAGGATGGGTGGCGGATTTCGTTCCTGAAGAAAGTGTAGGGGTATGCAAGCCAATTGTTAATTTCCAGTTTTGAGGAGTACTCGGCGTAAAATTAGTTGCGATGTGTAGGCTCATGGTGGTTTCGGGCATTTGATATTGCTGATGAAAGTGCTGTTAGATACCTTGGCCAGGCGTCTATCTGAAAATCCTGGTATGTCGCCGCCGTTCGGTCGTTTCTTGGTTGCGATGGAGGCCTTGAGGAGGAAGATGGCGATCAGAAATTACTCATCTAGTATTTTGGGGGTTTGTCAAGTGACTTCAAGGCTTCCATCAGGGTTGAGCCAGTTGGGTGCGCCTTCTTGCGAGCTCTGGCCTTGTTCATCGACTGGGCTGGATGCGTCTCCTGGGGCTTTCCGATGACCGTCTGGTTCTGTGGAGGTGGTTCCTGGCCCGTCCGCCGCACTGTTGATGGAGATATGGTCCGGGCAGCTTGATCCTGCTTCGGGGATGTTGCTTTCATAATGGTTCTCTTGAAGTCTTGGGATTGGTCTTTCCTCTTCCGCGGCCTGTTCGCCGCCTCGTTCTTCCGCTGCTGGGTGGGTTGCATCGCGTGGTTCGGCCTCTGCCAACGACGACGATTCGCTCTCCGTCGCTATTGTTTTCTACGTTTTTGTCAGCTTTCTGCGCAGTCCTTTAAGACCTAGATAAACCGATGTGCCCGGGGATGGGCAGACCATCAGTGATACTTGCCTGTCTTTTTGGGGGTTGATCATCATCGACATTTTCCACCTCTTCCGTCTTATCATCAACTTTGCTGGTGGAGAATTGTCGCTTCCTAGAGCCTTGGTCTTGATCTCTTTGCTCCGATCGTGCCCCTGACGTTGGCTCTGATGCAGAAGCCGTTACCGGTGGCGAGCTAGGCGGCAACGTAGGTTGAGACGCAATTGTTTGGCTGTTCTGGGCATCGTTGATACCTTCAGAGCCAGCTTCTGCAATTCCAGGTTGACCTTCAGTTGCTCTCTCTCCCCCGTCACAGAGATTGTTTTTCTTTTGCTTGCGCTTTCGTTTACAAGGCGGTGTTTCGAACCCTTGGTCAGGATGTGTCGTGGCCGGTGGTGAAGACTGGGCTCTGTCCTTATAATCAGAGCTTGCTTCTGACTCGGAACATTCTTTCTTGGTAGTTTGCTGCGGCTGATCGACTCTCTCCTCACTCTTAGATGGGCTTCTGCTATTGGCTGAACCGAGACACACGATTTCGGGGCCCAACGGTCCCTGCAGCTGTTCGGAAACCGCTGAATTCCCTGTTGGAGGTTCCCACTTTCTTGGACTCTTGACAAGCCGTTGACCACGCTCAGAGCACTTTTGCCGTTCAGCCGTTTCTGCTTTCGCCTCAGCCGCCTTCTTCGTAGGTTGTCTGTTAGTGCGGAGACCACGACCCTTGTTTGAACCCTCTGCTGGTGATCCAGTTTCCAGGCTCTGTTGCTCGTCTTCTCTGGTCTGGAGCATGGTGTGTTCCGGCGTCTGTCGGCTCAGGTCAATCGACACTCTGCTTCCAGAGGCGTGTTCAACTCTCTCGCGGGTATCCTTCTCTGCCGAATGAAGATTGAGGGTATCCTGTGAGGCTGTACCGTCATCCCTCACTATCCACACCGATCCCCGGAACACGATATTCTCCATGTTGTAGTTTTCGCCGTCTTTATCACCGTATCGTGCGACCGCTGGGGCGACAACCATGTCAATGGGTTGGCCCACGAAATCTTGCGCTTTGGAGAGGCCATTTTCATCACTTTCGTCGATGCCGAGACCGTGGTACGGCTGAAACCAAGTGTCCTTCAGCGTGAATATCGGCTCGGTCAGGTCGTTTAGAAAAAAGAACTGAACTTTCGGATGCTGCATGCTGAGAACGCACGACAGCCGCATAGCTTTCTCCACGACAAGAAGCATTTGTGTGTGTCTCGCGTTTCGTTGCACATCTGGGACCTCTCTAAGGAGCACGCCAACTTTCTGGAAGATGCTCGAGGTGATGTCCCTGCAACGTTTCGCTTGCGCAGGGGGAATAGGTTGCTGTGCGCAAGACTCGACCAACTGACTCTTCTCCACGGGACGGTCATCGATGGCGCGGAGAATAGTAGCTCTCAGCTTATGTTGCGAATTTGGGGACTCTATTCCGCGTTAGCTGGTCGGATAAAGTATACCGGACTGTATAAACTCACTCTTTTCGGCACTTGCTATAATCCTGTTCAATGTCACTTCAGTCTTTTCATCATCTTGAGCATCGAGACTAAGTCTCAAGTGTGCGAATGGCCTTGCAAATGTTTCAGCACAGATCTCCTTGTTGATGAGTGCACTCAAGACTACCCTAGGCGGGATCTGATTGTGCTCGGCGGCCAGTAGGAGTCGTTTGGTGGCAAAGGGCATTGATTCTCCGCTTGAGAGGTTCGACAACGCCTTCTTTACCGCGATTTGGTCGACGTTCCACCAATCCGTAAAGCCCCAAGCTTTGGAAATATCATTGATCTCGTTGAAGATATCATTGAACTTGACATCCAGATCAACGTCCAATTCAGCCTGGAACTTGTCTTTGGACACAAGCTTCAGATGGTCATCTTGAAACCTGTTTACCTCCCTTTTCAGCTCGGCAATTGCGTCACGCGCTGATGACAATTTCTTCTTAGACTCTCTCATTTCCGCTCTCGCCTTGCGAAGCTCCTTTTCTCCCTGCCTTATCTTGCGGTTCAGTAGCTTTATTGTAGCATTTTCATCTCTCTCCGCGGGTATCGAAGATGGATCGTCTTTCATTCGTTGGCAATATTCAGTGTGGTTCTCTGGAGCAGCCTGTTTCATTCCTGTTTTCGTCTTTTTCGTACCGTGTATAGCTTGTTTTCCAGAATTTGTAGCCTTGTTAGCGGCTCGTGTGTTCTTGGGTCCAGAGGCCGTCTGATTTCCAGAAGAGCGGCCTCTTTGGAATTCATGATCTGGCCCATGATCATCCTGGGAATCGTCTCCATCGCAACTGATGGCGGTGTCCGTTGGTGAGGTTGATTTCTGACGAGAGGTGGGCTTGATTCGTGTGCTCCTCCGGGTGCTGGATGGTTCCGAAGGGCCTGTGCTTGTGCTGGATTTTGGTCGTCCTTCTTGTCCAGATGTTGATATCACTACCTGTATTGCATCCTGGGAGTTCACAGACGCCATGACTGATTGAAGACCGAGCTTTGCTGAACTCGTTGGTTGCAACGAGATGAGGGGATGAATGAAAACGACCTAAAAAAAACCCCATCCACAAGATAGCGTCGCAATCAGAGATGTGTCAGAGTGACTTGTAGTACTCTGCGAGAATCCAGATATACATACTGAGACATGTGCAAATTCAATTGAGGTAATCACCCAAATGTGAGGGTGCTCTGAAGCGGGGAGAGGCCTTACACAAGCAGTACCTCAACTGAGTGTGAGAGTGCTCTGAAGGGGGAAGAGCCCTTACACAAGCAATACCTCAACTGAGTGTGAGGCAAAGCTCTCGAAGCATGTGAAAGCCGCTGGTCAATACCATATAAATCACCCCAACCCCCTCCTGATCTCCTTCCTTCCTTCCTTCGCACGTCGTTCTCTTTTGCTTAACCGTGGCATCATTCCCTGACATCTTACCTCTTTAAGAGCTTCATAGTTCGATTCGCGTTGTGCCTTCTCATCAAACCTCGTCCTGGTGTCTGGCGTCAGCAAAATGGCGCCAGGACATGCAGAACACAAACCCTTGGGGCTCAGAGACCTCAAGTCAAAGGGTAGAGGGATGCTCCGGCTGTCTTCAGGCTCTTGGCAACTGACAGCGACAGGTAAAATTCAGAATTCGAACAAACCTGCTGCGCCGAAGAGGAAACGTGAAGGTGAGTCCAATACTGATGGGATCTCGAACGGTTCTCATTAGTTGTGGAGACCAAGGTGACTCCAAGGAGAAAGCAGCAAAAGTCCAGCGCAAGTCTCGAAAACCAGAACAGCCTAAAGAAGCAAAGAAGTTCTTATGCGTAGGACTGGACATTGGAACCACGGGATCAGGTATGTATCCCTTGCGCTACCCGAGTCTTCTTTTTGGTGCTGAATACCCAAGCCATTGGCTATGCGGCTAGCAACGCTGCTCCAGACGAAATCACCGTTCTTGACCATTGGGAGGGCCATGTCGAGGTGAAAGTGCCAACAAGAATAGCTTATGCTTCAGAAAACGACTTCAAGACAGACAAATGGGGGTTTCAGGTAGAGGGCGGAATGACAATTTGCAATTGGATAAAGCTTCTACTTGACGAAAACACGGTCAAAGCAGACTTTGATGATCCTCTGCTCCAGCAAGCCATAGGCCAAGGTCTCATGCACTTACCTGAGGGAAAAGACGCCTCCGAGGTCATCAAGAACTTTGTGTCCAGAGTCCGAGAGCATTTCCTCAGACACTTGAACAATACGATCCTCGAAACGGCTGTGAATAATACTCAGAAGCGAATCTGCGTACCAGTTCCGACCACCTGGTCGCTGGCGGCTCGAGAAGCCACCCGGCAAGCCGTGAGCAAGGCCGGGTTTGGAGAGGATGAGCGCGACGAGATAATCGTCATTGATGAGAGTGAGGCGGCTGCTCTGGATGTGATCAAATCGTTGGAGAAATCTTCTGATGCAGAGAGGTTAAAGGTATGTGCGGTCTCAGAGATATCGGCTTGAGTATTGACTAACAACAGCGTAGGAGGGCTCGTGTGTCATGGTGTTGGACTGTGGAGGCGGAACGATCGACAGTGTTTCGTATAAAATAACCTCTCGCGAGCCTTTACAGCTAGAGGAGGCATGTGCCGGCGAAGGTAGTGCTAGCAGCTCCCGGTTAAGGTTTTGTTGCTGACCTTGAATTCAGGCGCAAAGATAGGCGGGACAAGTATCGATCGGGCTCTTCACGCTCTGATGCAACAGCATTTCGGGGTTGCATTCAGCCAACTCCCAGTGAGCAAGATCGGAGCGGCGAGTCATTTCATGCAGGATTTCGAAAGTCATAAAAGAAAGTATGGCAGCCAGAGCGAGAGCAAGGACCACTGGCTCCGCCTCAATATGAGGAAGCTGGATGATCAGGACGAGAATATTCGGGACCGTTATGATTTCGTGGACCTGGCTGCGAAGATCACGAGGTAATTCCCCCCTATCCTCTCCAAACTCAGTTGTCATTTGGATCAAGAAGCTTGCTGACACGAGATAGTGCCGATATGCAAAACATGTTCGAGCCCGTTATCCAGAAGATGTTCCAGATCATCCGTGCACAGGTCGCTCGAATGGCAAAGACCAACCAGTCAGCCACTCTCTCGGTAAGGTATGGAATAGTTAGACAATCACGTTGGCTAATATCAGACCAGATAATTGCAATGTGTGGAGGACTTAGTTGCAACCCGCACATCTTTAACCGGGTCAAAGACTTTGTCAGCGGCTTCTTCGAGGAGGACTCCGTCAAAGTTTTGGCCCTTCGCCAACCAATGACGGCTGTGGTTCGAGGAGCAGTTCTGGCTGCCCAAGGATGCTCACCTATTGTGTGCAGACGATCTCGGGAGTTTATCGGCACGCAGGTTCACTGCCCATGGGACGAAGCCAAACACAGACGGGAAGACAGATTCGAGTGTCCCGTGGGCGGTTCTAGGGCAAAGAACCAGATGAAGTGGATAGTCAAAAAGGTGGGCAGCGATTTTTAGCCTCGGATCATGCTAACCGCAGAGCAGGGCCAGAAGCTGAAGCCTGATATGAAGGCCAAGGTGCAATGCTATTATGTCGTGGAAAACGCGCGCGCAGAGATCAAGAAGGCTGTGATCGACCAGGTTTTGTACAGGTGTGCAGAAGATACTGCCCCATCTCGGGTGGATGATCCTGGTAAGTTCCTCCCATACGATCGCGAAATAGACACCGACAGAATACAGGAGTCGAGGAGATAGGCGTGATACGAGTGGATATCACCCACATTGCACGCAAACGGCGCGCAGACGCCAGAACAGGTTGTCGAACCTATCCAGCCCATATTGCTATCGACGTTGATATCGAATTGACGGTATCAAGCAACAAAGGCGTTCTGGAAGCTGTTGCCAAGATCAAACGGACCAAGGTTGGAAGCACCACCATCACGTATACACCAGCTCCAGCGTGGGAGCATGGTCTCGTTCGAAAAGACGAGGAAGAATGAGTCGGACGCTGAGTTATGACTATTATGACGGCTAAGGTCCCAGTTGGAGCAGAAGATCTTTGATTTGACTGGGCGGTTTCAACGATGATGAGCAGGTGCTTTTGTTCTTGCAGGGAGACATTGATGGTTGCTTCAAGAGACTGGAAGGGCGTTGATTTTGGAAATAGGGTCGAAATGGAGGCGGCATGCTGGCTTCGGGTGATTGGCAGCAAATTCTTCTCAACAGTTTGAGCGACGCGTCGTGGAGCGCAAGGAGCATGGAGCTGGCATTTTTGTGATGAAGAAGGAGCTTTGCATACTGAAATTTGGGGCTGTGGTTGACCTTTGAGAGGCGATGGAACAACAATCTTCCGGCATTCCACAGATGCTTGGCAACATGCGAGGCTACCACTACTACATACCTAGGTACCTAGGTAGATATCTACACAGCAAGGACAGGTACAAAGCTAGCCTGATATGGCTCTTTCATTTCGATATTATGGCGCAATCCATCTAGACCTTTTCATGGGCTGATTGATAGAGCCTTCAACTTCATGCCTTCCCCCGGAGAACAGCCTCCACCGAATTGTGGCGGTTGGTATGTACGTTAGGTTGCGAGACCGGAAGGTCATTTTCGCACTTCCACCACAAACCAGTACATATTGTTCCACGGGCCATCATGTCTAACTCAGCAACGTCCAAACTGCTCACACCAGCATTCTCGCAAGCTGGGACAGTATACGGCATCTCGGCCGAAGATTACATGCCAGAGATACTCGAATACTCGACCACTTGTGGCATCATCGAATTTGGTGTCGAAGAGCCATTGACGATAGCGTTTGTACTCTTCTTTGTTGCGCTTCAACACTTGAGTCTTTGAAACGGCGAATTGTGAGCAACATGGTTGGGCAATTGTCTCGGGAATGTTTGACTTGTTGCCTCCGAACATGTAAGGCCAGGCCTCCCGCATTGCATGCTCAGCGGTGCGATCTTCCTCGTTTCGCAGGACCTGGATTTCATCAGGGCAGCCTGGATTGTGAAGGCATCGCATGTTCACATATCCCTGTTCTTGGAGATAATCGAGCCTCAAGGACTGAATGGATTTGAGGTTGTTGTACCCATCAGCGTCCGTATGCCAGGCTGCAGGCCAACTCTCGAGATGTGGATGTACAAAGACCATGGATGAAGGAAGGTTGTCATAGTGATCGATCAGAAAGGTGAGATACGCCATAGCCTCGCGACCTTTGTTTTTAGGTGGATGCAGGGTTCCGTTAGCTGGATCGTCCATGTAGTAGATGGCTTTTTGCCAACTGGAAGGCAGATACAGTCAGCAGGGGGAAGAAGTTCTGGAGGAGGGACCATGGAAATCGTACTCTGGCAGTTCGTTCAACACCCAGCTGACATCTTCTGTCTGGATCTTTGCCAGAATAACAGCTTTGTCTTCGGCCTCAGGACCTCTATCGATCCATGCGCTGTTGCTGCCCGATAACCTGGTCCGAAAGTCCAAGAAATTTGAATGACTGCTCCAGAAGAATAAAGTGATAGAGACCAAGGACACAGTGGCAGCCAACCAGCTATATCGGTGCCTGAGCCTTGATCCTAACATAGAGAAGCAATGAGCCCGTCATCAATATCCGTCGCTCTGCGCACTAGGCCAAGGAGATGGCGCATGGTTTAAAACAGAGAACAAATAAGCGTTCATCTTCACACAACAAGGGAGGGATCACGACGCACAAAATTCTTCTGGCCCTTCCTTGCCTTATAGGTATGTGAGACCCGTAGTACTCTCTTTCGATCCTTCTGGAACCTTTGTCATTCCCAGTCACTCGTAACAAGATTCCAGCTACTAGTTGGGCGATAGAGCACTGCCAAGGCGTATTACGACTACTGATACCACGCCTTGACGTCTTCGCATGGCTAGCCTTATTCAGCGGATACATAGAGAGTAGTGCTAATGCTGTTCAATTGTGACTAGAGATGCGAACTCGACGATAGTAGTGAGGGTGAAATTAAATCACCCAGCAAGATAATGTTAGTGGTTTCATTCTTAAGGCACGAGTAAGAAGCTGACCAAACAGTAAATTCTGATCTGATTATCTTCTCCAAATCCATCACCATGTTGACAGGAAAAGGGAAGGAGGGAAAGGTCAAGCGAGCTCTCCACTTCCTTTATGGGGTTGCGCGTTCCGCTGCGTGGCTCCTCTTGACCTCTACCGAGATTATAACCCCCTTCTGAGCGCGCATTTGTGATGACGAATGCCTTCCATCTCCAACAGAAGTCCTAGCAGCGGAAACCCGGCGCTTCGAGAGCGAAGGTATCTTCTGCGTCTGGCAGCAGCCGAATATGCCCCTTTCGCGGAAGCGTCGCCGTCATTCTTGCCTCGAATACAACTCGTCGGAGCTATCCAATGTTTCACCGACGCCACCTCATCGCCTTTGACATTTAAAGGGATGAGTCTCCGTATCAAATATCCCGATCCAAGTCGACAGCATCTGCGTTGAGGAGAGCAAGTTTCTGCAGGCTAACAGCTCTGAAGCTTCCCCATTAGTTCAAGGAGATACTCTCGATTGCCCCTTTGCGAATGTTATGGATGCACGCTGACAGCGGACAAGAATCCATTCGGCATTCTGCTATATACTGACTTTCCCCTTCCAGCATTCTTGTATCCCTGATGGGACGTACTCCGAGTTCATGTCGTATTGATAGTGTTTATGCTCCGAGGACAGGTTGGTTTCATATCAAGTGCCAAACAGGGGGGATAGCAGCAGTTAAAAGCAGCTCGCAAGTGATTCCAGATTAGGCAGAGAATCATACGCGAAATTCATTCGCCGCGGAATAAGCTCGGATAGTAATAGGGCAGCAGCACTTACGTCCAGATATGGAATTAGCGTCGACCAAAGTCGCTCTAGTAGTAGTAGGGAAGATGCGCAGTTGAACATCGACAACTAGCCAGCATCGATCATCTCGTCTCTAAGATATCAGAGCTTCTTCGTCGCAGAGAGCCCTCAAAGAAACGCAACAATGATACCTTTGCGTCCCCACAATTCTCTTCCTTAGGTTTGGGAATGAATAATACGGCCGATAATGACGGTGCCTTTGTCCCTTCGCTCACCCTGGACCGCAGGCTCGAGATTCCAGATCAAAAGAAACACTACCTTGATTCTCTCCTCCGCTTGCTGGACGCTCTGATTTTTCTCCATCTGGGTATCCTCTATATCTGCGACAATCTTACATTCCTCCTCGTCCTGCGCGCTCTGAACCAAGTGGTTCATGTCCAGCATCGGCCCGCGACTATTACACCTGTCATCGTTGTAAACCTCATCTGTGTCGTGACACATCTCCTACAGAGCAGGTCGGGGACTAAGCGACTCCATGGAGGCATTATCGTCGATTTCGTTGGGGAAATTCCAAGATCGAGGACATATGTGCTGATATTGGACCTGATACTCTTTTCACTGCAATTGGTTATGCTCGTGGCTGGTCATGAGAGGCAAATTGCTTCAGGAGAGGTCCCCGCGCTCCAAGAGTCACAGCCACAGGACCTGGAGTCCGAAGAAGCCGGGCAGTTGAGGTCACGTGCCCAAGAGCAAGTGGACGTGCCTGAGGAAGGGATCGAGCTGCAAAGTCTTTTGCCCGAAGGGTCGGGGGAAGACGGTGCAACGCATCAGAAACAAGACGAAGTGACACAAGATGACGACATGATATTGTTGGATTTGAAGAAGGGCGTCAAGGCCTTATTCAGCAGACCGATGCCAGTGGCTTCGCCTACCGCGATTGAAAATGCTCAAGCTCGTGCAAGCGTTGCTGCGTTTTTGAGACTCGCAGCCGCAAGAGCAAGGGCGGGCTGAAGGACTTTGTGCCGAATGGGCAAGATATCAACTTTGTCCGGTTCGTCCAACGCTGTTGTTGTACTCGTTAATGAACGGAAGTCATTCATTATCGAGGACATTTCGGTGCACGGTGCAGAAAAATCATCTGCACGCCCATCGCTAATCTCCTGCTCACCATTTCCTGGGACAAAGTGCGGAATGATCGCTTTGGCTGACAGAAATGACGGCTTGGTCGGGCTATGTGGAAGAGTAGGACTGTGTCAAAGCCACATCCGACCGACCATTTCCCATCCCCTAGGAGCGCCCCTCTGCTCCAAAGCGAAAAAAGGCAAAGGGGTACAGATTTGGTGATATCATTTCACCTTGAGCGGCTTCGATCGTACCGATGAAGGACTGTTGTTTGGGTTCCGTCGCTTTCGAGTCATGCAGCCGCAACCTGGGTTTTGCAGATCAGGAAGATCAGGCGCAAAATGGAGGTTATACATTCACAGTCTGACCACGAATTCGACATCAAGATAAACAGGATTGCAACAGCAAGATTCTTACTCTTCGTCTACCAGCCTCCCCTTTCGGGTACCATGTGCTCACTTACCAGGAATGAATCAGGAGCAGCAGAGAAGGTCAAAAAGGGTAGATATGACCTGTAGAACATAATGAGACCTAATAAAAGTTGGATGTATTATACTCCCTAGCACAGCACAAATGCGGAATATCAATGTACAAAAAGTATCCCTCTTCTACCTCAGCCTTGTGTGTTACTTTGTCCAGTTGCTCCGCCGTGCTCAGCCTTGCGAACTGCACCCTCTTCGAAAAATCGCTTGCTCAGAGCGCAAACTTTTCGATTCTCCCTTCCTCGACAGCGGAACGCTTTTCTCTGCGCTGTCCACATAGGTATTGAGCAAGGATGCGCCATCTCCTCCGCGCAGTACCGCAGCTGCCCGCGCGCTTACCTGTGCGGGCAGCATGCAGTGGCGCCGCGCTACAAAGCCCGCCCGCGCAGAGACGACAGTATTCGAGATCTGCGCCTCCGACATCGTCCTGGCTACCGGTTCCTTTTGTGTGAGTTCTTTCTCTCTGCCTCCCTCTGCGACGGCTTGGCCGTTCTCTCTGTTCCCGATCTCCAATGGTCTGAAAGAGAATGTGAACTGACCCGTGAGCTCTTGCTAATGATGTTTGTCCCAGCACCGAGACGATCGCGGGCCTGACGCACACGACGGACCTCTTCTCGCGACTGCTCAAGGAGCGCATCGTGGCCGTGTACGGCGAAGTCGACGACCGCATGGCCGCCACGGTGACGGCGTCCCTGCTGTACCTCGAGGCCGAATCCGACCGCCCCATCTCCATGTACATCAACTCTCCCGGCGGGAGCGTGACGGCCGGGTTGTCGATCTACGACTGCATGAACTACATCGTCCCCGAGGTTTCGACGCTGGTGCTCGGCCAGGCCGCCTCCATGGGCAGTCTGTTGCTCGCGGGCGGCGCCGCAGGGAAGCGCTACTGCCTGCCGCACTCGAGCATCATGCTGCACCAGCCCAGCGGCGGCCACTACGGCACTGCGGCCGACATCGCCATCCACGCAAAGGAGATCCTGCGCGTCCGCGAGCAGCTGAACAAGATCTACGAGCGCCACCTTACGGGCAAGAAAAAGATGACGGTCGATGAGATCGAGAAGATGATGGAGCGCGACTACTTCCTCAGCGCAGAGGAGGCGCTCGAGTTGGGCGTCGTCGATGAGATTCTGGCAAGCAGGAAGAAGAAGCCCGAGTCCACGAGTGAAGAGACGTGAAAACATTGATTGATCCATGTTCCGGGGAACCGTGGAAATCATGCTGAAGATGTCACCATCACCCCCTCTCCTTCGGTTCGTCCTCGCAGAGCGGGCAAGTCGAACCTCTGTACAACACCGTGACACTGTACTTCAAAGCAGAGGGTCTACGCTGGGTGGTCTTTTTATGTCCAAGCATCGCCTCTCAAACCTCAGCAGCGCTGTCAGGGATCGGACCACAAAGAATCACCGCTCAGAATCAGGGTACGAAAAGAGAGTCGTGGACAGCAGAATCACTCTCCTCATCTCGAAAGTGAACGGCAAGGTCTTGCTGTCCAGCAAGTCGGTGAGCAGAAGACTCAGCGAACCAACCCTCGATAGGACTTGTCAGGGGATGATGGAAGCCGAGAAAGAGTAATACCCGTTGATGAAAGAACGAAAGCGAGGTGACTACAAGGCTATATATACGGCTCCTTTCCAAATTCATAAAACCTGGAGTCCTCTCACTCAGCATGTATGTATAATTACATCAGATCCGCATCTCGGGCTTCGAAACACTGATGTCGATACTGTGGCCTGCTCGTTTCCCACTGTGCAAACATATTCACCAAATAATTTCCAGCCTTGCGTCCCCAAAGGCTCTTTCCTCCTCGTGGACAAGATAAAAACACCAAGCACAAGCCTGATAGAGAAACTGCCCAATTGAACATCTGCGAATGAAGCTCACATAATTTTCGATCCCAAACTCCTCTGCCAAATCGCTCAACTTCGGAACGGGGTAGAAATCGTCACTTCATAAATCATGGTATCGTAAACGTCTTGAGTCGCGTAAGGACGCTTTGCTTTTGCCAGTCTTTCAGCCTCAAGCTCACCAGGTACCCCGTCGAGCGGGCGTGGAACTTCGGCTAGGAGGAGATATTCGCCTCTTTTTCCCTGGAAGCCTTTCGCCTTCGGTCCCAATTCCATCTCCGCCCTTGTGTACGTCGTCAATTTCCTCGATTACATGTGCTTTGGTGTCCTGCTCCAACGACTGGAGCATCTGGGTCCAGAAGAAGACATCCTCGGTGTCTTGCATCATGTTTGCCATGCTTTGCTGTCGCTGGCATATCTCAATCAGAACGGACTTTGATAGCTCATTGTTGTTCTGCACATATTTTAGTGCCGTATTGAAACTCCGACGCGCTTCTGCAAAGCGCCCTTTGGAATACTGTGCTCGCCCCAGTCTGCGATAAGCAAGTCCTACGCGCCAGAGATCAATGCTTCCTGGAGTCTCTTTCAAGATTGATAGCCTGCGCTGGACTTGGGAACAGATGTCTTCAGCTTGTTCGTATTGGTCCTGACTGACAAGTCTGTAGGCTTGTAGAAGCAGGAAGTAGACGGACAATCCTGGAGACACAGCGTCGACTTCCGAGATCTGTGGAAGCCATTCCGTCAAATCTGTTTCCGAATCATACCATAGCAGGTCCAGAGCCCGATTGAGCCGGACTTCATATAAGAGCTTGTTGCGCTTGTCAATTCGTGTCTCAAGACCATCGTACATCGAGCGTGCTGCGCGCTTGTATAGGTCTTGTAGTTGGTCGACTTGAAGATCTCCAAAGATGCTGAAGAGGGCGTGGCGCGAATCCTTTGGATCCAGAAATGTATGCGCCCATCGCTTGACGCTTCCGAGGAGCAGCGCAGCGAGCTTCGGGTGGCCACTGACGGCCACCCGACTCACTTCGAAAAGTAAGGCCATTGGTATCTCGTAATACCAGGACTTAAATAGTTCGGGGTTCTGGAAACCTGCAAAGGCCTTTCCCCATTGTGCCCAGGCAAGGTCCTGCTTTCCATTTTCGAAAAGGTTGATCCCTGCGGTTAGACTCGAGGAGAGCATACGTGACGCCTGGCGGCCGCGGTTGTGTCGAGTAGTAGACATGGCATCCCAATCACCGTGGATAAACGCGTCGTGGGTCCATCCGCGCAGGTTGAAGAGGAATTGCTCGGCGACACTAGCAATACGAAATCCATCAGGCGACGGAACGACGAAGGCCTGGCGCATTTCTGCTGGCTGATTGTATGGTACCAGCGCTTGGGAATCTGGGAAAGCTGCAGGAGATAAGGCTGTCGGTGCTGACTCTGAAGCTAGCGGAGAAGCTTGCGGCGAAGCTTGCGGCTGGGATGACTTGCGACTTCGCTTCCGCTTCAAAGCGCGTTCGGCTTTCCTCTTCAGAACGTCCAGATCTAGATCTCTCCTGGTTGTCGGAACCTCGCCTTCTATGATCTGCTTAGCCTCGCCCTCCTTGAGGTATTTCCTCAAACCCCAGGCTTTGATTTTGTTTTTATACATCTTCTCACTGGTGAACTACAATTAGCATCAAGAATGACATCGCCTAGAGCCAGATCTCACCTTGCCCACAGTCCGTGCTGCTCCCTCATGATTTTCATAACTTCGGGCAGGGGACGGTTTTCTGTTTTGTACAGACGAGTGAAGTCAGGCCGAAGTCTCTCCCACTCGGCTCCAGAGGGAGCGCGCTTCTGATCTCTGGTGGGAGATTCCATAGCTTCAGTGAATGCTTGTCGTGCACGATTGCGGAGTCATAGAGTTGATGGGGGAGGCAAACAGTCGAGGAGGGCGGAACGAGCACTAAATCAAAAAGAATGGACCATAGGAGGCTCGGCAGGCTTAGTTTCACACAAGACTATATCCCAGACAGGAAGACGATAAACACCAAAGTGCCCTCAGCGCTCCTCTCAACGGGTAAGTAGCACGAGGCACAGTGTCACAGTTGTATGTCGACGAGGGGTTGGACGCGGGAAGAAATGAGGTTCGAGATGCGGCTGACCAAAGTTCCCTTACAAGTTCGCCAAGCCCGACTTAGCCGAGACGGCGCTAGCCGCTTGCCGCTAGGATGGCCGCGCACATGACAGAGCGGAGCCCAAAAGCAGCGGCAAGTGGCATTGTCTGACAGGGCATCATTTTTCACCCTCCACGAGAGAGTCAATCGACGAGGTCGAGTGACAGGCCACAGTTTGCTTATCCCTAGGCGTTGTGTCGATTGTGTCACGTCCTCACGCTGTCACAGTTCTCTCAATCCCTCAGACACACTCACTCAACCCTCTAAAGAGGAAAACAACCTCGTCGATCGGGCACATCGACCTCTTTTTGTACGACGGCCAATTCGCCGATGGGGAGGGGATTTTGAATGACTCCAAGGCGTCAGACAGGCAGCCGCTCGAGCTTGTCAGAATATTGACCAAAAGACCTGCAACCACCTGCAAGGAACTTCGGCGCGTCCAAAGTCAGCCGGCCAGTCACGAGCCACCGCTTCCTGAGCCTGGCCTGTCCCCTTTCAACTTTCACACCATGGGAAAGTGATGGCCCTCATGGCCCCCTTGACCCCCGTCAATCGCGTGGAGTAGTCATCCCTCCCGTTTCGTGGCTTAGCACGGCAGACTTCACTTCACCTTCACAGTTGCCGCTGTTGGACTCATCGTCCCTCTCCTCCTCGTCGCATACTAAAAGCACTTCGCATTACACTGTGGAAGCCAGCTGCATCCGAATCCTCATCTAAACTCACCGGTTTTGCATCACTTATTCTTAAATTGGTCCAATGAACGGCCATGGTACAAGCTTCCGACGATGTCGACGATGCCCTTATATCCAACCTTGCAGCTCGTCTCCAGCACCTGGTGGACGATGTAGAGCGAGTCTACACCACCGGATCTCGAAATGTGCGCACAGTTCTGCGGCGGCAACATATCAACTCCCTTCATCCAACTTCTGCTCGACCGCTATGCCGACTTCTTGGAGAAGACCAACTGATGAAAGCCCTCCGCCTTTTGTCATTGAAATTAGCTCTGTTCACGCTAGCCCGGATTTATGATGAATGTCATGTTGCTTTATGTCGAGCGATGGCGGCGGCCCGGAAAGGTGATGTTCTTTACGAGGGCTTCAGTCGAAATCCATGCGTTGATCTCCGACGCCTTGCCGATCAAATTGGTCTGCATGAGGGGATTGTGCAAGACCAAATAGTACTCGAAACAACTTTTGAGGATGCGGCGCCATTACGGGCCGTATGGACGCCTGTCCTGCCCATGTCCTTTGACAACCTGTCGCAACTGCATTCTCTTTCTGATCTTCTACCGGGTGAGCGGCGGCCTTGCCATGAGTACGCGGGTATTGGCGGGGGTGGAGGTTCCGACATCATTAGTGCAAGTCTGCTGGGTCACTTATTACGTCCACATAAGAAGCAAATGGATCTCTTAATCTCGACTCGAACATGGGCAACAGGATCCCAGGGCAAAAAGGGCTCCAAATTGGGGATCAAGCGCGAGGTGTACAATCACGGGGGTGCAGTTGAAGCGCATGGACGACCTGTTGCTGGAACATTTCGCGTGCAAAATGGCACTACCGCCGAGGGTCGCGATCTCGAAGCAATCCCGCTCCAATATCATTCCCAGATATTCATGGTGCTGGACCAGGGCGAATCTAGCTCGCAGATCTCCGAGGCCGACAAAGCCGATCTTACAGAACAATTTCATGCCGTGCTGGCTCAGGCCAAGCCACCAATAGAGACTGTTCTCATAGTAGACACAGGAGGGGATGTTTTCGGCGCTGACTCGAACGGCGCTGCGACGCCAGACCAAGATTACCGGGTGCAGAAAGCAATCACTCCCCTGTCAGACGAGTACAATCTCGTGACGGTGGTGGTGGCTCCCGGTGTCGACGCTCCAAATGATGCGCCACAAAAAGCCTCGAAAGCCGGCGGCGTGGTTTATAAACCCACGAAAGAGGAGAACCTGATGCTGCTTGATCTGCTCGCGACTAAATATAAGATGGACGGTTCAGACCCCAGCAGATTCGGGAAGACAACACTGGCTCTGCAGGCACGATTACGGGGAGTGGTTGGGTGGACTTCGGTGGATCTGCCGCCTTATGTTATTGACACATGGGAGAATCCCTGGAATAGCTTCGTGTACATCCGGGAGTGTATGAGCGATATCATTCTGATGCCAACACCGGAGTTGCTGCCGCTGATTGAGCCGGCGAAGAAAAAACGGGGCCTATAACGGTGACTGAGGAAGGTCCTGGACCTTGAAATATGCAGGAACAGCAGTTGACTGTCCCTAATGGACCCGAACGGTCAGGATCGAGATGTCGTAGCAGCTGATAGAGCGACAGACTCCCTCTGGACTCCTGCTACGCAAGGCTGCGAGATCCTCAAAACTCTTGGCAAGGCTACCATATCTAAACCTTGCACCACATTCCATCCTCCGCGTTCTGTAAAATAATAAACTGATACATTCTTGCCCCTGCGTCATTCTGTAAGTCGAACACTATACCGCATCAGCAAGTTCACCAGTGTCACCATCATGGCGAACAGAGCGCTAGAGCCCTTATCGGACGTTGAATTGACCAAGCTGGCCACTTTGGCAATTGAGGCAAAGACCAAAGCATACTGTGAGTGAACCACAGACCCGAAGCCGAGGGGAGGAGCCCGTCTTTTTTGCAAGCTGCATAGGGAGTAATTGATCTTGCCCAAAAGAAAAAGAAGAAACAGGTACCTGCTTTGGGCCGGGCAAGAGAATCCTTGTCGCCACTATCGGCTCAAAAGACCGTTGTCCAGATCATCATGCATTGACTCGGTCACCCAATCTCTCTCTAGGCCCGTACTCCAACTTCCGCGTGGGCGCCTCGGTCCTCCTCTCAGACGGGACATTCCACACGGGCGCCAACGTCGAAGTCGCTTCGACACCCGTGGGCATCTGCGCGGAGCGGTGTGCCATCGCGCCCATCGTGGCCTCGATGCCGCGCCCCGGTATGCCCGTCATCCGCGCCATCGGCGTGGCCACGGATATCTTCCCGCCGGCCTCGCCCTGTGGGATGTGTCGACAGTTTATCAACGAGTTTGCCACGTCGAGAGAGTTGCCAATCTACATGTACGGCAAGGACGGGCTTAAGGGGGAGGTCTTTCGGATGACGATTGGGGAGTTGTTGCCGATGAGTTTTGGGCCGAATGATCTAGAGAGGAACCCCGGGAAAGGGGACGGGGTGGGATTAGGGAAGATGAAGGAAGGGTAGGTGGATTAGGTAGTACCAAGGGAAGGACTTCTGAAATTAAAAGGCTTTGTCAAGCTACGGATTCCATTTTCTCATTCGCCAAGTACACAAGAGTCAGGGAGCGCACAAAGGGTCCTGATCTTGTCTCTATACACAAAGCAAAAATAAAAAGCCACGGCCTTTTGGCCAGGCGACAAAAAGATTCAAATTCCCCAGGTCATGGCGTCTATCTTACCTTCCCCCCTACAACCGGTTCCCCGTGGGTGCTGCGGCTCCTACCCTCCCCCCGTTGGGGAGTGTTTTTCGAGCAATCTTACAGCAGCCAGTGAGGGAACCGGTTGTTTTCTGATGGATGATATGGGAAGAGACCTTCTGCTACCCTTTGGCAACAGCGAAGTCCCATATCATCATGCATCAGGAGGGGGAAGGCCCCGCCCGCCAAACCCGATAGGAATGTGAACCCTTTGTGGGAACACACAACCCTGGACTCGAAGTGGTAGCAGTTATGAAGGTCTCTTTTTATCTTCGCTGTTTCGCACTCCTTTCGAATTGGGTTATGTTGAACAGATTTTTGAGATTATAAAATATATCCCCTGAATTTGTGTCAGTGGGTCTTGATGTCTGTGTGTAGAGACCTTGGCGGGAGAGAGTGAATCAGTGATACTGACCTGGGACTTGCAGGTGGGGAGATGGTGTGGCAGTACGAGAAGCATCGAATACAGGAAGCGTGATAATGGTCGTTTCGACTCATGGCTGGGAATTCAACATTCATCTCTTGTTGTCTTTGTCATTCATCATCATCATGGCAGCCCTTCAAAAGACATCCTCCGGGTCGACCAGAAAACTCTCCCCATTCTCCCTGACATGGATGCGGTCCTTGTCTCGATCAAGAGGCTTCCTCATGTCCAGCGCGTCTTCGCCCTCCTTCGAGACCCCAGTTGGATCATCCGAGTAGTACTTAACCACTGTGCGGTAGGTCGAGTAGCCCATGCTTTGATACATTTTGATGGCGTTCTTGTTGCTCGCCCGCACAAAGAGATCCACGAACCAGGCGTCCTGTTGATTACAAGCCTTCTCGAGAGACTCGCTCAAAAGTTTCCCATATCCCAGCCGCCGATATTGTGGTGCTATTGACAGAGCCGTGATGTGACCATGCCATGGTAAGTAATGTTGTGTTCCTCTGCAAAAAAATGGCTTCTTTAGGACTCTTCTTCGGATTTCAACAGAGAAGCTGGACGAACTTACTGTAAGGAAGCAGGCGACGTCTCAACTTTGCCAATGATATAGCCGACGATCTGGCCGTGCTCTTCAATGCATTGGAACAACGAGGGCCATCTCATCAAATATGTCAGATAAAAGTTCAGGTCATAGTTTTCCGTGTACGGGTCGAGGTTGCACAGATTGAGATGGAACAGGTCCGATGGCTGGACTCTGCGGATGGTGGGCATGGCAACTTCATGCCTCTCTTACAAGGAGCATTGACTATCAATGTGGCCCGCGTTGAGGTTCACAAAGGCAAGAATCAATTTCTCCAGGACCTTTGCTGATGATTGTGGGGAGGCACCTGCGACCCCGACGAAACGCGCCGTCCCGCGAGTCACTGTCGAGTCTCCAACAAGCGTCAAGCCCTGCCGGTTCGCGGGCCAAAATAATAAACGGTCGGATTTCACTTGCGTGCTCGGGCACTCTGCTGTTCGACCAGCAAACCCTTTTCACAGACGAACAGAGCATTCGAAGACATGCCTCCACTTGCATGATAAGAGGCTTCTTTGCTTAGACGAGCATAAATTACCATCAGTCACCTATTTCCCGTCACCAACCCCCTGCATACGGAAAACGCAGGATGACCGCCCCATCTCCACCAACCTCCCCGACAACGCCCTCGCGAAAGCGCAGGTCGCTGCGACTTTCTCACGTCGAACTACACTCTCAAGACGCAACGTCCCCGAGTCCTTATACCAGCGGCACCACCAATGGCACGACGTACTCGAGGAGATCATCGCGCACATCGCAGACCTCTTACCAGCCTCGGTCCCCGGTGACACCTCGCCCCATGTCCTCCAAATCGTCCAGACCTCCCTCCTTCTCCCAACAGCGCAGACCAAGTCGGACAAGCATACACAGCAACAGAAGTATAGAACAGTACGGCGACAGTAACGGGTTGGGGAACTTGGCCGACGAGCTGGGGCAAGCCTGGGACGAGGACGAGGACGAGGACGAGGGAGAAGGTCAGTCCAATTTCTTAGAGGGTTTGAGAGAAGGCGAGGTCGATCAAGACTCTTCGATGATGCGCGACTTGCGGAGTCCCTACGAGATGAACGACATGCACGATTTTGGGTTTGGGATGGTAGTGCAGAGCCCGCACGGTCAGCATGATGCGCAGTCTCCCACTTTGCATGTCCCTCAGCCTCGACGGGATTCGCGACTTCAGGAGAACAAAAAGCCAGGGCATCAGAGACAGGAATCTGCCTATGACGGCTCAGACTATGGGCGAGATTCAGAGGCAGACCAAGACGAAGATGCGTTCCCGCCGATAATGCGCAAACGAATCCGCGACCTCGAAAACCTCACACGCATGTGCGTCAACCCCGAGGACGCCGTTAGCGAGGGTGGTGGCACTGTCCGGCGAGTCATTCATGGTTTAAAGGATCTCGGACCGCAGGCAAACATTGAGTACGGGGTCACTCGGCTGATCACAGCATATACATCGATGGCGTCTCACCGGACACACAAGACCCGAGATCTGTTTACTCAGTCGCACTCCCTGATGTATGGAGGGACTCTATGGCAGCTACCTGAGGAGATGGTTGACTTACTCCTCGACGATATCACGAGCTTATCCTCGACCATACCTTTCCTCCGGCCACAGAACCCGCTGCTCTCCCTCCAAATCCTGGCGTCACAGACCGAGGAACTCACCCATACTCTCCGCTCCCTGACAGACCTTCTTCAAGAGTCACGTCTGGCCGCCAGTGCCGCAACAAGAAAGCTCAAGTCAGTCCGTGACATGGTGGAGGACATGTCGCTTGAGGAAGAGCTGGTGGAGAACAGCATTTTGTTGATACAGGCAGGGGATTGGGATCGGAGGTGTCGGGAGAGACAGGCTGCCCGAACGTGTCAGGAGGTCTGCGAGGGATTTGCGGATCGTTGGGGTCTGCAATGTGATGTGGATCTGATATCGCTGGCCGAGGGTAGGAAGCAGCCTGCCCCGGTATTGGTATCCGGATAATGCAAGACGGATTGGGAGACATGGTTCTTGAAGCGTGGAGTCCTGGTAGGTTTTGGCAAGGGAATTGCATGGGTATATTGGCACTACAGGTCTAAAGAAGGTTGATGAGAACCTTGGTTAGAACGATACATTGGGACGGATATTGATCCGTATGCTTTAATGAGTCACAAGCGGGTGTCGGAACAATGCGAGACGGTAGATGGCCATGAAAACAATATACAGAGTCGACAATCGTGCCGCATATCCCAACAAGTGGCACAGGCTGAACGATTGAGGACTTGTATGTGCTCGAAGGTGGCATCCATTTGTGAATGGTTTCCTATCCGTCATCTACAAAACCGCTCATGTCATTGTTAATGAGCAGCCTCTGGCTACAGGAGATACAGAACCTCTTGTGTATCAGACTGTGTAGTTGTTTTACTAAACTTTATTACCTTACCTTCTACTATCTCGGATAGAGAAGTTCTCGACCTGGCTTTCGCATTGATGTTGTGATGATCTTTTCCTGTTCCTGTTCCTGTTCATGTTCCTGTTCCTACTCCTCTTCCTCCTCCGCATCCTCAGAGCTGAGTTAGTCTTTTCTCCTCGCATTGTTTTTCTCCGTTCACAAACACTGAGGCTATTATTAGCTGATTCATTCAGCTCCAGGTCTCAACTGCTTTTGCCGTGGTTCCCGAGATTTATCGTTTTCACAGCTCGAGGTAGATGCCCAATCCGGGACCTCGTTGGTGGCGTGCTCTAGTCCAGCCCACCGCAGCCCACCGCAGCCCACCGCAGCCCACCGCAGCCCACCGCAGCCCACCGCAGCCCGCTCGACGCCCATCCAGATCGTTTGCTTTGTGGAGCTTTGGCTCTCGCTAACCAGAATAGAAAACCTGAATCGCAAACTGAAGGTGGAAGCTTGGCTGTGACGCCGTTTTGACCCCTTGGACCTGCAATTTGCACATCGCTAACAAGCTGCTCCTCGTGGACACAATGACTCTCCCGTCTATGGAGGTCACGGCTTTGGCCAGGGATCAAAGCTACATCCATGGGCTGAAGAGCTCTGCAATGGTGAGTCAAGAGAGCATTGATTTCCTTGAGCTTCCAGGTACGAGCACGGGCCGCAAGCACTGGGCAGCCTGGTCACTGGTGCTTGGTCCAAGTAGCGGGAAACATTCTCGCTAACCAAATTAACCGCGCGACGATCAGCTATCCACCTCTACGAATGAGACACCGTCATGAGATTCACATGGGAAAGCTAGAATATTGCTTCGCATCCACATCCGCCCTGGATTCGTCTTGTCCTGCTGCCGGATATCCAGACAACTGGGGGCTTGTTCCAGACTCAGCCACTCACGCCGCAACCTCGTTGTCGACTGACACCCACCCCGTGCCGCAGTAGGTCACATCGTGGTTGCTGAACAAGCGACGAACGGGCTAGCTTCCGTCTTCCGTGTCTCACCTAAAGAGCTTGCTGTGGGTGTTTGCTCAAAAATTGCTCAGGAATATGCTTCGATGCGAAAAGTTTGTTTGCGGTGTCACAGCTTGCAAGCTGTTTGCGACAGGCAGCAGGAGCCCACCTAGCCTCGTGTTGTCCACCCCATGGTGTCTGGGGGTTGTGACGACAGGACATGTTTGTTGTGCCTAGCGAGCCTCAATCCCCCAGGGCCTAATGGCTAGCAGCAAAAGCCAGTGGTACCAAAGGCAATTTCCCATACTGTTATATGCTCTAAAGCCCGCTTCGACCTCCCTTTCTGCTTTTCTGTTGGTTTGCTATCCTTGAATACTTACTCTTTGTTTGACATACATACCGTCGCTCGCTACAGTCATTCGCTTGATCTACCTCTCGCTCTCACAAGTTCCCGCCCCTTTTTTGAGCCTCTTGACGTCTCTTGTGTGGACGTCTTATCAACAACCCCGCAAAGAAACATAGTCGCAATTCTCTCAAGATGAAGACCGGTGCTGCTCTCGTCTTGCTGGCTGGCCTGGCCGCCGCCTACCCAGGCGAAGTCCTGCGCAAACGTGCCCTTGCGCCGCGTGAAGGCTGTCCCGCCGAACTCACGGCCGGCCAGTTCGAGTTCCCCCACTACATCACGCAGATCTCCAAGTCTCAGCCCGACAAGGCTTTCGGGCCCCAACTCAACGGCGTCTTCACCCCCAATGACATCGCCTCCATCTTCAGCTTCGACGTGCCCGCCTCTCGCGCCGACGCCAACTGCACGCTCGAGTTCATCTTCCCGCTCAAGTCCCAGCTCAAGACGTCCAACTTCGACTACGAGGGTGGTGGCTCGTTCTTCTTCACGGGCTACAACCCAGGCAGCTGCCCGGGCCCAGAGACGACGTACAACAACCAGCCTGCTCCAGGTCCATTCCCTCCGTTCCCGCCCATTCACATGGAACCGGGAAATGCCTACACCATCGACGTGGGCCCTTGCTTCGTGGGCGCGGGAACCTGCGTCGCCGGGATGACCTCGACAAACGACACCAACTTCTGGTTCTTCCAGGACCAAGATGAGTGCCCCATCGGCATCTACACTGCCTACTCATACGGTCTGCCGCCGTTGGCCAACCCGCCCGACGCATAAACGGGCACTCTGCCTCGGCATCGACAAAGTGGAGCAGAGTGAGCTTTGGAAGGGGGAAGAGACGAGTTCTTTTTTTTTTGAAGCTACCCCAATCAGTTGCCGGAGAAAATCAGAACAAAACACCATGAAAAGAATTCTCCGCTGTAGTGTGGTACAGGTACCACCACTTGAAACGGCCGCATCGAGGTGGGACAAACTATATTACCAACGGGAACCAGGACTTTTTGGGGGGAAACGCAGTACAAGGAAAAGAAGGAAAGCAGTTCGCAGGCGACTTTGTTATGACGACTAACCCCAACCTACCCACGTCGCATGTGGCGCTGGCTCGTGGCACACACACAAGGCAACAAGAAGGACCATCACCATCATACACACACGCAATAGCATCACCGTAATAAATTCCTTGTGAAAGCAAGGACATGGACCAAAAAGCATATACCCAATCGTAACATTCCGCTGTGGCTGTTTGCGATCTTTTTGTATATACATACACACAGCCTTGCTCTACCACCTTCCGCTTTTCCCCCTTTCGAGCTTTCTCGCCCTTTGAGCTTCTTTGCGTTGCGCTGCTTTATTGCGTACCTTTTAGTCATTGGAAGGAGATATATACCCACCTGTAGGGGTTTGACTAAAGCGGGTCCATGGTACCTATTTGTATCTTTTCTTCCCTTACTGTGCTGTTAGAACTTTGAAACTACCAGCTTGATAGAACGTGGGTGTTGAGGTTGAGGTTGAGGTTGAGGTTATGCGGTTGCTTTGGGTACGAAATTCCCTGTCTATCCTGGATGTCAACACGAGAGACTTCTCTACCTAGGTACGGTTGCGCTGGCTTGTACTCGACATGATTGACCACTCGTGAGTGTTTGCTACGTTTGGCTGTGAACGCTATCTGCTGAGCGAGTGGGCTAGACTGTTGATACATGGAACTCAGAAATCAAATCAGCTCGAGACCGCATGTTTTCACACTGCTCCCAGGTCCACTGACCTAAACGGCAGTGGCCGGGTGCAGGTCTGGGTTTATCATTGTTTGAGCACCCAATTCATCATAGTCCCTTCAAAAGAACAAGACGTTGCCTGACATCTATACTACAACTTTTGCTTGGAGAGAGGAATGAGTTGAGGAGGTATGGAAACCTTTGCATAAATAGTTGCAGGCGGGTACCGCTGAGCAGGGTTGACAAATCGGTAAATCTTCGGCATGTCCAGGTAAGCTTGACTGATTACTCCCATGTGGGTGCCATGGTGTTCGCGATACCTCGATAGTGGGCGCGATTGCCGCTGTAAATGATGGTCCAGTATCCAGGCATATGAAACACCTGTCGTGGTGAAAGTGTCCCGCTTCGACTTCCGCCAGGGCATGGAATCTGCACGGTACCTGACACCCGTCTGAAACAGATACCGATATCTTGCGCAGAGGCAGCTTTAGCCCCTGATTACCAGGTAGGCTCCCGCTGTGTTTGCTCAGGGAGCACTCGCTGCTCGGCCAGAGGCTCAGTTAAGGCTCAGGTCAAAGCGGCCTTCGGTCACCATCTAGGATTAAACAATACGTGGCAATTAGGTTTTTCGTTCTCGAGTAATCTAGGTAGTTGTATCGATTACATCGGTGATGCTCCGTGCTCTGTCATTGTTGATTACACCTCGTGGCCGAATGTGACCCCCAGGTGGTAGGTAGGATCATGCATTGGCAATACTCGGCGCTCGTGACTGGGTTTGTGGTTTGGCAAAGCATGAGGGATTTCATGGGGGGAAGGTTTGCAGGCCACCACAGAACTGCCTTCGGTAGTTAGAGTACAGTTACTGCGTACATTAACGTCTACAGCGAAAGAGGAAGTATGTTGTGACTTGTCATCATACTCTGGAGACGGTAAAGAGCGGGAATATTATTGCTGGAGTGCCCCAGAGGTGGTGTGAGCAGCTGCTGAGTGAGCTTCTCTTGTCCAGGCCAAGATGGAGGTACCCGTGTGACGGAGCAAATAGGGGAGCATGGCGCCTGAGCAGCAACGAGGCATTAGGGACGGCAGAGCCCGTAGCAACCCTTGGGAGGCCTTTCCAGGTCTTCCAACCCGGCCTATTCTCGCTTCGGAACTACTCGCTACTGTCGCAGCTGCTCGGAGGATTCCTGGGCGCCGGCCTCTGGGCACCGGGTACCGCAGTGGCTCAGGCTGCTGAGGGTCAGGCTGGTGGATACAAGGCCCAGGCACGGTCACTAGGGTCAGGCACAGGCACAGACCACCGCCGCTACTACTTTCCCCCTCGTGGTGTGACTGTCACCTTCTCTCCTTGTCCCTCTCTCTACGGAGTAAGCAGTAGTGCATTCTCCGTACCTCGCCCGATATCTCTCGCTAAGCCCTCATCCTGTATCATACGTACGTTGAAGCAAACGCTGGCCAAACCGCGCGTCCACGTTTGGATTCCAATCGGCCCATTGCAGACCCTCAATGGGATGGATCTACAACGTGTCATCTGCAATCATGGCTACTGGCGATGGATCTCTGTCTGGTCATGCATGGACATGCTTCGCTCGGGTCTCGCCGTTGCCGCCCTGGACGAGGCTTTACAAACGGAGGCATACATCATGTAACTCGTCAAGGTTTGTGGAATCACTTTCAGCCAGAAGTCATATAAGATAGCCCATCCACCCTTCCCCCTCCCTGTTAGGCATTTAACAATACCACAGACCAAAGCAATTCAGAACACATCACAATAACACTACCTGTCAAAGGCATCTAAGAGACCTTGACCTAGCGAAAGCTCAACATACACAACCACATCTATTCATGTCATCAACATCATCGTCATCTTCATCATCACCCAGCAGCTCAACTACCAGCAAATCTTCAACAATGACCACACAGACCATGCACGGATACGGCGACGCGTGGTTCGAGAACCTCAACAGCCAGAGGTCGCAGTACGAATTGGCGCATCAAACCCACAACTACGGCGACGCTTGGTTTGAGAACCTCAACAACCAGAGGACGCAGTACGAATTGGCACATCAACCCCACAACTACGGCGACGCGTGGTTCGAAAACCTCAACAACCAGAGGACGCAGTATGAATTGGCACATCAACCCCACAACTACGGCGACGCTTGGTTTGAGAATCTCAACACACAGAGAGTTCAGTTCGAGCAATCACACCAAAAACCCCACAACTACGGGGCCGTCTGGTTTGATGGCTTCCAGCAGATGTGGGAGCAATGGCAAAACCAAAACTCCAAGAGAGGCGGCGATGCCTGAGAGACGGGGCCAGAAGACCGACGACCGACGAACGACAAAGACCGGGATCGGAGCTCAGATGAGATGAGACGAGATCTGGTCTGATCTGATCTGGTCTAGTCGAGTTGTGTCATGTCATGTCATGTCAAACCGGATTGGGTATTCAGAGACACCGACATTAATGCTCTTCACCTGATGCGTTACCAGCGAACGAAACTGCAGATCGGGCGGATTGGGTGTTATCATTCTCATTAGGGGAGTTCGGGAAGGGAAAGGGGGTTAAGGGATTATTGGCACATTGGGGCATACATTGCCTGTATGTACGGAGCACTTACTACTTGACTACCTTGTCGGTATGAGGGCGCTGAAGATTTACCTTTTGAAGAAATAGAGCGCGGAACTCAAGACCTAATGCACGATACACAAGGCTCGAGACAGAAGATCTAATACACAATACACAAGACAGATGATGTAGGACATACACCGAGTCATATACCGAGATACAATACCAAGATCCGAGATCCAAGACACAAGATCCTGACCAACCCAACCGCGCAAACTCGAGTATGTACCAACAACCACGATGAGTATCTAGGTTCTTTTACCACATGTATATAGGTATCATATAAAACCATCCCGACTCTTAAAAACACAATATGAAGAAGCTACGTTATTTATGACTTTTATCCGCTCCCCAATGAAACACCAAATAGGTTGATGATTCGTATCCTTCGTGTGTACTGTCCTGAATACCTGTGTAGAGCACTTAACCCAACCCAATCCAACCCGAGTGTATGCTTGACCTCACCAGACACCGTAGACAATGCAATGACATGACATGAATGATCTCCCCGTCGTACCTGCCAATTAGCCCCCGGTCATGTTATCTATCCGTCCCACCTTGCTTGCCCAAGTCCTAAATTATCCCGTCTCACTTCGGGCTCCCTCACGTTCAACTGTCAAAGAACAAGGCGGCGGTGAGCATTTCCTCCAACGCCGTTTTGCGTGGCTTGCGATGCCTCTCCCAGTCATCGCTGTCCTTGCCCAAGTGGAGATCCTGGGTGCGAACTCTCTTCCTCCCGAGTTCCCCAGACGACGACCGCGTGTGGTTGGCCGTCGTCGGTGCTGCTAAGAGGGGGCTTTTCGGCCTGTCCTCCTGGCTGCCGCCAGATATCACACTGCCGGACTCAGACGTCTGCGCGGAGCTTGCCGCACTGCTCGACGTGTACCCGTGGTCCGAAGGCAGTTCTGACGACGCGTGGAGCTTGGGCGGCATCGTGCGATGATGCGAAGGCGTGATCGGAGTCATGAGCGTTTCACCGTGCACTTCGGGGAAATGCGTCGACTTTTGGTCCGACAGGTGATGCTTGTTCTCCTTCTGGAGGCGGAGCTGTTCTCGAATGCGACGCATGGCATTCATGTGCTTGCGGAACCCGGTTTCGATGCCGTCCAGGTTCAACGTCTCGGCGGAGTGCCCGAGACCATGGTGATGCTGCTCGGGCTTCTGATGTGTCGGCCAGAGGGTGGGGTATTCTTCCTGCGTTCTGGGCCACGCTGAATCCCCACGTAGTGAAGGTGTGCTGTTTTCCTTCACGGTGTCGTGGACAAAGGCGACCGTCCCGATCGATGTTGTCGCTCGGTCGGAACCGTGGGCCACAGCGATCGACGACCTGTCTTGATCCCACTTCTGAAGGACGTTCCTTGTGACTTCAGACAGGACTCTATATTCTTCGGTTTCGCTGGCAGCTCTGGCCCGAGCGAGCTCGGCATGCGTCAGACTGGACAGAAAAACATTGAGGCTCTCGACCAGCATGGACAATTTTCGCCGGAAATCCTGAACGGTGAGGCCTTCGTAGTTCATGTCTGTGTTAGTGAGCCATTGCTTCACAGCGGCGCGATCCCGGGTCGACGTGGACAAGTATAACTTGACCAGGTTGTACAAGGGCCGCAAGGCACCGTTCAACGAGGTCAATATCTTGGAGAAGGTCAATGCCCAACGCTTGTGGTCTGGTTGACGATCTATGAGCAGTGACGTGCTCCCGACGCTGTGTAATGAGTCGAGGCTGATTGCAATTGTCCACACTTCGAATCGGAGGTTCTCAAAGTCTTCGGACGCCTTCTGCATGCCGTAAAAGGTATGCCAGGCTAATTTGCACGCTTCTGCCAAGGAGGTAGGAGAGGGACTCCCGCTGAAACCAAGCGAGCGCGACATAGTGGTTAGTCGTGGAATGGGGGGAAGAATCAAATCTGATGGATCTTGCTTCGCTTTTGAGCGGGTATTCAAGAAACCGATAAACAATAAGGCCAAGGGCGATGCCAAAGGGCCGGCATTCTTGCCTCACATAATAAGCCTTGCGGTTGCGGTGGTCTTAGCCACTGCGTGACTGGACAACTTGCTGGGCCTCCCCGCAATGGGATGGGCGTTGCTGGTGAGCGAAATCAGGAAGCCCATTTGGCTGGCAAGCTGGTAAGGGAAAAGTAGTGTGAAAATGTCTCGCAGCGTTGCGCCACATGTGGCCTGACAGTGCGCCGAATTTACGCTCACCACCAAGCCAACCCGCCCCTGGGGCGACTCAGATGGCTGCGGATCGGATTTCCGTCGATCAATCAGTAACGGAGGTTCGTCTGGTACATGGAAAAGCGGATAGGGTCGATCCTAGTGTTGACTGTCAAAATGCCCGCTACTAGATGCGGTGGCAGTCCTGTTGTTAGATTTGGGGTGTCTGTCACAGAGCAGTAGGGGAATGAGGTTCCAAAGCCTAGGCTTCAGCCATCAGAGATACTGTGGAGCCACATTGCATAATCATATTGTCCTCGGAAACCTTCGACCTCACCTGGTGTCAAACTTCCTGTGGCCTGTGATCCCAGTTAGGGAAACCTATGAGGCACCTGAAGAATCTGCAAAAAGAAGCAGTACGGAGGGATAGGGGCTAAGGCATGCTGACAAGGGAACGGGCAGCAACCTAAGGCTAGTAAGGCTAGTGACTTGAAAAGGGCTTGAAATGGTCGAGCTTGCCTGGACAATTGGATCGCAGCCTGGCCTGCCTTGAGAATCCCTAGAAGAAGTTTATCGTGGATAATCTCGATCAACTTCGGTGCACAGATCAGCCTTGCCGAACGGACGAGTGTCTGACAGACATCGACCGACAGGTGCGAGAGCCTCGCCCGTCACCACCATCATCATCATCGCGGCTATCACGCAGCTGCCGTCAGTAACGCTCCTTTCTTGCACGGCGTAAAGGAATACGACTGGGTGGCCACTGCCCAGCAATATCCCCAGCCGATATGCGGGTGTGCTCAAGCGGCGAGCCAAAGGGTCTCCAAGTACTCGTAAGGCGCCTCAAAGATAGCGACAGTCGCTCTCCCAAGGAGGACCGAGCAATTGGCTTCGTCATCATGGCAATTTGCCTCGATCCCATGGGCTGGGCTGGGCTCGATCAGCAGTCAAAGGACGGAAACTCGGTAGGTACGAGGTACAGTAGTAGACACGAAGTTGGCTGCAATCCCCATGGAGACGATCTGCGCGGGCCCCAAATCCTTCAAAGGTCCAGACTCGACGCCTGATGCTGCTGCGAGGTGGCCTGCCACGCCTGCCCAGCTGACAAAGTTTTCTGCGCCGACTCCGTACTGGCCGAGCGAGGCTAGTACATACAAATACACCCTGGCACTCCACGAAGAGCTTGTCACACCACCGCTCCGTCACGCCACGACCTCCTCTCCTAGGCAATCGCTATTACCTCACAGGCCAGCATCCGAAATACATAGTAGGCTGACAAGCCTGTCCCCGAGCTAGTATCTCCGAGCTTGCCTTACTGTACTTCTAACATATATTAGCATAACCACCGACTCCGCGCTCGGTGCGTGATTGTGCAGATCCATTATGTGCAGTACGGACATGGCTGGAATCATCCGATTGGTATTGGTTTCCCTCCCCCACCTTGACCGTGGGATGACTGTGGTATATGGAAATATCATATCATACGAATACAATTGTTAGCAGCTTCAGAGAGAACAAGAAAAAAAGACTTAATATGTGAACCTGGGCCGTCCTCCTGGGGGTTGTTTTTGCTCTTGCAACATCCGTCAGTGAGCGATTTCGAGCGGGCTGTCTTTACTGCACTCTACGAGCGTTGTCTTATTGCTTTATAGCTATAGCCACAATGGACTATTCCAAGAGCCGCTATGCCTTCCAAACCACACCTTCGGCCCGGCCGTCATCTGCCTCATTGTCATCGAGATGCTCCGTCTCTGAAGCGCGCCAACTAGCATATCAAATAGGGACCATGTCGCGGTCCAAGATCCAGAAAGAAGCGGCCAAGACGGTCCCGCACCTCCATAGACTCGTCTGCCACGCCGCCGTATTTGACAATGCCGCCAAGTTCATCGTCGAGCACATGCGCGACTACAGCGAACCCTCTTCTCCGCTGGCGAGCATTGAAGAGGTAGAAGATGTGGACGACGAAGACGACTTTAGCCTGGACGACATTGTCGACATTGTGCCCGAGGATGATGACGATCTCGGGTCAGCAGCATACGATCCTTCTTTGCATACGGCCCAAGTGGCTTCTTTCAATGGCTACGCGCAGCTCAAATCCCCGAGACTGTGTGGCGTCGTGGTGACGACGACAGTGGTGGGCAGCACGCGAGACATCAGCCACTGGGATGAGGCGGAGAGCGATTCCAGCAGCAGCACCGAGTCTGAGGAGGAGGAAGAAGAAGAAGAAGACGACTCCGACTTCGACTTCCACTACGACTATGCGGATCCAGGCTGTTCTTACTTCTACCGCCAGTCCGAGAGACATGCGGACTGGGAGTATGCGCACACCACCTGCTCGAAACCAAACAATCACACCGACGACGATCAACTGCTGTGGTCCCAGCAACCGCGTGTCTGGTCGCCTCAACAAGCGGCCAATATATTCGTCGAAGCCTTTGGCTGAATCAGTCCCACTTACGACGCTCTTTCTCTCGGTGTTTTCTTCGTTTTATGAATGACCGCAAAGCTCCCGGTCTGAGTAGGGGACGACCCCACGATCGGTTGAGCCATCATGAGGCATTTTGATGGTTTTTGTCGTTTTGTAAATGCATGAATCAGGCAAGGTTCTTGTCCGCCTCGCTTATTGCAAGAGACATCGACGTGCGATGGGGTGGAGAAATGGCTCCCATCCACTACGTATAGGAGGATAGCATCGTTGTTGTATATACCTATGTATGTTTGTACGATACCCCCTTGAGTTGCAGCGTTGAAGTCAAAGCAAGAAATAAAAATGTTGAAAACTGTTCATACATCGCATACAAAAGTCATAGTATTACAGGATTACCAGCCTGGGCAGCCACAATGTGAGGGAAATGGAAATCTCTCTCCTCGCCGTCCTTGAGTTTTGTTGTCCATCAACGGCCAATACATCCTCTGCCACCCATGTGAGCGGATCACCATTCCACCACTCCGCAAAGCCGAGCCAAAAACGAGTAATGTCAAAGACCCCAAACCCTCCTTATTCATTACACGAACGGTGCGGTACTCTCAGCCGTCGAGGTCCGCTGCGGTGAGGGATTGTTCGCGTTGTGCTTGCAACAGGTGCAGTGTGTTTGTCTTCCCCGCTTGGTGAACTTGTTTACCGCTGGGGAGGCTCTCCAGTTCATAGAATATTCGAGTTCGATGAGGCGCAGGAAGAATGCGATCACTGCCGACCCCAAAAAGGATACCCTGGCATTCTGGAGTTAGTACAAAGGAGGGCGGTGGATACCGGCTGTTGTGCTCACAGATTGACAATCATGAATGCAAACATGGCCTTAACAAGCTCGCAGTCGGTTTGGAAGTGCGACTTTGAAGGCTGGCCGCCAAAGTACTTTGTTTTGAAGGCGCGGCACGAATCCGTGGCGTCGCCATCCCACAAACCGATCAAAGAGGCCCAGGCAGCCACAAAGAGGATATCAAAGGCAAACGAAACCGAGAAGAACATGGCCCCTCCGAAGAACATGGGCAGGATTGTGATGCCCGAATAGACGGTGCAGATGCAGGCTATGATCACCGTCGCAGTCGCTTTGCGCGGCACGTCTGAATCTGCATCTGAAAGGCCGCTCATAACGGCCGCGACGAAGCCGATTATGACGATGGACCAGGCGCCTTCCAGGACACGCAGGCCGATTTCGGCAATCCGGAGGAACGTCTCATCGAGAGCCCTGACCAGGTCAAGTTCCCTTGTCCTGAACTTCATTGTCGGTGTTTGTGGAGGATTTCGCTGACAAAATTGTTGTGTATCGAATTGGTATGGAGTTTGTTGTCCATAGTCTCACCCTCCCGTACCCTTGCAGCCGACGACTTTATATCGGACATGAAAAGCCCATAGTTGGCACCCATCAAGACACGTGGTTGAGGTGTAAAAGCACCGGCAATATCCGTACATTTTGTTCTCGTGGTGTTGGTGGTATCGACTATGGTGTGAGGCGCAAATCAGGTGACTGGCTGCATCTCGACATACTGTATCAACCGAGAACCAAGTCAACTCACTTGGGAAAGCCGATCTAACAATGTTAGCACGATTGAGCCATAGCGAGTGCATTTGCTGCATTGGACATCGAGCATCAACCACTGGCCCCATTGTCATCGAGGCGACTCTGTGAGATCTCGTCTTGCGGGTCGAGATGTCCGAGTTTACAGCGCCTCCGAGGTCAAATGGGGAAGGAGCCTCGTGCAGAAAGAGTTTTCCCTGCACCTGAGTCCAAGTCGGATTGGAAATATATTTCCTGCTCTGAAGACAAGTATTGCTCTGCAGGTGAGCTTCATACAGATCGTCCATTACGTACACCAGTCGTCAGCAGCCTTGCCCTGCTCATTCTGCATCAGGCTGGCCAGAGCTTGATACGAGCTGTGTCCTGTGTCCGCTGGACCGATTCGCGGTGTCTTACAACGGGATTCGAGGTGGTGCTCAAGAGAGGTATGGTACTGTCTTCTCCATCTCAGAAGCAGAAAGGACAGAAGATTGGCAAAATTCCCCGTTGAGGAGATCCCATGCTTCTCTACAGGTACGTGGTATATGGTTGTGTTTCTCGTACTTTGGACGAGTAGCTAATGTGCCTCAAGTCGTGTACATGTCTTGGCCAAGATCCACCAAGCAATCTAGGCCTCAAGGGGATTTGTAGGGGCGCCCATTATGCCCAGCGAGCCCTGGTACCTGAGACCCTGAGCCCCGAGAAAGCCCGTCACAGGGCAAAAAGGGGCCACATTTTCGCGGCTCGAGGTCCCAAGGAGGAAACCCGGAGCAAAACCCTGACCAACACCAAGCAAAGGCTGCCTGTGTCTCGCAGATAATCCGCAATGGAACTTTTTCTCCTCCTCCTCGCCAATGACAACCACCCTGCATGCTTCGGAGACTACCGTTTTCTGCTTCCCGTTGGCGTCCAGGGCGTCTCGGGCGTGTCGATGGTGGTCTGACAGCTGTTCCCGAACGCCGGGTCCTTGATTTCTATGGAAAAGTCAGCTGGCTTAGAAGGGAGCCATGCTGATTGCGACAGACCGCGTGGCTGTTGCCGACTGCCTCTTGTCCCAACCGACGCCGTAATTGAACGTTCTAATAAGCAGGTCCTTTCCATCATGAACAGACAATTGTGCCACTATGTGTGCAAATCAACCCACTATTCAACAACATCTTTCTCATCACAAAGTCAATCCACTGGTACTCGAGGCTTGAGCCTACCATGTCCTACACACAAACCTTTCCCCAATATCAAAGACCCTCATACACGGATCAAGTACGTTGGATCCTTTTCTGGCGTCTCTTGTTTGCCACATGGACTAACAGGTACAGCAACCAAGCTGGAATGGTGTCGAGTTCGCCACCTCCAACCCTTTTGGGAGCTATCCTCAATATCCCAAAGACCAATCTTATTATGATCTCAACGCTGTGCCCTCGAACGAGCAGAATGCTCCGTCGCCTGTCTACTCACAGTACCTGAACTTTGACGCTGCTGGGCAAGACTCGGGCCTGGCAGCAACCAACGATGCCATCTCCTCTCAACCCTTCTTCAACACCTCGCCTATTTCGACAGACAACTCTCAGCAGTTTGCCGAGTTCCCGATCAAGACTGAGCCCGGCTTCGACCAGAACGACTCGTCATTCTCTTGTGGCCTGAACCTGATCCAGGATGAAAACCTGTCTCCACGGACTTGTGGAACAGTGCCTGCGTGCCTGCAACTTCTCGAAAACCCGGAGATGGAGGACTTCAACCTGTTAGAGCCTACCATCTCCCCGAAGCTTTCCAACTCAGACGAAGGCCTCAGGAGGATACCATCGCGTGTCAGTTCGGGCAACGGCAGACAGCTGAGAAGGGCAAGTGACGACAGTACCGCCAAACCCCGAGGCAGACGGGCACGCAAAGGGTCTGTAAGTGACGAGGAAGCGGCACAGGCCCGAGCCAAACAAGCCCACTCGATCGTCGAACGAAGATACCGAGACAACCTCAACGGCAAAATCATGCAGTTGCACCGAACATTAAGCGCCATCGGGTCGCCCACGCGCATGGCAGGCCTGTCGACGGCCGACGAATCCCCCAGTGCAGCACACGACCCGCGCACGAGGGTGCGCAAGTCCGACGTCATGACAGACGCAGTCAACTACGTACACCAGAGTGAGGTGTCGATGCGGCACATGACGGACGAGATCAAGCGACTGAACGACCGCGTGCGGACGCTCGAGAAACTCGTCAAGTGTGAAGATTGCGCCCTGCTCAAGCAGATGGTCCGACTACAGCTCCAGGCGCAACAGAACCAGCAGGGACAACAGGCACAGATGTCGATGCAGCAACAATAACCGCAGCCGTCAGATCAACTCTGGCAACCGCCTATTATCTCAGAATGTACATTCCACATTTTGTTGTACCATTCAACAACCAACCACGGGAATCACAGGACCACACAGCCGCTCCAGTGACGGAAATTGCATCACGACTCGATCCATTATTAGTCGCAACCGCAAGCCCTGTCCCTCTTGGCTTTCTCAGTGATACGCACCACCACCGGTGAATCGATCCGGATCATGCAGATCTTCCCCATACAGGTGCTTGCGGCGACTACTCATCTCAAAAGAGAGAGAGAATTGGGAATACAAAAAAAGCAAAAATTCGCTGTGACAGCGGGGCGTAATGTGCTATACTTGTGCCAGGGCTTAGGGAAGAGGAAGACCCAAAAAAGCTACATCGCTGCAAAGGAAGAGCAAAGACGAAAAATCCAAGAGGGGTTTCTACATCATGGTTGTTTATCACCTTATTTATCAGTTTTGTCCTTTTCTGTGGTTCCGTGAAGGAAATTGTTATGATACCCAAACTACACACAGGAAAGTGTATGTATGCGTGTATGAAACGTTTTTACGGCGACTGTCGGTACTGGTGCTGCTGTTGCTGCTGCTTGCTTCTTTCTTTTTGCTTTTCAAGAACGTTTTCTTTTGTTTTTTTTGAAGATTTTCGGAGCGAGGCTGGTTGCTAGATAGACAGGGGGGTCATGATTCGCCCTTACGGGGCTTGAGTCGGCCGGCTGCTCGGACTGGCTTTTATATATATGTACAGAGTCTCTCGTATGCTAGTGGGATACGGGGGTTTGAGGCTGTGTTGGAAGCAAACGAAAGCCGCATCTCTTTGAAAATATGCACTCACGTGGAGTTCCCTCTTCTAGACTCTTCCACATCTGCTTTCTTATAGCCTTTTGCTGGGTGGAGTGCCAAATACGGAGACACCGGTCTGATGGTTCATCAAGAAACCTTCCGACTCGCCTATCTCGGGCTGGATGACAGGCAGGGTCGGGCCTGTTCCTCCGTTGTGATACTTTTCGGGGCTCTAAAAATGGGGATCTCTGCGCGGAATAGTCGCGTAGGATGAGAACGGGATGCTGAAGAGGCAAAAAACATCAGCCACTGAGCAGGAAGGCTGCTTTCTGGTCCAAATAGACTGGCGCGAGTGACACGCATTAACTGCGGATGCTCTCTTGCAAGCTCCTGCAGCTTGCCCCTTCTGCGTACCTCCGTTCAAGTCACCTTGTAGGTATGAACCCGCTGTGCCAGACAGAAACTGTCCTAATCACTGCCGAAGGCGTATCCAGCTTGACTTACAGTCCAGGTAGAGGAATCAGCGAGTCCAATAGCCAAGTGTGGCTGCCACGCTTTGACCTTATCATAGCAATTGTTTGACCCAGACGATAGAAAGCCGATCGTCACCTCGCAAGATTCCCGGATTCCTCATGTGCTTCACTTTGGGATAGGAGGCTCACCGGAGTCATAGACCAGTGACAACATACTTGTACACCGAATACGTGAAACGGCTTGTTCAAGGAGACAATCCCAATCTCGCGCTCTGTCCCCAGTACAGCTTCTCGACCGCCGTAGACACACTCGGCCTCATATGGGTCAGGAGCCCGGCTAGACTGGGTGGACACATTACCGGCTAGGGTCCCGAAAGACCATGCGTGTATCACGCACACGACGGTAGAGAAATGCCGATGAACAGGTGTGAAGATCTAGTCTGTATTGAACGTTGAATAGAAATGGCAGAGGGAGAACCAAGCCCGAACGAAGGGCTATGAATCCGAAGTCTTGGGGATACATCGCAGCCTCTGCGCTCCCAGTTTCCTTGGATGGTGCCACGGATGATCTGATGGCAAGGAGGCACGTCCTGGGTTAGTGTTTGATGCCTAGGACGAGTGTCCTTGGCTTGGAGACTCTGTATCACCAAATGCTCTACCGAGACACAGGTCCAGAGGCCAAGAGGCTGACCATTGAGCATGCGAGACGAAGACAAAGGCAATGCCGTCATCTCCGCGACCATGCTTGGGTGAGTGAGTAGCTTTGGCTTACGAAGAAAAGAGGGAAAGCTCAGCTAGGGTGAGGTAAGGTGATGGTACGCAGGGTCGGTACTCGTATTGTAAGGTGGAGTCCAACGCCCCCCTGGATCCCTCGAGCCTTATTGTTATCGTCGTCGGCGGTTTCCGCTGCCTAGCAGCCCTGGTTTGTCCCCCCTACGAGGTGCCTGGAATGATTGCCGAGTATTGTGAGTTAGGGGCAACAACGGAGCACCCACGGAGCATGCCACACTGTGCCTCGTACATTCATCCATCCAGCCAGCCATCCACTCCATAGGTATCTCCTGCGAGAAGAAAAAGTCAGCTGATGGTAGGGCAGACCACCTCCCTCGTCCCCCGATAGCGTGACAGCACACCCATACCCAGGGCACTGTGAGCATGCTCGCACGCAACTGGACCTTCATTTGCGATGATCGTTAGTGCAATGTCTCTCCGCGTTCTGGAGCCCAGCTGCATGCATGGGCCAGACACTGTTGACCAACTGCCTGGCCATACACAAATGTCTCTCTCAGGATATAAGCTGTCTGGTTCCGCGATGGGGTGGTATATTCACACAGAAGAGAGACAACACAACACAACACAACACAACAAGCCACCGCCATACACAAAAGAACCACTCAATCATCTGCTCCATACCAGATTGACCGTATACGCAGTGCTCAAGTGACCGACCGTCTTCCCCAAGGATACAAAACGAACCATCAAACCCCCGCTTGAAGGTTTACCCATCGACATATACAACACCACATCCAACCGCCCACCTATCCTCTCTACAACTTTCAAACACAGACAAAACCCATCTTCACCACACTTCAAGAAAGCTGCCATCACAAGAAAACATGCCTCCCATGCGCATCCCCCTCAACCGCCTGGCCCAGACCATCCGCACATTCTCATCCGCCAGCCCTGGCTCGATGAGAACGGCGGTGGCGCACCACCCGGCATCCTTACACTTCCACCATCAGCACATCGTCCCACACCAGGCGTCGCAGAGGATCCTCTCCAAAGCTCAGACGCACTGGTCGACCATCCCCGAGGCCGTCCGCGACGTGACCAGTTACCTCGCCCTGGGGGCGCTGACCTCCGAGGCCGCCTTCCTGGTGTATTGCTGGGTAAGCAATATCTCGTCCTACCGAACAGAGCCACTCCCCTTTCGACCCGTGCCTTGGATTGAGAGGTGCGACTTTTGATGCATGATGCATGGTGATGATTGTGAGAACGAACAAAAGCGGGTATTGGAATGAGTGAGTGGAAATCAGATTGTCACATTCATTCAATACCTTTTTTGTTGTTCTTCCTCCATCACTGCCGTCCAGGCCACCGGCGTCAAAAGGGAAGAGCTCACTCGTCCTCACCAGCGCGACTCGATGCCGAGGATGTCATCACTGCCACCACCACCATGCGACTTTGAAGACATAGCGGATGCTGACATTTCTGTGTGTCGGCAGGACCAAGAAGCAGACCTGACCGATTTCCTGGCTGTATAACAACATTTACGGTACAATCTTGAACGCCATTTTGTTTCTGGGGATCACACACCGATGTTGAAGGGGCCAGGCTTCTGCACGCTCTAACGAGTCCGGTGTCTTGGAGTTTATGGAGTTTCATCTGATGTGGTCTCAAATCCAGCAAGGTCATTCAGGGTGACCGGTCAGCTGGACCGACGCGCCCTATCATGGACTTGACCTGCAAGAAGTCTGGAGCCAGTCCGTCCAGAAACGCGGCATTGCTGTGAGGCCGCCCTTGTAATGGTTACCAGGCCTCAGGGTCAAGTCGAGTAGCGAGGGGAATCTGCCCGTTGTCTCGCTTCCTCGCCGGGGAAAAGAGGTCACGTGTATATAGATATACTCGTACGTCCAAAGAGGATATCGTGTACCTAGCTACTACCCCAAAGTAGTACAAAACCCCATTATCTCTATTAGCTCTGACAAGAAAAGGGGATCCCGAAATGGGTTTCCCGTGAAGGAGTCTCGAAACCCAGAGATAATAGTCTCACCTCCAGAACGAAAAAGAACACGAGGATCACAGGTGGCACGCACTTAGAATGAGAAAAATGAGGCAAATCCGAAAGGGAAAGAGAGGGAAGGGACAATCAGTCCAGTGCAGTCCACAGGTCCACTTTGTGGGCTTTGCGACTTCATTGGATATTCTTAACAACTAAAGAGGATGTTTGGGCACAAAGACTTACTTATGTTTCTGCGGAGGACAAGGACTTTGTGCATGTGCGAGTGTAAGTACAAATGTAAGTACAAGCACAAGTATGCTGCTCCACCAGGTTCTGGACCTTCTTGTCCAAGTCCTTGTCGTTGATTCGCGTGAAAGTGTTTATGTGGAGGGATACATACAAAACGAGTGCCTCGTAGATTTCCGAAATCGCGCTGTCTATCTGTCTATCCATCGGTCTTGTTGGGTGTCGAGAGCCGAAAATACCGAAAGGGAAGCCCGAGCCTGTCACTTATTATTCTGCATGGATACTTGCCTGCTCTTGAGCAGGACCACAAGTGAGAAACTAAAACCAGATTAGGTTACTAGACGGGATTCGGGCTCAACTTGTGTCCAGCCCGCAATTGTGTGTTTGGGAACTTTGGGCTGGATTATTTATGACTTGGCTGCGACTCTTTGCCGAGCTAGGCGAATGACTGATGCATGCCTCACTCACCAGCCTGGGTGATGACAGTGATGAACTTTAGATAAGTGGCCGAGTGCTCAATGTACTCAGACTGCCCGGGTGTAGAAAGGTGGAAGGATTAACAGGTGCCGTTGTGAGTGTGGTGTCGGTGGCGGACGAAAATTAAAAACCGCGCAGCGCGGGCACATGCTGAGTGGACTTTTTCGTTCGTCGAGGCGAGGGCAAGAGCTCGGGGCATACACCCCTATCGAACAAAAGCCTCGTAAAGAGAACTCCATTCGGAGTGAGAAGACTCCGGGTGTCATAAGAGGGGCTCGTTGCGATTGTGTAGCAGGCTCAAGCTTGAGAGGTTGCATGGACGGCTCGGAAACTCCTCCCTCTGTCCCCAGACATGTTGTCTACCCCAGACATTCTCTAGCTTGCCGTCTGTTCGCAGCAGTGACGGCACGGTGCTCCAGAGTTGAGCACAATACATCATTCCGGATGCAGCCGGCATCAGGCGCGCAGGCCAGAGGCGGGATTTGCCTGGGGTTTGAATTTCTCGGCCACTTGGAGAGCGAGCACGGGCCAGCCTTGCCACCAAATCATCAAGTCGCTACAATCGTTGGACGATCAGAGTCTGGACGACGTCAAACGAGTTTGCCCAAGGTCCATCAAACCCCTCCCAAGTCGGGGCCTAAGACCTCAGGGTCATTATTGGATTCGCTCTCTCGCTTTTTCGGGGCCCGGCGACTTTGATACGTGACTTTCTTCCCCAAAAATGCATAATGCAATGCCCTAGGCCAGCAAAGCAGAGTTGCAGCTCAGGGCCACTTCGGATTCCACGGAAAGGACCCTAGGCGGGAAGGAACAATGAGCTACCTATGAGCCTCGTGCTGAAAAATCAAGTAGTCGAATGCCCGAAGTCTGAACGAGCCCAGGCAGGATCAAGGGAAGGAGAGGAACCAAGGGAATTCTGCGCGGATACGATAACTCGCAAGCGGGTGCGGTAACGGGTGACTGTTGCGGCCTTATACTTGTCTCGTCAGATTCTTTTCCTTCTCGGCCTCCGCTCTTTTTTGCCAATCCAGCTCTCCATTGGCTATTCTGCCGTGTCAAAGCACGGGCTGGTCAGGGCATGGCAAACCCTCGATCAGGCCGGCCGGCTAGCCTTAAGTGCGTAGTACTTGCGTACGGAGGAAGTGTTGCGGTGATCACAGGTGGACGTCCGAAGTCATAGTCAGAACTGAGTGAGATGATGGGGAGCCAATCGCACCGTGGTCCCACGTTACTCGTACGTTGTCTGCGCGCTTGAGTGGTGTGGATGTATATTTGTGAGTCTGTGGAGACCACGAGTTCAAATATCATCATCGTAATCTCATCATAACGGCATCTCAACGACTTTTCGCTTGCGTGCTGTTTCCGTGGCCGAGGCCTAGTCTCCACGTCCGGAGTGGAATAGTCGAGAGAAGGAAAAGGAACGAGAACGACAGCTGCTATTGTGATCACATTACTCCCATCTTCGATCCCGCCTTCCCTTCTCCATCATTTGAATACCCGTCCATCCACCCGACATTGTCCAGGTCAGCAAGCAATCTCTCCGAAAGCTCTCAGCCTTACCCCGAGATAATATCTCGCCCACTCACGCCCGACCTACTGCACCTTTAGCTCGCATATATACACCCACATCTCGCCACCTCTCTACAACAATATAACATCTTCTCCCCAGAAGGAAAACGTGGACACAGCCTTCAAGTCCACCCAACAAACCTCTATTTCCGAAGTCTACAATCATATCTCGACTCGAAGCCGATCACAAAACCGATACCATCTACACCCGGCCTCTCTCTCCAATCCTCTAACAATGCCTATCTTAATCGCCTACGCCACCTGTCATGGTTCGACGCGAGAAGTGGCCGAGCGGATCGCTTCACGCCTTCACGCCGATGGCTTTGCTGTCGACTGTCGATCCGTGGACCACGTGTACAGCGTGGAGAACTACAGCGCCGTCATCCTGGGAAGCGCCGTGCACGGTGGAAAGTGGCTAGTGGACGCACGGAAGTTCCTCGACATCGAGGCCATGGGTCTTCAGATGAAGCCCACCTGGACTTTCAGCGTTGGGATGGCCCCGGCCGTCAGCTCGAAATGGGTCCGAGACCGAGCCGTGCGTCGCGAGTCACACCAACTCGAAGAGATCGTCCTGAGGAAGTTGCCCAAAGTCCGGGATCACCGTTTGTTCGCGGGAAAGGACGACGGCTCAGAGACCCCCGCCCCCGTTCGATGTCTCTGGAGCTGCGTCGGTGGACGATGGGGGGATTACCGCAACTGGGGTGAGATTGACGAATGGGCTGACATCATTGCAAAGGAGTTGAAACTGGAGGGAATATGAAGCCAGTAGCAAAAGTTGCTGGAATTCTGACATTATGTTTTCGATTGGCGGCCTTTGACAGTCTGCTTTTGCATTACGTTTGCCGGAGTTGCTTGGGATAACGCTGCAGCGTTCACTATGGCACGACCCTGTTATGAGGATGATTGAATACCCCAGATCCACCGGACAATTAGTCCGCATGTTGCATCTTGTGCGACCTTGGATAGCTTTGAAATACCGACTGCTTCAACTTTGAGATCAGGAATCTCTGTCCTGCCTCTTGTCGTGATAACTCACAGGAGCTCGTGAGTCTCCCCACAGTGCTCGGGAAAAACAGACAGACTGTCGGGCCTGTCTCCGCTTATTCCCGTGCTGGATTGTAAAGATGCAGCGAGTGGCGACAACCACTGCTTGGATTCTTTGGAAGCGCCTGAGGCGACAAGGCTGACCGCAGTAAAGCCTACAACCCGCAACCTTGGCCCACCGAGACTGATCACTGTGATATCTTATTACTCACCTTGGTCAGAGGAACATCAAGTTGTTGCCGAAAGATTGATGTATTGGTCTGCGTATAGTTACCGGAAGCCCAGGGGAGTGGCGTGGCTGATTGTATCCGATCTCCTTCCACCAGGCATTCTTTGTTCCAGGTGAACAACCAGAGCACGGACGACAGTTGTGGAGTGGAATATTACCAAGTCTGCAGGTCACCCGAACCAGCCAAGGTCTCTATCTTTGGTCCTCGTGAGTTTTGAGGAGCCTTCAGGCCGTCGTGTCGGGAGCGTATGGGAGGGGCGTGGACTCTTCGAAGGCATCGTATCAGTCATGCGGCAATTTGCCTGAAGGGATCTAGCATGATCGGTTCCGAGCGGATGAGCTCTGCACTGAATCGAACCTGCTAGGGTTGCACCTAGGTATGCAAGTACCTCGTGCATCGATCACTTGAGGAAGTGCCACTGCTCCAAACCACAAGGGTGTAGTTTGTCAGCTGGCATCTTAGTTAGATAAGCCAGAGACTGGCCCTTTCTGTTACAGTGCACAGATGGGCTTTTCGGAAGCAAGACGTCATCAGCACCGTCAATACAGGTGAACATGATGTGTAGGAAGCAAAAGCTGATAAACAGCAAGAAATCGCTTAACTGAAGAGCTTCGATTTCAACTGCGCTCCTTCCGCTCAGGCTTGGCTCGACCTGAACGTTCCGCGAAATGCAGGTTGAAGAAACCCTGAACACACCTTCCAACATTGCGCTTCTTGCCTGATCTACTTGTCTCCGAGCAAGTGCGACGGTGTCGTCATGAACGGTACCGCTGGTTACATTGAAGATGCTAGGCAAGAAGATGAAGTGCAATTTTGAATTCTCAGCCTTTGGTTCGGGTGGCTGTGAAATCCTCTTGTCTGACACGTAATTTTAGAGAGCGAGCACGGGTGAGTAAATATCAACTTTTCGTCAGACAAAAATACCCTCCTCCTTCACACCCTTCTCCCGTCCATCATCCCTTTCATCGCATAGTCCTCTCTCCTTGTTTCTCCGTGCTGACCTCTCCTCGTACAGCTTCATGTTCTGGGCACTTGCACATTGAGCTATACTCTTTGAATCAGTAGTTGCATCGGGTTTCTCGTGGCTACGGCGTCTCTTCAGCAGAAACCGTGGACCCTGTTCGGCCACCGTCCAGATCATGGATCGCCGAAGGAATCCCTTCTACAGCTAGCGCCTCCAGCAGATTGATTTGCAGACAACGAGAGGGATCGCTATTATTTGAGTAGCCGGCTAAGTCTACGACACCGGAGCTGCTGGTGTTGCTAGTGATTAGGGCGGATTGCAAAGCATCGAAGGAGGCGCACCGCTGTGAGTACTTTCAAGTTTGGGTTCTCCCTCCTGACGATATGGGCTGCACATCTCTGGCATCACCATATGCTCGTACCTCGTATGTGGTTGCTGATCACCAGGGCACCATTGTGTGATGATCACTCCACTCTTGCATACAACCTTGGCTCTAAAGCTTCCTTGCCAGGAACTTCCCCCACAGAGAAAGCCACGATTGTCCAGTCGCACTATGTTACTTTCCCTGGATATGCCATTAAAGTATTCTTTGTTCTTCAGAAAGCAAGCTTTCATCGGGCGATCATCTGATACTCTAGAGACTTTGAGTTCACTGCCTCTATGCTTTGCTTCGAACCCCAGATTCTGATTGCTATACAGGTAAGGGACTATAAACTATCAGAGTAGCTAATCTCTGTTACGAGTGCACATCGGTTTTATGCAAAGACTTTCAACTATGCCAATCAGGGGAGATCCATGGTGGAGAGTTTGGGGGTAGATAGTCCGCAAACCCGACCCATACTCAATGTTGATTTGCAACTCGGGTCCCACAGCACCACCATTACAATGCAGCGATTTGTTATCTCACGAGTTCCCGAGTTCACTATGCTACATTCTCAACTTGGTCAGTCCTGGAAGTGTCGCTCCATTTTCACATGATTCACAATGCTTATGACAGCAGACCTGGCGCTCTCGGCGGTACGTGACCGTCACAAAACCGGTCGGCAATGCTGGGGCTCGGTTGGAATTTCTACCGACTTGCCTACAGGTCTGAGGAGAAATGATGCAAATACCCAAAGCGTCCCTGGTTCCAATAGCGCTTCCAAGTACTTCGCGCATAATTCCGCCAGAAGCGGTTGAATGCTCGGATCAGGCGCTGCCATCATACAAAAACCTAGCCATCATTCTCCTTTCTCACAGTGAGTCTTCTTTGCAAGCAGCAAAATGAATCCGGATCAACAGACTGTACGGACGCGTCCGCGTGTTTCGCGGGCTTGTGAAAGATGCCGTGTCAAGAAGGCAAAAGTAAGTCGCATTCTTGTCATGAATGCCATTTTGTATGCTTGAAAGAGAGAAGCCCAGCAGAAGTTTGACAGAACTGACCATCTTCCCTGGACAGTGTGACGGCGAGAAGCCTTGCAAGAGGTGTAACTTGGACCAAGCACCTTGTTCGTATAAGGTACGAAGGAAGACTGAATCTGCAAGCACGAACCAAAGGTAAGCCACTAGATTATAAAATACAACTCTGAAGATCTCAAGAGTCCCATGATCAATGTTCTCCCGCTGACGGCGCCAAAGATACACCAATCTCCTCCTTCAACACCAGGAGGCTCTTACAGCGGGTGTCGTGGAACTGTACCGGCGGCTCGTCAAAGGCCAGAAATGGGATGGCGTCCTCATCGAGGAAGTCAATGGCCACCCCAGCGTGCACGGTATCCTTGAACGACTGGGAGTGCTTGACCAGGATGACGATGCCGAACACAGCAACATCGACTCCTGCTCGACCAACAATAGATCGGAGCCTGTCTCACCCATCAGCCTGGGGAGATCTGTCCCGCCGATCATTGCGCCGAAGATAAAGAAACCGGTTCGGGCAGCGATGCGAAGAGAATCGGTCCGCGACGCACCTGGCACGGCCCACGCTGAACAACGGGGCTTCGTTGTGCAATCGCCACAATCTGCCACGGCGACGACCATGAGCCGGACGTCGACCACCTGTGGACCGCCGCCTTCGACACTCGATGTGGATGAAGTCCCAATGCATTCGACGTATTTCGCCCAGCTTCACTCACCCCTGACGCCACTATCAGACACACGAAGCACCCCTCTGTCCCAGGTTTCTGGCCCACGCTTCAACAGGACCAGCACATCGACGACATCTTGGGTCGACTCACCGCCGGTGGATGAGTTTTGCGACGAGCTATTCGGCACGCCGATACCCACGCCCAGAACGGAAGGCCATCCTGGACATCAACCGCCGTCGGACCACCAAATCGACCCTCTTCCCCAACCCCAGCCGCAAGGTCATACCCCGCCATTCCATCAGAATCCGTACGCAGTAGCCCCGACGTTCGCGTCCCCGAACTCGAGCGCCACGGAAGCCTATAACGCTGGATACTTCTTCGACGCGACCCTGGGCGGCGGAGTGTCCATGTACGCCTGGGATGGTGGACCGGGCGGGCCGGGCGGGATCGAGTGTGCCGCCTGGGACACGGGGGTGTATGTCTGAAGCTGCTTTGGGAAAGGGGAGGGATCGCAGGCATTGGACCAGATTGAACTGGACGATTGGATGATTGAATGACTCAAACACTTGTGCTTTGCGCTTCCATGTGTGCCTATCTGAAACCATGGAGTATATGCATGTGATACGAATGGCAACGAGAAGTGGGATAAGAGAGCGCAATAATGTCAAGCTTATATATATATATAAGTCGCTTTCAGCGCCATCTGGCACAAGCATCTCTCAACTCGCAGAAGCGGGTCGGCAATGGTCTTGAGGCCCAAGAGTGACTACCTCGTTGGGTATCATTCCCAAACACCGATATGATCATGATGGACCCCATTACGAATATATCTATATGTACAAACACACATGCGATGATGCATACCGCATGCATGGGCTGCGCCAATCCGCGTCGTGCAATGGTCCATCATGAAAGAAAAAACCCCCTCCACCTCGAAGTCTAGAAAGCAGTGACTCACACTATGAAACGTCCCACTACTTGAGAAAGTGGCCTATATACACTCCCAGGCAGCGGGCGGTATATTTCGCCTCGCAACCATCACAGCACCGGCAAATCAATTACCCGTGCGGCAATAGTGATGGCGCACGCAATGGATGGATTTGCAGCCACACCCCGGCCAGTCCAGACGGGAACGTTTTTGTGTAATATTAATGAGACGGAGACTCTTGAGTTTGCTCTTGTTCAGGTTTTGGGAGGACTCGGTACGCTGGGTGGGATGGAGCGTTTATTTCTACTTTAGAAAGCGTGGAGGAGGTGGTGGTGGTGGTGGTGGTGGAGAAGAAGAGAGAGGATACTGCTGGCGATACGGTAGACAAAGCAGGCAAAATGAAAAGAGAGTAGCAAGTCGTGAGGTAAGTCTGTAGTTGCGAGAGCACTAGTCTGTCGTACAGCTCACTTATAACAACAGCCCATTGATGAGATATTCCGCTCAAGAGCTCGAAACTTCAATGGTGTCTCTGAGAATTGCTCACTCCATGCAAAAACCTACCTCCAAGCATAGGTATTCAACTTGCCAGCTCTGCCTCTTCCAGCCCAGAGCCGGCCTTTTCCAAGCAGGACACTGAAACATCCTCTAATATCACACTTTGGACTTCGTATATTGCGTAGACCATGAGTTGCCCAAATCTCAAAACGCCGTCTTCAAATGCAGCAACATCCAGTTCGTTCCCCTTTTCTAACTGTTGTGAATTAGGAAGTTTCGGAAACTGTCCCAATAGTCCGAATTGACATATCTGAACAAGCAGGGTCAGCATCTGGGCCAGAAGCAAATAGTGTCCAAACGTACATGTACTTCATGCTGCTTCTCAAGCTTGGCTGAATACTCTCGGGCTGCCATCGGAAGATGTACATGACAAAAGCCCAACTCAAGCTGGCAAAAACGGGCCAGGCGTTGTTTTGAATCTTTGCCTTGACCTCGGGTGATAATCTCTGGGTCCATAATGTTGGGGTGGGCGTGGTGCTCGTGGCGCTTGGTGGCTCAATGCTGAGCCTGGCGAGGGCGAGAATCACTCGTGCAAAGACATAGATGACGATTTGTTGGTTGACGCTATGGGGAAAGACAATGGTTTAGCCTGGCAAAGCCCTGCTTACGGCTATGCGATTGATTCCTTACCTGCCCTGCTTCCCTCGCCCAAAGACAACATACCCGCCCAACAGACCAGCGACAAAGGTGTCATACGGCCCTTCTTTTCCTGGGGTTGCCGGGTTCAGTAGTCTCAATAATAACATTGAGGACTTGTATACGGTCGCGAAGAATGCGAGGTTTCGCGCGTGTTGTCTGGTCGCTTTTAGAACAAGTCGGACTTTTTCTCGAATCGTCCCTGATCGGAACAAGAAAACCATGACCAAGGCATGGGGAAATCGGACTTTTGCCCCGTAGACGGCGCCATTGCGGGCGGCTTTGACGATGGCTAGGAGAGGGGCGAGGTCGGGGTTGAGGATGATGGACTCTACTGTGTCCTGGCGGGTGTCAGTTGGGAGGTTCACTGCGCAGCATCGCAAGACTGACCTTTAACACATCCATTTCGCCCTATCCGATGACAAGCGATTGTTGGAGGAACGCGAGAGTTCTTCTTCTCGAAAGCGCAAGGACGAAGGGAAGAGCAAGGTCAGCGGAGGGTTACAAGGCAGTGGGCGCGGTGATGGCAGCCAACGTCATGGGTATTGAGCAGCGTGCGGGTGGCTGGAATGAGCAATTGGCATGTGTAAACCCCAGAGCAATTGGGTGCCAGGTTCAAGATCAGAGGGAGCAATAAGAGTGTGAGAAAGAGTCCTAAGAGTCCTCGGCGAACGAGGAATACAACGACATCATCTTGACGGCTCGACGGGGACTTTGAGTCTCGGTGCATGTGAACCGCGGGCGGCTTCTCACTATTTGATTGCTGCGCTTCCCCACAGTCGAGTGAGTGCGACTTTTGTTCAACCGCCGTGCTGTGCCTCGGCAAACCAAGACTTCCCGCTGTCATTTCCCGATACTAACAAAGTCGCAAAGTCCTCTACGGGAAAACCTCGCCCATCGTAACAACAGGTACACTATGCCCTGACACATGTACTCCTCCAGCTCCGTGTCCATAGGTATTCTCTCATCAGAGACACAACCACTATGGCCCCGCCTGCGCACCGAAGACTTATCGGAGGCCTGCGTCTTCCGCCTCATGGACGGGTTCATGCCTCAAGTCTCTCCAGTTGTTGAAGAACAAACGCCGCCCAAAGATTCCGCACCAGATGCATGTAGCATGAGGAGACGCCCTTTTGGGAATTGAGGCCCACAGACCTGACCATCACAGACACCAGCTGGAATACGCGACGCTGTCCCTCAGTGGCGCGTTCTCGCTAGAACGAGGCGGATGTCGTTTTGGTGTCAGTCCTAAATTCATGGCCATCAACTGCACTCTCTACGCTCAGTCGTTCTGGAATGCGATGTCTTGCCAGCGTAGATTTGGGCGGTTGAAGATCCTCGAGTCCCGGTCCACCTCAAGAGGTTCGCTGGCGTTTCGGCTTGTCATTGTCGTCGTCTCTTATGCCGTTCATCTCCTCATCGTCATCTTCGCCGATACTAATTTCATCTCCGCTTCCTAGACCACTGCTTCCTTCCGACAAGTCGTCAATGTCCATACCGCCGTTTTCCATGTCTTCGTCTTGACTAATGATGTCTTCCTCGCCATCCACGTCTGCCATCTCTTCTTCATCCTCAAGGTCGTCACGGTTTCTTTTAAGCCCTTTCATTTTCCGTGTCTGTAGGTTCGAAAGATCCTGCTTTCCAAGGTGCACGCGGCCAATCTTGTCACCCACCAGATCCGTTTCGATGTTCTTTTTCGTCCGTGCTTCGTTTGGCCGACGGCCATGTTTTAAAGCATCCTTCATCACGGCCGCATCCGCTTCGTGGAATCGACCAACTCGAAAGTCGAAGCTGGGTCCGATAGGCTCGAGCTCGACGCGAGGAATCTTGGGGCTGTTGGATCTCATAGTTCGAATTCGATACCACCTGAGATGAAGAACAGGCTTGCTCGTGGGATCGTTCGGATCTCCCGAAGAATTAGGGCTCTCGCCCGCGGCGATCATTAGGAGATACTGTAGACCTGCCACGTCAATCGAGGACACCTCTTCACCTTGGAAAAGATCCAACATTATAGATCTGAGGGACTGATAGAGCGTAGCTTGCGCCGACGAAGAAGTGTCATCCCACTGCGACCCGGCGAATAATATTAAAGGCTTCATTTCGACTCCGATCTGCAATTTAACCTCCGACTGTGGCTCGTCCTTGGGCACAAGAAGGAGCAGCTCGACCATGTCAAGAAGCTTGCCATCGTATATCCGCAAGACTGTGATATTGTTCGGTCTTTTCTTGGAATGGGTGCCAAAGACCACCACCCCACATTCGTTCTTCCCTGCCAGAAACTCCAAGGACTCGGCGTTCTCGAAGGGGTGGATGTTCTCGTTCTTCTTGGTGAGCATCACCGAGTCCGGTTTGGTGAGAGTGTGTACGGTTTTGAGCACACTGTTGACAGGCTGTGGGCATTTTGTTCCATGTAGGAGCAAGACCCGTTTCCTCGCTTCCTGCTGTTGAGGCTCGCGTGCTTTGACAATGCGGGCGGTCCGAGCATTTCGAGGTTTTCTGCAAATGTCAGTCTGCTTCGTGTAGGGGCAGTCGAGCAACTCACATCTCACGCAACATCCTGAATCTCGCGACGGAATTAGAAAACACATACACCGCGTGCTTGAGTATGAGACGAAAGGCCCAAACCCTTGGTTAACCGCTTTCGCATCGTTGTGGCACAAAAATTTCCAGAGCGCAAGCGAGAAAAGGCTTATCGATAAGGAACGGTGGAGCATAGGCCCGTCGTGGCATTTCCCGCAATTTGTTTGCTCGCGCCTAGGCCAACCACGAGTGCCACGCCAACTACCTAGGTAAGAACCACAAGACACGGTTCGTACGTTGTGTCTGGTCAACATGTCCCATTCCCTTCTGTGATCTCGGAGATATCAAGCGGAGATAGAACCGCCTGTTGCACCTTGCAAGCAACCGGCCCTCCGGCGCTCGGCTCGCTGAGTCCTCAGAATCGAAACATGTGTCTTGAAAAGAAGAGGGAACACGCGACAGATTGCTCGCCAACAAACACCAGCTCCAATCAGGGTGGCCGGTACCTAGGTAAGCAAAGCTCGGCTCCCAAGTTCTCGTCGACGAAGTGAAGATGAAGTGTGAGGAGGGATCTTGGAAATGATCTTTGCACAGTCGTGTTAAGCAGAAAGGGGTTGGTAGCCTCATGTTAGAGAAAGCTTGTCTGAGATGCTCCATACTTGTCCTCTTTCTGCTCAGCTTCTGAAATCACCGACCTCTCCAGCGATATCCCACGCGGTGAAGGACGACCGGATGGCAGTATCCTCGGGTTTTGCTCATGTCCCTCAAAACAGTGAGCTCTAGCCATGAGATTGCAGCAAAGCCAGCCGGCGTCGGGGTACCCGAGCTACATGCTGAGGCCAACACTGTTCCATTCATGACCCATCCACATGTTGTCCGATCTTATCAAGAGTTTTGGCTACCATTCGTCATGATCGTTCAACGGAAGAAGTTAGCCTATGTTCTACGTCCTACGGCACCGGCAGTCGTCATTTACGACATTCCCTTGGAACGACGCAACGTTGTTCAGCCAGGATTAAATCTTCATTGCCTGACGGGCATCGCTTCTTGATTTCATTTCCAATCAGAGTAGCCTGGATCTTCGTGGCCACCGCCCGCTTGTTCCAGCTACGCCCACGCACGCTATAACCCTCACCGATGGCATCGTGGCCTCCCGTTAACGGCAAAATAAGTGTACCGGAAGAGCCAGCAAAGATACGTCCTACACAATCATATTACGCCGACTTGGGAGGCGCGACTCTTCAGCCGTGGCAATCTGCGCCAGGAAATAAAGCACCTTTCGGTTTATCAATGCGCGATTTATATCGTTGTCAAAGCAGGAAACAGACACACAGAAAAGGAGGCTGAATGCGACCCGAATTTCCGCATTACACTTCCGAGCCCGAGCAATGTTTGGCGATGGAGTGACGAGAGCCAAATATTGATCAAGGAGCTGGATTTAACCGATCGTCGGAAGAAGAATGACCGAGTTGTTCCCACAAAAGCCTCAAAAGCATCCCTGAGGACATGAATACACAATGGCTGGAAGGCGAACCCTCTCGAGAAACGACTACAGCTCATATAATGGCTCCGTATACCCCTGCCACGAGGAGGGCGGTCTTGGGCTGTTTTTGATTCTGTCTTGGATATCGATATTGCTTTTCTGGTCAAGCGCCTCTGCTGTAAGGAGCCCACGTCTGTTCGGCCGAAGGTTGTCTCTGTCAGATTGTCGAAACTCGAGTCTGCAGCGAGGTCAACGAGCAGGTGGCGCTCACAATTACGCCGTGGATCGTGTTCGATGCAGCGACGAGACCAGACGATCTTTTGTTACAGGATTCTGGTACCTCACGGATTTCGCCCTGACTAAAAATCTCAGGACAGATCAGGTACAGGGAAGTCTGAAAGATGCCACATATGATCTATATGCCCGAGCGCCGAGCGTGCATCTGGCCTGCTCGGAGATATTCGATTAACTTCAACGATCTCCCTGGAGGCAAGGGCTGGGGCTGCTCAGGATAGGACATCAGCACAGAGTCAGCGCCAGTTCCAAGAGATTTGTCCACTGGCCAACGGTAGGCCCCAGCATTTACCGAACTTTCTTTATTGACGGAGTTTGAACACGGGCAAGATGCTTTCTTCAAGACGTAATATAATATTAGCGTTGCGTTACGGTTTTGGGATGCATTCGGAGATGCCTGTGGTCAAGTGCATTCGTCACACGTCCACATTGTTCAAACTTCAGCTACGCGCACGATTTACTCCCGGCCGATCTCCACACTTCCTAGACGATTTACATATTCCCCACAACAATGTCAACGGAGAATAGAGAGATGCAACCTAATTATGGCCTGCATGTTAGGCCGACCATGACGGCCTGATCCAACCCTATACAGCTTATCTTCGCCTATGATGTCCAAGCCGAGCGCCCGCGTCATACGTAAGGCATCTGCTGAGTAGAGGCGTCTAGCCAATGACAGGCCGATCGTTCCAAAGAATAGGCGGCACAAAGACAGCAAAGAGTGTACGCGGCGAGGAGATTGGTTACATAGCCTAACCACCTGCACTCAATGCAGTTGATGTCTTTTAATCGCCTCGGACGAAATCCACGCAGGGCAGATTCTTGCGAATGCAGCAGAGTCCTGTGCTTTCCTCAAGAAGCTGACAGTTGGAAGATTGTTCTTTAGAAGAAAGCAGAGTCCTGCACCGCACCTTCCTCAGGACGCTGATACTTGGGAGATTGCCTAACATATATCTCTTCATGCTCTTTTCGCCTCCAAGGGTTGCAGAGTGCAAACTGTGGCTTTGCCCAGAACATCAAACCCTGCCGACTAGGGTCGAATGAAAATGACAACCAACATGCGCCAGCCGGGCATATTTGGACAATTGTGTTGGGACACATACACCATAGTAGTGCTCGGATTTCGCACAGCAGCCGACTCCACACCGGAGACGGTCACAAAAGCCCTCGACCGAGCAGCACTTCGACTCCTCGACGCCTACCCATTTCTCACAGGCCAAGTAATCAACGAAGGACGATCAAGCACAAGCTCAGGCACCTACAAGATTGTGCCCTACCCTCCACATTCAGATGGCAAATCACCTGTTCGACCAAGAGATTGTACTCAGCTGTGTCCATCTTATGATGAGATCCTTCGAGCCCACGCCCCTTTCTCAATGCTCGATGGCAGTGTCATTTGCCCCATGAGAGGGTTTGGCTATGTCTATGACCAGACTGTGCAGCAGCCGGTACTCATCATTCAGGCGAATTTTGTTCGTGGTGGACTCTTACTTTGCTTCGCCTCCATGCATAATGCACTTGATATGAACGGGCAGGGTGTGATGATCAGACAGTTTGCGACAGCAATGAGGGGTGAGGATTTTGATCCGCAGCTTGTAGCAGCTGGAAATCAAGACGCCGACAGTATCGTGCCACTGCTCAAGGAAGGGGAAAAGGCACTCACCCATGATGAGATGCGCGTTCCAATCGCCGGTCCTGCTCCCCCACCGCCTCCCCAGGAACAACCGACCCAGGCCGCCTCTTGGATTTATTGGCGTTTTCCTCAGGACAAGGTCGCCGAGCTCAAGAAGCTTGCCACGTCAGGCTCGACGAAGCCAGTCTCCACCAACGACGCCATCACTGCCTTTTACACCCAGCGCCTCACCGCCGTACGCATCGCGGGCGGTCGAGTCTCGCGAGACGAATCAATCCGCTGTCTCCGGGCCGTTGACGCAAGAGCAAAGTTGAATCCGCCTGTACCAAAGGGATATCTGGGTCATCTAGTGGGACTCGCGTATACAGAATGGCCCGTCGCCGGCACGGTCGCCGAGTCCCCGCTCTCCACGGTCGCAAGCGATATCCGCCAGTCTCTCCAAAAGGTCGACGACCATTACATCCGCAGCCTGGCAACCCTAGTCACCCACGCCCAAGACAAAAGGCCCTTTTCCTATGGTGCGCGGAAACAGCTGGCCAAGGACATCTTCATCTCTTCGTGGGCACAGCTGGATCTCGCCCAAACCTGTGACTTTGGACCGGTCCTGGGTGGGAAGCCTGATTTTGTGCGCCGCGCGAAGATGGACCTGCTGCCTGACCTGGCGTACATGATGCCAAAGGATAAGCAGGGAGACATGGCTCTTGGGGCGTGTCTGTTCAAGGCCGACATTGACGGCTTAGAGAGCGATGAGGTGTGGACTCGGTATGCGCGATACGTGGGCTAGGCTGGCCAGGGAGAAGGGTCATTTGAGAAGTGTGGAAGAACATGCAATAAAGAGCCCGAGATTGGATTTTGGTCTCACAGTTCTTCTTTGTCTCACCGGCCTCATAGCGCGCGATATCATCTCATCTCTTGAGAAAAAAAAGAGTCTGGCTCGTCTCGCCAATCTGACCAACCCTACCCTGCCCGCTTAGTCTTGTTGATTACCACCTGAGCACCTAAGGCTACGAGCAGCATACCCGTTGAAGAAACACACTCAATCCACAATAAATAATCACTAGTATTAATTATTCCCCAGTTTCCCGCCTGATCTTCCCTCTCTCCGGGTCTTTTATTTTTAACCTTTCCGTCTCGATCCGGTCCATCCACCAAGCCGATGGATGGTTATGGGAATCCTTTAGGTAGTTGTTTTTCTCAGACCCCTCTCGACCGAAGCCGCGAGCCTAAACTCTGCAAGGCAGGCTGAATTGCCCGAAGAGGGTGATGCGCTTGGACTTTCGTGACACAGCAGATCGTGTAGTGCTTATCGCTAGACCGCTTGCGTGCTCATGATGCCATCCCATGATACTATCCGCCAGGGCCGCGGCGGCGGCTGCGGATTTCGCTTGCTAGCGATATATCTCGTGCGGTGGTGGGAGGCACTCTGGGAGGAGTAGGTACCCGTGGTTAACTATGTACTTAGTAGGAGAAAGGGATGGAGGGACGCCTGGTGCCTGTCACCGTGGGACTACGGAGTATCTTCCCCCAGATACCCTACATACTGTATATACCGAGTACGCCTATCGTTCATTGAAAATGTTGCGCGTGCGTGGACTGCATACGCGGTGTGTGTGTGTGTGTGGTCTGATTCTACACGAGTTAGGTAGAGGAAGAGAGGAAGAGGAGCTATTCCGTACCAAGGAAACTCAAAGGAGAGAAAGAATCGAAGTTCAGCCTCGTCTGGCTATGCGCCCCCCCTTGTCAATCTTCCCAATCTTCCATGACCGGATATCTACTCCCCTGCTGGGGATGATCATGTGGTTCCATTCCTTGCTAGAATAGTCAAAGGGTCTGTCTCCAGGTTTGACTCTACATAACATACTAACATACTCAGGACTAATATGGACTACCTAGGTACCTACAAGTCTCGACATATCGCCGCAATAGGACATAGGTACATACATACAACAACTAACTGCCCCCCCTTTTTGCACATGTACACTCGGTGTAAGCATGATACACTGAAGAAGCTTTTCGGCAAAGTTGACTCGTAGCACCACTGTAGTATATTTACTAGGTACGGATGTGTGTTCGTGCCAGGGTGCACTTGTAGAAACTGGAGAAAAAAGGAGAGAGGGATGGGAGGAAGAAGGTGTGTATGCTGGATTGTTTTGTGATCTTCACATATGCGTATCTGCGTATTTGGGTACATGCGTATATGCGAACGTACATACATACAGTGTCCACCAGCTTGCCGATCACCACCACTATCTACCTCATATATGACACGCCAGAGAATGACCATTCCATCATCAATTAATCTAAAGTATAAAGCCCCCCCAGGGGCTATTTTTGGGTTCGGTCAGTAGAATGAACAAAACAACACCCCTCACTACCTCCCGTCTTTGGCCCAGAAACTGGGCACAACGCCGAAAAGGCTCACCAACGCCAACCACCACCATGCCCAGCCGACAACACCCTTTTCCAGCCCCTGACCGTACCAGTGTCCCGCAACGATGGGTCCAATGGTCCTGAAAGCGCTCGACGTCGCGGCGCCCATGCCGTGGATGGTGCCCAGCATCGCGGGACTGGGGCTCGAGTTGTTGATTAGCAAGACGGAGCCGGGGATCGCAAAAGTCCGCGCAGCGACTTGGAGCACCACGACGACGACGATGCCCATCCAGAGCAGGAATTGGTGGGAGATGAGAAGCGACAGGTACGGCGCTAGAGCGTAGGCGATGGGGAACACAAACAGGGACCAGCGTGTTGAGCGCAGGAGGCCGAATCGCGCATTGACGCTCGGATACAGCGTCAACTGCAGGATGATTCCAACGAAGCCCAGAATCGACATGGCCAGACCGATCGTGGGGAGGCTAAATTGCAACCCGCCCGTGAAAACAAAGGGGAGATGGATAGTAGCCTTCTCCTCGTCGGTGGCTCGGGCGGAGGACAGAAAGATGGTCCACAGAGAAGCGAAACCGCCCATCTGGAAGTCCATGATGGCGACAGTTGCCAGCACCAGCAGGACGTTGGAAGTGATGGCATGGTAGAATGGAGGAGCGGATTTGGGAGCCTCCGACGGCCTGGGAGGCGCCTTCGACGACGCTGCCGAGGGGTTGGTGCTGTCGCCTTCCTTGGGCGGCAGTGGTTCCAGCGGCGTGCTTGTGGGCATGTTCTCGTCGTCCACCGTATCCGGACCAGCTGCGGCGTCTGCTTGGCCAAGCTGGCTGTATCCGAAGCGCTGGAAGACCATGGTGCGGATGCGGTAGGTGATGTTCTCGGCTAGCTCGATACCTCGGTCACGGTTATACTTGCGGGAATTCAGCGTTTCTCGCAGACCCATCCAAACGAGCAGGGCGTCGGCGAACAGGACCAGAGCGCAAAACAGGTTGGGTGCCGCGTAAGGAAACGTCGTCAGCCACGACACCCCATGCGCGCCGCCAAAGGTCGAGTTCTCCCCAAACAGGCCAGGGTAGTTGTGTACGGGATCGGAGAGCATGCCGCCGAACAGCGGGCCAAAGATGTTGGCAATGTTCCATGCCAGAGGCAGCAGCAGGAATGTCCTCGAATGGTATTTTTTCTCGGTACTCTCTGCCAATGAGGTCCGTGCTCCTCCCACGGTTGCGTTGATGGCACCGCCCAGACACCTCCAGACCACGGCGGCCGGGAAACTTCTGGAAAATGCCACGCCTATACAGCTCAGTCCTTGTCCCGTCAGCCCGATCAGAAGGACAGTCTTTCTCCCAAACGACGGCGAATCGGCCACCCGCCCCCACAGGATGCCTGTAAACACCTGCGCGGCTGTAAAGACACCCTGCAACACGCCGGCCTCGAAGGATATCTGGCTGTCGGGCGCCGAGGGCGAAAAGGACTTGAGTTGATAAAACATGTATGCCTGCAGGGCAGCCTGTTGGAAAAAATCAACCACCCGCACAGAGCATATGATGAAGAGTTGGAATTTGTTCGGGATCGAGGCCCACGATGGGGGCGGCGGAGGCTTGCCCGGTCGGGTCTCGACGTCGTGCCGCATGATGGAAGATGGTGTATACGTAGATGCGTCACCGGGGTATGTTCTGATAGATTTTCATGTATGCTAGCATGATATGCTCGATCGAGAGGAGGTCTCCAACGCGGAGCGGTGCTCTCGAATCTCGTAGGATATCTTGTTAGAGGGTGGTGACCAGAGCGCAGGCGCAGTTGTTGGGCGGTACGAGTCAGCAACGGTGCTTTTGGGCGCGATACAAGCGACAGTCAAGTGCTCGTATGAAGTGTCTGCGATATGTGCAGACTCCAGCAGACGCTTACTCGAATGAGATGCTGGATATGGTAATATAGGTAGCCGTACCCCTACAACAAGATGGATCTGATAAAGGATATCCGAAGTCGGGCGAGCCAGATATGAGAGAAGACCTGTTTGGGTGATGCGAGGGAGAGGCTTGCAAGACGTCAACCCACAGTAGTTCGAGGTTTTCGGGTGCCTTGGTGCTACGGCACACTGCCCAGTAGGGTAGGTTAACCCCCGGGGCGCCCAGGCGCCGTTTTGAGTTGTTAGAGGACTAGAGGACTAGTTGCTCCCCTAGAGGGAGATACGAGGACAGCTACTAGGCCTGCAGAGGCCTGCAGAAGCCTGCAGAAGTCCCGTAGTACAGGCATGCACTCAGCCGAGCCAAGGGCTGCTAGGCTAAGGTAGAGTTCGTCAGTCGGGGCCCGGGAGTCGGGGGATGCGCCACCCCCCAAGCCCCCAAAGTTACGGGAAGTCTTAGTTGCTTGGCACTTATGAGTACTCGGTACTTGTGACCTATGAGGATCTCCTAGGTACTTGTGGTAGCTGCTGGCATGCCTATCGTTGGGCATTTTCCTTAGGCGAAGTGACTCTAACTGGCGCCAATCCTGGAAGGTACCTAGGTAGGTAAAGTAGGTAGTTTCGCCCGTAAAATGCGAAGGGCTCTTTGTGTACTCGGTACGAGCACTCTGTATGTAACCCGCGAGGGATTCAGACTATCGTCCAGAGGAATCAAAGGCGATACGAGCCGCTGATTGTGCGGACGAAGCGACCGGGAGAAGCAATCCTCATATACCTATCTTGATTGTAACAATTTGATCCTTTCTGCTGTCCACTCATTTCTACTAAAGAACGAGAGAAAGAGCTAGAGTAGGAGGACGACTTAGGGCGGCCTCAGCAATAGTCCTTGGGCATATCAAATCCGACTTCCACACACTCTAGTGTTTCGCAATCATATTCCAAGATTACCACAACCTGTCATTCTACTGGTACCAAGATTTGACCTACAAGCCAGGATCAAGGGCTTCCTTCGCCTCTGGATGTCTTCGCCGGTCTCCCTCCCCCCTTTTTTCATCATTTCCTTTTTCCCCTCCCCTATATATTTAGCTTGATGGAAGCGAGCCTCGTTTGACGAGAAGGCTGAAGACAAGCATTTGACTATAACCAGTCCTTTTCCTTTAGAGCTTACACGTGGAAATTTTCTTCATCTTCCCTCTCCCCTCTTCCCCCGACAGCCAGCTGCGAGTATGGGAAATCACTACGAGAGTAGTATCCTGTCTCGAGCAGATCAAATGCTGAATCTGGCAGCGGGTGATTGCCGGTACCCGGGCACCCACGTCTCTCCACGGTGCAGGACGTATGTGCTACTCGGTACTCCCGTCCTGCCCAACATGCCGTTTGATGGTGGGACAGAACGGATGCGAGCAACCCGTGCAATCTTCAATCGTATGTGCGTGTTGTGACACCCCAAGCTCCCACCGGCCTGCTGCCCGTCGTCAAACAAGGACCTGTTCTGTCCCTCGTGGGCCTGCAGGTACTCGTTGCATATCTGTGTATCTGTCCTTCCCTGTCCGGCTGTATCCTCTGCGACAGACCGGCCATCTCGGTTGTGGCACCCTAATCTTGATACCTCGATAGGTTGTTTGGGTTTTGGCTGCTTGCTTTGCCTGCCGCCACCCTCGTACGTGGATCAGGGTTCAGGCTGGTGCGGCCATGTGGCCACTTCTGCAAAGTTTGTTAGGTAGAAAAGCCCTATCATCAGCCACTTCATCAAGATGGTTGCTAAAACATGCATGGGTGGGATTTTCTTCGACCAGGGGTCCAGCACGGCTAATCGGCATGATGTCGACTCCCACACCAAATCTAATGTAAGATATCCGGTGAAATGGGCTTGTAAAGACATGGCCGGGTGCGACAGCTTTTGCCTCTCTGTCGTTCTTTTTCCGGGATCGTGGAAAAAGCTGCCCACTGGGCTTCGCCTAAAAGAGTCTTGTGTCTCGATAGAATAATGGTTTACTTGGCCCTCTCTGGAGGCAATCAAAATCTCCCCCCCCCCCCATCGCCTTCCAATCAAGCTGGTTGTTCGAGGCTGCATCTGCTCGCAACAGACAGTTTGGATTTCTGCTCTGGAGCCTCAACTTGGTTCTTCTCTCCTCTCCTCTCCTCTCCGGATCGCCGGGAGAGATGGTGGCTGCTGAGGTTGCAGTAGTGTCAAAGTCTGTAAGCGGCTTTCCCTCCCGGGAGGGTTTCGATTGGAAAGAAGAGGGCACGAAGGACACGCGACACAGGCGTTTACAAGATGGTTACCGAGGAGAGCTGACTCCCGAGGTCTTTTGGACATTTGACTCGTATTAGCTATCGTCGTGACATCATTCATTTTTATCTCTTCCTCATACTCGAAAATTATAGAACAAACAAATGCAACATGATCCACGGCACCAGTACACCCTTTCGCAAAATGCTCATGAAAGAGGGGTCGATCTTTACCGTCAAGACGGGTCCGTGATCATCGGCGCCCTGTCCCCGTCCTGCTCTTCCAGCGACAGAGCCTTGTAGCCCGCGCCGGAGCCCACTTCTCTGGCTCCTTTTCGCTTGACCGCTCTATAGACATTATTCGCCAGGACGTGGACGGGGCGGGAGACGAAGTTCCTCGTCGCCAGCACGATGATGAGGACGATGAAGAGGGCCAGACCTGCGAATGTACCCCCGTAAATTTCGGCGTTCCTGACCTTCTCGGCCCGCTGTCGTTCGGCATCCAGCTTCTCCTGTTCGTCCTGATCTTGCTTGAGTTTGTCCTCATTTTCCTTGCCCTGCTTGTCCTCTTGCTCCTTCTTCCGTTGTTCGGGCGAGGGCATGAACCGGCAGGCAATTTCGTCACAGTACTCTCGTAGTTGTTCGTTGGGGATGAAGGTCGACTCGACGGCAGAGGCTCCCAGCACCTGGTCGTTCTTGTCCAGGGCTTCCGCGTACGAGTATGTGTACGTCTCACCGTGCCTGTAAATGGTTTCGAATCCGTTCTTGGCCACCTGGCTGATTTCCTCCCACGGCCCTTCCCTGGATTCGCCGCCGTAGAATCGCCATGACCGGACTTCCGTGGCGCCATTCCACGAGGCGTATATCATCATTTCTCGACCGTCCTTGGAGTACGTCCACAGCGCAGGCTTGGTCAGCGGCATTCCCACCCAGTTGTCGAATTTGTGCACCCGGTAGTTCATCGTGTTGGTCCACGCGAGCGCCCCATAGAAGATGATCTCGTATGATTCGGGCGCGTACTCGGTCCAAAAGGCGTCGTTGCCCCATCCCATGAGGATGCCACCGTTGGGGAGTATTTGCATGTTGCCCTGGGACTTGGAGATGTGTGCGTGGCCGTCGACGAACGGTGGGTCAAGGTTCAGGATACACGTCGCCACTTTCGTCCGGTGGTCCAGGATAATGATCTGACCCGTCGAATGCGGCTGGGTCTGGTTGAAGCCATTGGTGCCGTTATCGAACAGGGAGAGCACCGTGTGCGTTTCGTTGTCGGAGATGAATCTGGCGTCATGCTGAGACGAGAACTGGAAACCGTCGAGTGCGTAATCCGATTTGGCTCCATTCAGGCGCCAGATGACGTGGCCATCGACCCCCGAAAGTTTATACACTGCTGAGGTATGGCGCGCCGAGATCAGATAGTCGCCATCCTTGTTTTTGTCTATGGAGTTGATGTGGAAATAATCCCAAGGACTGTCTGGGTGCTCGGCAGTTCCGCTGATCTCGGTGGTGCTCGGTGGAACCCAGCTCTCGCTCGGGTGGACATGATCCAGACTATGCCATTCGAACAGGACTTCTCCCGTGTCGACGTCGACCTCCTGGAACGCCCCTTGCTGGATGTAACCAAGGCCATCGCATAGATTCCAGGGGCACATGTCGTAGACGCTCCGGAGGTATTGGGTCATGAGTGCTGACTTCCCATCGTTGATGAGCCGGAATTCGTGCATGTCGGAAGAGGCCTGGTAGCTGCCCGGCTCAATGGACTTGACGATGCGATAATGTTTGTCCATGATGAGGCCATGACCGTGGCCCCAGCCAAGCATTTGCACACCCTGATAGAAGCATAGATGGATCTCGCCTTTGTACATGCATGTCTGAGGCGCGTGGGAGACACCCGGACCAGCGCTGCCAAAGCCGGAATATATCAAGTTCTCATGGGAGATTAGCAGGCCAGAAATGTTTCCAGGAGAAAGCGCCAGACTTACCGCATCGTTGTCATATATATGGACGCCTTCCTGGGCGGCTTGATATGGGGCGACGAAGTAGTAGCCCGGTGCCAGTTTCTCTTCCACTCTGTCAAAGACACTGAGGATCGGAGCAAATAAATCAGGCCTCTGTCATGCGATTTTGTTGTTAACCCAGTGCATCCGGCCAAATAAGCAAAACTTGCAGAAGGATTTGCTGCTTACCGATCGAAAGATAGCGATGGGTTGTGAAATGTTGTCGGCGGCTATTCTCCAGGCAAACAGGCATATGAGCCAGCACTGCAAAGACCGCGAGAGCCTCATGGCATTCACCTTTGCCGGTCTCGGTTCCGCAAAGAACCAAGAAACCCAGCAAAGAATGTTCTTGTGTGAGGTCAAGAGAGATCAAGTCCAAAAGCAGAATGTCCGGAAGAATCAAAGAGGCTGACCCCCCTCAAACAGAGCCTGGGACAGCCGCCCTCGCCGCTTATCCAGATCTGCACGGGCTCGACAACCGGGAAGGGACTCTGCCAAGAGGCACGCGCTTCTCTTCTGGTCCTGCGAATATCCGACGGGGCGGAGAAGGATCCGAGTTTCAGCTTTTCAGGCTTCCCTGCCGTATTGCTGAGGCGGTTGGAGAGGCCCAAACAGGTTCGAATACAGCAATTTCGCGCTGAGGGAGGCCCCCTTCGTTCGGGGTTTGCTCCAGTATAAAGTAGGGCAGGCCTGATGGAAAAAGTGACACGAGGACAAAGTGATATTATGGGACAGTCGTTAGCCACCGGCCCTAGTGGATACGGGCCTTAGGTAGGTATGTTTGGCACCCCGGCCCCAAGCGATGGCCGACGACGAGCCCTCGAACTTTGATACACTTTGTCACCTGCGTTGAAATGACAAGGTGGACAGGCAAGGCAGGGCCGCATCATTTAGCCACTGAGTGCCGAGACACTAGTCAAGCCTTGGACGGGGCGTGATAGTGTTGAAGGACGAAGGGCGAGTACCTACTCGTTAGTCCGTTGGCCACAAGCGGAACCCCCGCCCCAGCTAGCTACTACCTAGGTACCTACCTAGGTACCTACTTATGTCAATGACGGGAAGGCAGGTCGTTGATCTTTTGGGATTTATCTAGCCGCACGGTTACACTGCATCAGGTGGGTTAGGCTCAATCCTAGAGCTCGAACCCCGGCTAGCTCCCCATCTTATCAAACATCGTATCATCATCTCCAAGATATCTTTTTTTCTCTGGCTAGCGATCAAAGGCATTTGTCAAATTGCAGGTAGCATCTTGGTAGATTGATTTCTCAAGACGTACGAGGTAGTCGTAGACCTATCTGGGATAGCTCTTTCCCGCTGCAGTGCCTACTACCAAGCACTCCTGTTGAATACTCCCTCGCTCCCAATCAAAAGACGGAGAATGTCCGATAGCTACCTATGATAAAGCATGATACTGCTTGATACTACCTAGGTACCTAGAAGCTGCCATCGGCAGACGCCGACAATCTCTATCAGCACATACTACCTCACAAATGTATCCAAACTCCCCTGCCACTTTTTCGTTCCCAACTGACTGCCGAGCCTATTAATGTCTAGTAGTGAACAACAGCGCCCAGCGCCCATAGCAACAGTAGAACCAGTAATTACACGAAACCCGCCAAACACCCGGGCTATGTACAAAGGTTGCCCTGCGTGTGGGTTGAACGTAGAACGTTCGTCGTGGTCGGGTCAAGAAGCTGCTGTCCAGAGTGGAGTGTTCTGCGCAAACTTGGGCAGGTAGTGGGTGTAGGCAAATGTCGCCGACAGAGCAGTGGCGACCACAGGTACTCCCACCACCAGGGCCCGGAAGATAACGTTCATCATCTGCTTGCGGTTCTGTGTTCGGCATCGTTGCACAAAGTTCTCCGCGTCATTGGATCTCGGGAATGGCTTATCGGGAATGGGCTCGCCGAGATACTCGCACAAAGGTCGCCAGCCAGAACTGACGCGGTACTCGAGCAGTTTCCCCGGTGGCACCATTTCTCGGATCTCCTTATAATAGTCGTGGAACCTCTGCTTCCCCTGGTTTTCGAAGTCGTCGTAAAAGAAATACTTCCAGAATTTGCGCAGCATAGGGTGGTACAAGCCGGCGGCCCAGTCGAAATTGGCAACAGCCTTAAGTTCCGGGTCGTTTGCACGCCAATTGACCGTTTTCATGACCGAGTTATGCCACGAGTCCACGTCCCTTGTTGTAATGATGACTTTGGCGTCCGGGTACGCCTCGATCAATTCTTTGGCAAAGGCAACCGCAGGCCAATCGCAGACGGCCTGGCAGTGGCCGAAGAGCGCGTCCCACTCTTCACGGCCGAACTTTCCCTTGCCCTCATATTTTGCAGCAAACGCGTCCATCCAGCAGAGGCAATCAGGTGGATTCTCAACACTGGCGGACATCATGTGGTAGGTGTCTGTGTAACCCAGCTCTTTCAAAGCAGCTCTTAACGAGGCTGTCCCCGTCCTCCCCAGGCCCAGTGCCAGCACTCTCATGGGCACGATTCTCTTGCATTGCCGCCGATCGATGTCGGTCTGGTATGGGGTAAATATGTCGGTGGCAGGCTTGGGAGTATATGGAATTCCTGACGCCATTGTGCAAGGCTGTTCAACGACAGATGAGGTTGGTTCCCAGGGATTGTAAGAAATCAAGTCAATGCGCAGATGGACAAGCACGAGCTAGCGCGACAGGCTGGGTATTTGGCCGGCGCCAAAGTATAATGACAGCAGAAGAGGTTATGGAGGAGAGGCGCCGCGGTCTGACAGTCGCTGCACACCGAAAAGAAGGAGGTCTTGATAGTAGTAACGGTGTTGGAAAAGAATGGAGGGTTGAGGAAAGATATGCTTGCGCTGAAGAGCAAATCTTGGGCGGCTCTTATTTCAGAGGGGCCGAAGTCCACAGCCCTGGTAGTGCCTATCAGTATCGCAACGGAGATGCAACACGGGCCTTGGGATCTTAGCCTATTGGGGCAAAGGTTGCGGGAAGAGAGACCAAAGAGAAAAAGTTGAAGAGCGACGGGGAAACCACGCAACGGCGCCTCCTTTTTCGCCGGCCAATACTGAAGATAGGAGGATTTGAAGCGGGAAGGGGGAAGCAATTTGCCTGCCGGTCATTTCAGTGTTTGGCGAACGAAGTATCAATCGAATCGCTCAAACGAGTATCCCATTCAACCCGGTTTCTGGACAATCTTTGGGGCGATCAAAAGTCGTCCAGGTGCCAGGATGGATTCCGCGTGGTGGGCCGCCAAAAGCCAGGTGGATGAAGGGTGGATGAAGGGTGGATGATGCAGGCATTGCAGCACCGCCAATCAATCGCCGCTCTTCAAATGACCGGCGGACTCTGCCAAGAACGCCACTTACGACGCCTCCTCGCCAAACGATATTGGGGCGGACAGCATGTCGGGCTGGGCAGCCAGTCACACCGCGCCCTGGCAAAAAGGAGGTGGAGTTGGCTGGTACCCGAGTCAGACGGAGTGCGTTTGCCAAGACCAGCCGGACCCAGAAACGCGTAGGAGCAGCAAGCAGTCGTAACGTGGGAGGGGGGAAGGGGGGAAGATGGAGAGCAGAGTTTGCCACGACGATGCTTGCGTACTGCAGCGGAACACAGAGATACAGAGATACAGAGACACAGATCAAGGACTGAGGACTGCAGGACGAGCGAAAGGCAGGCTTGCAATGAGGTATCGGGAGTCGTCACACGTGTTCAAGTTCCCGTGAGGACAAGGAACATGTCGCACACGGGATTGAGGGTGGGTGGTGTGGCTCTTTTTGTCTCGCATGGCCAAGCAAATCCTGCTATGTACCGCGACAGTCTCAGTAAGTGAGGACTGCGACCTGTATGATGACGATGTGGGGGTGAGTTGGCGCCGGGTACCCAGTACACGGGGCCAGGAGGCGTGAGTGGGAGATCAACTTTTTGACGCCGACAACGGAAGGTGTCCGGATGCTTATGACTGACTGAGATTAATAGAGAGCTTATGGCAACCATATGGGGGCGGCTGAATTAGGTGGTAATACGGTAGATATTGCATACTCGGATACCTTCCTGGCGGAGAAGGCCTGGCACAATCGAGGATGACTACAAGCACACCATATCATCCCTTCGGGTGCCCTCCATACTTGTCACAGTGATCAAGTTCAAGGACGGTAAGCAGTCAGACGAAACTGCAGACAGAGGTATACTGGACATCGACCCGTGCGAGTGCAATTAATTAGCAGTATGGATTCTTCTCTTGTGACGGCAGGTAATGCTCAATGCATCAACCCTTGTTCCTCTTGCAGCTCCTCTCTTCCTCCCCCTTTGGGACTGGATCACCGACAAACCCTAGAGGTACGGAGTAGATATCATGATGGAAGTCATTGAGCCTCTCGAAACTGTCAACGTCACGAATTTGCTCCGGAATCCGGAGTGCTTTTGAAACAAGGTCCGACATTTACCGAAGGCCAACCCCTTCTCACAACTCGCGAGAGCGCCACCTTGGCAATCCAAGTTGACTACCGAAAAGTACACACTTGTGGGAGGCCACTCTTCAAGCTGAAGCCGCATGCAGCTCCTACGAGGAGGTCTAGAACGCTTCACATATTTTGCTCTTCCCGCAGGCCACGCACAACCGACCCCTTACGCGTCAACCCAGTTACTGATCCCCCGCAGACACATCATCCTCGACGGGGATCATGGAATCGTGACATTATCAGAGTGACCGTGTCACAGCCATATCCTATGCGTGTACACCACAGGTTGCGGAGTCCTGTGCCCTAGAATATGGGACTGAGGACGTGTTCCAGGCGGGCTGTGCCACGCAGACTCACCGAGACAGTACATTGGAAACGGGCGAGTTTATCCTGGAGTCAAACGCAGGTAGAGAGCGTGTTCATCGCAGGTTGTCAGATGTTTGAATTGCAGGTTTCATTCGACTCTCATTTCATGGCACGCCCACTTGCAGTTTCATTTTATGGCACGCCCACTTTTCCGTTCCTTTTCCACCAAGGCTTTTTTTATCGTCTGTCTGTTCGCCCCAACGCCATGCTCGATCAAGAACTTTTTCGTGGTCTAGCGGATTGCAATGAATCCAGTGCTAATCCTCCCTCGTGCAATAACCCCTGGAAACGCCCATGCTGTGCATTCCATCTATGTACGTGTGATGCATGTGCAAGACCTCAAAGCGCAGGATACTCGAATCTTTGGGGCCCAAGTTCCGTCTCTGGCTCGAACTGTCCAAAGAAGTCCAGGTCACTCTCGTCACAGGCACCCTGCGCACCCACACCCACCTTCTCGGCATGAACAAAGTCTTCGAAAGGAGACTCATCTTGAACGCTTGCCCGCGCGAAATCTCGTGAAAGGAGGGTTGGATATTCCCCGGATGGGTAGTGGTAGGGTGTGCCATTGTGCCAGATGTGGTCGTCACAGATGACCATGGAGCCGGAGAGGAGAGTGTTCTTCTTAGAGGTGTCTTGATCTTCGTCAATCATCCTCCGCTGATCATTCACGAAATCATGTTGATTTTGCTTTGTTTGCGCCGGACCAGCAGCCACACCAGTAAGACCAACCATGGCAGATGTCCGCTTGACGCCCTTGTCGGAGCGGGGCCTGCGCTGCTTCTTAAGCTGCACACCTCCAGCATCGCTATCATCAGCCTGTTCGTCCTCACTGCCACGGTCGGCCTTGCGCTTCTTCTCACGAAGCATTCGCTTTGATTCCAGTCCTAGATGCGCGGTACGGACGTGCTCTTCGAGACTGGCTTTGCTGGTGAAGCTGCGGTTGCAGCCATGAATAACCGCGTCTTGTTGGTCTGCGACTTCTTCGGGGAGTGAAATTTCCGTCTTGCCGCACACAAAGTCACGCTTGTTCTCATGAACGGTTTTGATATGGACATTGAGATTTCCTTTTTTGGTGAACTCCTTACCGCATCCTTCGACAGTGCATGTAAAGACGACTGGGTTTTTTGATTTCTTCTCTGGCAGAATCCCATGTTGGATCTCAAGGTGCCGCGTCAACTCCTTGTTGGTGGTGAATGAGGTCGGGCAATATTGGCAGGTTGGAGGGTGGACAAGGGTAAGATGGGCCTGGAGTTCTCCATAGGTTGCAAAAGATGCCCGAATTGGTTCCCTGTCATCATCGGGGTTGGCAAGAATGGCTGCATTTTGTGCCATACAATCAGAGCAAGAAAACCGAGTTGAATCATGCTTGGCTCGCATATGACAACGCAAGTTCTCCGCTGTGTCGTAGGCCTTCTTGCAAGGAGCACCAGTGACTGAATCCAATTCCTTGCAAGGGAAAGGTTTGATGTTGTGATGGACAGACAATATGTGTCGATCCAGGGTCTCTTGTTTGCGAAAAGTCTGGTCGCACCCAGGATACCCACGGCATCTGAACCTCTCTTTTGCTTCATGAGTCTCAATATGACGCCGCAATCTCGTCCCCGTTGTGAAACTCGACTCGCATCCTTCCCACGTGCACTTGTAATCTCTAACGTTGCTGTGTTGACTTTTCACATGGTGTTTCAGGTGGCTGTCGCGGAAGAAAGCTTTCATGCAGGGAGGATGCGGGCATTGGAAGGGGCGCTCGTTTGTATGGGAACGGATATGCTCTTCGAGCCTCACTTTGCGATTGAAAGCTTTGACGCAGTTCTCGTAGGGGCATTTTAGCGTTTTCTGGCGACAGCGAGGAAGCGTTGATGATGGGGGAGTTGAGGCTGGAGTGTCGCCAAACTGCTCTTCAAAGTCGTCGTCGTCAACGTCGGAATCGAGCATGTCATAGTCCTTGTCAAGACTGTCATCGTCGGACTCGACCCGCATCTTAGCGACGGTTTTGCGCACCCGCGCCCTGGTTGCCTTCCGTCAAAATCTTGGAAATACGTGGTCGCGACGAAAATTACGAGGGGCTTGAGACCGGTAACGAATGGGAGAGTGTGGGGTTGCCAGCCGTCGAAATCTTTTCTGCGAGGCTGAAGGTGGTTGTGGGTCGCGCCAAGTCATATCACGTGCCGTGGTGCCTCAGGACAAGGCTGCGACACCCAAAACTTTTTTGTTTTTCGCGGAAAGAGTGAAATGCAGAACAACAATCTGGCTTTAACAATTACCCTTCTCTAGAGTCAGTGATCTCTGAGTGGATCTGTGTCATTGTGTCCCTACATCGTGACTTCTGACAATGTCGGACTATGGTGATGAAGGCGGGTAGGTGACTTCTTCACGCGCCACTTTCACTCTTCCTGTCCCCTTTGCTCGTTGGCTCTAACACAATCGTTTTCAAATCAGCTACGGCCGAGACGAGCCTGACGACACCTTCTACGAGCCCGAAGAGAATGTCGAAGATGAATTGCCTCCAGATGTCGAAGTCGACGAGGAAGCCATCGAGGCGCGGGCTAGAGAGGAAGAGGGCGAGGAGAGGACCGTTGTTACAGCCGACCCGAATCAAAACGTCCAGAAACCCTCGAGCGACGCCGACAAGAAGATTCCCGATGACAAAAGAACCACTACTCCTTACATGACGAAATATGAACGTGCAAGAGTGCTTGGTACTAGGGCGCTGCAGATCAGGTAAAAAGCTGGCGCACCCTAAGATATCATTCTTGCGATGGCGCGACTAACTCTCCGACAGCATGAATGCTCCTGTCCTGGTTGATCTGGAGGGCGAGACAGATCCACTACAAATCGCAATCAAGGAATTGAATCAGAAGAAGATCCCTCTTATTGTCCGCCGTTATCTGCCTGACGGATGGTGAGTCGATCGAAACAATACCGTTAGGAACGCGAGGCTGATTTCATGGAAGGTATGAAGATTGGACGTGCGAAGAATTGCTGTGAGGTCCGACCCTCTGTTCTGTCGACTGGTTGCAGCACCAGGATCGGGACGCTGTCATCTTCCATGAACGAACAAATATGCAGGACATACAGTGATGATGGTCACAATCCTGTTTTCGACGACTCCAAGATTTGCATCAACGAGGAAGTGCACTGAACTCGCATGATATTTGCATCAGATGGCAGGAGGATCTCTAGCCATTGACCAGATCATAGTCCTCCAGGCCTGTCACTTCCCTCCGGCACAACGAACCACACAAAGTGCTCCGATTCAGTACTTTTTGCAGATGTTCTCATTCCACACCGGCCTAAGTTGCTGGTCGAAAGACAATCCTTCGAATCAGTACTTTGTTACAGTATCACCACAGCGTTCCAGCATGCCCTGGGCCGGCGAGTCATGCGAATGATAACCTGGCAGGTCGCCTGAAGCTTTCCCGATTTCCACAATGCAAAATGGAAAGCAAAGGCCCAAGATTATCTGAGATGGGTGTGCTGACATTTTGGTGGGCTCGGGAGCGGCTGCATGATCCAGAATTCCTCTTCGTATTCTGGTTGGCGGCTTATGTACACTCCAATGGCTTACGACAAATTCTTATGACTCCACAAAAGGTCGTCGATCTCGCCGAGATGGTTTATGCCTCGCCGCGATGCCGTCTGAGACTTCTAGTACAACAAACCTTCACCTCCCATTACATTTCCATCGTCTTGCTTGTATCGGAAAGCCTTTGCAACCTGCGTTCTTCACGGTGCTGCAAGGTTCTTCAGACATTAAGCTTCCAATCTGTTCCCTGATTCTCGCCAGTTCGCAGCGCCTCCATCTCTCAAAAGGATGTCATTCTCGCCTCTCGACCCAGGCAAGCACACCACAACTCTCAATAACCTGACAATCCACTACACCGTCATCGCCGACTCGCCTGATCTTCCCCCTTTGATCATCCACCCTGCTCCGTGGGGTATCGGGGCGGAGCTATACATCAAGGCTTTCTCCCGTCTCTCCTCAAAATACACAGTAATTGTGCCATCACCACGCGGTAACGATGATTCGCAACGTCCCTCTTCGGCGCAAGAAATGTCCTCCCGCCATATCGTTGACGACCTGGAGGCTCTACGGACACACCTTGGTCTCGAGAAGATCCGTGCGATGGGACACTCATCCGGCGGCACCATTGCATTAGGCTATGCAATTACGTATCCGTCGCGAGTGGAAAAGCTAGTCCTCCTCAACTCCGACCTCTTAGGCTATGCCCGCCAGGACCGGTCATTCTTCGAAGAAGCCTTCAAACTGTTCTTCGAGAATCTGCCCACGAACGATGCCGAGTTCAAACAATTTCTCCTGAAGATCCTTCCAATGTACTTCGCGCTCCCGGAACTAGGTGGGCCCGCGGAGTTTGAAAGGCTCTGGACCGGGGAACCGAGCCTGTGGGCCTACGGCTCGTATTATAGCGCAAACTCAGCTTCCAAACCCGGAGAAGGCGCCCCGGGAGATGGCAACGCCAGATGGAACCAAGCGGCGGAACTGGACAAAGTCACGGCCCCAACGCTGGTGCTCACGGGGAGGCAGGATCGCTGCACGGCGCCCGAGGTCAGTGCCGCGATTGCCAGCGGGATCAAGAGAAGCAGATTGGCGATCTTGGAGTCTTGTGGACATATCTCGTGGATGGAGCAGCCTGAAGAGTTTTGGACTGTAGTCAATGGTTTCTTGGAGGAATAAAATGGGGGATGAAATGGCCTGGTCGAGAGCAGGATTGGAATGTAAGTGAATGGCAGATCCAATTGAGCTGGAAGCCTCAACTTAGCATTACAGCATTGGTAGAGCGGATAACCCCGGCGGGGAGGGGAAGAGAGGAATGGAATCCAGTGCGTCAAAAAGGCTTGATTACTTCCCTGCACATGCACATAAGAGATATCCTAACAAGTCCATTTAAACCTCAGTAATCGCTAAGGGAAAAGTCCATATAACGCCAATGCCATTCCCACAAATCAAGAACCTGAGCCGATCTTCCCCCCGACACCGAGACCGAGTAACTCCGTTCCTCCTGTGAATACCCTCCCTGTATGCCCTCCCTGAATGCCCTCCCTGAATGCCCTCCCTGAATGCCCTCCTGAATGCCCTCCCAATCAACCATACTCGGCGCCCGTACCGGAATACGTGCTCGATGCTTCCTTTCACCCACGGAGCGTCGACAGAGAATAGTGTTCCTTTGGCTGTAGGTGGTTCGAGGTCGGAGGTTAGGGAGGTGAGAAGAAGCAGCAGCGAGCCACGCGCCGCGTTTCGAGGATTCCCAGGATGCAGATGCTCAGAAGAACTGGTTCTTTTGGGGCGCCACCCCACCACGCCGGGGTCCTCATTCGAATCTCACCCTCGGCGAGCGTCGGACAACCCACGCATTCATGTCCTCGTCCCACACGGCGTTCTCGGGTTCGGGGATGTGGTAGGGCCGCGGCTCGCGGGAGGGCAGATCGACCGGCGGGTCAAAGACTTCTTCTTCGTAGCAGTCAACGGGTTGTGGTGGACACTGTTGAAGGGGGTGGCGGTCGTCGTCGTAGGCGTGGAGGGGCCTGGCGCGACGAAGGAGTCGGCCGCGCTCGACGGGGATTTTCTGCACGATGCGATACGGAAAGCGTTCCTCGTGGGCTGTTGTGTGGAAGGTTGGAGAGGGCGGTGGGGCGGTGGCGTTGAGAGGGCGGCGGACCTCGATTCTGGGGCGTGATCCTGAATCTCCTCGCTCGTGCAACACCTCGACGAACAGCCTGTCTCCGTCTGGACGGACACGGTGGTGGCGACCGATGAGATCCAAGTCCTCTTCACGCACAATGATGACTTCTCTTTCTGGATCTCTCCCCCCTCCATTCCTCGGTGGTGTCGGTGGCGGCGGCGGTGGTGGTTGTCCCCTCTTCTTCTTCGACGACGGCCGATGGAGGCGCCACACGTCCTTCCTATTTCTCACCACGCAGAGCAAGCCGTTTCGGCGCTCCACGTAAGTCCAACCCCTCTCGTACGGCGGAGCGGTGACGTTCCTCTCGATCCGGATCGGGAAGGGGTTCACGCTCTGGGCCATCCTGGTTGCGAGACGAACAGGGGCGTCCAGGACTTTGACAAAAGGGAAGACGTCGCGCGCGGATAATTTGAGCACCTTGACCGTTTGTTGTCCCTCTGGATCCCCTGGGTGCTGCCTTTTGGTGCGTTTGCTGCTGGCACCGGTGGAACAGCTCGGGCAATGGCAATCATTATGGTGGGAAGCCATGGCTCGTCAAATGGAGTATTCACTTTTAAATGGCTGGAGATTTCTGATTGTAGAGGGAGAGAGGGAGGGGCAAACCAACGACACAGTACTCAAAACACAAACACTTTGCGGTTCTGCAACATGTCCAAGCTTGAACCAGCGAGTATAAAGGGAATTTTGAGACAAGGCAAACAACAATTCCCCATGATCGTTGCATTACTTGTTCTCACCTACCTGTTGAAAGAGTCATCCTTCAGGGAGTGCATGGGTATTCTGGATGGGCATTGTGATGTATATGCAACATGCGACATGCCCTTTGTCAAGGTCTCAAGACACCATGGCTGAGCGTTTGAATGTCTCACCGGACTGGGTAAGGGGTCAGGTGGCCGGTGTAACGGGCAAGTCAGGCAAGGCTGGGCGTGCCGCGGGGCTTTCTTTGAGGCGGGCCTGCCTGCGATGCAGTTTGTCGAAAAGGTGAAGCTGGTGCATTGGGCAGTGACTGGCGATATATATTGCGGATTGTCTAAAATGGCCTGGACCTTGACAACGAGGTTGTTTGGGATGAATAGAGGTTTGACAATCTTAACTGCAGGCAAGTAAGTCGATACGATACAACGCTAGTTCAAATAAGGAAAGGCGGCAGTATTATGTAATGCGGATGTCATGATACCGCCAATCATGCGCCAATTGGTCCATGCGCCCATGTCAGCTGCAGGAACCAGCCTTGTGAGTCGCGCAAGGCGGCACACCCTTCCCAAGTACCTAGGTAGAGTTGAGGGTGTAAGGGACTCTCAGTGAGTCCAGTCGTCTGATGAGAGCCTCCTCGGTGCAAACTCTATCATAATCTGGCCTTCTGCGTTCTATGAGCCACCGTTTGCCGTCTGTTCGGATTGTGATTGACCAACCTGAGCGACTTCTGCCTGCTTGTTGCCATGTGCCAGGATCCATTCTCCCACATCTTTCGCAAACTGCTCGCCTAGTCCGTCGGGCTCAGCATGGAGCTTGTGATATGCGTCGGGATATGCCTTGAAGGTTTTGTCCTTGTTGGGGGCTTCCAAGACGTTGAAGAGTTGCTTCGCAGCGAGATGCGACAAGATCTTGTCGCCGGTGCCGAAGGAGAACCATATAGGACAAGGGACCTTGCTCGTATAGCCGTGTACAGTGCGGCCATGAGAGAGATGGGAAAGTTCTGCTTCCCTCTGCAAGAGTCCCTTGAGTCCTTCCAACGTCCCAGTGTCGTGGCACAGCGGATCATTGACCCAGTCTTGGCAGACCTTCTCCGAACGGGACAGGTACGCTGCGTTCAGTTTGTTCTTGAGCTGCGTGCGCGGGAGTAGTATGGCGGCCAGCTTGCCCGCTTGGACCTTCAAGTAAGATGGTTGGTTCGACGGATGCATTTCGACATAAGGTGCCTCGAGGAGCAGGCCTGAGAACGAGGGTCGATTGGAAAAGTCGGAGGAAGTGGAAAGCATGTAGCACAGAGCCTCGCCTCCACCCATGCTGTGGCCCATCAGGAAGAGTGGTTTGCCTTGGGTCTCCGGCAGGGATGCTACATGGAGAACAAAGTCATGTAGATCGGAGAGTACTGTAGCGGTGGGGCCGGTGTTGCCATTGTCTGCAGGTTTATGGCACGATCGGCCCCAGCCCCGTTGATCAAACCCGTAGACTGCTATGTTGAACGGCGACGAGCTCAGAGCGGGGAAGAGATCGTAGTAGGCTAGAAGATGTAAGTCTCTCAGTCAGCCGCATGCATTGCCGGGTGTCCATATACCATTGATGTGGTCGGAGAATCCATGTAGGAAGATCAAAACAGCCTGCACTGCATCATTTCGGGGCTATATTTGGCCATAAGCAAGCGTTAGAGAGGAGCTGTCGCATATTCATCAACAACACATTAAGATGAGTTGGATGATTTGTGATAGAGAGGCGCTTCCGGCCGGGTCCGTACCTTCCATGTTTTGGTATATAGCTTCGTGCCATCCTTGGTGGCGAATTCTCCTTCGATGGTGTCCATACTGATTTGAAGGAGCTGCTCGAGGAAGCAGCAGCAGACGACCTCAGCGTCGTGAGTATTCAGACACTTTGCGGGAGACGAAATGAATGATGGAATGGTCTGCACCGGCCACGAGGGGTCCCGGCATGTGCCTGGACAACAAGGCCCCTTAAAAGATGGCCGAGGCTTCTTCTGATTAGAGGCTTGTGTTTCAAATGACTCGAATGACTCGAATGACTCAAATGACAGTACACTCGGAGTATCAGACCTCCGGCGACGCGCGTCAATATCGTCTACGAGGTCGGCTTCCAAGTTCATATTATACCTCGTATCCTTACAGGAGGTTGTCCCACCGCTCAAAGCTGCTTCATGCCAATATCAGACCTTCCAGACTTGGCGGTGGTGGCGAGGTGTGGCCACTGTCAGTGAATCCTCATCAGCTGTCGAAGAATCAGCCTTACTTGAATGCGATGTAGAGACTCTCACGGATGCCGCCATGCTCCGTGCAATTTTCCCTCACCCATATAGCCACGGGCATTGTCCTTACATTCGACGGAAGTAGGGGGTACTTCGGGTGAAAACATGGCTCACCGCCCAAGGGGAAAACAACCGCCTTTGCGCTCCATCGCCGGAGCCCCGCGGCTCGCTCTTTCAGACGGTCCAGTAAGTCACCGAACGCCGGCAAATACATGGGAGATGCAGTAGGTCGCAACGAGGATTCTGCGCTCTCGGCCTGGGCGTGAAAAACTATCGAGAGGACCGATTGAGACCATTCGAGCACCATCACTCTTCTTCGCGATTGTTTAACGCCGTGGGTTTTCCCCTGCTAGCGGTCGGGTCTGTTCTGTCCGAGTTTCAAAGACCCGATCACTCTTTCAAACGCAACATACTGACCCAGAGCGTGGGAATAACCAGCAAAGAAATCCAGCCATTCCTATCACATGTTCATTTCCGTCATTGGTCTGCTCTTTCGCTAGATCGAGTATCTATGTGTGAAGACAGCCCTTCATTCTGTCACTGTTGCACTGACTGCATATAAGCAGGTCAAAACATATAGAAGGGTAGAACTCACGTCCGGACTTGAGGACAGGGCCATGGAGCTGGTTACCCAATATCAGGTTTCCTTCTAATTCCTCCTTATATTCGCAACGATTCCGCCATCTTACAGCGTCTAAGCACTTGAACACAAACACTCGTCTAAGCCGTGCCAACCCTCCAGAAAAACACCTTCTTATCAAATCCACCACTGACAAGGACCTCCTTCTTCTCCTTCCCATGCCCGTTGGCGCCAGGCTCGGCAGCCTCCCATCCCGCCCACAATGTCCGCACTTTGCTCCCGACCTCATGCGCTTTGAGCATAGCCACGACTTTTCCACTATGCGTGTCCAGACCACGGATAACTCCATCATCCGCGTTCACGAATACTCCCTTCCCACCTGGTCGCCAAACGACCTGTGGCGTGGAGTAAGGAGTCTGAGGAGCCATGGTCGTCACGTGCAGTTTTATCGCGGCGTCTTCGCGGTCTTGCAGCGCGAGCGCGGCGCGGGCTTGGGAGGCTTGGGTTTCGTTTTCTAAGGCGATGGAGTTGGTAGAGTTGTAGGTCGACGTGGGGAAGAGAAGCCGGACAATTAGAAGCTTCATGTGTGGAAGATGAGATGTCGCAACGGCTAAGAGGGAAGTATCAGTCGGACACACGGCGAGACAGGAAGGTGTAAATGCGATCCAAGCGTTGGAGTGCGGCGCGAGATTCTGCCTGCCAGTCTCTTGAACCGAGTACGTGATTTCGCTGCTTCGAGACGACGAAGATTCATCGGATGTGGGCGTGATGCAGTAGTAGTACAGGAACGTAGAGTCGCGCCGGGAAAGGATCAGGTACAGGTCGTGCGTATCAGGATTTCGCACGAGGACCATGGATTCGGGGTTCGTGGGCACGGTGATGGTGTGGATCGGGTCGCGAAGCAGTCCGTGAATGAAAGGTTCCTCGTTGTCAGCAGCAGCAGCAATGTCCGAAGCCGTTGTGCTGGGTTGGAAATTCCCCGCGAGCTCATGCTCAGGAGCATAGATGTTGACTTTCTGATCCCACCCCGCGCTCGCCACGATCCACCGTCCCTGACGAGTATATCCCGAAACCACCTGCACGGCATATTTGAGATGATCGCGGACCTTGTCAAGCAATCGACCCCGTGAATCATGCAGCATCAGCTGTCCCGACATGGACGTTGAGAAGACATATCCTCCGTCCAGAGAGCTGATGGATAGAATGGGACTTCCGTGGGCATTCTCAATTGAGCTCGCCAGGGTAAATGGCGGTGTAGCCGAGACACTTGACCATGAGCGGTCCGCAGCAGTGACGAAGATAACCCCTGTTCCATCTTCATTCTCCCTGCTGCTGCTCGACCCGCTCACGCAGAGGACATTTGATGTGACAGGGAACCCCTCGGGCTCAAGCGCCTTGGAGGGAGCTGGGGTTGGCCAACCGACATCAGCATCGTCGCCTTTCTTTTCAAAGGCGAGACTGGCGTCGAACTGTTTCTTCTCCTCGATGATCTTCTCGATCGTCCAGTCGCCGGGATTGGTAATTGCCGCTTCCTCTGGGAGGCCCGCCTCGGCGAGGAATGCTTCGAGAGTCTGGAATTCATCAAGTTTAGACAACTATCCTTTTGTTACTCAAAAAGCTTTCTGCGGTCGGGACAAACCTTGTTGTAATGATTGGCTTTCAGGAAGCGGGCTACAATGACTGCTGGTGAGTCTGTGGCGGGCATTTCTAGAGGGAGCCTTGGTGATGGTATGAAGGCAAGATTGAGGCTAGTGAAGTCACGATAGAATTGTGACTTCAGCATGCATGATCACGTGATGCCTCTCAGCCTTCAAACAACTAATGGGTTATGAGAGGAACAAAGAAATGGTCAAGTTCAGGTTGACTGCCACAAAATTGTTCCTGACCCGATGCGATGCGCATCTCTCTCCCAGAACGCCTCGCTCAGAAAGCAGACATGGTTTTTCGTCCCCTCATCATTGCTTCGTTTCATCCGGAGGAGCTCCAGCCCCATAACGGGTCTTGTACTCTCGCGGACTTTCATAGTCTTTCCTTTTCCCAGCCCACATACCCTTTCGCCTGGTCTTCGCCCACCACTCTGCCCTTCTATACCTCTCTTCTTTTGCCCTACCAAACTCAACGCCCGACTTTGCTTCGTAGACCGTAGCAAGCCCCGCTCGAAGCATTTGCAGGCTGACGTCGCGCCGAAAGAGGCCTCTCCAGACATAGACAGTGCCCACCACTCTGCTGTACTGGTCGGCCTTGTAGACATAGGTCCGCACGCGCCTACCCATGATGTACGCAGTGAGCCAATCAAGCGCCTCCTGCGCGTATGGTTGTGCAGGTCGTCCAAAATGCGCAAGTTCGGGGGCGTCTATCCCTGCGAGACGGACGTGTATCTGGTCGCCTCGTCAGTTCCCAATTGTCTCGAGCTGTGACCTAGACCAATGTACCGTTTGGTCCTTCAAATCTTTTTTGTTCACTGGCACTTTCCGTCCTGGGAACCAACCCCAACCAGCTAGTCTGCCCCCAGGTGTATGATACATTCGGAAATTGTCTCCATCTCCCACACTCGTCACTTGACCCACGAGGCTTCTTCGTCGAAGGAATCCAGGACTGATGTTGGCCGCCTGTGGTATTCTGCGGAGATAGGACTTGTAGAACTTGTAGACGCCGACAGAAGCGGTCGTCAATACAGCTGCAGCAAGAATAGTCTCGGGTTGAGTGAAGGCTCTCGATAGTGAAGGGCTCGGGATGTGAGGTTCTCGTTGAATGGTCTCAGTTGACTCCGATTTCCATGAATCTTTACCGCTCTCAGCCAGAGACTTCTGGGAGCCAGACTCATCCTTTGTCGAGGATGACCACAGCTTGGGCCATGGCATGACTACCTAGGTACCTAGGTAGCTTGGTTGCTTTTGCGCATGTACAAAGGGGAGTTGCGCGTGAATTCAGTTGAGTGGTGCGGGAGGTGAGGCGCGGAGAATACACTCCGCCGTAGAGCAGCAGTTATTACGGTGGACTATATGAAGCCAAGCTGCGATTTGTCCAAACTGCCAGTGACTACGAGGTATATCAAGTTCTGTCTTCACACCCGACACCATCGAGCGTTCGAGGCTTGAATATCTTCGCGATTGGGACTCGCGTGGCTCGACGCCACGTTAATCCTTACAAATCTCTCGATCTAAGCGTCACCTCCGCATCCAAGGTCAATGAAAATGAAAGCACCATTATCCAACATGGCAATGGTAGCAGGGCTATACAAAATGTCTTTTTGCAACGACAAAGCGTTTAAGGTCAGGTCATTTTGTCATCTACTGCAGTGACATGTGCTACTGCAGTGATATGTGTCCGACATCAATCACCAAGTATTTCAGACTTGGCGCGAGCCTTGTCCCTTTTCGACGTCGGCTCCTGGCATTGAAGGGCAATGAAGGCTTCAAGCGTGAACAGCAGGGTTCGGCAGAATATCGACGATGTTCAAGCCCCTTGAATTCATTCATTCATTTCTATTGTCTGCTGTTGATTCATGCCGACATACTGCATGTCACATTACTCCTATTGATCCCACAGTTCTCCAACCCATCACTACCATTGAATGGACGTCAATGCATCCGATCGAGGACAATATGGCTTCTCTACGCTTCAGAGATTCTTTTCAAAGGTATAAATTGTTAATATATTGGTATCTGAGTAATGCTCTGCTTTTCTGTCTTTTGCACGCAACACCCACCGACCCCTTTGCCTTGTTTCTTGTATTCCTAGTCTCTCAAGCCGTCAAGTTTCTCAAGATGTCTTTCACCGACCCCAACGAGTCCTTCTTCTTGGACGCTGTGGCGAGCAGGTCTCGACCAGTTGTCCAAGTCCTCCCCCTCAACGACACCACAGTATTCGAATATCTCGATCCTCATCCAGACGCCCTGCTCAGATACCTGGGAGAGCGCCCTGGATTGCCAGAGTACTTCAGCAGGACTTTCGCGCAGAACCACAATACGCACGGCGGGTCCGCCGTCGAGAATGTGACAAGCCTCACTGCAGGCGAAGAAGATCTCTTTGGGGATTCAGTTGGTCCCATACAAGAGTTCGCATTGCAGCATACTGTGGAAGCTGAACAGCTCGATGATGAAGATGGCGATATATATATGTATCTGGATGACGACGAAGAAGCCAACGAAGAAGAAGAGAATCACAACGAAAACAACAATGAGGAGGTTGACGACAGCGACAGCGCCAGTGACAGCAATGGGGATGAGCACGGTTATCAGAGCAGTGCTTATAGGGACGATGAAAGCAACGTTGGCAGCGACGGTGAGGTGAATGACGACGCCATCTCCAACGAGGTGCCTTCCGAGGCTGGTCCTTGGACACCTTCGAGTAGCAACACCGCTTCCACCAGCAACACCAGTTTCAGCAGCGACACCGCAACGCCCGCCTCCCAAAACGGCGCTGAAGAAGGGGCAGACGATCAGGACGGCAACGATGAGCAGCAGGAGGGGCTGATGCCATATCCTGCCCCTGCAGATCTTGTCGCTGCCTCTCGCCTTGGACCACCGACGCGCTCCTGGGCATTGTGGGAAGAGGAGGCATGTATCCGCCACATGCTCAACATCAATGCCGAGCGACAACTCACAGGAGAGTCGCGATTCCGAGAAGCCCTGCGTCGGATGCAGGTCCACGATGGTGTCACGAGAACTGGATACTGTGCAGTCAAGAATTTCTGGAATCGCGTCGGCCGTGCTCGTTCGAGGTTTGACGAACGGAGAAATAAGAAAGCGCCACTGGCCACGTCGAAGCAAGGCAAGAGAGCGGAACGGAAGGCTTCCGCCGTGTCACGCCAACGACGTAAGACTGCTCGAGCCTCTTCCTTCAATGTGAAAGCTGGCAACACCAGACATCGACGCTCTTCTGAATCCTCCACCGACGAAAACGAGTCGGACTACTCCCTCCAGAGTGATGATGAGTGACAGTCCACCTACGCCATCGCCGCAAGAGAAAGAATCAACGCCATGACAGCGATGATGAATGGAGACCCAGGCCAACAGCAGCCAATGCTCGGTGAGGAGGACTGAGGCCGTCGATTGCAGTGTGAAAGTGGTTCAGGTTGTAACCCCTTGCATTTCTTGTATTACAACAGTGCCACGCCGCATGAAGGAAGGATGCTGAAGACATATTGCCGGAATTTGGAAGGAGCGACGTCATGGAATCTGAAGTGCAAGCAACGAATAGGCACAGATAGTTCCAGGTTGAGCGTGCTCGAGCATCAGATACGGCTGGCCCGGTCTACGATGGAAAGCTCTGCAGAATCATTGAGCAATGGACACCTTTTAACTATCAAATGAGCTTCAGCTGTATATGCCTCAATCTGTTCATGAACAGCGGCTTTCCTCTGCTCATTCATCCAATGGAGCACCCTGAAAACAGTGGGCGACGCATTGTGCTCAAACGACGCTTAAGTCCTCCATTTACACCCTGTTCCTAAGCTTTATACAGGCCGGTCTCCCTCCAAAGTGATCCTTAGCATCCTCCGTCGGAATCCATGATAGTCGTTGATCGGATTATGCTGTACACATCGATTATCCCAGAAGGCAATGCTGCCCACGTCCCAGCGGAAGCGGCATGTGAATTCCGGCTTGATTTGGTGTTGAAAGAGGTAGTGTAGCAGAGGGGCAGATTCTTCCTCTGTCCAGCCCTCAAAGTGCGATGTATGCGCCACATTGACGTAGAGGGCCTTCCTCCCCGTTTCGGGATGTGTTCGGACAACAGGGTGAACTGCTTCCAGCGAGGACTTTGCCGAGGCGTTTCCGGAGTCACGGATGCGGTCTTCGCGAGTCTTGCTCGCGTCTGCTTTGGCTGAGGTACTCACTGCCTTCAAGGTGGAGAGGGTCCGCTTGAGTCCTTCGGAGAGGGACTCGTATGCGGCGTACTGGTTCGCGAATAGCGTGTCACCACCGTAGGGCGGGACTTCCTTGGCCATCAACACCGACCCCATTGGTGGGTTCTCGAAGTAGGTGGTGTCCGCATGCCAGATTCCTCCAAAATTGATGGTCTCGTGTTCTTGTTTGAGGACTTGAATGATCTCGGGAAACCCATCGATGCCACGGACAAAGGGATATTCAACCGGCTTGCCAAAGTGGGACGTAAAGTCGAGATATTCTTTGGGTTCCAAGCTTTGATTGCGGAAGAATATGACTTGGTGTTGCAAAAGTGCTTCCCGGATCTCCCTGACAATCCCGGGGTTTTCAGAGAGATCTTTCGACAGATCAACGTCGTGGATCTCAGCGCCTATGGACCCGGCCACCCGCTGTATCGAGATGCTTCTCTTGCTCGACATGTTCAGAGAAGGAGAAATGACGTTGTGTAAGCGAGGACGAATAGAGGGAATCAGTCGCAAAGCTTTTATGGCGTTCATGAAGCAAGCTGATCAAGACGAACAAGCAAGGGGCATTGTATCTGGACAGCAGGAGAATGTCCAAGCCTTACCTGAGATACGAATGGGGGAATACGATGCCTTCATTTATGAGCCTCACCACAGACTCCAGATATATAGCCACGCATCATCCGAGGTTTGCCATCATCTTCAGCGGTTGAGCACGAAGACAAGGGGTTGATGCGGAATATATTGATCTGTCTGACGGAAAGATGTTGAGCAAATCGCAAAGGATTCTGGCTGTTTTAAAGAAGGAATCCCTGTCAGACTGAAATAATTTGTCTCTTGGAGTCGGCTCGGTGGGGAGCGAAATGCGGAGTTGGACTGGTGAGGAGACTCCATCCAAAAGCAGCGTCACCTTTATACCAAATGGGGATTATCCAAGAAATGATGTCGAAGCCTCGAGACTCGGAGCTGCTCTGCGCCTTTGCATTTCCCACCATGTAATATCAACCATTTCTCTTTTTACTCTCATCTTCATCTGACCTTCATTGCATGTGTACCTAGTATTCAATGTCACACCTATCCTCCATATCGTGCTCCGTCATTTCCGTCATTTGACAACTTGATCACCTCTCACCTCGGCCGGCAGCTTTTTCCCGATCTTCAGTCGTGACAGCCTCGCGTTGTCGCTTTCAAATATGTACAATCACTCTTAGCCTTTCTTCAAACGCCAGGTCTCTTCTTCAGACAGACTGCACCCTGATCCTGACACTCCGAACGACCCACGACCTCCTCCACTCCCAACATGGCTCTAGCTATGCAGTCTGCAATGTCCGGCGCGGCGCAGGACGCCGACCTCATGGATATTGACATTGACATGGACATGGATGATCAAGGACCGCCTCTTGATGATGAGTTCCAACTTGAAGTACGATAACTCATATATCTCCCTCACCAAGCAGGAAGGCGTATCTGCCATACTCATCAGCCATACAGGAAGGCGAAGAACCCTCATTTGTCCCCTCCGGCGCGCCCGCTGCCACCGACTCCTCCGCCCTCATCCCAGCCATCTACACCGAAGACCCGGCTCTCGAACCGCAATGGAACAAAGTCCACATTCGCGGCGTCGACGAAATGCACACGAACGACATCCTCGCCTTTGTACACGACCACTTTAGTGAAGTCGGAGACGATGTACACGTCCAATGGATCGATGACACCTCTGCCAACATTTGCTTCAATGACAGCGACACTGCCAAACGAGCACAGCTGGCATTTCTCGCGAACCCCATTACGATTGAAGAACTAACAGACAACCCGTTCGAAGTGCGCGCTGCGAAACAACTGGCTAGCAGGCCAGGAAGTATGCTTGTGGTTCGCGTTTCTCAGCAGGGTGACAGGAAGAAGAAAGGCGCCAGAGACGCGAGCAGATACTATCTCATGCACCCGGACCAAGATCCCACTGAACGAATGCGGAAAGAATTCGAAAACAGTCGTGGTGATTACCGGCGCAGGAGATTTGACGACCGCGAACTCCACAGACGGAGGAGAGACAATGACCGTGCGACCGGTGATGATGCGGGAGGGTTTTCGGCAAATATGTACGATGATGCACCCACTACGGACACAGAGGTCAATAGAGCAAGAGGGCGAGATCTGTTTTCACGCGTCACAAAGGCGAGACGACGGAGCGCTAGTCCGGGGGCACGAACACGTGGCAGCGATGAAATCGACATCTCAGATTCGGATGACGACGGACGGACTCGACGGAGAGGCTATCGCGATCGCGGTGACCGCATGCGCTCCAATGCAGGAAAAGAACTGTTTGGATCGTCCACCTCGGACCCCAAGATCGGCGGTGGTTTACGATCCGACAGACTCGAACTCTTTCCCAACAAATCTTCGGATGTAGACACCTCGATGTCGAGTCCTGCACCACCTAGACCAGCCATCGACGCCGCACAGAATCGTGCCAATACCGCCGCAGCGAAGCGCCTGAAGGCCGATCTTTTATCCGCCGCGCAAACGTCCCCACGTTCAAATCACCGCAGAAGCCATGCCATGGACGCCAAAAACGAAGAGAATCTCGCAGAGAGGTTTGCCAGAAAGAGTATTTCGATCGACAGCACCAAGTCATCGACGAGAAATGGTGGGGCGTCAAATGCAGGAGTTGAATTGTTTCCGTCGTCGAGTAGTGGCGCAGGAAATGCTGGCGGCGGTCTATCTATCAAAGGATCGTCGTCCGAGAACGGAGGAGGAGGTCCAGGGGGAGGAGGGTTCAGTATCAAAGGCGCTGGCGGGCTGAGCATCAAAGGCCGCGCTCTCGAAGTCAAAGAGCTGTTCCCCAATCAGTACAGTCGGAACAGCAACGGGAGGAATGAGGGAAAGGAGCTGTTCGACGAGCCGGTGAGGGAGAAGCGGGTGAGGAGGAGAGCAGGAGACCTGTTCGACTGAGACTGAGCCGAAACGTCTGGAGGTGCTTGCAAGTGGTTATATACCATCGAACGTCACAATGTTTTTGCTGGTTTCTGGATATGAATTTGCGGGTCGAGCACCGCAGACCCCCTGTGGTTGTGCACACACGAGAGGTTGTTCACCGCAAATCTGCTGATACTTGCTCACATTACGAATGTTAAGGCGGTACCCGACCGATCGGTCAAGGGATGGACAGGAGGTAATCACAATGCCTGGCGAGCTGGAAACTCTCAGGAAATTCCCTTTTCGTGCTCTGCGCGGCAGTGACAAAGCGATGAACTTTTTTGTTTCTGACGAGATCACGAGCGGAAAAAAGGACATGGGAAGAAATCGTGGGAAAAAAGAATGCAAAAAGGCAGATAGAATAGGATTTGAAGAAAAAGGGGCGACTACAGGTGCTCATTCTAGTCACTCCATTCCATTTCATCTCATTTCCAATTCGGTTTCGTTTCATTTCATTTCAGTCCATGTTTCAGCTCAATTCAGTTCCAGGACCATACTTGTATATATACTTCCCCATTCCGCGCCGAATCGGAGGGCAAGGTGCGTGCTGGATTTTCGCTTGGTCGTGACGGACGGGCATACGGCCGCGATGGACAGATTGACATTTGTACAGACATTGGCTGTTCTAGCGACTTTTACGGGCGACGCTTTGAGTCTCGACCTTTTAGGATTCATGATCTTTCATGCACCACTCTGCGCGCTTGTCATGGCGTGTTTGCGCTTGTAGCCCGTGCCATGCCGGCTGTGTCGGTCCTTTGGGGTTGGGGGGAGTGTTGTTCAACAAGAGAGAGCACAGCGATGGACAGGCAGGGCAGATTATCTCAGGGAAGGGCATCTCAGGACGCCTCATGGCAAGACAGGGCATGACGCCTTGGGGTCTAAGTCAGCGTCGCCGGTTGAACATGGTTTATAAATCATCGACCCTGTCGTCCGTGGGGCTCTCTTCCTGTACAGCTGATTCGCGACAGGTAGGTTCGTCGGCCAAGACGTCTCGCTATCGGATGTGCAGCGCATAGCTGCGTGGCGGGGTTTTGGTTTCGTGCTGGTTGCGATGGATAGCTCCGCAGCTGCTTCTGGTAATGACCGCGATGTCAACTCGAATACCATACTGGCGCGTCTTACAGGACCAGTTCCCGTCCAGAGCTATCCGTGGAACAACACTATACGCGATTCCAACGTGTGTTTTCTTGTGGTTTGCACATGTTGCTTCGAGGATATGGAAATTCGCTCAGTGAAATATTCCTTGTGTCAACTCGCTCGACGTCCGGTGGTTAGTGCACAATATAGCAATAAAGGAATCCTATAGTGTCTCGCAATCAAATCCCACCCAAACAGGCCAGTGCTCCCCTCAACTCCTCGATGGCAGTAGGCACATCCTCAAAATTCAAGGCGGAGATCGCCCACCTGGCATGCTTCTGGGCCTTCAAGATCGCCTCTTCGTCAACCTCAACACTAACTGGTTGAGGCTGTGCAGGTGGGACTGCTGCTACCCGCGGAGGATGAATCGGCGAAGGCGCTGCTATGGGACCTGGCGCTTGCTGCGGGTGAGGAATAGGCGGGACAGGACCACGGGCTTGTCGTATTTGTGGCGGATTGACTGGAAGCTGAGGTGGTGGGACTTGAGGTTGGAAATTGGGAGGGATCTGGGGAGTTTGATCGACCACTGGGGCTTGTTGAAGAGGTGTGCCGTGGCGGTGAGGTGGAAGTGGAGGGGATTGGTGACGAGATAGCTGGTGATTGAGAGCGGCGCCTAGCTCGCTTCGTGCGGATGTCAGAGAGGGTTCTGACGGTGCTGGAGGAATATCGGTGTCCACTTTCGCAAGACTTGAAGGCGCTGAGGGCAAGTCTGGCACAGTGCCGCCCACCGTTGCTGGAGGTGACGGGAAAGCGGGCGCTGCTGGAGCCGACGGTACTATAGGGAAATAGTTCCCTCCTATTGACGGTTTTCGCTCAGAGGGAGGCTCCAGTGGGGAGACATCAGCTGGTTCGGTCCGATTGGTGTAAAATGCAGCAGGATCTTGTTCTGGCAAAGGAGAAACGTCATTCCCCAGGGGAACAGAAGGTGTTCTTGAAGGATGCAGAGATTGGTCGATGGATGATTGAGGAGCAAGCTCGCTCTGTATCCGATCTGCTTCGTCAGGAACGTCAGTGACCGAAGGTTGCTTAGTGACCGGAGGTGGCATTGATGTGTCTCTAGAGGGATGTAAGGATTCATCAAGCAGCGACTTCTGTGCAAGACTCCTTTGAATCTTGTCGGCCTCGTCGGGTACTTCAACGACAGATGGTTGTCTTGGTCTGGTGCCTTCCCTACCTCCTTCTAACGCCTTGACCTCTGCATCGTCCGGGTCGAGAGCAGGAAGAGCTTCCTCACTTGGCGTCTGTGGTTTGGGGTTGGACAAATTTGGATCTTCTCCGGCCTTCAACGCTTTGGCTATTCTCAAGGCATGATATTTTGCAAACTTGATTTTGGCGCCAATTTCGGGTTCCACGGCACCCCAGATCTGGAGCAGGTCGAGGAACGTCGCCGAAGCTTGGAAAGTGTCTGCGGTCTGCCTTGAAGCCTTGTTGGCGCGCACTGCATTGTCTGCTCTTTCAAATGTTTCTAGACCAAACTGTTCCACGTATGCTTTTCCCACGATATCGTCGGTCACCGCAGGTTCTTGGGCATGTTCAGCTTTGAACTGTCACGGAACATCAGCAAGGGTAGGGACCACAGCAGCTCAAGGCGCACCTTTTCCAGCTTGTCCATCAAAGTTGTAGTGTATTCCAAGCTCTCTTGATCCGCATTGTGCAGGCCTTTGGACAGGATTTGGTTGACGATCCAGTATTCGCCTAGGAATGGGTTAACCGCCGTCTGAGATCTTGTGGAGGGTATTAGGGCCCGTACACCAGTATGCTATGATAGGTTTGGCTTTCTCGAGTTGGGCTGCGCGGTGGGCGAAGCGGGTAACGTCGGCTGTCTTCAAAGCAGCTGGCACTTGAGCGGCCATAACGGGAGATGGGAGTGGGAGCTGTTTCCTCCACAACAAATTCGGATCTGTGAAGGGTTGTTCAGTCAAAGGAAGTTGAGGCACAATATTCCAAGCGGGTATATGACGTCTGTCTGGCGGTGATATGGCTCGATCAGTGGGTGAGTGGTCGAGATGTTCCCTGCGCCCAAAAAGCTGGAGCCTCAAGTGCCTCTAAAGGGCAAAAGGCCCCTCAGTGGATGACTGTGTGAGTGTGCCATGAAGTAAGCCTCACACCCTCACTGGTAGCAGCTGCGCTTTTCCCCGCACCCGAGCTCCGGCAAGGCTACGAGTTTATGGAACGAGGCTGTCAAAAGTCAGGCCATTCATTATCTCCCCTTCCGTCTGTTGGGCGCCATTTTCCTCGGGGTTCCTTTAACTAAAGTTTTAGCTATATTTACCTGAAGCTCTTAACTAATTCTACCTAGGTACCTCTCAGGCATGCATAACAAATGCCAAGACCAAGACCAACTTGAAGGCAAAAGGTGTCCAACGGACGGAAGCTGACGGGAGATACGCCCGAGAACTTGAAGAGGAAGCATGGGTCTGTTGGCCTGGCCCCACGCGGCCACTAAATGTTTGCGTTGTTTGCACGCCTTCGTCCAAGCTCCCCGCTACCGTTACCAAGGAAACTAAGGTAGGTACCTAGCGAGTAGGTAGGTACCTAGCCCGCTAGGTACTAGTACCTACCTAGGTAGGTAGGTAGAGGCCCCTTAGGATCTCACTATCTCACTCTTCCAACCTCACTCCCCCTCTTAGGGACAACGACCCTCTCCTCTCTGGAGCCACCGGGTCAAAAGACTGCCACTAATCATCATGGTTAGAGAAAACCAACTCCAGGTCCTTGGTGACCAAGAAGACTACTTCTGCCGTGCCTGTGACCGACACTTCAAATTCCACATTGGCGCATTCAACCACTGCCGCCATGCCGAGATCCACGAAGGCGAGTGGTGCGAGAGGTGCGGATGGCTGTTCGTCTCACCTAGGGCGTGCCAGTCTCATGTAGACAACTCCTCGCGTCACAACGTCTGCACGCCTTGTGGAATGGACTTTGGTACTCCCGCCCTGCTCGAATCCCATGATGTCGACGTCCACAACAAGTGTACAGAATGCTGCGAATGCTTCCGCGCTCCCGACCTTCTCAAAGCCCACGACGTCCTGGTCCACAACCTGTGTATCGAATGTGGCAGGTATTTCCGCAACATCAATGATTTGATGCAGGTCAGTAGTGTCCCGGCGGCGGTGCGGTGTGGGTAGTGGTCGGTTGGAAAGGATGAGCTGACATGGATATGTGCCATTGAGCAGCACAAACGAACCCACCTCCCTTTAGACATCAAATGCCTTGGCTGCGACCGCCTGTTCTCCGAATTCTCCGCCATGATGATCCATCTCGAGTCTGGCACCTGCGAGAGCGGCATCGATAGGGACGACGTCGATAGCTATATTTTCGACACCTACGTGAGAAACCGCGCATATGTCAATCAGTGGGAAGACCATTTGAAGTATCAATGTCCCGATTGTGGATCCGACTTCCGCTTTGCGAGTGCTCTGTGCCAGCACGTGGCGAGTAACGCTTGTAATCAACAGTCCAAAAGTACCTTCTGGGACCTTGAAAAATGTATCACTTCGCGGATCTAGGCGTCCTTGTTGTACTGGGGCGGAGCTCACTGTTTTAGTGTGTTCCTCTATCAGGGTCGTGGTGCCTTTTGTTGTACGAGAGACGGTTCACTATTTGATGGGTCTTTCTACTGGGATCTTTGGCGCCAAACCCGCAAAGATCAAAACGGTGGCCATGCTAGTATTTGCTTTTTTTAATCAGACGGTGGACGTGAAAGCGCGGCGGTGGTATGCAGTTTGTTTCAGGGTGTATGAACATTTTGCGGGATCAGAATTCAAAAATGGAGGTAGGCGTGAGCGGAAGATTCGAACAACTTCTCACACTGCAACCTGGAACAGGGTCTTTGTTTGTCTGCTGATAGCAGTGGCAGGCTATCTGCATTGTGAGATTATCTCCAGAACTGTGCCTTGCTCATGGCTTTTTACGAGTCGAATCGAATTCCAATTTTTGTGATGCACTGAGCTCAAATAGGGCAACCCAACTCTTCGGAGGTCAATTCAATGAGAAATAAGTCCAACGCTGGATTGACAGTGAACGCCAAAACGGCCGTACACAATCCGCCTCACACATTGACCCAGAGAAACACTTTCCAACGTTTCACGGTCCACATCTCATGCAGCAGACTGCACCATCGTGAAGCACGCGACCAGATTTGACGCTAAGGCTCCCTGAACATCTTCCCGTATGTCTCGTCGAAAGAATCATCTTCACCAACGCAGATCTTGTACGAAATCTTCGCATATTCCGCCGCAGAAGCCTCAAGGTCCGGCGCCACCAGGCTGCAGGCCCTGGAGAGAAGCATCTAGCACTCAACATGATGATCCTGCATCAGCCCCCACCGCTTAACGACCATAGGCGTGCCCAGAGTGCGCGGCAGTCTTCCACCATGGATGACATAACCGAGAGATTCCAGAGCTCCCAGTCCCAAGTCGATGGCCTTGGCTGGTTGCTGACGCGCGAGATACATCTTTGCGAGGGCTAGCTGGACATCCGCCACACTGAGACGAGGCACCTGAGACGCCGGTCGATGGTATGTACCGGCGAGCGCAGCCACGATGGTCTCAATCCGGGCTGCATCCGTCGTTCTGTCAGAGTTGAGGTATCTCTGCGCACTAGCCCTCAGATTCTTTCTTTTCGCCCAGACACTCTCCTTTGTGGCCTGATCATCCTGGCATATAATGCAGTCGCATCGGAAGTTCCAGTGCCGGAGCTTCTTCTGCCGCTTGTCATATCCATCAGGACTGGGCGGGTAATAACAAAATGTGAGTTCTGTATCAGCCGCGAGGTCTTGCGCAGCGCGAACCACCATCATATCACCAATGAAAGCTCGTCTGCAGTTACTGTAGCAGCAGTGGTTTATGTATGATGCCATCGGCCAGATCCCGCAAGAGCTGAATGATTCCTCCGTCACGTTGGCCTTTGGATCGGCCTCGTCGTTCAGAGCACGTATATGAGACTCGCGAGACAAAATTGGGCAACCGAAGCCGTTCAGGCTTATGATCCGCTCCACGAGGAATCTGTGAGAGTAAGTCAGATGTCTTATACAGCGACAAAATAATGGGTCTCTCACGTATCAACCACTGGGGTTCCATCAACCTCAGAAACATTGACAGGTTCGTATGAGCCGTGATGAAGACTGGTGATGACTGGGGCCAAGGACGGGTTCCGATACAACTTCTGGACGATCAACTGGATGAGTTCTGGCTGAGCTCCCATGGTTATGGTGTCAGTTTCCGCGTTAATCAGCAGAGTCATATTCCCGTCCACAGCTCCCTTTTCAGGATCAACGAAGGCATGCGCGAAGGCTTTCTCACACAAAAGTAGCTCGCCAGCCTTGACTGCTTTTGTGGTAAAGAGACCGCGGCCCCGGTCACCCGATGTTCTGATACATACTGGACCCGTATATGTGGCATGATCCAAGTGTGGCGGGCGCAATTTGGCAGCTTCCGTGCGCAAGTCCTTGAATTTGTACCTGCCGCTCTCTTGCTCTGCAAGCCGCTGGATGGTGCGAGTGAATCTATCTTTGGCAGCCACATTATTTGGATAAGCCAAACGGAGAGTTTTGAGAACCTCAGAGCATTCTCGATACCTCTGAAGGTTGTACAACGCCAGTGCCTTGTTGTACAGAGCCTTCTCGGTTGGCTTTGGAGGAGGCGACTCAGATTCCAGATCAGTAAGAGCGGCATCGAATCGTCTAACCTTAAGGAAGGCTAGAGCTCGATTGACCTTGATGGTGTGAGTCTCTTCTTCTGTTGGGGAACAATCGAGGGCTTTCGTGTAGCTGTTGAACTGTTCAGTTTGAATCCAAAGAGAAGATTCAACGAAGACTCACCATTCAATGGCAGCTCTGTACTTGGCCTCTTTGAATTTGTCGTTCCCTTGGGTCTTCCAGGCATCGACTGAGGTGTTAAGCTCGGTGCTTTTTAGTTGCCAACAATCTGGAACTCTTTCATCGTACGGTGGGAGGTATATGACATCGGAGACATGGTCGACACGGAGCCCATACTCTCCATCAGACATCGTCTTGAGGTATGGATCTCGTACAATCAGGGTCGTTCCTTCTCCTACAATGTCTTCGATCGATCGGTCATTCTCCCCCTCTTGGTGGTACAGCTGCAATACAACGACATCCTTATTCTTGTCCTCCACAATGGTCATGATCGCAGTCATTTTAGTCGGCGGGGTGATTGACTTCAGTCGAAGGTAGGTGCCTCTGTGGTGTGTTTCAAGGAGAAGATCTTTGATCATGATTTCCTTCAGGTCGGAGAAGGCATTGATGCAGGGAGTATAGGCCGCCGGCACGAATGTTGACCGCAGATTGAATCCACTGCTCGGTTGAGCCCGCAGCGTCATCATACTAAACATGTGCTTCATTATGATTTCTTCCCGGGGTCGTCTCCCCTGAGGGCGCTGTCCTTTGCGAGATTTGGCATCTTGAAGTTGCTTTTTGTACTTGAGAAGGGCCTGGAAATATTCTGGAACGTCTGAGACGTCATGTGTGTCCATTATGGTCGACGATGGCGGGAGCGAGCCCTCCTCTGCTGACTCTGTTCCCTGAGATGATAAGATGGACAGTTGGCAAGTACTGGAGAAGGCTGAATCCTGGAGAAAAATGATTTCGGCAAAACTTACCTAGGCAGCAAACACGGACGCCTAAGAGATGGTTACACAAAGGAACGCATGTGGTTTGCTGCACTCCCACGTCCTCCTCCATAACATGAAGCGGAGCCTGCCAGACCCCGAACTGCCTTCATCATATTTTGGTCTTTCCGCCAGTCATGCTCATGGATTTAGCTGCTCGTCTAACGAGTGACGAGTGACGAGTGACGAGTGACGCATATTCCCCTGCCTATGAATACTGATATTCCTGAGGTCTTCAGGGAGTATGATCCTAACTAGTCGTTATCTACCTTACAGAATACTTAGTAGGCTAAGCTAGTCAAGATAGGACTAGTGAGTTTAAGGCGGATGACCAATTTTCACGCGCATCTCACGTGAAAGTAATGTGATTGGTTTAACTAGCCCTTTTGTAGTTAGCTTGGAACACTAAGCACTGACTAGGTAAGGACCAGTTGGTAAACAATCGGGATTATGATCCCTAATCCCTAGGGTGAGGATTGGGATTAGGGTTAGTGGGACAGACTAATTGGCAACGCTGTCGAAGACTGACCTCTCAAACCCTGCCTCAAATGGAAACTGATATCAGCATGACCCACACTGTCAATCCACTGGACTACATGACTGCAGAAGATGTGCCCCTAGAGCTATAAGAGTCTCTTAACTACATCTGAGCTCGGCTCGAAGCCTCTATGACGCAGGTCCTGCCCATCGCTTCGGCCTCGCACGTCCAGCCAGCACAACCCTCCGATCGGCCAGACCATAAGACTATGAACCACTTTTCTGACTCCAAAAAGCATACCGGAGCTGAAGATGAAGCCATAACGCCACTTCAACAAGAAATTGACCTCATCGAGGCGGATCGTCTTTACGAGGGGCTCGACAGTCGAGATCATGAAAGTCAAACTGCGTTTGCACGAACCAAAGCTTTTCCGGATGATGTCCCTGCAGGCCTCACCGGTTGAAAAACGCTGACACACGAGAGTCCATCCTCGACTTAAAGACAAGAGTATAACATAACCGACCGTATCAACACGAAACAAATACATGCCCGGTTATGGGTCAATCAGGTCCCACACTTGCATCGTCGCCTACCACGATCGAGGTGTTTTCAAGGATGTCCAGATCAAGGATATTCGAGCGGCTGTGGAAGATCCGGAGAATGACAACCAAGGAACTATGGAGGGTTTGAAGAAAGCAGTGACCTTGCCGAATGCCCTCGCTGTGAAGCAGGTGAACTGGAGAATCGGAATTCGCCGGGTTGCAAAAGGCAGTTTGGCAGTTTGGTCCAATCCGTCAGGAGATAATGTTCTTCCCTCAGAGCTGCGTGCTAAATGACTTGGAGAGAAGTAGCATAGATTTTACTGTATCGGGAGACATCTGTGACTCAAGTGTTGAGGCAGGAGGGTGCCATCAGGTTCCGGTCTTCGTAATTGAAACTTCTTGAATCAGAGATTGTGCTAACTTTTTCGACTCGCTGTAAACTGCAGAAACATCAGGGAAGGATACTGAGCGCCTTCTGAGCAGCAGCAACAATTGCAACATCAGAAGTATCGTACCCGTCAACTTCAACGATGACCTTCTCATCAACCAACAAGACGCACTGAAATTTCTCCGCCAGATCAACCATCTTGCTGACTCTATACTCAGTAGACTGTGCGCCTGTCTTCCAATCCACCTTCGTCCTCGGATGAACGACATCAATATTTTCGTCCAAGACGCGTCGGAGATACTTGTTGAGGCCAATGTAATCGAGCCAAGTTGCACATTTTTCGAGAGACCCCTTGGAATCTACGTATATGGCTCCTATCAGGCTTTCGATAATGTCAGAGAAGAACTTCTCAGGCCGCAACATGGACAAGTCAAGCCAGGGATATTCCGAACTGCAGTCCAGCTGCCGTCGAATGCTTGCACCTAGTTTCTCGAATCGATCGAGGCTATTCATTCGATGATCCCGGACAGCGTCACTGTGACTGCGCATGAGTTGCCAGAGCCGGACCTCGGTTATTTCTCTCTCAATCTTAAAACTCACGTCCGTCCGTTGTTGTTGTTGTTGCTGTTGCACGAAGTCAAATTCTTGGGTACGACAAAATTCCATGCAGAAGAACCCAAGCAAATGGGCATTTACCATCGCTGATTTGATGCGGGTCATCGCTCCAGGTGACCAGGATGCAGTCTTGTGCGCCATGAGCTGCGACGCGATGATTAAATCGAGCACCGCATCTCCAAGGAACTCAAGGCGCTGATATGATTGGGAGAATGGATCCCTTTCGCAGGAAGGGTGCGTCAACGCCTCGACCAACAGACAAGGATGTCTGAACTTGTATCCGATAACGATTTCCAGGCTGGTTTGATTGGCGATCACTTGCTCCTTGTTTGCCTGGACTGCGAAGGATATCTGTTCAAGGTCTAGACCAGGAAGCAGATGACGAATACAGATTTCCGCTGAGGCGAAGCCTCCGTCGACAAAAGCAGCACCAATGAGGGCTTCGACAACGTCCGCCAGGACTTTCATGCGGACCGTTCGGGCAGCAGTTGACGGTTTGGCCACCACGTCCGATATGAATATTGGCGACCACTTTCTCCAGGAAATGGGAGTCGTCCTGATAAATGCAGACAAGCCTGCTTTCAACGCGGCCTGGGCCAGATATTGGTTCGACACCAACACGGCTCTTTTCAGCGTGAGGTAGCCTTCTGGCCAATTCTTGTGGCGGCTGTACAGCTGCACAGTCACGACCATCTTCAAAATCGAATCGCCGAGAAATTCGAGCGTTTCGTAGTTGGTACACCACTGCACGCTCGGTGGAGTGATAGCGGTGATGACGAGATCTCGAGATCGGAACGGGATTTCTTTCAGAACTGTTTGGCACATCCGGTCCGCGATCCACGCGTTGGCGATCTGTTGAAGCATCGTTGGGAGCAAAAGACTGAGCCGTGCGATTCCCACGGGGAGACGGTCTATAGTGCATTCCTCGAGGGGATAGTAGTTGAGTTTCGGGGGTTCTTCGTTGTTGTCACTCATCCTCTTCAGTTTTCCCTCCGCAGAGTCCCCGGGTAGAGAAATCATGAAGTTTCTTCTGTTTGGAAGTGGAGTGCATGCAATGTGATGCGGAATTGAGGCAGCCGTATCCTTATTTACGATCCACGAGTTGAAAATCTGGGGTTGTCGTCCCTCTGTCGAGTGCCGGACGAACCCACGAGGGATCAGGTTGCGAGAGATGTTCACAAGCTCCGTTGCCTTGATCCTCCCTTTGTTGGCATTAAGCCAGATCTGTATCATCGCGTCTTCCATGACTGGCGTGAAAAGAGCCAGGAAATCAGTCCTGTTGTCCGAACTGTAGTCAGAATGAGTTGAGCGGCTGATGATATGCGTCGCTTTCCTCATGAGGTCCCTATCGGTCAGAGTGATGATTCTTCGTCTGCAATCGTGCTGAAATGTTATACAGACAGCCGCATCCGCGGCTAACTGCACCCTCAGCGGTTGTAAATTAGGCACTTCGCAGGGTAAGGTGAGCCTCATTTTGACAGGCGATCGCTCGGTGTGTTCATGGAAATTGAACTGCACCACAAGGTCGTATATATATGTCGATGACCAGGCTTCAGAGACAAGCTGCCACGGATTGTATTCCAGGTCTATGTCGACTTGGGATCCAAGCTTGTCCGAGGCGTCTAACTGCATCTCGAAATCATGGGAAAGTGGCAACAAGTTCTCGTTGAGAAGGCCGGCAGAGTACAACCCGGCGTAAGCTTGAAACGCGGCGTCTTTCGCTGCGTTTTTCTCTGTCTTCCATTTATGAAGACTTGTGGCAACGCGAACCGAGGCGTCCACACAGTTTGGGAGGGTAACGGTGGCAGCTATCTCCTCCGATCCAGGCGGCCCATGCTTGTATGAGAACATCGGTCGCATGTCGGAGAACGGTTGGACGGGCAGCTTAGCGCAGAAGTGATGTAGATGGGCCATAGTGTCGTCGGCAGTGAGCATTGCACTGTCATCTTCTCAGAGAGATATTCTCCGTTGGCTGAGTTGACTTACCTGGTCCTTTGGGATTTGAGTATGTAATTCACCCGCTCACTGTCCTCTAGGCACTGTATTTCTACCCTTAATCTTGAGGCATCCTGATACATGCGCTGTAAGTCGTCCTCGAGTTTTTTCCACTCTGCCAGCCTATCCTGGGATTCCTCTTCCGAAAACATGAGCGCGAACACGGATTTTTCCTTTCGAGCCCGGCCCCGCCGTTGAATGAAGGACTTCAAGTTTTGCGGGAGGTCAAAACAGATGACAAGGTTGCAAGCTTGTACGTCTATGCCCTCCTCCAAGGCATTGGTTGCAACAATCACATTTTTGGCTCGCGCACGGAAACTGGCGAGGGTTTGCCGCTGTTCCTTCAGGTCGAGGAGTTCTGGCAAACTGTACTTTTTACTCTGATTTTGAGACATGCCAACAAATGCCGCACACTGAAAACTCCCCTGTGTGGATGGATGGGCGGAGAGGAGCTTGCTCAGGAGACCAGTGATCACTCGCTGTTGAACGAATATTATAGCTGTGCTCTGGCTCGCGTCTCTCGAGCCAAGGAAGGATACTAGACAGGCCACTTTCTTTGAGATTTTGTCACCACTCGGTGCAATATTGTACTGAAGTTGCGAGAGCACGGGATCTTTGCAGAGGAGTTTTGTGAGAATTCGATGTTCCTGATCCGTCCAGTTGACTAAGAGGTCACCGTTATCCCAACCCGACTTGTTTAAGACTTTGATCGATTCCAGAATGAATAAGTCGGTGGCCCAAGGCCCGAGCTCGACCAGAACATGGTGTGCCTTGGTTCGAAACTTGGAAAGTTGCTCTTTCCATGGAAGTTGGTTTGGAGATCTGGATTGTAAAGTGCCAGTAGGTGCGGGAGAGACAGCGTGAGCAGAGCATATTTGTTGTAACCTCTCTAGAGCAGTACTAGCATTGGTCAGGGGGTCCATTTCGTAAACCAGAGGGACCAAGTCTGGCCGATGAACAAAGTGAAACAACTCATCACGGTGGAGTGTCGGTGTCACAGCTATGGCGTCAAGGTTGTATTCGACGGTGCTGGAAAAGGTTTAGTCAATGAGCATATGACCATGAGGGAGACAGACTTCATCTCACTGAGCTTTGAGCGCACAATGGGTGTCGCAGTGAGACCCAATATATGTGGAATTTGATCGGGGGACCCGGTTTTCTTCTTAGGATGGTAGAAATTGCTCATGATCTTGTTTGCAGGATGTTTTCGAATACAGTGATGTGCTTGTTGACGCCTCAGTAAGTCTCAGGTCAGGGCCAGGATCAAGGTGTTTCCGTACCTTCGTCGAAGACTAAGAGAGCTAAGTTCTCGATCTTTACGAATGAATGAGCAAGAGCGTCCTCAAGAATTTGGTGGGTTGACACCATCACACGGACGCCATCCAGTGCCGCATCCCAGATGCGCTGCTCACTCCACCGATCTACATTATCGTTGCCGACGAGGAGTTTGATTCTCGTTGAGGGAAGTCCGATGCGGAGGGTATCATATTGTTGCTCACACAGAGCAACATGAGGCGCAAGAAACCATACAAACAGTTTGATAGTCAGCATCTTATATTCCAACCGTCCTATCCGGCAGGCAACCGACCTTATGCAAAGGGCAGCGTTCTAGCTCAGCCATTATTCGAAGCAACGCACTGATATGTGTGAGTCGAAGTTGGACTTTTCGATAGCGCTCCTACATATGTGTTTTCCCACTTCCTGTGTCCATCTATGCACTTTGATCAGCGCGGAACTTCATGTATCTTGTGTGTTGCTTACCGCCACGATAATGTTCTCCTGCATGCTTCTTTCGAACATCTCCAGTTGGTAGCTGCGGGTGCGCGCGGTGATTTCGTTCATGATGAGGCTCGAGAGACAAAGATTGGGAAGGTGACCTACAACTTTACACTGTCATATTTGATACAGTGCCCGCTTGCGATGAGGATGGTTTAAGTGTCATAGACTAAAGCCAGGTACAGTTTCTGCTCGTCAAGCTTGTTGATTCATCCCTTGCATCTGTCGAATGAGGGTGCCTCGAACTGGTCCAATGATTCACGGAGATGAATTTTAATGAAGGTGCTTCATTCGATTGGGACGCAAAAGTGGAGTCTCCTACATCTACCAGTAATAAACTTGGCTAGATTTCTCTCAGCAGATTAGAGGAGGATCCTTGTACCCTGGACTTACAAGACCCTTATTAGCAATTCACAACGTCACAGTGGCTGGGCCGGGATCGTGTTTCTTGAAAACTCGAAACCTCAATATTTGCAACGGTTCATCCTTCCCAGGTTGAATCGTTACGACACCTTTTCTGCAAAATGTCTGGAAGAGGATCCAGAGGTGGAGGTGCGGATAGAGGACTGTCATACAACCCTCGAGGGAGTGGCAGAGGAGATCGAGGCTCAGGCAGAGGAGATCGAGGCTCAGGCAGAGGAGATCGAGGCTCAGGCAGAGGAGGTCGAGGTTCAGGCAGAGGCAGAGGATTTCCAACCCAGGTCAGCGTTTATCGGTACGGATTCAGAAATTTGACTTCTATGACAAGTACTGACAATTCTCAGCCCGGATGGAGACTCTGCGATAGTGTATGATTCAACTGTGAAGCGCATCGAGGAGGAGATACAAGCAAATATCCAACGATCAAAAGGCTCTTCTGCCGCCACAAACACATTGCCGGAACGTCCAGGTTTCGGAACCAAGGGGAAAGAGATACTTCTGTGGACAAACTACTTCGAATTGACAGGATACGGAAACCTCCTCCTCTACCGTTACTCAATCGATATCTCTCCTATTGGTACCGGTAAAGGCCCAGGTGCCGAAAAGACGAGACGTTTGGTGCAATTGTTACTCGAAGACCATTTCAGCGACCACGAGCTTGATGTCGTTACGGATTTTAAATCGAACATTCTCAGCAAGGTGGAATTGGATCTCCTGGACCACTATCGGGTGCCATATCGTCAAAAACACGAACAAGACCCGAGCCCCAATGCCCCCGTATTCCAGATCACGCTTCGCCAAACGGCTGCTCTGTCGACTTCAGAATTGCTGGATTATGTGACTTCCACGCGAAGCGCCACACTTTTCGGCTCCAAGGACGAGCTGATCCAAGCTCTCAACATTGTGATGGGATATCATCCAAAAGCGGCGTCTGACATTGCGAACATCGGAGCACACAAACACTACTCCAACGCAGCCACAACAGAGAAGTTCAACTTGGGCGCAGGGCTACAGGCAATCCGAGGGTTTTTCATGAGTACCCGAGCGGCCACAGCGCGAATTCTTGTGAACGTCCAGGTCAAGTATGGCGCGTTTTTTGAAGAAGGGCCCCTGGAAGGGCTCATCAATGTCTTCCTAACTCAGAACGGGAACAGTAAGCTGAAGCTGGAAAATTTTCTGAAGCGTTTGTCCGTGAGTGTCACACACATCCAGCGAAAGGACAGGAGAGGACGAGTCATTCCTCGCATCAAACAAATATTTGGGCTCGCATCGCAACGTGATGGTCAGCAGCAGTTACACCGGCCTGTAGTATCCAGTTTTGGGGCCGGTCCGAAGGAAGTGAAGTTCTTCCTGGCAGGTGCCGATCCTGGCCCTCAAAAACAGAGCCAGAGATCTGGAGGAGGCAGCAGCAGCAGCGGCGGCGGTGCAACTCAGGGAGAGTATATCAGCGTCTACGACTTCTTCAAGCAAAGTGAGACCCCTTAAGAAAGACGATGGTAGTCCCGCTAACTTAATACCCAACAGCATACAACCTGGTCATTCGGGACATCAGGCTCCCAGTGGTCAATGTTGGAAGCAAACAAAATCCATCCTATCTCCCAGCTCAAGTCTGTCATGTCATCGGTGGGCAGCACACATCAACGAAACTGAGCGCGTTTCAAACGCAAAACATGATTCGATTTGCAGTGCGTCCACCAGAGCAGAACGCCCGCTTCATTGCAACTTCTGGGGTCAGCTTACTGGGGCTAGTACCGACAAATGCTACGCTGGTGAGTCCCTCCATTTCCGTGAGCATTATTGTCACTCACGAAAAACGGAACAGAATAACTTTGGTCTTGAGATCAAGCCCAATTTGCTTTGCGTCCCCGGCCGTGTTTTGGACGGCCCAAGAGTCCTTTATCATGGAAGGGGCATTACCAACCCTCGTGCAGGGAGCTGGAATTTGCAAAACGTGCGTTTTTCGACGATTTCAAACTTGCCTTATTGGACTTACCTCGCAATATCGATGCGTGGATCTGCTTTATCTTGGGGCTCTGAGCAAATGCTGCAAACCGCGCTGGATGGGTTTACCCAAAAATTGAACGAGCTTGGTATTACCGCCGTCAATCACACCCCAGGATTGACTATCACTCTCGACCACCCCACAGTGGAGAGAGAGATCACCAGTTCTATCCACAAATTCATGCATAGCGAGAAGAGGAAGCCGCCAAGCTTCCTGCTTGTCATACTGCCCTCGAAGGACACCAGAATCTACAATTGCGTCAAATTTGTCTGCGACATCAAAGAAGGACTACTCAACATTTGCACTGTGGGTTCGAAGTTCGTCAAACCTCACAACGACCAATATTTCGCCAATGTCGCTCTAAAGGTCAATTTAAAGCTTGGAGGTAGGAATCATTCACTCGACAACCAGAAGCTCGGCATTGTTGCCGAAGGAAAAACTATGATTGTCGGTTTAGATGTTACACATCCTTCCCCCGGCTCTGCAAAAACGGCACCCAGTGTCAGTGGCATCGTGGCATCAGTCGACAACTGGCTCGGACAATGGCCAGCAGAGCTCCTCATTCAACGTCCTGGTGAGGAGATGATTACGGGCCTTCAGCCACTGATTAAATCACGACTTAAGCTGTGGCAAAAGCTCAACAAGTCCCTTCCTGATAATATCCTCGTCTACCGCGATGGTGTCTCCGAAGGCCAATACAATCTGGTTCTCGAGAAAGAACTTCCATCATTCCGAGCCGCTTGCAAGGAGTTATACCCCCCGGACAAGACCAAAAATGGGTTTCCTCATATTACTATCATCGTCGTTGGCAAGCGGCACAACACTCGCTTCTACCCGACCAAAGAAGCCGACGCAGACAGATCCTCGAACCCACCGAACGGAACGATTGTCGACCGCGGCGTCACCGAAGCCCGAAACTGGGACTTCTTTTTACAAGCCCACACCGCTCTCCAAGGAACCGCTCGTCCTGCGCATTACTACATTGTGCTGGACGAGATCTTTCGGCGACGACCTGTCAAACCGCCCTTCAACAACCCCGCTGATGTGCTGGAAGACCTGACGCACAATCTCTGCTACCTCTTCGGACGCGCAACAAAAGCCGTCAGCATCTGTCCACCCGCGTACTATGCCGACCTGGTGTGCGAGCGGTCGAGATGTTATCTCAGCGGCCTGTTTGATCCGGAGATTGCAGAAAGCGGCTCAACAAGCACTCAGTCGACGCAGTTACCGGATCCAAGTGCGGTCAGATTGCATCCTAATGTGCAGAATTCGATGTTCTACGTGTGAGAGGAGAGGCGCGGGAGATTCTTCAAAAATGCTGCCATGGTTAAGGATTTATTCAGGAAAATGCGAGTCCAAGCTGTGAATCCGTGACGAAATGAGATCCCCCAGCACACCTGTACCCTCCGTTTTGCTTTACCCATCTGAACCCGGCGACACAGACGCCCATCATTTTCAATTTCTTTTGTGCTTCTGCTTCACACTTCTTCCTGGCCTCTTCCGCCTCCTTGATACGTCTCAACGTCTCTTCCTTCTCCCGTTTTCGACGTTTGATGTCGAGCTGTTGCAGACGTTCCTCTTCTCGCTTGCGCTTGAGTTCGTTGACTGTCTCTTGATCTTTCTGGGAAGCACTAGTATCGTGTTCAAGCTCCGCAATCTTTGACGCGCTCTCGTTTGAAGAGGTCTCGAGTTCCATGATGGTGCGTTCATGGTCAAGGACCGTCGCTTGATAGGCGTTTTGGGCGGCTAATTGCGCTGCTATGTCCCTTTGAAGCTGGGTCCACGTTGCGTCTGATACACCTGGGTCGCGATGGTTGGCGTTGGGCGGCTCAGACTCTTCTGTCGGGGCCAAATGATCAGCACTGATGACGTTTTCTAATATCGCAGTGTTGTCTGACGCATTGATATTCGGCGATAAGCTGGGCTTAGAGGCAGAGTGGTCGTCTTGCATCTGAAAGACCGGACTTGGGTCATACATTGCCTTGTTGGCCTCACGGTCTTTCCGTATTGTAAGCAGCTCAGAAAGCTCTTTCAGGATGTCAACTTCTGTTGCCACCAGTGGCTCGAATGAATCCTCGGCTCCCTCGAAAGCTAATGCAATCAGCTTTTTAGATATCGTGATGATGTCCCGCGCATTTCCCCATGATGGCAACTTGGTTAACTCGTCAATCACTTGTACCAGTTGACTATGTGTGCGCGAGGATGCGGCTCGACAGGCCGGACTCATCATGACTCCGAGCATGCCGAGTTCTTTCTCCAGTAGCTCTAGACACGAATCTGGCTTCAGGGGCTCGAAGATCAGCTCCTCAGGAAACCGGCTCGCTAGCCCGCGATTCACATTGAGCAATCGGTCGATATCATTCGAATACCCGGCGAGGATGATGACGACTTTCCCTTTGAACTGGGGTTTTGTTACACAGTCGACCAGTTCGTCGACAGCTTCCTTGCCGAAAGGGCCGTCAGACAGACGATATGCTTCGTCAATGAAAAGAACCTTTCCGAGCGCTTTGGTGAGCACTTCTCTCGTTTTGGGGCCGCTCTGGCCGACGTATTGGGCGATGAGATCGGACGCGGAGCACTCGACGTACTCTTTCGTTGACAAGATGCCGATTTCGTAGTAGAATTCTGCCACTTTTTGTGCTACAGTGGTCTTTCCGGTTCCTGCAAATCCATCAGTGATGCGATCTTGGTACATTTGGGTTCGTTCGGTCTTTACCTGGAGGGCCCTTGAAAATCCAATTGAAGGCGATATGATCCTTTGGATCCTGGCCTCGACCTTTCATATTGAGAGCCATTCTCTGAAGTCTCTCGAACTTACCGGTCCACTCCTGGGCACCAACAAGGTTGCCGAAGATCTGGGAACAAATGCTCCCTGATCGCGATGCTCGGTTGAAGTCGGGATCAAAGTCTTGTGGCAGGAATAGCACGTCGGGATCTTCGTTGTCCATCGACGAGGATTGGGATCGCGCTTGATGATGTGCCTTTGCTCGGCCGATCAAGTTCTCAACTTCGCCTGCGTTTCCGAAATTGGGACGATCTCGGGTTTTGGATAGGATCCCGATACAGACGTCTTTCGCCTCGTCTGTGGCATCAAGGCCCTGCTTTTTTAGCTTGAAGTCGAGGATCTGTCGAAGTTCTTCGTCTCCGAAGTCGTCAAAGTGGAATGCTTCGCTGATGGGAAACCGTCTCGCGAGGCCTGGGTTCGAGTTATCCAGCATCTCCTTCATCTTGTCCTCGTACCCAAGAAGTAGCACACAGCGGTCTTCGCCAGGGGTGTTTTGAACTTCGCCAACAATTGTGTCGATGACCGCGGCCTTGTAGATATCGGCCTGTCCTTTTCCAACTCCACCGCCCGCAAAGAGGCCGTAGGCCTCATCTATGAGGAGGACCTTGCCCTCGCTGGTTCTCAGGATTGCCTTGGTGTTCTTTTCGGATTCTCCGAGATGTGCACCAACAAAATCGCTCGGAAGTTTGAGCACAACTAAACACAGATGTATGAGCGAGAATTCTTGGTGCCCTCGAACTGACTGGAATCGTGAATTGGCCATAAAACTTACCCTCATTCTTCGAAAGCAATCCCAGCTCTGCGAGAATAGCAGCATAGAGCCTTCCTACCGACGTCTTTCCAGTTCCTGGATTCCCAATGAAAATCCGGTTGAGTGACACTTGAATGGGAGGCTTTCCAGCAAGCTCTCGATGATAGTTCTTTTCCACGCCACCAACTAGAGTATTGATACTCTCCTTGACCTGCTTCAAACCAACCATGCTCTGTAGCTCTCTCCAAGCCGCACTGGTTTGAATGACTCCTTTGGGCTGCGGTCCAATGAGGTCTTCTTTCGAAAAGAAAAGGTCGTCAGGGGATAGTCCGTCTTTGCGCTCCTTCACCAGCCGTTGAGCTTGTCGTTCTGACACCCTCGACCAGGTATTGTGGAGAGATCTGGCGTTTCCAAAGCCTGGCCTGCCTCGATTTGCACCCAGACGGTCGACTAGTATTCTCGCATAGAGGCCTCGTGGCCCATCTTCAAAACTCGCACGCGCGGCGTATTTTTGGTCGACGTATTTTTCCAACATGGTCAACAGTTCGACATTCGAGTAATCCGCAAAGACTAGTCGATGGGGCAAGCGGCTATCGAGGCCAGGGTTGTGCTCAAAGAACTTCTCCATCTCTTTCGTGTAGCCTGCGAAGACGAACACAATTGAACCGATCCTCTCCTCGATTTCCGCCAGGAGAAAGTCGAGCACAGCTCCACCGCCAAAGGAATTCCCCGACGTGAGCTGATATGCTTCATCGAGGAAGAACACGCCTCCGCCCGACTTCATGAGGCTCTCAATGTGCTTTTTCGTCCCAGCCACACCTTCGTTCGCCAGGCTCGAGCCTGTAGCTTCGACAAATCCCGACCCGCGCAGTGCACCAACGCTGGTCAGAAACTTCGCATAATGTCTTGCCACAGTCGTTTTACCTTCGTTTATCAGTTAAAGTAACTCGTCCCTGGAATTCATAGTTACCTGTGCCAGGATTCCCGAGCATGACCATTCCAAGCCTCTCCTTCTTCATGTCGGTTTTCTGCCGTTTTACGATATCTGTCTTTGCCTTGATCGCCAAAATCTTTATTTTGACCTCTTTCAACCCCGCCATTGCCATGATGGCATCAATCGCGTCATTCGTTGCATTTTCGACTCGCTTCTGGCGTTGCCACTCGAATTCTGGGGAGTCTTCGGGGGTGGGCGGTGGCTCAGGCCAAGTAATGTTGGGAGGCTGTGATGGGCGTACTTGATCTTTTGGAAGCGGAGTTCGCGGAGCCCCCGGCTTCTCGCCTGTGGTTGAAGTTGTTGGCTCCGCGACATGAGATGGAGGCTCTTGAGATAGAGACTGTTGCAAATCTTCCAGGTCTCGTTGTCTCTGTTGCAGTGCCTTTTCTCGGTCCTCTTGTAGTTGTCTCTCCTCTTCCACGTCTCGAGCAGACTGGATCTGCTGGTCGATCTTCTCCATCCTGTCGGCATGCAGCGCATCAAGCCGTGTTCGCCTCTCCTGGATGTCGAGGTCGTGCTTCAGTCTTCGTTGTTCCCGCTCTTCGGCATCTTTACACTGGCTGCACTTCCCTCTGCTCAGCTGATGACATTTTCTCAGTTCAAGATGATCATTCTTGCATCTAATCTCCAAGATTTGTTGGCATGGAATTTTCGAATGATCAAACAGCTGATGGCAGCGTTGCGGACACTTGTGGACTCCGCAATTCAAAGTCGTTTCACTAGATAGAGTCAATCAACTGAGAGGTGCTCGCACCAGAGACGGACTCACCATGGTTTGTTGCAGCCACCATCTGGGCATTTCTCGTCAAATTCATCTGGCAGTTTGAGGATGGCTTTGTGAGCTGGATGCTGCTGGCACCGGACAGGCAGACCCTCGTAAATATGCATGCCCTTTTTGAATATCCCCAGAACTTTGCGCCATAGTTCTCCGCCCTTTGCAGATCCCATGAATGTCTCAGAGTTCCCAATGATGATAAGGGCGTTGCGAGCTCGAGAGAGAAGCACATTCACCCGCTCTGGGGAAAAGAGGAAGCCGATGTCATTTTTGGTATTGCTCCGAGTCAAGCAGACGATCACTATGTCACTTTCGTCGCCTTGGAAGTTGTCTGTCACTCGTTAAACCAATTGCACGGAAATGCTTGGGGAGATATTGTCTAGTTGCCACTTACCGATTGTCGACAACCTGATTTTGGGCTTTTCATAAGCCGCCGATGCTTCTGGCATTAATCCAGCGCGGACCAAATCGTAGGAGTCGAGATCGTTGAGGACAGGGTCTGTCGATTGACTCAAAAGATCCATCAGCAGTCTCAATTGGCCGAGGTACGGAGTTAAGACGACAATGTTGTCGGTTCTGTAGCCTTGCTGTCCCAGATAGCGTACACACTTCCATGTCATCTCGCCCTCGAAAAGATTCTTCTTGGAAGAAGAAGTGTAGCCGTCTCCCCACTCCCGTACATCTGCGAGTTCCACTTCTGGATGTCGATGGTCCACGAAAATCAGATTGTCTGTGCATCCGCGTAGATCAGGGCGTCCTTTGGTCTTGGGGGCGTCGCAAAGCTCGGGATACGTGAGCTCTCTGAGGATAGCAGATAACTCTGGACGCATCCGATGTTGTTCGACCAGGACCTGGTGTGGGAAGCCTTCAAGCACAAGCCTCTCGAAGAGAGATCTGTTCAAGTCGTAGCCTTCGCCCTTCTCCACCGTCAAGTTGTAGTTGCTGATCTTCGGACGAAGCTGTTTATGGTCACCGACGAGGATGAGTTGCTTCGTGTCGGGTCCAATCGCCGTGAGAATGTGGCTCTCGAGTATTTCTCCCGCCTCTTCCACCAAAACCACTCCTGGCGATACCGATTGGACATGCTTGACATATTTCGCTGCTGCTGTTGTTGTGCAAGCGATGATCCGTTTCTGCCGCATGACTTCAAGGTCTTTCTCCATGTAGATTGCACGCACCTGTGCAAGGGCTTTGTTGTAGGCCTCTCCCGCTCCACATACAAGTTCTGACACAGTCTCCATCATTTCACGCTTCCATTGCTCATAAATCTGGAATCGCTCCGCTGCCTTCAAATTCCAAACTTCGGGAAATCTGGAACCATGGCTTCGTTGAAATATTCCAGCATCCTTTCCTCGTCTCCACTGGTCCAGGAGGTAGAATTTGTCCACTGTCCGCCCACTCTTACCGACTTGGGTCATTTTCCCTTCCATTAAAGGGACTTCAAAGGCCTCAAAAAACGAGGGACCCTCTGATCGGAATTCGAGATGTTCCAAGACTTCTGACTTTGAAAAATTCGTTCCTTGCAAACGCGCAACCGCCTGTCGTAGTGCTCGGCCTTTCTGTGTCACCGCAGCTCTCGCCTTTTGCAGCATGTTGAATTGGATTGGGGTCAGCTTGCGACTTGAAGGATTTTCTTGCAATGAGAGTGGTTTTGCCCTGATGGTGGCCTTTTTGGTGCTTCCGAGACGCACGATATCAGAATCCGGTATACCAAGATCTAAAAGCTCTTCGAGAAATTGGTCCAACGCATGATGCGTGTAACAGACAACGAGAATCTTCTCATTAGAGAAGTGCAGGATTGATTTCGCGATCAGAGAACCCATGAATGACTTTCCAGTCCCTGTGCCAGATATTCAGTTCTGAGGATAGCTTCATAACCATCACCTATATTGGCGCTTACCTGGAGGGCCTTGAATGGTGCAGACCTTCTGGCGCGCTCCAGCAAGGAAGCATTGGGCTTGCGACTTGTCCAGTCTGATTTCTCGAGACAGGCTAAGAACTTTGTCGATTCGGACAACGGCGTCTTTCTCTATTTGTTCCAGGATGCTCTGGAGACTCGGATTCACTTTGTAATCGATCTCATTGACCATGCAATTTTTGTCACCCGCGAAGAGCTCCTCTGCCAGAGGTATGTTTCTGATCGCTTTCAGTTGCTTCAGGATTGGCTCGTACGAGAACAATGGTGTGTTCAACTGTATAAATGACACTGGAAGCGATGACCTCGCCTTTGATATCACGTTTTCGACACTCGACTCCGGAATTCTCAGGCAGAGAATTGGCGGTTGGTGGTTAAGAAGAGCTTCGTCGCGGCAGATGGTGGCAAGAGATAAAAACTGATCGGCTACCATGAGACAACCAACCGAGTCATCTTTGAGGTAGTTTGTGTTCTCCTTAATAAACTTCTTCTTTTTTGCAGGAGGTAAGACATCGATTTGGGGTAGGCCAATGAGGCATTCGAATTGCAGACTCCACTGCCGTTTGTCATCACACAGGGCGCCCGCAAGGCTCAGGCTAAAGACTCGTAGCCTCTTCCGAACAGTTGATTTATTAGGAGCTTTGATGTGACCGAGCTCTTCTCTCAGATCAGAAATCATGTCTTCGCGTAACAAACGGAACTGTCGATCCACTTGTGCTGCGAGGCTCGTGGCACCCTGCGGGTTGTCCATGTCCTGAACTCGGGGTAGATATGGATCTTTTGAGGCAAGTTCTTCGGCTGTGGGCATGATGTGGATGGCATGTATGTCTTCGAAATCATTGTCGTGACGCCCACCAGGTCCATTCACGGTGGCCGATTTGTAGCCTCCGATAATCTCAATGATATGAGCTATCTTTCGCGCACGGAGTCGGACGTCCATCGTCGAGTGGGCAAGCATCCGCTTTCGAATCTTCTCGTTCTGGCCAGCCTCGATGATGCGAGGGATCGCATCCTGTGATGAGAGGATCTCGACAAGGAACGAGGACAGAGCGTCTAAGGCGTCTTCGCTCAGTCTGCCGCAGGCTGCTGCTTCGACATAAGCATTCCAGGTAACTTCTACTTCAACAATCGATGAGGCGAGCTGCTGCACCAGATATCCCCCACAGATCGTCACAACTTCAGGGGTTTGCACATATCGAATGAGAGATGTGAAGATTCCATTCAGAAAGGGCAGTGATGTGTCGCTAGCCAAAGCCGTCCGGAGAGATCCTAAGCCTGTAGCGCTGGCATTCAATCTTTGGATGCACATCCCGGGATCTTCTTCAGAAATGACTGCCTCTAGGAACTGTTTTGCATTTTTGGAACCAAGTTGCTCCTTGCCCGCGAGAATCTTCGCATACAGCCCCCGCAGCTTGGATCGTCGAACGGGATCCATTGCGCCAAATGTTTCGACAAAATTTGGAAGGCCGAAGTCACAAGGGCAGAATCGTAGGGGAGACACAAACTTAAGACACTGTATTACCACTGCAAGGGGAAGCTCTGAGGGTGGCTCTCGGTGAGACAAGGAGGGGAATATGAACACACGAGGCCAAGGCCAGTGCTGGCATTGCATTTCGACACTATCCTAAACTGCTGTGACTGGCCCGGGGGCTTGTCGGAGCCCATATGAAGGTGAATATGAATGGACTAAGATGCCACGGTGTGGGATTGTGTGGATTCTTCCAATCCTGCTCTAGACCGAATCCAGAAATTCTAAACCCTTTGGTTCGTCCTGGTGCCGGATAGATTCCAGCTCTCCCACACCAGCCCGCTCAAGCTTCAATACAGTCTCACAAGGCGTCCCTTCAAACAATGGCATTATCTGTGTGACCTTTTGAGCTGCTTCCTTGATGAAGCTATGACGGCTATTCTTGGCGGGTCTGAGAAAGTCATCAAGATCCTTCTTGCTCAGTTTCTCTACCCTGGTCATCTGTGAGATTTGTTATAACTAGAGGTTGGGCACAACTTACGCAGCATTGCTGGCACAGTCTGCCTTTCCAGAGGGGATGAGTGCCAGGATTCCAATTGAAAATTCCCTATATATCGCGTCCCAGATCACGCCGGCATGAAGTCGATTCTTCACCTTGTCTCGGTCTTCCTCTTCAGCGTCCTCGGCGATCTTGTCAATCACCGACGTTCCCGGCCTTTTGCGGTTGGCTCCATTGCCAAACAAGCTTTTCAATTCATTTCTTCGTGAGTGCAATCGGACAAGACAAAGTCGATGGATGACATTATTCGTGTGGGTGTTAGATTCCAAAATATCAAGGTGTTTCCATATTTCTTTGGTTGAGGATGGTAGGCCCATGTTCGACGCCACCTGTCGTTCCCTCAGAAATCGCAGTGCTTGTTTGAGCTGAATGATTGACAGGATCCCAGCAACACTGCAGATTAGGCTGTTCACTACTGAGTTGAGCTCTGCACAACAAAGGTCTGAACCCGCAATGGTCTTGGTGCGCCCCCGTGGAGAATGGTTCGTTTGTCTTCGACTAGGACGCGTCGAGTTCACCTTAGATTTCATTTCCGTTACCGGTCCTCGAAATGCGTGTCCGCCGAGTGAATCCGGCAAGCATATGCGCTTTTCAGGATGCCGAGACGGAGATATAGGTTGATATGCGCTGGCTCTTGGTCGAATGGGATGTAGACCTGATATCAGGTGAGGACTGATGGTTGTCAACGGCAAGGAATTGTCTGAATCGCACTCTCCGTGTGATTGGAAGCACAAATTCAAGGGGCTTTCTCCTTCGAAGGATGGGCCCTGCGAAGTTGCAAGCGAAACCTGATTGTTATGATCTGCACAGGGTTCCTCTAGAAACATCTGTGGTTCCAAGTAGTCTTCTGCTTCGCGAGATGGTGAATCCAATCCCTCTAGCTCATTCTCATAAACTTCACGGCACGTGTCGTCGAAGCTCCGTACCGTGCATTCGAGTTCTTGGATGAAATCCTTCAATTCTTGGACAGCTTGGATTCCCGCTTCACGGCTGTTTGTAATCTCGTCTTTAGTTCTGCGATGGATTTTAGTCAGGAGGGGAGAAAAGAACTAGACCACTCATCAGCAAAATTCAAGTAGTCGGAACAGCTTGATCCTCACGTCGGAGTCAGTCGGACCAGGTATAGATTGTCTTTCCGGCATCGTAGACCTGACGGATCACATCCTTATAACACAAATTCCAAACAAAGTCCAAGGATATTATGAGGCTGCCATAGCCTCCATATGTAGTTAGCATACGCATTGACCAGGAACTTCCAATAGTAACGCATTGATACACCGGCTTGGCACTCCCAGGGATTCCAACGCTCCCTTCTCTGATTCGTGAGTCTTACAATGACTTGTTGGGAAATCATGCAGAAAGCTGGTGCAAAAAGGAAGGATACATCACCAGCATGCGTGTCAAAAAATGAGCAGAAGAGGTATACTGATCCTTAGACAACCACAGTTGGAAAGCTGACTTTGTACCAGAGCAAGGGTTTGGAGAGCTGGAGACTTCAATTCCCTTGAAGGCTCCTCTAGTGGACGTGGACCATGGATACCTCATCGCCCAGCGCAGAACTTCAGTATTGCAGCTGCGGCCACCGACTCCGTGTCAACCTCTCAGACCTATTTGCGCGCGACCTCAGCGCCACCCGACCTCCTTGGGAGAGAATCGAAGCAGGAACATACAACCGCAGAGAGGGCGGGTCATGTTTCTCGACAGACTGTCATGCACGTTTCTACTGAACAAGATACAGTTCGGGTCCGAAGAAACGAAAATACGGCTAGACCTCTCTCAAACAGTTTATTCCCTCCCTTGTCTACCACACAACTGGGAATCAAACAGGAAGTCGACTACGTCCATCATCCAAGCCGACCTCTTGAGTCTTCGATGGCGACAAGTATCGGACAAGAGAGGGCTCAAGCGCTAGCAAAGAGAATACATGGTTTGATTGACAAGAGAAAAGAGCACCATGGGAACATAGACACACTGAAGAAGCGGATCAGACAAAGTCAACTAACATACGCGGATCTGATGAGGAAGCGAAACAGGTTGGAGACCAGTCTTGCAGATCTGAAGGTGAAATTGGAATCCGACGAGCAGCTGTTGAAAGCGGAGGCGAGGTCTGTAGATGACATACCCGCTGAGATCGAGCAAGCCTCTGCCGAGCTGGCGGCGTTGATATCTGGATGATCAACTGGGAGTGTTAAAGTCTCCCACAACACTCCCAGTTGATCATCCAGATATCAACGCCGCCAGCTCATCAGAGGCTTGCGCGGGATCAGCCATCAACGTTCCACGCTCGCGGTACATAGTTGCTCTAATCGATGTCGTTCAAGAACTCCCAGTCAAAGAATCTGTCGATGTACGCTAGTGGATACAAGTCTTCATGAGCAGCAAAGGCACACTGACCCTAAATTTTGTATGACCCACTTCACATTATTGAGACCCCCGTTGATATTCTCGTCTGCATCAAGCCAAACTGCGCCCACTATGGCACTCAAGACCAGTTTCATGGTCGTCGGTGGAGCAGCAATGTTTTCCTGCCGCTGAGACATCGACAGGCAGGTATGCAGCGCTTTCTGCTGCGCGGCATCGGACAAGTAGTCCTTGGCCAGGAATTTCTTTCGCAGCAAGTCAAGCTCTCCTGATCTTCGTCAGTTAACCTGCTAAGTAGGGCGGTAAGATTCGGTCTTTACGCACGATGGCCCATGCCTCGTCTGAACCACTCATCTACCATCGCCAGCTCCAGGACTGCATATCCTAACTTCGCAAGACGCCGATTGCCATCGGACTCATGGATCTCGCCAGTCAGTTCGTCTCTGTCTCTGGTTGCGCTTTGCAATGCCTCATAAAGAAGCCCTCTATCACGAAACTGATAGCGAGTGATTTCTTCGGCCCGGGTCAAGTCAGATTGAATTTGCGCCATCTTGTGAGACGGAAGATTTGAAGCATACCTAGGTTCCCAGGAAAGAGGAAGGCGGAAGGCGACAGCCTGACTGCTGAACCCCATAGCGACTTGACAATGATCGGCCGTCGGCGTCTACAAGTTCCGGTTGATCAAACAATCGGAACTTCAGGAGCAAATGAAAATAAATGGTGATTGTCTGACAATATGCTTTTAATTCTGGTACTTGATGTGCTCGAAAGTGCTCCAAGGCTTTGCAGGCAGATGTCAAAAAAAGGAAGAACCTCGGGCCAAACCGGCGTGTCATTTGTTTGCCGCTACTTCAGGTGACGACTTCGAGGCACTTCATCCCAAATGAGTCCCAGAGCATTGCCCTCCATCATTGTCTTTTCCTTCCCCTTCTTGTTCTTCTTGATCTTCTTCTTGATTTTCTCCTCTAGCATGTCTGCCGGATAAAGGTTCGTGGTCGAGATAGGGACAAGTCGTGAGGTTCGGTTCCTCAACTTGAGTACCGAATGTCTCGTGATCGTGGAAGTGGCATGCGTCTCCCGTTTTGACACCTTCAACTCGTAGCCCCATGAGATCGGATCGCTTCCGTTCCTTGGCCAGTTCGGGATATGATTCTATCACAGTCATCCAGGAGTCGACGACCGTGTCCTTCTCCTCAAATGGGTTCGCGAACCGCACATAGTGTGGCACCCAGAAGTCGACGTAACCAGGATTCAGGTTGAGCCAATGCCAGTATTCTTCGGACCTCGGTTGGTCCCAGTTTCCAGAGCTTGGATGCGAGATCTTTCCTGAGTATATCGGAACGCTGATGTTGTAGAGCGGGGATGCGATATATTATGGCCACGCCGCAGAGCTCTAGTGCTTCGGAGAAGGACAACCCCACCTTACGTTGAGGTTCTTCCATATACGACCACTGCATGAATTTGCGGGAGATGTCAGTGGAGACTTCTGGCATGGCGATACCAGGATCCTCTTCCTTGTCCAGGATGATGTTCTTGTGTCATTCCCGGACAGCAGCACTCAGTTATGCTCCCAGTCACTCATCTGTCGACAAATTCCCCTCTTGCAGCCTTCACACAGTTCCTGCCGGTGTGGCAAGCCCTTTTTCGAGACGTAGTGCGGCTGTTCCACCTCAACTCCAGCCCATTTCTGGATTCTGTATGCAACCCGTTCAATATAAGATTTCTCGTCCAGAGTAAGAGAACCCAGTGTGTCGCAAGTTTTGCAGCGCTGGTTGAAAACCACAGCATTGTATCCATTGCTTGCATAGCCCCTGATCAGGATGGCCACTTTCTTGCTGGCCCAACCGCTCATATCGCAGCTTCGATTTGTGCACCGGAACCTGCCCATGACATGGGTCGAGTATTCTCGATGAGCATTTCTGTCGTCTTTGCTTCTGAAAACCCATTTGACGGTCAAATTGTGAGAGATCGCGTTTTCAATGTCCTCGTGGAGCTCTGGAAACATGAAACTTGTGTTTTTCCCCTCGTTGCTTGCCTCGCCCGCTCGACTGAGCTTGGAGTACGTCTTCTCCACCATCTCTGATCCTTCCAAAGTCGTAGTGAGTTCGGCCAAAGCTCCAGAAAACGTCAACGGCTGAGGTGCGAGTCGATGGTACCTTGCTCAGGAGGTGTTGGCAGAATTAACAATCAAGGTCAGGTTCGAGTTCCAGAACTATTGCAGCTCGCTCCCGATTCAGATCTGACACTTGAGCTGCTGGGATAACCGTTATTCTAATATGTGAACCACCGAAAGACCTTGCGTCTGCGGCAGACCCGACTTTATCGCGGCAACCAATTCCTTGAGCCTGTTCGCCACAGAAGGACGTAAATGGAATAATCAGGAAGTCAGAAAAAAGCCACGAGTATCGAGGCGCCAAATCAAATCCTGGAAAATACTTTGCCTGTCGAAAAATGCTAGAAGCTGTAATCTAGAGTGTGGCTTGGTGTTGTAAAATTACGGGGCGTGTTGTAGCTTGCGCGGTGGCTTCAAGAAATGAAATGGCAACCGCGTTCTACTATGTACGGGCGAACTTGTCACTTGTGCGATCGCCCACATGAGGACCCGATCGATCAAGTAAGTGACCGGATTGGAAAAGCTGGTCTGCTTTGCACAAAGGGGAGAGGTAACGAATGGGACAGATTTTAAGATGAGAATGCCAAGGAACGCGACACAACTCGAGGAGAGGGCTTGCAAGCTTTGGGTGAGTTCGGAGATCATCTTGACGGATCTTCGACGCCTGAGCAACTCACAACGAGGTTTCAGAAGCCGTGCGTCAGCAAACAGAGAGTGCAAGAGGCCTGCCTTTTAACACCACAGTATCGGCCGAAAGGATTGACCTCCTGACTGTTGAGTTTCTAACAAGCTGCCGAGGCTGTGAGAGCCTGGTAGACCACGCTGTCGAGCTGACTTCATCCTTGGTTAGATAGATGGACTGTTGTCTTTGAACCATCCAAGCAAAACACATCAAAATCGAGTAAATCTTGTAGACATAAGAGTAGGAAGTCCTCCCAACGTACGAGTGATCGACTACTGTTTGCCCTTGAAGCTCGTTGAGAAGTGGGCTGGATTATACTCGACGTCCACCATCCACTCCCGTAACGTCTTGTATTTGGACAACCGCGGCACCTCTGCCCACTGCTGCGAATCATCTTTCGTTTCGGGGATCCGATTGTCTCGCCAGATGCTCCACCACGCTCCAAACGATTTGCGAAATGTGAAGGCCGTCGTGTCGTCCGGCGACGCTCCACGCGGCAATCTACCTTCGGGGTCGATGTTGGCAGAAATGCGCTCCATCCAATCGGCGAGCGTGATGGGCTGAAATTTCGTCTTCTTGCCGGTATATTGCTCCAGCGCATCGGCCACTTGGTCCAATGTCAGCTGAAACGGGCCTGCCGAGACGAATTTTCCAAGGCTCTCGCGTGGGTGCTCCAGTGCCCACTTGACGGCCTCGCCATAGTTATCCAGGGGGATCAGCGGCATGATTGATTCCTTGTTCAGGGGCAATTTGAAAACGTATCCGTCGCCTTGCGGGACGGGTTTCAACAGTCGATTCAGCATCTCGGCATACACCCCGCCGGTGATGATCGACCATGGTAGACGGTCCAAGGGCTGCGCCGCGAGCCAGCCCGCCAGCCGTGCAGCCACAATATTGTGACTGTTGCGATATTCTTCGGCTAGGCCATGGGCGACAAACCTGTCGACTGAACCGGCGCCAGAGTAAATGAACCACTTGATTTTGCTCTGGACTGCAATCTCGTAGGCGCGAAAGGTCCAAAAATACTCGAACGGCTCGCCGACACTAAAGCTGTCAATGTTGAAGTAGACAACGTCTTGGTCGGCGAAAGCGGTACGAAGACCAGCCTCGGTGGTGTATGAGCCCTGAAGAAGCTTGACAGCCGGGAATTCGGCTTGCAAGGCTCGGCATGAAGACGACGAGATGTCTCGCGTCAGGACAGAGACTTGAAAATTGGATCCGTTGGCAAGAGCTAGACCACCATCAGTCTTGGAAATAAAGACCTGCCCCGGTTCGCGCAAGACTTGCCTTTGACCACCGAACGGCCCTGAGCGCCTGTGCCTCCTAAGACAACGACCCTAGCGTTCGAAAACGATGCGATGGTGGTCATGGTCAATGATGTTGGGTCTTCCTTTCAGCCTAGCTGATATCCCCCTCGAGCTTCCATCTTCGGTAGCTGTTCCTGTAATATATATATGAGCGCCATGGAGAAGCGATGCCAGTCACAGAACACGTACGACACAAATGGGTTTAATCATCCACCAAGTGTCAAAGAAGCTCGCAGCGACCAAAGGTGGATTGCAAATAACGTCGATTACTCAACCATATTGGAATCATCCTGCACCACCAAGTCGAATCTAACGGTCAGGACCTCGGATAGACACAGTTTGCTGATAGAACAGCGGTAGTCACAGGGGGCGCGCATCGGCCGAGCACGGTTACACCAGCGCGTTAATCACTTTCATTGGCCCACAATCCAAGTGAGGCATGTGATTTGCCATGTAATAGCAGCAGGGTGGGGCCGGCGCGTCAACTACTCTTATTGGCCCAATCAACTGTACGTTATGCCAGCCTTTCTTCTACGCAGTCCTGAGTACTCTGAACCAAGGATTTGTAACGGACAATGCATTGTTTTGTCACGCCGAGGAAGTCAGAGGAAACCGAGAGGTCAATTTGTCGTTGTTGGCCGCGTGTCGATCAGTAAACATGCTATCAAGACCACCGGCGAGTCTCACGCCATTTGTCTATGAATATTTGCCCTGGCAATGGCGCTACAAAAGGCCGTGTGAAGAAGGAATTTCGCTCTGTGTACAGCGTGGTCTGTCTCGTGAGAGGTTGCATGATCAAAGAAACCAACCACTTAGTCCAAGAACAAAAATCCTGGAACAGTGATACAGCCTGGTAATTATCGACTGCGATGCCAAGACGGTGGGAAGATATCGGGGCTTCAAAGCGCAAGAAGCTCCTTGAATCTATCCCAAAGGAATGGCTTATCCCAGAAGATATCAAGCCTCCAGATTCTCAACTGAATGTCGTCGACTTTCCAGAGAGGTCAGGATGGTTTACCAAGAAGGAGCTTGAAATCACCAACACTTCGGCGACAGACCTAGTGCGAAAGCTGGCGAAGGGTGAATGGAGCTCAGAAGAAGTGACGCTGGCGTTCTGTAAGAGAGCGTCAGTGGCTCACCAGCTGGTCAGGCAGTCCCGATACACAAGTCACGCGCGATAGTGATCTGACTAGGTCGCACAGGTTAATTGTCTGTCGGAAACGATGTTCGATTTCGCGCTCGAGACAGCCAGGTCCCGTGACAAACACCTCAGACAGACGGGCAAGCCCATCGGGCCTCTACACGGCCTGCCAGTATCCATAAAAGATTGCTTTGACCTTGTCGGTGTCGACTCAAGCATCGGATTTAGCTCGCGTGTCGACAAGCCTGCAAAACACAACGCCGCGGTGGTCGACATTATGCTAAATGCCGGCGCAGTGCTGTATGTGAAGACGAATGTGCCGACAGCCATGATGATGCTCGAGACAGTGAACAATGTGACTGGGCGGACGCTGAATCCGTTGAATCGCGACCTTACACCCGGTGGGTCATCCGGGGGTGAGAGTGCCCTCATCGCTTTCGCTGGCTCACCGCTCGGCATTGGCGGTGACGTCGCGGGCAGCCTCCGCATCCCTGCGGCTTGTACGGGAATCTTCACACTGAAGCCCAGCGCTGGCCGGTTCCCAATAATAGGGTGCGCGTCTGGGCTTCCCGGGCAGGAGGCCGTTCAGGCTGTGACTGGGCCTTTGGCACGGTCGCTGCAAGACTGCTTTTTGTTTTCCGAGGCCGTGGCTGCTGCAGAACCGTGGAAACTGGACACCAAGACTTTACCCATCCCATGGCATGCGGTGGAACACAAGAGGAAGCTGAAGTTGGGCGTCATGTGGACCGATGGCATCGTGACGCCGACACCGCCAATCCGACGCGCTCTAGAACAGACGGTGACGAAGCTTGAGGCTGCTGGGCATGAGATCTTGGACTGGCAGCCCGAGGGGCACCTGAAGGGTCTGCAGCTGTTTCGTCAGATAATCTCTGCCGATGGCGGGAAGAGTCTGAGGAAAGACCTGGAGCCCACTCAAGAGCCATTTCGTCCAGAACAGCAGCTCTGGGAGAACGCCTCGGAGCTTGGTGTATACGAACTTTGGCAGATCCACCAGGGGCGTGACGATCTGTGTCAGCAGTACTTCAATCGTTGGACTGCAGCTGGTATTGACGGAATTCTATGCCCGACAACGCCTTATGCGTCAGTCGGACATGGCGGCTTGAGGTACCTTGGGTATACCGCAATTTTCAACCTCCTCGACTACTCGTCCATCAGCTTCCCATGCGGACTTGCCGCGAACAAAGATCTGGACAGGGCACCTACAGATTACACTCCACTCAACGACTTTGACACACAAGTGCAAGGCTCTTACAACGCGGATTCTGTGGACGGCATGCCCTTGAGCCTGCAGATTGTGGCCCAAAAACTGGAAGACGAAAAGGTTTTCACCATGGCACGAACTATCTTGGAGGTCCTGAGACCTCGACCCACAAGCTTTATCTGAACCTGAACACGTTGACTCCAGCAGAGCCTACTCCATCAACCACAGGACTGGGTAGAGCTTTGAGTGGCCTGCCACCCTATCCAGAGCAATTTTCAAGTGGTTGGGCCTTTTGAAAAAATCCTCGCCTGATTTCTTGAACATCACGTCCTGTGGTGAAAACGTCTCATCCTGTCCATGCAAGCGCTTTACCGACTATGACGGGATATCTCAAATGCCTCCAAAGTCCCCGCTGCTTCCACAAAATCTCTGGTTATGTAGCCCCGCTCCTGATTTGGTTGGAAATTTGGAAACATAGGATGCAACGCCGGAAATACATGGCTGATATCCCCTTGGTCTGTACTCGGCCACAGGATTGTCTTTCCTCGTGATTTCCACGTCTTTACCGTCACGAATTCACATGCGAAGAAAAAAGCCTGGGCACAGTGTCACATTCGGGGGTAAAATTGGGCGTAAGGCTGCCTTGATTCAAGTTTCACAACTACATCATGTGGCGAGTTGCGCCGAGCCGGAGACAGGCATCAACTCTAGCAGTCGAGCGCTTCGGCCGCAGCGACGGTTGAGGCGCGGACTGAGTACATCGTCTTGGCATCCTACGGATTCATCGTCAAACGTCCTGGACTGAGCTTCTGTTCAAATCCTTCAGCGACCCAGTCGTAAGCTTTCTTTCCTGTTGGGTCGTCGAGAGCCATTTCGGCGAGCTTCTGCTGGACAAAGCGCGACGCTCGAGGATCTCGCACCACCTTGTCAATGATCGCCAAAGGCCAATTGAAGAAGCGCGTAACTGATTCGGCAAAATCAATTCTGGCGAGCGTACCCATGCAGTCTTCTAGCTCGTGCTGGATGAGAACGGAGTAATTTTCCGATGTTGGTGAAGGGGGCGAAGAGGCAGACAAGTGGCAATAAGCCAAGAGCTTTGCAGCCGATATGTAGAGGGTGATGTGGAGGCCGTAATTGTGGAACATCGCGTCGCTTTTCCATGTATCCAACTGAATTAGAATATCTTGAAGGCTGGAGGGGTTCCGACTGCTGAAAGCATTCGGCGAATCGTCGAGGGAGGCAACGAGGTCGGAGAAGAGCCGCACGAGGGAATAAGGCATCCCGAAAATTGGCCAATTCTCCGGCTCCGGCGACACTGAAAGCCTACAGTGCTCGAAATAAGTGTCGAACACATCACGGAGCGTCGGATCTTGAAGTGGTGAGAGACTCTTGTCCCGAACAGATACCAGCATGGAATGATATAGGAAGGACTCCGTAAAGATGCGATCAAAGACGAGAGTCGACCGCGTCAGCGCGCTCGACGGGCACCAGCCTCTGGATGTCGCATCCATTTTCCTTCTTGCTCGTTCGCGGAACACCTGGCCCGCTGCAGCGACGTGTACTGCAGCGGACGCAGGATTATAGCTCGGCTGGTGATTCTCATACAAGCAAAGGATGACCATCGTGGCAACGAGCCAATCCTCAGTACCGTCACATCCGCCATTCTGGATCGTGGCCCGAAGCACACGGATAGACCTTGCATAGAATTCGTCGGCTTTGATTCGAGCCGCCTGCACAATCCCCAGCTTGACCCCTATCGCGTGAGTCGCACATGCCAGGCAAGCATTGAAAAGTGCCGGATAACGAGGCGCCAGGTCATATGTACAGGAAAAACGAAAGAAATGTGGACGCGAGCGGGGACGAATTTGGTGGGGCAAGAAATCATGGACGAACGAGGCGAACAAGGCTGTAGATTTTGACTCCTCGGTGCTCGGAGGTGCGATACAGAGCCGAGGAGGCGTCTTGGAGCGAATATGTGCTGCGGGTGACAGTGGCCCTTTGGTTGTCAAAGTGTCGCCAAACAAGTGACTGTCGGACAAGGTACCCAATCGATGGGATACTTGTGAGGCTTGGAATCTGTTTCCATTTTCGCTTCGATCGATGGATGAACGATTGCGCGGCAAATTTCGTTTGTCTTTCTCCTGCCCCGTAGCAGGCCAGGCACATTCGAGGCCATTCCTCGTGCAATTATGGCAGCGGTCACGGATCTCGTCACACTTTTTGCGACGTTTGCGACCTTGCTCTTGTCAGCGGGATTTTGGGCATGCAAGGAGGTGATGTGCTAACAGGTCAGGCAGCCAGTCTTGGTTCTGATGAGCTTGGGCATGTGTTCCACTACCTTTCAATAGGTCTGCCGAAGTCCCCATGAAGTACGGATCTCATGTCACTCCGTTAAAATAGCAGATGCTTGATCAGGCTGAACGCCGAGGACTGGTTTGTCAGCAAACTTGGCTGCGCGCATGTCGTGGACCTTTGACAAAGCTTGCTTAATTTTGTCGCATTTGATCCGAGGCTCTCCCAGAGGCGTCCGTCCTCCATGCCCAGTCGATATGGCCTAAAAGCTTAGAAGGAGTCTCCGTATTTCTTACAATGTATGACGTTTTGAAAAAGGGAATTCGACGCCGGAATCTCGACACGAGGGCATTCCATTTCCATCTCCGGACCTGAGCGTGGCCCTGAGCCTCGCTGCTTCAACCTGAGATGCTCCTACACGTGACTGAGCATGGCGGTATTCGGCCTGAGCAACGGATCAATCGCGCCAACATTTGGGCCAGGGGCCCTGTTCCCGACACCCGCCTTAGTACCCATAACTTGGCACCCGATTCAAGTTGACATAATGCTCTCAGAGGTTCCTTTTCTCTAAATTGGTTAGTCTGGTCCAAGTTAAGATCGCCATCATCCTACTCCCGCCTTGCAGTTCCGCATCGCCCCGAGGACATCGAGTCAAAGTGCTTCATTGTTCAGGCATGTTGGCGCTTGCGCTGTTATTTTGACGGCAAGGTAGATTCAGGTAGACAGGCTTGATGAGGAGGCTCCCCGCAACATCTCAAATCTTTTGTGGTTTGTAATTGTCAGTCTCCATTGTTGAAATCTGATCGACCGATATCCTATTGTTTGGCGCAACTCACAGAACCAGAATACCATGTTCATTGCCATCATCAGTCATCGTTACTGGAGTTTCGTGTTCTAAGCAACCATCATACCTAGGGAAATATCGTTCCATCCTTCCCCTTTGCACACTTATTGATACATCGACGAATAAAACGCTTACTTGTATCGACGATGCTGGTCTCCCTGGACATAGGACGACTTGGTTGTCTTAACCACAAAACCCTCCCATTTCGGCGCTCCAGAAATTCGAGGCGGCGTTCACTTGACGACACAGGCGCTGTGCACAAATAAATTGTTGTCCAAATAGGGCATTCATGAGCAATTCTGTACCAAGCATAGCTATTGACCACTCAGTCACCAAGCCTGGGAAAAAAGGTGCCGCGGTTTTTTTGGAGTTCCTCCATCACTGCCTCGCGAAGAGCTATATTTCTCTCTGCGGACCCAGACCAGCCAGCTTTAACACCTAAAGTTGCCGCAAGCGCATCTCTGGATTTTGAATCGGAATTCCGGTGAAGTAGCTTCAGGAGATCTATGATCGATTCCTTCCATCTGAGTCCACTGCCGAAGTTATCAGCTCTCCTCTGCAGGATTTGGTTGAGCTCCGCCCTTGATAGAGCATGGTCGCTGACAATATTAGGCCACTGGACCTTCTCGGCTGCGGCTATTATGACCCCAGGAATGCTTAACAACAGCGCTTTCATGTACGCAGTGGCCATTGCCGCGGCATATGGCTGCCAGTGGTCGTTTTTGTGGGAGTCTGCATAGTCAGAGATCCCGCGAATGACCAGACCTGGAAACGATTCTTGGATACCTGCACCCTCCATCTCGACACATACCACCTTGAGATCTTCCCGCAGTCGGTCGCGGATCACGCCGTCTTTGACAACGAAATTTCCTGATCCAATTGTGCCAAAATGAACGTGAGAAAGGGGGTCGGACCGGGGCTTCCGCTGAAGGATCTCTGTCTTTGTCGTGAGGCAGGCTGAGCATGTAGAACCACCTTGATGGCGGTACGTTGCCTTGAATAGATGATCCTGGTTCTCTCCCGGAAACGAAAATGTTTCTCTCATATCCGGGCGACTTTTAATCATATCCTTCAAATGATTGGACATCTGGTTCCGAAGCCAGTGCTCTCCTTTCGAACAGAGAAAGTGACAGTATGTTGTAAGGATTCTCGGTGGCTTGTTCAGCACGCCGGTCCTTTCGAATCTTCCGTCGGGATGCATTTTGCCCAGATCATATTCAACGACACCACCAAATCCACCCTCCGGGTTGCTCACTACCACATCACCAAGTCGGATGTCCTTTTCCTCGCTAGGTATACCACCCCCGATGCCCACAAGAAAGCAAAACTTGATTCGTGGAAAGTCATTGACCAATTGCGTGGCTACCGCTGCCGCAAGGGTATTGCCGCAGCGGGTCGTGAGCGTAACCACAATATTGTGTTCTCCGATCCTGCCGAAGATGTAGGCGTTCTGGCTTCGGTCGGAAAGCTGTGGACGCCCTTCGTGCTTTTCGTCAAGCATTGCAGTGATGGCGTCTAGCTCGATTTGCAGAGTGCAAATGCAAGCAACTTGATAGTCATGGACACGCCTCACGGTAAATGAAGACATGTCTCCGGTCGACGATAGAGACCAAGGAATTCTAAGTAGCTCAAGGGAACTCCTTCACGTCGGACTCCGAGGGCAGTGCCGTGTCATTGACTACGCGGGAGGAAAAACAGCGTACTATTATTTCGAGGGTTCAATCTGATGGGCAGCCATCACCACCGTTCGACAGAGAATTCCGAGCGGTGGAGGGGAACAACCCTAGTCAAAAATGAGCCGTTGAGATGCATGCAGAAGGATTATATTGCAGAAGCCACCGAATCTTTTGTTCTTGACAGACAGCCATTCAACCCCGGACCTTTGAAAAGACAACCGGTGTGAAACGGCTTGCATAGGTCCAATCATCCTCTGGGACAGCCAAGGAATGAAACCTGTAGGATGTTCATTGGCCTAGAAGACTAGCATCGCCTCGAATGCATGCACGAATGGATCCTTCGCCCATGGCCAAGCTGAAATCTCCCGAGTCTAGATTGCACGGGTCCATCCACTGGCATCCAGGCGGAGCATTGCACAACAAGGCCAGCCCACGCTCTCTGCCAGAGCCACATTTGCGACTTGAATTGCGGCCCCGAATCACAAGCGAAGGGCAAGGCGGGGGTTCTCGGCTTTTTCACCTCAGCTTCACCGGTCACTTGGAAGTCGGGAATTTCAGCGTATTGAAGCTGAAGACCGATAATGTTTTTAAGAATTCGATGTTTGAAAAAGTGGGGGAGGGAATCAGGATTAGTCCCTTCCCCTTTTTGGAGGAACATGGACGGGTTAACGTCTGGCATTGTAGTCGGCCTGGGTTTGTTTTCTCCAACGCAGGCCTTCGGCGATGTCTCGCAAACTCAAACGGTGTATGCCTTCCAGAGGAGAACATGTAAAGTTCTTGAAGATTTCCGTCACGTTTTAAACCATGATGTAAGAAGTCGAAGCGTTCATCGATGCGAACAAAATTCAAAGTGAGATCCATTTCCCCCTTCAACAAAAACTTCCAACTCGCCTTCCCACAGAATGGTATCAACCATCTCATGCCTCTTCGCCGTCTGGACTGCATTCATCTCCTCTTAAGGTTTCGAGCTTCTGGATGACACCAAGCGGCTGTTTCGGGACCTGGAAACGTTTGAAGTCGAGGTTCGTATTCTTTCGGTCGAAGGGGTTCTTCGCTCTTCCTTCGAAAGCTCTTTGTAAAGCCCCTTGTGCAGTTCGTCCAACGAAGGAAAGTCTTCCTGGAGCCTTTTGATGTATTCTCGACATTTGTCCATGCCTTGCGTCCCGACCTCTTCCAGGCACTGTACCCCAAGGAGGATCGCAATCCAAGTGGCTGACACCACGGGAAGAAAGAATGCACCAAAAGTCATAATACCACCAATGCAAGGGAGGATAGCTCCATGTCCGATGGAAATTGCGTGCCTCACTGCTTGCAACATGTCGTTCTTCAGACGGACGAGTAACTTTGCCAGAAATCTTCTCGGGCTTTGCGGTTCATTACTTTTGTCCGAGACAATGAGATATGCAAGGCGAATAGCAAGGTCGTGACAGTTCCACCAGAGAGAGAAATACTCCCACCCGGTCATAAGCTTCCGATAGACTATGGGTCGTGCTTAGCATTTGTTTTCAAATATTGGCGATCAGTGGCGAAGTCTTACACTTTTCTGAAATCTGTGTGTCCGAGAGTTTCGTTTCGCCGACCTCTTTGATTGCGTATATATTGTGAAGATCCTCCTTGCCTAGGCAGTGGGAGTCTCCAGCTTCTATCACGTCTTGACCATCTCCTCCTACATGTTCCCATACCTTCGCATCCCGCATCTTCTTTGACATAGAGAATCTGCTATCATAGTAGACAGATTTTTCCATGACTGCGATGGCGTAGTGGACAGCAATATCTAATTTGGCAGCAGATATCCGAGGAAGGCTGCTCATATCACTTGTTTTACTCCAATCAATTGAGGATGGAGAAGGGGCAAGGTCGATACCCACAAGTGAGAGCCCCTCAGCGATCTTCTGGTACTTCTGGCCTACAGCCATTGCGATGAGGAGAATTTTGCGAGAGCCATATCTGGTTTTCGAATAGTCTTTGGTCAAATTAGCATTCAATCTCTCAGGGGGATCGTGACCTCGTATACCTCTCACAAGAACCGATTCGCCCTGAAAGAGATCTCTCAGCAAGCCCATGGCGGATTTGAGTCAGAACCTTCTCTTGTGAGACAATCATGAGGCTGAGGACCAGAATACCTAGGCTTTGTATATGGCGAGGCCCTACAACGCCACTTTGTCCCAATTGAGCCTGCTGCAGCATTATGTCATGGTCAGCGCAAGAAATTATCCAACAGAGGATGCAGAGGGTGGTAGCTCCTGGCGGTGTCTCGTGTCTCCTGCAAAGGAAAGGCAGATAGCCTGACAACGAAAAATGATGACCAATAGTATCAGTCCTACAATGTCAGGGGATACTGTTCACAGGTCTTGTGATCGAGCTAGCCTTGCGCGGACGACCAATGCATAGTGAGGATTCCAATTTTCGTTGAAGCAGTTTCACATCTCGGTTCCCTCATGCATTTGTGAAGCTCTGGTGGCAGGATTTGCGGAAGAACCCACGCTGCAGTGTGACGAACTGGTTAGCTTGCATAACAGCTGTCAAGACCGCTTTGCTGCGTCGATCCTATCAGTCCAAGAGAAGTATTCCACAGCATCAGATTCTGCGGATGACACACATCCAACCAGCCACCGATCCAGAGGGCCTGTTTTAGGTGCTCGTAAACTTGATGAAACCTAATCTTGCACCATGTGAACGAACTTTTCACCCGTTACAAGTTTGAGGCACTGTCGCAAATGCATATTGCTGCTAATCCGCAAGGGACTGAAAGCGAACACCCGACGGGCAATCATCCAAACTCCCTAGCCATGGCTGTCAGCCTCATCATTGCAAATTTGTGAAGTGCTAGCTTGGGGGCAGTAGAGGCGACTGAAACACGACCAACAATCCCCAAGAATCGGTTGATTAGGGGGTTTCGATGAATCCAGGACTTGCATCTCAGACGCAATTTGGGATTCTCTGGAACTGCAAGAGTCGACGTAGTCAAATTCGAACCCAAACGTGTGTTCGAAGCGCGGTGTAGTTTGTCAAAGAGTGGTGGGGCAGCGCAGGGTAAAGTGAACCATCTGGGTGTGGAATGAGGCTCGGGTTGAAAGGATCCGCCAAAACCTCTACTGGGCTCGGTTCCAAGGTTGTCCAGTCTAATCAGCAGCTCACCGAGACACGAGCGCAGTCCAAGCTGCCACCCACGCTTGTGTGTGCGGCTATATTGTTCTCGGCTTCGGCAGAGCACTGACATGTACATCCCTTCGAAAGACGAACTCTTATATTCTGTCGACATCGATGATAGATTCACACTGAAAGTGACCTAGTAATCGCAAACACCTTGAACGCGAGTCGAGGAATTTTACTACAGCAAACTAGCAACAAGTTTCGTGCTCGACTGTTATGTAGAGAGGGGATTGCAAAATTTTCTAGAGAAGTTTCTCCTCAAACGCGCCTGCATTCTAACGACCCAGCAAACCACAGAAACGGCCTGCGTTCGATGATTTTGCCAACATCCACAGAAGTCCCCCAGAAACCACTGCCAAACCCGACTCCACCGCAATGACCTAGTTTCCATCTTCACATTTTAGATTTCAAACCCTCAATACAACATTTCATCGACTAGAAGAATCAGATTGGTTCATCTGTGATCGCGTATTATTTTCAAACCTTTTCTGTAATACTGAAATCAATTTTCTCGACACATCCCGCTCCAGCCTGGATATTTGCCATTTTGCCATGCTTGTCCAGTAATGTCACACCGCACCCTTGACTCGTAGACTTTTCCGCCTCTGGGTGCCGTGCGTCTGGAAGAGGTTCTTCTTGGGGCACTGTGCTCGATTCGATTGGGGCTAAGGCGAAAGTCTTAGAACTTGTACCATGGCTGAATCAGCATGGGTAAAAACGGAGCTGCTTACTTGTACCTCCATGATTCCGTGGAGATCTTCTCTTTGGAATCCGTCGACCAGATGAGGCCTTCCTAATTCTGGGGCCCGGCATAATAGACACTATACAATTACAGGAGGTGATGAGTGGAGAAAACGCCGACAGTATGCAGCAAGGATGGAGAAGAGAAAATCGTTCGAAAGAGGATTCAGACGCGTCGTATCTATACTAGAAGCGAAACACACACGTGCCCACGTGATGTGTTTCTCGAGTCTTCCTCATTCACGGCACTCGTGAAACTGCCCGTGGCACCAATATTTGACCTGACAGCCAGCTGCGACAGCTCTGCGCCGAGGAAGAGTTTCAAACAACCCATTTTCTTGACCTGACACTGGCCGACAAGTTTCGCAAGAAGAAGTTGTCCACACAACCAATGGGCGAGTGGTCTAGGGGCCAATGGGCATTGAGTCAGATTTAGGGCTTGCCTTGGGCAACCGGGAAACCAACCACCACGCAGTCCAGACATTGCAGGTGAAACCCCCACGGGTTTGTGCCTACCCATCACTTGCGGACATCTTTGGCCAAGGGTCACAGGGCTGGGTGCGTGGCACCACAGGCAACTAGGCCCGTTCGAGAAGCTGAAACAATTGCTTCATGCGCGCGCTCTTTTGTCTGTGCTGCTTTCATGTTTTTGACCGTGCTTCTTGCTCTCACCCTGCGCATTTTGCTGCTGTTAGAGAATGGGAAATTGGATATCGGCCGGTGGTGGCAGTCCCTACAGTTGTTGAGTTGTCCACTGCATGTCAAGAGGACCAGCACAAGTTGACCGAGACTGGCGAGAAAATGAAGGCCCTAGGTTTCGCTTTATGCTATAGAGAGCCTTGTAAAACGGCTCCATTGATCCCGCAGTTATTAGGGAGGGTTTTGATCCAAAGGCTTCAGGCAAGGATTACACGTTTTTCAAGCCATTGATGAATTCAGTGGCTGGGCTGCTTTACCTAGTTGTCTCCTTTATATCATTCTAGTACCAAATGCTCTAATGAGCAGTCTGCCCTTGAATAGACTAGGACGTTCTCAACATCAAGATACAATATGTGTCTAGGCAAAACCCGGCACAGGCTCCCCAATCTCGAGTGTCTCGTAACCAATCATGATGAAAGCGTCCTCGCGATTCGTGAACTTCTGTTCATCGGCTGCAGAGGCACAGTGTTAGCGACAAGAAACGGTCGTGATAGAGATAAGAGGTCGTTCTTCACCAGCAAGTGCATTGACAATATTCTCCTGGCTTACGTGCTGGACATAGTTATCGACACTTTCTATCCATATCTCAACGATGCCATCGAATGGAAGGACCGGGAGGCCCATGACTTTCTCCTGGTTTTGGTATTCGGGAAGGGCGTGGAACTGCTCGATGCCCCCCAAAAAACCCAAATTAGCTGGAGCCCTTCTCTCATCCTTTTGGGGGCGCAGGAGTGAAATAATTCTTGCCTGGGTGTATCGTTTGCAGAGTTGGAGATAACCAGGAAGGCTTCGAACCACGTCGGCGTGTATCCCGGACCAATGGGCGTGAAACTCTTCGCTCGAAGTGCCAGGTTTCCTTTTGATAAAGATCGAGACCCGTATGTACGGCTGCCGTCCTGCTGACATCGTGATGTAAAGCTCCTTGTCAATGGGAGATATCTGAAACGAGTACTCGTACTTATACTAAGCAATATCACAACAGATTGCGTTTCGCTTCATGCTGCTGGAGCATGCCAGTAGAGGTGGGCTCGTCAATCCAGAGTAGGCAGGGCTCATACTTGAATATAAACCTCAGTCCTCGCCCCGCTTCTCCAGGAATTCCCAGGTCTTCAATACCCCGGAAATCGTGCCACCCACGGTCCGGAGTTCGGCATCCAGAGGACCACGAGTGGTCGTCCCGAAGTCTGCATGTTGCCCTGATTTCTGTTACCGGAGCACATCAAGAGAGTGTCGGGAGGTCAATCTCGGGGCGTCTTCGGTTGGACTGGAGAAAATATCAGATTGGGTTCGGTGTAGCTTCGGGCAATGACGGTGTCAACCTTGGTCCAGATCAATATGTGTGTGGAAGATTCTATTTCATAGCTATGCCGAGCTACCCAGGATTCTACCCTGGTGCGAAGCCCTATGCCGCAATTCGAGGTACTTTCAGACGTCTCTGGCGCAAGGCTGAAGAGAACAGGAGTCTCACAGCGACAGAACGAACAATTACAAAACAATTCCATATCCTCAGCCGAGATTTCTCTTCTCTTACGATGACATGCCTGTGGTAGTGTAGCACCAGGACAGTGTGCCATAGACTAGGTCGATGATTTGTGCTGATGCGTTTTGTCGTGCAGTGTTGCTCAGGGCGGCGCAGCCTCGTGTCCGAATTTGGCTATCAAGGCTATCTCACATTTTTTCCTCCATGGCACTTCCGAACTTCAGCCGCAGGATACGCATCGCGCGACTTCAAAGGAGAGTTTATCTTCAGAAAATAGTTTGTTGACCTCGCACGCTCCCTCTCTGCTTGCTTCTTTGACCAACTGAAATGGCCTTCATTCCAGCATTACAAGGGACCCACTGAAGATCCATCTCTCATGTATCTTCCCTCACATTCTCGAGCCCGCGGGGACATCGTTTACCTCTTCCCATAATCCTGCGGAAGAGATATCATCATGTCCGCCGCCGCTGGTACCGTTCGGGCAGCAGCACCGGCCTTTCTCACTCGTTCTCTGATATTTACTCCTTCTCACCTAAGTCACCGTGCGGGCAAATTCTCTCGTCACGATCCAGCCCTTGCTTACCGTGTCTTTCTAGACCTCCACCAAAATATCCAACGAAGCCTCGATCCTTACAGATTCAACGCCAGGAATCTGCACTCGTCGCCGCGGCGTCCAGCCACCGTCCCTGCCTCCTCCTCCGCTGATATGTCTGACTCGGCCATTCCGCACATTTCACTACACATCGCGGCGTCTTCGAGCGGGAAAGGCCGAAAATACCGTCCGGAATTGAGCACGTACGAGTACGTGCCGAGTGACGACGACGGGCTAGGCCTGCAACATGGCTCGACGCTCGAAGAGAAGAGGATCCGACGGCCCGATAGTGGACAAGATGCATACTTTGTCGCTCGTGTTGGAAAGGACCCGAACACCACAGCTTTCGCAATAGCGGACGGCGTCGGTGGCTGGACGGAGCATGGAATCGACCCAGCAGACTTCTCCCACGGCATGTGTAGCTACATGGCAGAGACGTCCCTTTCATGGTCATCAAACGAGCGGCTCAGTCCTAAACAACTCCTCGAGCTGGGCTACGAGAAAACAATAAGGGATCCAGCAATCCACGCAGGAGGAACAACCGCCTGTGTTGCGGTGACAGAAGGAGACGGCCGCATGCGAATCGCAAATCTGGGCGATTCGGGTTTCCTACAGTTGCGATTGGGGACGGTGCATCATTACTCCAACCCGCAGACACACGCTTTCAATACTCCCTACCAGATGAGCCTCACCCCGCCCGAGATTCTGGCTCAAGCGATGATCTTCGGCGGCTTGCCTCTGAACGACAAACCCGACCGTGCCGATCTAGCGGACCACATGCTCCGGCACGGCGACGTCCTTGTGCTGGCCACGGACGGTGTGTGGGACAACCTCAACTCCCAGGACATATTGTCCATCGTGTCTCTGCACATGCGCACCACGGGTGCCTGGTTGCGGTCCAAGGACCAAGGGTATATCGTCTCGCCCGTGCTCTCCGAGCTCGTGGACCACAGCCTAGCCCCTCACAAGCACAAGCTCCGAATCTCGGACACGGTCGACAGCTCTATCCAACAACTGCCGCTCGCGACGGGCACTTTGCAGAGCGTTCTGGCCGCGGCAATCGTCGGGGAAGCAAAGAACGCCAGCCTCAACACGAAGCGAGATGGTCCTTTTGCCAAGGAGATGCAGAAGCAGTTCCCCTACGACGCTTGGCACGGTGGGAAAGTAGACGACATTGCTGTCCTGGTTGTCGTGGCCGTGGATGAGAACAAGACCAAGGACGACACGCGGAAGCTGAAGCCGAAGCTATGAAACAATGTTTTCCTCTGAAAGAAAGTACGAATAAGGGACACTAGGAAGCTGAAGTCGCCGAAGCTATGAAACAAGTGTTTCCTCTGGAAGAGAGTATGACCTCCTACTGCACCGGCCAGTTTTCGAGAAAGCTCAATAACTCCCAACCCGGTCACGCAGACAGCCACACATTGCACCACCCAGCGACTCCAACATTTATTACACATTTCAGCTTACCGTCCATCCATCCACCTTTACACAAAAATTCGACCACGAACACTTCACAATCGCCGGATACCCTAACGGTCCAGACGTGACGGTATGTATAAGTAGGAAGCAGCACCATTTTGCTGTAAGGGGCACGAGTCCCCCTTCGACATTAAAATTCTTGCACTTCTTTTCCCCACCGGTTCTGCTCACGCTGATGCTGTTTACTTCAGCATCGCTTTTCTAGCCCAGACATGGTTGGTTGGTTGGTTGGTTGGTTGGTTGGTTGATTGGGAGCGAGCGAGCCAGCGGTCGGTTCAGCATGTGATATCTGTTATGTATATGTCTAACTTTGTACTTGGATAGAGATAGAGATTATTAGAAAATGATACCCGTATGTATGACTACATACACTGGAAAGTTTTGCTTTTTCAATGTATTGACAAATTTCCATTTCAGTTTTTGGAGCGTTTTGAGCGTGAACGGCTCAGGGGCGACAAGCATATAGGTATGTGTGAAGACTGCGCCTACCGACCTAACCAAACGATGCTGGTGGACAATTTGATCCAACATCCTCCCCTATGCGATGCAATCCATCCTCTGTCGCATCAGACATAGATTGTAGTAGAAATCCCCACGACTCATATCTCAATCGAATATGTTACCTCGTACCGGTTCGTGCTTCATCACTATCGTCACCACAGTCTCCCCTTATGACGATGGGCCCGGTGGGATATGGGCTCCTTGTTCCCCTCCTTGAATAAAACGGGCAATACAAACCCCTAGACCCCAAAAGTAAAAGTAGAGAAAGCCAATAATTGGGTCCAGTCTCCCAAAACACTCAAAATCCGGCATGCCGTCCTGCGCAACGGTCTCCTTTTCCTCTCCTGTTTCATTATGAGATAGCTGAGGCATCACTCCTTCAAGCATTAGCTCTGACCCGGATGCCAACATTAAATCCCAGAGGCTTTCTGAGGAAGCCCTCCCTTGTCTGCAACGGGCCCTCGTGCTCATCTCTGAACTCAAAGTTCCTGAAGATCGACGCGACCATGCACTTCAGTTCCATTTCGGCGACGTTCCTGCCGACACAGGCTCTGGGCCCGACGGAGAAGGGAATGAACGCCTCCTTTTGTCGCGGCGTCAGTCGCTTTTCAGACCAGCGCTCGGGGACGAATTCGTCGGCGTCTGCACCCCATATCTCCTTGGAGTGGTGGATCGTGTATGAGGGGACGGACAGGGCAGTGCCGGGAGGGAAAGTGTAACCAAGGATTTCGACGGGTTTGGGATTGGGGTTCTCGGGCGTTGGCATGGGAGTGAGACGGGGGAGGCCGAGCGAGGAGGTGGAGTGAATGCGCATGGTCTCGTTAATTACCCACTGCACATACTCGAGGTCCCTAACCTGCTCGTACTGGGGAACACCGGGGCCGATGTTTGCGTCAAGTTCCTTTTGCAATTTCTCAATGACACCTGGGGTGCGTACGACATAGTACAAGATTGCACAGGCCGTATTGGATGTGGTATCGGATCCAGCAATGAGTTGCGTGAGGGCCTCGGCGGTCAACTCTTCGCGCCCAAGTTTCGCGCCGTTCGCGTCTTTGCCTTCCATGAGACGGGCAAGGAGGTCCACTCGGTCGGTGTTAGGATTCTCCAATCGCTGCTGGACTCGGGCAATGGCGATGCCTGCAAGGTTCTCCACCGCTTCGACGCCTCGGCTGAAGAATGGGTCGGGGAGGTATTTTGCGTAGGGTTTCAGTTGCGGGAGGCATCCCAATGTGCCTGACACCTCACCTCGACGATTCAGGACTTCAATTGCTGGGGCCGTAGTTGGGGGAGCGTCTGGGGACTTGCGAATTTCTGCGATATCCTTTTCCTTCTCCAGCATGCCGAATGGCTGTCCAAATGCAAGGTCGCCAATGATGTCGAAGGCGAGGTAGTTGAACCAGTTCAAGGAATCAATTGACGCATAGCCGGTTTGCGGGTTGCTCTTGTTGTTAGAGAGGTTTCTCCATTTTTGGACAAACAGCTCCAAGTTGGCGTGGATGTACTGTTCGAATTGGCCAATGGACTTGGCGGAGAAGGTGTGAGAGACGACTTTGCGCTTGCGAGTGTGCTCTGCCCTGTCACGAGTGTTGAACAGGCCGCGGCGGATGGACACGAAGGCGTCGTAGTATTCACTTTGAAGTTGATGTGTTAGAATGTCATTGAAGCAAAGGCCTTGGGGCGAGTGAGGTTGTTGATCGAGAAGCAGCTACCGACTTACCTCTTCAGGAATCCATTGCCATGGCCATAGATGATATTGATGGCGCTGTCATCCGCGATCGAGACATGGTTCGGCTGAATCCGCACAACCTTGCCGTATTTCTTGTGCAGTTCGTCGACAGCCTTATATCTCCGTCCGCGCCGGCATTGATACATCAACCACAAATTTGAAAGGGCGGCCGGCAGAGGGCCAGGAACCTTCATGAGAGACCAGTTCCGGAGATATGGAAGGAGGAAGTAAAGGACTGGAAGGAGGAGAAGCGCCCATGGCGATACGAGCGACGTCACAAACATTCTGCCGGGTCTGTTCAAGTGTTGCTAACAGGTCCAAGCGTGGTCAAGGAAACAGTATCGGTGCAAACAAGACGAGGAGTGAGGGATGTTGAATCTTGTAGCCAGCAGAGGAGTGAGCACAAGGTTATATAACCCCCAGCAGTGACGTTGAGAGATCGAACAGTCTAGAGGCAAAACCCGAGACCGAAATGCATACTGCAAGCAGGATCAGTCAGGCGCAGGAGCAGTATTGGTGCCCACACAACAGGAGCGAGTCGGCCGAAGTCTGAATGGCGGCGATGGTAGACGGGTCGAAGATGTGAAGAACGGATGTTGAAGTCGGGAAGTGAAAGCTGAGAAATGCTGGCATGTGATTGGCTAAGCTGCTGGACTCGTCTTAAGTAAGGCATCATAGTGCTTAGCAGGTACCCGCGGCTCCCAGCAGCCCCCCAGGAGCCCCCCAGGAGCCCCCCAGCACCCCCCGAGCAGCGCCCAGAGCGGCCGCCTGTGCCTACTAGGTAGCGAGCAGGTACCCCGCCATTGTTCCGCCAAACCGGGGAGGGCAGGTAATAATCACCCCCACTCGTGTTGGCCTCTGTTCCCAAGTCCCTCGTACAGTGATTCTCGCCATTCGTTCTTTCGCGTCGCCGTGCTTCGTCTCCAAAAGTCCTCATCCGATGGCCAACACCCAGTCCATCCACTCCACAAATAGCTGCCTTTGTTCTAGCTTATCTGCGCCCCAATCTTTCGGATGGAGGTCCCACGGGTGATTCGGCCATGGGGCGAGGGCGTGGCGGCATCGCCGTTCAGAAAGGTTCTCCCGCTCGTGCCTCCATGCCCATAATGTACATACCGTGTTTCATACCCTTCGACTTTCTTTTGACGCAACACTGTCAAGTGTATTGATCTCCTCGGCACGAGCAATCCCCTTGAAGCACGTGAATCTCATCAAGCCGAGAACAGCCGATGGCTCACATTGTACGGCTTACGTTTAGAGCCTTGCGAGAGACATTATCATGCCATGTGCGTCCAAAGGGAGGAGCACGCGTAAGGTGTCAGATCGGGAGTATCAATGCACCATACGTTCGGCGGCAAGCTCCTGTATCATATAGTCAGCCTGCTGTTTTCGGCGGGTGAATCAGCTGTTAATAACGGGTTTGGAGCCTTGCTTACAGGAAAATTCTCACTAATTCCTGCGGCACATCGCTCCACATCTTCAACCAGACCTTGTACTCCCTGGTCCCATTCTCGAAGATCGCGTAGTGGCCCTCTCAGCGCAACACCTGGAACAGTCTCGAAATGGATGACACCAGCTATCTGATCGATTTCGCCCCTCAGCCTCCCCTGCTCCATCATTTTGGCGGCATAATCTTCGGCTTTTTCAGCGGCAGTCTCGTCCTTACCATCCTTGAGACCAAGTAACTGCGCAAGCGCTGCCGTGGTGATATTGGTGTAGAGCCGGCTGGTAGCAAGGAGATTGTGCTCAATGACAGCCTTACTCAATACGGTGCTCCCATCGGCGGTTTTGGCGAGCTGGTGAGGTGCTAGGGTTGCCGCGAATGCCTCCACTTCTGCCGCTGACAACAAACGATCCAGATACATATTCTCAAGGATGCCATACTCCTCCGTTTCCGAGGATCTCTCATCCTTGTACAACTTGGCCAGAGTCCGGCTTCTTTGGGGCCCGGCGGGAGCGAGAATGGCAGTCTTGATTGCTGCAGAGAGAGCTCGTCTTTTTTCTTCGTCATCGATCATGGTGTTGGAAGACACATTGAGATACTCGGCGGACGCATTGAGGAAATCTCGGCGAGAATCCAAGATACGAGCCTGGCATAACTGATAGTGCAGTCTCAGGTCTGGGCTGTCCTTCAAAACTTGAGCCGCAGGGGCCGAGTTCTTGATCTTGTTCAAGGCGGTTTCGGCTGCCACAGTGTCATCGTCCTCCAAATAATACCGTACAATGCGAATCCATATCTCGACCTTAGCTCGATCAGAGACCTGGCGCTGGGTAGTGTCGAGGTGAACGCCTTGTAATGCTTTTGCAGCCGCGGTGTATTCCTCTTCAGCTTCGTATCCATCTGCTAGGATCTCTCTGACTCTTGCATCCTGCTCTTCATAGGAAGCCAACTGCGGCTGTAAGGCTTCAGTGACATGTGACCCAACCTTGATCTTGACCTCGGGCGGAGCAGATGCGAGTCGGTCGATGAGCGTAGCCACAAGAGGACGGATAGTGATGATTCCGAGGGAAGAGGAGATCAACGAGTCGAAGTAGGCATTCAAGTCGGCCCCGTAGTCCTCGGGCGATGCGGACGGCGCACTCGTCAATTGGGCGAGAAGGTCACTGTACTTTTGGTTTCTGGACGCAGCAGGACTGGCCGCAATCGACTGCAGAGCAGCAGTGAGTTCTGGAGAGACCATCTTCCGAAAACGATCGCCCTCTACAGCGGGATGACGAGAGATGTCCTCAGTTATGGGAACTGAACAGCATACATAACCTGTACGAGGTACAGGAGTGACAGGGTGCATATCAAGGTGCAGCCGCCGCAGCGGGCCTTCAATTCATGGTTTCGTCACGTGGCGCTTATCGATAAGCTACATGACAGATCCCGGCAGCCTTGGCAGCGACGCAGACTTGGCAGATCAATGGCAGGCTGTCGATATTATGAGCAAGGCTTTACTTTTCCTTAGTTCTCTTCTACTTTTTAGCCAGCGGGACAACCATCGGTCCGCTTGCCTCTCACCTTGCGGCCGAGTTCCGCATTTCCTCTCATGGATTGCTTATGATTGGCCTAATCGCTCTATTCTGTGGCGCCGTTGATAGCCACCCAATCAGACGAGGGACGGAGCTGACAACGATTACAATCTCGCCCACAAAGGGCACAGGGCTGAGAATTCTTTCCATTTCCTCCGAGTCGTTTGGAGTTATGGAATTACTCTATTTTGCAGAATCTATACGGAGTACACGTCTACTAGCCCCATTTTATGCGAATGCGCTAACGCAAATGATTGGGTGCGAAAGAACTGTGCGTGTCAGGTGCAGCATAACTAGGTAAGGATGATAACGTTGAGCCACATTTTAGACAGACTGTGGCCGTTGAGAAGGCTACAAGGACCCGCATGACAACTTCCCAACTCAGAAAATCGCGGAATTGTCGCCTTCTGCAGCCCAGCTGGCCAGAATGTTACGACTTTGGCAATGCTCTTACTGGTCAGTCCGCTCCAGCACGAGGTGTTGTCTGCAACCTTGGAACCTCGGTTCTGGTGGAACGCCTCCGTTCTCAGACTCCATATGGCCAGAGACGTCGAGGCCAGAGTCCCGAGAAAACCCCCCTACCCTTTTCGATCACTTACTGTCCTTTCTCTCTCGGGAAAGACAGGCGCTGCGCAGACACTCCCACTGTGCTTGCTGGTAAAAGTTCTAGTGCTGACAGCTGGAAGAGCTATTGTGACCTTCGGTGACTACACACATCCGTGTATCTTGTCTCAGTCAAGGCATGACCCCGAAAGCGAAAGAAGATATAAAGCAGCAGATTTGCCTGCAACAAAATGCAGAAGCTCTATTCAATTCTCCTCAGATCTTTCTGCCGTATCCTAGCAGTTCGACAGCTCCTCCTTAATCAAAATGGTTCTTTCTTCTGAGGAATACAACAGCACGCTCTACATCAACGGTGCCTTTGTCCCTTCGAAAGGCTCGGACCGGCTGACTCTGACCAACCCTTGGGATGAATCTGTCGTCGCAGAAGACATCCATGTCGCCAACAGTGCGGATGTCGACGCCGCGGTCGCTGCCTCGGTTACGGCAGTGAAGAAGGGACCGTGGAAAAGCTTCACAGGCGCCCAGCGTGCAGCATGTATGCTCAAATTTGCCGACCTGGTGGAGCAAAATATCGACAAGCTTGCGCGTCTGGAGTCTCTGCCCACGGGCCGTCCGTTTTCCATGATCAAGCACTTTGACCTCCCTCACATGGTCTCTGTGTATCGCTACTATGCAGGCTGGGCAGACAAAATCCCTGGCAAAACATTCCCCGAGGACAACGGCACGTATAAGATCGTTCGCTACGAGCCTGTGGGCGTGTGTGCGGGGATCGCCTCCTGGAACGCCACCTTCCTCTATGTCGGCTGGAAGATAGCGCCGGCCCTGGCCGCGGGTTGCTCGTTCATTTTCAAGGCATCCGAGAAATCACCGTTGGGGGTCCTTGGTCTTGCCCCTCTTTACAAAGAAGCAGGCTTTCCAGATGGGGTGGTTCAATTCTTGACCGGCGAGCGAGACACTGGCGCCCTACTAGCGTCGCACATGGACATCGCGAAGATCAGCTTCACCGGCTCGATCGGGGGCGGTAAGGCTGTACAACAAGCGGCATTGAAGTCGAACATGAAGCGCGTGACCCTCGAGCTGGGCGGCAAATCGCCGGCCATTGTTTTCAACGACGCGCCGATCGAGGCTGCGGTCGGAGGCGTGGGACAAGGCTTCCTCGTCAATTCCGGGCAGATCTGCGTGGCGGCATCCCGGGTCCTCGTCCAGGAGGACATTGCGCCCAAGTTCGAAGCGGCTCTCAAGGAGCAGTTCGAGGCCGTTTCCGCCGGCATGGGCCCCAACCCGCTGGAGCCCACGACAATGCATGGTCCAGTGGTCGACAAGGCCCAATACGACCGCGTCATGGGCTATATCGATATCGGCAAGGACGATGCAAAGTTGCTCACGGGCGGGTCCCGCAAGGGCGACAAGGGATGCCTGATCGAGCCGACCATCTTTGTCAATCCCAAGTCGGGAAGTCGGATTTGGGACGAAGAGATCTTTGGACCGGTCATGAGCATCAAAACGTTCAAGACGGAAGAGGAGGCAATTGAGTTGGCAAATGAGTCGACGTACGGGTTGGCCTGTAAGTTCCGTTCTCCATATCCTTTTCCCTTTCCCTTTGACCCTTATCTCTTCCCGTCGCCGACTGTGCTCCCCGCCACGTTGTCTCGTGAGAAACTGACGCTCCGTCAACTAGCGGCAATCTACACCACCTCGCTCACCCGCGGCCTCCGCGTCGCCTCGGCGCTCGAGACCGGCGGCGTCTCCATCAACAGCCCCTTTTTGCCCGAGGTCCAGTCCCCCTTCGGCGGCGTCAAGCAATCCGGCAGCGGCCGTGAGCTGGGCGAAGAAGGCCTCAAGGCGTACCTAGAGCCCAAGCAGATTAACATCAAGTAAGTTTCTCCAACTCCGATTTCCTTTCTTCTCCCCTTTCCTCGTTTCGAATGGACACAACAAACAACGTCCATTTCCGGCTTCGAATCCGAAATTACGACGTGTTGTTACGGTTGGAGTCCCTTTCTTCCTTTCTTCTGCAGGATGGGTTTGACTGACCGTTGTGCCTGCGTGCATGAAGCATGAAAGTATAAGTGGACCCAAAACCCGAAGTCAAACGATTGATACGACTGTGAGCAAGCGTAAGCCCCAACTGAACCGTATACGATCAGAGCGCCACGACCGGATCAGTCAGCTGCAGAGCATATCAATTATCACTTAGAGACCTATAGCTTCGCCGAGAAATACGATGTTTGGGTGGCGACTACAGTGGAGCTATGGAAAGCAATTTTTCGATTCAAGGTAGCCTGTCCATTCGATCATTACAAACAACGACGCGTATTCGTTTCTGTCGCAGATGGTGTATGCCTCCCTTCAATCTGAGATTGCCTTCTCATGGGACTGGTCCGTTGTGCGTTTTACTGCAGGTTCCCATGCACGTAAGCATGCCCCCGTTCTCGCAGTGAGAAATGCATGCACGAGACCCGAATAGTATATGCAAGACCCCGGTATAGGTACCTACCTACCTACCTAGTAGGTATACCCTCTGCATCCTCGTGAAGGGCTGTCTCAGACGGGCAAAACTTTCAACCCGGACCAACCCCAATCCAACCCGACTCGACTCATACTCATCGCATCTCACCTAATCGCGTTCGTACACGTCACTCACAAAGCTGTCTCTCTCTCTCTGTCTCTCTCTCTCATAGACTGTGACTCAAACTCCCCTCAACGGCAACCCCAACTTCTCGTAGGTGGCATCAATCATCTCCATGACGCGAACACTCTCGGCCATATCGACCCAAGGGCCATGATACCCGCTCTCACCGCGGCGAACCATGCTGACAAACGCCTCGAGCTGCCAGCGGTAGGTGGTCCACCAGTCTTTGCCGGCACCACCCTCGTCGTCCCTGAATTCACGGTTATCCCAAAGCGGCCCGCCGCTGAACTGCTTGAGGATGGTCTGCTTGCCTCTTTTGACAATCCCCCGCGTGGCCGGGTCGCGCGTGACGGGCACGACGGCGATCTTGTGCGACAGCCAGGGACCCATGAAGTTCTCGTAGACGATCTCGGCGCGCTCGCACTGGATGGTGACGGTGGGCGTGCCGGCGGCCCAGAGCTTGGGGATCAGGCCGAGGAGTTTCGGCTGCGAGAGGTCCGCGGTCAGGGTTGCGTGGATTTCCGCGGGGGCCGCGGGTGATGATGCGCTGCCGGTCCCGGTGCCGGTGGCGGTAGTGGTAGCGGTAGTGGTAGTGGTACTGGTGCCAGCGGACGGGTACGGGTTCGGGTCCTTGATGCGGAGGGTAGTCGAGACGGCTTCGTCGACCAGCGGGTCGGACTGGTTCAGGCGGGCTTTGGCCTCGAGGACCTCGAATGTGAGGTCCGGGTGCGCGACGTCGCGGGCGGCAAAGTACGCGGCGGCGCTAAACACGTAGGTGAGATCCATGCAGCACCCGCCGGCAAGGCCGTATTTGAAGCGGATGTCGTCTTTCTTGATGACGCCGCCGGGGATGACGGCGCGGGCGTCGACGGACAGCACGCGGCCGTGCTCGCCGCTCAACAGCAGCTGCTTGACCACATGGGCGCTGGGGTGGAACCGCCAATGGAAGGCCTCGAGCACGACCTTGCCGGCGCGGGCGGCGGCGTCGCGGATCTCGCGCGTCTGCTGCGCGTTGGACGCGATGGGCTTCTCGACCAGCACGTGCTTGCCGCGCTGCAGCGCCTTGAGCGCCCACTCGTGGTGCAGCCCGTTCGGGAGCGGGATGTAGACGGCGTCGACGTCGTCGGCGTCCAGCAACGCCGCGTACGAGCCGTACGCCTTGCACGCCGTCTTGCTGGGGAGAAACCGACTGTTGCTGGCGATCTGGGCCTCGGCGCGCCGTTTGTCCCGCGCCGCGACCCCCGTGATCACCACGCCCGGGTGTGTCGACACTGGGTCCCAGATGGCCGTGTAGTTGATGGCCGCGGCCGAGAGGATGCCGATGCGCAGGAGAGGCGACCCCTGCTGTGCTGACGAAGAGGTCGAGGCAGATAGCGCCGCGGTTTTCTCGCGCAGGACATCCCGCTTGACCGCGTTGACCTTGTTCCACCAGTTGTGGAAGCCCAGGATGTACTAAAGAATCAGAACAGCCTCAGTCAATGTCAATGTCAATCTCCTGGTCACGCTGCCTTGGCCCCCTCTTTACCCTCTGCTTTCCGCATGATCTCCCAGAGGCGAACAAGAGTGTTCAAACACGATGGAATAAATTGAGGCGAAATGGAATGAAACATGGCATTATACGGAACAATACGATACAACACAGAATATGCCTAGGCACATACCTCGACGACCCAAGACATTGCGCAAGACCAATATCACCCTCCTCAGAAACGTTTCCTTTGCACAAACGGCTTGATGCTGGGGTGTCGAAAGCTCGACTTGCGCATGCTGTTGCGAGCTGGAAAAAAAGATGACCAGTGTTAGAATAATCACGCCAACAGGATGAAAGAAAAAAAAAAGTATCGTCTCCTATTTCTAGATATTTATTTTTCCTTGTTCAAGTGTTTTATGTAGCTGCCTGGCAGGCCTTAGGTACCTAGTAAGTGATCAAATCACCAGTAATGACTACCTCGTAATTATGTGCAACCGAGTTCCCATCGAGATCGAAAGCTTGCAGGTGGTTTGTGAGCTTAGCGGCACCAATGGGCCGCGGGAAACCTCTTGAGTCTTTCAACCGTTTGCTCCCAGGCCGGCCGGCCTGTGGCGCTTAAAGTCGCATGGACCTGTGCTGGGACTGCAGATGGATTTTCCCCGCCCTGTTCAACCATCCCCTTCTACGCTTCTGCTCCTCATACAAGTGGGAAGCATGTATCTCTAGGTTCTGCCGAAGGGGGAGTATCTCAAGCTGGGGCAATTCATATCTATCTACAGGGAGGTAATATGCGGGACCCTAACCTGTTGAGGAAAGAGGACTGGCCCCCATGGATCAGGCGGGAAGACTGTTGCCCCGAAACCATATCGGAGCCGCCGTGTCAAGAAGACCAGACAAGGGGAAGCCCGCGAGCATGGAGTCAACATCGCGTTAACTGCCTGACTCAAAATTTGCCAACAAGCAACCACTTTTGGAGAAGTCTAATGTCTAGTACAGAGAATATGAGAAGGAGAGGAGAGCCAGGGACCTCGTCCCTACGTTCAAGACCATCCCTCTTACGCCCTGTCTAGCGACTGCGCCAAACACATGTCGTAGTAACGGCCCTTCAACTGCTGCAACTCGGTGTGCGTCCCCATCTCCGCGATCTTGCCATTCGCAATCACAAATATCACGTCAGCCTCGCGGATGGTCGACAAGCGGTGCGCCACCGCAATCGTCGTCCGGGACATGGCCGCCTCGTCCAGAGCAGCCTGCACCAGCTTTTCCGACAAGGTGTCTAGAGCACTGGTGGCCTCGTCCAGCAGGAGGAGTTTGGGGTTCCGGATCAGGGCTCTCGCGATGGCAATGCGCTGTCGCTGCCCGCCCGAGAGCTGCGTGCCTCGAGACCCGCACGGCGTGTCAAACCCTTCGGGCAGCGAAATCACAAAGTCGAGAGCGTTGGCTTTCCGACATGCTTCGCGGATCTGTTCCTCCGAGGGTTCGAAGTCGAGGCCGAGAGAAACATTCTCACTCACAGACCCCTGGTACAAGGTGGGTTCCTGTTGCACGAGAGACATGTGTCCACGGTAGAGCCGGGGCGTCATGACCGCAATGTCCTTGTGGGAGAAACAGATTCGGCCCGAGGTTGGGTCATAGAATCTTTCGAGGAGCGCAACCAGCGTTGACTTGCCGCAGCCGGATGCTCCCACGAAAGCGGCAAATTGCCCCGGCTTGATGCTCATAGAGATGCCTCGAATGACCCGCGAGGTCTCTCTTTGACGGTAGCGGAACTCGACATCCTCAAGATCAACTGGTCCATCTCCTTCGGGCCCATTGGCTTGGTTGGTGTCCGTCTCCCTGATCGTCGGTTGTAAGGTCCTCAGCCACAGTATATAGTTGGCCGCGCTTCGTGCTTTAGTGATGGACGTGGTATACCCAAAGAATTCGCCCGCTGCTTGCCCTGCGAAGAGAACCCCGATGAAGATGGTATAGAACTGTCCTGTGGTATACTCCCCTGACGCCAACAGGCGACTCCCGTACCAGAAACCCAGTGCCATGGCCAGAAACACGATGGACTGCGACAGGGAGAACCAGAACATGGTCCACACTAATGCCCGGGTCGACTTCAGGACCATATTGCTGAGCATCTGCGAGTATTCCTCCAGGATATGGGTTTCAAGCGTCAAGGAAGCCACAGTTCTGATCGACGACACAGCTTCGTTGGCCAGCCCGGCACTTTCTGCAAATTTGTCCCCGACGTCCGCCTCAAGCTTCGTTTCCAGCCGTATGCGAAGATAACCAGACAGCAGCAGTGGTGGGAGTGCCCCAAATACCACAACCAGACCCAGCTTCCAACCATAAGCCAAGGCCAAAATACTGCTAGACACCACGTTAACACACACAATCAAGATGAGCATGATGTTGAACGCAATCAGCTCTTGTAGTTGGTTTGGAAGTGTAGAGAGCTTCGAGGTCAAGGCGCCTGACGTGTTGTCCGGAAGGTCGAAAAACTCAATGTCCTGCTCAAGGACACGTTTGAACATCTCCGTGCGATATCGGTGAGTGACTGTCTGTGCGATGATGTTACAGATCCACCCGATGGTAAAATAAGCTACCAGGTTTCCAATCGCGACGACGAAGAACATTAATGAATAGAAATCTGCTCGATCTCGGGCTTGCTTGCCAGTCAACTGGAAGATAGTCAGGAGCTTGGAAAAGAGAACAGCCTGGGCTGGGTAGGTGCCGCCGCCAATGAAGCAAGCCACAGTCGTCACCATGAAGCACCAGTACAACGACTTCTGCTCATAGAACATGATGAAAATGCATCGCAAGAGTGAATAGTCGAGAGTGCCGATGGATTTCGTCTGCCCTTCCGCGTCACCTCCATTAGATGTCGCTGCGGTCAAGGTCCGTTGGATCGCTAGTCGGTCCCCTTTCACATCAAGTGTCTCTTTCTCACTCAAAAGCTTGCTAGCCTCGTGCTGTTCTGCGGCACCAAGATCTTGAGCGCGCACCAGACCTGCATAGTGACCGTCCAGATCGATCAGCTGTTGATGGGTGCCTTGTTCGACTATCCGTCCATAGGACATGACGGCGATATTGTCGGCTGCCTTCACAGTGGCCAATTTGTGTGCAATGACCAACGTCGTTCGGTCCTCTGACACCCGATTCAAGGCATCCTGCACAAGTCGCTCGGCCTTCGGGTCAAGAGCGCTCGTGGCCTCGTCGAGAAGAAGGATCTTGGGGTCTGAAATGATGCTGCGAGCAATGGCAATTCGCTGTCTTTGACCTCCACTGAGTGTCCCGGCCCGTTCACCCACTTGGGTGTCGTACCCTTCGGGAAGTTCATTGATGAAGTCATCAGCATTACTGGCTTTGCAGGCTTCTCGGACCAATTCCATCTGTTTATCGTGGGGAAGGTTTCGTTGCTCGTCGAGAAACCCCTTAGCGACATTCTCAAAGACCGTTCCGCGGAATAACACTGGCTCTTGTTGCACAAGACGAATCTGGCTTCTCAACCATTTGACGTTGTATTCATCCAACTCTATTCCGTCAAGAGTAATATGACCTGCAGTGGGGAGATACCACCGTTCAAGAAGCCCGACAAGTGTGCTTTTCCCACAACCCGACGCTCCTACTAGAGCCGTGGTCTTACCGGCGGGAATACTAATGGTCAATCCACGCAGAACCTGAGCCGCTGGGCGGGATGGGTAAGCAAACTCCAAGCCCGTAATTTCGATGTGGCCTCCACATGAGGATGGCTGGACACCGGCAGGGTTGAGAGGATCCAGCAGTGATGGCTTGTCGACGACGCTGAACAGTTCTGAAGCAGCGGATGACGCGTTGGTAATAGCTTGCATTTGTGGTGCGATACTTGAAACCGCCGTTGCAGCAATTGTCACCGATAGCACAACCGTGAAGACTTCGCCAACATTTGCAATTTCCCCGCTTTGATACATTCGGAATCCTTGCCAGAATGAGAGGGCAATGGCCGAGTACACGCAGAAATACTGAGTGGAGAAAAGGACACCATAGTTGGGAGACTTCTTGTTTCCTTCTTTGTGGGCCTTTTGGAGGAAGGCGTCGTATCCCTGGACCATTTTCTTCTGTGCGTAGAAGGCGTGGACTGTTCGAATGGACGACAGCACCTCCTCAGCCAGGACAGCTGCTCGAGAGTAGACGCGGACGATTCTGGCCTCCTGCACTGCGTCGATGGCTATGCAGACAGCGGTGGCGAGAAAAATCGCAGGGATGACGGACATGGTGATCAAGGCCAATTTCCATTGCCTGGCCAAAGCCACGACGAAGGAAGACAAAAACATGGAAAGCCCTACGACGACGAAGACCAATTTCTCAGCAATGCCCGTCTGGATCCGATTTCCATTGGTGGTGACCTGAGTGGCCGTCGCTCCATTGGTCCGACTATCGAAATGCCAGATTTCCTGCCGCAGAGTGGCTTGAAGAAATGCCTTCCGAAAAGAACGGGTCGTCCGTACCGCGGAGACGCTGATTGCCCCCGTGGCGATATAGGTCGCGCCGAGTTTGCCAACGAAGAGGTAGATGAACCAAAGGACGAAATGGTCGACATCATCCCTGAATTGTTGCGGTGTTGACCTGCCACTGGCGAAATTGTTGAATTTGGTTGTAAACGTGCCAAACACCAGGGACATCAAGGGAAGTGCGGCGCCAGAGGCAATGGCGAAGGTACATGCGATAGCATTCAGGAGCCAGTCATAGCGGTCTGCGTATTGAAAGATGCGAAAATAGTCTTTGATGCCGCCTTCAGCCTGCTTCTCAGCTTGACGGGTCGCTGATTCGGAGCCATTTTGGCTTGAAGGCAGTTTTTCTGCCTCGCTCGACATCAAGGATCGTGGACGTTGAAGAGAGTCCTTCCAACTAGCGGCACTCCATGGACTATTTGCAGTATCCTGCGTGTGTGGAACAGTCGTGTAAATGTCTTATATACAGAATCATGGCGGATCAGGTCGCAATGAAATGGTATTGCCCAGACTGCTGCCTGGGCTTGAACTCTGGACACGGGGACGCGACTTTAGCGAGAAATGGTACAGCATCTTGGGACAATTTCTAGCGGTAACTTTGAGGGACTGCCTAGGTGTGATAGGGCGACAATACGCGAAAGGCGATGTCAAAGACGTCAAGACTTTGGTTTGGCCAGCTTTCATGTCGTCCGCGGGCGCCGTTCTACTTTCCGGTTCGGTCCCGGTTCCGGACGCCGGGTCCCGAGTCTCGAGTCTCTGAGAGCAACGTCTCCTTGTCAACCAAACCGACGGCGACGACACCACGAAAACGAGCGATAAATCCAGGAAAAGAGTCATTCAAATTTATTCTCCTCTCTCATCACTCAGAATCATTCCATCTACGGGTACCGTCTCCCTTTGACCGCCTATTTCGATCAGCCCAAGGTGGCTTCGCCAAAGGTAGCCTTCTCCAAATAGCAATAAATCCATTTCACATCCCTCCAACACATTGGAATCCGAAGGACGCAGCTCCTTTCCACTGAGATCTCAATCAAGTCTTCAACGTCCTAGATGTCACGCTGTGCCCAGCATAGTACTTGGTAGCCATAGCCATAAACACCGTGAGCCTGAACCATAGGCCAACTTGAACCCTCCCGGCTACACCCAAGTTTGTGTTGTGTGAGAGCACTGCTCTGAAAACCCCCAAACGCCCACCCGCTATGCCAGTACAGATTGACCACACATTCTGACATCGCTATCAAAGACTTCAAGCAACCAACAGTAAATATATTCTGCGATCAAACTGAAGGGATGGGATTCGGGAAAACATGCGGCCGTAACAAGTCGTAAAGTTGTTTTTCTTCTTTTCTTTGGTGATTTTGGGCTTTGTGGTGTTATAGAGGCCTGGGTAAGCCTGTCAAAGGCAAATTCGGTCGGAATTCCTTTGTCATATACACGTCGAGTCTGGATCAACTCGCACCGGTCTTGACTTTCTTAGCATCTCCCTCTTTTTCCGCCAGATCAACGCTCCCCTTCCTCTTTTCTCCATTCGCTTGCTCACTCGCCGCTTCTCGGGCTGCATCTCTGCTTCCAAATCCCAACCCTCTTGCATCTGCCGGTGTTGGAAACACGAGAGGGCTTGGTAAAACAGCCGACATTCGGTCCCACTCAGTAAAGAAATTGCTCGGACTCGGCAGTAGATCGTTATTCATATACCGACTTGGCAGGGCAGATATGGGCGTCTCGATATTGTTTCGATTGTCATTGTACGCATCGCGGTTTGCATTCGATGTAGGCGGTGGGGGCCGAGCAAACGGATTTGGTGGTCCAGATGCTCCCGCCGACATTACTGCAGAAGCGCTCGGCGAAGGTGGCGGCAAGACAATATGATCAGAGCCTCTGGCTGGGTTTGCTGACGGATTGGCCGACTGTGATGGCGACCCTCCGGCGGCCGACTCGTTGTCTTCTGCTTCCGAGGGTATCTGAAGGTTCAGTTTCGGTCGAGCACCAGATTTCGATCCTGACGTGTTAGTTCTAGTGGGCGGTGCAAATTCCGGAACAGTAGTTTGTGGCCGACCTCCTTGCGAACTGGGTCGAGGGATGGTTGGGGCTGTTGTACTCCGAGGTGGAGGTTTGACGTCTGGCGCCTCCTCTTCCTTCTTCAGCTGAGGTTTAGGATCGGGGGCACCAAAGAAATGCTGCATCAAGACCGAGCCTCCTTCGTCGATCGGAGTGAAAATACTTCTCGATTTGGAAGACAGGTGTTTTGGTTGAGGTGGTGTGGCTTGCTCCGGTGGCCGAAGATTTAACTGTTCCGGTTGAGGTGAGACGCGAGCTTCTGCTTGGGGTGGAGGCTGAAGACTGGGTTGAGAAGCCGGAGGCGGCTGCGAATGTCGTCTCTGTTCCTGAAGGTAAGGCTGGTGCGCTTGCTGCATCTGTTGGTGCGATTGTGGAAGTGGTGGCGGTGGTTGCGGTGGTTGCTGCTGGGGTGGAAATGGCTGAAATTGAGGCTGAGGGGAAGGCTGAGGAGGGACAGGCGGCGTCGCTTGAGGGTTGTAGATGGGTGGATTCGGAACATATGCAAATCCATTCTGTGGTGGGGGAGGAGTGGGATGAGGATGTTGCATGGGAACCAAGTTGGAACTCGTCCGGCGGATCATGTTCTGAGAGGGCGGCCTCGATATCATGTGAGGAGGTTGCGGCGTGCCGTGACGAGGCTGGAACATGCCGTTGGGCATTGGAGGTGAGACGGAAGCCATGGGTTGTTGAATGTGCGCAAAAGAGTTGTGGTGTTGTAGTTGGGGAGGAAGATGTTGGGGTGGCAGCGAGTCTTCGCGGGCGTGCGCAGGTTGATCTTCATCCTCGTCCTCATCGTCGTCGTCCTCCCCACCCTTGTTCTTGAAATCGCCAGGGCCTTTGTGTTCGTGGGGTGCACCATACTAAGGGCAACATGTCAGCAACGAAAGTCATCCTCCCTTGTTCAGGACTCTCAACCCACATATTGATATCTCCGCAATGTTTCATTGATATCGCCCGACGAAAACTCGTAAAGCTTCTTGTTGTGACCAAAGATGATGACTGCGACATCGACCGAACACAGGACGGAGAGTTCGTAGGCCTTCTTGAAGAGGCCGCCTTTGCGCTTGAGAAATGTCCTGCCCCGGAGAATCAGCGGACAGAGCAACATCAGCAATGACAATCACCACAACTCACACTGAACGATTACGATCATCCTTGATAGCTCGGATCTCAATCTTCCTCCGACCCATGGTTGTTTATATGTTTCTCGTCTCTTGCATATGCCGATGACCCAAATACACCTCCTCGTCTGCTGGGGTTGAGTTCGTCAAAGGCCAGCTGCACCAAGGCCACTTTGCGGCGAAGGGAAATTGGCTTGAAAGAAAGCCCGAATCCCGGATGAGGAATTGTGTATATTTAACAAAGAAGCACCCGAGGTGTCTTTGTTCCTTGTCGACCAAGTATCCGACCCAAGGGAGCACGGATGCGGTTCGGTGGACGTAGACTGGGACTTGGAGGCACCTGTTTGTCCCGGTCGCGACAATGACCGCAGAACAGAGAACAACGGGTGCAATGGCGGTTTGGGACAAGCAACGGCAAAAGTAATTGTAACTCAAGACTGGTGCTGTGGCTTGCTAATTGAGGCTCACACGGATTGCATCGTGGATTGGCTCGATGGCGTCTGTTAAGCGTGTAATGGAAGCGTGAACGTGCAAGGTGGATATGGGATGCTAAAGATAGAATGGAAGAAAGAAGGGTCGAAAAAAATCAGGCGAGGGAGAAGTTGGGAAGGGAAGTGCAGGCCGCAGACGCAAGGTGCAAGGTGCAAGGTGGGTGCAGCCTGCAGCTGCAGCCGAAAGCCCGTTGTAAGTTGCCGACGCCCACTCGAGTTTGGGGGGCTCGAGGGCTGGGCACTGGGCACTGGGCAGTACAGAGCAGGCGAGGAGGCCAACGACACCCACCACTGGCGGCTGTCGGCGGCAGTTTTCCTAACTGGAGGTCCCTGTAGCAGCTTAGCAGCCTGCCCAGCTAGGCAAAAACCAACAGTAATTAGGTCGAGAGACCCGGGAATGGGCAAACCTAGTGGCTTACTCGTACCTACTGCCTGGAAATCCCCGAAACTCAAGCGGCGAAGAGCCTTGCCGCCTTATTGCCCCCGTTACTCCGCTTGGATTCCTTTGGGGGTGGGTTTAGACGGGCTTATTGCGAGTATTGAGGCTGGTGCCAGGTAAACATGCCCCCCTTCCCCGAGATATGTGCGTTGATGGGCGGTAAACGGGCCAGAACATGCCTTGCAGTATCCCTTAGCTGTCTCTCTACATTAATTCTATAAACCTGAGGTACCTAGGTACCTAGGGAGGAAGAGAATCGGCCTTCCCTGTCCAAGTCATTTCGCTGTTCCCATTCCCAACTGCATCATGCCTCCAGTGTTGGACAACACATCCTTCACAATTTCCATTGCTCCGTCCCGCAGTGTCCATGTCACCCCTCGACGGCGTCTTCATCTCAACTGCGCCCGGGTCCCGATGACAGCGACGTCTCATGATTGGGAGCGAGCGAGATGAGAGGAAATCAGCAATAAGCGCCCGCACAATGGCTGGGTCGATCAACTCCAGCAGCGAATGTGGTAAGCCCCAACCACCAACCCCCTTGGGTGCCCCTCGGTGCCCCGGGTGCCCCCATCGGCCCTAGTGTTTCAAGTCTTTCGGGCTCCTTTGCCCATGCGGCTCTTACTCGCCATGCAGCGAGGACGGCAGCGATTGGCTCGCTAGAATTGCTAGATGTGCTATATTTAGAAGACCACGCGAGCGCTACCGACCTAGGTAGGTCGCTCGCTAGGTACGAGGTACTCAATATCTTCTGCATCCTGCACACCACACCACAGCTCGGTGGATGGCCAATCCTTGCTGATTCCGGACAGTTGTCTACCACGTACCAATACCGATACACAATCCCCCTCGTTTTGCGTTTTTATACGACTGCATGAACTCATTTGGAGTATACCCTGCATCCAGACACTTACCTAGGTAGTCATCGGTGTGGACCATCCGAGTGTAATACATGTGCCTAGACAGCTGGGCAGATACAATGCGTCGAGCCTCGCTGTCTCTAGGACGAGGCTGCAATTTTCCCCAGATTAGGTTCGATTGATGAATGTTTCGAAGCGCATGCGAAGCAATTGACTCGCCGGTCTAAGGCTTGAATATCCACCATGCTCTCTCCGCTGGGGAGGAACAGAGCAGCCATGAAGAATCGATCAAGAAGGAGCCGCTTGTCCGATCAGACGCCTGTACAGAATCTTCCCACGTCGTGTATACCATCTTGAAACGGGATGCCTCGTGCAATCGTGCATCCTGGCTTCTTTCCTCACCTGACCGACCTAGACTAGTTTGGCTTCAGACTCTCCTTCTCGGAGTGTATTGCCGCATATTGATCGCCTTGCTTACATGTCGAGAATTATATCTTCGGCCCCAGGGCCCCAACTTGTCGGCTCCTCAAGTTTCCGGCGGGAAAAGCTTCGCCTCAATTCCTTCAGTCAGAAATAGTCAGGACGAAGCTTTTGTCCTTGAACACGCCAACAACTGCCATAACTGGAAGAGACAACATAGTTTGGGATCCCAGAGCGATTTGAATCAGGTCGGACGTTGTCCATGCCGCCCTCCGATGTATGTATCTGCGGGTTGACGGGTCGAAATAGTATCTCCTTCCATCCCATTTTCGCAATGAATCAAGGGCGCCCTGCCGTCTATTGCTTCTACCATGACATGAAACCCATCACCAGTGCCCGCACTGTGGCCACCGCACTCTCCCCTGATGCTCCTGACTGACTTCGATCCTCCTCCGTAGCTCAATCGAGAGCATCCAAGGAAATCTTTCGACACGTTGTCCATGCCCTCAAACTCAACCCAATTTCAGAAGGCTTATTAGGTTTCCCACCTCGTGTACCCGCAACCAACGCAGTTGACAGGGCAGAACAAAGGAAAGCGTGTAAAGGGTGTATTATTAATGTGCTGCCCCGCAGCGCAGACGGATCATGCTGCCAAACGCTCACACAAATGAAAGGAAAAGATAGAAAGATAATCATCGGCGTAGAATAACGCGGAGGTGGTATCTTGGACACACATAAGCTGCAACCCCCAAAACCCAACACACACAACGCCATGCTGTCTTTTCTGTGCAAAACTCGATCGCGAATCGGAACAAAAGGGGACTGTCATCGGATATGACTGCACTGTGTGCTGCCGGAGATGTATATGCTTTACGCTGGTTGCTGGTGAATCGCACTTCGAGGCTGGAATCATCGTCGGTTGCCGTCCATGTTTCCAGTCAATTCAGCCACTCGTGCCTTGATTCGTGCAACTCGTGATTCAATCGCTACCGCACGGTTAGTCTCATCCCTCAATGATTCTGCTCCAGAACTTACTCTCTTCCCCACTGGTTTCTCCATCGTCGGTTCGGGTTTCAGTACGACTCCGTGAAGTCTGCTCCTCTGACTGTCTCGCTGCTCGCTCAGCCGCATTTCGTCGAATCTGAGCCCATCGGTCACCAGGGCTGGCCTGTTGCGTAAGAGGTGGTCCCTCCTCCTCCTCCACTGAGCTCTCCGTCTGCTGGAACGACCGGCCGGAATGAAGGCTGACAGGCCCATGGGAAGGCTCCTCGATGGGTGTCAGGAACTCTTCTCTCGGCGGCGTGTCCACAGGCGCGAAAGCTGGCTGATCAACCAAAGGCCCTTGATCAAACGTCGAGAACTCACGATCAGCATGTTCACGCTCGTTTGTGTCTACCCGCGAGAGCTGATCATATTCTTCATCGCGACGTGTCCTGGGTGGTGCGACAGCTTCGTCGTACCCTTCATGTTCCGTAGACAGTTCCGGGGTCGCTTCTCTTGGTACTGACGCCGCGGTCATTTGCGGTGGCTCCGGTACTTCATCCACACTCGGTGATTCGGGCTGGGAAGCCTTGACAGTTGCAAGACGATGGAAGTGTCCAGGACTGAGAGGAGGTGAAGTTGAACCTTCAGCGGGAAGAGCGGGTTTGCCCTCTAGGGCACGTCTAGCTGCAGCAACAGCGGGATCTTCGTCCACATTGACCGGCGACTCAGGTGGTTCTGGGATTCTTGATTCCCGTGATTTGGACCGCTTGGTCCCAAACAGACGTCGGATGCCACTAGTCTTCTGGACAGGAGGGGGCCCCGTCGGAGTCTTTCCTCTTGGCTTTTTCAGGTCGGGTGAACGACGTTGCTGGTCGAGTGACTTCCTTAATTTAGTGGGCTGAGGCCTGGTAGGCGGGGTTTCCACAATTTCCGGTGTCGCTGGAGGCAGAGGCACTTCTGCTGCTTCTGTCGTCGCTGGAGGCAGGACTAGATCGGTCGGTTCGACAGGGATTGGAGCAGGCTCGATGACGACCGGTGGCGCCATAGGAGACTCCGTAGACTGGGATCTTTCAACGACAGCGGGACGTGTCACTTTTTCGGCTGGTGATGGTGGGAGGTCCTTGTTCTTGCTGACCACAGACAGTGTCGAAGTTGATCTACTAATTCCGAGGCCGTTTTGAGGCAAGTTCAACAGCTCACGAGAGCCTTTGCCGGCAAGTGAGTCGCCCAGGTACTTAGCCCGGATCGCCTTCTTGTCGTATTGGCTTGCCCACTGTAGTGCTGGGGAAGCTTCGTCCTTGATCAACGGACCCAGTGTAAATATGCTGTTGGTCTTGGACGCCACAATGGGTTCTTGCATACGTCCACGACGAGTCGCCAAAGCGGCTTGCTCCTCCTTTTGCTCGGCCTCTTTTCTCCTAGAAAGCTCGGCCGCGGCTTTTTGGATCTTAGCCTGTTGATCTGGCGCCAGCGTCGCTCTATTGTTAGTGGAGAACTGCGCTTCGGGGGAGAGAGGGCTCTTCTTAGAACCTGACCCTCTTCGGGTCATCCGGCCACGTTTGGTTGAGAATCCCAGGAACGTTTTCTTCTTCTCTGCGATGTATGCTCCGGCTGCAGGCTCCGGAGCGGCACCTTTGACCTGCTCCTCTATCACCATCCATCTGTCCTCTGGGAAAGGGGTTTCAATTAGGGCGCATCGACCAAAGACAGCTTTTCTCGAGGTTGGCTCTTCTGAAGCGAGACTACTGATCCAGACCCACCAGAAAGAATCATCAACATTGACCTTGGTGATGCTAGCCAACTCGCCCGGGTCGAGGTTTAGCTGGGCGTCGAGATTCCTCCGGTGCGACTGCGAACTCTGCCCTCTAGGCGCAGTCATATTGATAGGAGGAAGAATCTTGTCAGGTGGAAGCAGAATAGGTGCCGGGGCTTTGTTGCCGTGCTCGTCGGCAAATCCAGAGGACAGGAAATCAGCCCATGAGGGAGTTGTTGGTCGAGCCAGATCCTGATAGCCTCCTCCCCGAGCTGAGGCGTGTATGGGTCGCTTCGAGACAACTCTACGACCAAGCAGCCCTTCATCATCTTCTTCTTCGTCCTCAAGGGAGCTGCCAAATCCGATGTCTTCAAATCGTGACCACGACGGATCTGTCAGGCTGGTGGATGTTTTGGCATTTGAGACCTGGGATTGGTTCGCAGAAGAGATCGCTTTGAGAACGCGACGACATTCGTCGGTAAGTGCTTGCACAGGGTCGTCATAACTGGCAAATTGTTGTAGCCCTCGATCATCGTCTCGATATTCAAAGTTCCTGGCGCGTCGCAATAGGGCGTATGGAGTTGGCGACACCACATCGACGATCATGACGACCTTTGTGGTGTCGTTCGACAACAGAGCATGCTTTGGAGGGTAAGCAGTCGAGTCAAGAAGCTGCTGCAATGACCTCGGAAGGCTCAGGATTCCGCTCGCTTTGCCCGCGCCTGGGGACATGGATCGTAGGTAAGCGAAGAAGAGATGAGCGGTTGCATCAGCAGCACTGTCACAGTTAGCGACAAGGTGCAGCAGAGATCGAGAACTTCATACGTCGACCAAGATTGGTATCCAGACTCAAACCCTTTTCCGGCATCGTAGTGCTCGAACGCCCACCACCCAGCATATCTCGAAACTTTATGACCCCCCAGTCCATTAGCCTTGCCATGTGCCGCGAGTGAGGCAAGGAGGTCGAAAAAGTCTTGAATGATTTTAAGGCGAGCAGGCGAGTCAACGCCAATTGGAATAAAGGTAGTGAACGCATCGCGCGCAAAGCCGGAGTCTGAATCTGTCAGTCTTTCGTGATACGGATGGTTGCAAAAATGTCTGACCCTTTTCTCCAACTCTGAACGCCTCATACACCTCCCATGTCACAACGCCCCCTGGCAGGCGGGCCCAGCACCATTTCAGAACGCTTATCAGGACCTATCCAAGCGTCAGCAGGTTATGTTTCTTTGTCTTGCCCATGCACCCTACCATGACCTCCGTCATACGAAGCTCCGTTTCCAAAAAGGAACCCCGTAAAGGTTCTCGATCGTGAGGCGGCAGAAAGAAATTGCGAACAAAGGTTCTCGCGGCAGAAGGGTCTGACGAAGGACGAAATGGTAGTAGTAAGAAGGGGATGTCGAGGGCTAGAGTAGAGTCAGCATCGGAAGTTCATAGTGACCGTGAGAGAGCTAACCTCTCGACTTCAGCTCAGCCGTGCACAAATGCAGCAGTTCAGACACCTCGTCGGGATCGACCCTCGTGCGAGCCCATGCGTCCGACCACTGAGGCTTCTTGTGTGAGTCTCCATTTGCGACAGGCGCTGCGGCCTTTTTGACCTGGCCATCCTTGCTCTTAAAGACCTTGGAGAAAAATGGCATGGTACCGAAATGTCAGAGATGGTCTAGAGTAGGTTCGTGGTTCTTTTTCATCTGTTCAACAACCGTCGACCGATCGCCCAGGCAGTGAATCGTGTTTGTACAAGTGACAAAATGCGCAGGACACAGTGAGGAGGAAGGAAAGACTGTAGGGTCGGAGGTGGAAAAGAAGGTGACGACAAGTTGACGAGGTAAGTGGTAACGCTTCGCAGTCAGGCAAGTTGCATATGCAGCACTTCAGATGCGTAATTTCAGGGGTTTATCGGCATTGGACGAATCGGTGAGCCGAAAACTCGAGGCACTTTGGCGGTTCAATAATTTGGAATCCAACAGGGCAAGCGAACGTGAAGAAGCCGGAAAAAAGGGGAGAAGATGAGTTGTCGTTGTTGCTGTGTTGTCCAGCGACCTGGCGGGCTGGAAGGTGGTGTTTGGGTGGAAAACAACGAATTGAAAAGATTGGGGACAACTTTGAAGTGCAAGAAGATGAACGGAGAATGGCCAGAGCCCGCAACAGGCTGCAGTATCCCGTGGCTTTTCCTGGGATGACTGACCACCTTTTTCGTCGTCTATGGCCGCAAACGAGAAGCGAAACAAAAAGGCAAAGAGATGTGATAACGTGGAGGATAGGAGGAACGGCTTGAAGCCTCACTGCTGGGGGGGGAGCGCGACGTGTCGAGCCGTGACTTGAAAAGGCGGTTTGGAAGCCAGAATCCGGTTTAGTTGGGTTAGTTGAGTTTGGCCTCGTTGGTGGCGCCCCAAATTCAGGGACCATCAAGACCATCAAGACCATCCACCGCCCATCGGAGCCAAACTGGGCCAATTGCTTAGCTGGATTGCCCAAACGGTTGCCGGGATGTTTTAGGCTGTGGGGGTCCCTCTGGCTGACCTCAAACTTGGGCTTTGAAGCCCTCCTGCTCAAACACCAATGAGACGCGTTCTGTCCTGCGACTGATCAACGCTGCATGTCCTAGACCTGCCTTCTAGTCCAACGCCCAGCCCAATTGTTCGGGTTAGGATCGTGCCTACCGCCACTCCCCCGAGGGCTTGAACAATTATTCTTATTGGGGGGAAAGCACCTGCCTTGTGAGGGTCGAATCCAGCAGAGAAGCAGTAGCACCAACTGCGCCTCCGAGTCCTGCATGCATTTCCTGCACCTCATGCAACCACCTATAAGATCAAGTGAGACGCGAGCCACGAGGAGGTCGATCGAGGCCACGCAAGCAGCCAAGCCCACATTGTGGAAGAGCTTTTTGTAAGTATCTCGGGCAAATTTAGACATGGCAATAGATTGACGGAGCGTCTCTTCTCTGGCATCACCATGCGACTGCCGACGCTGCAAGCCACATTATGTGCCGTCACATTTGACTTCGCGCAGGGGCCCGTTATTAGGGTAACAAGCTCGTGCCAGGCAAAGGATAGCGACAGCGCGGTCACCAAGGTGGAGACTTGGTTGATCGTTAAGATTGACTAGGTTGCCCTTTGTGTCGCAGATTGGCTCGAGATTCAACACGTTTCCAACCAGTCTCGACTCTCGATCGTCCCAAGAGAAATCTCACGTCGGCAGGCGGAGCCATACTGCAACTTCTTATATTGCTCTACATTCTGATGGGTTCATGCATTTACCCTGGATTTGTCTCTCCGTGCCTCAATTAGAGTATACGAGATGCTTGGAATGTCGCAGGTTTTCGCGTGCGGCTGGCTAACTGCATGCGGCTGGGTCTCCAATTTCTCCTTTCGATACTCGCGCGCCACAGTGTCACAAAGCCTCTGACATCCCGTTCCGACGGCGTGCTCAATTCGCAGCCTCGCAGCCAAAGTGCCGTGCTGCAAATGACTGAGTGACTAGCTCAGTGACCCGGTGCGACTGACAGAATTCCCAAGCGACATTGATCTGTGGGATACTCAAAGGTTGAGTCCGACATTGCCAAGTCATGACGTAACTAAATACCAAATATATTGGCATCATTGAACAAGGGCAAGGCATCATCATGATGGTCCTCGACTCAGGAGACCAGCAGAACAACATATCGCCAGCACAATCGATACTCAAAGACATTGCCACTCCATCTTCAACCCGAGCAGGGCTTCTTTCCCAGCTGCCAAAGCAATCCACGCAAAGAGCTTATTCCAAGATGGTCAAAAGTAATGACGATGTAATCCAGTGTGTAGCGGATACCAGATATCGTGCTTGAACCTCAAGCTCACCATGAATAGGGACTTCAACAACACGGTCAATATGACTGCCGATGAGTTGGAGGAATGGCTCAAGGGGTCTACTTCGCGCGAGTCAGGCTGGTCGAAGGGCGATGACTCCGGAGAAACCATCGGTCATGAAAGGTGAGCCGAGCCTCTTTGCTCCCGGATCAGGGGTGATGCTGCCCTCTTTCAAGTGTCAGCCCTTAAGGCAATATATGTGTGTGCCGAAGCTGACCAGCGCGTTAGCGGCAGGAAGATCGTCGAGCTCTTGAGAAAGAATCCAGAGAAGGATCCGTCCAAGTATGACGAGGAAGATATCGCGCATATGAGGAAGGTCGCGGCGTACAACAAACGCCACCTGGCGCAGGAAGAGGAAAAGGCCAAGCAAGACCCCGACTCCAAGGCTTTCCGCAGTCTGAGAAACTGGGGTCACGATGCCAAGAAGTCGTGATGTGCGCAGCTATCGCAAGCAGAAAGGTCCTTGTTCATTGCTCTTGGTCCCGGTAATAGCAGAGGATTTTTGGACATGTGGGGGATCCATTTCATGTCTCTGGTGGAAAGATAAAATCTTTCACGATGGTAGAACCCGCGTATTCCGGATTCAGCATAACACAGTTGAGGAAATAAGCCAGTCCTTCACGCCGTTTCTCGAGAAACTTGGGCCGGAATTTGTATATGGCACTCTTGGGAGGAAGAGGCGGAAGCGACGACCTGGTTGACTGAGGGTAGGCTTTGACCAACTTGGCCCGAAGCTCATCGAACTCGGAATATCGCTTTCGGATTGTCATGGGGCCTCCATCAAGGGTCTGGACGTTAATATTGTATACCACGTATGCGCCCACTCCTGTGGGATTCCCTTGGACAATGACATATTCGTCAATGGAGATGGATTTGGCCCAGAGCGCCGCTCTGCTAGGCTCTCGGGACAAGGTATGATCCTCCAGAGCGATGGGGGGTGGTCGCGCGGCGGACAGCTCGTCAAACGACGGCTCTCTGTTAGGTTGCCAGTACGGCGGAGGAGTAGGCGAAGTTGGAAGCCGATCGCCAGACCGTTCAGCACCGTCAACCCCGGGTGCGGCTACGGAGTCTCGTTTCGGTTGATCTGGACCCAATGCAGCGATTGGGACGGAACGAGGGTTCTCCATGCATGTGCACACTTGCAGACCGATCTATCTAGAGGGACACCAGGATGGATGGAGCATCGATGGAGCATCGAGGCAGAGCTGGGATGTGCAAGCAGCAGCGGGTGTAACCCAGACAAAGATAGCCCCGCCTCCAGAAAGTATTGTGAGATACAGTGTAAGGTGACGAGCTCAGCAGATGTTTCAGAAGAGAGAAAAAAAGGATAAGAAAAAGGTTACGAAAGCCCGAAAAACCCGCAGCTAGAAAGATGGCACCACTGCAGGTGACTGCATGGAGAAAAGTGTCCTGTGTAGCGCCATTCTTTGATGTTGACCACTAGCCGTGTTGAGGCAGAGAGAGACGAGGTGGGAAAGTGGAAAGGCCAGAGCAGTGATCATCTCACTGTCGATCTCTCTGTTCCTCCAGATATTGATTGATACTCGTATAACAACTACTGATACAAATATCGAAGAAACGAGCCGCAGGCAGGAGGAGTTGCTGAATGGCCATTGCTGGGGCGCAACCACGAACGCCTCTGGAACCCTGAGTTGAGGACACCAAGGGCAACAAGGGTGTGGAGATGACATGCATTCTCGCATCTTCGCAGTTAGCTGCTCCGTCCCAGGCTTGCTGGTGCCCCTACTGGTGGTGCGGGTAAGCTTCTTGGGGCACCATTGGTGGGTGATTGGCGCTGGAACTGCGCGCCGTGGAGCCCCCGGAATTCAGGACCCATCTACTATTGGGCCATCATGCACCTTTGGCCTCCAGAAGCACCACAAAGTGTTTGACAGCTCCGCAGAACACCACGGACTTTTTGTCGACGCCTGAGACAAGGTCAACCTCCTTCCGCGCCCATCTGCGGTGTGCCACAATCATGCATTGGAGACTTTTTGTTGCTGGGCCACATGCAAAAGAGAAGGTCGATGAGACGGGCTAGAATCTCTTAGCCCTGGAGAAGGACGAGACTTGCTCAGTGCAGTGGCGGGAAGAGATCCTGCCCCCCAACCCGAGGAGGTGGCTTCAACACCAACCCAAACTGGTCATGGTGATGGTTGGATAGCGGCATACCACTCTCGCCAGTCACCATGACCCTTGCCTCCTCCGCCCTTTTTATGTCCTTGTCCGCTGCTGTTGCTGCGACTGCTTGCTCATTTCACTTCTTCCTTTAAGCAACAGACCTCTGTCCTCTCGTTCCTCGAAGAAATCAGCAATATTGTTTTGGCGACATTCGTTATTTCATTCATTCTCCTTTGCACGTTCTCGAGCAACTAGTAATAAGCAGCCTGGTATTGATACAGTGAACCCTTACCACAGACGAAAAAAAGCAGCCCTGTGATTGATCATGCAACGCCTTTTCATCACCGCTGCGATGGCAGTCCTGGCTCGTTTGGCCATTACACAGACCATTGACCCCAATTCAGTGCCTCTGTCGACGAGACGTGAGTAGTGTATCCCCATCGCCAACCTACATGTTGCTGACGGTTCATGAACAGAGTCGTGGTGCGACTCGCAGATCGCCGAATGTCCTCTTATTTGCCTGCAAACGGCTGGCAATTCTGCGGCCACCGACGCCAATACCTGTGACCCGGTTGGCCTCACCTATTCTTGCATTTGCTCCAACGGGCTTTCTCCCAATGCCTCCGAATACTCTCAGACCCTCCCCTACTATATCTGCACAGAGTACAACACCCAATGTCAGACTGCTTGCGGCAACGACAACACCTGTGCAGCTGCATGCACGCAGGATCACCCATGCGGTGCACTCAACCCAACAAGAGTAAACACAAGCACAATCACAACAATGTCATCTACATCAACGGTCGTGGGGTCTGCCGCTTCCACTGCCTCTGACGGAGTTATCTACACTGGCTTTGGAGGTGGTTCAGCTGCTACGACAACCCCTGCTTCAAGCGGAAACAGTGGATCTGGAAGCTCTGCTGCATCAAGACTGGTGATCGACATTGGACAGATCTACGGGCTCGGGGTCGTCGCGGCTGGCATTTTTGTCGGCTTCAGCTGCATGCTCTGAAGCATCTTCAAGGAAAGAGACTTTACGCTAGTGCAGGTTGGTAGACGACCTGCCTGGACACCCGGACCCAGACCGATTCATTTGGACTCTTTGGTCGAAAAGTTAATTCCAAAGCTGTGAAAGCATTTTTGGCAGAGGCGCTGGTATGGACGCTCTTGGATGGAATACGCGGCACGAGTGCCAACCTTCTGAGGAAGCAGAGGTTTTTCGGAAAACGGAGAAGACAATGGCGTAACTCGAACAAGCATAATATTAATCATGATTGAAGACTTGAAAGTTGCTACTCGATACCTCGTACCCTGTAATCCTTTTGGTCCTTTGTTGCCCGGTCAACCGCACAAATGGCCGAGGTTTTACCGGCCACCGCAATGTCCACGTTCGGAGCTTCAATCCACAACTGCGGCGCGTCTTCACGGCCAAATAAAGTCCTTCGAACAATAGTGTCATCGACCATGAGCACACCCAACAATATCAATACTCAACGATAGTGCTCTCTATGGCTGCCTATATGTCACCGGCATCGGCCGTACTGACCTCCTCGCTCAGCAATCCTCGTCGGCCGCACCGAACCGCAACGCGACCCTCAACAACCCGTGCTTACCCACTACCAACTGCAGCGCCCCGTACGAAGCAACAGTTCGACCAAAGTATTACAGGAGACAGCTCAGACGATGAAGATCTTGCGCCTATCAAACTAAGTGCCGAGGCGCAAGCTATATTGGGCGAAGACAATGAACAGTTGGGGACTGAGAAGGAAAATGTGGAACCAGAACCACAGAGTGCGAAGCCGTTGAGCACAGGCTACTCTAGGAGACGAAGCAGGGGAACACCACTGGAAATACTCAGGTCTTCAAGCCCGCCTCAACAAAGAGATGGCAGTCCTGCCCCGCGGGTCATTCGAGTCACCTCGGTTTCTCGGCCGGTGCAGCCGGGTGTCTTGGGAAGAGATGGATCATTCATGTACAAGATCCATGACAAATCGACAACAGGGGCTCAAGCTGTACGTCAAGACTCAGAAACTCCGGCACCCAGAGTGCGGCGCATCCGCATTAGCGATGCTAGGCGGCTGTCGAGATCGCCTCCATCACCTGAAGAGGAAAAAGAGGAACCGGTCGAACTGCCGCTCGAAACTTCAAAAAGGTCAACCAGCCCAAAGTCAAGCATGATAAGAGGCAGCCTCGACGAGCAGAATGCTGTTGCACCGTCGACAATCAGCCGACCTCGGAAACCCGATGAAAATGGTGCGCAGAGTACCATGCGAGTCCGACGAATTGGAGGCGCGTTGCTGAACAAACCTGTGAGGAGAGGCATGATGCGTCGTCCCAGCGAAGACGAGGATGTTCATATGGACCATCAAGATCAGCCGCACCCCGATACTCCTGATATGGAAATGGGTCGGCGGGCCAAAGAGCCCGAGTTGCAAGATTTTCCAGATGACTTGCTTGCGCTGAGGGGAAGCCCCGAACAGAGCAGGCCAGCTAAGCATTCTCCCCAGAATACATCTCCCAAGCAAACGGACGGGGTTCTGTCACAAATTCGTTCGCTGTCGCGACCAGGATCGGCTCATCAGGCTCACCCTACACCTGCTGTGCAAAATTTTCAGCCCTCGTCCAAATCATCAAGCTCCCAAAGAAGACCTGTGTTTAAGATTCCACCTTTGCCAGCGCTTCCATCGTTAGAAGACCAGGAGAATGAGCCGCCTCCAACGTTTCGAAAGAGCAAACCGTCAGCTGCAATCTTGGACATTCAAGAAGACGGTGCTCCACTGGAGCAGAAGCCGGTTGAGCCTGCATCAGGGCATGCTTCTCCATCTCGCCAGCCGCTGGCTCCTCGGTCTAACAACACGCCTCACCGTCCAGCGCCCGCTCCACCGCCGAAAATGTCGATTCTTGATGCGGCAACGTCGAACGCGGGCTCTCGCAACAAGAGATCCGTTCACTACGTCTTGAATGGGAAAACCTATAGAAGGCTAGATTGCATAGGTCGAGGCGGGTCGTCAAGAGTTTTCCGAATCATGGCTGAGAATTACAAGATCTTCGCTCTCAAACGAGTCAATCTCGAGGAGGCCGACATGGCAGCAATTGTAGGCTACAAGGGCGAGATTGACCTATTGAAGAAGCTCGAGAACGTGGATCGCGTTATCAGATTGTACGACTACGAAATCAACGAGGAGAAAGGGGTGCTCAGCGTCATGATGGAGCTGGGCGAAACAGACTTCAACAAAATGCTGAACGAACAACTCAAGGCAGAAGGTGCCAAGCTGGACATCACTTTCACCAGGCACTATTGGAAAGAAATGCTAGAATGCGTCCAGGCGGTGCACGATCACGATATTGTGCATTCAGACCTCAAACCCGCCAATTTCCTGCTCGTCAAGGGTCAACTCAAACTCATCGATTTTGGCATTGCCAACGCCATCCAAGAAAACACAGTCAACGTGCATCGCGAAAATCAAATCGGCACACCCAATTATATGTCTCCAGAATCCCTGGTTTGCCACACGCCCGCTGCAGGATCACAGCAGCCTCCCGGCACGAAACTGCTTAAACTCGGAAAACCCAGTGATGTTTGGAGTCTAGGGTGTATCCTTTATCAAATGACCTACGGACAACCCCCGTTCGCCCATATCCAGAAGCAGTTCGAGCGCATCATGTCCATCCCCAACCCGAAGGTCGAGATTTCATTTCCGACAACAGGTATTGGTGGGTCTGTGGTTCCATTTGGACTAATCAAGACCTTGAAACGTTGCCTCACACGAGAACAGTCCCTGAGACCCACGATCAAAGAGCTCCTGTCCGAAACGGACCCATTTTTGAACCCTGTCGCCATTTCCCCGGAGATGCTGGGCAGAGTTATCGGGAATGTTGTAGGATACTGTCGACGAAGGGAGGAGGCGTTGAAAGCGAAGGGCGAGATTGTGTGTAAAGAGGGTGAGGAGGTCAGTTGTCTGCCGAGTGATCAGGAGATGGTGGGCTGGCCTGGGGCGTTTTACGAGAAGTTGAGGCAGGCCAATCTGGAGGGGACGGCATGGTAGTAGTAAATGATAATGCAGAGGGAAATGGGAAGAGGGAGTACGAGAGGCAGCGTTGGATATTCAGCCGCTATGCCCATGCTCGGAGGGTTCTAGGTACTTTGGCAGCCCACTGGCTATAGTCTTTTTGGAGCGGATCACTGAAGCCTTCAGACTTTGGCGAAACTAGTTTATGATGCTCAAGCGCTCCATTCTCTTTTTCTCTCTCTTTCTTTTTCTCCCTATCTTAGGTTGTCCTATCGATGTGTGCACGTTCATTGAGGGGTTGTGGGTGGATTGATAGACACTTGAATTGTACTCGGCATTGATATAGGGGTATTTCATAAGGGACAAACTAAACAATCAATCAATCGACCAAGCAGGACTATCATGTCATCACAAATCTGACATTGGTGACATGACATGACGTGACCACGACCTGATAACAAGATACAATATAACAACATGCCACAAAATGTCCTGCACGGAAACAATAGTTGCGAGCGTCGTTGGCCGGGATTTGTATCCAGCATTCACACTGCAAAGTGCTCTAGCCTCGGGAGCAATCTCCTTTCCTTGGAACAATTCCCGTTCAACACACATCGAGAAAGAGAGAGAGAGAGAGAGAGAGAGGAGGAAAGGATGGGACCTTGGACTCGTTGCATACCTGGGTAGCTAGCTAGGTATGCAAAGCTGCTCAAGCATCCGGGATTTCGATCTGGCTGCTCCGCCTGGCCAGCATGACGGAGGCGCCGTGGTCGAAGCTCCACTTGCGCCGGCGCGCGTTGGCCAGCCGGTAGTGTTTCTGGGTGACGCCCATGACCTCGAGGATGGCGCTGGCCACGTGGCCCGCAAAGGCCTCGTCGTTGATGTGCAGGTCGTGCTTCTCGACCTCGATCTCGGTGGCCTCGAGCCCTTGCTGGATGGTGTCGAAGAGCGCCTTGTCGGCGTCCTCGTCGTAGAACGGCTTGTCCGGCGGCCCGTCCAGCATGCTCACCCCCTTCTCGGGGATCAGGACGCGGATGGAGGACGGGTTCGTGGCGTTGGTGGAGAGTTTCCGGACGATGAATTCGCCGATCTTTTTGTTCTCGTCGGCGGTCGTCCGCATCAGCGTCACGGCCGGGTTGTGCACGAACAGTTTGCGGTCCTTGTACTTCTCGGGGACGGTGTCCTTGGGGCCGAAATTCACCATGTCGCACGCCCCGACCGAGACGATCATGGGGAGACCCTTTTTCGCGGCAATCTCGAGCCGGTCGGGCCCCGCGGTCAGGACGCCGCCGAAGAGTTCGTCGGGGATTTCGGTGGTGGTCAGGTCGATCACGGCGTCGATCTGGCCTTCGGCGATGAGACGTTCCATGGCGCGGCCGCCCGAGCCGGTCGCGTGGAAGACGTAGATCTCGTAGTCGGAGGCGTCGTGCGGCGCCGAGGTGAGGATGTGGCGCACCGCATCAACACACGGCGTGGTGTTGCCAAACATTGTAATGGCGATGCGCTTGCCTTTGGCGGCGTGCGCGGAAGTGTCGACGAGGGATTTGGCATACGAGACTGTCATGGCGGAGATGGCGGCCGCGGCATTGGACAAGATACGTTTGAGGATCGAGTTGACCCCGGCAATATCAACAACGCTGTACATCATGGTGATGTCTGTCTCCTCGACGTAGTGCTTGATGTCGCCGCTCGCCATGGTCGACACCATCAGCTTGGGGAACCCGACCGGACAGGCATGACGCATCAAGGCCGTGGCGAGCGACGAGCCACTGCTGCCGGCTGCAGAGACGATACCCTGAACGGCTGATTTGGAGACCAGGTCCTTGACGACCGGCGTGCATAGTTCGATGGCCTTGTCGATGTACTCGCCGCGCGAGAGCTCCTTCAAGGTGGAGCTGTGCTTTTCAAGAGGAGAAATGACCTCGCCCGACGGGAGGCTGTCCAAAGGTTGCCTCACCTTGGCTGATATGCTGTGACTTACATCGAGGATCTTGGTATTGCACGTTCCCTCGGCTAGGATCTGCTCTCTGAGGTAGAGGATTTCATCGAGCTTAGTGTCAGGTGTACCGACGATGAGCACGGTAGGTTTCACCATGGTGGAATGGGATAGAGAAGCAAGCTCAAGGGCGTCGTGAGGTCGAGAGGAGAAGCGGAAGAGGCTATCCACCAAGGGACATGATAAGAAGCTTGGGTCCGAAGAAGCTTCTGCGGGTGCTGCGAAGAGGTTGTCTTTCGACACAGAGGCTGTCGCTTGTAGTACACCAGAGTCTAATCAGCTTCCCGTGCATTGGTCGTCATGCGCTGCCCCTCCTCATGGGCTTCGGATACCATCGCCATCTGCGCCATCATTCGCTTAAAATCCCCGCCCCCTCTCCACCACCTCCGCATGGTTGGCATGGTTGAGATGGTTGGACACTGACACGACTGACCACCACCATGACGATGACGTTTTACGAGTACGAGAACGAACTCGCACTGATGAGCCCAAGCTAAGTGAATCTACCCCAGAGCACCCATACTCTCAACGATGGCACCCCCATCCTCACGAGCCGAAGTCCTCTCCCATCTCAGGAACCAGATCAAGAATGGCAAGCCGATCGTCGGGGCAGGCGCAGGCATCGGCTTATCGGCCAAGTTCATCGAGGCTGGCGGCGGCGATCTGATCATCATCTACAACTCGGGTCGCTTTCGAATGGCTGGGAGGGGCTCGCTTGCGGGCCTCATGCCATACGGAGACGCCAATGCCGTCGTCGTCGACATGGCGAGGGAGGTCCTTCCCGTAGTCAACAAAACCGGAGTCCTGGCTGGTGTCTGTGCCTCGGACCCATTCCGCATAATACCCTCATTCCTCCAGGAACTGAAAAGCATGGGATTCTGCGGTGTTCAGAACTTCCCCACCGTCGGTCTCATCGACGGCACCTTCCGAGCAAATCTCGAGGAAACGGGCATGGGGTTCGACAAGGAGGTTGCGATGATTGCGGAAGCCCACAAACTCGACCTCCTCACCACGCCCTATGCCTTCAACGTCGATGAAGCTGAACAGATGACCAAGGCCGGCGCGGACGTGTTGGTGTGCCACATGGGCTTGACCACTTCCGGAAGTATAGGTGCAAAGACTGGAAAGACCTTGGATGACTGTGTCCAGTTGATTCAGGAGATGAGGGACGCCGCGACCAAGATCAATCCCGAAATCATTATTCTCTGTCACGGGGGCCCCATAGCTGAGCCCAAGGATGCAGAATATGTGCTCAGCCGTGTCAAGGGAATTCATGGCTTCTATGGTGCAAGTAGCATGGAGAGATTACCCGTGGAAATCGCCATTACGAATACGACCCAGGAGTTCAAGAGTTTGAAGATCAGCCAGTGATATGTTAGGGATGTGCACCTCGTTCAGAACCTGGCCTGATATTGACCCTGCTGTAAGAACCGGTCTGGGCGGCGCATCACTCAATATATATCGCCCATTGTCAACAGACGCCGGAGTGATGTGGTTCACGTCTCCTGTCGCCGAAGTGGATTGCCAAATCCAAACAGCAACCCAGTCAAAAGAAAAAGGATTTCTTTCCCGTGAAGTAGAGCCCCGCTCTCCACCCGTACCTTGCAGGGTGCAGCGGCGAGGAAGAGCTGCAGTCAGCCTTATGGCAAGGTCCGCGAGGCTGGGTCAGAGGAGAGCAAAGCATACCCCTTTCTCTTACCCAATACTGATGTGCACTTGTCGAGTTGGGCCTTCATTCACTGAAAGACGCCTCTCATAGGGCTTGTTTTGAAGATATAATTATAATATATTCAGGTATATACTGAATTTCCCATTGATAATAGCCTCAGGAAAGCATCGGTCTGCAAATTGGACAAACTCGGCCCCCAACTGCCAAGCCTTGCGCCCAGAAACCTTCCCCCTTGCCATTCTCCCAGACCGGCTTCATTTCCCCTTCTCCCTCTTATTCGGTACTATGAAATGTGACACCGGCCTCTGCGCCTACAGAAGAGGCTAGCAGCGATCGTCCCTTCAAATTTTAATGCCCTCTTTTCGTTGGTTCTTTACAGGATACGGGTACGATGCGCGGAGTCTGCCCTACGGGACCCTGCTGGGCTGAATACTCGTCGGAGTTGTTTCCATTGCCCAGCCAGATGCTCTTCAGAATCCCTTCTTCTGGATCAAAGAAAGAACTACAATACTTTCGATAGCGAATCGCCTTGCACGTGAGCTGCCTTTGGCGCGCCAAAGCCACTTTCGAAGAACGTTGGTCTGAACTTGAGCGGCTCAAGAGGTAGGGAACATGGACCAGGGTGGTCCCTTCTGCGTGAAAGGGACGTATCCGTATTCGAACTTCCTGGGTGGATGAGGAGACTGCGTCTAGTCTCACCAGCTATATTTCATTAAGCGGCAGCCCTCCTCCTTCGACCTGACGAATATTTCTGGTTCAGTGCTTTTCTCTTTCCAACAAAGCCTTTGGTCTTTTCTCGTCGCTCGTTACATTCCAGTCGCTCTTTCAAGTCACTCTTTTCCTCTTGAGTTCTTTTTTCCGAGCCGCCAATATGCTTTTCTCCCAAGCCCTCTTCTTCTCTTCGCTCATACTTCTGGCAAGTGCCCAAGGGGATGCTGTCTTCAAAGGTCTCCCGGGCCAGGGCCGGAGCAGGACGCCAACATCCACCAGCAAGCTCATGTCGCGGCGAGATCTAGAGAAGCGCTGCGTAGGAACCTGCGAAGAATGCTTCGGAGCCGGTTATACACTTTGCCCCGGAAGCGACATCTTCTGCTACTTGCCTGGAGATGCGACCTATGGCTTGGATTCTTGCTCCTCCGACGGTTCCGACGGCTCCGACAGCGGGCTCGTTACGACTTCTACTGCGTCTGCATCGGCACCGACTTCAACCAGTACCAGCGGCGTCGACGACCTTTGTTACCAGACCGGAGCGACTTGTGTGTCATGCTTTGGCCCCGGTTATCTTGAATGCCCGGATGGATACCACTGCTACAATCCATCGGATCCTTCGTATGATACCTGCCCCAGCGATGGCTCAAGTTCGAGCGGCAGTGACAACGGCAACTCCACCACACCTAGCTGCAGTGATCTCTACGGTGACGGAAATATCCCTTGCGGCACAGATTCGTGCTATGATCCGGACGCCGGCGAATCTTGTTGCGCTGGAGGATGTAAGTTGCAGCCCTTTGTGACGTTCTTGGCTATAAGGCCAGCAGCTAACGTGTCGGCCCTGCCAGACTACTGTGACGCAGGATATACATGTTCGAGCACTCTCGGGAAATGCGATTATGGCAGTGGCGGCTCCTCAGAAGGCTCCTCTTATGATACTACGACATCCAACTACATCTATGCGACCCCTACCGATGGCTTGGTTTACAGCACTCCAAGCTCTGTTGCGACCACCACCAGCAGCGACTCTTCGTCTATACAAACCGGTGTCAGCCAACTCTCTGACTCGAGCGACGCCAGCTCTCTCTTGGTCGCCAAGGGTCTGTTGATCGCAGCTGGCGTTGGTGCATGGGTGCTGTAGAACAATTAATGACCTCCGTGTGCTGGAGATACACTGATGGATACATGCCAACGGCCTTTACAGGGATGTGGTTGGATGAATCAAATGGGATACCGCTTTGTGACCGGGTCAGTAGATGTAATCCAGTCGCTAGAGGACTTGGGAATAAATCTGGTTGTCGTCAAACGCTCTCCGTCTTGTAGACTGCGCTTGGATAGATCCTTGACTCCTCAGCCTCGCACTATTAGGGGTTATTCGGACTATTTGTTTTTCCGACAAGGCTGCGCTACTGCGCCCGCCTCCATCGCGCCGCTTTGATTTTCCGACTTCCATCACCAACTTGATTATCCCTTGCTTTTCAGCCTGAGGTCTCTTGTTTTTGCAGACATTTTCATTTGCCGTGCACAAAATGCCTCACGCTGCCCCTTCGCGTGTCGCGCCCACCGCAACATCCGACCTCGAAGCCGGAGCCGTGCTCAAACTCGGCGAATTCCAGAACGAAGTCACGCTCAACCTCTCCGAAGCGCGCATCATCCTGCAAAAGACTCTCGCAACCCGAGCGGCTCGAGGAGGTGGCTTCGAGGAGACCGAAGTCACCGCCAAGACACGCGACTACTTGGAGATCTTTGCAGTCTTTAAGGACCTGGCGGAGGCGCAACAGGTGGAAGGAATCATCAACTCATATGGCGAAAACTTGGAGCGCTTTGAAAAGTCTCAGTTGGGCAGCTTGGTGCCCACTTGCTCGGATGAGGCAAAGGCGCTGATTCCAAGCTTGGAGAAGAAGGTCGAGGATGGCGTCGTTACCGAGGACGAGTTGGAGGGCATCTGCAGGGAGTTGCAGCGGTTGAAGAGGCAGGCCCAGCTTTGATTCTCCCAAACGCCCATGGCTTTCTGCGAGCTTTTGGAGTATGGCTGTCCAGCCAAACCAGTTGGCAGGTGTCATCTCATATGATTACTGCGCCGCCGCAGTCGCCTGTTACAGCGTCGTACGAATGACGACGGAAGCAATGCTAAGACGCAAACGACAGTGCCCACATCACAAAAACATCCATGCAAAACCAACTTCTCCAAGAGATGCTGATGAAGCATAAAGAAAAAGTTGGCAGGCTTCTCCGATGGTTACGCTCTGGGTTATGCGACATGTGACCCGTCGCGGCTTAACAGAATGGCCTTCAATGGTGACTTGGAAGGATGTGACATTCTCGAAACACAGGATCTCTCTGAGCAACTCCCACTAACGCAAATATCATAGTCGGACAATCTGTGGAGACTACAGCGGGCCCAAACGCGCCGGCTCGCTAAACTTGGATGATACGTTTGATGAGGAAACGGACGAGCACTACCTGGAGTGGAAGGATGAGTGAGAAATCTTCAATGACAATGAAGCATTGCAAACCAGCATCCGACTATTTCTACACTCCGTTTCCCTCCATTTTCTAACCGTGTCCTTCTACATAAGCGACCACATCTTCGACCAAACGAATAAAAATATTCTATCCCACTCTAACAGCAAGAACTGCAGATATGGCCTCCATCGTGCACAAGTCGAGCTGCTCCGTGGAACCGCAAGGGACCCTCAAATCTGAGTCTTTGAGGAGCTCTTCTCGATTGCTCGAAGATTCGCAACCAGAACCCGAAGCTCTTCCTGCATGTGCAGAGCAACTTACCTACGGCTCCCTAGCCTCGGCAACGACCGAAGCAACGGAGACACCCTTGACGTCGCCTTTATCTGCAAAGACGAAGAGTTTACAGTCCTCGGTTTCCACCTGCAGTTCTGGTGCTTCTTGGAAGTCGCTCTCAACAATTCACCCTGGCTGGAATGAGCCTCCCAGGCTGCTTTGGCCGAGTGACTCCTCTTCAGCACCCAGACTGAGAGGAGGGCTTGATCCACGTTCGAAGTCCCCATTACGCAATATACAAAATCCTAGGCGGCCTTTGAGCACTTCAGTCTCTTCCGCCTCCTGGCAGTCGCTGTCGAGTATCCATCCATACTGGATCGAGCCCTACAGACCGCCCCAAGCGCCGTCGCTACTCGGCCAGGAGCGTCACTCGGCGTCTGCCATGCAGGCAACACCAGAGGCAGTGGAATGGAAGCCACTCATGCCCCCGAGACCAGTGACGCAGTTGGCATTCGACGGCCCTTGGTTATGTTGGGACCATGGCTCTCTCTGTGAGCATTTTGTCATCTTTGCCACCAAGTGGATCGATTCGTGTTTCGGTTTCTCTGCGTTAAGAGGACAATCTCAGCCAGCCGTCTTCGCGGTTTGATCCACGAAGGGAGAAGTATTGAGAATCATGTTACAGAGCAGTTAATACAAGGCCTTTTTGGTGAATACAAGTCCTCTTTTTGTCTTTTGGTTCGAAAGACTTGCGAAGATAGCGAGACATGATTCCATTCCAAGACTATCGTTCCTATCCTACGTCTTGCTGGCTGTCGTGTGTTTGCATCTTCTTTTACCTATTCTCCCCAGTCTTTCGTTTGATGCTATTGTCACAACTTGTTTTTGTCGAAGGTCACTTACAGGTGTGGGCCCCCTGGGTGTCAGACTTTGTCACTTTGCTCTCTCGCCCAGATGTGTCGACACGTACAATGTGTTCGTGATGGCGGAACGAGTCACAGCAGGACAAGTCAGTGATGATATGTCCGGCCCAGATGGGCTTAAATTACCTCTCTGTCCCCTGTCCAGGATTATTCCTCGACTTATCAACACTTTATCAAACCCAAAGAATTGGAACGCAATATACCCCGAGACCGGATTGGTTGAGCCATTTGGGACTTGAGCACCGGTCGATTCAAAGAGCATCAAGATTTCACCCCCAAAATACTCACGGGCAGGGGGGACGAGGCACAGGGATCTATTGAATGCATGAACCTGGACAAGGAGAGTGTTTTCAACATGCGCAATCCCATCAGCTCACGCGTAAGTTCTGAATACTCTGTTCTCATGTTTTGTTACACATTTTCATCTCCTCTAACAGTCGCGAACAAAACCAGGAAACGACTTATACCAGAACCACCACGCGATTGTCCGATGGACGACGACACGTGCGCGAGGAGGAAGAGACCGTGATCCGCACGCGTCGACCTCGTCCGAGATCCCCAGCTCCCTCGCCACTATCTCTTCTCCCGTCGTCGTCGTCGTCGTCGCGGATCATCGCAAGTCGAAGCCCATCGCCTCCGCCGCCGCCGACGCCGATTCTGAAGCAGTCGAGACACCCGCACAGTTTCTACGAAGACCAACCCCACCGTCGGAGGTCATATGAGCGGGATCGTTCTGCGACAGACCAGCGTCAGCGTCAGCGATCGCGGTCAAGGTCGACGGTGCGTTTCGCGCCGGACGAGGGCGTTGCGCGTGGTGGCCGGCTTCGGTCTCCGTCTCCACCACTATTGCTGATACCGCGTCGTCGAGGCCTGTTTGGCGAGCAGCCCGGATTCCGCAGCGGACTCTCGCCGCCGCCTGTGCGCCTCACAAGTATAAGTCGAAGCAGAAGCCGGAGTCGAATCCGGAGCGGTATCCGTCGAAGTCGAAGTCGAAGCCGGCATCGAAGTCAGAGCCGTCGCCGCGGCACAGCCCGCTCAATGTCAAGGACAAGGAACCCGGACAACACCAGAGCTGGACCTCGAGCCACAGACTGCAGCGGTGTGTGGGGCGGGTGGGCAGAGCGACGGCGGGGACGCAGCAGGAGCAGAGACGGTATTAGTGGGAGTATCAGCAGCAGCAGCAGAAGCAGATGCAGCCCCGGCAGGACGGATGAGCGATTCATGATGAGCGGAGCCTTGGGGTATAGAGATCCCCTGGTGCGTGGGTGGGACTTTTAGGATCTTTTTTGTGGATTGCGTGGCTGGCTAATTATTGCCTACCTACCTACCTACCTACCTACCTACCTAGGTAGGCAGGTCTATTACATCTACTAGTTACACGTATCTTAGCTACCTATGTACCCAGTGTTTAAGAGTATCTATGTATATATATCTAATAACCCCCGTCTCAGCACATTCCTTCGTGCCTCGTATGTAGATCATATGGCTATCTTGCTCGACTTGTAGACTTAACCCTGGCGATCTCACTCCTCCCCCCGTGTTTGGATTGAATGGCGCTGTCGGGGCTGGTTCTGAGTTCTCGGTAAGCCTGGAAGCTTCAAACCCTTGAAGCTGGCCCAGCAACAATTCTGTCCGTGAGTTGCTTATGTCACATAGTCAGTGAGTCGATCATTGAGTTACTTGATTAGTTAGTCAAACAGTCAAGCTATCCCGGGCCGTGTCACATATATAGGCATCCATCTACATCGTGCGTATATCACTTGGGACTTGAATCCTCGTCACGCTCCATTTTCCCAGTCATACAGAAAGGGTTCGGGAGGTCGTGGTGATGGTGGTGGTGGTGGGTCGAGGGTAGTATATATTCTCACATCTGAGTAGAGGTACGTGTGTATGTATCGTGCCCTACAAGTAGCTGGATCTCTCTCTCTGTCCTTGGTTGCTTGCCTAGCCTAATTCCCCAGATATCGCGTCCTCCGAGCCTTGTTCTACAAAGTCGGCCACAATGTCCCTTTCGAGCTGCGAAGGAGCGTGCCAGACCCTGGGCCGACACCATCACTACAGGATCGACGTTTCCGAGCCCTGTTCAATCATCATCACCATATCAATCTCAGCGTCTACTAGTACCATTACACAATGCCCAGCTGTATCCTCTACTCAAGATTCATCCAACCGTCAAGACCAAGACCCCTCGACCATATCAGCGCCGGTCGTGCCAGACTGCGAATCCCCCTCTCGGTCTGTACCGAGTCAAATCACGACGTCGTCAGTTACTCCTACTCGCGCCACCTTTTCGCCAACTTGGCCTGATTATATACCGTCTTCCCCAACATCAGATGATGAATTCTTCCCGCCAGCTTCGCCCACTGAACAGGTCGACCGATCCTGTTGGAACGAGACCGGATCCTTATTCCACAGCTTGTCTGGACCTTCTCCTCAACGCGGCACACTTATCCCGCTGTCAGAGACCTCGACTCTACCACAGCAGCCTTTAAATGGGAGGACGAGGGCCCAGCAATGAAGGAAGATGAGGATTCAACCATTGCCCTACATCGGTTCTTTTAGCAGTATGTTGATTGTGTGCACAAGTAGTGAGACAATGCAAGACCGAGATCAGAGCCTGTATTTGATATGTTTACGACGATGGTCGCCAGTGCTGAGAAAAGGCCGATGACGGATGGAGGTGAGTACGAGCCAGTAATAGCCACGAAGGACAGCTCGTAGTGTCTGAGAGTGATTCCGGTGAAATGCTGACAGAATGCATCAAGGCTGCCCAAATGCAACGCTCTCCGGTATCCGAAAGCTCGCGCAGAACATCTTCTTCTTCGGCGCGACAAGTCGGACAAATCGAACCTGCACATCCAGCTCCGGATCGTCGAGCTTGACCTCTGCGCCGATATGCTTCGAGATTCTTTCACAGATCTCTTGGGTCTCTTCGTCTTCAGCAACAAGCTTAGCTTGGAATAAGTACAGGTGAATCAACGGTAAAGCTTTTGACGTGTGGGGTTTGAATTCGGCTTCACGACCGTGATAGAGGCCTTGGAAGGCATCGAGGAATTCGATAGCACTGGCCGGTAGGTTCATGACATAGCGAGAGAACACATTTGGTTCTTTCAAAACTTGTGCTGCTGCATCGGCCTCTTTACGCAGCACTTGCATTTCTTCTTTGGTCAGTTTCCGCGATATCTTCAACTTCGAAGGCAATCGGACTTCTCGTGGCGCGTATCGCAAGTCTCTAGTTGCACTCCAAATGAAGTCCCTACCGTCTTCACAGGAAGCCGAGACAAAGTCGCTGACCTTGTTCGACTTGATGGCGTCCTGAAGACTTCGGTACGAGTCCGGGTTGAGGTCGTTGGCTCTGACAAAGACCTTGCGTTTACCGGCCGGCACGGCGAAAGGCCCTACACCCGCCATCACGTCACAGACAGCCTCGCCTTCTTCGAACTGCTCAAAAAGCCGGGCATGTTCAGTACCTAACCGAGAGTTCCAGTACACTTTGCCAAAGTTGAATTTGAACTCGCAGCCAGATTCGTGGACCGTAACATCGAGGTCGTCTGGGCCGGCGATGACTTCATAGGGAAATGTTCGAAAGACGGATTCGGTGCCCACGTCGAACGTCTTATTGATCACGGTCGTAATATTGGGATTTTTGTCGACTAAAATTTGCCCAATGATATACTTGTAGGGAAGATATGCTTCACGCAGGTTTATGTGAGCTTGCGAATGGTCAGCACAAGGCTCTAGAGTTTACGTGTAGGGAGACGCACCAACATGGCCGACCTGGGCAAACCCTGCAGGAGTTTCCTTTTCCTCGTCGGGAATCTCAGGCAGAATTGCCTCGAGAATATTATCTAGCGAGACAAGTTAGATTTCGGGTACGACATCACGGAGGTCATTCCTGACCACTCACGTACGCATAGTCCAGACGTCGTATGTGAGTGTCAGATCGTAGGGCCGTAAGCTGGCAAGTTTGTCCTCCACCAGTTTCGAGATAGTCTGTGACCATGTTTTCGGCTCTGCCCAATCCCGTCAGTCAGCAAAGTCCTTCCCCGTACCCAAGGCTACAAAGATGGGTAACGCACTTTTCGCGTCAATCTCCGGCCTGAGCAAGAGGCACTTTGCCCCTGGCACCGAGTCATCGTCCCGCAAAGGCTTGATCGGACTGATGCGGAGCAAGTCTTGAGATTTTTCGAGCTCCTTCCTGATCGCCCCGATCTGTCTGACGTCTGAGATGGTGGCAGCCGCCAGCGGCACGGTTTTGCGAAAAAAGGACTTGTCCAGCGTTTGCATGGACCGGTTCACGGGCGGAAGGAAAACTTTGGGCAGGTCTGCGGAGTTGAGGTTCATCCTTCTGGTTGTGGCATTGGACACGTCTGGCGGTGTGGTCGAGAGGAGTCGACGTAGCAGGCTTGCCATGCGATAGGGAGCCTCTTCTGTTTCGTTCTGAAGCCCAAAATCTGCAAGTAGCAGCACAGGGAGTCACTGGCAATGCTGGGTTTGCTCCAATCTGGATGCCAAGGCACTAACCTTTATTAGGAAATACGGTAGAGTGCAAAGTGTGATTGAAGCAATACGGAGAATCAAAGACCGTATCATGCAATATGGTCCAGAAGCCACGCACAGAAGCCACAACTACTACCATGTAGTCGATACAAGCACCATCATGTCTTCGTCCACAACCTCAACAACGGTCCCTCTGATCCATTGACCGGATCTTGCGCTGGCAAAGCCACGCCCTGGATCTCCTGTCTGAAGGCGTCCCCAACTTCGTCTTTGCCCAACTCGCTACGCCATTTCGGGGCTCCCTGAAAAAAACACCCATGTGAGTAAACGAAAACCAAACAAAAGATCTTCCCACCAAAATTCTTAGGATAGGGGTGGGACGGTCTCGCTTTATTACCTCTGGGTAAACGCCAATATACCTGTAATCGGCGCTGCTTTGAAGAGAGCAATGTCCCGTCCCGGCAGGGAGGACAATGACATCTCCAGCGTGCACCTCAATCTCCTTGCCGCCCGACGTGTCGTCGTTCGTGCCGCAACCGACCAAGATCCTCGATTCGCCCTGGAAGACCCCTACAGACGAGATTTCCCGAAATTTAGCTAACCCCGCGCGGAAAGAAGAGGCGTTTTGTTTTCATGGAAGGGGGAAGAAAGGCCTTTTTACCGTAGCACTCGTGCGTGTTGGGATGGAAATGCCTATATGAGATGTGACCCCAGGTGCCTTTCTTCTCCCAGGCGTGCGATTCCAGGAATTCCGTCGTCTTGGCTTCGGAGAGTGGGAGAGGGAGACAGTCGCGATAGATCAGGACGGGCATGTCGTTGTTGGGGCAGTGCTTGTTCGGTCCGAGGTAGTATGTCTCGGGCTCGAATCCCATTGTGGCAGCGAGACGGTGCTGATAGATATATATATATTCAGCTTGAGGGGGAGTGATGGCGATTGTATTCAGCGAAATTGATATTTCATATGAGCTAAGCAGTCTGAGATATCAAGAAGAAAGGGCCTCGGGAGAATTTGGGGCCTGGATGAGTTTGCTGTTCTAAGTAACGGAACCCCGCTCGATGGAACCAGCGACACCCTCTCCAGCTACATGTTCTAGATAAGTGTATACTGCTGGTCTGCCCACCAGATGCATTGCGTTGACTCTTTTGGCTATGTGGCCCTTGTCATTTCCATCTGTTGGCGATGCCTATCCCACCTGGTGGTCGTATTCTGTACGCGGCTGGAGGACGCGTCGCGTGGAGGCATCATGACGTCGTCGATACAAGAGCTACTCGTACGGAGTACATGCTCCTCCGCCACGGCCGGTCGTCTCTCTTCGCCTTGTCCAGATTCTCCTACTTGTCTGGTAGTCCACCAAGTCCACGGGGATTGGAGGTCTTGTCTTGAATCTCGGGGCTGAGAATAATTGTAAAAGCAACATTCTTAGACAATGGCGAAGCGCACTCTCGATGGGTACTTCTCCTCGACGCCGAACAAGAAACCACGCGCCGATGAGCCTCTACAAGGACCGCCAGAAAACGACTTTTCCCCGAGGTCTATAGCCAAGACGACAAACCATCCCACATACCCCTGGCCGATTCCTCACCTGCCGAGTCATGTCGCAACGGAAATCGAACTGCTAGTCACCGCCCAAGGCAAGGAGATCAGGGACCAACAACACCTGGACTTGATATATTTCCAACCGTTTATCCCCAAGTCAATCGAAAGGGAGCTCTTCAACTTCTTCCGCTCCGAGCTCTTCTTCTACCGCGTCAAATACACCATCAAGCGGTTCGGCAAAGAGACCCTCATCAACACGCCACGATTCACCACGGTCTTTGGGATCGACGAGACGAGTCGCTTCGCAGATGACGGCCTGCGCATCGTCGAGGCTTCAGACCCTTCCAAGACGGTTCGCAGGGATAAGTATAGGTGCCAACCACGGCCGATCCCGGAGTGCCTGGACCTCCTTCGCCGGGTGACTGAAGCCAACACCAACACCAAGTACAACTTCTGCTTGGTCAACTATTATGCAACAGGAAACGACAGCATCTCGTTCCATAGTGACGATGAGCGGTTTCTTGGTCCCGAGCCAGCCATCGCATCATTCACGCTAGGAGCAAAAAGAGATTTCCTGATGAAGCATAAGCCTCCCAAGGACGGCAAGCCGAAGCTGCAGACCAAGGACATCAAGCTGCCGCTGGCCAGTGGCGATATGATTCTGATGCGCGGCTCGACACAGTCAAATTGGTTACATAGTATTCCGAAGCGAAAGGGCCCCGAGGCTGACAGAGGTCGAATCAACATCACTTTGCGTCGCGCTTTGATCCCTGCTGGCACGGAAAACTACTATCGATATAATGTCGGAGAGGGGGGAGCGTATAAGTGGGATAGCGCCAAGAAAGAGATGATGCCCCTGGTTGTCAAGAATGGATGATCGTTGGTTGACAGCAAAACTTATTGCGTTTTCTTTTTCCTCTTGCCTGCAGCGGAGAAGATCGCGCTCCCGATTGTGCTTGTGATGGATCGATAGACCGTTTGGCCTTCCAATGTGTGGGTGGTGATGCCGAAGAGCACCAGGAACAGGACGGAAAGGATGCTGACGACCAGGAAACAGAGCCAGTACGTCTTGAGGGTGTAAATCTTCTCGATTTCGGGAAGCTGGATAGAGAAATATCCCGTCATCAGACTGACTGGGAGGAACAAAATGGTTGCCTTGGCCAGCAAAATCGTCGTTCTGGTGAGCCTCTCCACGGCCTGGGACTCTTTCAAGGCGACCAAGTTGAAGTTCTGCATCGCATTAGTGGAAGGTATCAAAGCGACCGCGACCTGGGGACACCTACCATAAGCACAAGAGACTCCTTCTGCTTGATGCATTCGTCAATTTCAGTCAGCGCGTACAGTCGAATCCTGCCGAGCAGTCTCTCGAAGCGGGCCACGGCCGAAAAGCTCAACTTCACGTTTGACCTTGAATCATCCGCCAAAAAGCCCTCTTCGTACGGTGCAAAATGCGAAGCGGGAGTTTGGTGACCCCCCAGCTTGACGTCTTGGTCGTGAAATGTGCCCCGGGGTGACAGGAGCAGGCTGTTGGCATCCATTACCAATCGTTGGCTGTGAAGGAGGCGAGACACGATCCACTCGTAGCTCTCGTACATGAGCTTGAGGACTGTCAGCTGGGTCCCAATTTCATGGACCTCCTTGACGTGAGATACGTCAGCCGCCTTGAACATGCGCTGTTGCATCTCTTCCAATCTCCTCCGATAGGGATGGTCAAGGCGGGCAATCAACCTGTAAGTCCCTTCCCAGTCGTCGAAGAGGTAATAAAACAAGAGGCTCGCCGCCTCTTTTGGGTCGTAGCCGGTCGTGCTGTTGTTTGAATACTCGTTCCACCTCACGCGGACCTTCATCAGGGCATCTCGCGAGCTGTCTTGGGTGTGTTGCTTGGAGAGGCACTGGAAGACATTGAGAACATTGCGTCTAGAAATGAGATGCGGCTCACTGGGATTGGGACGTTCAAACACAGAAATGACGGTTCCATCATCACATATAAGCAGAGACGACCAGATCCGTTGGCCAGGTGGTTTATTGCCTCCAGACGTCGTATTGCCAGCATCTTCGGCAGATGCACCGTCGTGTGGCGTTGCTGTGTCTTTCTTGGCCTTCGGGAGCGAGTACAAAGCATTGAAGCCGATGTAGATGTAACGGCGGCCAAAGTCGACGGAGCAGAAGTGCCACAGGTTCCTCACTACCGTGCCAAACGTCAAGCCTTCCAGATCCCGCGGGTCCATTGCTTGTTGCTGCTGTACGGCCGTGGGCTGAAGGGGCACGCCTTTCTCGACGTCCGTCGTCCGTGTTCTCGGGCTCTTGTGCAGCGGAGCAGAGGTGGAAGTCCGCGAGGTGTCGCTGCCTGTGGAAGACGTGACATGACTTTTCGTCTGGCCTGGAGAAGTAATAGCCTGGCACAGCAGGCCGGCAAGTCTCGGGGACAGATCGTATTTCTTGGCCACTTCCTCGATGATGGGCTTTTGCGATTCCGAGGCCCAGAAGTTCAACCACAAGGCTTGACTCCCGCTGCGACGGTGAGGCTGCTGCAGCCACTCCAGGGCGCCGTCCCGGCTGATGTCGACGGCGCATTTGGCCTCGGTGCTGTCGAAGCTGACGATGAAGTTTTCCGTCCCAGCCTGCTTCAGCCTCGCCTCGCACACGTTGAAGGCCGCATCATCGTCCAGATCGTATACCTCGTAGGTCTGAGGCGTCTGGGCTTGCGCCATGTGGTGACACAACTTGGTCAGGTGAAGGACGTAGAAGAGTTGCGCAAGCTTGTAGCTTCTAGAAGAAGAAATTCTGTCGAAGCGTGAAGAGGGAGAAGAGACGAGATCAGGAGACACGCCGACATCTGATCAGGCGCCTGGCGTTGGTCGGTAGGCGACCGACTCAGCCTCTCACACCTCCTCCCCCATTCGAGTCGCCTATTCACCTAATCAGCCAAACACCGGCGATTGGCCTCAGTAACCTGAGTCCTGGCTCCTGTTTCCCCGGGCGGGGGGGAAAGTGAAACCCACGACGCCACGCCCCTGACGAACGACTTGGGGTCTGGCCCCCCGAACGACCAAGGCTTGAGACACCCGGCTTCCCAAGCTCTAGCGCCCCTGAGATACCGAGGGGTGTTGCGTGTCTCGCTTCGTTCCAGGCTGGCCCTTCAGCTTCTTTGCCCTTACCAAACGACCCATGACGACTGAAAAAAATAAAAACTGGCAAAATTACTCAATGTTGAAGTCAGTACTGCATCTTTGGGGACGATGAAAAGAAAAGATGAATGCTTCCTCACAACCGCTGGCGAAAAGTTTTATCACGCTGATCATTTGCGCAACGACGTTTAACGGCAGCCGCGGGCAGCAGATTCTTAGAAGGACCTTTCCACATATGGTTCATCGGCCCTCTCATGATGGAAGGCTGTTGATCCGACAAAAGACATCATCCCAGTGAGTTTGGGCTTCCCTCCAAACATAAGAAGTATGAAGAAGTTTGTCAACCGACACTATATGCTGCTCGGAGGTATCATGGGAAGAAAGGAATAGAATTCCTCAGCACGCTCAAGTAGAGCCTCATTGTAGATGTGTGGAACAGATTCACCACAATTAGGACCAGAGACCACCACGAACTCTACTCTTTCCATCTTACAATTTCGGGATAGCAGGACCGCCGTAGGATCCCGGCGCTGCACGGATTCTTCCACGATACTTGTCCTCAATCGCATCGGCCACCTCGTCGCGTTCCAACTCTGGAAGAGCTCTGCCGTAATTGCTCGGGGTGACCAGCGCCCAAAGGCCGTCCTGGTCCCTGCCATCAAGCATGCCACAGGGCCAGTGGTGGAGATTGCGGTCGTGGATCGAGCGATGGATCCGTTCGAACGTGTTGGCCATGGGCCAGGCCTTGCGATCTTCGACGGCAATGTTTTCGACGGCGTCTTCGAGGTCGCCGACGAGACCTGCGCTGGGCTCTGGCACCAGCCTGTTTCCCAGTTGATTCCAGTGCTTGTTGGGATTCGGCTTGAGTCGGTCCGGGAGAAGGTAGAACTCTGCTGCGTCGTCCATATGCTCAGGATCCTCGTCTATAAAGGCCAATTTCTTGTCCTTGGAACATTGGGCGAGCATCCATGCCAGTGAGATGTCGGAGCCCCTCGGGTCATATCTGCCGCCACCGATGTCGCTGTGGACACCAGAGAACCAGACCTGCTTCATCACTTGAAGACCTGCACCGTCAGACGTTGGCTGGTACAATTGCGAGCCGTTGTTTGGGTCTCGCGGCCATTGCCACAGTGTTGGCATGAAGGGGACTCGACGCTCGTCCAGCGCAAGGGCGTGATATGCGTATTGGATCCTGGTCGACAACTCGGCGTTGTGAAATTCGATCTTTTCACCACCCCATCCCTCGGCATGGAACTCGACAGTGTCCCAGACCCCTAGAATCTTGATGGCGTCTTTTGCCTTTTCGTTCACGTCATTGCCGATCAGATTTTTGAGGGTTGGAGAAAAGTCGAAATCAGGTCTGCTGGTCGGATCCTTGTAGTACTCATCGTAGACTTGAGGGAACCAATCCATGCCTCGTTTTGTGAGAAGTCCAAGCTTGGCCACTAACCCAGCGATGGAGCGGGCAGTGTAGGCACCGCGCGAGAAGCCAAAGAAGAAGATCTCATCTCCAGGATCTGGATCGTAATTGTGTGCTAGGAAAGCATAAGCCGCCCGGATATTGGCAGAGAGCCCAGCCCCATAGACACCTAATGGACAGTTAGAAACCCAGCCCACCTAGATTCCCGAGAAACAGAAAGCAAGTCCTGACACCTTATTTCTCAAAGATGTGGGAGGGGGCAAGATGAGTATGATTGAGATGCCACAAGGGAAACGGAGTAATATCTCACCGCCACGGATCTGGTCGCCAATTCCTGACCCAACACCAGGTTGATAGTAGACGATTTGCTCGACCTCTCGTTCCTTACCATCCTTTTCCCTAATCACAGCGACCGGACTGATGGCTCTAGCAAAGCGGGCAATGTTGGTTGGATGGCTAGGACTGCTGACATTCAAAATGCTCTGCCACGTTCCTACAGAAAATAAAACTCAGCCTCAAATTCGATTTAGACTGTATCGTAGACAGCTTGATCACGCTAGATGCAAATCATAACGGGTGAAAAATGCCTTTTATTGAGGCAGAGATTTGCAGGGGAGGAGGCAGTACCGTCGCACAGCTGCAAACTGTTAGCCTATCCTATAATGATGAAAGCCCGGTATACATGGAGCATCCAGCCACGGAAAAATACTGCCAGGGCAATAACTTACCACAATAAGACGTTTGTAATTTGCTGGTGGACGACCAGCCATGTTGAATCTATCTGTGAGATTTCAGGCTGGGCTGACGGGCAAGGCTCGATATGGTCACACGCTCCAACGGGCCTCTGTAGCACTCCTCACTCAGCCGAGGCGAGGAAGGAGGCTTTTTATACATTCGAACCATGCTGAAAAGTGACTCGAGGCCTTGAACCGAGAAAGAGGGCGGCTTGTACGACTGGAACTCCATCAGCATTACAGGGGACCTGCCACCCATCCTGTCGAAAAGTTCAGCTTCAGCAAAATGGATGCCTTAACATGAAGGGTGTCTGTATGGCTGGCTGAAAGAGCTGCCAGCCATTGGTTGCCTCTGACACCTTACCGTGTGACTGAACGAGGGGCAGGCTCAGCTGTACACACAAATCGAGGTCGAGACCCCGCCGCGTGATTGATCCTATTCGTATGTATCAAGAGCACCTGCACGAGGCGGCCGTGTGAACTCATTAGGATGGATGATTGGCAAAGAGACCAGAACTAGAAGGAAAGCTGAGATTCATTCCGGCCAAAGACGCGATCTCGCGTCGGATAAGGCACGGACGCCCAGGCAGCCCGTATCGAAGCTTTCCCAAGTTGGTTTGTAGCAGCCCCGCTCAATGCGAGAAGCTTCCCAGCTTTGGCTAATGAAGCTTTGCAAGTAGGAAGCGGGTGGGCTCTCAGCGGGTGGCATTCTGGGAATCTCATTTGAGAAAAGCTAGACCAGACCTCCTAGTGACGAGTAGAGCTCAATAAGCCTGTGAAAGGGAGGTGACACATGTCCTCATGAATTGAATACTCTAGTGAATCTTAAACCAAGTTGATGCAGAGCTCGAACGCTAGATCCTCGAAATTTGTTAACGCTTAGACCATGGGACGAAAAGAAAATCCGCTGATAGCCTTGTGGTGCATAAATAGACCAACCCAAGCAATGTTGCAGAGGCTCCTGCAACGTGGCTTCGCACATACCTAAGCCACTCACTTATTGTGATATCCTGAACTGACATGCGATAAACAAGTCCCAGTTCGGGGTTACCGAGTAGGCCGCCAACGCCCTCAGATCTGCAGGGTAGCTTGTTTTCAAACGTATAAGCATTCAATCATATTCCTCCTCTCGAGGTCTCCCATCGAACCAATTTCGCGCTCTTTTGAGACTGAATGTCCGTCGTGGCTTTGGCTCTTTGTACGCCTCTATTCCAGAGTAGCCCCTCGGTGGAGGAGCCTCGTAATGTTCTGGCCACTCATTGGCTTGCTTGAAGTCCCTCCCGATAATGCCGTTGCCTCTCAATTGCTGTGGAGGTCCATTGGGTTGCGGTTCAGAAGGCGAAATGCCCAAGATGCGTTCCTGCTTGCTGAGACGACGTTGTATATCCCCACCTCCATAGGCGTTTGTCATGGGCATTGCTGACGACGGAGACATACGAGGTTGGCTTCTTCCCATTGCTTGGACGGAAGACAGCTGTTGGTCAGAGGAGTTGTCGCCGACATTTCCGACTGCTCTTCGTGCCCCCTCGGGCTGAATACCACGACCAGATATTGTTAAGGAGCGTCGGGCGCTTGCGTGAACACCGGGCTCGAAACTATGACTTGCTGGGGGCCGATTTTCTGTGTCATACAGCATGTCGTGGTTAGGTGGGCTAGTCATGTTGTGCGACAACTGGTAATCGGCGTCTCGGGGGTTTGACACTGGGTTACGACCCGAGGCGTCGTTGGTTGCTCGATATTGCTGAGACTGTCCCATCCCCGTGGCCTGGGCTTGAGGCTGGACTTCGCCGTCGTCTTCGTCATCACTGTGGTCATCTTCTTTCTTTTGTCGGCGGCTTCCGAAAAGACTAAATCTTCGCCGAGGTGCCGCCCCTGCTTTTGGAGCATATGTATTCTCTGCGTAATCGTCTTCGCTTTCTTCCTGATCCCAATCTTCCTCTCGGTTCCCAGGGGCTTTGGGTCTTCTCCCACCGATGCCGAACCTATTCAAGAGTGTCGGTTTCCTTTGTATCCCACTGGCTTCGTCAAGCTTCTCGCGATCAGAGCTACCGTCATACCAAAGAGCCGGGACAAGTAGCCTGTAAGGCGTCGTAATTCCGGATGGGTCTTTTTGGTTGACTTCAACATTTAGGACCACATCGAGACCTCCTTCCAGATTAACATGATCGTTGACATCAATTTCATTACCTTCAGCGTCGACGGCCGGTACGTTCCCTTTCCTAGCGGCTCTTTCGGAGAAATTGGTCGGACGGCGTTTGAATGTGCCCGGCCGCATTGGCACGCCAGAAGAAACGTGATCCAACGAAGAAGCGCGCCTCTGTGGGAGAGCCTGGAATTCACTCGAGGCTTGTCGAGAGCCGCTTGCACTACGGTTCTGAACCAATGTAGTGCCTTCGGATTGTGTTGTTCCATCGTGAGACGCTGAACGACCTTGGCCGTATATCGTGTCGCGATACGAAGTGGGAGGCGCGTTCCGAGAGCTTAGTCGGCGGAACAGAGTTCGTGGATTGACATCTGCCTTGCTGAAGGAGAATCGTCGAGGACGAGGTCCTGGACTTTCCTCCAGGTCTTCATCTTCGAAGACTGCCGAATCTTCTGATGCTGAAGGTGGAGGGGTTGAGCCTGGAATGTACTCCCGGATCGAACACCAATTGCGTCGGGGCAATAGTCGTTTATTGTTTCGTTTCTTGTCGTTCACATCATGCGTGAACATAGGAATCATGTCTTCGTCTGTGTAGTGGTCCAAATGATGCACCTTGTTCCGCCTGTTCAGGATATCGGCGAGCATGTCCGACGGAGGTGTATTCACAATCGCTGAAGAAATCACATTTGGCATGTATCGGTGATCTTTGTCCTTGGGGATCTTCAGCTTCGGGTTTGAGTGAAACTGGCCAATTGCGGCCAGGTGGACATCGCCGCTCAAAAAGGTGATGCGACAGGACTTCTCTGCCGCAAGGTCTTGCAGGTCTTTCACCAAGTCATTGCGCTCATGTTTGTGGTTTGTTGAAGTCCAATGATCATCAAGGTCATCGAGTATCTCGACGCCCCCGTCGAATTTGTTGAGAAAGCCGCCTTTTAGGATCCCGGCTCTTCCCAACGCCTTAACAGGGTCCATGAATCGACTAGTGAGAACATTTTCCAACCAAACCAGGCGAGGGTAGGCAAGGGGAATACCTAGCAATACGATGAGGTGCTTCGTCTCTCCCTCAATGAGTTCCTTGCGGCATCTGTCCAAAACGAAATCTAAGGTGGTCAAACTCAACACCTCATTGCGCCTTCTTTCCGTGCGGCAGTCAAGGCCCAGAAATGCAACATGCTTTCCCATATGCATAAACACACTTCTGCTAAGTTGTTTGATATAAGGCCCTGGCTGTCGGCCCAGAACCCAGCTAGGTTCATGCGCCATGGTTTCCTCGGGGACGCTCTGATGCTGAAATAGCATGTAGTATTTATATGCAACATTACCGATCCCAGAAAATACTGGCGTCTCCATGAAATGGTTTGGGTAGGAACCAAAGCCATCGATAATGTCATGATCGTCCCAGATATTCACCATCGGGATTTGGCTAGCAGCCATGCTGAAGAGACCCTGAGAGAACCACATGGCATATCTGTTCAGATAGAAGCTCTCGAGTTCTTCCTTCATTTCATGTGTGAACGGAGCGTGATGTTTATGAGCTGGGTTCCTCATCCTGGTCCATTCACCAAAATGTTCGGTCTCGATCATAACGCGGTCATTGTATATCTGGTCGCCGCCCCCTATCATAACGTGAAATGGGCTTGATTGATGGGTGTTGAGGACGTCTCTCCACATCGGATCAGGTCCGCTGAAGCTGTCTGGATTAACGGAGAGGCTGAACCCATTGCAAGAATGAAACATTATGTGCATGGTCTGACCTCGAGCAGGCACCCAGAAACCGACGGCCGGGCCACGATTGATGCGGTAAGCGATATGCTGTTGCTCATCGGCGAGTTCGATTTCGAGATTAAATCGCCAGAAGGTCACATCACGGTCTGGATCTGCGTAAAGTCGCGCTCCCGCTACTTCCTGATATCTGCCGAATCTCTCCCCGTCCGTATCAAGCACGCGGTTGTTGGAGAATGGAACTAGTCCCTGGGGTCCATTATGCTCCAGCGGGCTGGGAGAGCTTTCGAAGAGGCCGTCATCGTTTTCGATCTGTGACAAATCCTTGCCCTCTTCCAGATGGTCCACGGGCCGAACATACAAAGCCCTCCCAGTCCTTGAGAGCTTCGTTAAGCCAGCAATCGGATCAACATATTCAGGTTGAAGCTCATCTGCAGTGACGTGATGAGGCGGAGGTGGTAACAACTTTTGTGGCTGACAAAACAGACGTAAAGTCGGCGTCGGATCGTAGGAAGAATGAGAATTTTGAGTCACGATAAGGACACTCCCTCGCCAGAATTCACGTTCTTTCCCCTTTTCATCTTTCTGTCTTCTCATGCCCTTGTAGCGAAGTAAAGGCCCGCACCGCAGATAGAGTTGTGGCTTGAACTCAGCATTTCTATCGTCGATATGATCTCCAGCAGCAGGTTGGTCAGCTACCTTCGTCGATCTGCTGCTGCTGCGTCTGCGGGTTGACGAAGCCGCCGCCTGTTCCCACCAAGCTTTGCCCCTGTCCGCGGGGGCTACGGGTTCAGTGGAGAAGTCGATGGCTGTAAGTCTTGCTGTCCCGGCCTCTTTCCATTCATCGACAGGTCGATTGTTGAGCGGCTCTTTGAATGACACGCTAGACTTTCGTTGTCTTTGACGTATCACATCTATCGGCTTCGCTGGAGGGGATTGGGGACTGCTTGGGTGAGGTGATGATTGAAGCCCAAGGCCAATCGGTGGTGTCTGTGGTCGCTGCTGTACCTGCAACACTTCATTTCTCAAACCGGCGGCATCTTGGTTGTATTGTTCTTGTCTGCGAGCTTGGATTGTTGTTGCTGAGGTCGGCACGGGTATTCTGCTTGGCACCCTGCTAGCCGAAGCGATCCTTCCATCCACATCCCTTGCCGGAGCTTTTTGGAGTCTCGCTGAGCCTCCTCGCCCAAGTTTGACGGAATCTGACATCCCAGTGAGTTTCTCCAAGGCTGCTTTATGAGACGCGTTCCTCTGCCGCTCTAAAAAGTCGTCCCGAGCCGGAATGGAGGGTGCTTGGGCTTCGGTGGTGCGAGCCGGCGCTTGCCCATCCAAAGCTTCGACTTCGGCGCCCATCGGTGCGACTTCACGCTGTTTCCCAGATCGAACTCTGTCTGCCTTGGTAGCAACTTCCTCAGGCACTGCGCGAGGTGCGTCGAGCGGACCATCTTGACTAGGCTTACTGACTCGCCGATACTTGCTGCTTGGCTGACGGCGCTGACCGACATGAGCCGGTTGCAGTGGGCTGGAGATGGTGTACTCAAAACCTGGGTGGCCTTCCCCGGAGAGGCTTCGTACGTCAGGTCGATGATTGTCCACAGTTGTGCTATGTTGCAACCGCTGCCGCTGAGTGGTGCTGAGATTTCGAACCAAACCCGCATCTTCTAGCGTTGGTACTTCCTGATCGGTTGCTTGCTCCCTTTTCGGCGCAGACCTGCTGGCAGAAGCAGTGGGCAGGGACACCGGAGCAGTTTCTTGAGGAGATTCTACAGCCTTTCGAGCCGGTTTTGACTCGCGCTCTCGCAGTAGCATCTCAGCCTCCTGTACCCTCGCGCGCTTTTCTTCCTTGCTAATATCATTCAGAGTGACTTCCAGCTTTTGTAGAGGGGAACGATCTGGGGCCCAATCCCTTCTGTGAGCCTCATCTCGGAATGCGCTCGATCTGCTGACAGCTGATACCGGCTCGTCGACACGGCGGGAATTGTCAGACGCCCGACGAGGCTGTTGATTGGACCTTGCCTCCTTTGCGGACGGTTCGCGGGCTGACTGAATGTCTCTTCCTGGTGTTTCCGTAGCGCTCGAGCCATTGAGATCTGCAGTCTTCAGTCGCAAACCATCAGGCGGCGCTGGCTTTCGAGACACAGTGGGCATAGCTTCCCGGCGTACTGGCTCAGATACTACGCGCTGTTTAGGTTTGGCAGTTTCCTCGGGGTATTCATCCTCCACATCTGCAAATGCTTCTCTGTGGAATGGTCTGCCCTTGGCTCTCTGGGAGAAGGATCGCTGCAGGCCGGGATCCGCACCTTGGCCAAAGCCTCGATAGGAGATGGGTGGCCCGCGAGGCACTTCGGGCGCCGCAGGGAGAGGTTGTACTGTGTTTTCCAAGTTCTGAGAAAGTGGACGTCTGCCTGGGCCTCCACTGTACCGACGACTTGAGCCATTTTCTCTGCTGCGCGCGGTGTTTTGAGCGATCAGGGAATCGAGGGCCGGATCGTGGTAAAGGTCAACGGGGTTCATGGATGTAGCCATGGCGGTAGGGTCGAGATCAAGGATGAGGCTGCGAGAAGAGACAAGCTTGCGGAGGGGAGTGGCCTAGAGATGTACGCAGGTAACGGAGGCAGCCATGGACAATGACATCCAAGAGCTTGATGCGTATGATAAGTTTGTCTTCGTCGTTTGTCTTCGTCCAATGCGATGGCGGAAATGAGAGGTCCAGTTCAAGAGGATACGAAATGTCTTTTCCCGACACGTTCACATGGGGATGGAGAGGAGAGATTGTAGCACAACAACAATGGGGCACCAGAAGATGGCCTGAAGCCTCAATTGAATAATGTCATTAGGTATGTACAAGAAAAAGAGAACACGTCAAGCAAACACCATAGACTGACAGCCGCAGGAAAGTGAAGGAAGGATAAGTAACCCGTACCTTGGACCCATGATCTGTGTGGCTGGTAAAATGTGGTATTTTGGTCGACCACGTCAATCGACGAGGCGAGGAGACTCCAACTCCAAGATCTTGCGACACTGGGTCTAGGTGGAGCTTCGGATTCGTCACAGCAAGTCGGACTCTGCTAACAGGCTCCCAGGCTAGAGAGAAAGTGATCCCGGGCGCGGGCCGCATGTTTAAGCACGGCCTCTGGGGCAGCCATGGGCTTCTTAGGCTTTGTGGCAGCCACTAGTCTCAATGCACAAGTCCTGAACAGCGCCTATTGCTTTAGGTCATTTGGGGCGCGGCAAACTTACCTAGTAGGCACCGGCAGCCTTCTCCTCCGCCAATATTGCGCCGTGCATTGGATTACTGCCACCTACTGCAGGTGATGTGGTGATCCAGAACGCCAGTCTCTGGAACGGCCTGCGGCTTACTATTTTTTTTGTATCTGATTTACAGGAGAGCCACCTGTCCTCGAGGTTCGCTTTGCCTCTCGTGTTGTCTGTGATTCTGAAAGGACTATTAGACCCTTTTCAAATGTCCAGTGATCGCCATCAACCCCTGATGAAGGCATAAATACACTCCTTCGCTTTGTCTTTGCCATTCTTTGACCTTGCGCCAGTCATCGATTTGACTGTGACCGTCACAGCGTCGACGCAACAGTGTCGGACCGTCGATCTGTCCTACGATTCACATATCTTCCACCTGCGGGCACAGCCTACGTGCCTATTTCACCGGATCGACCGTACCCTCTTCTGTCTCCTCAGCCGCCGAGCGAAATCTCGGATTCACTAAGACTGCGCTACCTTGACCAAGTCGAGTCGGATTGCCCTCGCCATCACACCTGCAACATCTTCATATATTGTGCTCCTGCGATCCTTTCGAAGTCTCCCTGTGAGGCATGCCTGGCGCTCTGGGGTGACTGCGCTTTGCTCATATTATCATGCGGCTGCCAGCATGGCTTCCGCTACTCCTTCTGACCGGGTTTGCCCAAGCGAGACCGCGCGACTATGAACAGAAGGACTATCTTGCCCTCCATCTCCACCCTTCCGCAGTTCCTCAAGAGGTTGCCCTTCGACTAGGGATCCAATTTGAAGGTCCAATCGGGGAATTAGCCCATCATTATATTTTTTCATGTCCAAAGGACTCATGTCAGGAATTGGAGCATTCGTTGGAAGAGTCCCAGAAGCGGAAGAAGCGAAGGCGACGTTCTGTGGAAAGTAGGGATGCGTTGACTTCGGAAGAACAAATATACCACGATTTAACTGGTGTGCTTTGGTCAGAGAAGCAAGAGTTGCGACACCGTCATGTCAAGCGAATACCTCCGCCTCCTCCTCTTGCCCTTCGTGCACCTCAGGACGCTGCCGACTCAAATTCAGGAGAATCGGCTGACCAAGCGCAGCAAGAAGCTATTCAGCGCTTGAACACCATCGCAGAGACACTGGATATCAAAGACCCTATCTTCAAGGAGCAGTGGCATTTGTTCAACCCTTTACAGCTAGGTCACGACTTGAACGTCACTGGTGTCTGGCTGGAGGGCATCACTGGTAACGGTACCATTTCCGCCGTCATCGATGACGGCCTGGACTTGTACAGCAATGACCTCAAGGACAACTATTATGCCGAGGGTTCATGGGACTTCAATGATAACTCTCCTGAACCGAAGCCTCGACTTTTCGACGACAAACATGGTACCCGCTGTGCGGGAGAGATTGCCGCTGTGAGAAATAACGTCTGTGGGGTGGGCATGGCCTATGACAGCAAAGTCGCTGGCATTCGGATATTATCCAAACCCATCACTGACGAGGACGAGGCGATAGCCATAAACTACCACTACCAGGACAATCAGATCTACTCCTGTTCGTGGGGCCCGCCGGACGATGGCGCAACCATGGAAGCCCCGGGCCTTCTCATTCAACGAGCTATGGTTAACGGTGTCCAGAATGGCCGAAACGGCCTCGGGTCTGTTTTCGTCTTCGCGGCCGGCAACGGGGCGGCGAGTCAGGACAACTGCAACTTTGATGGTTATACAAACAGTATTTACAGCATTACGGTCGGAGGCATTGACCGCGCTGGCAACCATCCCTACTACTCCGAAGCTTGCTCAGCACAGCTAGTTGTGACTTATAGCTCCGGCCATCAGGATGCAATCCACACCACGGATGTCGGGGCCGATAAATGCTACAATGGTCATGGCGGGACATCGGCCGCAGGGCCGCTTGTCGTTGGTACTGTAGCTCTTGCACTCAGCATTCGGCCAGACCTTTCCTGGCGAGATCTGCAATACCTCTGTGTTGAGAGCGCCATCCCTATACACGAAGACGACGGGAGTTGGCAGAACACGACGATCGGAAAGAGATTCAGCCACGTCTACGGATATGGCAAGGTCGACTCGTATAGATTCGTCGAAGCTGCTAAGACATGGGAGACCGTGAAGCCACAAGCTTGGTTTCACTCGCCCTGGCTCAGCGTTCAGCACCAGATCCCAGAGGGTGACCAAGGACTGGCTGCGAGTTTCGAAGTCACAGAGGAGATGCTGAAAAAGGCCAACCTTGAAACACTCGAACACGTCACCGTGACTATGAATGTCGAGCACACCAGGAGAGGCGATCTGAGTGCAGATCTGATCAGTCCCAGTGGTTTGATCAGCCAACTCGCAACCCCCCGTGGTCCAGATAAAGCTGCAGAAGGGTACGATGACTGGACGTTCATGTCGGTTGTTCATTGGTAAGTGCGATTTCCAGTCCCATGTGTTCTGCCTCAACAGAGACTAATGTCACAATAGGGGCGAATCTGGGATTGGGAACTGGACTGTAATCGTCAAAGATACTCTGCAGAATGAATTCAATGGCACCTTCATCGACTGGCGTCTCAATTTATGGGGCGAGTGTATCGATCCCCAAATTCAATCCCTCCACCCGCTTCCTGATGAGCATGACGACGACCATGAAACAGCCACCGCGATTGTTAGCACAACCAGTGTGGAAGCTGGTACTCCAGCTACTGACCTTCCAACAACGCCCACCGATCACATCGATCGGCCTACTAAGCCCAAGCCTTCTGATACAACAGATTCTGTGGTCATTGTCACGGCGACCAACACAGTCTCTGTACCTATTGCAACCGCAACAGTGACAGGGGAACCAACCGAGGCACATTCAGACGGCTTTCTTCCCTCTTTTTTCCCTACATTTGGCGTGTCGAAGCGGACACAAATTTGGATTTACGGCTCAATCGTGTTGATCGTTCTCTTTTGTGTGGGTCTAGGGGTATATTTCCTGATTCAGCGGAGGAAAAGACTCCGAAACAATCCTCGCGACGCATACGAATTCGAGATGGTCGGCGATGCAGATGAGGATGAGCAACAGGGCCTGACCTCACGTGGAGGACGAGGCAAGGGACGAGCCCGACGAGGCGGAGAACTGTACGATGCATTTGCTGGCGAGAGCGACGACGATTTGTACAGTGATGAAGAAACATATCAAGACACCCCAAGTAACGACACAGGAACGGGATCGAGGTCTGGGAGCTCTGAAGGCAAGGAAAGGGAGAAATAAAACAAAATGTATGGGAACGGGGCGTTCAGGATCATGCATGCCATTCATTGTCTGACGGTTGCCTAGAGGCTAGAGCCAGCCTTTGCCTGTACAGATCTATCCTTATGACGCGTGCATTTACCCATCAGCATCGACCGGCCGAGTTGAAAAATACTCCAAGTCGCACAGTTCTGACACAGAATCACACAATGTATCCAAGTAGCTAAAGATTGCTCAGGGTTTAACGAGGTAGCCGCTCTATCAAACGTTGAGGGTCGGGCGGTGGGCTGAGGGGCCCTGCCACGCCTGCCTGGGTGCTCCAGCGCCTAGTTCAGCCATTATCACCTAGAATCTGCGGGCGCCGCAAGACATGAAATTCACGCGGCAGGCGCCCATTTGAGCCCTGAAACCGAGCGCAGTTTGACTTCACCCTGCAGCAGGCTCGACCAACACTCCAGGACCGATTCTCTTTCTTCTCACCGTGCATGAGCATATTCAAGGCCGTATCCATAGCAGCATCATGAGCTTCCAAACACGGTGCATACCATGGTGGCCGGCTCCAGGTCGTCGTTGAGGCGTCCTACACTACGAGGCCACAAATCATCCAGGTCCAACAGTCCCGTCAACAACGAACCACCACCTCTCCTCCCAAAATCCGGCAATGAAGGCATAGCACTCAGATCTAAACGGCTTCGAGCTGCTACTATCACCACGCCCGAGCATGACCTGAAGAGACGCCGGTTGTCGACAACCAAGAGCGATATACCACAATTACGTATCCCGCTACGCAGTCGAGGGGGTTTACCTAAAGCCCTCTCACCACCTCCCGCCACCACCACCCCGAGTGTGGTGCACCCCAAGCCTGCTACCAATGCAAATACCGCACATATCAACCTCGCACCCATCGACTTGCCTGCATCACCAGGCGAAAAGTCACAATATGATCAGATCAGAATTATTGAAGAGAAGGCGAGAGCCGCAATTCGAGGAGGCGGTCAATCCACAAACCACGAAGACCGGCGAAAATTACGCTCAGAGGATGGAGGGTCTCGGGCTAAAACGGAGCTTGCGCAGTATTTCCCTGACTTTGAGGAGATGCTGAGTTTGAAGCCGCCCGATCCAGGTATGGAATGTCGCAAATTTCAATTCGAAAGCCTTGGCTGACCTTGAGTAGAAGCATTGACTGTTAGGACGAGGGTCGTCCTAGTTGACGATACGCCTGACTTCGAGCCGCATCCCTCCAAGTCCGACCCCTTTGGAGCGCATAAGCCGCTGCATAACACACAAATAATCCGCCTGGGCCTACCGGACGGCACTGGCCACCCTCGCCCAGCCGACCCTCTGGGCGAGGATGTGTACATCAAGATCCATGCAAAGGCTGAAAGGCACGAGAAACAGATGAAGAACAGTGACAGAGAACGAGCCCAGCATGAAAAGTACCAACTGGAAAAGCTCCTTGATGACCTGCGGGGACCGGACTGGTTGAAGACTCTTGGAATAAGCGGCATCACTGACACAGAGAAGAAGCGATACGAGCCTAAACGACTGCTGTTTATCCGAGAAACTCAAGCTCTGATTGACAAGTTTAAAAGATGGAAGGAAGAAGAGAAACGCAGAAAGCTGGAGCGAGAGCAGGAGATGCTGGAAGCGGCCGTACTGGAAGGCGAGGAAGAACAGGATGAAGGCGAAGACGCGGATAACGAGGGCTCAAACAGCGCTTCAGGCGTTGAGGAAGGAAGCCTCGATAGTGCCTCGACCCATGCCCCGAATTCTAGTGAGCTCGACGCGCTTGCGTCGCAACAACTGATCGAGGAGGCCAAGATTGCCAGCAAACGCAGAAAGCCGACACCCGCACAATGGGTCGAGCTTTTGCCGCCTAAGCCGTTCACTTCCTTCTTTAACAAAAGACACCTCCGAGATGCTGCGGTTGCAGGCCGTCAGAGGGGGCGAACTCTTCTTGCTTTCGGAAGTCCCATCCCTGACTTTTCAGAGGAAGAATTTGAGCTGCCGTACGATATTCTTACGGACGAAGCGATCAAAGCAAGGCATCGGTCTCACAGGCGACTGAGGAGAGGTGCCACTTGAAGCTCCACCGGGCATCGATGGAACCAGTTCTATAGCTTGGGACTTTGTATAGGATACACAAGGCGATTGTATGACGCGGGTCAAAGCTGGGGACGGTGGTTGGGATACGGGCTACTACAGGAGGAGTTGCAATCATTTCGAGGCAGTTTTTCCTGCAATGAGTTTGTCTTGGAATGGAGGAGCGTTATTCATCTTGCTTGATCAGAACCAGTTCAACTTCGCGCAGGTTTGGCGGATCAACCGAAGGATGTGGTGACTACTACTTGTATCATGGCCCCTTCATAGGGATTGGGAAAAAGTCCTCGTACTCCGTACCTCGTATTCATAAGCTTAAAGAAGGGTTATGGAAATGTCTTCACATAGTTATGGAACTCCTAAGTCGACGCTGGAGGCTCTGTACGAGATATAATTAAAGCCTCAAATGACAATGTCAACTTTCTTCGAGTATCTCTGCATATGTTCAGTATTAATACACATAGTGCCATGGCTTGTGGAAATTACCATATGTTCGTGAGGGACTCGTGGCGGACTCGTGGCGCCCCCGTTGTGCGAGGTACAGCTTCAATCACCAGCAGGAGTTGCACAGTTGCCAGACTGGGTAATTCGAAACATACCCCATAGTCAAGTACCTGGGTGGTAGGTATCCATTGACCAGACATGGAAAGGTGGTGGCTCTGATTACAAGTCACTGATATCCCTCCTTGAAACGCTGATTTCTGTCGCGCCCGTAGCAGAGATCTATGAGTACGCGTACTGCGTAGACTCCCTGTTCAGTGAAATCCTCCGTGTCTGAAGTCTCTACTTGTAGGATCTCCCGTTTATCGTACATATTCCAACGCATTCGAGTCTCTACCTTGGGTAGTTATTGTTCTCTACAAAAGGCAAGTCTGGTGCCATATCCCCATAAAAGTCCCTGATCGTTTCCTCAGCCCCCAAAGTGCTGGGAATAACCGCGCCCTCGAGAGCTAGCCTCGGCCAATATTCTCCCTGATTTGCTGAAAGCACAAGCGAAATGGGGCTGAAAGTCTCCAAATTTGGGGGTCGGGGGTCAGGACTCAGCCGCAACATATGCGTCCGCGCACCTCGTAGCTCGAATTGCATTCCATTGTCTGGGAAATTCCGTGCTCTCGAGCTGATACGTGAATCCTTCCAGGGCTGAAAGTGCGCCCGAGAGGGAGTCTATGTCTCGCCTGTGGCCACAGATGATTTCGATCCTCTGATCCTCCCGGATCTACCAAGTGGAGCGGGTTTCCGCTGCACAGGAAAAAAAGGGCTGACAGTCTCACGCAGCAGCCTCCCTGACTCTGTATATCTCGTTGGGAGATGTTCCGTACTCTGTTATTAGACTCAAGGTTGCCCATACTTACGATGCAGGCTCCTTGAACTTCAGACACCCTAGTTCTATTCCTCTCTATTGTTGTGCGGGTAGCTGTGTCCTGAACAGCGCCCAGTCTGAGCTTGCCTTGAAGACGAGCTGCTCCCGACAGTATCTATAACAACCACAGCATCCATGGCAAAGGGCGTCTGGAAAATATGCGCTCTTGCAATCGCCTTGGTCCAAGGTGCCGCCAGCACGACCACCATCACCTCTCCTCCTAAGGCTCTCCTGCCACGAGCAACGGGGACGTCACCACCCGCATCAGCATGTGCAGCTGCGTCCAGTGCATCGAAATCATATCTAGCTGCACAGCCTGGAGCCACGCAGGCATACATAGCTGCCGAGCTCGCCTACGAATGCATGAGATCAGTCCCGAACTATGCAGAACCTGCGATCCGCCTTCTGAACTCTCTGCGGACGTTTCTCGAGTTCCAGAGCAACAAAGAATATCTGCTAAACCCGCCATCGGGTTACCTCTTTCCGAGCCTGGATTTTGATGGAGAGTTTGACACTATACAGAAAAAGGTGGAGGCAGGTGCATATGAGAGCGAATATGACATGCAGGTCGACCTTAATGCAATGCTGACGTCGGCACGTGATGGACACCTGTCGTGGAATGGTGATTTAATGAATTCCTTTCTCTTTTTGCGGACGGCTGGAGATGGTGGCCTGGCTGCCGTCTCCTCAGATGGAGTGGAGACTCCGCAAGTCTACCTGATGGGCAAGTGCAGTATCGAGCGGTGAAGATGTGAGGACTTGACTGACAGATGATAGACGATCTTATTGCGTCGGATGATACGGGCAACTTAGTTCCTGTGACTGGCTATGCTCCTTCGCCGGTTACGAGTATTGACGGCGTCGACGTCGTGACTTTCCTGTTGACTCAATCTATGGTCTTCAGATCTCAAGACCCAGACGCTCTGTGGAACATCCTGGCTCCATCGTTAACCAACAAGTGGATCCCCACATTCCAGCAGCCGATCTATTACCCAGGGCCTTCAACAAATATAACATTTGCAAATGGGACTACCTTTTCATATCCGAACCTTGCTCTAGTCAACGCGGATCTGGACGGCGTCCAGACTGGGGACGACGCCTATTCCTCGCTCTGTTCGGGCGCCTTCGAGACACAGACATTAGCTGACACAGCCACTGCCAGCAGCGCAGCTTCTACCACCTCACAAGCACCTGCGACAACGGAGGCCCCTCCAAGCTCACCAACCATCCGGAACTATCCATATCCGGTGATTAAGCACAGCGCTGGTTCAGTGGCTGGGTATTACTTGAATGATACTGGCCTTACCGATGTGGCTGTTCTTCAAATCCTGGAATTTGAGCCGTCAACTGCTGTCTCACAAGAATATATGAGGGAGTTTCAGTCAGTGGTAGAAAAGTTCCTCGATGCGTCGGTCAAGACCGGAAAGAGGAAGTTGATAGTTGACCTTCAGGGCAATGGAGGTCGGTACTTCGTCATGACTAATACACTAGAGATACTGACTCTATCCAGGTGGCTTAATCGACCTTGGGACCGACACCTTTGCCCAGCTCTTCCCATCCATCGCACCCGACACCAAGTCGAACATGCGAGACCATCTTGGTTTCTGGATCCTGGGCAATGCTGCGTCGTCATTGATCGCAGCTGACGTGAAATCCTCCGACCTCGAGGACGAGCTAGAGGATGAGAATAATTACAGCCCACTGGCGTTTCAGTCGGTCGTCAGTTATCAGTTTTACGATTTCCCTGATTTCCAGACATTCTATGGGCCCTACCCCGCGAATGCCGGAAACTTCTCTGCCTTCTTTCAGAACAACTACACGGATCCAAGTGCTTCAGACTTTGCAGGAGATGGCATAATCATTACAGGGACGAACAATCGTACCGGATTCCGACAACCCTTTGCGGCACAGGATATTGTCGTCCTTACCGATGGCTATTGTGCAAGTACTTGTACAGTGTTCTCTGAGTATCTGAAAATGGCCGGTGTACAATTTATTGCAATAGGTGGGCGACCACAAACAGGCCCCATGCAAGCGATTGGTGGCGTGAAAGGCAGTCAGGTCTTTACATTTGTTGGCTTAATGGTACCAGGCTGGGTCGATCTCTTCCACAGCCCCAACAACACATTCTTGGGCCTGGCGAACGGCACAATCTGGGAGAACTTCACCTACGAGCCGGTATTACGGACAATTGACCTCCTGGGTGGGGGAGTAAATGGACGCAACCATTTTCGGATTGGCGACCAAACGGACACCCCACTTCAATTTGTGTACGAAGCAGCGGACTGTCGCATCTGGTATACGAGGGAAATGCAATACGATCCGACCTTCACGTGGTCACGAGTGGCCACCGTTGCTTTTCAAGAACGAACGGGGACACAGTTCAACTCGAAATACTGCGTCGCAAACAGCACAGGACATCCGACCAGTATCTCTGGAGGATGGAAGGCTCCGTGGCTAGGGCCGCAAGACCCACCGGCAAATTCCAGGGCGACGGTCAGCGGCTGGAAGCTACAAGGCAAACCCCTTCAACCGTTGTCCCCGGGAAATTCGCCACCGAAATCGCAACAGACAGGGACCGGTTCACCCACGAGTTCGACTGGAGCGTCGAAGCCAACCTCGACATCGGGCAGTGGGTCGGACTTGGTCTTTGGAAATGACGGCGTGTCTGACGACATTGATATCGATGGCACCAATATCGACGGTACCAACGTCGACAGTGCTGAGTTGATCTCGATTAAGCAAGCATGTTCCACCTACACGGGGGATGCGTGGTTGATTAAGGTGATATGTGGGGCATTGAACGGGAGGAAGTGAGCCTTTGGGAAGATACAGTGAACCCTTATTCTTGTATTATTAGCCAGCGCGCATTTGGTGGAGTTTGGGCTAATGCATTCTGTTTAAAAGTGCCTGTAAAAATTGTTTTCCGTTTTGAGGATCAATACCCATGCGCGGCTAGACTTGCGTCTGTTCTGCTGATCGACTCTTTTCTTATTAGTATTTGAGGAAGTCCATCAGTCGTAATATATACATAGATAGCTCCTCTCGCCAACCGCGGGTGCCATGGACAATGGAATCGCAGTGGAGGACGAGGGAAGGCGTTGAAATGGGTCCAATCAGAGTCAAGCAAGAATATGACGGCTTAGTCAGTCTTGGCAGGCGCCGGAGTCACCAAGAGCCACGGCAAAAGCCACGGCAAAAGCCACTGGCAGCCACTGCAACTGGCAGTGCATGCAGTGCCAGTGCCAGTGCAGTGAGTCAAAAGCCTCGCCAAGAGATTCCGCGCCTAGGGATTTCAAGCTTTCCACTAGTATTGCAACACCTCTCCTTGACCCTGTGCTACGTTCCTCAGCCATCATTGCTGGACAACAAATTATCGTCGCTTGACTATGCTGCTCGAGCGACTAACCAGGGTCTCTGTGTACTCTCAGCTCTGTTTCTTGTGCGTCTAGGGAAGAAGATATAGAACTCAGTTGGCCCCATTCTCGAATGACTAGGGTGGCTACATCCAACAACACAGACTAGGACATAAAGGCCATGGATAGCCGCAGCACTGCACTACACCACGCGCAACCCGGTGATACAGCTGACTCGGACGAAGAAGCAGACGTATACGATTGGACATCGTCACGCGTGCCCGGGAACAAAGATGCCACGCATTCCCGAAAGAATTCAATGCGAAGAGGGTCCAAGCAACGGCAGGAAGAGGAGCCCGAGAACGGGGCGGATGCATTAGATGCCCCTGAGCCGGACTATTCAGACTCGTCAGAAGGAGCTCCGGAAGATGAACACCTGCCCCACCCTTTTTACCATTATGCCGCGGAAAAGCGCGACACCTACGCCGATGCCAAACTCATCTATCAGCGGCATCGATTGGACACTAAATCGGAGAAGGATCTAGGCAGTCCCTTGATGTTGGGCAAGTCCTACACCATGCCCAACTCTGCGATGGATGGAGAAGTGGGGGCTCTACAGCGGACGCCCAGCATGACATCCAGACAGTCTCGTGTCTCCCAACGTGGCACTGGCCCCAGTGGCTTCCAACTCAACCATAGCAAGGATTCACTGCCTTCGCTGCATACTCATGTAGGCAACTTGCAAGAGATCCGCCCGGATCCGACGCTGCTTGCTGATGCCGCCGCGCGGGATCACAAACGGCATCCGGGCCTCCCACACGAGTTCAAGGACCCTCTGCTTGCTCATGAAGGTATGCATGGTGCTGGCGCCGGTATGGGCCTGGGTTCTGGCCCTGGTGGACTCGCTACGAGTGATGAATCGATAATTAGCGAGGTGCAGTCGATTTGTGACAAGATCAAGACAGTGCTGGATTTGAGGCAAAAGTATCTCAAAGTCTCGTTGCAGTGTCCGGGCATGAATCCAAAGGATGAAGAAACCTGGGAGATCTATCCGCCTCCACCAAACCCTGTGTGGAACGAGCAAAAGGCTCGGGAACCCCCTCAGGACTATATCCCTCCCAACAGCACGTCGAGCAGTCTGTACATGATAGACATGAGGGCTCGAGCTGCAAGTGGAGGTGAGTTAAACATGTGGCCGACTAATGCAAGTCAAGCTGGCTCTGACCGAGGAGGCCCAGCGTCACCGACGAGCGCCAAAAAGGCGAGAAAACCCGGTCATGCTATTGGCGAAGATTTCGACTTGAGCGAATGCGTTATTCCCGGGAAGCAAACCAAGAACTTGCGCTTCGAGATGGACGCTGGAAGTGTCTATCAGGTTTACGATGAGAATGACCAGCCCATCGTCGAGGTACCGACTCTGCGAGACTATTATATGGCACTGGATACGATCCTCGACATCGCTTCAGACGGGCCAGCGAAGAGCTTTGCCTACCGCCGCCTGCAATACCTGGAAGGACGATACAACCTGTACACTCTCCTGAACGAATACGAAGAGGTGGCAGACACAAAGAAAGTGCCTCACCGAGACTTTTACAACGTAAGAAAAGTGGATACCCACGTGCATCACTCTGCGTGTATGAACCAGAAGCATCTGTTACGCTTCATCAAGAGCAAGATGAAGAAATGCCCCGACGAAGTAGTCATCGAGCGTGATGGCAAAGAGTTGACTTTGAAGGAGGTCTTTGACAGCATCAATCTCACCGCGTACGACCTGAGCATCGACACTCTTGACATGCATGCGCACACGGACTCGTTCCATCGGTTCGACAAGTTCAACTTGAAGTATAATCCGATCGGACAGTCGCGGCTTCGGGATATTTTTCTAAAGACGGACAACTTCATCAAGGGGAGATATCTTGCCGAGATTACCCGGGAGGTTATCACGGATCTGGAGTCGAGCAAGTATCAAATGGTAAGGAGAGCAATCTGGAGGAGCTGCTGCCTCGTCGGCTAACCATGCGTGAAACAGGTGGAGTGGCGGATCAGCATCTACGGGCGTAGTATCCACGAATGGGACACGCTAGCAGCGTGGGTTGTCGACAACAAGCTCTTCTCCCACAACGTCCGATGGCTCATACAGATCCCACGATTGTTCGCGCTGTACAAATCGCTAAAAACCATGGAGGATTTTGAAGAACTCCTCCGCAACATCTTCCAGCCTCTGTACGAGGTGACACAGGATCCCTCGACGCATCCCAAGCTACACGTCTTTCTCCAGCGGGTGATCGGCTTCGATAGTGTCGACGATGAGAGCAAGGTGGAACGACGACTGTACCGCAAATACCCGGCAGCGAAGGAATGGAATACCAAGCAGAATCCACCCTATGGATACTGGATCTACTACCTTTTTGCAAATCTGACGTCTCTCAATGCCTGGCGCAAACGGAGAAACTTCAACACCTTCCTCCTTCGTCCTCACTGCGGCGAAGCAGGCGATACGGATCACCTTGCCGCCGCCTTGCTATGTTGTCACAGCATTAGCCACGGGATCACCTTGCGCAAAGTCCCCTTGCTGCAGTACTGCTTTTACCTCGAGCAGATTGGCATCGCCATGTCCCCGTTGAGCAACAACGCCCTGTTTCTGACCTACGACCGCAATCCTTTCATCAGCTACTTCAAAAAGGGTCTCAACGTCTCCCTCTCGACGGACGACCCCTTACAATTCGCATTCACCAAGGAACCGCTGATCGAGGAGTACTCGGTTGCTGCACAGATTTACAAGCTCTCCGCGGTCGACATGTGCGAATTGGCCAAACACTCGGTCGATCAATGCGGCTTTGAACTCTCGCTCAAGCAGCGCTGGCTGGGCAAGTATTGCTATCTACCGGGCGTACTGGGCAATGATGTTGCAAAGTGCAATGTGCCCGACGTCCGAGAAGCATTCAGACACGAAACGCTTAAGGCCGAGCATGCGTTCATTGCCAAATACACCAAAGATTACAGTCACTTTGATCGATGTACCCCTGACTTGCCGGATCCATCTGACCCAGCGACGCCGGTCGACGAGATATACCGAGGTCTGGAGAGTCCGAAACAATACTATGCGACATTAGCGGTGGCTGATTCCATTGCCCCTGCTCAGCAAGCCAGAGAAAGAGAGAGGGAAGCAGCGCTGTCCAAGTCAAACACAAATGTACCTCCGGGTAATACTTCACCCAGCCGGCTACGAAGGACCTCGAGCGTCCTATATCCCAGTAGCTCAAACGCAGTGGACGCACACATCTCGGGCCAAGAGCCACGCGCGTTTCCCGGAATCGTGCACCAACGAGAGAGGAGACGCAGTTTACGTGTTGGTTCTGGTAATTCGGCGGAGGGCACGGGCCAGCATTCGTCGGACATGGCGAGCAGCTTGCAAATGGAGCCGGGACTCGCCAAGATTACAACGAGGGAGGACAGGGAGATGAGACAGATGGAGGAGCAGGATGACGGCTGATTTTGGGGCCAGGCGCAGTGTGTGTCTCTCGTCAATGTCTGGGTTCTTTGGCATGTGTCGTGGGCGATAGAAGGTTTGCTTCGTAGACTGACCGCCTTTGGAAATGACTGGATCAGAATATCCAAAATTCCTCCTCGTACCTATTGTGCTGAACCATGAAATATGGGGTAACATGGGCCCGTGGCTGCATAGTACCATGCCTCTGCAGCTATCCTTTGCGGTCTGCCTGAGACTATTGATGCCCGCGCGGGAAGGAAGCAAGCTGCAAGACTGAATGTAGATCTACTCGTAAGAGTCTTGTGCATGGGTAGCTGCGGAAGGGCGTATGGATCTCATGTGCGACCCCTGGACGGGGTCGGGAGAAGTCGGGTGAGGCAGCACGCGGATGAGAGAGCGGTGGACGCCGCCCAGCCAATGATGCGTGATACAACCTTCTGTTCAGGCCGAAATCCGGGGAAGTCGTAGTCTGTTAGGGTCGGGTTCTTTTGGCCCTGGCGTTCACGGCGGAAGTTGGGCAATGGAGCAGACGATTTGGGGTAATTCATGCTCAAGGATGCGCGAAGGAGGAAATGTCGACTCGGGTCAATCAGCCCGAGAGAAAGCTGAGTCAGGGCATGGCATTCCATTCTGGCAACCTGGTGGTGGCATCAGCTGGTTTGTTGGATCAAACCATATTGGCAAAAGAAGAAGTGTTGAAATGCATGTCTTGACCGACCCGACGCCAATCGCGCCCACCTGATTTGATATCGATATCGATTTTCTGCGGCAAGAGGCGGTCGGGTCTCCAAAAGTGGCGCCGCCCTTCCACAACCTGGTCTATGCCTCGCATGTTGAGTACTAGTAGTCCTGTCGATCTGGAACCTGGGAAATCAGACCGCCATATCTTGGTGAGGAGCAGAGTAGGGATACCACTACCAGGTACACAGAACATAGAAGTGACGATTACTGCACAGGATCCCAGACAACATTGCGCGCGATGACGAGTGCTGAGGTTGATTTACCCTCCGACCGGCGACCGTAACCTAGCGGTGGAGTCCAGTCCAGGCTCTGAGGGCTAGTAGTGAGGGCCTAGGGGCCCAGGGGTGCCAGGAACCGCAACTTGTAGGCTAGTCAGGCTTTCCGTTGGCACCTAAAATTGGGGAAATTTTGGGCGAGGGTTCGGGTCACCTAAAGCCCTCTACAGGTCAACCAGTGCAGATCCAGTTAAAGGCCACGCCCCCCGAGATGCGGCCCAGTGGGTTGTCCGTGGGCGCCGGTGGCTGGTTGGTTCGTGTAATTTGGTTCATTGCAGCTGCGTTCATGTACGGAGTAGCCCAACACGTCGTCATCGTCATTTCGCTTGGAACTAGGTGCAGTCCATGGGCACCAGCGTGTATCGTGTGTACCGTGTACTATTGTACTCTGGCTCATGCTCATCATCCCACCAAAAAAAGCCACTGCGCAAACCACTGGCGGTACTGTATCTTTCGCACCTCGTATCATTTCCATCTCCATCTCCATTTCCTCGATCAGTTCTCCAACAAAGCTCATCAATGCTCTTCTGAATCAGAAAAAAAACACACCATCCCACGCACGTCCTGCATGTTTGAGTTCAGACTTGTTGCGTCTCAAGTCACAGTCCCCGTGCGTCCGCCAGCTCAGAACATCACCGAGACACTTGTTGTCTGTCCGCTTTCGTTCGTTCGTTCGTTCGTTTCATTCCATCCTTCTCTCCTCCTCTCCTCCGCCTTGTCACATCTCAATCCTCGCGCCATTCTCACACAACCGCTACGTCCTCCGTATATACCCGATTACTCCTCCTCGAGTACATTGCCCCCGCATTTCCTGGCCTCTCGCATCCTTGACTCCCGCGGCATCTCCATGCTCGCGTGCTCCTAGTCAAGGCTCAGACCGTCTGTCTCCAAGAAAAGGAACCTGAGCAAAAGCATGGGATGTCAAATGAGACAAGCATCCACCACCCTCACAGCCTAGATCATGGCTTCGACTTCCCCGCCTCCGCCCAGGCGATTCAACCCCGAGCCCGTCGAGACCGCTGTCAGAAGTTCAAGATCAGCTCGCAACCAGTCAGACCACCCCTCGTCCACACCTCCTACAAACCAGTCATCTTTAAATCCCGCAGACCTCATGCCTCCTCCTCAGACCAAACCTCGCAGGTTCTCGCCTCAGCCGGTGGAGGAGACATTCAGGAGCTCTAGGAAGAAGAACATCGCGGACGGTTTAGAAGACTCGACAACGGCCAACAGGGTTGGTGGTGGTGGTCCTACAAATGAATCCAATATAAACGTCGTCTCGTCGTCGAACGATCCTGCCTCCCTTCCCGGCGTACACAGCAGCGGTGCCTCCGCAAGACCCAGACGGTTTGCACCTGAACCTGTAGAAACGAGTGCTCGATCCTCGAGACGGAAATTCACCCCGGAGCCTGTTGAGACAAGTGCGAGGAGCAGCAAGGACAGAGACAACACCCAAGAAGAAGAGAAGACGCCTAAACCCCGAAGAAGATTTGCCCCAGAACCGGTGGAGACGACGGCAAGGAGCTCCAAGGAAAAGAAACCTCGGGACGCAGAAGAGACGTCGTCGAGCCGTCCTCGCCGAAAGTTCGCCCCGGAGCCAATCGAGACCAGCACAACCACCAGAAGAAGACGGGACCCTGGTCCTGAGGACTTGGACGACGAGCCTCCCAAAACCGGTGACTCCACTACTTCCAGTAGAGCTTCGTCTGGACCCCGCAAGTTCTCTCCAGAACTAATAGAGACTGCCAAAGGCTCCTATCGACGTGTCCACCTCCCTACTCCCGAAAGTAGACCATCACCCCCACCGAGTCAACGCGAGCCCTCTCCCTGCCCGGAAGAGGAGCCAGAAGACGTCTCTGGGGTTGGAGAATCGCGCTTCTCAGCAGCGGCCCTGGCCAGAAAGAACCCTGAGGCCTTACGCCAGCATTCATTCGCTGTTCCTGATCTGCCCATAATAGAGTCGGCGACGTCAGAAGATGAAGGCTCCGAGACACCCTCGTTGAGCGACTCTCCTTCGTCCGTGGAATCACTTGTCAAGAGAGCACCACCTAGTGCAAAGGACAGTTATACTGAATATGTCCTACGCTTGGCTGCCGAGACGGTGAGCGAGAAGGAATTAGAAGAGCAGGCAATGGCCGCTTATATCAATGAACGGCCGCACGAGCCCGTGGATCACTTTGCCATCTCCCGCGAGGATGAAGAAGATGGTCCTTTACCGGTGCCAATGTTTCAAGGTGAAAAGGGAGCCGATGCCCGCACCTTTCGACGGTCGTCGGCGGCAGAGCTGAATTTGGAGATGGAGAATATGCGAAAGCATCACCAGCAGCTGGAAGCGGCGAAACGCGAGCTCAAAGCTGATACAGCCGGGCAGAGCCGGTTCAGTGCTGCTGCGTTGGCGACCCGGCATGCACTGGAGTCAAAAGGCCTGAAGAAGACGAAGAAACCTAGAGCAGAGGAGGAAGACTCAGAACTGGCTCGTATGAGGGCTGCTGCGTCACCTCCAATGCTGGGCAGCGACCTCGTCTTCCCGTTCACCATCTCCCCGAAAATGACACGCTGCGATCCTGATCAACCTCCAAGACCTAGAAGTGCAGAAAGTGACGATGAGTCGACGGAACCGACTAGTCCTGATCTTTGGAGACCACACAAGAAGCATGAGAACAATGCTGGAGAGGGGCTGTGGATGGGCATGTGTCAAGCCGGGCTGTGGCAGCCTCAGAGTCCACAGAACGGCCTGCGCAGTGGCATTCAGACACCTTCACCTGCAACTCCAGCAAGGGAAAGAAACAACCCATTTGAAGCCAGCACGCCTGGCCGAGGATATCAGACTCCTGGACGGCGCCAGCAACACTTCTCGGGTCTAGGCTTTCTTCCATTAACTCCTCCGCGCAGTCAAGACGGCGACGACCCGTTTACTAGCACCATCGACAAAAAGCTGCGGATCGAGGAACAAATCGAGGACGAATTTCCCAACCGTGTGATCACCCAAATATACAACTACCTGAGCCTGGGGTACCCCAGCCTCGCACACATGTTTGATGAAGAGCTCAGCAAGATTTCTCGCATTCCTATAGAAGAACTGCGCAAAGACGATAACAACGTGGACGCCAAAGGGTACGTGGGTGCGCCGGAAGGCGATGGCTGGGACGAGGCCGAAGTCATCGGCAAATGCAAACGGTGGGAGGCGTTGAGGCTATACGTGAGGGAATGGGCCCGGCAGAGTCCGAATTTCGCGGATGGTCGAAGGCGCGCATGTTTGGGCGCGGACGAGGACTGGGGCGCAAGGGTAAGGAAGGGGAGCTGGGCTCATTAGGCTCTGTTCCTTCTGGTCGACTTCTTAGAGAAATAAGAGTCAGACTTGCTTGATGTTGAGCGTGGAGAAGACGAGTTCGTCTTTGTGTTTGTCAGTGTTGATTTCATTTCTACCGGCAGCCTAGGCTGCGAGGCTGTCTTGCATTGTTACGGGAAAATGAGCAGGCATCTGTATAGGGATTACCCACAGGACATCAAAATAATGATTTAACGAGAAGAAGAGTGATCGAGTTTCAATCTGTGCTATACAAGGCTTTACTTGGAGGTGGCACCGACGTGGATTCGTCGACAAGGCGGCAAGGCTGGGGAGACACAGCGTTCTCCTAAGAGCAGAAGAACGTTCCATCGCATTCTATGAAGCGACGGTCTCTCCGAGAGGCCGCTTGAGCACTGTTCTGGCCAACCATGCCGGTCAGTTTGGGCAGCATTTACCTCGTACTCGTCCGCATGTACCTAACACGCCTAGGTAGTTAATCTCACCACTGTGCATTCATTCATTGGCAGGGAGCTGGTTTGTTGCCACCTGCAGAGCCATGTAGAGATCAGCCTTGCAGATTTCTGGAGATCCAGGGCCCCCCTACCGACTGGTGGACATTCAGATTCGCCGTGCGACGAGATTCTTCCTCGAGCAGGCCATATGTTTGGCTGTTGGCAGAAGGCGCGATTAAGTTGAATTTACTCTCGTCTGACAGAGACGGCGGGAACAAAATGACAGCTGCAAATAGGGAACTGATACTGTCAGACGAAAAAAGAATTCTATCGACAAATGGGGCTGTCAGCCTCGCCCAACTTTGCAGCCACCGGTTAGGCGCCGCCACTCTCTCCTTCAGCGCGACAGGGCCCTGCAACACCCCTGGCATCCTATCCCAACCGTCCCCCAACGGAAGGTTTTTTAACTCCTTGATGGTCAGTTGACGGGTTCCACTCTCAAACATGATGTTCTGCACGGGAGTTTTTGCAAGGAAAACTAGCAAAATCACCTTATCTTCGGTCGGCCCAAGCGGGGGCTGAAGGCCATAACGACGGCCACGGCGACTGAGCCAATCCGAGTCCCAGATTGACCAGATCCTTTCACTCAAGCCACAAGCCTCGAGATCACCAGGGTCGAATCGTGAGTCATGGAAGCTTGCACCGGGAACTTCAGGGGAAAGTGCTGGGAGTGCGAGTGTAATTGGCACACACCCGAAGCGCTGGCCAGTGTTGTTCAAGATTGTTGTTTCAAAAACATACGAGGGTACGCACTAAGGATTGTGTTTCCCTTGCCATTATCCTCCGGATCTAACCGAGTGATGTTAGGGAGAGCCGCCGACGAAATTTTTCTTCTCGATGACGCCAAAAGGTCAGGTCAGGCGGTGAGTGGCAGTGCAGAAGCAAGGCGACGAAGGCCATTTGATGGTTTGGTCACTAATACGAGTTATGGTCTTCTTTCTATAGGAAGCCTGATTGCCAATTGGGGGCCGCACAGCCACAGAGCCGCAACGCCGCATGTTGGTGATGAAATCCACATTCCCCCCGGAAGTGGCAGCTCTTCCCCTTCCACTTCCCCTATTACGGTTGTATCACCGGCTGGCCCCTTGCTATCATTGTGCAGAAAAAGCCCACACCAGCTAGGAATGTCTTGCCAGGGAATCACAACCCTCCCCTTGTCTGGCCGAATTCCCCAGATCGCTGACATAATTCGTCGCCACCGTCACCAGCCCGTCAGTCATGGCCGCGCATCCTGGAATCCCTGTTCCAGCCGACAGACAAAACAACTCCATAAGGGGCCGGCGAAAGATGAGAAAGAAAGATAGCCCCATGAGAGGGGGAAAACCAGGTGGGAAATGGTATCTGTGATGGCCAAGTCGGATGTACATGTTTGTCCATGACCCGGTCATACGAATACACTTCGGACCAGGCTGGCCATCCCAGCCCTTTGACCAAAGGACTCCAATGACCAAAATCCCCTCAGGCTGCCTTTTCTCCCTCATGCGAACCACCGTGCCAAAAGAAAAAGTATCCTTGCCTGAAAATGCCGTTACGCTCTTGAGCCGTTATCATCGCACACCATGCTCTCTCAGCCGTGCAGCATTGGGCCCGAAGGATCTCATCCCTTGCTTTCGACCCCAAAGGCTCCAATCAAAAACATCCAATTCTCCTTGCGGCCTGTGAGTTGCCCACCATCCATCCCATTGTTTCTATGAACCTAGCGCAAATCATAACGTCCTCACCGAATCAGCTGCTGCCTTGAACTCGGACGAGCAGTATCGCGGTGGCAATCGATCTCATCTGTGCAGCGGAACCACTATGTTGCTGACCGGTATTCGAGCTGCTTGTTTGTGACCATCGCTGGGTGTGACCAGGGATATAGCCTGACCACCCCTCACAATGTCCCATACCGGCAGCGGTATATGAACCCAGGCATCCGTCAAAGGTCTTCTCTTGATCAAGACACTCACTGTCGATCACGGCGCTCGTTCGGTATCATTGGCCATCTCAAGCTTGACATCTCTCATCATATTCAACTCATCTATCCGCGGAAACAAGTCCATCCCTTGCTGTTGATCACGGTCGTCGACCTCGTCACATCAAGTCACCAGGCAGAAACCTTCCTACCCGGCCTTGAATGTCTGATAGGCGCCGCAGGAGCCACGACGAGTACACCCGCGAACCAATATTCATTGAAAGAAGCCCCCAGGTGCGTACTTACCGCATCGTGCGAACGACCTCACCGGAGAAGAGAGAGCGGCTGACGTTGGGATCCAAGCTCTACAACCTCTTCCGGACTCGCAAGAAGAGAGTCCAAATCATTGAAGAAGTCCCCGTTCGAAGTCGACGGCCAGAGCGCCGTAGCTGGAGCCCGCCTCCACGCCGACCTCCACCTCCTTCGCCTCCTCGAGGCCCATATCACACCATGTCGTCCAACATGGTGGACGACATTTACACGCCTCTACCTCCGAAGCTGCCACCAAAGACCAACAAGCATCATCATAATCATCACGAGGACGACCCTATCAAATATGTCGTGGAGAAACGGTCTCCACGGTCCCATAAGGTCAAGATCATCCATGAGCATGTCGACGACGACGACCCGGACGCTCACCCAAAGGTGGAAAGCCCCTCCTCCCCACCACGAAAGCGCGACAGCGGCAAGTACTACATGACTGGAGCACGCATGGACGATGATCACCACGACGGCGCACGAAGGGAATATGAACGTGTGCGACCTGACCCAGAAGTCCAGAGGTTGCGAGATGATCTCGAGAGAGAAGAGCGCAAGCGACGACAGGCAGAGCTCAGCGCCGCGGCTGCCAAAGAAAAGGCTGATCGATACAAGGCCGACCTCGAGTACGAGAAACGCAAAAGGTCCCTCGAGAAACGTGAACGAGACCTTGACGAGCGCGAGACCCGTCTCAACCAGGAGGAGCGCGAGCATTTCGTGGAGGCTCGACGGCCCCGGGACCGCCAAGGAGGAGTCGTCGTCCACAACCCGCCTGCCGCGGTGGTGGCCGCTCGTGAACCCAACAATCGGTCGGCTCTGGACCGGGCTCGAGACGACTACGACCATCTACGCAGTCAGCAAGCTCGAGACGAGCGACGACCTGCAACAGGGGACAGACGTTCCCGGCGACAAAGTATTATCATCGTCGACGACGAGCATGACCGGGATCGAGACCGACGACAACAACGACGGTAGTAGGGGGTGTTGGTAGGCAACTATATAGTGGACCAAGGTCGGGGCAACCCACGGGCATCAGGACATATAAATATGGCGGGGGACATTGCTGCAAAGCAGGGAAAGGAGGTACGGCGTTTCTTGGAGGGTTTCAGAGGCATACTCGGTACATATATCATTCGTGGCTGAAGGGAAGGTCGCCGCCAGCAACACATTTTGTGCCATGAAGAGATCCCAACTCTTGTTCACTCGTTAGGACAGCCCACGGCACAGGGCTAGTGATTATTGTGGCTTTTGGACTAGGATCGTGACGGGGAAAGAAAAGGCCGCATATCATCAAATATTGGGTATATACCTAGGTAGACACACGTGTGCTCAGCCGTGTGGCACCATTGAGAATGTGAATCGTGGTCGAGGGACTGCTTTCTCATGTAGACATTCTCCTCCTTGTCATTGATAGCCCCTCAGTAATCGTGCCGCTGGAAGAAATGCGATGCAAGTCTCCACCGGCACTGTCAGGACACCTGGTGGAGCTCATGTAGCAGTCGTGGTCTGGAGAGGGTAGGCCACTTTGAACCAGTCGGGTGTGCGGGCTGCAACCCAACAAGTTCTAGAACCAGGGCGCTGATCACCAGAGATATCAGTTGATCTGTGATATGCCATTGGAGGCAGCAGGGCAAAGCACGGAGCAGGTGGTGGTGGGTTTGCTGACACCGGACGCTACCAGGTACCTAGGTCAAGCGTAAAGAGGTACCGACTGGCCGAGTACGAGGTACAGGATTCACACAGCCTCTGAGAAAGAGAGAGAATATTGATGGATCCAGTGCTAGACGCGCAGACATAGTTAATTAATTATAAGGCCAACCGGATCCTCAGGCTGCTGGCTGCTGGCTGCTGCGGCCACAAGCCTGGATCTCGCTCCATACGCACCTTTTTCCCGCCTTCGTCTGGAGGGCGCGTGACACATTGACCTTTTCTGGGGGAACATTCGATTTGGCATTGTTGATTGGTATATGTATCGAGTACCTGTTATGCAGGTTACGAGATCTCGAGCTATTCTACGTACCGAGTACTCGCATCAATCTCTTCAGGGTCCTGTTCCTCATCTTCAGATCGTCTCTTGTGGCTTCGCATTCGGTCTCCGTCCCTTAAGGGATCAGAGAAACAGCTTGCATCACAACCCACCCCAATTCGTCCCTTGCACCATAGACCGACACCCTGAGTTCACTGAAGCGCACTGTCCCTCTGCCGGCACATGCCTGAATTCCCTATGCAGTACTTAGTCCTCAACTCGCAGGGTCTTCTGTGAATGGCGACGCTTCCTTGTCCCCGAGCTCCGCGCCTTATTCATCCTGGTCCCAGCCGTGTTGCTCAGGCCGTTCAAGGGTCAAAGTCAAAGCCATAGCTGCACCACCTGTCCCGCCTTTCGCCCATTTGAATTTTTCTACCTTACGTATTGGCACTTGCTCGGCGGCCTCCTCATTACTGAGCTTCGCAAGCAAGCAGTCTCCCGGTCAAATCACCATTCTCGCAACCCGGGCGCAGGGCATCCAGCAAGACTCCTCTGGGAGCGCGGTCTTCAACCTTGGACACGAGCTTGACCATGTGGCGGAATACTCGCCGCCTGTGCCAGAAACCAGCAGCCGAACGCGTCTCTCCACCCTCGATCGAAGTGGGCTGATCAAAGAGGAAGGAAAAAAAAGGAAAATACACCATTCTGCGTGACGCATAGTATGGGTGGTTCGGAGAACCAAGGAGGGCAGAAAGAGGAGGCTGCGGGCACAACGTCGGTATCGTCGTCGTCGTCGGCGTTGCCAAAGCTACCGGCCCCTCCAGAGCCCGAGAACGACAAAGGGATTATTCCCTCGATCAAGAGTCCGTCGTTGGAAGGACTCGACGATCTTACGGCGGAGAATGTGGACGTCTTCAAGCTGGATGCTGTTGCGGCGCTGAAATTGCTATGTCGTAGTATCGATACCCTCGTGCAATTGACCGGCGACGTCCCTCCGACGCCACCAGCCCGAAGTCGAGGAGGGTCACCCTCCCGAAGCCTCTCGAGGCTGCGTGAGTCAATGACACCTGATACTGCCACGCAACAAACACCTAAGAAGGAAAATGCCAAGCTACGGCCACCGACGTCTGCATCTGCGTCGCATCACGAGCACATTGATGGAGTGCTGTTTGTGAAGACACCCATAGGCTCGCCCGAGGCACACGAGCACGAGCCGACCGCGGCGGACCACATCATCGGTGCCAATGCCCAACCTCTGTATATCCAGCACGGAGCCCTCGCGCGAAAGTTTTACTCCAAACGCCCTCCTCCCATCTCCACCGAGGACTATCTGATGCGCATGCACAAATACTGCCCCATGTCGACGGCGGTGTATCTGGCTGCCTCGCTCTATATCACCCGTCTGGCCGTACAAGAGAAGATCCTGCCGGTCACGCCCCGAAACGTGCATCGTCTGCTATTGGCCACGCTGCGAGTCGCCATGAAGGCGCTCGAAGACCTGTCATGGCCTCACGCCCGCTTTAGTAAAGTCGGCGGCGTGTCGGAGAGCGAGTTGGGCAGGCTGGAAATCACGTTCTGCTACCTGATTGACTTCAGCCTGAAAGTGGACGCCGAGATGCTGCAGGGCGAGGCGGAGAATCTGTGTCGCCACAACCGCTACGAGGGCGCCGTCCTTTTCGACTACCCTTCTCTCGGTCATCCGCTCGAGCTGCGCATGCCGGAAAACGCTGGCGATAGGAAATCGAGAGGAGGCGCAGAGAAGAGAAAGGCCAGCAGTACCTTGCCCAGCAGGCCGGTTGTCCAAGTCGGGGCGGGTATTGAGGTGTTGGGCCAGTCTTGAACGATAATTGTTTCCAACTGGAACGTTTGGGGGACAACAAAAGGTTACCTACCCCTGTATTGGGGAGCCGAGTGTACGGGGTTTTTCGACACGAAATGCGCGTGGAAAGCAAGCAAGATTGGGCGCTAGGATGGCAACATTGGATGATTTTGCTTGCGATGAATCCCATGACGCCAACATTATGGACGATATGGGACGGGCATATGGACTTGAATTGAACGTGAGCGAGCGACGCAAAACTGGCTTGGTAGTCAAATAATCTGTTGGGTCTGGCTTTATCCAGGGAATGAGTGACTTATTGTTTGATGACTTGTCTACCCGATCATTTCCCCAAGTCCAAATCCACATCCCCCGTTCTTCTGCTCCGGCAATCGTCGTGGGGGTAGCTGTGTTCTGAAAGGGGGAAACTTCCTACTCGATCTATCTACACTGGTGTAACACATTATTGGGCCTAGCCTCTTATGAGGTACACATATGAGTAAACGTACGGCCCTGGTTCGGGGTCTGGATAGCCGAGGAACGATGGGGTTTTTTTTTGTCCCTGTCAGAACTCAGAATACTATGCTGGCTGAGGAAAGTCTGGTAGCGGCCCGTTGCGTTGTCGTGTCGGCAATTGACCGGCCAAAGAGCGCAATGCCCAAAAGCCCCAAAGGCCAAAGTGGGAAAATGCGCATCTGCCCGCCACTTGGACTGCGCTTGGTCTTTTGTTTTTCCTTTGTCTTTCTCTTTGGTGTGATCGCTCTTCTCGGTCCATGTCTGTCCGAACCTGCCAAAGAAGCGATGAAAGCCACCAAAAGAGCCTGATTGGCAGACACACATAACAACAGCGTCCAATCCGGCATTTCGTCTATGACGTTTGGGATCTACGGTCGTCAACCTTGCATGCATGGGTTCTGGCCATCCTGCCTAGGTTGGCGCGTTGGATCCCATTTTTCATGCTTGTGCGATACTACCTTGCGAAAATTGTGGTGGAGCAACCCAGAGGCAAAAATGGTCGCTTGAGGCGTCTGACGGTGGCCAGCTCGCCAGATAGCTGGGGGGGATGATGGAGACTCTCCAGAGAAATTGAGGAGTTCCCTCACGTCCCATTGGAAGGAGAAATCGATTCTCTCCCGATAAATGGATGGGCCAACCAGCAAGCAGTAAGAAAGAAATATACTACTGTGCGGTGGATATGCATCTCGGGGCACCCGCGTGACTTTTTTTCGACTCCTTCTCACGGTAATTGTCCAGATGGGAGAAAATTTCCCACTTGCTACTCTCTCCTCACAAATCTGGCAGGTCGCTTCCTGGAGGGCACGCAACCTCGATCCTCTCCCTCCTCGAATGCAAAGATCCCCAGACCAGAGTGATCGGCCTTACCCCAGAAAAGCAGTGTAACGTGGGATCTTCATCCCCCCCGCACATCAAAGCTTGCACAGGTATATAAAGAGGAGCCGGTCACACGATCAGCGGTTTGTGGGGAGGTTGGGGAGTGCCTGGTGCAACTCAGCTTTTCGTCTGTTTGCTGCTACTCTCTTGTCTCGCCCTTGTCGAATCTCCCCCGCCGGCAGGGTCACCGCAGAATCGCAAGTGGCTGCTGGTGATTCACAGTTGACCACCATATCTAACCACCCTCACCACTCCATACCCCATTGGCCTTTTTTCATTCGACTTCCGAAAATCAAACCGAAGGCAAGCGCCCGCTGAGACCATCTCAAAACATGTCGGAAAAGGCGATCGAGGAGAACGTCATCTCCTCTCAGCCTTCCCACGGCGCGGCGGAGCAAGTCGCCAGCGATGAGATCGCGCACCAGAAAACCTTTGACAATGTCATCCACAATGCCCAAAGGGCGACCGAAAAGGAGCACAAGATGACCTTGTGGCAGGGCATCAAGCTCTATCCCAAGGCTGTGGGGTGGTCCATCCTGATCTCGACTTGCATCTGTATGGAAGGGTATGATGTGTGCTTGTTGAGCAACTTCTGTGAGTTTGGGTCGGTATCCCAGGGGCGCACGCCTTTTCTAATTTATTCTTTCGTCAGACGCATTTCCCCAGTTCCAAAAGAAATACGGCAAGCAACTCCCCAATGGGGACTGGCAGGTGCCTGCTCCCTGGCAAGCAGGGCTCAGCAACGGTGCGAACGTCGGCGAAATCATTGGCCTCATGATCAATGGCTGGGTCTGTGAACGCTTCGGCTATCGCTACACTCTCATCACCTGCCTCGCCCTTGTCGCCATCTATACTGCCATTTTCTTCACTGCGCAGACCGTGGTGGCTCTCCAGGTCGCCGAGATCCTCTGTGGCATACCCTGGGGGGCATTCCAAATCAGCACGTCAGTATTTCTCGTTTATTGCTTTCATCCTGAACATCTGAGATACCGTTGGATCATCTGGGGAAAACAAACTTGCGAAAACTCCATGCTAATATTCACCTGAAATAGGATCACGTATGCCTCGGAAGTGTGCCCCGTGGCACTCCGAGGATATCTTACAACCTATGTGAACTTTTGCTGGGGTTTAGGACAGGTGATTGGGATTGGCGTTATTAAATCGATGCTGTCCCGAGACGACCAGTGGTCCTACCGAATTCCCTTCGCTTTGCAGTGGATGTGGCCAGTGCCACTCATAGTTGGAATCTTCCTCGCACCGGAATCACCATGGTGGCTGGTGAGGAAAGGCCGTCTTGATAAGGCCAAAAGAGCACTCCTTCGATTGACGTCCCTCAACCGGGAAACCGACTTTGATGCCGACGAGACCATTGCAATGATGGTTCACACAACTGCACTGGAAGAAAAGATTACGAGAGGCGCCACCTACTGGGACTGCTTCAAAGGCACGGACTTGAGACGGACCGAGATTGTGTGCATGGTGTGGGCCATCCAGAACCTGTCCGGCAACTCTTTCTCGGGATACTCAACATATTTCCTCGAACAAGCAGGTCTAGCAACGAGCAAATCATATGACTTTGCCCTCGGACAATACGGGATCAACATGGCCGGAGTGTTTGGGGCGTGGTTCTTGATGACCTGGGGCATTGGACGACGATCACTTTACCTCTACGGACTCTGTGGTTTATTCTCCATGCTGCTCATCATGGGATTTCTAGGCCTGGTTCCGCGCGCTCACAGAGATGAAGCCGCCCTAGCCACAGGATCGATCATGCTGGTCTGGGCGCTCTGCTACCAGCTTACTGTTGGCACAGTCTGCTATTCCCTGGTCGCAGAGCTCTCCACCCGGCGTCTACAGATCAAGACAGTCGTATTAGGCCGCAACTTGTACAATATCGTCGGAATTATCTGCTCCGTCTTGACGCCATACATGCTCAACCCGGGTGAATGGAACTGGGGCAACTACGCGGGTTTCTTCTGGGCGGGGATCTGCTTCTGCTGCATCATTTACACTTATTTCCGTGTGCCAGAGCCCGCCGGCCGCAGTTTCGCAGAACTTGATCTCCTCTTCGAGAGAGGCGTCAGTGCACGAAAGTTCGCAAGCACGCACATCGACGTCTTCGAAGACTCCGTTGTCCGCGAAACGGTGGACGGCGCGGGCACGTTGAGGGACTACGCGCAGAAGAGGGAAAGTATTGTGCATGGAGTTACTGGAGAGGAGACAATGCCTCCTAGGCAGTTGATATGAAAGAATGATACGTCACCGATGAAGTTTGGGGGTGATGGAAGTGAAGAGGATGGTGTTCGGAGTTCAGGCGCGAGGCTACGAGGCTACGAGGATACGAGGCTGGATATATTATTGTGGAGTCTTTCCCAAATGCAGTATATACTCCACAGGCAAGCCAATCTTTACTTGGCACGCCCCAGAGGAACAATGTAAATACTTGATCACCTTCCTCCTGTATTCTCGGGGCCTTTTTCTCTGAATCCGATCCTACCTGTAACACGCCTCGGATATCGCTTTTCGGTCAGATATTTGCGCAGAAAACCTCGAACTCATGAGATTGCATGCCCCATCATGAGAACGCCAAGTGTTCAAGTGATGTGAGCGTGTTGTTCCCAAAACCCTGGAAATGGGGCGGCCCCTTCTGTCTTTTTGTCTACGGCGAGGACTTCATCTCTTATCTCATTGCTACTGGAGGCTTCCTTCAAGGTAAACATGATTGACTCGGCACGCCGCATGCCGATGACAGTTCGTATGCTACCCTCGGTGGGCTCGATGTGTTTTCGCGCAAGGGTTTCCAAGAGCATGATGTGTGGCCGGCGATGCCACGGCTTCGCCAACTAGAACTGGGGATGCAGATTTCTTGGAGACTTGTGGTGGTCACGTCTTCATTTGTATGCCCGGTCAACGTACCACTCCGGACCTTGGATTCTGGGGGCACTTCTTGTATAGCTGCCGTGTTGCCCGTCTGTCATCCAGAAAACGCCGTGGCAGACGCTCTTGCCTCCACCATCCCACTCCCTACGTTACGCCCAAAGGCTCACGCCACGGTCACGATAGGACATACCATGAGATGTTTTTGAGACTATCACTGAGAAGAATAGGAGCCCTTGGCAACCTGACAGCCGCTGGCGAGAATACTCACTGCCCAAGAGGAGAAAACGAAGGTCGCCGTCCCTGTCTCTACACTTCAGGAGAAGCCACCCCGACCATACTGGCGGTATCTCACACGATAACAAGTGAGTGGACGCGCTGATTATATTTGCAGGATCGACGACCCTTCACCGGAGCCTCCTGCGATGGCAAGTTCTCTGGCCTTCTTGCCTACCTTCTTCCACAACTCACATGCTAGCCACTATCGATATTTGCACCATGAATTCCTCGATCTGCTATGACAATGTCGTCACTGACTTGAGGCCACCATCACATCAAGCGCTAGCAAGAAGTATAGCACACCATCCAACAAGGTATATAATACCATAGAACAACATCAGCCTCTTTTTGTCTCAACGTCGTCCTTCAAAGCTGGGGATAGAGATATCCACGGGTCCCCCCAGCATTTCTTCCATTGACTGACATCGCCAGGGACGGAGGAAAGAAGATGGTGCCCAAGTTGGGGGAAGGTCCCGGTTCTGGCCTTGGCCTCGTTGGCGGTCAGCGCACGGGAAGCTTTGTGTGATGGCTTTGGTGTCCCAGGCGTGTCTGGGATGACCCTTCCCCTACCCTCATTAGGGTCGGCGAGATTAGCTTCATCCTCGTCGATGTCGTTGGCGTTGTTGTCGGTGTCATCATGCGCATTGAGGGCCTTTTCAACAAGGACGTTCAGGATGGACTGCCCTCGGTCGATGTCGATGGCTTCACTCAATGGAGTGCGCAGGGCACGAGGGGTTGACACGACCATTTGGTGTCCCAACTCCTCTACGGCGGTCACCTTAGCAGTACGGCGGAGATTCTGACTTACAGGGCGTTCTCCTGAGCTCCAGTCAAGGGCCTGCCGGTCAATGAAGTGGAGGTGGCCACGGTACACAGTATGAATCGGTTTGTATTGGCAACTGCGGCTCTCTATTCTGTCACTCGTCCCTGTTTGCTCGTCTGAACAGCGTGCACTTGGGAATGAGTAACCGTCTCCGCCGTTAGGATGCTCCGGCCATGTCATTGATGGTAAACTAACTACCTAGGAACCCACAATAGTGACAAGAACCCGCAGAAGGTGTCGTGATTGAATCGCGCCGGTCTCGTCATTTTGCAGTTGCGCTTCGGTGGGTGCTGTAAGCTGTCTTTGAGCCCCACATTACTGGTCAGTCGGGATTTATTGAGAATATTATGTACGCCACACTCTTAGACATGAGGGATGAAATTGACCCAGTTCACAGTCTCGTACGCGGCCAGTGGCAGAGCACGGAGGCTGATGAACGCTTCCACAATGATATATAGTCGTGCCAGCCCATATGACCCGATCCAGGTTACTGCGATCAAGTACTGGAGCCACAAGGGTAAAAGGAACAAAAGCCCAAGGACAGTGTTGGCCGCAGAAACGCCGAAAATTCGACACGCTGTTGGCAATTTCCATGCTATGATTATGAACAGTATCCCGTAAGACAAAAAGGATGCCAAGAGAGTCAAAGTTGCGGCGCGCCAAGGTTGTTGTTCAAGAGCCGTGGGAAAAAGCAAAGTTCCACCCGAGCAAATGGAGACCCATATACATCAAGGAGATGATAGAGATGATTGCCCAATCCAGTAGCCTCGCATCTCTTGGAGGGTTCCGTCCAGTGTTTCGGAATGACGTGATCGGACCATGCTTAGGACCTCCACCCAGCCCAAAGAGAAGATCGATACCCCATACAACGGGTCCCACGAAATTGAACCGAGTGGATCGTGGGTGAACAAAGTCGAGAGGAGTGGATCTGGAGGTTCTGCTTGCAAGGCCGCCTTTTAATCAGAGTACGTCTTGGATCTTGACTTGATCCTTTAGATAAGCAGGGATTGTGGTAGCAACGTCGAGAGGCTTGTGACAGCCACCAGAAGAATGTGGGCAAGGTACAGAAAACCAACGCCATGGTAGAAAGCTCAAAAGTTGAGAGTGGCAGATGCTGTATAGCTCGCCCCAGGCACTGAAGAGCGAACCAAAACACCTGTATCGAGGTGAGGAGGCGAGCAAAGCCCATCTGCCTTGTTCTTATCCCAGATATCCTTTTTCTCAATTTCAGGAAACTCCATAAAGTCGTTGGTAGCCAGATAACATATTTGATGGGCATTGACAGGGAATGGTATGTTGTCAGGGCATCCTAGCATGAACCCACCCATGTCCGCGAAAAACACGTGTCTGAGTGACCATTGCGGGTAGCCGGCTTGCGAGAAGGCCCGAGACTGATTGAGATGGTTAGATGTATTGCTGTTGCGCGAATACTGCCGAAACCTCGGGCAGAAAAATGGTGAAAGCGACCCACGAAAGCTTCGTCACAAGAAAGTGCCATTCATCCGGGTTTGCGAGGAACATTTAGGCATAAGACTGACCAGCTGCACAAGAATATAGTGACAACACAGCTCCATATAATGTCGATTGTACCTCGCCCGTCTGGTGAGCTAACCCAGCCGCGGGCCAATTTGGTCGTTGCATTCATTTTTGTCGAACCATGGAGAGTTATATTCCCCACCGGCACGTTGGTCGTGCGTGAAGATTAATCAATTTGCAAGAAAGCAATGCAGCAATCCCAACAATGGTTGCAAAGGAAGTAGAGTCAACTCTTTACCCGTTGACAGAAATGCTGTACCATCGGCAGAAGAGATGCAATACTGGATAGGGTTTAATAAGTCGTTGGGAGGGAAGCTAGCCTTGGTCGACCGTGTCTGCGTTTCGGGGACGGTGGCGGGCCGGAGCATAGCCCCGTCCGCAGATTTCGAGTCATGTTGTCCATGGGCACAGCCACGTCCTTATTCGACCTTACCGTGCGCATTGAGAAACAGCCCAATAACTATCGTCGCGCCTCTATCAATCCTGCAACTTGCAATGCCTTTTCCAATCACAATTTCAACCTGACCCTATTGGCCTTCGATCGCCTCCCCTTTTTGCCTACACTATCTCGTGGCTCGTGGCTGCCTTGGCTAGGTCCGCGGAAACCATCGCCGCAAGTTGCAGTTCAGCTCCACAAAAACATCAAAAGTGGTTTACTCTCTTGATTCGATTGTAGGTCAATCTCATCCTCACTGTTTTTTCATGCTTGGAATGGCAACGTTAGTTCTATCATGCGAAGTCCATTATGGTTGTCCAATCATTTCACATTGCAATCTTGGTTGCTTTCGTTCGACGGACTCAGTGAAAGCGGGCGTCGACCGGGCACCAGCCTCCGTTCAGGTTTCAGCCTCATCCTCAACACCACTCAATAAAACAGCACCGACTCTCTGCGGCTGATCGTGAACCATCTTCCTTTGAGCCCACAACTTAAACTGGCTTGTCTTTATTCGACTCATATACAGCTATGGCCGGGCTTGCCGGGCTTACCGAGCTTGCCGGGATCGTCGGGGTTGTCGGATTCGTACTCGGCGTTCCGTCCAAATTGGTCCAGATAATTTTTTCCGATCCATTTAGATATCGCTCTCGACGCTTTGGTGTCATCTGGGGCACGATGCTATACCTTAGTCTGCTCGTTGATACAGACACTTTGCAGCAGAGACACTGGGATATCAATTTGTGGACTGATGCGGAGGTAATTGCTTGGAAAAGCTCACATCTAGCGTTTTGCAACGCGGTCGCCGTGGCGGTACGTATTCACTTGTGGACGATGGCGGACTCGACCATCTAAACTGGAACGATAGGCCGCTATCTTCGCCAGCATCGGGCTCACCGCGCTCCAATTGCCCAATATGAACACCGTGCACTGGTCATCACGAGCATGCTGCGCTTCGAGCATGGTGCTGGGCGTCGCCTCAGTATTCACAGCCACGAGGCAATATTTAGCAGTGGGAATGCTAAATTCACCGTTGCAAATTCGATTGTGGCTTAGTCGAGGAAAACCTGAGGCTTATATGCTTGCTGCGACTAAGATAGCTCTTTTCAAAACCTCGGCTCCCGGTCCTTCTGCCGGTGAAGGAACTCCCGGGACGACTCAGAATAAATATGCGAACATGGAAGTCTACAAGCATATGCCCTTGGAGAGCTCAATCTCGGCTGTCAAGGCTGTTGCCCTTCCGAGCCATCTTCTGTATTTGGCGGTAATCGTGTTTCTCGTCGGATTCGGGCTATATGTTTTTTTTCAATGGCTTGAGGACGTTGGGGGAGCGGTGTCAAATCGGAACATATTCATTGTCTTTATAATCACAACCGGACTATATGCCATATACGACGTTCTCATCGAGGTCGCAAGAGTTCTAGATATGGACAAACGGGCCCGAGAATTTGACACTGATACGATAGGAGGCTCTCGAAAAAAGATACATCTTCTCGTCCTTCAGCAGCGTCTCCTCAATCTACGACAAGGTGTTGACAACGAAGGCGTCGAAGGTGACAATCAAGACCGACAATGGCACCCCTCCCGACGAACAAATCAATCAGGTATGTACCAACCCTGATCGACCATATCATAGGCTCCAGCAGATGACAGAATATTTAGCTCCAAGCACAGCTCCAAGGGCCACCTTGGGAAGACCTGCTAGCAGCGTATCAGGGCCATCACCGCCGCAACCAAGCACCACACCCCCAGCCAGACAATCACTTCACCAAAAGCCTTCTGCCACAGTGAATGGAGCAGATCCTGACCTCAACGGTGATAGACACCAAGCATGGGAGCGTTACGGTGACAAATATCAAGCATGGGACCGTTACATCTCTGCTTACGTACAACGGTACAGTCGCACAGAGCAACGACTGACCCTGATGAGGCTCATGGAGCTCAAGGGCAGCTTCGAGGCGGAGTGGGATATTATTTCGACGTCCAGGGAGACAGCGGAACCAGTAACTGGGGAGCAAGCTTCAGTGCGTGAGGTTGGTGTGGGTGAGAAAAGCGACGTGTAACAGTCGTGAATCTCTGGCACAAGGCGCACAGTTAATCACCAATTGTAGCCAGATCCATAGCCTTTGCGACTGCTGTCACTAACTGGTCTGCCTCATGCTTCCCTGGTGGCAGCTGCGGAGTTTTCATGGCACGATGCGTGAAGGATTCATACACGGCAGAACGCAATCAAGTATCAGCAGCTTTGGGTGTGCAAACCACTGTCCAATCGATGGTCCCTGATCAGCAATTGTCACAAGGTCGGACTGGAACAGACCTGCAGGAGGCCATTGAGGCAGAGAGTGCTGCGGTGCAAAGGCCCGGCGGAACAGGCAGAGCGGTGGCACGAAGGAGCAAGGCTGAATCGGATCCAATCCCCCGAACTGTTCTAGCTCCGGCGGCGGACGTTGTTCGAAACTTAAAAGTCTGCGTGGCCGTCGAGGCGGGGTAATGAGCTAGTATGTATTAGGGATAGTACTGGCGCTTGCGAACACTGGACCCCCCACTTCCCTCCCAATGTCCCGCTCGACAGCCTTGTTGGCGACCTCGAGTCCTCGACAACGACCGACCCTATCTCTCTCCTGCAGGGAAGAATATTGAGAGGGTGTATATCTCTTACATTCCCATATATAACTCCTCCCCAGCCTCTCCTTCTCTCGTCTGGCAGGATATTGTATTTGTTGAATACTTGATCTTGACTCTCAGAACCCGAGGAACAATGCACACTCGCCAAAACAACCAACGACGGAACCGCGGAGACACAAACAGAGGCAAAATGCTGAGAGACAGTTTCAAAGCCGGCCACATACTCTACCTCCCCAAAAAAGACCAGATCGATCAGACATTGCTGCGGAATTGCTTAATCGAGTTCCGATGCTTCGGTCATCCTATCGTAATGCTCCATGCCAGCGAGCATACTGATGAGGTGAAATTCCTAATAGTACTTCTTCCCCCTTTCTCTCCTCCTCCCTCCTCCTCCCTTGCTCTCCAGCTCGCAGGAGTTTGTGAATGCGCAGGTACCATATCGACAGAGCATACGTATATGTATGTGTGCATGTATTGGAGAGAGAGGCTAACCTGCAATTCATGCGGCCAAAGATCACCTCGTTTGGCGGTAGAGGTCTCCAAGGACATATCAAAGATCGCTGGAAGTACCTCCCCATCCACCCCAGCCCGGCCCACGCAGAGGCTAAGTCCATCACCCTCCACCTCTGCGATTCCTCCCAGCTGCAAAGGTTGTCATGGGTCAACACAGTCAACGAACACGTAGCCGACCGGCGGATACTCAGACCCTACATGGTCCACAGGAAGTCAGTCTATCTTACCGAGACATCCCTGGAAGCCCTGCGACAGTACAGGGTCGACCGCAACTTTGGCTCGAACACGCCGTCAGCAGCCGCGCCCTTCGGAGAGTCGGGTGCACCGCAGAATCTGGGCTTCCTTCCTACGCCTCCTTCTTCGCCTGCACCGTATCGAAGTCCACCCACGTACGCCAGGGTCGCAAACAGCTCGACAACCGTGGACCATTCTCGTCTCCCGGCCCGATCAACACTTCTTCCAACCGAATATCCATACACAACCACCACATATATACCTTCGTCTTCTCCTCCGCGGCCTCCTCTTCCCTCTCCTGCGTCCCGGCCTCAAAGCTATTTAACATCCTACACCTCTCGTATGCCAAGCTCCTTCCCTCAACTGACCGATGTCCAGCAACAACACCGTATACTCTACACAGAGAGACACCATCACCACCGGTGGGAGAGGCAACCGTTACTACCAACAATGAGAACGAGGACATCTCCTTCGGCAACCCATGCCAGAAGGTCTGGCGGCTGCTTGCGTACTTTGCTTGTCGTCATCATACTGTTCCTCCTGATATACGGCATTTACCGGTACAGCACCAAGACGCAAAGTCCGATATGATCATCGTATCTCGCTTACGCCTCCTCCACGAACACCAGCAATCCACACCTCTGTTCTGCCAAGGTGAAAAAAGTCAAGCAACTGTCCTTGAGATTTCTGTCCTTGTGAGAGAGAATGCATGAAGAAGTCTTGTGGTTTTTATTTGCTCTATATCTCTCTTTCTACACGAGTTATATAACACATATACACTTTCAACAGCGTGAGAGCAAGATGGCATTATCCCGACATCTTCGTCAAACCTGGACCGGACCTAATGCTGGAGTGCTATTGTTTCCCATTTGTAATCCGAGATGCTCCCTCTCCCCCTTTCCAATTTGCTTCGAATACAGTCACCAAATCCCTAGGCAGTGAGCCCGGGGCTGAGGGAAGCTGACAGAGGGCCCCAACATCAAGGAGATATATAGATCTTTGTTGAATTAGATCTTCATTTATATGTTTTCAGAGACGCATCTGACAGTGTTAATCCATATGTAGTATAGCGGCTCAAATGGCCAGGAGCAAGAATGGGCCAGACATTCCGTTTTCGGAATATGAAGGGTATCCTCAACCAGCTTCAACGTCGAGTCTCACCAAAGGGATGTGCCCCCGCCGTTATGCAATCAGGTTTTGAACCTAGTCTGTGGCTTGCAGATTCTGGATACTATCCGTAAAAGTAGATTGATAGAGGGGCGGGAAAGAAAGAAAGGTGAGGACCGAGGGAGAGGGTTTGGGAGTTTGGGAGCGAGGATGCCCATTGCCATCACACACAAATGCGCCGGGCTACATCAGAGAACAAGGTACGCAGTACCTCGTACCTATGCAGAATTGCACAGCCCGAGTGTGTCACTACCTAGAGGCTGGTGGGCTCAAGGGGGGGGTAATAAAGCGCCCATACCAAATCCCCGCTGGTGCGTGTGCAGTGGCTATGCCATGCAGCCTAAGGTTCACCAAGCCCGTCACGGTCCGCAGCGAGGCAGGAAGTGGGCCCTAGGGGGTGCTAGGTAAAGCTCCCTGAGGCCTACCTGTACCTATGACAGTTAAGATTCAAATGACAGCTCCAGCCAAGCCCTGTTGTAAGGGGCAATTGGTAACATATTGGATATGAATGACGTGACAGTCATGTTGATTTTCCAACTTTGAGTAAATGAGGCTCTGCAAAGGTTACTGTGTTCAACGAGGATTTGCAGCGCTCATTGTGATCTGTACAGCAGGGCTTGAAAGGTCAAAGACGAGAGGAGAGCAATGAAGAAGAAATGAACCCCTCATTTTGAACGAAAAAGGGCTTAGATGATTGAATCCTCCCACAACATGAGGAAAGGACAGAGGCGAAAGCACCATCAGCTTCTGCGGCGCCGGTCGAAACCACAGAAAAGGGCGATAAATTGGCTTATTTCTCCGTCTACGGCGTCACTGGCACCGCTAACGCTTCGCACGCTTTCTGCCAGTACGAGACTCTACCATCATCCACCGTCGTCCCGACACATCCCGTGATAAACGCCGTCTGCCAATTCTGCTGCCCGCCCTGTCTGACCTGCGCCTTCTGCGCGTCCGTGCAGTGCGTGCCATAATACCACGCCGCGGCCGCAAAGGAGTACTGGTCCGGCTGGACGAGGGCCAAGACCTGATCCGCCTGGGCGTCGGTCAAGCTCGCTCCCGTCCCTATCGCGGCGACTTTGGCCTGGAGTTCCGGGATCGAGTTGGCGTACTGCTGCACGAAAGTAGGCGACATCATGGTCCGCGTGCCCTTCCCCGGCGTGCCCGGCGCAGGGAAGTGGTTATGATTGTATTTGAATTCGCCGCTTTCGTACACCATCCAGGAGAGCAGCGCGGCTTGTTCTGCGGCGGTCGTCACGTTGTACTGGGCGAAGCTGTTGACAATGTCCTGCACGACTGAGAGGGAAGACACGGCGCATTCGCTGGGGTAGGCCGCGCCGGAGCATGTGTTTGAGGTAGGCGCGATGTACAGGAGTTGACTAACAGGGTTGGGAGGAGCAGCGGTGTTGTCGCGGCGAGGGAGACGATGGGCAGAGAAGAATCGCGAGGGTGAAGCCGCCAGTGCCGTGGACATTGTTGCGGCAAGCGAGAGGAGGCTGATCAAGGAAATCATCTTCGTTCGAGTCGTGTGTATAAAAGATCTCGTTTGTCAGTTGCCGGTAGATTCTTTATGAATGTCAGAGAATTTGGGTGAATTAGTTCAGGCGATCAAAGTTTGTTGTCGGTGGGAACATTTTCTCGGGAGATATTCTGCTGGTAAGAACACAAGAACGCAAGAAGAAAGCCGACAAATAAAGACCAAGAGTGAATAACAAAGAATCAAAGGACCATGGTCGTTGTAACGTTGCCAAAAAGCGGCAGATAAAGGGCGTCTACAATTACACTCACTGGGGGAACAAAGCGAACACAACATCTCACGTACGACTTACCAGCCTCAAAGGACCTGCACTTGAGCGGCATTGAGTGGTTGTCTCTCCACGAAGAGAAAACAAAGGACACGCTCCGTTGTCTCCATGAACGCCCAATGCCATGCAGGAGTGGATGGGAGACGACGTCGACTTTCAAACAAGGCGGCCACGGAGCGTTTCATCTTGGAACCACTCACAGATACTGACCTAGGTATTAGGTACCTAGGTAGGTGGCATCCCTTGGCGACGCTGTACAATAACCACCGCTCGCCAAAAGTGTTTTCCGAATCGATGCTCCTGTGCGAAATACAAAGGAAATCCAATTGCTTTTCTCCTTTTCCTATGACGTATGTAGGGGGTATCATTATGTCCATCACATTTGTCCTTTGACCTCAACACATTTTGCAATCCAAGTTCCCACGGTCAATGAGCCGCAAATCCCATAACGCCATCGGCCTGGCCGTTACACATTCATTGCACCAAGCAGCAAAGCCTCTTACTACCGGCAACCCTCTATTCGTCTTCGGCCTCGGCATCGGCGTCGGACCCAGCACCCTCTTCTTCATCGTCTTCGTCAGTCTTCATTGACTGCACGTCGGTGGTCTCTCTGTCGCTGGTGTCATCGTCGTCGTCATCATCCTCGTGGTCATCGTTACTGTGGCTCTCCTCGTCTTCCTGCTCGACTTTTTCCTCCTTGATCAGTCGTCTGCTCCTTCTCTGTCCTTGGGAACGCCGACTGGACTGAGCGGGCTCGAAGCCTACAAGCCAGAACTCTCCTCTCTTCTTTCCTTCTCTCACAATACCCTCATTGATGGCCCACTGCTTGAGACCCTCATCGACCTCTTCGTCCTTGATCTTCATGTGGTCCCTCTCAAAGTGTCTACCAACATGTTCCATCCTTTCATCCCAGCCACGAGACTCTTTGCCATCGACAAATTTTTTACCACAAAATCCGCATTTGGTCTTTTGAGGACCCTTACGGCGGTCAACCCAGCAGCGAGCACGGATTTCTTCGAGCTCCTTCTCGAAGTTTTCCCGCTCCTTCTTCAAGACACCCTCCTCACCCTTCTTACTTCCGGACCAGGGAGCGTGCATGCGTCGGCAGTGTTGGGTGAAAAGATCCTTGCGATTGAAGTCATTGAATCCCCTATGCTGATTACGCGCCGTTTCCGGTGAGCAAGCGCCCATGTCGCACCGGTAGTATCCAAGTTGGAGGTGTTGAGAGGAGACATGTCGCTTCCACTCGTTCTTGTTGCCAAACGTGGCGTAGCAACCGTAGTGGTGGAAAGCGCAAGGGAAGTGCTTCGCGTCCGATTCATTTTTCTTGACAGCAGGGGGCTTCTTCTTGTTCTTGGAGCGCGAGTTACCATTGTGGGATGCGCCGCAGGCGGGAGCAGGTTTCCGCACTCGGGCACTTGGGTCAATGACTGCTTTTGGATGTCGTGGTTCACGTAGAGAGTGGCGTCTGGGGGTGCCGTGCGGCCGCCGGGTGGCATTCCTTTTGGGAAGGAATTCGGCATCATTCTCGGTCTCAGTCACCTCGGAGTCCTCCTCTTCATCTTTCATTATGTCGTCGTCGTGCACTGACTGGTCCAGCCCTGAGTCGGGGGGACTAATGAGCGGTTCCGACAGCTCGAGCTCCACGGGAAAATTGATCTTGGGGTGATAAGTCTCCTTCACATCGACAGGCTCATCGTCGTGTTCCGGATCTGGCGTAACCTGGAGATGTTTCATGCTGGGGACGGTGTGGTTAGCCGACATAGGTGTGGAAGGATGATGAGGCATGAAAAGGGGTTGCGGGTTCCAGCTGTGGTCCACGAGCGATGATGTTGCCATGGCAGCGGCGCCAAATCCTGGAGGTGAGTGGGTAAAGTGAAGGTGCAGTGAGCTCCGAGCTGCTTCTGGACTGAGGGCATAGTCACTGACTGACGAGTCGCTGTTGCTGGAGAGAGCGAACCCCAAAGGGTCGGTAGGAGAGGGATGACGCAGATGGCGGAAATGGTCAATGTCGCTACGGTCGGGGTCAAAGCCATCCAGTTGAGGCAGGACTCTGTCAGCAGTCTCCCACAAAGACCGGTGGCTGAAGCCCTGAGCGATCGGGTCATAAGAGGCACAGGAAAGTTGCAAATCCCCAGGTCTCTGGTAGTGGGAACTCATATCGTGCGGCGAGAAGGATTCGAGAAGGGGATTGATGGAGTGGAAGTCTCCGTGGTTGTACCAGTATTGGGTGGGAGTGCCATGGCCATCGGGATCTCCATACACATACTCTGGGCCCTGACTCTCCAGCAAATCCTGATAGTGTGAGTGGTAATGCATGATATGCCCAGCCAAGAGACCAGTGGAGGTCAGCTGCACAATGCAGGTACAGTATACGGGAAGATGCTTGCGTGATGTTCCACCGACGGTAAAAGGTGGCACTGACAGACGGAGGGAGAGAAGGTGGGTGAGGAAGAGAGTTCATGGACCACCAGGTAGTAGGGACGAGTATTTCAAGTATATGAATAAGACCACACATGTGGGTGGGCCACCCTCGCAGTCTTCGAACTGATAAAGCAAAAGCTACCAAGCGGCCAGAAAGGGGGCCAAGCAAGAGCATCCCGGAATGGGGGAGGAGTGCATTGGCACGAGCGTGCGCCATCAAAATGATCTGGAGGGTGGAGGGCAGAAAGGAACCTTCGGTGATAGTCTTGCCAGTGAGGGCCAGGGCTCCCTCCCTCCCAGGACCCAAGCAGAGCCGCATGGATTTCCAGGTGGCTCTGGCGGCCAGGCATGCTCGAAGGCTAGTGCCTGAAATGTCACCATATCACTGGACCAGAGCACCAAGGGAGACGGGCCAGCAGCCTTGCCATTGGCTGATTCAAACCGGTCTGTCTCGGTGCCCACCCACCAAGTGTCTGCCTTCTAGACGCCTCGCATGATGCTGCCCAAATCCCAGGGAAACCGAACTTGAACAGCTCGTCGGCCACTGCCACCACCGTTTTCTGGCGGCAAGGCGCCTGCAGTCCTTGTGGTAACTTTTTACTTGTCGAGTGCGAGTCTTTGGCCCCCCCTGCATGGCCCCGTCACGGCCACAAACCTCGCGAACCACAAACGAAACACATTCAAGAGCTTCTCAGCATTTGGTTGGGCAGATTCACCGTGTTGTAGAATTGTTCTCTGACCTTTGGTGGAAGAGCTCGGTTAGTCCACAGCTGAACACCCTTGAGCGAAAATTTTGCAAAGCTCGTCCCTATTCGGGTAATCGCTTCTCGTTCAGTACGCGAAAACCAGGGGGGAGACCTCGATTGGGAAGGGACGAGACATAACCATGGTCAAGCGATAGATCTGGATTCTGAGAAGGTCGCTGGGACTAGACGAGGTAGCGAACGAAGGAAGACAGGGTGTGGCTCCGCTCGTATGGGCCAGCCATCAGAAGTCCCTCGGGCTCCAGAGAGAAGGAATGAACCTGGGGGGAAGGGTCAATGACAACCACCTGGCAGGGTCGGCACGATGGGGCAGCGGGGGTGCACGAAACGGCAAGCCGGCGGCCGACAGGGTTGGTAAGGAAACTTTTAGCGACAGTCACGGGCTCGAAAAGTCCAGAGAATAGCCCAAACCCAAACGGTGGGAGATGATGCAGGGGTGCATGCAAACTTGCTAAGAATATGCCATTGTCTTAACTGACACGAGAAGATGGCGCAACGACCCTTGACCATTGGACCATCTGTGTGAAGTTGGGGTTTGGTGGCTTTTTCGATCTCGGACATGCCAGGTCAATGGTTGATTTTACACCCTTGTTGCCAAATGTTGTAAAAATAATACGGTACTATGCGTGAAGAAGAAGGGGGTGACGACGACAAGTCATTGCCCGCTACCCGGCTCGATGCTTGAGGACGGCAGGCAAGCGAATGGAACTAGACCTAGCTGACGAGGGAGTAGGCGAGAAAACAGGCGACGGAGTGGATTTCGAGCATGGTGAGCAGGCAGGTTCGGAGGGACCCAAAGGCGCGTCGCAGGGAAACGGCGCGAACCAGAGGACCGGCGTTGCGCAGTGTGGTTTCCAGCGAGTCAAAGTGTCAGGATGGCTACCTGGGTATGCAGGGGTTGAGCGCTCAGAGGTCGAGGAGGGTAGGAACGGTATCTCGAAGAGCTAGACAGGCGGCGTGGTTACTAAGGTCAAGCAGGGTTGGTGCAGGACGTCGCTGAGGATGTCGCAGGAGCGCAGGACAGATCTTTCCTGGCAAATTGAAACTTTCAAGCATCTGACGAAAGAAGATGTGCTTTGTGGGAGATAGAATTTGCCAGGGGTCGCCGTGTGAATGCGCCATGCAGGAAAGCGAAATCTCAAAAGTGCAGTCGTCGGGTGGCAAACATCAAAAGAGGAGGGAAGTCACTGAGTTGTCGGGTTTTGGCGTGAGTCAGTAGTGGGTCGCATTGAGGGTCTGGAGATAGTCGACGGCCTGCCCACTTGCCCACCGACCTATGGGCCCTCACTCGTCGTCGTGTTGTCCTGGTGGGTTTGGACGAGCGCTAGGTACTATGGTAGACAATACCTAGAGGTGGGGATGCACTTTTTGGACGCCTGGGTGGGATGGCTTGCTGGTGTTGCAGATTAGCGGAAGCTTCGTGAGCGTCATCACAGCGAGAGGAAGAGAGAAGGCATCAGAGGGGGAAGAGAGAGGCGCCCGAGACGACGGAGCAACGGTGCCCTCGATCTTCTGCAGTTTACGAGTACTAGTACACCTGGAATCGTGAGTTCCGTTCACTTGGCTGACTACTCTCAGGTACCTAGTACCTGGTGGATAAGTTCCAGGGCGCCCAAAGCCATCGAACCAAGCCCAGGGCCCCCGGAACGGCCTTTTGCTGAGCGTTGAGTGACCGTTGCTTGGTGCTGTTCTCGTTTCTTCTCGTGGCCGCCAAAAGCCAAAGCAAACAAGGATCAAGCCCCAAAAGTTAAAGGGCGATGGCCCGTGGGTCTCGGTCCGGCTCATGGCGCCCTTCCTGCCTTCCCCTTTCCTTAGGTATACCTTCGGGCTCTGGCACCCACCGAGCCACCTGGACCGGGAAGTTTCCAGCCCGAGCTGGGGTGGCCTCGCTGGTTAGGGCACACCACCACCTTTGGGCCCTGTGCACATTCCTCCGTCCAAAATGAATTGCCTATTTGGGTAGTTTTGCCAAACAACTTGAACGCCTTGGATCGCCCACCGATCCAACTCAAACACCTAGTGGAAAAGCAAAAGCCTTTGGGGCTTGTCTGGTTCTGAGCTTTGCGCTGCCAGTGCGCGAATGCAACTAAAAATTGATTGACTGCATGACGGAGTTTGGAATCCTGGTTGACGGCGATCGACAATGCAAGCACGGAATCTGTACCTGGTACAAGCCTCTTGCCGGATTCTCTGTGCTTGTACCAGCCGCATCGAGCCATTCTGGCCCCAGAAATGGGACTTTGCTCTCTGTGGTCACTCTGCGGACACTCTGTGGACACCGTCCTTGCTGATCTTCTCCTCTTGTTGCGCTCAACCGTTCTTTTTGCTCGTCTTTCATGATTCTGAACAACCCCTGGTCTCCCGTTGTGCAGCGCCCCTCCTCCATGCTCGAATGCTCGGATGCTGCAGGACTAGCGTATCGCCTTCACGTTCGGCTGCCACAATCGCTAGCGACCCCAATCGCTCTGGCCTCATCTTTCTTGCTACCCAGTTGGCTGTGGTGGCGCCTCTCTTTCAAACCTCGGTCCAGCCATCCGCAGTTGCTATTCTCGCTCAAGCTCTCTGATTGACCAGCTCTCCTGCGAGACACTGTGCATTATTAGGAATTGCGGTGGCTTCTTTGTGTGCCAATAAAGAAAACGAGGAAGAGGTGGCGTGCTCGCCCACTTTGGCTGCGACTATCAAAGTTTTGGCGTTGCTAGTCTGGAATTCCAATTCCCCTGTTCCTGGTTCTCCAGGTGCCCTTGTCTTCAGCTCTTCCGGAGTTGGAATGGACATGGAGTACTCGGTCGTGAGTGTGGGCGTTTGGGGGTGGCTACCAGGCCGAGCCCTCGACGCCTCCACAAAGCATAGCATCGTCCGTACCTTCGCTTGTTGTTTCCCTTCCTCAAGTTGATAGTAATCGCTATTCTTGTCCCCCTTGTCGCAAGTTTGCCAGTGGAGTTAAGCCAAAGATCTCTCCATGCCCACGTGGTTGCCCTTGTCTAGTGGAAAGCCTCTTTCTCCTTCTTCTCCTCCTCCTCAAGACCCGAAGCCGCCTCCTCCTCCAGCCAGCCACCCAAGAATCCTTCGTCTCCCGCCTAGATAACACTTCTGCCCTCGAAAACCTATCATGAGACCAAACTAAAAGAAGGCGATCCTGACTGGGGTTCAACATAGGTATTCGCTGTCAGTCCAAATCCCAAAGTTTTACGTCAATTTCTTCACCTTGCCCGATGCCGAGAGCATGGACTAGGACTACTCATTGTCATCACCACACCCTGTGTGCTCGTATTGCAGTTCGGCTTGATTGTCTGCTTTGGTACAACAGCTTCCTTCGTCTTTGCCAATTCGAGACCCACGGCGTCTCGCTTTCCGCAATCGCTCTGATGCTGCTTCCTGTTTGAGCTTTGCTCTGGCTGTGTTCTGCATGCCCGCCCCTACCGGCCCAGATTCGGCTGGCCGGATCCAGATTATGTCTAGGTCTCCTCCCCGACTTTACGCTATCCGGACGAGGCAGTAGTCATTGCCGGTGGCGAGCTCAACTACTCCTCCCATCGCCCACCGCAGTGTTTGGATAGTGACCCAGAATCAACTCTGCGCAACATGATCCCTGCTTCATTCCCGAGTCGTAAAATTGCTTCGCTTCGTGATAGCTGAGCTTTTTCTTTTACCGAGAAATTTCGCGCACTCTGACCCTCATCCCACCATCGTCATACCAATCATAGTCTTCCCGGGCTTTCGGCTCGTGTCTTTCTATCACTGTCACTTCGTCTCCGGGCCTCAAGATTCTAGACCCTGACTGCTCGTCTTCCTGGGATCGGGACCGCGACCGTCGGCGTCGGCCTCTACGGGCACGACTGTGTCGACCCCCTTCCTCGCCCAACTCTGGTTCACCCATGTATCCCAAGGATGACGAACGAAGGGGCGGTGGACTAGGCGCATGTAGCCCTCGATGATCATCCTCTTCCTGGCTTTCGTCTGTATTTGACCAGTCAGCAACAGAAGCTTAGACGGAAGCGACCTGCAAGTTTATACGCTTACCGTCGTACTCATGTATCATATGTCTGCGGTGATGAGAACCACGCTGGGCAGATCTGGATCGCAAACGAACGTGTCTGTGGTGGTCACTTTCATGATCGTTTTCCGAATCGTCAACACCCTGTGAGTGGTGTGTGGCATGATGGACTGGCCCAGACTCGTATCCGCTCCGGAAAGATGTTGGTCCGCGTTGAGGAGAATACCTCTCCCGCGGGCGAGTATGCGCTGCTCCCCAATTAAAGTGCTGTCGGCTCCCTGCGTGATCTTCGATTGCAGGTATCCCAACAAAGGGATCCGAGTACTGTCTTCTGAGAATCCTCGGTCCTGGTGTTGGTTGTCTCAATCGTGATCGTGGTCGCCTAGCAGTTGCCTCTTCATATTCCCCGCCTTTCAAATTGTCTTCATAGTTGCGCCTTCGTCCTTCGCTGTCACCGTCGTAGAAGGTGCGCTCGCCGAGGGGAGAAAGGTGGAGCCGCCGAGTGTGCCGGAACAATTCTCTATCTGCAGTTTTACCGCGCCGATACCTTCCTCTCCCGCTGCCAGATGACTCTTCTTCGAGGCTCGACGAGGTCGACTCAGAATAGGACGGAGCTCTGCAGGACCTATCGTCGTAGTCGATTAGCTTCGCTCGACCTCTTGATCGAGCTCGACTTCGTGATCGATGTCTCTGCGACTTGTACATCGATGAGCTTCGCCGAGGAAGGGCACGCGACTGGTGGCGCCGTAACCTGGGCGATTGCACACCGTCTGAGCTATCGCCGTCTTCACTGTCCGTGGCCTGCTCCCTGCATTTTCGACATATTGTTTTGCCCGGAAGTTGCCCTGGTTGTATGGGGTGCTTGTAGTGATAGCGTGCCGATCGGTACCGCCCGCATATCTCACACTTGTATCTTGCATCTCCCTGGGCGGCTATCGGACCTTGAAACGGGACCTGAGGTCCGTATTGTTGCGTCTGTGCCGACACTGTATTTGTAGGTATGCACGGTGATCCACCTGGTGGGTTAGCCAGGAATGACTGAGGCGGAGGTGCAAATGGCACTGGTGGTGGGAAAAGGGTCGGTGGCTGAGGTCCCATTGGGTGAGGCGGGAATGGCCCGATTGGAAATATACCTGGTGGAAGAGGGGCTGGGATGAATTGGGCTGGTGGATTGATTGCATGTTCTTGACCATTTCCTTTATCTCGGGAGTTCGTCTGATTTTGGCCATGCTGGGGAGGGAGTAGGTACATGGTCACGGGTTGCGGTTGAGCCTGAGAGGTAGGAGCCATTGGAGGGGCCGGATGGGGACCTGAAGGTGCAGGATGGTCGGGCGAGGTGGGCGCAGGCAGAGCAAGTGGACCGTCAGTAGTAGTGACGCATTGAACGTGGTGGTTCTGACGCGAGTCCCTAGATGAGAAGAATGAGCGAGCGCTTTGGCGGAGCAATTCCAGGGAAAAGAGTTCCTTTGCAGACGGCGTATCCGACTTCTTTCTGACAAAGTAGGGACGGCCGTCTGGACCGCGTTCAATCCAAGTTGAACGGCGACTCATAGTCAGGGTAGTCAATAAGGAAAGGATTTGGGTATGTTGGTGAAAGAATGTGACTTTGAGATGAAGAGCCAGGTGCGCACTAACCTTGAATCGTTGTTGTCACCAACAAACCCAAAATAGGCATCGTAGGAAGGATAGTAGGTGCGTGAATTACCAGGCAGGCAGTGATAAGAGCCGTATGGTGCCTGCCACATGATGGTCCGGTAGAATCGAAACTCGCATAAAAATGGCGGATGTCGAGGTCGACGACGGCAGTCGGTCCTATATACTCGACAGTGTCCTTGAGGACGCCATATCAAACTGAGGAAAAGGGGTTGGGTGTTTCACGTAGAGAGCAATCATGGCCAGATAGGAGGGTTATGTTCTCACTACTAGGTAAGAATGAGAAACACAGGGGAGGGTGACGAGAAAACTACCGCTGGGTATGTCAAATGCACACATCATGGTGCACAGAACCAAAGCGACACAGATCAGAGTTCACCCTTTCCTCGCGTTGAGTTGCTGTAACAACTGTCCATGTGAGATTGCGATAGAGGCATGTGAAGTGAAGGCGGCCTGCTGCCTCAGAGCCTTTTTGTGAATTTCGAATCGACGTCCTCCTTCTTCATCACTTTCTTGGTTGCACCTTGGCGATAAAACCCAGCCTGAGTAACAGAAGCTTTCGTGACTCGATTCAAGCAAGAAAGGAGGTCATTCGGACATTAGGTTTTCTGGTTTTCCTTTTCTTCCTAAAGTTGAGTGGGTTCTCAGACGGCCAAACGCAGGCAGGGATGTTGGCTGGGCAGCTCCCCTCGAGTTTTGTCAATGGATCGAAACGAGTGACATTGACAACGATCCCGAGGGCTACCTTTTCAATGAGAACACGCACCGCGTGCAGTGCGCTTTGGATTTCCTGGCTGCTCCTTTCACGGAGAACATCGAATGTCGTCGCCTAGTGCGCCAGGCCGACTGGAGGGCATCCATGGTCGAAGTCGTTCGTTGAAACCCGGGCTTCATCCCCCCTTACACGCAAATTCGATATGTCGTTGTCCAATCGAGAAAACAAGATGGATGAGCCTGGATCTTAGGAAGGCGAAAAGGACACAGTGCCAGCTCTTGTTCAAATCCATTTCGCTTTTTCGGTTTCCCGCAACTGTGTTGCTGCAGGCTCACCGGGAGCAGCTGAGCAGATCCAAGGAGCGCCTGGGCAGGTGGACGACTTAGCATGTTTAGCTCTGTTTTGTCAGAGCCGATTGGTGATACAATCGACTAAATCACTTGCGATGGACATGGCGGCAAGGCTGCTATCTCGATATAGACCAACCTACGGTGCCCGACAATATTAATGAGGTTGGCAGCTAGACGTGCATGGGATGGCTCTGGCCACGTTACTTGTCACATCAGACATATTTAGGCATAAAGAGAGGGAAGAGGCTTTGTTAGACAAGGAGGGCAGGAAAGGAAGAGGCACATGCAATTCAGTAAACGTGTTGTTAAGGGAGCAGGCAAGGAGGACACTTTGGAACAAGGCAGGGTCGTCATCTTGCATCTGAGAGTCCGATTGCCGATTGGCCCTGGCAAGAATCCTTGTTTGTTGAGCCTCCACAGCCTGCGTAATGGTTGTAGGCAAACCACCATGCAAAACTTCCAACTGACAATCCAAAGGACGCAAAACAGCCTGATGTTCTAGTCCAGCCTGTGGAAGCTACTTGCCCCATGTCCCAGTGAAGTGTGGTGCTCACCGCAGTGCAGGCGAGGCAAATGACTTGTTCGCGTTAAAACTCCGACCATTTCGAACCTCCATCTCCGAGCCAAGTCACCATGCCGCTGTTCAGCGAGGCCGACACCAGAACCTACCGTAGGGATGTAGCTTCAGGCGGTCGATACCTCTCTGCCACAGAACGCGAGAAGCTCCTGCAACGATATCTCCCTACACCTCCCTCAGAGTCTTCGCAGAATGATTCACGACCGCCCAATTCCAATACCCCCTCCCAACGCCAAAAATCCAAAGGCCACAGGCGACGAGTGCGGCCGTTCCTCAAGTCGAAGCTGCATTTCCTCGTCTTCTTCCTCATCCAACTCGTCTTCGGCATATACATTCGCCTGCGCCAGATCTACCACGCTACAGTCTATCGGCTTCTCGGCATCAGGCACCATCACCACCGCACCCCAGAGTACATCCAGAGGGATGTCAAGAACCTCGACCGCATACCCGAGCACCTCAGTGTGATATTGAAATTCAAGTCCGAGGAGGATGGCGGACTAGAGGCATTGATGGACGAGGTCGCAGAGCTCTGCGCGTGGTCCGCAGCTGCGGGCATCCCGCTGCTGAGCGTGTACGAAAAGTCAGGGATATTGAAGACATACATGGCGACCTTGCAGGAGTTGGTGAAACAAAAGCTCCGTTCTTACTTTGGCGCTCCCCCCGCGGCGTCGGCTCTGCGAGTGTTTGCTCCCAACCATCCCTCCATGAGCCCTTGGTCGCGGACACCGTCACCGCAGATACCACCAGCACAATCAGCCACCGATGCGCGACCGCTCCACCTGGACCTTCTCCTCTTGTCCGCCACGGACGGGCGAGACACGCTGGTCGACTTGACCAGGACCCTGGCCGAGATGGCCCAAGCCCAAAAGCTTCGTCCCAAAGACATCACTTCCAATCTCATCAACGCCGAAATCAGCGCGACGACCGCGATCCCGGACTCGTCGAGACTCACGACGAATGGCGACAGCAGCAGACCCGCGGGGAAAGAGGTCGAGGCAGGAGAACCGGATCTCATCATCGTCTTTGGTCCGGTCGTAAAGTTGGACGGCTATCCACCTTGGCAGATCCGGCTGAGTGAAATCTTCTGCGTCGGTGACTCTGGTGGTGATGTTTCTGGCAGCGGCAGTACTAGGGTTGAGTATCAAGCCTTTCTCAGGGCGCTGTGGAAGTATGCCGGTGCTACATTCAATATTGGGAGATGACAAAATATATAGACAGGGCGATAGGGCAATCGATGCTCTTTGGCCGATGGGTGATCCCATGATTAAAAACATACCATGTTTCTTGAAGCTCTTCTAAGCCGACCTGTTGTACAGCGAAAATAGATACCATGTGAAGAGGAAACATGCAAACTCGTTGACCCCGTAGTAGTGACTCAAGCAAGCGGTGTCCATACTTGACCGTCCCAGAAACCCGATGATACCCGCGATAGGCCTTCATCCTCAGGCATTGCTCATGCGCCCTCTCGAACCCACAAAGGGCGGAAATGCAGCTTGATATCAACTTATTCAATCCGATTGCAGGCAGGACTCAAGGGAGAACAAGCAACGCGATCGACGGGTATATCGAAGGAACCGCAATGTCAGAAAGCGACGGTGATAACGATGGGATATGCATCTATGGGGAGTCAGCCGACGCCCGTACCATGGTTACATTGCCGCAGGTCTGCGCTTCTCAGACTCACTGTTGACTTTGTTTGTGGCAGCCACTCGGGTTTGAAAATCCCGGGCTTCGGCCTCGCCTGCTGAAAGGCTAAGAAGGTTGGGAGCTGACGGGGCGCGAGTCGCCGCGCTTATGAGGCTTCGACCTTTTCCCTCAAATACGCCCTCGCTACTTTATCTGCTTCTTTCGCTGGCTCTCTCTTTATGGTTGCGGACTCTCCTGATCGGGTCCAGAAGAAGATGCAGAAACGTCACTTTTGTGCAATCAAGCACACCCGGAGCAATCCCAAGCTTCCCAACATCAATGCTTCAATAGTAGAATGAAAAACGCCATCAGGTCCTGTAAAGATTTTAGTCATCGTAATCATCATCGTAGCCGGTATAAGTTTCCCACATCTCATCGTTTCTTCCCGAGTGAATGAGCGAATGCATCACGCGCTCATACGTCCACATTGTGACAGCGGATGCTGGCGCGGCCTGCAATATCAAAGTCAGCAACGTGAGAGGAAGGTCCTATAAGGGAAGGGAAAATAACTAGCCTTGATCAAGCTGACAGTCAGTCCTCGATACCAGCCTCGATAGCCTTCCTTCATCCAGATGATCGCTAGTGCACGGATAACGCCCGTATACTCGGGAATATTTGTATGGATGTACCTGTTCCTGTGCGGGCCTTGCACCTGCAGTCTCTTTCTGACTAGATCCAGAGGGAAAACGGCAGTCTTTGCAAAGACACTGGCAAATACGCCAGCAGTGGCATCGCCGGAACCGAATGGTAATGTCTTGGCCCCAATGTATTGATGGAGGAATTCATAGCTCATGAAGAAGAGGCCCATATAGGGGATGATCTGGCCCAACGCAGCGCTCAGGCCTCGGAAGAAGCCGCTGGGTCCCTCGTGTCGGATTATATCTTGGACGGAATTGGCGAGTCCTGTATAGATCTTCTCCGGGCCCTGTGCGGCAAATCGTGTCCGCAGAAGATCCAAAGGATAGGTGATTGAAGTTGCGGCGGCGCCTGCTCCAGCGCCGCTGATGAAAGACTCAATCGATGGCGGTGCGCGCGTCGGAAGCATGGCCTGAGCTTGGGTGATGGAGCGATAGGCCGTGAATTGGACGCCGCCATAAGTGATGTACATGAGCTCGGCAGGGATGTTCCCCTTCCACAGCGCGCGGACACCCTCATCTCTCACGATTGCGCGCAGAGTGGAAAAGACGCCCTTGTAAATTGGGCCTTTGATGCCATCGCAAGAGAGAGGGTCGGAGAGCGAATGGGGCTGAAGCTGCAGTCGAATTTTGACCACGTCTAACGGGGCGATAACAAATCTGGACACGAGGCCTGCGATGCCCCCGGCTACAACGACTTGCTGTCTCGTGCCCTAGTGCAGAAGAAAGAAGATAAGCAGGTTGATCAATGAGGAATGGCTCTTTTGAGCACAAGGACAGGGTGTCTGGACTTACCTCGTCCTTGAGACGCTCGATCTCCGCCGACATGCGCCCTGGACTGGCTACCTGCAAGCCGCTCTACAGCGGTGAGGAGATTGTGGTGACAAGACTCCCGTGGTTGTGGAACAAGATTAGAGAAAAAGGGCCGAGTACGATGACATCGTTTTCTGCGATTATCAAGACGTTTTTTCCCGCGTCCCCGGCGCTTTTCGTGTTGGGGGAGCTTTTTGCTCTGCACGTGAGTTCGCGTATCTGTTCAGCGTAGCGTGCAATATGGTCAGTTGGATTTACGACGTCGCCAGTTTTACCGGGATGGGATCCGGGAATGCGATTCTAGAGTCAAGATTGAGATGGTCCATTCATTGAGCCACAGGGAAGGACTGGTTTTTATCTGTTGACTGTCGCAGGCGATGGAAAAGGGGGGTTCCCGTTGGCTGCCAGTGTCTTGTAAATCGATTTGGAGCGCGTCATGAGTTCTTCTTGCCCGCCAAAAGGTGGTAAATTCACATTGAGCGTAGCCCGCGTCGGGCCTAGGGTGATGCCGCCCTGTGCTCACTCTACCTACGGGCGCGCTCCAATTCTCCTCGAGGAACCGAAGCTCCCGAGACTTCTGACGATCTCAACGCTATTTTCCTTGGTCAAGTATCTAGGACACCGACGATATTAACCCCTTGCTCACGAGTAAGGGCTAATATTATGATCACGACGGCCTAAAGGATAGGGATATAAAGGAGTCTCCAGTACTACAGCTAAACAATTATAGTGACGTGGCGCCGCACCTATACGAAACCTCTACCACCTATAGCAACGTACCTAATAAACAGGTTCAAGACCGGTGCATTGATGTTCCGGCGGCAGAACCCCACCCAAGCACTCCCGGGCCCCCGTTGTGCTTGACCCGGGGCATGTAGACCTTGTAGGGGGGAGCACCGCTTGAATGGGGATAAAGGAATCCGCCATAATCCGTTATTGAACTCATTTCTGAGCCAAGCAGCCACAAATCTAAACAGGTTGAAGCAAGAGCTTTGGAGTGTCTGTGGGATCGACCATCATTCGGCAATTGACCCTCTCGACCATGGAGAAGCCCAAGGCCCTGTTGCTGGGCAAGCTTGACCAGTGAGTTGCCCTATTATTGAATGCTAGAATTCGGGAAGTCGGTGCTAGCTTCTAGCCTGGTAGATTTCGAGTCGTTATCCGACATGTTAGTTCTGACGTGTTCATGTGATCTCCTGATAGCGCCTACGAAGCATGGGATGCGCTTTCTAATATCGCCCATCTGACATCTACGCAAGCTAAAAACCGAGCCGATTTCCTCGAGGAGTTGAGGAGCGGCAGGCACGATGGTGTTGTGGCCATCTGTGATCGGGCACCCACGAGCATGGCTCAAACAGGCAAATGGGACCGAGAATTACTTGACGCCCTGCCCCAAAGCGTCAAGTATATCGCTCACATGGGTGCTGGCTATGACAGCCTCGATATTCCGGCCTGCACTGCGCGTGGGATCTTCGTGTCGAATTGCCCCAAGGTAGTCGACGAAGCAACAGCAGACTGCGCCATGTTTCTGATCCTTGCCACCCTCCGGGGTTTCAATAATGGTATCATGGCCATTCGAGAAGGGACTTGGCTAGGCGCTGTTCCACCTCCGCCACTGGGACACGATCCGCAGACAAAGGTCTTGGGTATTTTGGGCCTCGGCGGGATCGGTTTGAATTTGAAGAAGAAGGCTGAGGTGTTTGGCATGACGGTGATTTATCACAACCGAAACAAGCTGAGTGACGATCAGGCTGAAGGTGCTGAGTATGTGGAGTTTGATGATCTACTTGCAAGGAGTGATGTGCTGAGCTTGAACCTTCCTCTCGACGTAAGTGCTCCATTCAGTTGAGGAACTCCTTTTGATTTGATCTCCGTAGCCGAGGACACGCAATATCATCTCCACCAGAGAGTTTGCAAAGATGAAAAAGGGCATCATCATCATTAACACCGCCAGGGGAGGGGTCATGGATGAAGAAGCGCTGGTTGACGCGTTGAACTCTGGACAAGTTCGTTCTGTCGGTCTCGATGTTTACCAGCAGGAACCGAAAATCCACCCAGGTTTGATTTCGAACCGTCATGTTTGTCTGCTCCCTCACATGGGCACATCAACGGTTGAGGTACATGATACCTGGAGATATGTAGAAGTAACAACCTCGCTAACCGTGTTGCCCCAGACCAAGACGAGGATGGAAGAGTGGACGATAGCTAACGTTCGATCGGCGCTGGAGACCGGTAGATTGAAGAGCACAGTGCCCGAGCAGGTGCATTTACTGGCGAGGCTTTAGCCAGGTTACCGAGGCTCATGAGGCGAGTGCTGAAAAGTACATTGCTTCTGCATTCGGAACAAATATTGATTTTAGAGCCAATCGCCATCACTTTCCGGCCCGAAAATCCTCATCCTCGACGTACCAAAATCGTTAAAGTCAGGAAGCGCCATATCGAGAAAGTCAAAGGAATTGAGGAACACTTCTTGGGTTCGAGGGGCGATCAAGGTACCAAGAAGGTTCTGGAGACCATACGAAGTTCGTCTTGTGTCGTTGAAAATATCGATGCCTGTGGGCCCATCGGGATTGTTTTTGGTATCTAGAATAAGCTGAATGATGTCGGCGTATCGTTGCGCGCAGGGCCATCGAGTAGCCATGTGTCTCAGCACGCTGAGAAGAGGCTCCAAATCTGGTGGTATCGACTCGTAGTTCGTTTCGTAACCCATAGTCCAGAGAATTATGAGGCTTCTTGAAGCGACCCACACGACAAAGGCAAACATTGGGTTGAGTTGGTCCAGCTCAACAGGCCCTAAGGAGCTCGCGAGTGTCGCGACTGCTTTGACGGATTGCCGACAGCGAACGCGGGCGGAGGACGACGGACGTAGGTAATTTGAAGTGGTTGACGGAAAAGCAGCTACCGTATACATTCTGATGTTGATCCTGTGCAATATTATGTCAGTGGTCGAACCAAAACGAAAACATCACGACGAGAATAATGGACCTCGTACAGTTGAAAAGTAGCATGGAGCATAATCCACATGGGATCGAACGTGGCCGGTGGTTCTCGAGCTTCAATGGGGAGATTCTCGAACCAGGTAGACATTGTGATGTCAAGGCGCCGGAAAATACTTTGCCACTCCTGGCAGTGAGCCGGAAGCGTCAGATCCAGCGGCTTGATGAGAAGTTGGTTTGATCTGTCCATCATTGCCAGCACATCGATATTATGGTGCCACAAGCTGGAAGAGCACTGGGCGTGAGTAAGTTTGGCCTGCGGTACTGCTTGAAACCATTCGGGCGTTGTATATTGGCCCCAGTCTTCGTCACTCGCAGGATAGGGGAGACGGATGTTCTTTGCGTCGATGCCACCGGGCTGCCCGTGCGACGCGCTGGAGAAACGATCGAGACTGTAGATGATCCAGAAGAGCCGCCGCTTTTCCTCCACAGCGATATTAGAAACACCTGCCCCGTCATCGTCGTCCTCGTTCCTCACAAGAGGAGTGGTTGTCTCGGGGGTTGTCGGCGAAGGACTCTTCGCAAGCCCTAGATGTCGAGAAGCTGCGACAAGCATCGACATGGCATTCCACGTTCTTGGACCCGGACCTTGGCCAAGGGAATCCAAAGCCATGAGCGCCAGAGCCTGAGTTGAGATCAAGGAACATGCGTCAATGGTCTTGAGCAATAACTGCTCACGCGAGATTTTGACGAGATCTTCTCTCTCCTTAGGTGTCGGAATGGGTTTCTTCCAGAAACGGAATGTCACTGCCACTATTGCATGGAGCAGGACCTGGCGCTCAGGCGCAAACATGTTGGTCGTGAAATTGAGCCTGCAGAAGATGGGCATCCATGGATGGACGAGTTCGAAGAACAATTCCACAAGCTCCTGCATTACACTAGCAGGTGGCAGTCCAGGTGCCATGTCCTGCAGTTGAGGCATTGAAGCAGGCATTCGATCTATCATAGGGCTAAGCGTCGCAAAAGAAGCTATGTCCGACAACTGCTGAGCTTGTTGCCATGTCTGAGAACTGGAATCGCCCGCTGTCCATGTTGTTGAGGGATTGGCAGCGCTATTAGGATCCACGTTCGAAACAGCTGTATTAGCGGTGCCGGTGAGGGTGAACTCTGGACGGATGTGAGTAAGAATGTCCTGTATCGATTGGTTCATCTTGTCCATAGTAGTTTCAACGAGGCTCAGTCGCTGCTCAATTGCCTTTCCATATCCAGGTCGCAGGCCTGGTTGGCCTTTCTCACGATACTCACACTGGCTCCCTAATGAAGAGAGGTCAGTTTGGATGCATTGAAGTCACGTAAATACTACCATACCCATGCGGCGACAGGTGCCACAGTATGGCCGAGCGCTATCACATCTCGTCTTCTTCTGCTTGCATGTCTCGCAGCTGTGCAGGCGATCACGTTAGTAATTTGATTCAGGTGGACTTATTGATTCGGACACATACGCTTTTGACAGGAGCCGGGGACGTTTGCTCGGCGGCATCCCAAGCCCATCATCAGCCACATCTAGGTGCTCAGTAGACATGACAATTGATCAATATGATGAACGATACAATGAAAGCTCTAGCAGGAAAATAGCCGAATTTGTCTAAAAGAACGGCCGAGGATCTCATCATTCGCTTATTGTCCGTGCGGAGTATGCCCGGGGGGTCTAGAAAGGAGAGTTTTAGGGGTGGGCAATGGGGAAGAAGCAGCTGATGCTGTAGGCATATCTGGCTTCTTAATTAGATGCCGAGGGGGCTTAATTAGACCTACAGGCTAGTGGGCTGACGAGGCAAACTTTCCAACCCAAGATACGTATCCCTCACAATGCGAGAATTGGAGCCACAAGCTTTACAAGAATATTTGTGCTATCTAGGCATTAATATGATTTGACACCCGCCAACTTGAGCAGTTTTTCGGTGAGCTCGGGCTTCTCGAGGGGTTCTGAACGATGTCGCGAGTCGAGCGTGCCGTCAGGATACGACGCTTGCAGGTCTCGCAGCTTGATGTTGTCGTGCGGCCAATGTGTTGTGGCACCCC